TTTTTCACGCCAGTCACGCAGCAGGAAATGGTCTCGCACATCCGGACACGGAAGACTCAAGGTGTCCTTGTGCATGCCCCTATTGCCCAGCCAGCCGGCCTGTGAGTCCCACTCACGGATAATGAGAGTCATCTGTCAGGCTGCCCAGGGAGAGTCGATTGAAATCTCCACGGCGGAACACCGAAAGATTCAATTTGCCACCTTTGAATGGCACGCCTGAGGTGATAATGGACGCTGGGCCCCCCTCCTGCCCCTTGCAGTCGCCTGCAAGCATGCCTATTCCCCGAACCAATTTCACCAGCTGCCCGGTTCTGATGGGGGCATGTTGTTTCCATTTGAGTACGCCGACCGGGGAATTCTACTGTCATGTAGTGTCACAAAACACGGAAAGGCCCGCCTCGCACAAACAGCTCGGTGTGTTTCTAAGGTGACTCGTTTGCAGGGCTCGACTGGCTCTGCATTCTGGAGCTCAGCGTCGCCTTAGCTGCTCGTCGGCCGCCTGCCAATCCTGATGATAAGATATTTGATTCCCGGCCCTATATCGACGAAGCCAAGTCGAAGATTTTTTACGGACCTTTCTTTGGCGTTCCGTGGTGGGACGTGAGTCAGCGAACAAGGGCAAAGGGAGCGGCTTCCACAGTGTAAATCAGCTTTATTTTTGGCAGGGCTAGAGGCGTTGATCCAGGCGATCCATCTCGGCAAGGCCCTGTCAACCGAGATTTGGTGGGGAGATGGGCTAGGAGAGAACAGGCAGTGATCAGATGGATGGATTTCGATCGCTTCGTTTTTCCTGCGCGTGCTTGCAGAGCTGCATTCTCCACGTGTAGCTGTCAACAGCGAAAGCAGCCACAATGGCGGCCTACTAGCAGCACTGATTTTCAGCTCCACAGTCGCTTGCTGACGCACTACGCCTTATCAAGGGCGAAAAAATCCGGAACAGCTAACGCTGTTGGGCTCTCTGTGGGATGACGAGCGTCCTCGGCTTAGCAACAACAAGAAGCTCGCAAAGGCATTGCTCCAGGTTGGGTCTCTTTTTGTGCGGCCTTTGAAAGGAAACGAACTATTCAGCACTGGGGAGTCCTTGAATAGAAGACCAGAAGCCATCCGCCGGACAGGGATGCAGCCGGGGTGTCAGAAGGACTGATTGGTTCTTGCGCTAGATTCCGTCCTGTCAAGACTACTAAGCGCGGGCGGATGATCAACGCCATATCGGACATATTATTGATCGCCCACTGCTCCAGAGGACGGATATGAGTTCCTTTCCGAGCTCGACGGCGCCGGGGCGACATACTTGCCTCGCGAATCCTGCGCAGCTTGAGCAGCACAAACTGACTCATCATCGTGGCATTCAAGGTGAAAGCGGCACGGGTGTACCCTTCTCATTCATCGCCGACGACGGGCTCCGGAGTGTTCGCTCTGGGGTTTGTCCAACGCCGTGTATGCTCAAAAATACCCCAGCCTTCTTCGTGCAACCCCCACGCGGATCGTCTTCATCCGCGAAGAGGCACAAGATGAGGCCTCTTCGCGGAAGATGCTTGAAAAGTATGGTTATGCTAGTGCTGACCGTTGAGTGTGTCGAGCTTCGGGCACTATGAAAAATTCTGATGCCGTGCCACAGCCTCAGCATTGGGCCCGAAGATACTCTTCGAGTACCGGTGGCCGGGGCGCGACCATGCTCCCTTACTTACAGGGCCACAAGGCTGGTAGGCTGGGTACCTTCGGCCCTCGAGGGATTGGTTTCAGGGCTCGGAGGATTGAAATGGCTGAAGGAGTCAGCGATTGAGGCTGAACATGCCAGTGCGAGAAAACTCTTCAATTCCTGCAGTCGGACCTGAGATCGGGCAACAACACCAATGCAAAACACACACGCCCCCGGTGTCGATGGCACAGAGGCCTCGTTGTTTTGTTGGCTACGGCAGGAGGATGAGACCCCTTGTCCCTTCAATTCCAGAGGCGCTGCAAGTGCAACCGCCATGAACAACATCACTGGCCTTCGCAGCTACCGATGTCGACATGTCGTTTTCCCCCCGCATTTCCGCCAGGGGGAAGAAGCAATGAAAGGAAAGCGGCGCACTCACGGTTCACTGATGGGGTGTGAGGTGCAGCAACACCCTCTCTGGTTGAACCACATCACATCACATACATTCGCCAGCAAGCTTTTGGAATGTTGGAATCGCCTCATTCGCTGCCAGCAACCAACTAAATAGTCGCCCACAGCAGGGTTTCTAATAGTGCCTGCCCAGCAATGGAGCGGCCCTCGTTACGAGACAACATTCCCAGTACCACGCTCTTGGGACCATCGGCATGGGTAAAAGGACACCATCTACGCCAATATGGGCTGAGCTCCAGGCATCCCGTCACTGAAAAGTCTCTGGCGACTAAACAGCACTTAGGATTCGTGTTGCGGGACCAACGACTGCATATGTTCCAGCCGTAGACCCCACCTGGTCTCCACCATCGAAGGGCCACTACATACACGAATAGGTCGAGCACGTCGAAATAGCAACGACAAGGCACCAAAAAGAGCCTAATGATGCTAGGACGCGGCTCAGTCTTGTGGGGCCATATTATCTGACATGTCGTGGCTGCAGCGTTCAGCCGGCGAGTACCACAGGCATATTCTAAATGACACAAGGCTGATGCTCCACTCGCCAGACGGCACGGGAAGCAGACGCCCTACTTTGTACAGAGACAGTGTCATCTTTTCAACTGGTTTCCAATTCTACCTGTGCCGGCCTGCCTGGGAGGTGGGATAGCCAAACTTTCCCGGGAGACAGTAAAAGGTGTACCACATTCCTTTTCAGGTCAAAACATGTCGCTTGGTCGCTTGCCTGGCTGGTCGCCTGCCATCTGGCGAACCAGTCCCTGCCCCCTTCCGTCGCCAACCATCGTTGGAGCTGGGCTTGGCCGTATCCTTCGCCTACATGACATTACCGCTGTCAGAACCAACAGGCTGCGTGGCGACCTAAAGATTATCCACTTTCAGATCGTCTCAATCGGGTCTGATGCATCGAGAGGGGCACCTATGCGAATCCGAGTCGACATCAGCGGCCAGAATCACATAGTAGCATTCTCCAGCTGGATCCTTCAATGAAGAGGAGTGTCAAGCCGCCGCTAATAAGCTATGCCGGCAACCTCCACCCATTACAGGGCCCTGGCATTGAGGCCGTCCACCCATTGGCACATCATTACGGCCACCTCCAAGCTACCTTCAGCTTACAAGTGTAGCAACCTTCATGCGGGCTACGGCGCTCTCGTCACAGCCCTTAATCTGTGCACGCCACGTTGGCTTGGTGTTTGTCCCAAGAGTCTGGAGCTGTCCGCAACCACCGACGCCATGCATCGCCTTGCCTGCCTAGAACCGTGGGCTAGTGGTGTCTGATATATGATATCGGGGCCTCCTCCATGGGGCGCCGCCGCCACAAGTGAAGCTGCTTTATTCCAGTGGGGGCTAGCTTTTGGCAATGAGCGCCATTGGGTGTTCTCATGATGCACCCGTGGTTTGCCACGAGCTCTGCCTGCCCCCAGTCGACCCGCATTAGTAGCCAGCCAGCCAGCCAGCCAGCCAGGTGAAGTCTCTGGCCCCCTTGGGGATGTGAAGAAGAATACACCTCGTCAGACTTGGTTCTCAGCCTGAATCTAGGCCTTACTTCTTCGAATCTGAGGCCCCTCCGATGAGCTGCCGCTTCGGCTATTCTTTCTGTGTCTGCTCCCTCGGCTGCCATCGGACGCACTCGAGTTCGTTCCCGGCCTGCTGAGGCCAGGGACGGAGGGCGAATGCGCCCTGTTGGACTAGCGGCACAGCAGCTAATGCATCAACCTGTACATGAGCGCTTTAACCCGTCGGCCGATCAACCCCGACCTTACGCACAAGCCGTTGTCAACTTGCTGCGCTTCGGTTCCAACTGACTGCACGATGATGTGGCTCTTACTATTCATACGTGGTGCCTGAGTGCCTCCTGACGTTTTACCCTGACGTTTACTAGTTGACATGTCTAGGTGGTTACTCTAAGGTTTATGCATGGTCAGCTAAGTCAGGTTCCATCCAAGCTGGTTCGCCCATGGAAAGCGGGAGAGGCCAACGAGAGACATTAAGATGTTGACAGCTGCTGCCGTCTGACGGCAGCATCTTCAAACATCATGCTGTGCAACACATCTCGGTAAAGGTGGCTGGAATGCGAAACGCCCACTGGAGCGGCTCTTCTAGTCGGAGGGCATATTGATAATCCTATATGCCGACAGGCTAGCCACCTGGAGGGCTCTCCCTGAATTGTGCAATGAAGATGATGTTAGGCGAAATGGGAGAAGAAACGCTGCTCGTCCGCCTGCAATCTGCTGCCTCGCCCGGGACAACTGGTGAGCATAGTGCCGGCTTTCCCTTTCCAGCAAGACCTGCATTTTCGAGTCACTGGGTACACTATCCGTGTAACATCGCTCGGTGAATGTGCAATCCTCAGGAGGTGACAGCTCAACTGTCACAAAAGCTGGCTGGGGCGGGCCCTGCGCCTGCGCACAGCGTGCTCGAGGGTGCACGCAGCCGCTCTCCGGTCAGATGACCGCTCACCATTCACTCGTTTCTCAGGGGAGTCTCGGGAGCATCAATTTCTCATTGAACAATTGGTTTCTTTACTATAGCGGCGTCGGTCATGTGGCCGCGCAATATGCTCGATGCCCCCGGCAGCGGCCTGCGAAACCGAGGTGCGCGATTCCCCGGACGAAGCACAGAACTCGCACAGGGCTTTTGTCATGTTCCACAGCATTAGGCCCGTTCCCCCCTCTCTCTCTCCTCCTTGCACGAGAGTTGCCCTCCCACAGCAACAAAGAGAGTGAGTCTAGGCCACTCGGGAGCCTCCGGGGCAACGAGAAAGCCCGCAAGGGAAAGCCGCACGCCCGGCTTCAGTCACGCCACCACCACATTATCGACTCACTCCCATGCGGACAGGATCGTCGCCCGCCGCGCACGCCTCCCTGTGCGCGTAGGAGGTGCCCCGATGGTCGTTCTAGGACGGTAAAGACACCCTGAAGACCAGTGCCTGGTTGTCCAGGTTGAAGCCGCTATTGTCAGCGTATTGATACTGCCCAAAGTTCAGGTAGCCATCCTGGGTGATGAAATCGTTGTCGCTGAGGCTGATCACGAAGTAGTCCTCCCCGGGATTCTCAGGGTCAACCGGTGCCAGTGCTATAGACTCCCACTTCTCATTCTACGGCGGCCATGAAGTCAGCCATCTCTGGGTCTTGCCGTTGTAGAATTTGTTGCACCAAACGGGGGATCGCCGGTGGCGAGACAACAACGTCTAGGAGCGTGGTACGCATAACTGCCTTCGTGGCACATACGCTTGAGGGATTTTCCACTTACAAGCAGCCCACTATCCTGATCGCCACCGTTGTGGGCGCCGAATTTGCCCAGCTCGCTGTTCACGTTGAAGTCCAGGAAGGAGCAATACGTGGCCGGGCTGATCGCCTTGTCCAGGACACCCTTGGCGCTTGCGACCGCACAGGTTTCGCAGTCGTACTCACTGCCCCTGATATCCGTGGCGTTCGCAACGTCGAATACGTCGATGTGTCGATACACGGACAGCGACTCGTCTTGGCCGTGGCCGAAGCCGCTGTCTCTCGCCAGGACCAGAAACTGGCCGTTGGGAAGCGCGTGCAGCTCGGACTGCGCAGCAACCTTGGGGTTCTTCGAGGCTTTTGCAGTGTAGTCGTTGTATAGAGGGAGAGGCACAACGTGCTCAGAGAGGTAGACTGGAGCCAATCTATCCGAGACGTCGTAGGTGAGGAAGCGAGTGTATCGCTCGGTTTGGGAGGTTAGTCCCTATCAGCAATGGTTAGCTCCCGGATTGATATTTCGGCCTGTACCCTTGCCAGTCTATGTAGGCTTCGAGTTTCCGCGAGTGCAAAACCCCTTCCCTCTCTCGCGAGTCCTGAGTCCTACTAGTGGATTTCCCTCAGGCAATAAACTTACACCTTCCTGGTTGGTCGCGGCCTGCAATAGGAGGTAGAGCGTCTTGCCGTCAGCAGATGCGGACAGCCCTTCAAAGCCTGTATGCCATGTGAGCATGAGCACTGTGATATCCTTGACTCTCTACCTTCGGACTTGCCAGGGCTAGATAACACTGACCATGATTGTTGTTCCTCCCGGTGGGATTGTCTGCGGGTGACACGTCGTCTCCAGAGCCATCGTCCACATACGCACGCGGCGAGTCGGCCGAGAAGGAGTCAGAGCCGTTCCTCTTCGGTATGATGGCCTCTGGAGGCCGGATGGCCGAGATGATCGTCCCGTTGGAGTCAAAAAGCCAGACGTATGGACCATACTCGTCGCCGACCCAAAAGCTCCCGTCATCGTTGATCACCAAGCCCTCGCTGTCCACAGCGATGTGCTTGGAGGTGCTGCCGTTGGTGGTATCAGCCCCGAAGCCGTCGCCGGTATATGTTGCGGCGGGTAGCAGTTGAAATCCTTCGTATTCTAGGCCGCCTGATCCGTCTGCATCTAGGCCGGTTGTTGGCTGCCCGTCGGGCCCGCTGAAGAGTATCGTGTCGACGTACTCAAACTCGAGGTTGGGCGATGCTGGGCTGTCGGCGGTGGCATTGGGTTGTGGGACTAGAGTAAGGTGGAATTTGTGAACTCGATTGATGAAGTCTTTGCCACGAACTGATCAGTATTTTGTAGCCATGATAGAGCATTTCACCGCTGTGATGATGAATCTATTCATGCGGAGATACGGCAATAGGTCAACATACTGAGTGTGCCCTGCGTGTTCCTACCAATGAAGTCAGCATCTCATTCTTACTATATATACTAGTGTTTTGGAACGACGCGAGCGAATACACCGAATATGAGCGCCTTTGAGCCATGGTCGGGCATGTCATTTCTGATCTCATGGTAGTGATCGTAGCATATCGAGACGAATTTCAGCCAACGATCCTTCCTTCACACCCAAATATCATAGCTCTATGCACGATGAGAAATGAATAGGCAAGCCCTCGTTGATAGCATCTTGCTGGCTACCACATTGCAGTCCAAATGAGGGCTACCCATAGTGTCAAGTGCAAGACACACACTCAAGGATCTCTGATATCTGGATCTGGAATTCGGGGCTAGCACTTGCTATCCCTTGAGCTCAGATATCGAGTCTTCACCCCTGAAAGAGACCATCACAACAAGAGATTCACTCACCAACCCCTATCGGGCAAAGCCCACAACAATCCCTCATAACTCAGACCATCCTCGCTCTTCTTCCAAGAGCTTTGATCCAAGGCGACTGCGTCAAGTCAGTATATTTGTTCCGCTCCCTTTCCCTTTCCCTTTCCTCTTTCCAATACAGAACGAGGAGCCCTGATCTCTCTGACCCGCTGCGCCGCATGAGAACCAACTTACTCGCGCTGCCGATGCCTCCGATAGTGTCACCAAATTTGTCCCTCGCATTACCGGGGATGAGACCGTAGCCCGCGAGCTCGTTGTAAGAGTACTGCTTCCCGTTGCACGTCGTGCTGTTCACGGCCGTCCCGCTGGAGCTTCTGCGCCTCAGACCGGCGGCGTGGCCCACGACGGGGTAGACTGCCGCGGCAGCAACGGCCAACAGGGTGAGCTGGGCTGGGGATATCATGGCTGGTGATGACGAGGAAGATACTGGCCTGGTTAGACCATAGTAGTGCAAAAAGCGGTACGGTAGTATTTATTGTAGAGGCGGAATTAGACGGCCTTGGATATCTGTCTCAATGGGACAGCCCATCTCGCTCGCCAGGGTTCTCTCACGATGGCGAGCAAATGAGGAGGTGGAGTTCACAGTTTAATACCCGGACACGACCTCGGGAGCAGCCGACATGATGTTGCTACCTTGCGCATGTCCAATAAAGCCTGTTCATCGCTTCGTTGCCACCCTTCCCCGGTCGGCGCTCTCGAAGGATCAACCATCTACACGCGGCAGGACGGGTCCGGGCAGACATCGGTCTGCCGAAAGGAGAAACGCAGCAACAAGCCTAGGTGCCCAAGTGCAGTTAGCACCTGGCAGGGGAACAAGAACATTGACGCCCAGTGGCGATGTCGCACACCACGAGATGGGATGAGCTCGCTGGGGAGGGCAGCAGCCCGCGGACGCAGGACATCGTACCCCTGACGGGCGGCAGCCCGGCAGACTCGGCACACGCACGCTGGGGGTCGCCATTGGACCAAGGCTGCGAGTGCTCGAGATGACCCCAACGTCGAACATGCTCTGCTCGGTCAAACCACCTGCGTTAGTCGGTTAGTCCAACCCATGCTTGAGGAGCGTTGCAGGCGTTTGCAGAGCGAGGAGGGTTCTGCATCTGCAGATCTTCGTTGCAACGCTGGCACGTTGAACGTTTAAGACGTCCCATTCGCTAATTGTTGCATGGCCAAATATCAACAGCGCCGACCAACGGCCGTGGTGAGCACGTGGGCAGTTACTGTTTTGCTGTTTTGGCCGTGTGCATGAACCTCCCTGCACACGCAGGCTAACGACCTGCTCTACAAAGGCAGCTTTACAGGTTAGGAGCATGGGAGATCACCTTCAGCGACGAGCACTTCTTGAGGACCTTTGGTGTCTGTCTACTCTGGATTAGTTAGCTAAGTCGAGCAAAACCCATGATTCATCGACATGTGTGCCCGTCAGGTCTGCCATGGCTGTCGTCGACCGACTAGCTGAACCCATTCCTCCCGGCCGACCAGAGCCCCTCTCATTCCTTCTGACCCTCGAGGTTGCCGCTTTCTTCCCGCGAATTTCACCTGTTGCTTCTAGACGAGTCAGCGAGAAGGCTGTGTCTTCTCCTCCCATGATCTCTCGTGTGTCTGCTCTGGCCCCAACCAGCTTCGCGCTGGTTCTTCCTCTATGTGGTATCATACAAAATGGAATAGGGAATGTGTGTTCTCGGGTGCATCCGCGGCTGTAGATCACCCCCTGCCCCCTTTTCCCGCCCATCCTGTCCCTTCTCAACGTCCTATTTTTTTGTTCAGAGACCGTACAAATCCCAGCCGTCAAGACCGTCTGATGGATCACCTTGCCGATTCGACTCTTCGGTGCCCGCGACGTTTGGCGGTGCAAACTCATTGCGGAATTCTTCGCGAAGTCACAGCTCGTCATCATCGTTCTCCAGTTCCGACGGCTTCATGAGACCGCCGACCTTCGACCTGCGGTCCAGGTCTGCTTGTTGCTTGGCAGCATCTTCTTTCTCCTTCTCCACTTGATACAGCTCGGCATTGTCACCAGCATACTCCTTCATAGAAATGAGGAAATCACGTAGGTGAAGTCGGAACTTGTCATACTGCGTGTTGAGTGTGAACAGCCCCTCAACAAAGGCTGTAATTTGTGGTCTGCTACTATGTTAGTGGATGCTATTGACAGAGACATGATGGCACTTACGCTTGGAGGTTGTTGAAGGCATTTGCCAACAAGGTCGCCACAAAATTGCCCAGGAACTCGCGGTTCGTGGTACCTGCCTGGGCCATCTCCGGCTGATAGATAGGACCTTGGATCTTCGAAGCAGTTCCATCAGCTGGCTGTACGAAGTAGAACATGCGCATAAGCAGCATCGACTGCGTCTTGAACCCGGCCTTGTGATCCTGATCCGTGACTACAAAAAAGACATCCTGCAGGATCGGTGTGAAGAACTGGTTGAAAAAAGCGTTCGACGTCTGAACATCAGTCTTCTCAGCAATATTGTTGATCAGCTCGAGGCACATGTTAAGGCCTGCAGCTTCAACGTCGCGGTTGTCGTGCTTGCTAGCCCACATGCAAGAGTCGATCACAAACTTGAATTGTCGGTTGTCCAACTTCAGCAGAGCAGGGAAACAGTTCAGGTTGATGGCCCTCAGCAGGTTGAAGAATTCGACCCTGTGCTCTGGGAACTCGGAGAAATCCTTGTTGATCATCTCCAGCGTGCATTCGAACACGTTCTCCATAATGATCGGTACTTGATCCTCCATGAGAGCGGACAATTTCGAAATGACAGCCGTCATGGCCCTCAAAACCTCCGCATCGCGAGCGCCAGGCACATTACGGTTGTAGTCGACAAGGACACAGTCGAGCAGAGGTGGGACCATCTGGGTTCGCACGGCTGCGTGGTCTTCGGCCTTATCCACGTACGTCTCGATCAACTTCAGAATCTCCTTCTTGATTGTGCGCAACCCCCGGACCTTCGGCATCTTGGTGGCAATTTCACCTTCCTTTGCGACGGATTCAGAGATCAGCTGGCTTGTAGCCCTGTACATCTGCAGCATGTCGTGGTAAATGCGGCCAATTTGCGGGTAGAAGTACGACCCGACAGATGAGCAAGCCGACACGTTGGTCTTCATGATGTTTCCGATGATCTTGATAGTATCGGCGTCTTGCAGAATTGCTGGGTTGACGGTCGCCTGCTTGATGATCTCGTCCCAAGCAGCATTGGGGTGTTGCATGAGCTCCGCCAATAGTCGCTCCTGCTGGTTGCGGTTGCCCTGGGCGGCCACCATATAGCCGCATGCCTCGTAGAAAGTATGCACTTGCTGGGGCGTGAGATCGGCCGTAATCTTAGGTAGGTTCCTCACAATCTCCTCAATGAAGGGCTCGTGTTCACTAGGCTGGAGGGCAACGAAATGACGCTTGCAAGACTTGGCTATCTTGATGAACGTATCACACGCCATATCCTGAACACCTGAAAGAATGTCAGCAGCGACTTGCAATAGCGATAGGGAATAACTTACCTTCATGAGACTCATGCATGAACTCGAACAATTTGTTCACGACCGTCTTCAGGAATTTCCAGTGAGCCTTCAAGAAGCGAGGGTATTGGCCGACAATATACATAATATTGGATGCAACCACGGCCTTGTTGTCTTTACCGCGCTTCATTTCCGTGAGCCCAAGCAGGTCTTTGATCACGGTGACCAGGAAGCGCTTCTCCGTTTCTTCGTTCATGGCCAACGAGATTGATCCGATGGCCCAGCACAGAACGTTGCAGTTGTGCCAGGACCATTCAGAGCCGTCGACCTGCTTGGCGAGCTTATCTGTCATGATTTGCTCTGTGTCGACGACGTCCAGGTGGGTGAGGTAGACGAGACACTCGCGAATGGTCTTGTATAGCTGCACGGTGTCACTTTCCTTCACAAATTCTCGAACGATCTCGCCTTCGTCGTTCTCGACAATCAAAACCTCCTCGGGGCGAACCATCTTCTCGATCATGACGACTCGAAGGTTGGACAAGACCTCTTGGTATTTGTGCTTCCGCAAGGGGTAGTTGTTCAGAAGCGCGGGATTCGGTGCGCCACCTGACATGGCTCCCATAGCCATGAGGGGGTTGTCGCCTATGGGAAGGGACTGCATTTCTTCGTAGAGCTCTTGGACCAACTTGAGCCAGTAGTCCAGGCAAATCTTGAAGATCTCTCGGTCGTCAATCTGAGAAATGCGAATCAGGTAGTAGTGTGCGTGAGAGAGGTAGTCGCGGTTCGGCAGATTCTCAATCAAATTCAGGTGCATGGAGAAGAAGTTGGTCAAGAACAGAGCCAGATTCTGTACGAATTGCTGGTCTCTGGAGTTGCTCTGTGGATATGTCGTCTTGAGGTCCATCTGGATAGGTATAATGGTCGATATCGTGGTAAGCACCTCAGTAAACATCTTCACGAGCTGCTCGTCATAGTTGTTGCCCGCCGGCCCCGCTGTCTGGAGGCCACCGATCTCTGTCAAGCATTGAAGCGTGACATTGCGGAACTCAGGCACCTCCAAGAAACGAGTCCGCAACAGCGAGATCAACGGCGTTTCAAAGATATACCCGAGGGGGATCCAGTTGCAGAATCGAAGCAGCGTCTCGAGCGTCGCCAGTACCAAGCTCGGTTGGGTTGCCGTGTTAAGGATTTCCTGGCAAAGCTGGAAGATCTGTGAGAACTCGTTGCACATGGTCGTCTTCAGACTCCGGGTCTTGGTGGAGGTCATTTGCTCGGCGGAGTAGTCGAAGACCTCTTCGGACAAAAGTCGAAGGATGATCATATTGTTCTCGCAGACTGACAGGCTCGAATGACAGGCTTGTATGATCTCGTTGATGAAGGTCGGCCAATTGTGAGGCCACTCCTGCTTCAGGACAGAGATGAGGACGAGGTTGAGCTTATTGAGCAGGGTTCGTTGGGATCGCAAGGACTCCTCGGTGCTAGAGCATTGCAGGATGAAGGAGACGATGAAGTTACGGATGCCTGCACCATAGTCAGCAGGCCGGACAGCACAGCACAAGGTTTATGTGCTCAGCGTTGCGTACCTTGGCATTGCTCCCTCGGAAGAACCCTCCATCTCGTTGAGATAACGTTGTCAAGAACCTGCAACGCCAGGTCTTTGCGACTTGTTAGCCCCAGCTCGGCATGTTTGCTTTTGCTTCCATATACGCACACTTTGTTTGTGGATAGTTCGCCTTGGACAGGATGTCGTCCACCATAAGCCATGCGTCAGGATCCTCCTTGAACTGTAGCCATAGCCAGTCAGTGAATGTCGATTTCGAGATGCGGCGCGTCGGTGTGGCTTACCTGGTTCAGAGCGGCCTGGGCGGCTTTTTGCTGTGGAGGAGGGTATGGTCAGTAGGGTTCAACTGCAGAAGCTGGGCAAAGGGTGAAGAGGGCGCTACCTGTTCGCCTCGCCCCTCGTAAAAACTACGGACGAGAGCGTCGAGCTCTTCGATAGATATCGCCATGGCAGGCAGCAAGGTTGGGTTGTGTGCAGTCTAGCAGAGGCGGCGGTATTTGTCGAAGGGTGGGACAAGAGGACAACAGGCACAAAAGATGCTCGCAAAAAAGGAAAACGAGGTCTTTGCCCTTGGGTATGGCTGTTCACTGGTGTGGTGGGAGGGACGTTGCGAGACCGCAAAAGAATGTCGGCTGAGGAGAGGCAAGTCAAGTCAAGAGAGGTAGGTGGTGGGTAAGCCTTGAGCTTTTGGACGGCAGACAAGAGGCTGCGGCCAGGCCAACCCACTTGCGCTCGCTCGCGCTACCCCGCCCGGAATTTTGCAGGGGGGTCAGGTACAGCACCACACGTCACTGACAGCCTGACAGCTCGCGTCTCTCTGCGCATCAGCACCCTAAAAAAAGCGCGTCGTTTCAAGACCTCAACTTCAACAGATACAATTCGTAGATAAGTAACTGTGGGGCTGGTCCCATTGACTGAGCATGGTCTGGTTTCGGAGACTGCCTGGTGGTGGGAAGACTGTGCTCTCTCACATCGAACAGAGCCTTTTTTTCACATTTGTAAAGAGACGGGGGGGGGGGGGGGTTGATGCTCAGTGTGTATCCCCATCAGGAGGTGTTTACTAATTATCGGAGGAACATAGAAGATCCTCCCAGGGCTCACCCAGAAGCGTCAACAGTTCCATAACCAAGCTTTGACATTCTCGCTGTCTCTATTTACACAAACCACTTTGTTTGTGTTGTTTCGGGAGCCTTCTACTTTTGTCTACCAGTTGCTAGAATCCTGCCTCCCTCGCGACTGAGCTATCATACTGAGCCGGGTCTCATGCCTTCTGATATCCACACTCGGTCAGGCCATCTTCCAACGCCTTGATAGCACGGTCGATATCGCCTCGCTTTTCATCAGTTACGGAGACGCCCATGTGCCCGAAACGGATGTACTTGGGCGCGATCTCCTTGTGAATGCCTCCGGCAAACACAACATTTCGCTTGGCCAGCGCAGGCAGGATTTCTGCAGCCTTGACGTTGTCTGGCAAGTAAATGGCGGTCATGCAGTGAGATCGATCCTCAGGCTTGGACGCAACCTGCTTCAGACCCAGGGCCTCGACGGCCTTCTTGATCTTGTCGGAAACCTCGGCGTGCTTTGCAAAGCGCGCTGACAGAGGTCCGGCAGACAGGATCTGGTTGAGTGCCGTGTTAAGGGCGTGGATCAACTGTGGGGAGGGTGTGGCGAAATAAGAGGGCTTCTTAGCCTCATAATTCCTCATAACTGCAGAGAGTCAGCTCCTGCTCCACCATCTCGCGACTCCGAAACCAGAGCAGACGTACTAGGGGTCCAGTTCTTCATAGACGCAAAATAGGCACCAATTGGCGCCTTGCGCTCCTCAAACACCTTAATAGCCCGCCCACTGAACATGGAAATGGACAGCCCGGCCGGGCAGCCAATGGCCTTTTGGCTGGCGGTAATCACTCCGTCGAGCTTCCACTTGTCAAAGTCGATCTCCTCGCCGGCGACAGAGCAGACACCGTCGACAATCAACAAGGTCTCGGGGGATACTCTCTGGACAAGCTCCGAAAGCTCCGGCAGCGTGCTCAGAACTCCGGTCGAGGTGTCAACATGGGTGACAGAGATGACCTTGTACTTCTTGGCCTTCAGCGCTTCCTCTATCTCAGGCAATTGCGGCCTTGAGCCGACCGTGGGCTTCAACTGGTCGACGTTCGCGCCATAGACCTTGAAGCAGTCGGCGAAGCTGTCGCCAAAGTAGCCGGTGGTCAGGACCAGCACATTCTCGCCGGGCTCAACTAGGTTGGCAGCGACCAGGTCCCAGCCCAATGTCCCAGAGCCCGAGATGACAAAAGGCTGTGACGAAGGGTCCGTTGTCTGGAAGAGCTTGCGCAACATGGACAAGGTGTCACCAAATGTAGAGACAAAGCCAGGGCCGACGTGGCTCTCGCTACAAGGTGAAAGTGGTCAACGCTTTGCCCCTCGAATGGAGACTTGCCAGGCCTAGTTGCAAGTAACAGAAGACGGGCACACCAAAGCTCCGAACGGCGAGGATGGCACACAAGCCGATAGGCCGGGCCAGAAGGCCACGCTGCCACATTAGACTTCAGAAGTTCCTGCTGCCCAGAGACTGGGTGCCGCTGCAGGGCATTTGGGTGGCATCTTTTGCTACCGCGCCGTGACAAAGTAGGGTATCTTGTCTCACCTGAAGTGACTCATAGACTGCAGCACGGCATCGTCAAACTCAATGGGGCCCGGGATGAGCAGGGTAGAGTGTTCTGGCTGCGAAGACATGGTGGCGGAATCCTGTGACGACGACGATGATGATGTTGTAGTTGAAAGGCGGCGTAGTGCTTGTGCTTGTCCTTGACCAGCCAATGGAGAAGACGTTGAAGGAGATGAAGACGAAGCTGTTGAAAGCAGGTGATTCGCCGTGAGGGAGAGACGTCGGCTTGCGGAGCTGCCGCGGGGTATCATGGCCTTAAGCAATGAGGGCCGAGACCGGTACATTGGAAGGTTTGGAGGGACTCTGTTGCCGAATACCCCAATCGGTGCCGCAACGGAACAGCAAGTGCAAGTAATTGACAATAGACCACGGATGGAAGTGGTGGAGCTCCAGCTTCGTCCTGCTCTGTTCAGTCCAGCCCTCCACTATCTATATCTATGGCGAGCAGGAGAAGCGTGCTGGCAGGCGGGGTCAAGAAGCGATTTCAATAGCACTTGACTAATAAGTTTGGCACTTGGATTGTTTACGGAGCAGCACTCCCTGCTCGAACAGCAACAAACACCGACAAATGGCCTTACTTTAAACGCTTCGGCTTCCAAGTCCGGGTTTGCTCCGGATCTCGGGACGCTGGAGGCTGGGCCATCGTGCCGCCTGCGAGCGACCTACGTAGTGCACAGTACTTGCGCATCTCCTGCGGCAGGCAGTCCCGGTCGGAGCTACCCCAGCACCCAGCAGCGGAGCGGGACAGACAGGGGACCACCGCGCCTGGGCAGACAGGCTACCTTACCTAGGCACCGTTGATGATGTACGGTCGTCAGCCATGAGATGAGGTCTACAACAATTCAAGCTCCAAACCCACGCGCCCCAAAGACCCAACTCCCACAGCCGGCATAACGACCCGCGCTCTCTACACGTCACCAATTTGAGAACCTAAGACGACGATCAAGCATGCGAGTGGCCCACTGCAACTAACCTTGGAGGCCCGCCTTTCTACGGTACGACATCCCCGGCGCAGCGGCGCCTTGGTCGACCTCTCGCTGAAGCTTGACCCTCTTGGCTGAGTCGCTCTGGACGCGATACAAGCCATTGAGGCACGACTCCTCGTTCCCATATCTCGCAAGGCTTATACCCGTATCAAGCAACACAATGGCCTTCCTCATTCTAGTGATAGGGGACCTTCACATCCCTGACCGAGCTCTCGACATCCCTCCAAAGGTACCTCCCTCGCCAACCGCAGACGTCCTCCTCGCACGACACAGCCTATGTGCTCCTCTCTGCGAAGCAAACAACACAGGATGCTGACACATTTCGCCGCAGTTCAAAAAGCTCCTCGCCCCGGGCAAGATCTCCCAGTCCCTCTGCCTCGGCAACCTGACCGACAAGCCGACGTACGAGTACCTGCGCTCCATCTCGCCGGACCTCAAGATCGTCAAGGGCCGCTTCGACGTCGAGGCCACGTCGCTGCCCCTGACGCAGGTCGTCGCCCACGGAGGCCTGCGCATCGGCTTCCTCGAGGGCTTCACCCTCGTATCCAGCGAGCCCGACCTGCTGCTGGCCGAGGCCAACAAACTCGACGTCGACGTGCTCTGCTGGGGCGGCACCCACAAGTTCGAGTGCTTCGAGTACATGGACAAGTTCTTCGTCAACCCCGGCTCTGCCACCGGCGCCTTCTCCACGGGCTGGGGCACCGGCGAGGGCGAGGAGGAGGAGGTCGTGCCGAGCTTTTGTTTGATGGATGTAGGTTGCACTCCGCTGCCCCTTTCTCGGTGCTGCTGGCCGCAGGCTACAGGTAATGCTGTGGTGTGCGGCAAGCCCAGGTTCACGTTGGAATTGAGCTGACAGGATACGATCCAGGTTCAAGGCATATCACTGACACTTTATGTGTACCAACTGAGGAAGGACGAGAATGACGTTGAGAACGTTGCGGTGGAGAAGGTCACGTATACAAAGCCGGTAGAACCGACAGGAGCATCATAGGTCGATCAAGGGTTTCTACGGGAAAGTATCAAGCTGTAGTGACGGACAGGATGCGGTCATTGCAACGGAGACACACCATTGAGAATCATGACGACAGGGGTCAAGGGCTGTGTAGGCTTGATGAACCTGCATGGAGGAAGGGGGAGCAGCAGATCGACAAGCGAGAGTCTTGTTTCTTCAAGTTCACATTAGATACTCATAATGCCTCGTTCTAAACCATGGCTTGACATGTGCTTCCTTTCGATGTAAAAGAATCCACGCTTGTATCCTGGCCCCATACGTCTATCTCATCAAACCGCTCAACGCCGCTCGGAACATCCAGGTACGCCGTGCTTGCATTTTCCCCAAAAAGATTTCTTTACAATTCGTCATATTACAACATCATGCTTCGACGTCTCGAGGCCTTATCTTGGAGTAGCGATGATGAACTGTCCCTCATTGTCTCAAGGCTAGCCTCGAACGAAGAGTCCTCGTCCTGTGCCTCATCAAGCATGGATGACTTTTTAGGCGCAGCCATTGATGCCCGTTTCCGGGAGGGCTTCCTTGCATCCACCGCTGATGCAGATTGGTCATCGGTACCTGTGGTTTTGGCCGCCGTCGACCGCCTCATTCCCTTGCTGACTTTGCCTTTTGGAGGAATCTCTTTGGGCTGCTCGATAACGGTGGACTCGTCCCGGAATTCGTAGGGATCGATTCCCTGTACCTGCTCGACGCTAGCTTCTTCGGACTGGTCGTCTTCTGCCTTCTCCAGCTGTTCGAACATCTGGCTTTGCCTCGATGATGGCCGCCTTCGCTTTTCCGTCACAGCATTACCTGCCAAATCAGCTGGCGGCACTTCTTTCGCCGAATCTCTCTGTAATAATGGGCTCGTGACGGGAGGCCGGCGGGCTGCCTCGTTCTCCATGGCGGCTTCGGCTGCCGGGAGTTGGCTCAATGACGCTGATTTAGTGAGCTCGCCTTCAGCCATGTTCTTTGATGCGGATGCCGATGGTACGTGATGGGCTAAGCTGGTGCGTCTGTATTTCCCCTCTCCAGAGACTGCATCCAACATTTCTTTCGTTGGTCGCCTCATCTTATCCCTGAGGTTCGGCTCAGCATAGCTGACAGATGCCCTCACCCTCCTACTGGGCCGGGAAGTTTCCCCATGAGAGGTAATATCGGCTGGCGGGGGCGTATCCTTTGGTTTCTCGCTTGTGGATTTGGTCTCTGGAGTATCAGGGAAGACAACTCTGATGTCCGTTGATGGTGTCTCTGGTTCTAGCGATGGCTTCGACGCCAAAGGCTCTGCTGGCGGCAGTGGGGGAACCTTGATCGGAACAACTCTCTTCTTCTTCAATGGCGCGGCCTTTAGCGAGATCTCCTTTGGTGGGTCCGACATGAGCTTCAGAAGATCTCCTGTTGTCGCTGATTTAGGTAGCTTCTTTGGTGAAGCCACGCCGTCGTTCCTGCTCTTGTCTGCTAGAGGTTGTCTGGGTCGTGGCTTTGTAGGATCTGTGTTTTGGGCCCTCTTCTCGTCAGACTTGGCCGACAAGTCTTTCATACTGCGGCGGTCCTTCAAGTCCCTCACAATGAGTGGCTTATCGGGCGCAGTCTTGCTGCCGGCCTTGTCCGTGGCCGAAAATGCCCTAGACACTTGGAATTCGTCGTTCTCGTCACCGAATTTTCTCTTAGAGCCTGCTTTGACGGCGGGATGAATTTGTGGGCGTGATTCCTTGGTTGGTTTCGGATCCTCCAGAGTGTTGGCGTCCAATGCCGCGCTGGTCTGCTTCGTCGGCTCTATGTTTGGCCTGGGGGGAGAGCTGGACGGTAGGAGTGCTTCGATTTTGAGTTTGGGGCTGGGTTGGGAGTGGCCAGTTGATCTACTGGGACTGTCGATCTTGACCGGCTCCTCCACGAAGCGCGAAGTAGGAGGTGGCCCTAGGTCTGGCGACTCGTTTGAATCCTCTGCCTCGGAGCAAATCGCCAGAATTTCATTGTGGCTGAAAGAATGTTAGCATACTAGTTGCGGGCAACAATGTCTATTGCTGGCATGACGTACTTCATTGTCCGTCGGGGATACGTTGTGTTTTCTTGGATGATAGGTAGCTTTCCCTCCTGCAGAGCAGCCATATCGGCGCTGCTTCTCGAATCTCGTGGCCTTTGCCTCGCAGCTGGGCTCCGGCTCATGCTTATGCGCCGTCTTGCGACCGTTGGCCCTTCCGGAGAAGAAGGGGCGTGTCTCTTCGCAGCGCGCTCTACACCCAGCCCTCCAAGCATGGCGCCCCACTCCAAGAGCTGAGCCTCCATCTTAGTCTTGATTTCAAGGGCATGGTCGGCTATTTTCTGTGCTCCTCGGCACTCCTCGAGTTCTCGTTCGAGCTCCAGTATGCGTCCATTGAGGGTAAGGTTGTCGGAGAGAAGTCGGCCGCATTCGCTCTCGAGTGACCGAATGCGTAATGATTGCGCCGAATTGACTCTCGCGATGTCTCGATTTTGCCGCAGGAATTTCTTCCGCACTGTTTAAAAACCAAGGGTCAGTGTGTCGGTTTGCGCGCATAAGCATGGATGCTAATGGGTATTTACGCGTTTCTATGCTATCTGTTGACATTGGTAACTCGTTCAGTCTTGCCATCTTTCATAGTTGCACATAGGGCGAGCTGTTGGAAAAGGTGATAAATGTGGTGAAAGAGAGCAACTGGGAGGCTAGAGGCGAGTGGATAGGAATGTTCTGCTGTCGAGATGTTGTACTTTGGTAAGAAGGTGGTTGGACTGGGTCCAGGACGTAAAGTGCTTGTTCCTTCGGTACTATTGGGGGGCTGGCTTTTCTGCACCAAAATGGCACCTCTGCGTTGGCCGAGCAACAGGAGTCAAGGGACCTTTTCCCACCCCACCACCATCTGATTAGCGTCTAGACTGGCGAGCGGCCTGTGCCATCATCGCGTCGCAAACCAGGGTCAGGGTCAGCGTTGTATGCGTCTCCCTGGGATAATTGGATCTGTTGACATCTGGAGCCCGTCCATCACCTACCGAATACCGTACCAAAGTGTTCACCACGAGGAATATCATCAATAGTCATGTCTTTCCCGGCAAGGTCCCTTCAACCGCACATCCGGCAAGCCTCGACGGCGGGCTCGGCGTCGTCTGCAGGGCAGTCTCCTGCGTTGGTGGCACGGGTCAACGAGAAGAAGGCCGAACTTGAGAATCTCCGCGAGTTACGCGACCTGAGTGCTGCAGTCGCGTCGCAGATGGAGGCATTGGAGCAAAAGCTGGCCACGCTATCTGACGGAACCGAAGGTATAGTCTGCAGCCTGCAGCCCGTCTGCGATGGGGGAAAAAAGATCTAAGTCTGACTGAAATCCGCAGCGATTGCTCTTGTCATGGGCAATTGGCACAACGTTCTCCGCGCGATCAACATGGCTTCCTGTTAGTTCTCTCCCTCCTTGACTTGCAACAGCAGCCAGAATGCCTGAGAACGCCAACTAATCCTTATCCATCCACAGCCAAATTGCCGAAGCCGCAGAATGATACTGAGGCGGCTGCAGCTTTGCCCCAGACTTTGGTTCGCATTCCAACAGAGCATGCACCCACATTGCAGGCTCAGGCCGAGGCCGCCGAGGAAGCAAACGAGTGAAGTCAATCCTTCGCTGCGCCTTAGTGGAACATCGGCCTCAGTCTTACCTTCAACCTCCCCGAGCAGAGTTGGCTTCATTGCTCAGCTCACAGAGCTGGACGGGAGCTTTTGGGGCGCCCAAACTTGACCCGTTTCAGCCCTTGCGGCCACACTGCACGGCAAGTCAGGTTGATACTTGAGTGCCTGTCTAGGTAGTTTTGGATCTCGGGCCGCCATGAAACCCGCTCTACGAGACCTTTTCTTGGTGGTGATGGACGATGCCATTCAAGCCAAATTTGGCTCTGGCTGCCACCACAGTAGATGCGTCCCCATTCACGGATGGTGAGAGCACTTCAACGATGCAGCTGCGGGGGCCGACACGCCAATGTCGATGGGCCTCCCCTGCCCTCGGATGCGCATTCCATGCATGGATCGGTAGATTGTCCTGACAACAGGCAGTTAGCATCTGGACTCTGAAAGGCCAGTCGTGGTATGGACCACCAGACGACCAACTCGACTGAGACTCGACTAGAGAAGGTTCAGTCTCTTGGACTCGACCGGCAGTTGTATGACAATGTATTTATCCAAACACACCCGCACGTGAACCCGGTCCATAGATATACCATACCAACCAGCCGATCCTGCCATTAAAGGACCCACCAACATGCTCCTGTCATTCCAAGGGTTTATAATACATGCAGACACGGTGCGACGGTGCCATCTCCAAGGATGGAAGGTTGGACCAATTGCACATGCAAGAACGGGCGAACCCACGCGTCAGCATCGTTCCTGCGCTACCATAGGTAGCGTTGTTTACTTTGCTACGCGTTGTCAACCGCTCTTCAGTAAGACACTTTGTGCCAAGCCTTTTCGTATCTAGATGAAGCTTCAACTCATCCACAGTTACACTTGCATGTCAGCTTTCTTGGGAACAGCATCCATCAACAAGAACACAATTCTGAACCAGCTTGTACTGCCTTTGTTAGCCCAATCATAACCCTCAAACTGCCCTCATCACCGGCGCGGCCACGTTTCCATCCCATCTACTGCCCGCCCGTCCGTGTTTTGTTCATGCACAGAGATTGCGCTGCATTAGCTTCGGCCCTTGTCTGTGCTTGCGGCACGACTCTGTCTCGTTTCTGGGGCTCCCCAAAAAAGGTCACCCCCTGTCTCGCCTGTCTCGCCGAAGGATCCAGCCGACCCTCCCCAGACGGGGATTTATTAGATGGCCCTCATGGCTGTCTCGCCCGCTGGTGGCACAGACCTCAATCTCTCTCCATCTTCAATAACCACCAACTGCAACTGCGACTCCAGCCCCGCTCATGGTGCCCTCAGCGCAAGCAAGTCGAGCAAATCAAACAAACCAAGCAAATCAAGCAAAACAGCGCGAAACACAGTTCATTGGAATCAAGACGTACTCGATTCATCCGTCAAGGAAAACGCTGATCCCGAAGTATCCCAAGGCAAACCATTGACCAACACCTTCAACAAGGGCTTCCAGTGGACCCACCAGTCCCAAGATACTCTTTTTGACCTCAGTGACAGAAAGTTTCGCGGCCATCAACAGCGTCCTCAACTGGTGGCAGAGACGTTCACTGCTCCGGAGATACTAGCCGAGTCAATTGATAGCCTCACGGCTCATAACGGTTAGTTACGCAAGTGTCTTGTTTCGTTCTACATGGCTGGCTAACTCATACTTTGCCTCAGACTCCTTTGGTGATCACGACCTGGTAAAAGCTGCCAGAGCTCTGGATCCCCAGGAGAACACCTTTGAAAAGCACAGGAAGAAGGAATTTCAATGGGTTCTGTCCCTGCCTGCATCAGTCTGCTCAGCTCTTGACCAGTCCAGCCAGTCTTTGGATAGTCAACTGGACATTGCTATCTCTTGTACCCCTGGCAAAAGTGACAGGCGGTACTTTGGCTGTAACCTTCTCACTTGGACCAAAGCAATTGGAAGAGAGGAGCAGCTGCCTGGCGACCCAGACGACAGGTACTTACTTCTGGCAACGCCCATTGATCTGACACCGGACCGCAGCAATACTACCAACCTAGAGATCAGTTCGCACCAATTTCGTGTCCTGGGACAGGATATCAGCGAGCTTGAAATGGCAGCCTCCCAAGTGATGAGCAGCCCTGCCCGCACTGCAAACAACGTGCTCGGCCGCGTTAATACCACACCTAAGAGCGCGACTTGGTCCACTGCTGCCGACATGTCAGAGGACAGCGACAACACCCTCACGATCGAACCACCCCGGCGCGTTATGACTTCACCCATGAGCACGATTGAAGATTCTTTGGAAGAAATTGACCAGCTCGAGGACGAATTCGAGGCTCTGGCGGCAGCCACGCGTGTGGCCCAGATCTCAAACACCGGAGGCAAGAAATCTAGCAGTCACGTTGCGAACTACTCACCTTCCCCGAAGTCCGCATCGAAGCCAACTACCACCGCCAGCAAGGCTACTTCCAAGGCAGCCAGCTCTGTGCGAGGCAAGCTAAGCGAGTCATCGCCCCGTAGCTCAACGCCCAGAAACTCGTCTCTCAAGGCTGAGCCAGAGGCCGAGAAGAAGCCGAACCTTGCGACTACCACCAGGAAAGTGGCTCGACCAGCCAGTCTGGCCCCACCAAAGCCCTTGCAGCGGGCCACCAAGACCCCGACTCTTCCTACCTTTGAGCTACCTGGCGAAAGGGTCGCCCGAGAGCTGAAAGAGAAGAAGGCAGCCCGCTTGTCCATGCAGGTCGACCCTCAGAAGCTTACGGATGTCAAGGCTTCATCCCAGCGGCCAGCTTCTTTTCGGTCTAGCAAGCCACCCACGGTTCCTGACTTTGAACTCCCTGGTGAAAGGGTCGCCAGAGAGCTGAAAGAGAAGAAGGCAGCCCGCTTGTCCATGCAGCTCGACCCTCAAAAGCTTACCGAATCGAGCCCCCCGCCTCAACGGATCCGTTCCGTGAGGTCCAGCAAGCCACCAACGGTGCCTAATTTTGAGCTGCCGGGTGAGTCGTACTCGCGCATGAAGAAGGAGCGGCTCGCAGCGAAGCTCAAGGCCGAAGAGGAAGAGGTCCGTCAGCGACGCCAGTTCAAGGCTCGGCCACCACCTAGCAGTGTGGGCGCTCCCGCAAATGTGCGCTCGACCTTTACTAGCCGTCAGCGTGAGTCCCAGGGTGGTCCGCCGGACCAACAGAGCACATTCTCCCCATTGGGCTCGTCACCGAGGTCTGGGGCAGCCAAACGACAGTCAGTCACGATGTCACCGTCGGTGGCCCGGACAGTTAGCAACGCGTCCGCCACCACTGCACAGACAAACCGCGGCCGCACCTCCAGCGTCGGATCATCCCACTTTAGCGCGCGCGCGACTTCCTCCTCCAACGCTAGTATCGTGTCAGCAAGCAAGCGTAGCCAGGTATCCACAGAGGAGATCGAGGAGCAGAAGGCCCGCGGCAGGGAGATCTACACGCGGGACAACTCGTTTGGCCAGGACAAGGAGCGGGAGAAACGTGAGCGCCAGCAGGCGGTGCAGCTGGCGCGACAGAAGTACGCCGAGCAGAGCCGCATGCTGGCCGCGAGCAAGCGCATGAAGCAGCAGTCGTCGACTGTTTCCAAGGCGGGCGGTGACTAGGAGGGCGAGCCTGCGACGCCTGTGACAGCCGGGGTTGGTGTGCCCCCTCGGGTGCCAGTGCACAGGGAGCTGTATGGCATGACGATGGAGAACTGTGTTGGGTAGTTGATTGATTGATGAGTTGATGATTTGACGAGTTGGCGTTTTGTCATTTGTACTGCCTTTGTAGGTGTTGAAACACCTGCTATGCGGCTTATGGGTTGTTTTGCACATTTTGTGCCCGGCGTTTACTGGGTGTTGAGCTACGCTCTGGCGGGATGGAGCAAATGTATGCTTAGCACCACCTTTCCGATGTTGCGAGACTTGGGCTAGTCCATTTGCTTGGGCGCGGTGGATGGGCTGCTATGTGGAGCTTGAGCAATGTGTATAGTATAGTTATGTGGACGGTTTGGCAAATCCGGGGCCGATGGGCAAGGCTACGCTGGCATGAGAACAACGGCGAGCATGGTCGTGTATAGACGCAAATGATGGCGTGCTGTAGGATAGTTGATTACGATCAGCACTAGAGACGGCTTCGAGGCTGTCAATAGAGGTATCAAGACACCAAATTACCTGCATCTCTTGCCTGCATGAGACGTGGTGATACATGCGGTAAGAAAGGAAGAACTATGTGCCCGTATTACTTGCTCGCTGACCAGGGTCTGGCTAACAAATTACCGAGGATGGAGACATTAAAGGGCCGAGATGTGTATCTTCCTTGTCTCCTCTGTCACCTAATACTTCAGCAGCAGTAGATAATAGCATTACCTGAACCGCCATGGCGCCTAGCTCGGTCGTCGAGGCCTCGCTCCGTGGGCGAATTGGGTTTGGGGAGATGTACCAAGGCGACCCTTGGGAGACAATAATCCGCGCCGAGGTTCGGCAGCTACTTCTAGCAATGCGCCGTGTCCATATCCCAACCCTCATCCTCATCATCGGCGTATGCGTGCTCTGCCTCATCGCATCCACACGGCAGCAACGCATCTCGCTCTCTTCGACCTGGATCCTACGGCGTCGACGTCGGCGCCACTGGTCCTCCTGGGATCTGTCTCGAAGCAGCAAAGGCGCGGCTGGCCCGGACTGCCTCCCTACCACCTCAGTCCGTGACACCTCGGGTGACCTGGCAGTAGACATGGCCAGAGAGGAGAAGAAAAAGAAGCCCGGCTCGGAGAACCGGAACCCACTCCGGCCGCAGGCTCGCAGGCCAACGCCGCACGAGGGGCCATCCGCCACCGCGTACCTCGCCCAGGGCCGCTACACGGGCGTGCTCCTGCCGGCGAGCAGCACCGTGCCGCGCGCCGTGGAGGCATGGCGCGGCATCCCCTTCGCCCAGACGACAGGCGGCCAGAACCGCTTCCGGCCACCTGTGCCGCTGGACCTGTCCGCCTCGTCAGCGGCCGACGCCCACGACGCCAGCGTCTTCGGGCCCGTGTGCCCCGGCACCGCGTCCCGCATCCCGGGCATGCTTGACGGTGAGAACTGCCTCAACCTAAATGTGTACCGCCCGGCGTCGTACGACCCGGGCCGGGGCCACGCCGCCATGCCCGTCGTGGTCTACGTCCACGGCGGCGCCTTCAACGGCGGCCTGGGCACGGAGCGCGACATGAGCAGTTTCGTGGGCTGGTCTGAGACGCCCATCGTCGGCGTCAACTTCAACTACCGCGTCGGGGCGCTGGGGTTCCCCAGCTCGAGTGTCGCGGAGCAGGAAGGGGCGCTGAACCTGGGGCTAAGGGATCAGAGGCTGTTGTTTGAGTGGGTGAGGCAGAATATTGGCCACTTTGGGGGTGATGCGTCTCGCGTCACGCTCATGGGAATGAGTGCTGGGGCGCATTCGGTGAGTCTTCCTGTCGTGGGCTTCTGTCAGGTTCAAAAACAGTCGTCGTGATTTTCCTTCATATTACCATCGTCTATTAAAGCTGGGCCGGTGGATAGCATTTCTATTCTCCTTTGCTTGCCAGGGCTTCAGCCACATATATTGACACAGGTCCAGATCGGCTACCACCTACAATCATATACATCCCAGGATGCCGCCCCCTTCCACGGCGCAATAATGGAATCCGGAGGTGCAACCGCACGTGCGACCCTATCTCCATCTCATCCGCGGACAGAAGAACAGTTCGCCGAGTTCCTTCGTGCGGCAGGAATCGAACCAACCCAAACTCGCGCGGATCAAATCTTCCCCTTGCTGCGGTCCCTGCCACTGGAAACAATCCTCTACGCATCCAGCACCGTCTTTTCGCGGTACCAGGACCCGATCCGGTGGCCCTTCCAGCCCGTCATTGAGTCCCCCGGCGCCCAGGACGGCGCGGTCACCGACCTCCCCATCAATCACTTCCGCCGCGGGAGCCACCTCAAGATCCCCGTGCTGGCGGGCTTCAACACCAACGAGGGAACCGTGTTCGCCTCGCCGCGAGTCGATACGGGCGACGAGTTCCTCGGCAAGTTCGCCACCATGATCCCCGGCCTCAGCGGCGCCGACCTCTCCGCGCTGGCCAAGCTGTACCCGGACCCCGTCACCAACCCCACGAGCCCGTACGCGAATGTGCCACCCGGCTTCGGCCGCCAGTGGGCGCGCTACGAGGCCGCCTACTCGCATTATGCTTACGTCTGCCCTGTGCTCCAGACTGGACATTTCCACAGTGATCACGAGGAGAGTGACGGCGGTGGAGACGACTACCCTGTGTGGATCGTAAGTAGCATCCAGATATACCCTTGCCGGTTCTGTGTAGCCTTAGTGCTGTTTTCAGTTCTTGTTCGGAGCGGCCAGGCCCCACGCACAAACCAGACAGCACTCTCTCCCCTTTGATCATCCCCTCTGTAACAGAGATAAAACTAACTTGAGATACCTCAGTACCATTTCGCCGCCCTGTCACGCCCCGACTTCGGAGGCAAGGCCAACCACGTGGATGAGGCCGCCCTGGTCGCGCACGACATGGGCGCCATCGGCAACTTCCCGGGCCTGGTGAGGACGGCAGACGCCATGCACGGGGCGTGGACGCGCTTCATCGCCACGGGGGACCCGAACCCCGCGCACATCGACGACGAGGCAGGCCAGAAGGACAACTCTTATTCTCCCTCCTCTACCTCCTCGACGCCCTTCTGGCCGCGCTTCAGCAGCCCCTTCGTGGGCGACACGGCCCGGGCGCCCGGCCGGCTGCGGCGCAAGGGCCGGGCGGGCGGCGAGGAGTGCGGGCGCGTGATGATGTTCGGGCTGGGCAACGACGAGCGCATGGGCGGCGCTGGGAGGGGAACGCCCGGCGTGCCGGCGACGGTCGTCCGGATGACCGAGGCCGAGGTCGAGAAGTGTAGGTTCTGGTGGGAGCGGGTCGAGCTGAGCGAGGGCATGGGCGGCAGGCTGGCAAGAGGCGCCGCGAGGTCGAGGCTGTGATCGCGTGTGTTGCCGGTCCATGTGCTGCCTGGCCTTTCACATGTTCGGCTGATAGATAGAGGATATTAGAGTGCAGACCCCTCCAGGTTTGGGTCGAGGATCTTGTGTACAAGGGCAAGTGTGCATCGTTGTATCACAAATATTTAAACCACCATTGACAATAGCTTTGACAATGTCCCGGAAGGTAACATCTTTGTCGCCAGTCATCAGACGAGCAGCAGTAACGCGTCTCCATGTGGTCCTTGAGGAGATGCCAGTGCTCTGGAAGATTCAACACGATTGCCAATGATTCAGCATCACTTCAAATCAGGATGTGCATTGCTCGCCCGGGCTGAGGCTAGATCGGTCTTCCGTTGGCCCTCAACATACGATGGCCGCCACATATTGACCCAGATGCAAGTCGGTAAAACCAATATATATGGTACTAACCTCATGGCTAGCTAAGCTCCGACCACACTCCGTATCGGAGTTCCAAAGCAGTCAAGCGATGTCCCCGCCCGTCATGTGTTCTACTAGAGCATCAACAGCTAGAAACATAGGTATGTACAACCATTTCCCTCAAAGCACGTCTCATGGCCTCCATATTGTACAACATCGTGGTTGTTCCCCCCTTCGAGACTTCCAGCCACATTATGCGAGCGAATCCTCTAGATGTTTCCGAAATCACCAAATCTCAACCCGCCACATCAACCGCCTGTTGATGATTTTCTTCCTCAAGTCCAGTGACCCTTTCTTCCGAACTACTCCGCTTTTGTTTTCGAAAGCTCGTTCGTCGGGGATACCGTCTCCAAACATGGGGTGGTACATGTGTGCGTAGGTTGTCAGATTCGGATGCGTGTATTGTGCTTTGCAAGATGGTTTCGAGCTCGATCATTATGATTGCATGCAATCAGAGAAGTAATTTGTAACAACAAAAGAGAAATTTTGCCGTAGAACACCAACAAACGCCGCCGGTAGTGATGGTGATGATATTTTGTCCGAACGCCAAAGGATGGAATTAAAGCCAGTATTGGATAGACACGTCCGGAAGTTTTGGTAGAAGGGTATCTCTATCGTAAGAGCTCATGCCTGGTAGCTGTGCAACCGTCTCCTGTGCACGGCTCAATGCGCAACATAACCGATCCAGAAAGTGGCGCCGCATGTCATCTTAGAAGTTTTGTGAGATGCCGGCGCTCTGGTTCTGTGGGAAATGCGAGGGGTTCTCGATGCGCGTATTCCGTCGTGCCGGGTTATCCCTAATAACAGGCTGGCCACCAGGTGGGCTGTTGTATGCGCCATTTTCGGTGTAAGGATCGTATTGTGCGTAGTACTGGTCTCCGCCATAGGCCTGACCGATCTCTCCTGATCCGTCCGAGGGTGCACCAGCACTGTAAGACGAGGACGCATTGGATGGGCCACGGCGGACGTTGCCTCCCCGATTGTTAGCCGTGGACGGGCCCATAGCACCGAGTATCTCGCCTTCGGGGGAGTGAGCCCCATCCTGCATCAGAGGCTCGCCAGGGTGAGTGGCGCGCGTGGGCGAAGCACCGTCAGAGTAATGATGGTCCGAATATGGGGTGTCCGAGACCATGCCCCCAGACATAGTCGTCGAGGCCTTACGGCCTGTCGAACCGCCGCCCAGAGTTGTTGATCCCCATCCGCGGTATCCGGACGAGGAGTCCTCTTTCATTTCGTATCCACCGCCACCACCAGAGCCAGGAATCGTAGGGTCTGCGTTCGGGTTGTAGGTGTAGTCCTCAACTTCCTTGCGTCGCTCTTCCGCCGCCTCCTTGCGTGCCTTGCGCTTCCTCCACAACCAAATGCCCAGAGCAACCAGAATTGCCACAGCAGCGATAGGAACAACTACCGCAACGGCGATGGTCCCACCGGTGCCTATGCCACTACTGGAGTTAGAATCACTGGTCTGTATCGATCCAGCACTGGTCGTAGACGCAGAGTCCGCTGTAGCGCTTGGAGTGTTGACAATGGTCTTCGTAATAATCTGAGTACTCGTTGTTCCATCAGAAACTATCACGGAGGAAGAGACCGAAGTTTGTGTGGTCGGGGTTGGAGTTGCCGTTGTAGATGTTGTCGGAGAAGTAGTTTCAGACGAGACCGAAGTGGCTGATGTGGTCTCTGCAGTTGTTGCAGTGGTCGTCGGCTCTGTTGCTGTTGTCGCTGTTGTTGCAGGAGCCGAGGTAGTTGTTTCTGAAGTAGTAAGAGTAGTAGGTGGGTTAGACGCTGTTGTTGCAGTTGTCGTCTCTGGAGTGCTGGAGGTTGTGGTGGTCTCCGGGGCTATTGACGTGGAGGTAGTGTCAGCAGAAGTACTTGTCAGTGTATCGGCTGCGGTGCTAGTCGGCGCTGTGGACGCCGACGCAGCAGCCGACGAAACTGTCGCAGCAGTATCACCCGTACTTAGGGAGGTGGCATTGGTGTTGCTCGCCGACATGATTAGAGGCTTGAATGTCCACTGGGTGGACGTAGGCCTAACGGTGGGAGCCATGTTAGCGGTGCTGCAACAACAAAGATTGCACGAGACATCTTGAGATTCAGCGCTCGAAGGCAAATGGAAAGAAAACAAGGTGAAGGAAGCAAATAAGGCAACAAGACGTTGCAGATCGACACAAAACAGTCAATGGGCGTGCGCGATGATACAGATTGTTTGGGTGACGCGAAGGGTACACATGTGAAGCAGAGAAGCGCGAGTGACAGCGCATTGCCGGGGTAGATCAGTGAGCGTACCTGAATGAATGGGTTTGTCAAGAGTTCACTGCAGCGAGTCGACACGATTGATGCAGGTCCCAGGTGAGACGTGGAGCCGGAGGAAACTGGGGACTCGTTGTGGACGTGCGATGGTTTGCAGTGCGTCTCGCCGTGGTGGATGTGCAGCAGAAAGGGGGCGGTTGGACGCCGCAAAAAGAAAACTGCTGGTTGTGGCGGGACGAGAGAGTTGGGCGTCAAACAATGGCCGGCCACGCAAGATGGTCGGAGAGCCAGTCAATCTGAGCTGGGCGGCTGAAGAGACGAGATAGACGCCCCAACCCCAGTGCCCCGAGGAGAAAGCCTGCAGGGGCGGAGATGATGGTCCAGAGCTTGTTCCTGTCCTGTTGACTCGGGGGTCGCGGGACGCGGGTCTCGGGACTGGAATGCTTTGATCGAAAGGCCCAAAGTTGACGCGACTCTCTGTCGAAGCAGTATATGCAGTCGAAGTTGAGACGAGACGGGGGAGAGGAATGGAAGAAAGCTCCAAGGACCAGGGGAACACGAGGAATTTGATGGGCTTATTAGAGGGCGTGGCAGTAGTGCCGGGTAGACGAGACAGAGACCGTCTGGTGGCCGGCTAAGCAGACGGCGGGCTTGCCTGGCTTGGGCTGCTTGGGTGCTTGGTGGCTTGGTGCCGATGCGTGTGGTGTGGTGTACCAGTGAGCCAGTGAGCCAGTGAGCCAGTCAACCAGTGAGCCAGTCAACCAGTCTGCCAATGTGGGTGTGGTGTGGCAGTTGGAGTCCTCGGGATTATTGCTCCTCCTCCTTCTGCAGTGGCAATCAATCAGCAGCGCAACTCTCCAATTGCGAGCGAGGATGCTGGTCTCGACTGCAGGGCAGGATCCTGATTGATTTGTTGGGGGTCGGAGAAGGATGTTGCTTGTTTGCCCCCGGAGTCGCTTTTCTCTTCTTTTCTGGCCCAGCAGTCGACTGCCCACTGCCAGATGCCAATTGCCAGATGTCAAATTTCCCAAAATGTCCGAAGTGATTGACGGGTGAAGTTTGACGGTCAGTCAAGACTGTTTGGCGAGAGTGAAAGTGGCTTGGGCACTCTTTTTGGCAACCTCTGGAACGTCTGGGAGCGTCTGGGAAGTTGGACCAGCGGAGCCAAGATGAGGTCAGGTCCAGAAGGGCAGGGTAGGGCAGGGAAGGCAGTGCAGCTAGCTGGGAGCTGGTGGGCGCGGCGTCAGTCCCTTTTCGACGTCTTGGGACTCGAGACGAGACGGGACCTGGTAGTCTAGGAAGGGGAGGAGGGCCAGGATTGGGGAGGTAGTCAGGGAGACAGACAGAGCCGGGCAGGCCCGGTAGGCCTAGCAGGCCAGGAGAGGATGAGTGCTCTAGCGTGCGTCGTATCGGGACTGCTAGCGAGCGGCTCTGAGTGGCGGAATCCCTCAAGCCCCCGGTCCTCGTTTCCCTTCTTTTCTCGCTTTTTCTTACAGTACTTGCCGTAGCTCCGTCTCACTGTGAAGGCACAGAGCCAGAGGAGAGGAGCAGAGCAGCAAAGCAGGCAGAGCTGGCAGAGCTGGCCCGCGGCTGTCTGTGTCGGTCGGCCCTTTGCTCCGTCTTTCTTGTCGGATCGGCAATGACGGCGCCAAACCCACGGACGGGGCCTTCTCCACCTCCTCGTGTCTGCACCGCCGATCTTTGCGTTGTTGCCGCTGTTGTCGACGACGATGCTCTTGCTCTTCCTGCTCGCAATGATGGCCAGGGCTGAGCTAGTAAGAAAAATCTTTAGCTCTGCGTTTTCGAGCCAGGAACGGTAGGAACAGAAGAGGCACCAGATTGCTGAGGGTCGACTGGCTGATTCATGTGCTGATGGATGCCTTGTTCCTCAATCTCGCAGGTGGAGCTCTCACATTTGCAAGTCTCTGGGCCTGGCTTGTAAAGTGACGATCCTACTGCTTCCGGTCTGCCTTCTGCTCGATAACAACTTTGGTCGGCACTACCCCTCCCGAAGCCACGGCTTTTGGCGTCGTTGTTGTTGTGTCTCGTTGTTTTGGTCCTGGTGTGCCCACTTGATCGACCGCACTGATGTCCTGAACACGGTAAGGCCGTCGGCTCCGTTGACTAGCTGACACCAAGGTTCGCCGGCTGCAGAAACGAAGTGTGAGGCGAAGCTCAAGAGCTTTTCCTGCTAGGCTCGCCAATTGAGTTTCCTGTTTCTATTTGCGTCCTGGGAGCAATCTCATGGTTGGCAGGCCAGTCGGTAGCCCTTTCGTCGATCAGCCAGAGGCCCTCTTTTTGTTTGCTGGTCTCCACCTCTTGGAGGACGTCAGATGAGCGGATGTGTTCATCTACCGTGCAATGAGAACGGTGCACTTCCAGACTGCCGGATTGCGACTGCCCTGTTCGATCTGTCGATTCGGCCCGTGGGCGGCTGGGCAATCACTGGTGGATTCTCGATGCTGTCTGTGGTCGGATGCTTCGCTTTTGCTTGTATTAATCCACGTCGGCGGGGCTCGACGGACACGTGTGGTCCTGATACAGACGTTGTCGAGACCGTCAAGAATTAATTATGAAGACCCATCGAGGGGGTCTTGTATGCATGTCAAGCCCATGTCTGCCTATATAGTGACGACGCCTAAGCTTCGGCCGAGACGCTTCATACGCATGAGAAACATCATGCACTGCTACCAGCAAGGCAGGCTCGATGCACAGTCTAGAGACAATAGGGCACCCCGCCCTCACAGGCATGAACGATCCCACTTTGTGGCTACATGGTGTTCCGGCCCCTCCAATACACCGACCATCATCGCATATGGATGTTCATTGGAGGACGAGGTTATTCATCATGGCATGGCATCTGTAAGCGATGAGCATACTCCATGCCAGTCTCAGCCCACAAGAAGCTGCAAACCTGCCTGCACGTGCAGACCGCCCCTGGCCTCACATACGATGGTTCAGCCTCTGAAATGGCAACGTGGGACACCACCACGGCAAGCACGCATTCCTGGGGGCGAAGGTGGGATGAAAAGCTACTCCATCGCGCAGAAAACCATGTGCTGTTCGCTGCTTACTGCAGACCGTACTACCATGAATAGTCAGCCTCTCGAGACATATGCCACCTCACAAGCTTCACACCGAGCTTTCAGCCCCTCAGCCGGCTCCTTTCTGTCATCGACTAGCCCAACACGGTGACATACGTAGAAGCGCCGAAGGTGAGGAATCAACAAGTCAAAATGACGTTTCGCATTATCTCATCTAAGGCCAGAAATCTGGGTCGGTCTTCCAAGTAATTCACCACCATTAACACCCGGCCTATATAGCCCCGTTCACGTCATAATCCCCAGGTTCAGGGCCGGGATTGATCGCCGATGGCTGGGCCAGGGGGGCACCCTGTGGGCCGGTCAAGGTCCAGAAGGAGACCTGCCTACATAGGCATATTGTTTCCAATTTCTCATCCGACATCATATTGCGACAGTAGACGGGTTCTAGGACAACAAATAGTTATCAAGAGGGAGCGACTCGACGGCGATCCCAAGGCTCGCTCGCCCACACATACATAGGGCTAGAGTGCTAGGTCCAAAGGGGGGAAAGCCATCGGATGGGGCGTTGGCATTCGGCTGGTTGCCTCACTAAGTGAAACAGAGTTTTGATGGCTGGTCTAGTAAGCTTGTGGTAACGTGTCATTCGGTGTTGAAGAGGGGAGCGCACAGATTCGAAGTGGCTTGTCGCCGCCCAGTCAGGGTGTGTTGCACGCTGGGTGGCTGCAATCAGTGGGCTCGAAAGAGCCGAGGGCTTCTGACAATTGACATGTTGTTGACCAACCGACCGTGGCCAGCCTGTAGATCTTCAGAGGGTACGAGTGGATCGAGGGATAAGACACCTTGGGTCTCTTTAGATGTCTTTTCTACCATTGTTAAGAATTATATAAAACACAGGAATTTCCTAGATACACTCCTCTATAGATGCAATTCGTGCCAGGTAAGGCCAGCTAGGCCATGACGGGGATCCGACCACCTCTACCGCGAAAGGCAGCAGCAGACATTAACCACTATGATGTTGGTAGGGTATTTGTCGCGTCGTTGGGAAAGCCCTCGCAAGAAGATATCGAAGAAAATTTCAATCCAAATCATCAACTCCGCTGAACCTGGGCCAGTTTATATGGTCTGGCCCCATGCTTTGATTCGCCATTGCTGCCAGTTCGCCACGCCTGAAACACCTAGTTCTGTTGTCAAATACTTTATATGTCTCCCTCAGATTCTAGGTTGTGCAATATGTACAATCAACCGTCCGTAGGGGGAGGAATAGCCTCTTTAAGACTGCTTCTTCGTGTCCACGCCACCTATGTTCCACGTCGGCTTCAGCGAGTCCAACGCTGCGTCTGAGGTGAAGATGACGTCTCCGGGCAGACGGCTGACACGGCCGGCACCACTGCGCATGGCATAGCTGGCTGCTTGCGACACACCGCTGCGGTTGGATCGGATGGAGCCTGCGTCACTCATCGAGTCGGGATCCTTGAACTTGCGTGGGGGAGCGAAGTCAAGGCCAGTGAAGGTGCTGGACTTCCGCAGGACGTGACTATTTCGGGGTCTGTTAGTGTCTTGTGTGCTTCATTCAGGGGAGTTCGATACTCACGGGCTGGGGAGAGCGGCCATCTCGTCAAAAGTGGTTACTAGTGGAGAGGCAATGGGAACCTTGGGCGCGTATTGGCGACGCTCGCCGAGAGGGCTTTGGGACCGCCCGGCGGCGCGGTCGCTGAAGCTCTCTGGAGGAGCGAAGTCGGCAGCATTGATGAGGGAGAAGTGGTCATCTGTGAGCTTGGACGGGGTAGGCAAGGTGTTCAGGGCAGCCGGCGGTGGCATGGGCTTGCGGGGCCTTCCGGACATGGCAGACCCAGAGCGAGGAGCGCGGGCAGATGCGGACGAGTCAGGTCGTGGCCCAAAAGACATGGCCGAACCCGCACGTGGCATGCTCATGCCGCTGATGGAGCCCGCGTGGCCCCGGCCACGGAATGGTCCTCCGGGTCCGGGCGGGCCCCTTGACGCAGGGCCGCGAGGACCTGGCCCACGCGGGCCGGGGAAGCGGGATCCAGATGGAGGAGGCGTCATCGCACGACGGCCAACAGGCTGGGCGTAGGGCATGATGAATTGGTTGGAATCAGGGTCGAAATAGGCGCCATCACCCAGTTGATTTCCACCAGCTGGGGCGTACTGTGTTTGCCTGTTGGGGTCCTTTTCCTCAAAGTATTCCTTGTAGAAGGATCGGATACGATTAGCCCTGGTCTCCGGATCCTCAGACTCTATCACCTCATCTGGCGGCAGAGGCCGGAATCCAATGGACAGGCGGTTGCTGTTCTGCACCGGAACTGCAAGAGCACTTTCACGGACACGAGAACGTCCGCGTTGGTCATCTTCCTGTGGCTCCTCGATCGCCGGGGGGAAGCTGTAGTCTGCGTAATCCTCGGTGTACTCGATTGCGGCAGAGACACTTTGGTGACCAGGACCAGCATTGACAGCAACTTCGGCGAATGGAGAGCTTTGCTTGGGGGCTTGTGGACCGTCCAACACACCGAGACCGATGCTGCTGTTGGTGGTAGACCGTATCGCCAGCTCATCAACTGATTCCTTGCTTGTGTGGTTGGAGAAGGAGAAGTCGGGCATGTTCAGTTCCTTCACAGGCTCAGGCGCACCCCTCTGTGCCACTGGAGCAGGTTGCTGGATTTCAGGAATGACAGGAGGCAGGGTGGAAGCATCATGATGCGGCATAGGCTCATGTTCTGGGACGGTTGGTTCCTTCCCAGGGACCGATGGCACAAATTCGGAGGCCGGAGACTCAACAGCGGTCACTGAAGATGAAGCACTGGGGGTCAAGGGAGACGGGGACTTGGGGTATGAGTTCTGTCGCAGAGGAGTAGGCTGTGGGTAGCCAGGCGACTTCGGGTACGCGTAGGACTGACGAGATACGCGCTTTGTTGAGGTTGTGGTCATCGAAGGCGTGTACCTGCCAGACTTTTCGAAGGAGCGGATAGAGCCTGTCTCGCTCATGTAGGTAGCGATCGGTCGGTATGGGTCATCCGGTTGGTGGAGCGTCTTGGCGAGAGAGCTCATCGACTCTCGAGAGCCTTGGACATGCTCCGGCAGCAGGTACGGGCTCGACAGGTTCATGTCCAGAGACAGACCACGGGTCTTCTTCGACTTCTCACCACCAAGACCCAGAGCACTCTTGCGCTTCGACTTGGAACTTCCCGCATCTCCCACACCGAAGTCCAATGATTTGTGAGCCTCGTTGGCATCCTCCAATGCTTGGCGCCTTACATTTCTGCGGTGGAAGTAGAAGAGAACGCACGCAAACGCTACCACCACTGGAACCCTATATCACTATCAGCATGCCATACCTGCCAAGCCACCGTGGTTCGAATGCACTCACAAGACACCGACAGTGATCTGCGTCGGCACAGTCATGTTGGTGGGCTTCTCGCAAGTATTAGATGATGTGCTGGAGCTGCAGTCCGAGGAGCCTGACGATCGGCCGACTACGCGGCTGGGGACGACATTCCAAGCTCTTTCCACGGTCTCCTGTTCATCGAGCCTCCTTCGCAGAGGGACCCTAGGCCCCATATGATGGGCGATGTTCATTCCATCCATGTTTCCGCTTTAGACGCAACCAGGTCTGAAGATTAAGCAGTATCGATTGGCCGGATTGCCTGGTTGAATGCCGAGTTCACACACAAAAGAAGATTCACAATTCTAACAGAACTCGATCGGTCCTATAGAAAATATCAAGGCTTTGTCGTCGAGATCGTGAATCCGGTATAGCGGCGAGGGAGTTTTGACCTGGAAGGAGAGGATAATTTGGCTTGCAGGATAAGGAATGAGGCAATTGACAAACTCCAAATGCTTTAGCTTCGAGAATGAGCGGCTGTTCCAAAAAGATAGAACGACTATGTAAAATGAGTGACTTAAGGATGAGGTCCGGTTGTAACGAATGTATCACCTGCTGGCAGGCTTGCGGAGGCGAGGACAACGACTATCAGATTGTTGCAAGCATCGAAGTCCTCTCGGTGAAGCTTCACGCCAAGGCAGGTAGGTGGTGAGAAGAGGAGTGGGATCCTGATGAGGAACATGAAAGAGAGACAAAACAGTGATCGACCCGGCGGCAGAAGAGGAAGCGGCTCAAAGAAGAGCGGCCCAGGCCCAGCACCAATACCAACATCCACCGGCAGCACCCAAGATAGAGCGGGTCGGGGAAATGAGAAGGAGACCGGGGGACGGGGGCTCTGAGGAATCGTCAAATGTTCATCCAATCTGTACCAGGGCCCCCTGAGTGTTTGCGGGACGGGCAAATCAGAGAGCTCTTGTGCCTTGCATCCCAGGGACAGGGGCGTGCGGAGCTGAGCCAAACATCTGCACAAGTGCTGCACAAGTCAATGAAACGCACAATTGCGAGCGTTTAATCTCGCCTGTAGATTAGCGTCGGTGCTGTCCTTGCCGCAGGGGACATCACCGAACCCATCCACTTCCAATAAAATCCCAAGTGGGCTCCCGAAATTAGTGGATCGGCATCTCTCAGGGGTTGTACCTGGGAGAAGGGCTGACGCTCTTTATCACATCAGCTGGAGAAGCAGCAGCTGTCCCTGCAGGAGGCTTACAGTCCGTCCATCCCAGCAGTTGAGCCGTTGGAGCCAGAACGCCAGAGAAGCCTTTATCGCCTGTTGTCTCTGTCGAACCCGACCATTGGGAGACTATGAGGCCTGCTGCTTGGCCATGCATGTGAGTGGTGTAGCCAGGGCAAGGCAATTGCTTCTTTTCAATTAAGGGGCCAATCACGCCGATCTCTCGACCGCAAAGCTTTTTTCGGCCGAGTCAGAAGCTCCTGGCAGCCTGGTTTGCCCAGCACCGCGGGTGGTAACTCTTCGGCGCACGCCTGCTTGCGGCAGCGGGCTGGTGAAGAACCCATGGAACACAACCTGGGTCCAGGCCCAGTGCAACTGCCCACCGGCAGTGTAAACAGGGCCATCGTCAGGGGCAGCGTTCGAGATCCAAGCTTGCGGTGATTTCTGCACAATAGGGAGCCTGTGGGGCAAGTCGAACCAAAAGAGTGACGGAGTGAGAACCGTATTCGCAGGTGGCTCGTGTAACGTGGTGAAGGGAAGATCCAGGCTGCCAGGTACCTTCCCGGCTACACAAATTAGCCTCACATTTGCGCCTTATCGAAGCTTGCTTGTTATTGGGTCCTCGGCATTATAGCTGACCTCCCTCCATATAGATATGTTTTTCCTAGCTGCAACGCAACCTGCATTGGTAGAGGACCAGAGCGTGCTGAGCAATGTGGGTGTGCTTTCGTTATGCAAGGACGTGACCCGCTTGTCACCTCGCTAGATTAGGAGTCCGTTGAGCTCATCTGGTCGTCGACTTTTCGCGGTCTAGAAGCATATGGACTTGACCATGGTCGCAGAGCGAACAATTCATTTATCGGTGATTTGCAAAATCACGCTTTAAGCTGGTAGAAGTTCGGTGCGTACTCAAGCAGCCAACCCTTCTCTATCTTACAAACATCTCGGATGAAAGTTTTGTTCGCCGTTTCCATGACCTCGGTGAAAATGACCCAATCAGCTTTGCGGTTGAACATCACGCTGCTGGGATGGGCATGAAGGACTATTCCACCATCGATGGTGCTGAAAGTACCATCCGGAAGCATTCTCGCCGCCTGGGAAAAGTACCCTGTGGTCAGGCAGCGTCTTATTTGCTCGGCCTTTTTCACTGGATCGTTGCCCGGGTTTTGATTGACGGCGAGCGACTCTTCGATATTGATGCCGAATCGCTCAAGATATCGTTTCAACTGGGCTCTTATACTGACTGCACGCGTCATAGCCTTGAAGTTGAGATTGTGGTCATGGCAGAAACGACCCTCCTTTCGTCCTGTGCTCACAAAAGCTTGGTATGCATTTAATAGAGTGAGGTGATCACCCTCATCTGCTGCAAACTTCCGCCTTGAGCTTTCTAGCTCCTTCAGCTGGCCATCATTTTGAACCCATACACTGCCTCCAACACTCATCATGGCTGCTATTGTCAAAATCTCGCTGACACATCCGAAACTAGCGGCAGAGAGCAAGGTTTTGGCCATCATTGGCTCCACTGCCAGTTCTGCCATTCGCATCCCTAGCGGTTTCGTTAACTTGCAATAGTCGTCCAAGGCACCAAGCGAATAGAGTAACTCGAGGGCCCTGGACATCAGCTCAGCTGGAGGTGGTGTCAAAAAGTCGAATCGTAGAAAATTGGCAATTCCTAGAGCCCCCAGCTGCAGTATGAAAGGCGCGAGGTTTGATCTCTGAATTTCTGGTATGTTGGCATCGGGCATGTTTTTGTACGATTCTTCCTTGTACAGTCGGTAGCACTTCCCAGGTCTTGTTCGGCCTGCTCGCCCTGCTCTCTGCGCTGCTGCTGCTTTGGAGGTTGGAACTGCAGTCAGGGTTTCAATGCCGGACTGGGGGTTGTAAGCACGCTGCTTGACAAAGCCACAATCCACAACGTAAGTGACGCTGTCGATCGTGACCGAGGCTTCAGCGATATTGGTCGAGAATATGACCTTTCTCGTATTTTCTGGTGCCTGCTCAAAAACATACATTTGCTGGTCCGTTGAGAGCCCGGCGTATAGTGGGAGTGGCAGCAAGACTTGCAAGGCTGGGTCAGACTGTGCGGAGCGCTCTGCGACTGCGTTGATTGCAAATTCGATCTCGTCTCTTCCTGTGAGAAAGACAAGAATGTCACCTTTTGGTTCCTTGGCATGGATTTCGAGCACTGTCCCAATGGCCTTTTCAACGTAATCTTCAGCAGGTGATTCCAGGTAGAGTATATCGATGGGATACGTCCGCCCCTCAATGCTGATGATCGCACCTGTGACCTGGGATTGATCCTGTGTGTTCGTCTCACCACGCCTGGTGAAGAAATCTAGGAACTCTTCAGCTTGAAGAGTGGCACTGCTTATTATGATCCTCAACCCTGGGCGTCGCTTGAGAATCTTGTTGAGCAACCCTAGAAGAAAATCGGTGCTAACGGACCGTTCGTGGGCCTCATCGACCATTATGACTGAGTAACGAGACAACAGGGGGTCAACGAGGGCCTCCCGAATGAGAATTCCATCTGTCAGAAATTTTATGCGTGTCGCAGCCGATGAAACATCATCGAAGCGGATGGAGTATCCCACCTCTTTACCCAGCTCAGTGGCCGTCTCCTCGGCTACCCTGACGGCGACAGTTGTCGCAGCGACGCGACGCGGCTAGAGAGTCTGATCAGCAAGGGCTATCTGCATAGTGAGGAGGATGGACGCACTTGTGTGACAGCGACTACCTTTCCATCAGCGCACCAGCCAGCCTTCTCGAGGAATTGAGGTATTTGCGTTGTCTTTCCACTGCCGGTCTGTCCAACAACGATAGTGACTTGGCGAGTTTCGACCAGGTAGAGCAGACTCTGTCTATGCTTCGCTATAGGCAGCAAAGCAGGCGGCTTATAAAGTGCTGGGATGAAGGAAGAGCCGAATTCGGACTCTGCCATGTTGGATTCGGCCGCGCGCTGCGTATTTCTGTGGTCACCGTCATCGAGAAACCCATCCGTTTGAAGTGCAGGTAGGCGATGAGAGCATCTGAGACTGATGTACTTCAGACGCACAGACTCTTGAAGTCTAAACACTGGGAGAATGAGGTGGCTACCACAAGCGAGCTTTCTCACCTCCCTGCTGACAAGATCATGTGTTCGGACGGGTAATCGGTGTGTCTGTGAGTCCCTGAAGTAGGTATATCAATCGAGACTTGTCCCTAGTTGCACAGAAGCTTAGGAGCTTTGGAGTGTCTTGCTTTTGGACATGTCTGCGATTCTACTGTTACCTGGTGGGATGGAAATCGCTTACTAAGCCCGGTCCCTGGCAGAGATAGCGTGGAGGCCCAACCCGCCCACCAAGAACGGCACCTCTCGTCACTGTCTCCCAAGGCTCCTTTCTCCAACCTCGGAACAAAACTATCTCTTCCTACACTCCACCAGGCTCCGCCCACGACCGTTGTGATTGTTGCTGGCGTCAGTGACCCTTGCACTCCTGTGTTTCCGCGCGCGCCTCTCTGCTTGCCGCGTCTTCCACTTCTCGCACTTCCTTGGGGCTGTGGTCGACGAGGCTTTCCCGCCCGCAGACTGGGCCGCGCCTTGGCTCTCCTTTCTCTAACTTCAGTCCTGCTCCTGGGCTTCTCTTGTTCAGCAAGCACAGCTTGCTGAACCTCCGCGCGTGAGGAGAGCGACGAAGTGACAGGTTGACGATTCGAGTTTCGTCTAGAGCACTCGTCGAACACTCGTCGTCGCACACTTGTCGTCACACTGTATCCTCGGTCGCTCCGAGTCGATTTCCCTGCTTCTGTTTCCGCTGTTCACAGCCTGTTTCTACACTATACACCATTATGGTAAGCTCATGAGAATTCGTTCGCCATGGGGAGGGAAAAGAAAACAACGCTGGCGGCCGCAACCGCCAGCAAGACCGCCAAAGATAGGCATCAAAGAACAGGGAGGGACAACAACGCATGGACGGCACCCGTCCGAACAGACCTGGTAGCCCTCCCGGAAAAGAACATCACGTCCAAGCACAAGTCTTACTTTCAGGTTTTTGAGAACCATGACAAAAAGGAGAAAAAGCTCGAGCTACAGGTACACGGCATGATCGCCATCCCCCTGCCTTGGACAAGCAGCTCATTTGACGCAGATTACAACTGACAAAACGCCTCCTCCCGGATTCGAATTCGTGCCTATTGGGAACCCCGAGCTTACTCAAGCATGCAAGGAGCTTTCACGGGAGCGTGACGCAATGATCTTCATCGTTTGTGTACGTCAAGCCCAGCACTGTTACTTACCACTTGCAGGAACCCGTCTTTTAACGACCGAACGCTTTACCAGACGGCAAAGGATGCCAACGCGAATAAACTCGCACTCCAGATGAGCCGAACTGGTCACCATATCAGACGTACTATTGTCGAAGAGGCGCGTGCTCAACTCGGCGAGGAAGATGCCTCGACTGCCTCGAACTCGGGGGAACCAGAACCGATTCCTGAGACCCAAGAGGAATACAATGCGCAAGCCGACGCTGCGCTCAGGGACCTTTTCCCACGCATACCAAATACCGATAGGCAGATGATCATCGAGCATGCCTTCAAGAAGGTCAGTACGTGACGCTCTGATCAGTTAGAGTCTATTATAAACAAGCCATTCCATATAGGGCGGAACCTTTCAGGGACAGCCAGTCGTGGGCATGGTAGCCACATTGCCTCTTTCTCGACGTGTGCAACTCGCCGTCCTCGCTCATATTCGGCACAATCATACTCGGTATGACCAGCTTCTGAGAGAGGCTGGCTACCCAACCGCCAGGAAAGTCGTCGAGCAGCATTGTTTAGACTTTCTCGTCAAGTGGCGAGGGGATGAAGAGACCGGGCGAGACCAGTTTGACGAGATATTACGCGAGGTTGTTGTCCTGTCAGACGATTCAGACGAAGACTCAGAAGACGACGAGAGCAGCGACGAGGACTTTGTGCGCATCAGCAAGGCCCCGGACTTGAACCACGTTCCCGCAGATTCTTCGAGAGTCAGCAATGCTCTACACAAGCACAGATATGCCACGGTATCGCGGTCGAGCAGGGCGCTCTCACATAAGCATCCGGTGCCATCTGCTGAGGGAGGCTCAGTCCAGCGAACAAAGCCGCAGAGATCTAAGAAAACTAACCGTGGCTTCAAGCGTTATGAGGCTGTGGCCAAGCGTTGGGAGGAAGCCGTAAATCGAAACCGGTATGCGCAACATGCTGGAACACCTGGGCATGTTGCACCTATGGACAGGATACCCAGCCAGGGTTCCCGGCGGCCTCCCTCGGTTGAGATTGTGTCGCCCGTACACAGAGCTGATTCCCCTCGGAACTCACATTTGGCTCTGAACCCGTTGCATTTCTATCATGGTGGACAAAACCAAGGCCCACCACCCCGCCCAAATGACCGCCTTCCGGTTGCTAACCTTGACCCTCGGCAGCACATGCCTTTGGCCAGCTATGCTGGTCCTCAGTTTGCTCCCCAGTCTGCATCCCATTCCATTTCTCAGTCTGTTCCTCCGGAAGCCATGATCGTCGGCAGACGTATCACCCGTGTCCCGGTAGATATCCATTTGCAATCTGGCCCAGCTCCACAGAGGCCTTATCACGAAGAGCTGAAGGACTATCTAGTCCCTTCTATCGAGCCTGCATCCCCGCACTCAGGACCAGATGTGCCGCAATTCGTGCGTCAGGTAATTCGTGGAGAACCTAGAGGTCCAGAGCAAGTGCCTACTGGACGGACGGCTCCTTTTCAACATGTGGCACCTTTGCAAAGCCACGCAGGAAACTTCCAGTATGACCAACTTGATTCTGGCAGCGATAATCGACAGAGACCAGCAATGAATTCTCGAGTTGGTGAGCAGATCGTCACACCACGAGACTATTACTACGAATCACAGCCAAATCTGGCTAGCCAAGCACCTGAACACGTGAGAAGGGTCTACAGAGTACGAGAGCCTCTCGAGGACAGTCGTCGCTCGCGCGAGGCTCCTGTAATCACCTCCAAACGAGTCATTCGGGTGGAGAGAGGGGCTCAGTCTGCAGTATCCTGGGATTCAGAGCCACCTCGGGTGCGTGACTTCAGCCCAACCAGACTGGACCAGTATGCTGGGCGTACATTACCCTCGGGAGCGTTCGAGAACACCGGGCCTCGTCGCGTCGTGTACAGAGAAGCCAGCGCTTCCAGGTTCAAGGGATACGACCAAGATCCCGCCTCAAGCTCGGTGCAGCATTATCAACGCGAGGCCCATCGGGCACCATCCATAGGCTTCCCGCAAGGCAGCACATTTACCCGACCAGATTCATTCATTCCCGTTCGTCCAGCCGGGACAGCGGTAAATCAAGGTCCTCCGCCTCGTCCGTCCTACCGCGGGACGAGCCCTGTTCATCAAGACGTTGCGGAGTATCAACATAGAGGGCGAGTCAATATCTCGTATGAATGGTACCAACCCCACTAACAAAACTTTGCAGCCATGCTTATCGCGAGAGACCACAACCTCATCATGCTCGGGCGGGTTCCTCTGATGTTAAGTACTTATATGAGCAACCAGTCCCGAACCGAGATGCTGTTATTATTCGTCAATGATTTGGGCTTTACAACAATTTCGAGACGTGTCTGTGTATACGCGCGTCAATAATTGCGACATGACAGCACCTGGGCGGGTTTCGTGCGGAGTTTCCTGCGAATGTAGGTGTCGACTGTATCTGAAGGAGCGGCCTACTGGAGTGAAGTGTCAACGGTGAGACCGTGAATTGAGTCCGAGGAGCGGGCAATTTGTTTTCTACGCATAGCACGGGCGTTCTGTTCAACATCGGCATCGCTCATCAGGGAGGTATACATGTACTGGGAAGGGTTTGGCCCAGTTGCAATGCATCTATCAACAGGAATGGAATGCGAAATTAGAGGTGGTCTGAAGAGGCGACTTGGCCAGGGCTTGCATAGGACGGCGTCAAATGCGCGCGAGTTTGTCAGTTTTTTATGTGTACTATGCCGAATGCAATCAGGAGGCTCAGTGTAGATCCCACACTTGCCACGAGCAACAAATACACCAGCCTTGTCACATAAACTGCTTCTCAATTTCAACGGCACGTCCCTCGAGGCCGGATCTCGACGTTGCGCAAGGGCTACGTGCTTCCTCCCTCACAATTGCCCCTCAGATGACGCTGCAACGGCTTGCGCCGCACACCGCGCATCGCTCGTAAGTCTCATGATGCGAGCATGGCTTGCTGCTCCGGCTGTTTCTGTTGCACCCTTGCAGGCTGTGGTTCTGGCACAATCTCGTGGGCGGGAAGTGCGGTATCTGGCACGTTGGGCAGCGTTGCCCTTTCTCCCAGCTCGGCTTCCATAGCCGCAAGCTCCTCCTCGACCTCATCTTCATCCTGGTTCGATATCTTGCCCCCCAACATCTCGCTGACCTCCTATGATACAGAACCACTGATCAGCATCCGATTGGTCAAGCTGGAGGGGGGAGGAAGGGGGCCGAAGGGAAGGAAGTCTGTCCCCCGTGGCCACTTACATTCTGATACGCGATGGCGTCGGCCGTCTCTCCCATCAGCTTCTCGACGTGCTCTATGCCGCCCATCTCCGCGTGTATCTCCTTCAGCACCTTGGTGCCCTGCTGCAGGCCGAACACGACGTCCTTCTGTATCTGCGCGAACTCGACATTCGCCGTCAACTTCTCCAACTGTTCCAGCTGGCCATCGGTCTGTGCGAGGAGGGATTCTTGGTATTTCTTCCGGCGCAGGGCCAGCAGCGCGCGCTTCTTGTCGCCTTTGGCTAGCATCTGCTTGGCGATCTCGGTCTCGCGGTCGGTGAGGACGGTTATGCGCCGCTGGTACTGGTGCAGCTTGTCGCGCTGGGTCTTGAGGTCAAGGATGGCCCTTTGGCAGAGAAATGCATGTTGATTAGCTATGTACTTGCGCGACTGGAGTGTGGCCATCTAAAGAGGGAGTCTTGTGCGGGCTCTATGGATGATTGATGCGTGGGGTGCTCATGCTGTGTCTCACTTGTCCTGGGCCGTAACCCGGCTGGGATTGTTGCCCATGGTCTTGCTTGCAACATGCAGATTCCGAACCAGCAGTATTGATGGTTGCCTATTTATTCTCGTCGACCCTGTCGTGTCAAGTCATGGTGAAGAGTGCTTAGGACGGACCCAGAAGGTCGTGGAGTTTCAACGCCGATAACGTTCCAGACGGTTCCCAGGCTGGCTGATATCATAAGGCAGGTCACAGGCGTGCCCAGGGTTGCAGCCAAGCGATCGACCTCTCGCTTAAGACAACCCGGAACAGGTACCTGTCTTAAAACGTCACATGCAAGACATAACCACACGACCACTTCACCCTAGCACACAGTACAACAGGAACTAAAATTCTGTTTTCTTCTATAGATAGAAGAGTTGAACATGCGAGGGCTTTTTCAGGCGCACAAGTCAAATTCTTTTGCGTCAGGGATACCTAGATACTTCTCTCACTATCAAGAGCCTCGAGTACTTGGGAATCTAACGCTAACACCGCCTATTAGTGACTGTTACTGCTTTCGTCTTTGGTCCCGAAGTGCAGCCGAGTGCTTCATCTCCATTTCGTCCAGGCCCCAGATATCGAATATTCGTCGCTGTCTGCCACACCGACACGAAGCGATCCAGCACGCTTCGCTAGGCTTCAATCACTTGTACTTATGACTCGCATGTCCATCTCGCTTCTAACACAGTGTTTCATTGCCTCACTAACACCGACGCCTAGACTGGAATTCATGGTGACATTGGCATAACAAAGCCCTTACGAGACCTCACGGATATGCAAAGACTCGGTGAAAAGTGCACACCCTTCGTATAGTTATATACACTAAGAGCATCCTCCTTATGGATACGACTTCCCGGGCGGACTTAGAACGGTCGATATCAGAAGTGCAAGAAACAAGCATGCCCTATGACCAGGCCAGACCAATCTCCTGGATCGAATCTGCAGGGAACGTTCCATTTCGACGGGCAGCTTTATGCTTTATTTGGCACAGATTCCTGGCAGATGAGTTCTTCCTCGGAAGCACTTCATCCCACATCATTAACCTACTCGCAGTCGCCCTCTCAGAGTGCACTTTGACAGATTATGATTGATCCTCGTCAGGCTTCGCAATGACTTGGTCCGGTACGCTGTCTCCCATACTCCTCGGTGCTTGCCACTTGGGCCCTTGTCCGAGCCGGCTGAAACGCTCCAGACACAAGAGACGTGTGCTGCGGTGCCCCATCTGAAGAGACTGGCCTCGATCAGGCTATTGTTGCGAACAAGTTCCAAATGGAAGGTACGGCGCGCCACCATCTGGATGCAGCATTAGAATACTTGACTTGCGAAAAATACAGCTTCTGCGTGCATGGTCATCGAAGCTGTTTGAATTAGGCCGGTTTCCTACTTGTCTAGTTCAGGTCGTCAACGGCAAGGCGTTCTTGGTGTACCTTCACATCATTCGCCTCCTCTCTGTAGTTTTCACATCTTATGCTTGAGGAGCGCTTTCCAAGCAACCGCTAATGCCACGTCCTTTTTCCTCCCCCAACTGAGGACCAAGTATTTTCCCGAGCGTTTACCTATGGTGTCAAATTGCAACTTAGCGTCCGAGGAGTTCCCTGCAAGCAAAGGCCGGGGGGAAGTAAGACGACAGAAAACAAGCAGATTGAGAATTGGATACATACATTTACCTGGTCGAAACAGAGAAGCAGAACCGCCGTCATTTAATAAAAAGTTCTCCCAGGGCTTTCTACCTTCCATCGAAAAGGGGGACCAATGGTACCGCCTCGTCAGGTAAATGGAGCACAATTGTAGGATGCGTCTCTCTAGCAAACAGGCACGTAAGACTAAGTCCCATGGACGCGCGTTCTCTCAGCTCCCGACACTCACGGTGTAATCTAGCAATTGCGGACATTTTGAGTCATACATGAAGCCATCTTGCGCGACTGTGAGGGCGGTCCCCCAGTGAGGATGTGGAACTGTTCAGGATTTAGCTTTGGAAGCGGTGGCGATGCACGACCTCTGGCATCTCTCAATTTGTCGAAGGTTGTACTTCAGCAACAAAAATCAAGAAGAGATCCACCACCTGACACATACAGATGACGCCTAGAAATTCCCCAGATTTGAAGGGGAGGAAGCAGCTCTTCTCATGTGATGCGAGCATGTACTTGCCGAGCTTTCCGGCGTCTGAATGGCGGTGTCCAAAAGTTGGGTCATCTACTGCTCCGCCGCTGGGCAGTACCGTGATGTGGGCGGACTCCAGATGTCGATGGAGACTTCTATTATTGGGACCCGGTGGTGCCGCAAGAAGTACGCGGCGGCGACGTGTATACCGGCCTATAGCCAGACTGTTGACGATGCATACGGCCAAAATGCTCAGACTCGCAGTTTCGCTCTATCTAGCAATAATTGAGAATTGGTGAATAGCTCAATGTAGTAGTACATTATCAACGAAGTTCCTACGAAACAGTGCAGTGCATGTCGACCTTTCTTGAATGGTAAATAATTGCGCGCAACTCGGATGTCGGCCTGTGTTCTGATTGTAGAATCCCGATTGTGTTGTAGTCATTTGAATCTCATAGGGCTTGTTTAAGGTTTATGTTCTGAATTATAGTTTTGCTTGGTACATAGAGATGGCGTGCAGGGCGACGATCGCAATTGAACTTGACTCGATTTCTAGACGCCGATTATGAAACTCTCACATCGAAAACACCAAAACACCATACTGGAGTCTTCGAGTCAAGCGGATTCTGCCCAGCTATCCCCAGCATCCGCAGTCAGTATCGGCACCACCGTGTCTCCCGAAAGATCGCTGACATGCAAGGCCATCACCACGACCAACCGCCATGAGCGATGAAAGCCAAAAAGTATATAAGCAGGTCAAGAGTTGCTGTTCAAGTTTGGTTTCCTGCTCATCATCACACTCCAAAAACTTCAAGACTTCACACAATCATTCCAAACAAACACCAACAACCAACACTCTCTTTCAAGATGCAGTTCCTCGCCATCGTCTCCCTGGCCCTTGCCGGCCTCGCCTCCGCCGCCACGGTTCCTGAGGTCAACAAGCGTGCCTCCACTCCTCCGGGCTGCGCCAACGCCTACTACAACGACGGCTCTGACGGCTCTACTGGTGGCTGGGGCTGTGCTGGAAGCACCACCTGGGGCGACTGCACCAGCTACTACTGGAAGGAGTCTCCTCCTTTTTGGTCTGTGAGTAGAATGATCCTCTGTCCTGGTTGTGTGAGACAGATACTAACAGCATCGCTCTCAAAAAGTGCAACTAAGCATCCAATCTCGCCAGGAATGGACATCTGGGCTCCGGCGGGATGTCTCGTTCTTCCCCATCCTTCAGCAATATCACCATTCTCAAAGCGGATCTGAGCCTTTTTGAATGAAAGGGACAACTTGGTCACTAGTTGTGTGGGGCAGACGGGCAGACTTGGGCGTATACTTTGACTTCTAACATGCAGCACTTTTTTGTGCTATCAAAGATGGAGCCTCTCAGGTGTTTGGCAACAGTATTTGTATTATACCGGTGGGAAACAATTCGTGTATCATTCTTATTTAGAACCAATCATTGTCATATACGAAAAGTTCGCGACTATAGCCATCTTATATTTTGTGATATGTGTTGATAATTTTTTGACCTTATAGTGTAATTGATTATATAGTGATTTGGTTGCTACAAGAAAAATACGTAGTATACTATGGCACTCGGCCCCAAGATAAAGCCGTTCAACACACCTGCGAATATAATTATTTGCGTGCCACAGCGGCTTAGCCCTACCATGCTTTGCAAGTAGATTTAGCTTGATGCTCACATTGGACTGAATTGCACGAGGCTGTTCGCAGCTTCCTCTGAGCTTACACAACTTACGAGCGTAAGCTCGGGTGTCCGCTTCACGGCCACAGTGTCTATATGAGTAATAAGTGTCATAAAAAGATGCAATTAGAGAAGGAATAAAACAGTTCCTTATAAAATAAACAGTTATCAGATAATCAGTTGCAGGAGAATTCTTTTTATGATAACTTCCTTTGAGGGAATAACCTCTTCTGAAAATAATCTGTTTTAGAATGACCTCTTCTAGAATAACCTCCCTTAGGATACTGCCCTATGGGGTAATCTCTTATAGAACTACCTCTTGTGGGATAATCTCCTCTAGAATGATCTTATATGGGGAAGTAAATAAGCTATACAGGACTTCGTGATGATGTTTTCGCATTTTCTAAAGCATGACGGTATTGCTCCAATAGTGCATGTGACACCTGTTGATGCAACCCTGTATACAAGTAGAATTGCACTTTCACCCTGGGTTGGGCGTTTATACTACCATGCAGTGTAACCGTGTGCCAGCCGTCTGCCCCAAAATGTTTTCGAGCAGCTCCTAGTCATTGAGAGGGAGCAAATGAACCATGTCGGGTTCCTCGGATAAAGATGGGTGGGGCTTGCTCAACTGACAAGGCCTCGTTCAAGAGGACAATAACGTACCTAACCCAGCGGCAAAGCCAACTGCCGTTTTCGCCAGCAGCAGCGCACTGGAGTCAAGGAGGAAGAGCGAATCCTTTGGTGTAAGTTGTACACAGCTGTCAGTATTACATAATATCAGTGCATGTAATTGTACCTCTAAGCAGTCATTGAAGACGTCCTGGAACCTAGGTGCCCGCGGGAGTACCTAGGTATGCCCCACTACGACACAGTCGCCCATCATGTGCCTAGGTACCTAGGTACCGCCTGGACTAGTCCGTCACTGCCCAAGCGATTGGAGATCTGACGCAGCCAGGCAGCTTCTCCCAAAGCTACGCACCCTCGGCCCATCCATCGCATTCGCAACACGTCTCAACTATCTCTCGAGATCACCTTTACCTAGCAACTGACTGAAAAAAGTTGTCGCCATAACATCCATTTTCATTACATTGCGCCCATCTCGGTTCACCATGTCGGTAAGCAGCATCCCCTAGCTCATCTCCGAAGCATTAGCAGAAGCCTGGACTCAAACATCAGACGAAGCTCGGTTCATGCGACTACCCACTCCCAATCAAAGGCATCCTGACTGACGACTTTTCCATTTTCAGGACAAGGTGCCAGAGTCACCGACTACAGTCAAGCCACTGGACTACTCAGACGACGAAGACGTTCAAGAATCAGGCATCATCAACATGGACGACGGCACCACCAAACCGAACCCTACGTCAGGGGCTGCGACAGGCGCCTCTACGGAGGCCTCAACTGGCACTTCGGCTGCCCCCAACCCATCAACGACCGCTTCCCAGGAGGCGCCTCCGCCGAAGCCCCCTCGTCCAGCGACCGAGCAACAGAAGAATGAGGCCATTCTGAAGGAGGCATTTCCTACCATCGATGCTTCTGTCATCAAGGCTGTGCTGATCGCGAGCCGGGGACAAGTCGACCCAGCGTTTAATGCGCTGCTGGGTATGAGCGACCCCGACGCCATTCAGCAGGACACAGAGGAGCAACCTCCCCCACAACCCCCGCGACCTCAGAATGCCCAGTCCCAGCTCGAGGCAGATGAGGCCTATGCTCGCCAGTTGGCGCAACACTACGAGAACCAAAGTGCGGCATACGAAGCCCGGACTGCCAACAGAGGCCCAGCAAACCAGCCCCGCCAACGCCAGCAGACAGGCCTGAAACCCAACGAGCTGTACGATGACAGAGAGCACAGCTTCATAGACGATGATCTTCCCGTCATACAGGAGCAGCTGAAGAAGGGCTTCCAGGAGACGCAGACTAAAGTGAACTCGTGGTTCAAGGACATCAAGAAGAAGTTCGACGAGCAATTTGATGAGAACGAAGGCTCATCGTCCCACCAGCAGGGTGGTCGTGGTCCCTTCATGGGGCGAGGCAGCGGGGAGTCATCGAGGAGGAGCAGGGACTACGAGCGGTATGATGCTGATCCGGAGCTGCTCAGCGACGACTTTGCCGGGATGAAGTTCCGCAGCGACGGCAGTAAGTATCGGATACAACACCAACGCGCTCTAAGCCAGATGCTGACACTTAACTTAGCACCTGCCGGTCGTCAGCAGACACAGAACCCCAACCTGTTCAAGCCGCCACCACCCTCCGTGTCCCCAAAGCCACACGATGGTCGCAAGGTGTCCTTCAAGGACGGCGTCGAGGACATCGACCTCTATAGCACCTCACCCAAGAACGCAGCCAGAGACTCGTCTTCTGCTGCGGCTACTGGCGGCAAACCCAGCAAGTGGCAGCCGCTGTCTTCGGTTGAGCCGAGCCCCATCGCGGAGAACGACCCTTTTAGCCTTGGTGACAGTGATGATGATAAAGACGCCAAAGACAAGCCAGACAAGGCCGGCATCAAGATGGAGGACTCAGAGGACTCGGAGGAAAGACTGAGGAAAGCAGCGGCGGAGGCAATGGCGGACAGTTTGGTTGATGACAAGGCCAAAAAGGAAGATGCAAAGAAGTAATTCAGCCCATGGGCCATCCCCTTTGTTGAGCGGCTCGTCGCTGGCAATGAACCATGGTTCTGAGGTATGGTCAGAATAAGACTTGTGACCCACCGAAGAGCCTCACCCTTGATTCCATTAGTTGAGAGCACCGATTGAGGGTACTGTGCGGAGATGAAGCTCCAAGATGTCATGTCTCTTCGTGTGTCTTCTTACCTGAATATCCCTAGAAACATAAGCCTTGATTCCCCCTCAGCTTGAGCCAAGAAGCCATCTAGTTGATGTTTGTCAACGGCCCGGGACGAAACTCTGCTCCACGGTGTCCCATTATTCGGAAGAAGACCGCTTCAACCATGGAGACAGGAGAGAAAATATTCTTCATCAACAACGGCGTCAACAATTTCTCCGTGTTACTGCCGATACAAGGTCAGCCCACTGGGAGGTAAGGCGAGGGGGCTTATCTCCCATTATTCTAGAGCAAGTTGTCTCATAGGAAGTTATCTCACAGGAGATTATCCTGTGGAAGGTCACCCTACGGAAGGTTATACCGTAACAGATTATCCCATAAGAGCTTATACCATAAAAGGTTATCCCACGGTCGATTATCCCATAGGAATTTGTACCATAGAAGGTTAGCCATGGCAGATTATCCCATGGTAGGTTATCCCATAGTAGTTGTCCCACGATCGATTATCCTACAGTTGATCATCTCACGTTTGATTATCCCGTTATCCTATAGCAGATTATCCTATGGCGGATTATTCTATAGCATAAGCTGCTGCAGGAGGTTATCCGAGGGAAGGTGTTCTTGTGGAGGGTCATCCTATATTCCATGGTAAATTATCCCATGGTCCGTTATCCCGTGGCAGATTATCCGGTGTTCTCGTGGAGGGTTATCCCATGGCAGTTTATCCCAAAGCAGATTGTGCTCTAGGAGGTGATCGACTGGCAGGGCGGCTCAGGGCAGACTCTCACTGAAGATTGTTCACCTGGAATTGCGTAAAAAGCGGGACAGGATATTGCACCAGTGGGAGCACAAACATCTGACTGGGCTGCTGGGTTGCACATATAGCTGGCGTGCAATGCCGGGACAATTGTTATCGTGGGAGTCGGATCATTGCTGGATAAAATTTCCGGAATGTGCTGAGTTGAGGGAAAGAGAGGTTCTCCACCAGTATGGGTTACGTAGCACGATTACATCCTGCCTCCTTCCATGTGTTTCCCCTCCATCCATAGATCTTTGCAGTTCCTGGTAAGGGGCGGTCGGGTGATGTTTGTGAGACGTGCCGAAGACCGTTGTTTCCAAGGTCATCATGATGACATATCAAGCCTCATTTAACCATTCAATACCCGGTTTGACGAGCGCGTCAAGCGCATCACGATTGGGAACAGTGAGTGGCTCGAGGTGGTCGTCTGGGAACGTGGTTACAGCACAGACTAGATCTCGAATGAAGCAGTGCAGGCTGGCGGCTGGACTCTCCACTTTGCCGTCCAGGGTAGACCGGAACAAGCTTGGGCTCAAAAAACGCACGTTCTTTGAAGGCCGGGTGTGATTGGTTCGTCCCAACGTAGACATGATGATACCCAGCAACGGACGAAAGAGCCTCAAGAAAGGCATGATACCGGGGACGGATGTCCTCGGCGGGAAAGAATCGCGTAACAAGGAGTTGTCGCTGCTTCGCATTGGGCCCCTTGCACCTGCCAACGTGCCTCGTGGATCTCGGAAGGCGCACACACATTGAGGTATACCGTACCGGGTTGGGTCCCGTGCTCCCTTCAACTCTGACTCGGGGCTTGTCGTTCCTAGTAGTAGTACACTGCCGACGTTGAAGACCTCGACCACCACATCCCAAGGAAAACCAAGCCATTGCGACGACCACTTGCACTTGGTTCTACACTTCTGAAGGGCGAACAAACCCGCTGGAAGTACTTCGACCACATTCAGCAACGTGATCAAGCAGTCGGACTCTTGCGAGGTACATCACTAGCCCACTGTCATCTTCGAGTTTTGATATTTGAGTATAGCCCGTTTTAGCTGGGGCATCAGCTCGACCAAGACTGATAAATTCTGGCTTCTTGCTATCAAATAGTTATCTGAAACCAAAAAAGGCTATCGAACCTGCTGCACGGCCTGCGCAGAAAGCCCTCCCCCCCTTTACACAAAACGTCTGCAGGGCGGTTCGTCTAAAGCCTACCCTACCTTCTGGGGACTCATAGCTTACCTGCCACCCTACAGTTACTCACCTTCAGTCACCTGGCTCTTCACCTGGCTAGTCACCACCACCATCTCAGCAGTCGGTCAAGTCCGGGGCAGTCGCGTGGAGGGTTCAGTCGTCGCTTCTTTCGTCTCCTGCAGGAAGGAGCTTCTCATACAGGGGTCTTTCCTACAATCGCCTACCCAGTTACATTCGACTAGGTTGTTGCATCACTCACTCGCTCGCTTACTCACTGTCTAATCGGGTAAGTCCAAACATGTTTCTGCTATCTTTCCTTTTGCGTGGGTGTTTGGCAGTCTCGTCGATCATCTGCGGGCCAGTGCCTGTCGGCACTCCGCTCCCTCAATCACTTAAACACCATCCCCCTCGCTTTGAGCATGAGTCAACGTTGCCATTCTGTCTATTTATATGTATCGTGCTATGGGCTGCTTTCTATGTACAGTCTCATTGTATCTGCCCATCGGAGATAATTTACGATCCTCAAAGTGGTACGGTGGTCACACATGGCGTTGCCCTCCTTGCAGGCCTGCTCCCGTTGCGGACCCTCACTTAGCCTTGACAGCCGCTCCACTGTCTTTCAATTTTCAAGATCTTCGAGCAGCGGGTGCTCCCGCTTTGTCAGGCAATAGAAGAGAAAAAGCCCGCAGGTCTGGTCTGACTTGCAATCCGGGAACTCGTGTCTGATATCCTCCTTGCCCAGGTTCCACAGAAACTACGTTACCTCTCTCCACTAGAGGGAGAATCCGCGCAGCAGTTCAAGACATATTTCGTATTGGAGACTATTGGTACTGCAATCCCGATTGGCAAGGAGGAAGCCCAGGTCTGGACGAAAGAACTCCACCTTGTTGTCGGGGGGTCTCGGGTCTCCATCGCCGCGGAAGCAGGCCCAAACAAGTCGCACAGTCAGGACCAACTTGTCCATACTCCAAAGAGAGCTACTGCTAAAATCCGACGTCACACCTGCATGGGCAGTTTAAGAGCTTTCGTTGGCTGATACGCCCTCGATCTTTTCTGACCTGGCAGTATCTGAGACTGCCCAAGTCGATAAAGAGCGGGCAGTTTTCATCTTCAATTGAACCCTTGCGTCACAGCCTGTGGCCTCTCCAGGTCGGCGGCTACAACCTCGCACTATGTAAGTCACCCCTGACTCCATGGCTGTGACTGAAGTCTTTGCGCCCTACTTGGCTTGTGGCTCGTGCTGCTGCTGTGCGTCCATGCCAGCTTTTGCTGATCCTCCAGTAGGAAGTTTGGCAAGCAGATTCAGAAGCGCCAGCTTGAAGTTCCTGAGTACGCTGCCAATTTTGTCAACTACAAAGCACTAAAAAAGGTGTGTCTTGCCTCCAGGGCCTCCCCTTCGACCGCCCCCTTTCCGCTCCGCAGCCCCGTCCACTCTGAAATAGAAAGGGTACCACAAGAATTCTCTAAAACAACAATCGAGGAGTACAGTGGTATTTAGACAAGCCATGTTTCTCACGGACATCGCCGTCGCACAGATAGGAAAGATGGGAGAGAGACTTGGTCGCTAACTGCATTTCCGTATAGCTCATAAAAAAGCTCTCCGCAACTCCGACGCTCCAGGCCCAGAATGACCACCTTCATCCCGCCCCTACAATAGATTCTCAGGCTGCCTTGCAGGCGAACAAGGCCACGTTTTTCTTCCAGCTGGTATGACGGCCTCTCGGACCCGTAAAAGCGAGTCTGACCGCACCAATGCTAAAGGTAGACCAGGAACGAGAGCTCGAGAAAGTCAACGCATTCTATCTTCAAAAAGAGGCAGAGGTAAATTCACGAACGGTCGCCCTTGTAACATTGACAAGGTATCTGACCTCCGACTTGTAGCTCAAAATTCGGCTTAAGACGCTCCTGGACAAGAAGAAGGTACTTCAGTCCCGCCATGGCATATCAAGGCGGTCGGCCAAGTTTACGACCCTCCAAGAGGGCTTCCAACAATTTGCGAATGATCTCAATAAGCTGCAACAGTTTGTCGACATAAATGGGACGGCATTCTCGAAAATATTGAAGAAATGGGACAAGACTTCCAAGTCAAAGACCAAGGAGCTTTACCTCTCCAGGGCTGTGGAGGTTCAGCCTTTCTTCAACCCAACAGTCATCAGTGAACTCTCTGATCAGGTCACAACGAGCCTGCAGGAGCTTGGAGCATGGGCAGATGGGGACCACATCAGCTTTGAGGGACAAGGGCGCCCAGACCATATTGTGAGCAGCCATCACCTCCTGGGCACCGAAGAGGGAGATGCGGACACTGTTCTCCTCGAGACGGTCATTTCGGGGAATCTGGACTCTTTGAGAGACCTCCTAGGGCGTATGAGAGCAGCAGTGGAGCCGAACTCAACAATGGACCTGTCTTTGATGGAGAGGATCACCAGAACCTTCCTGGCGTCCATCAACGAAGCTCCACAGGAATCCCTTCAGCTTCTGCTCGACACAGGCTTGGTGGATATCCAGTCAGAAGATGACATAAATGAGCGGAATTGTTTGCACCAAGCAACTATATACGGCAACTCCTTTGTGTTGAACCTAGCGTTGGAAAAAGGAGTTGCCGTCAATCGAACGGACGTATATGGTCGGGTGCCGTTGCACTATGCCAGTATGCATGGGCGGCTGGACATGATCAGTGCACTGCTGGCTGGTTAGAAGACCCCAACTCTCGTCCTGTTACACTTCGCTAACCTAGAAATAGTTGATGCCGACACCATCAATCTCATCGATCACGACAATTTCCGGCCGTTGGTACATGCGATCATACACAATAATTTGGACTGTGTCCAGATGCTTGTGGAGAAAGGGGCACGGTTGAATTCGATCTCAGAGACTGACCATGCTCCTCTCAATCTGGCGTGCAAACATGGTTCATACGCCATCGTCGAGCTGCTTCTGACCAAAGGCGCCCAGATCCTGCCTGATGCCGAGGGTCTCTATCCTCAGCATCTCGTAGCCAGGTCTGCCAGGAACGCCGATCTGCTGAGCCTCCTGAAGCATTTTGGAGCCGACTTAGATCAGATTGACAAGCTGTATGGATGGACACCACTCGTACATGCTGCCAGTGAGGGAAATGTTCCCTGCTTACGAGCGCTGTTGGACGAAGGCGTCGACGCGAATATTCTTGACGAGAAAGACCTTTCAGCATTGTACTACGCAGCATGGGAGGGTCATCTGGAGTGCATGAATCTACTAATTTCTCTGCAAAGTATTTCTAAAAAAGAATCGAGCCCCAGGACGACCCAAGTATTGCCGCCGTCATTGGGCCCGATGGCTCAGAGTCATGACTCTGAAATCATGTCACTCGATCCAGATGGAATTCCAGACCTCGAACTACCGCCACCCATCATCCCACTGCGCAGATACGGACACAACTTCCTGGACACCAAGACCGTCGTACAGATTAACTTCGGTGCGGATGCTGAACAACCACTCGTTTTCTTCCACGACGGCAAATATCCCGCCGCTCGGTTGACCATTTCGTCCAAGGCTTCAGACTTCATCCCCAAAAATATCATCCTTCCATTCACAGAAGATACCCGTCTTGTTTCTTTCCAGGTCGACAATCTTGATGCTTTCACATTGGACTTCGACGTGTTTCCGACATACGGAGCCAAGGTCATCGCTAAGACGGTGGCTTTGCCAAATACCTTCCGTGCCTCATTGAGCAGTTCCGGTAGCTGCTGTCTCCCCCTGTTCGATCCTCGACTTCGCGCGATCGGTCAAATCAGTTTCAATACGCAGGTCATCAAACCTTTCCAGGGCAAGCCCCTCGAAATCACCGATTTCGAGACATACTGGAAGGCGACCAGGCAATTTGACCGCCATATCAGCAGCTTTGTTACTGGGTCGAGCCTTGTTGGTGACTTTGTGAGACTCTACGTGCAGCAGACAAAGGACGGCGTTGCGATTCTATGGCCTACAAGGACAGTGGACATGGGTACAGAAGGGATGGCCGTTCCCCTATCATGGGTGACGCATTCGCAATTCGAGCAGATGGCTCGCATTTCACCTTCCAGAAAGGCACTCGCAGCGGGCAATCTCAGCCAACAGACTGAGCTCCACGAAATTCACCGCCTATTCGCATCAGCGGGGCTCACTCTCGCCGAGGCACTGGACATGCTGCCGCCAAGCGTGAATGTCAACTTGCACTTCATCTACCAGATAGCCGAAGACCACGCCCACCCACAGCCCCAAGAGTCTAACAGCCGTGGCTTAAACAGCTTTGTTGACTCGGTCCTGGGGATCGTGTTTGACCACGCGCGTGTGCAGCGTGCACAGTCCCAGCAGAGTGGCGGCAGCGCGGCCGTCCGGTCCGTCGTGTTCAGCTCGTACAGCCCTAGCGTTTGCACCGCGCTCAATTGGAAGCAGCCGAACTTCCCCGTGTTCATGTGCAATGACCTCGGCCGCGAGGAGGTCTCGATGGCGCCCCCGCAGATGATCGCCGCGGCAGTGAATCATGGCCGTCGGTCCAGTTCGATCAAGGAGGTAGTCCGAACTGCGCAAGGCAACAACTTCATGGGGTTGGTGGTTGCTTCAAGGCTCCTGGTGTGTTTTTATCCACCCCTCTCGCGTATACATCTTGAGAAGTATTGTTGTGCTAATCATAAATGAATAGAAAATGGTACCGGCGCTGGTGGACGCTATCAAGGCTCAAGGGCTCGCCCTCGTAGTCGACAAATCCTCGGAGGCCGGACCGCTCTCTAACCCACCCCCTGAAAAGCAGCCCCCGGGCGTTGATGGCGTTTTCAAGTACACTGGCGTCCTGAGATTCACCGATTCGATAGACATGTAATAGCTGGTGACGACTTTTTGTACTTCCGAGGGAACAGGAAAAGTCCTAGATCATGACAGGAAAAGTATCATGCAGTGGGGTCTGGAGCTTACAAGAGCCCAAACTACAACAATGTTGGAATTTGTGGGGATCAAAGCCAAATCGGAAATGAACAAGGCGGGCATGCCCCAGCAGCGGGAACAGTAACGCATCGGTATGCGACATTTGAGCTGAAGACAGTCGATTTGCCATAGGCAAGCCCACAGGCAGACACAGGCTTTGCAGCCAGATAGATGCAAAAAGAACCCCAACTTTCGAGAGACCCATTATTTTATCCACAGAGTCTCGCATCTGGATGGTTCTCGTAGCGGCCTTCGTCCAACTCGTAATTCTATGATGAAAACGGATCTTAAGGTCGTGTTCACCTAGGTTACTGGATAGTAAGACAATATAGTAATGGCATCTCATCCGAGGTCACGCCAACGTGTTTTGGTCAAAACTTCAAATGATATTCTGAATAGGGGTATCTGATATCACACGACTCATGCTTTCGCGTGCCTCATTCTAGTAAAATAGCCATACGACAAGTGCGAAACTACAAAAATGCCTAAAGACTTGGCAGCCTCTCCTCGACGGCGACACATGGTCAGCTGGCTCACGCCCCCTTGTAGTCGTACTTGAGCGCCGTCAGCTCCCTCTCCGGGTCCACGTTGGCCATCAGCAGCTTCGCCACGATCACGACGGCGTACACGATGGCGGGCAGGTTGCCGAGGCCGAGCCAGCCAAAGTGCTGGCGGTGGTCCTCGTCGCGGTCGTAGTGCTCGCTGCTGCCGCCGCGCCGCTGCACCAGCAGCCCGTACAGCACCAGCACCGCGCAGAGCCCCACGTTCAGCAGCGGCAGGTGCCTCTCCAGCGGGCTCCTCTGCGGCGCCAGGCTGAAGCTGCTCGCGCGCCGCCGCCGCTGGCGCCGCTGGTTCAGGGTGCTCAGCCCGCTGGGGCCGTCGTCCGACCCGGACGCGACCCCGGCTGCTGCGTCGTCTCCCTGCTGGCCGCGGGCGGACCCTGACCTTGCCCGGCTGTCCAGCGCGTGGATGCCCGTCTCGGTCGGCGGGAGGCTGAAGAGGAGGAAGGCCGTGCTTGCTAGGGACGTCAGGCCCAGCACAGCGATGAGGGTCGTCGAGGGCCGGAAGAGTGCGAGGAGGTAAGGTATGCACGACAGGATGGGCAGGGCGAGGAGGATGATCTGGTATTGCTGGTTGTGGGTTGCGTTCTGTTCGGCGAGGTCCTGGATGAGCTTCTCCTGTTCTGTTCAGGGGCAGGTCAGCAGGCCGTAAGCTCGTGAGGAAGATGTGTGCCCGTGTATTCTACGAAAGGGAGATCAGGACCAGGCAGCGTACCCTCTTCGTCGAGGACCTCGGGAGTGGTCCCTGTGGAACTCTCATCGGTGGGGTAGTGGAATGTGCGACGGAGCCGCGTCCTCGCGTTGTTTATATCCATGTTTCTTCACTTCTGCAGGAGGCCGTATTGAAGCAGCTCGCTGCTGTGCTGACGACGGGCTCTTAAGTGCAGGCGGCCAGAGAGTGAGGCGGCAGCTGTGCGTTGGCGAGGTTACATGAGATGAAGTGAAAGCAGCAGGCAGATCGTAAATAAGGTTTGGGAGCTGAGCTTCTGCCGAGCTGCGTAACACTCGCCTACCGAGCACCCTGGGTGACGTCGATCCCCCAAAGAGCCGCTGCCGGCCGCGCGAGAAACAGGGGTCCGGGGCCCACCTCAAGGTGGGATGATCGACCGCAGCATTGAATTATTCGAACGTCTTTTCTCCGACGACCAACCTTCACAGACACGGTTGCAGACATGTTGCCAAGGCCGATATGTAGGACGTCAGTCCTTCGGGCACTGAGGTTGCCCGTCTCCAGGAGAGCCCTCCTACAGAGACGAACGCTCATCGCTGCACCGAAGCCGGGAGACGGACCTCTGATGGAAAGGCGGTCCGACAGGGAGCTGCCAGGTGAGCTCAACGAACCCGTCTCACGACATGGCTTAAGCCTCGTGCGCGTATGACTGACACTGTGGCCCGCAGACGTCGAATCAAACCGCTTCCGCTGGTCGCGCACGCTGCCCATCTTCTTCGCTATTGTCGCCGCCGCCAGCGTCGCCATCTTTAACTACCAGAAGAGCTCCTCGCCCGTCGTGTCGTCCACGCTGTACGCCCTGCGCCACAACGCCCGCGCCCGCGAGTACCTCGGCGACGAGATCTACTTCGAGCAGCAGATCCCCTGGATCAGCGGCGAGATGAACCAGCTGCACGGCCGCATCGACATCAACTTCAAGGTCAAGGGCACCAAGAACACGGGCGTCATGCACTTCGCGAGCTTCAGGCCCACGCCCAAGGGCGTCTTTGAGACCACAGAGTGGAGCCTTGAGACGAGCGATGGGAAGAGGATCGACCTCTTGGACGACGGGGACCCGTTCCGCGCGATGAGGATGCCGGGTGGGCTGGACGATGACGACGACGATGCCACAAGAGGGTTCAGGCACTAGGTGAGGGCAATGGAGGAAGACTGTCCTCTCTCCTATCGACAGAAGCCTGCAGAAAGAGAGGCGAAGGGGAGGGGGGGGACAAGATAACATCTGCGGTCGACAATCCCTAGAAACCATTGATTTTCTCACGACGCACAGACGCGTCGTGTGAATTTGCAGCATCAGGGGCGCGCGTTTGAGCAGCAGTGCACGTGGCGCTTCAGTCGCATCTTACTGGGATAATCTGACTGTGAGGCTTGTAGGGTGGTTCATACACTACAGTCAGGTCAGAAACCAGGGGACAACCTCCTCTGGGATAACCGCCTGTGGGGCAACCTTCTATGGGATAAATTCCTATGAAATAATCTCCTTTGGGACAATCTTCTGTGGGAAGTGGTTGTTGGTGATAACGGCAATTTGCGTATGATTCGGTAGATACGCTGTATAATAGCATAGACACTTCAAATCAATGGGTTCCTGCCAATGTGTTAATAATATGACTACTCAACTTTGTCCTACATAGCTCATTCTCTGGGATAAGCCGCCCACTTGCAGAATAACCTGTCAGAAATCATGAGATTGAGCAAGTCCCGCATAGAATCCTAAGATCTCTGCGAACTTCCTTGTTCGTCGTGTCTGGGGTATAGATTTTGCCTGTAGGCTCCGGGAATTTCTTACTGCAAATGATGGGGTATTTGTGCTTCAAATTGTCAAATGTACATTTGTTTCGTTGAACAAGATGCCTATCCTACACTACGATTGGTGTCTCGGCCTCCTCAGCGGTCTCATGTAGACCCATCTGAACAGCCTCGGCTATCCTGCCCTCTCTCCTCATCTGCTTGAGCTCCATGTGCATCTTCCGCGCCTCAGTAAGGTCTTCTTCGGCGTTGGGGAATCGCTCGTTCAGCGCCTGGTTCATCCTGTCGATGAACTCCTGCGGCGGTGGGTCCTGCTTGACGGCGTCCGAGACCCTGACCAACGCACCCTTTGGTCCTGGCACACACCCCTTGACCACGATGATACCCAAATCGTTATCCACCCGCAGGACCGCCAGGTTTTGCATCGTCACCCTCTCATTGCCCATCCGCCCGGGCATCTTTTTGCCGGGCAGGATCCTCGAACCGCTTCCCTGTGACGGGCCAACGCTACCCATCGTCCTGTGATTTTTCGAGTTACCGTGACTGGCTTCCTGCCCACTGAACCCATGCCTCTTCATACCACCCGCGAAACCGAAGCCCCTCGAGTTCGCCCTGACGTCCACCCACTGTCCTTTGTGGAACCAGTCCGGCAGCAGCTGCACGCCGACAGGCGGCGCCAGCCCCTTCTCGTCCAGCACCTGGAACTCGACGAGGTGCGCCTTCGGCGGGATCCCCTTGGCCTCATAGTACCCCAGCTCCGGCGCCGTGACGTTGGCCGGCCGTTTTGACCCGCAGCCCAGCTGCACGGCGCAGTAGCCGTGCTTCTCGCGCGTCTTGTGCGACACGACCTGGCACTCTTCGACCTGCAGAACCGTGCAGGCCATGCGTTTGCCGTTGCGCGTGTAATAGGCCGTCATGCCCTTCTTGGTGGCCAGGATGCCCGTCCGGAGGGGCGTGTTACGCTCCTTGCGCTTCTGTGCCGCCGCCGGGGATGTCGTTGGCTCTGGCAGGCCGTTGCCCGAATTGTACTTTATCTGGAAGCTCGACCGTTTCGGGAGCGTGCTCCAGCCATACTTGACGCCGCGCGTCTGGGTGGTTTGCGCGACGACGGAGAGGGCTGGTCGGAAGGCTAGCGATGTCGGTTGGGGGTGTTGTATGCCGGCGATGAGCGCTGAGGGTGCTCTTGAAGGTCGGGGTATTGATGCCCAGCACCTCACGGGTATTTTCGGTGCCATTGTCGCTACGCTGTGTGAAGCGAACAAACGGCGATGTGAGGTCGTGGTAGGCGTGAGGTCCAGTCCGCCCGAAATTTGACGTCTTGGTCGCTAATCGCTATACCTAGCACTGCTGCAGCTATTAAGGTTTGCCTGCCCCGGTCGTCGAGGAAAAGTTGTGGAGATAAAATACAGCCGTAATTTACGGGCTTACAGCACCTCCAACACCACCTGGACGGCTGGTGTGACGACCCTGAGAACTTGCACAACAGATACTTACCTCTGGATTCCCTTTGTCTGTTTTGTTTGATCCCATTCTCTTGAATCGCATGTCACAATGGTCTACTATTTTACTTCAACAGTTGTTGATCCACCAGCCTATGTCTACGTAGGCAAGGACAAGTTTGAGAGTGCGTGAAGTTCAAGCCCAGAAGCCCACAGCCATGGTCAATAGGCGATTGATAGCTCATACTGTCCTGATAGATGAGGACCTCATCAAACATGGTTGGGAAGAGGATGTTTGGTAAGCGGATTCAGGCTTAAGCGCTCACTCGCTCATTCAACCGACGTGCTCACAAGCTTCTAGGGTATGAGACGAGAACCGTACTTTTGGGAGATGTTAATCACAGCCTGACTTGTTTGTGTGATGTCTCTAGTTCCACGTGGACAAGCTCTCTAGTGCACACATTTACCTGCGGCTGAGAGAGGGCGAGACCTGGGAGAACATACCTGAGCCTCTCGTCACAGATTTGGCACAGCTTACCAAGGCCAACTCCATCGAAGGTATGCCGCGCTGCTGTCCGTCACTCGAATTGAGACCTGGAACTCAGAGGAATATGTTCAGGTAACAAGAAGGACAACATCACCATTATCTACACACCATGGTCGAATCTGAAGAAGGACGGCAGTATGGCAGTCGGCCAGGTCTCCTTCCACAACGACAAAAAGGTCAGCCATTTTTACAGACCCGCAGGCATCGTGACGGCTTTGCTGAATTTTCCACTAGGTCAAGAGAATCCTAGTGCGTGAAAGGGAAAACGCAATTATCAACAGGCTCAACAAGACCAAGGTTGAGAAACACCCCGATCTGAAGCAAGAGAAGGACGACCGGCTGCGGGAGTTGCGGAAGAAAGATCAGGCAGCCCAATTGGCAAGAGTATGTATCATGTGCTACCCACACCAGCGACCGTCAACTGACACTCACGTCCCTCTCTAGAAGAAGGAAGACGCCCGAGTGAAGAAGGAGAGAGAACAGCTCAAGTACCAGAAAGACCACGCGTACGATGACATCTTCAGCGAGGAGAATATGGCGGCATCGAGCAACCAAGATCGAGACGAGAACTGGGAGGATGACTTCATGTAGATACCAATGGGGTGGTAATGATGAGCCGTGTAGAGGCCCATCCACGAAAATAGGTGGCATTGTTTCAAGCATTGAGGCACAGCGAATCCGTTCAAAGCTGTAGCGTGTGATTTCAAGCCCCCGAGGTCATTCCCACGTAGAATCCATAATGCCGCCTACTGACCCGGACCACGACCACCGATCCCACTACCCATCTGGTTGATATTCGTACCCTTCAGCTTGTGGTCATTTGGGTTCGCAGCAGCCTCGTACTGCAATGCCTCAAAATTAGTCACATCCTTTTCAGAAGACATATGGTGAAGGGAAGCCATTTATACAGTCCTGCATCCATAGCACTAGACACCGGCGGCTCGCTAGAGAGTTCCATGAGGGCATAGTACACTTCGTACAGCAGAAAAAAGTAGGCCATGCCCCAGGGGGGGGGTGGATTGTGCACGCTTACAATGATATTAGCCGGCGCCCGCCCGAGCTGCATCCACTCGCCCTTGAAGCCGAGGTACGAGATCCTCGTGACGTCCTCATCGCCGTCGCCAAAGTTGTCCGGGAAGAAGAGTGTCAGACGCTGGACCTTGCCGAACTTGGCGCGCTTGACGGGGAGGTCCTGCACCTCCGAGGTCTGCGAGAGCTCGAACTCTTGCTCGGCGGGCGTGTCCTCGGCGGCCTCGAAGTCGACGTCCTCCTTGTTCTGGAAGACCTTGAGCGTCTTGGGCGCGCTGGCCGACTGCGACGTGCGGATGAGGATGGAGTGCAGCTTTACCTGCCCGGCGAAGCTAGATGGCCGCCGTGTTAACCGCCCCGTTTGCAGGTGTGAAAAGGCTTTGGCTGTTTGTGTGTGTGATTGGTGATGAGGCTCACGGGACATTGATGATCAATTGCTCATCGGCATCGCTGGCCACCTCGGGCTGGTCGCTTAGTCTGTCGGTCCATTCCTTCTTGGTTATGGCTTTGCCAGAGCCATGCACGCTCTCGTTGAGGGTTGTGATGTTGTCGAAATCGATGTGTTGGTACAGCGAGAACTGTAGCGCAGGGGTTATGTCATCAGAATGATCGTGCTCATCGCCGTGGTGGTGATGATGATCATGCTCATCGTGGCAATGAGACATCTTCAGTATTGGTTGTTGAAATAGAAGCTTGAAAAGTTGGCAGGCGAGTATGGGACAGTGGGTGAGCGAGGTTTGGATGATGTCTTGTGTAAGTCTCGGGCTGCATGCAGATCGGCTGAGCTCGACAGCGCGCCTTTTGACGTTGCCAGACAACGACCCAATTACACATAAATGTAAATTTTTCAAAATTGGGAGAAGCTCTCCTGCTTGATTCTTTTTCTCACTCGCTCAAATTGGCAGTACACTGAATTGGAAGAATTAATTTTGTGTCCCTTATTCGTTCTTTAATGGATTCAAAATCTACGGTTGAAACTAGCTTTGTTATGCCCCCAGACAAGTCCTCCATCAACGTATCCAATGATGTCGAAAACATCTCCAAGCACTATCAAGGATTTCACTTAAAGCCCTTCTTCTTCCCTTTGATCTTCTTCTTGAGCATAGAGGGCCTAGTCCCGAACTCACCACGGAGCGGCTGGGACATTGTCTGGGAAGGACCGAAGCCTTGGCTCTGGCTCGGGGCCTGACTCTGGCTTCCGAACCCGAAGCTCTGATGCTGCCCTTGGCTCTTCGCAAATAGCTGAGGCGGCGGACTGGACCGAATTTCGTCCGGCACATATGGCTGGCTGAACGAGTCGCCAAAGCCCTCCAGCTTAATCCCCAAATTTGCTCTCTTCTCGGCTCTTCGGCGCCGGCGGTCTTCTTCTTTCTCCCGCCTGCGCTGCGCCCTTTGTGAAACTTCATCTGAGCCCTTGCCGGTGGGCGAGTATCTGTACTGCTGGGGGTTGCTGCCTCTCTGCTCAGGCCATAGTGACAAGACACGGCTTTGGCCTTGTTTCGGCGGGGGAGTAAACCTGATCGATGGAAGGTACATGCGCAAACGGGTTACTGCTGGGTCTTCCTGCCCTGTATTATCCTCGTCCTCCGTCTCGAGCGATTCGGGAGCTTGTGAGGTTGCTCGAGAGGTTGTTCGAGAGGATGCCGGTGTCGCTGAAGGTGTGGGCATGGTGATGGCCGAGCCGGACCGAGAAAAGCGCAACTCTTCATATAAGTCATCGGTTGTGGACTGACTGTTCTCTCTCCTCGGTATAGCCTTTGAGACGAGGTCCAGGGTCGATTGAGGTATCATGGACAGACTTTTCTCTGACAGATACACCTCGGCAGCCATTCTCTCCAGCGCAAGTTGCATATATCTCCACTGGGTTGCTGTGAGGGATTCAGCTGCAAGATGGCTCGACCAGTTGATGGCAAATCTTTCGAAGAAGTCGGTCACGTCGAATTTTGGCCCAAATGTACCGCGTTGAAAAAGCTGTACGTCGCTCCATTTTTGCAGTCGCTCAAGGTTGGTATTCCACACAGCCCCCACTCTTGCGAGATCTAGAGAATGCCATGAATCTTTAAACCCTAGCAATGGCTTCAACGCGATGTGCTCATTGGCTTCTCGTTTCCTCCACACATCTTGAATGAGATCAAAAGGCCCATCACTGTTATTCCCAGCCGATCCAAGGCTGCATTCTCCAAAGAAGCCATCGTTGATCTCTTTCATAAGTTTAATTAGATAGGATCTCAGTTGAACTGTGTTGCGGCTTGGAAAACCTTTTGTTGGAAGTTGGCGCCTGAGTCGCCTGTCATCTTCAACCGCGTCAGGAACAACAAAAGCATCTTCGACGTCCCGCAGTACCTTCTTCCGCAACGAAGTCCTCCTTTGGGCGTCATTCCACGCAGCTTGGTTCGACTTTCTGAGCCATCTCAGCGACTGAGCAGTCTCGGGTGCTATGGCAACAACTGATGAAGTCAAGCTCAGATCACCGGCCAATTCAAAGAGCTGGAAGAGTTGAGGCTTTTGGCCGTCCATGTACGCATCGCCAGCATCGCCTTCTGAACGGTAACGACTCTTTGATGCAGCAAAACGGAGAGGTACTGCGTGCAGGGATGCAATTCCCGCAAGCCCATCAAGACTAGTGTTCAAGCCTGGGTACTGCACCACCTGATGATAAAAGCTTGCACTTCCATCCTGAGGGGATATGGTCATGTAGAAAAATTGCACACGGTGATTCTGACCAGAGTGAAGCAGCACAAGCCAGTCGTCAGAGGACTGCAACCTTGCCACCGACATTTTCAGAGTTTCGTTGGTCTGACCTCTGAAGTGTGGGCATGACACCAATATGTTCGATTTGCTTGCTTCTGAGTCTCCGACACTGCTTATGTCTAGCACGTAAAGCTTCTCGGTAGTCAGAGCCAAGACATGGGTTGGACACCCTTTGATAGACTGAGCGTCAAGCAGCGCGTCTGCACCTTTGCGTTTCGAAAAGTCGAGATAAGAATAAACTTTGACACCATCAATATCCAAGACCGAGGCGCACGTGTTATTGGAAATGAGCAATCCATCGCACTTGGGGTCGTAGTCCATACGCCCAGTGAGGTAGTCAGCCTGGAGCGAACGGGATGCTGGGTCAGAGGTCTCCGATGGGCTGCTGTCACGCTCCCAGTCATGGGACCTCCTGGTTTTGCAGACCCATGAAATGCGATGATGGTTCTCGAACGGAAGCGGTCGGTTTGAAGGCCAAGTCGTTGGTGAGAACCCACAAGTTCCCCTGTTCTTTAGGACTGCCTTGTGAATTAATGATCTCCCATGGTGATCATGCTGGCTTTCGATAAACCAGACGGACCAGTTTCCCGACCTGTCTACAATCGCAATTTGTGGAGCCTCTGCTTCTGAGCCGATATTGATCGAGAAGTCAGAATGAGCATCTCCTCCTGTGGCATCCGCATTCAGTGTGACAACAGGATTCAATGCAATGTGCTGCAAAGCTGCGTTGTCTAGTGTTGCCGTCTGCGTCCTCTTCGCTGAAGGTTTCGCCCGAATCTCTGGTCGGAAGACGGTTGTTGAAGTTGATCTTTGAGCAATAAGCCATCGAATCGGGTCTTGTTGCCTCGGCTTGGTAGCAAACAAGATCTTTGATATGGGGGCTCCATCGCTGTTCCATGTTCCGTAGAATTGCGTCTGCACTGCTCCTATTGGGAACGACGAGTTGGCCCACATACATTTTTCCAAGCCGATCATAGACACGCGAAGAACGTGACCAGTCTCACCAGCCGCCACCGCCACTGCTGGCCGTGATGTGGCGCGAGAGGGATTCCTCAGGTCCGAGATCTCCCCAACTGCAAGGACCGACCCCATCTGGCTTTCCATACCACCATCATTGTATCGAGATGCGCGAAGCTGCTCCGCGATGGCACCTTGCAGGTCGACGTTTCCAAGGAATGCCTCGGGATGAGTCTTGAGCAGCCAGTACTTGGAAGACTTGATGTCCTTGAAAGTACCTGCATGGGCCGCATCAGACCTTGACCGCGTTGGCGGGAACCAATCCTCAGAAGGTAAGATTTGTTGAAATGAAGGCGCTATGAGCTTGGTCAGTATCGTTCCCATCTAACAAAGGGGCGCAAACTGGCCACTTACGCTTCTCAGTCACTCGACTGAAGCCTAGGTCCCCAACATCTGCATCTTCATCACGCACGGAGTGGTATGAGACTTGACCCACATGGCCAAGTAAGAAGTCATTCACGCGATGTATCTCAATTGTGTTGGATTTTCTGTTTTGAGCATCGTAGCGATGGCCATCGCCATCCGACCTAAGGCTGCTCTCAGCCATATGCTTTGTCGGTCCCAACAGCGTTTATTAAATCTGAGGTTGAAGTATGCATAGTGATGGCCGAGCCAGCATGGAGTAATTAGAGGCAGTGTTTTAAGCAAAATTGTGGCCAAAATATGTCCCAGCTGGCCTTGAAAAGCAAGCAAACCTCTTCAAACCGCAGAAAAGTAGAGTTGAAGGCCGACCAGATCCACAAGCGAGTCAAGGTAAACTGCCAATAGCAGGCTCCCCTGTCAGCCGCCCAGCCGCGGTACGTACTCAAGCACTAGCGTGTACGATTATTGCTCCGGCAACCGCGATCTATAGATTCAGGAAGCGACTTTCGCATTCGACCTGGTCTTCAATTCGGGCTTCGTCTGGCATTGCAACACGTTCCACCTTTCCGCCCAAAGCAGTCGCAACATCTCAAAACGACGCCTACAAATTCCATACGAACCACCAATCAAATATACCCCGACAAGATGTCTACCGTATTTGAGCCCAGGAGCTCGCAGAGCCGACAAACAATGGCCGCGCCATCCGTGGCAGACAGCCTCCCCAGCATCAACTTTGGATTCGACGAGCTGCGCGATCGCATGGCCCGTTTTACAGCCAAATTCGATGCATTTATTGAACAAGGGCGAAAGAGGGTGTTGGAGGAGAAGAATCAATTCGTTATGCAGGTCACAGAGCTACAAGGTGCGCGCCTATCTTGTCCTGCCCGAGGCATCGCAAAGCCGTGACTGACTTGAACACATGTAGAGGACCAAAGGATGAAGAGAAAAGACATCGACATACTCCAAATGAAGACAAACACACACCAGAACAGCATCGCCAAGGAAGCAGCCGAGAGCCGCGAGATGCAAGCCGCCATTGCCTCGCTCAGCGCCGAGCGCGACAAGCAGCTCGCCCTGCGGGACACACTCCAGAAACAGATAGAGGAGACGCAGAAGGAGATCGACACGCGGCTGGCGGCGCAGCGCGCGCATCAAGCCCAGCAGGAGGCGCAGGCGCGCTTCAACGTGCCGGAGCTGGACTTCTGGATCACGAACCTGTGCCTCAAGATTGAGGGAGCAGGGCAAGAGGACAGGCTGAAGTTTGTGTTCTCGCATATTGATGAGAAGGACTGGGAGCGCGAGGCGTGGTTCGAGCTCAGCACTACCTCCAGGGACTACGAAGTAAAGCACTGTAGGCCCAGGTTGGATAGAGAAAGTATTGAGCGAGTGTTGGAGAAGACGAACGAAACGAGAGAGCTGGCGGTGTTACTAAAAGGGATGAGGGAGCTCTTCGTCGAGGCCTTCAAGAGTTGAGCTCGCGCACGTGAAAAGCGCAGGGTAATTCAAGATCAAGAAACTCAACTACGTGGCGAGGGCAGATGATAAGCAGTGTTGCCATTTTGAAGGGCAACTGTATTGATTTTGACCGTGTTGTTGCCCGCGTGGGTGCCGCTACGCCGTTGAACTCAGGAGTGCCTGGGCGCGCAGTAGGAAGACGGTGGTAGCCTCAGGACTGCGGTAACTTATTAAACAAGTAATGAAAGAAATGAAACGTGATGTGAACCACTTCATCCATATTATTGAAAGTGTATCTAAAAAATCCAATCATTTACCGTCATGATTGTCAAGTTGAAGTTGGCACTCGTTGTTTTCGCATAGCACTACAAGGCGCATAAACCAAGGCCCCGCCAGGAGACCCGCGGGCCAATCTGACTTTCAAGTTCCTTATCCGCGCTCACGCTCATTCAGAACCTCGCCCTTACCAACCAACCATCAACCAAAAGACAGCATTGATATGCCCCCTCCTCCAGAAGAAAACAAACAAGCCTCGGCGCAAGTCGCCGTAGACCTCCTCTGGGAGATCTCTCAAATCCTCGTGAGCAAGCCACCCGGTTTCACGTCGCGGGTGACAGACCGTCCGTCCTTTGAGGACTGCGCCTGACCGCGTGCCCAACGCAGAACTGCCACCTCGACCGGCGCGAGATATCGATATGCACCTCCCTGATCGAGCGGGGCGTCAATCCGGAGGCACTTGCTGTAAGTTTTCGCGCGTGTGCTTCCTCTCTGCAACGTTTCGTGGTTGGCTTTCTCATCGCTAACTGACCCGGCGCAGACCACCATCAAAGAGCTGCGCAAGGGCGCCCAGGAGACCAAGATTGAGCTCGAGTCGCGCAAGCAGCAGCAGCAGCAGCAATGATGAGATTTTTGGTTGATCTGGTTCATGGAGTTACGGCGCCAGTCTCACGAGATTAAGGATACTTATTGCTTTTGGTCGTCACATCTGAGAATGTGCGGGCGGTCACTGGGGTTTATGGAAGCACGACAGGTTTGCGAATCGATTACTTGCTATGTGAATACCTCTGTACGGCTTGTGCAGTTAACTCAATATGCCCCCCAAGTAGTTACCGACCATTGATTGAAAAGCCGCCTGTCCGCCAGAGACGCCATGTGCCCGAGTCCAAGTTTTCCAACCCCGTCGAATGCATGTATGCTAAACAAACTAGTCGCCCTCCGTCGAATCCAGCGTTTGCCTCCGATACCAAGTATGCCAGAACGCCGTCGCCTTTCAAATCACCAACGGCAATGCAATTTCTCGAAGTTTCTCGTAGAAGATTTCCACGGCTCCTCACCGGTGGCCGAACAACATGATATCATCGTCCTCATTGTCATCATCCTCGTCGTTTTCCGAGTCCTCGGCGTCTGTGTCGTCTTCATAGTCGTCGTCTTCTTCTTCGCTCTCAGGTCCGCTGCGAGTCTCGCCTCCCCAGAAGTTGAGCTCCTCCACGTCGTCATCATCCATCGCGGAATCTATTTGTGGTACTGCATGCGCATGATGGCCAGCCGGACTTGCGGCATCTTGGCTCGAGCTATACGGCGCATGTGAACCACTTGGGTGAAGTATCGAACCAGGATTTGATCCAAAGGCACGGTTCTGCGACGGGCTATGGGGGTGCGCTGATATTGCCCGGGTTTCTGGGGCTGGATGCCCATGCCCATGCGCAGGTGTCGAGTCATTCTCAGTCCTGTCCCCTGGCATCTCAGACCGCTCCAGTTCCACCGTGTTATAAGAGCGGCAAATCTGACAACGCAAGCCCAGGAAATGGTATTGCGTGGTGCACTTTGCTGAACAATCGTTACAGAGGATGATTGATGTGACGTTCTCGAACTCTTCCGGCATTGGTTGTTCGCGGATGATGTTCGCCAGATTTGTGAACAATGCTTCCATGTTCACGATACTCTTGCTGCAGATTGGGCATTTATAAGAGGAGGCCATATACTCATTGAAGCAGGTCCGGTGGATTGAATGACCACAATCCATAAAGATGACGGTTTTGTGCGAGGCGAACATATTTTCCCCGCAGATAGGGCAGTCGGCGTCTGTCGCTCGTTCTATGCATTTATGATTGTTGGTTTGTGTGATAGAGATGCAAGCTCGGCAGGTCTGTACGAGAGTTAGCACCGCACATGAGGTGAAGGTACAGCTGCAGTATACTCACTTTGCAGTGGAAGAAGTCCTTGTCCAGCCCATGTCCAACTCGGCAGATGCCACAATCATCACAGTGGTAGATTGGCTTGTTCACATCGTCACTCCACAACTTGCAAATGTTACAGTAGTACTGAGCCGCACACTCGCCACAGTTCACGCATGTATCGGATGCCTTTTGCGCATGACCGCACAGCATGCAGAGCATGTGTTTCGTCATCTTCCGGGGCAAGATGTGCTCCTCTGCCTCGTCATGGCACAGCCTGCAAGTGTACCATTTCTCGCAAGCCGCACACTGGAGCTTGACGTTCCGCCTGTAGTGCACGCAGCCCAAGACTTGGGTCTCGGCTCCGTCGGCATCCTCCGCCCTGCCACCGTCATCTTCCAAGTCTTCCTCGTCATTGAGGATGGCCGTGGCGGGCACATATGTAGGTCGGCGGTCTCCCTCCGATACGTGGAGTCTGGCCCTTTCGTCGAGCCCGGTCCAGGCTTTGATCGTCTCCAATGCTGAAACGCCAAAGCCGAAATCTCGAGAAGTCGAAGCCGAGGCACCCTCTGTGGACGGGACAGGCGCTGCGGATTTCCCCTCAGCGGCTGCTTTGGCGAGTCTTCTGCTGGTGTAGTTTTCGGTAAGGAGCTGCTGTGTGAGATATCTCTTCTGGTCGAAGGTGATGTTGCTAGACTGTATACTGAGAATCCGCAGCCGCATCGCCCCCATCCCATCATCTGCAGGCAGTCTACGGGATTCCCTCTCGGCGGCCTGTGCGCCGCCGTCGAGAGCAGCCTGTGGCTCAGCAGTGCTCTCCGTGTCGGACAGGCCGTGGAGCTCCATCTCGAGTCGTAGAGGAGCGATTGACGGGACAGTCAAGGGGCGTGACAATCCCTCGGGAACGGGAGCGGTCGCAACCCTGCGCTGGGGAATGAGGAGAGGTGGGGACCTGGCACCAAGGGCTATGTCGGGGGTTCTTGTGAACCTTCCGAGGCTGGGGAAAGGGGATGAAGGTCCGTCACATTCGGCAATGGCGTCGCCATTTTCTTCTGGATAGTCGTCGCGTGAGAACGGGCGGCGGGACTCGGGCGAAGGTCCCGCAGCAAAAGGGCTCGAGAAGCGACGGACAACAGTCCGAGTAACGGGGTTGTTGATGATGAAGTCGGATACTAGGGATGACATTTGGAACCTGGTCGGGCAGGGCGATGCGGACTTGAGCGGCGGCCCATGTGAGGTGCCTCACAGAAACCCTAGGAGAATATGCAGAGGGGTCGCAACAATAGGAAAGGTTCGGCAGTTCGGACGGGGGTGTGATAAATGGCACCCAAAAGTCGATCTGCTATCTGGGAAATGATGGTATGTACTTGGATAGGTGTGTAGGCAAGGCAGGGTAGGTTCAGATCTTTAATGTCGCAGGCCATCCTGGCACCCAACACCGGGGGACAGCCAGGTGGTCTCGGCCCAGCACCGCCGTAGTGGTAGTGCTGGGGTACCTGGGAACTTTGGAAGGTGGGGCTCGGTCCATCACATGCTGCTTAGATGACAGCCTAGTACTAAGTCTACTGAACGTAGCATGCTCTTTCTAAGTTGTCATCACGTTGGCTGCCACGACTTGATTCGACCCTTTCTATCGGTCGGCCTTTGGGAAGGCAACTTGCAGTACGACCTTCGCATGTACTGCAATGTGCCTGGGTTCCTCAGCTCGTTCTCTGCGCGAACGCTTGGGGACGAGGTGAGGTACCCGGGTACATAGGAGCTTGTGGGGCACCTAAACTTTGCCAGTACCGTGTCCTTCTTTCAAGGGGCATGCGATCGTGAACGGACAGCCGTGGGCTCTTTTCAGTCAATGATCGTCCGATATTTGAGCTTCGAGCTGTACAGTGGACAGATCTAGTAACTAATCGGTCAGACTACTCCCTTCGGTAGATTATTCTCCTCCTATATACGAAGACGAGCTCACACTCTTCTCTCTCCCTTCGGATCTCATCCGCTTCATTTGGCAGTCTCTCTTGGCCTGCACACATCAGCAACACCAACACCATATCTCCACTATATCGCCGACCCTCTTCCACAGTACCTTTCGCCTAGCTATAAAGTTCTGCAAAGAGTGATACTTTATGAGACAAGAACAAGCCCGCTTCATTAGACATCGGACACCACAGTTCCCTGTGCGATGCAGGGTCCATGACAAAGAGATTTGTGCAACCTTGAACGTGTGCCGGTACTCCTCCCCTGCGTCAGCGTCTACCCACATGATTTTTGGTTTGAACGAAGCCCAGGGATCTGCCGGCCCGCGTCTATAGGCGGCAGGACTTCAGGGTAATGAATGCAGCATGGAATCAAATAATTGCCCGAGCCAACCCCAAAGCACGGAGGACGTAGAACGGTGAAACGTGCAGGTACCTAATATAAATTAAACAGAAATGTGTACACGTAGTTGTGTTAGCCCACGGCTTACCACGAAACTGTGGGTCAGTCAGGCCTGGACCACTCATCCTTGGCTGTCACTCAGAAACGGCAAGGGAGGGAGGGAGAGGATGTGCTGATCCACTCGCCTTGGCGATCAGGTTGGAGCTCTCAGAGTGCTGCGGTACTGCATGGTACCACGGGCGCGGTTTGCTCGGGCAGGGATCTTCTCAGCACCTAGCGGCCTGCCTTACCTTGTTAGCACGCTCCACGTACGTCTGTTCCCGCGCTACCTGGGTACACAAATTTGTCCCTGAATTGGAGCTGGCTGACGGCTTCTCCTTGTCGCACCCGAGCTGCGTAGAGGCCACGATTATTTTCAGCAATCCTCCCCTCTATCCCTTTCCCTTCAGCCAAGCTCTGTCTTCGGCCACAATCTCTTCATTCCCACAAGAGGTTGTGCAATCCTCTTTCGCCGGTTGTCCTTTCCACTGGGCAGTTGATGTTTGCACCATAGCCTTTGGATTCTCATTGCAGGACCCCCGGACCTTGGGATCCTACTTTGGGCTCACCATCACTGCACCTCCTTTGCGGCCCCCTCCCCCCCTTTCGACACTGTCTTTCACCACATTTATTATCTCCACTTCCCGTTCTGAAAACCCTCTTGGACTCAGCTTTCTCCAGGCTTGACTTTTGATCAAACTCACCTCGCACTGCTGCCACCATGGCCGCTACCGAACGGGCCGTTGCCTCTGGCGCGGACGTCGGCGACACCCTGCGAAGACGCGATGTCCCTTCTACCCAGCCCGGTGCCGTGCAAGGCCAGCCTCAGGCCGACGACAAGGAGAAGGTAAAGAAGGTCAAGAAGGTCAGTTAAGACGGTCATGAACCATGTGCTGCAAAGAGTACGCGCTGACACGGGAGGCTATAGCAGCCATCGATTCTCCAAGTACTCGACGAGTGGGAGTTCCTCATCGCTCCCATCCTCTTTACCGCCCTCGCCTTCTTCACCCGCCTCTATAAAATCGGACTGTCCAATATTGTGACCTGGGACGAAGCACAGTGCGTCTAGCCTCGATCTGGCATTACATGGCAAGATTCGCTGACTTGGAGATTGTAACAGCTTTGGAAAGTTCGGATCCCACTATCTGAAGCACGAATACTACTTCGATGTCCATGTACGATATTCCACGCAAGAAACTTGTACAAAGAATATTCTAACACTCAGGTAGCCACCTTTGGGAAAGCTTCTTGTCGGCCTGTCAGGTTATCTTGCCGGATACAACGGATCGTTCGAGTTCAAGTCCGGGGAGACGTACCCCGAAGATGTCAACTACACCTTTATGCGCCAGTTTAATGCCTTCTTCGGTGCCATTTGCGTTCCGATGGCCTACTGGACCGCCAAGGAATTGAATTTCAAGCGACCAGCAGTGTGGCTCGTCACACTTATGGTTCTTTGCGAGAACTCGTACACCACCATCAGCAGATTCATTCTGCTTGATTCGATGCTCCTCTGCGGCACCGTTGCCACGACCCTCTGCTGGGCGAAATTTCACCGGCTCCAGGACAAGAGTTTCGAGCCCGAATGGTTCTTCTGGCTGTTCATGACGGGATTCAGTATCGGCTGTGTTACTAGTGTTAAACTGGTCGGGCTCTTCGTCACTGCGCTGGTTGGACTGTACACAGCTGAGGACCTGTGGAACAAATTTGGCAACATCCGGATGCCTTACGCGGAACTCGGAGCCCATCTTGCTGCAAGAGTCGTGGGTTTGATCGTTCTCCCGTTCCTGATCTACATGCTCAGCTTTGCAATCCACTTTGCCGTTCTCACCGACAGTGGGCCAGGTGATGCCCAGATGAGCTCGCTCTTCCAGGCTAACCTGCGCGGCACCGAGGTAGGCCAGAACAGCCCGCTCGAGGTGGCGTATGGTTCTCGGGCTACAATCAAGAATATGGGTTATGGAGGCGGACTCTTGCACTCCCACGTACAAACATACCCAGATGGTTCTGGTCAACAACAGATTACCTGCTACCACCACAAGGATGCCAACAACGATTGGTTTTTCTACCCGAACCGCCGTGACAAGGATTACGACGAGAACGAGGAGCCTCGCTTTATTGGAGACGGCGAAGTCATCCGTTTCATCCACGCTCAGACTGGCCGCAATTTGCACTCACACGACCTTTCTGCCCCTGTTACCAAGGCTGATAAGGAGGTATCTTGTTACGGCAACTTGACAATTGGCGACGACAAGGACCACTGGAAGGTAGAGGTTGTGCGAGACGTTGCATCCAGAGACCGCAGCAGAATCCGAACCTTGACAACTGCGTTCCGACTGAAACACGAAGTTCTGGGCTGCTATCTGCGAGCTGGTAACGTCAACCTGCCACAGTGGGGTTTCAGACAAATTGAAGTTACTTGCACCAAGGAGAACAATCCCAGGGACACATACACACATTGGAACGTGGAGGCTCATTGGAACGAGAAGCTGCCTCCTGCAGAACCTGGCCAGTACAAGTCGCCATTCATCCACGATTTCATCCACCTCAACGTCGCAATGATGACATCCAACAATGCCCTGGTTCCTGATCCAGACAAGCAGGATGACCTGGCTTCTCAGTGGTGGCAGTGGCCCATTCTGGTAAGTTCAATCTGTCTCGTTGCGGGAGTTCCAATTTTTTCCTTTTTCCTTGGAGAGTCCAATATGCTGATGTGAGATTTAGAATGTTGGATTGCGCATGTGCGGTTGGGACGACCACATTGTCAAGTACTTCCTTTTGGGTAACCCCTTCGTCTATTGGGGCTCGACGCTGTCCATGGGCCTCATCGGCACCATTGTTCTATGGTATCTCGTCCGGTGGCAGCGGGGCTTCAAGGAGCTGTCCCAATCCGACATCGATCAGATACATTACGCCGGCCTCTATCCACTCGCGGGTTGGTTCCTGCATTACCTGCCGTTCGTCATCATGGCTCGTGTCACCTATGTCCACCATTACTACCCTGCCCTATACTTCGCGATTTTGACGACGGGCTTTTTGGCGGACTGGTGCCTGCGGAATCGCAACCAGGTCCTCCAGGCTGTCTTGTATGGTGGGCTCTACGCTGTCACCATCGGTCTCTACGTCTACTTCATGCCAATCTGCTGGGGCATGACTGGCCCAAACAAGGACTACAACTACATGAAGTGGTTCGATGCCTGGAGAGTGACGGACTAGACAGACCATCGTAGGTCAGAGTTTCGTTGGATGACCATCTAGATCTCCCTATGGTAGGAGACACTACAGCTCGAGTAAGGAGTCACTTGGGATCATCTCGAATTTGCCGGAATATGGCAGCTAGTTCATGTTGCTGTAATGGCCTAGTTTCGGGGCTGGAGTTTTCGATGTTTGGTCAATTTTGGCGAGATAAAACAGGAAATATGGAAGAGAAGGGACCACCCCTCCCAGAAGTAATACCACATCTTGTTTGTGCTTGCTATATGCGATGCTCAATTTATCTATGCCTGATGATGTGTGTCAGCGCACCTTGCTGATTATGCATTACGTGCTGTACATTGAAGTTTTAGTACTTCCATAAGATTTGATCCGGCCGGGGGTTTATCAACCTGACAAGGCCTCATGACTGTTCGTTTTCGTGGGAGACACTCGGGGACGACCTCCATTGCGCCTGCTTTTCCGTTGCTCCGACCACCTTGCGCTATGTATCAACAACACACACCACCATTTGAACTCTTCCTCGCATCTACCTTGACGTTCGACCCGCCACCCCACCCAGCGCCCTGGCCCTTGACGCCGGAGCGCCTGTCGTTCAGATCGTACTTGCCGGCCTGGATGTTCTGGTATATCCTCTCTGCGACGCCAAGGAAGGCCTCCTCAACGTACTCGCCCGTCTTGGCGCTCGTCTCGACGTAGCGCAGCACGCCGTTCTGGCGGGCCCAGGTGGCGGCCTCCTCGGCGCTGACCTCGCGCTTCTCGTTGGCGAGGTCGGCCTTGTTCCCGACGAGGATGACGACGATGTCGGGCTCGGCGATCTGGCGCAGGTCGTTGAGCCAGTCGGTGACGTGCGAGAAGGTCGACTTGCGCGAGATGTCGAAGACGAGGAGCGCGCCGCTCGCGCCGCGGAAGTAGGAGCGCGTCACCGACTTGTACGTCTCCTGGCCCGCCGTGTCCCAGAGCGACAGCTTCATGTGCTTCTGCGGCTGTTGCGAGTCCTTGGGGGCGGCGCGGGGCGGGTCGGGCAGGCCGTTTGGTGGCGGCTGGTCTGGTTTTGACGAGGGGTCGGCGCTGGAGGGTGACGAAGAGGCGTCTGTCTGGGAGGATGCTATCGCCTTGTTGGCGGGGGCGCCGACAGGTACTATCCTGGAGCCGAACTCTACTCCGATCGTGACATCGTGGTGTTGCACGAAGCGGCCCTCGCAGAGCCGGATGGTCAGGGACGACTTGCCGCAGCCGCTGTCTCCTATGCAGACCAGCTTGGCGATGTAGTCCCAGGGTGGTGAGGACATGTGGGCGGTGTCGCGTATGAGATGTGTGGGTGTTTGCACGGGACGACGGTCAAGAGGGCGGGTTTGAGAGGTTTGGCTGTCTCGAGACCGGAGTCGCCCAGGGTTCCGAACGAGTGGACCGTTCGATCTGATAGGGTAAAGTGGCGTTCTCTTTTGGGGGTTGAAGACGTATAGATATGTGGTTTTGTTGGGCAAGGTTCGACGAGACAGCAAGTAGATTCAGATCGCACGAGAGCACAGCGTGGGACGAAGTGGTGTATCACGAGTTTAGCAGGTTGGGGAGGAGGGATGGCGTAGGGTGAGTAGTGAAGAGTGAGAAAGGAACATATGGGCGGGAGTCTGAGCATCACGAGTGACGTTGGACCGCTGATCCACCTAGTCTGGGCCTTCGGGATCAATGTCACGCTCGGGTGGAGCAGCCACCTGATGGCTACATAGTTGCCTAGGTACCTAGCTAGTCTGGATAGGCTGACTAGGTACAAAGCATGTGTTTGAAGGCCCCCGGGAGCCTAGGAGACAGGGGCGGGCGCTATCGCCATCAATCTACCGCTTATCTGCAGCATGGGGGAGGGAAGACGGAAAGGGTGGACGCCACCAAGAACAACTGCGGTCGGGGAAGTGACTGCTTCCATGCAGCACATGGAGAGGCAGGCTGGGCTTGGGCTGGCAGGCTGGATGCGGGAGGCATGGGGAGACTGTGCAATGACGGAACGGACTGACTGCCTGTGACTGCACGCCTGTGACTGCCTGCCTGCCCGTCTGCCCGTCTGCCCGTCCAGTGCAGGTCAAAGCAGAGGAGGAGCCGGTGTCGACGAATCCCTGCATTAGGCATTAGACCCTCAAGCAGTGCGTGCTCACTCCCGCCTAGTCATCCATCCCGCTTCGGCCCTGGGGCCTTCTCCCATCTGGTCAGGTACTACAATGCCTTTGGCCTTTACCTCTGCCTCTTTTTACCCTCTGCCCGGACAAGTCAGACCGCATCTCCTATTCTGCATCTCATTTACGCGCCCCCGTCCTATACTCTTTCCAAAGGCGATCCGGCCGTTCCTATTCATTCCAGCTGCACCCTCACACGTCATCCCGTCCAGTGCGCCTGCCAGACACCGGTCTCGCTAACTCACTCGCCCGCCTTGACTGACCGCCACCCCTGTTGATTCGAGGCTCGCCCAGCAGCCCAGAAGCTGAGGAACCTCAGCCATGTTCTCAGAGTGTGAGGCTCCTCCTTGTTCTCAAATGTGCTTCAAGCGCACGCCCTGTGTTTCTGTATTTTGTGTTTGTCCCCGTCTGTTCAAGCTAACTCGGCCCAGACGCCTCGAGGTTCCTGGCTCAGTCGCAGTCCCGCCTTTCCAACTTCCAAGGCCAGCCCGACGTCGACACACCACCGCGAAGCCAGCCAGGTGAATGGACAAATAGAACATCCAGGAATGGGAACGGGAACAGATCTTTCCTTGGTCGTGGAACAAACCCTTATCAGCCCTCCGCCTCTCGCTTTGGTCACCTCAGCTTTGCGTCCAGGCTCGCGACCCCTCAAGATGCACCCCTCTTCCACAGCACTAGGGACGAACTGCGGGAAGAGGAAGACGAGGATGAGAGGGATAGAGAGGCTGCAGATCTCTATGCTCTGCAGAGGTCTCGTCGCGTCTTCCAGGCGAGCCGGCTGGAAGAAAGCACCGAGCCCGAAGATGAAGGGGACCCAGCATCACTCGAGCATAGCCAGGAACAGCAAGATAGCAGGGCTTTCTTTGAGCGCGGACAAACCAGGGGCATAAAGAGCAGTTGGAGTGGGCCCAGGAACAGCTTCGCCCGCACTGGTCCAGGGCGAGGCGGTGGTCACGAGGGCAATCTTGAGAGGGTAGTCTCCAACAGTAGCGACTCGTCCACGAAGGCAAGGATGGAAGACGTCGGTCTGGAGTCGACGATAGCAGACAGCGAACCACCCGCTGAGCTCACCATGGAGCAGTCCGCCGACGACGCCCCTGCCTTTCAGAGGCTGAAGGGCTTCAATACGACGGCTCGTATGCCATTACGGCGAGACTCTACGATGGAATCTGAGGCAGGTAGCTCTCCTTACGATGACCGACCAGACGCTGCACCAGCAGCCCCAGAGGGCGAGCTCTTTAAGCATGACGCATTCTTTGCCTGGGTATATCTCATCGCCCTCGCCTCGATGCTGGCCACCTTCATCCTGGTATGGCTGCACACTTCCGCCCCTAGCGGGAAGAAGCCCCTGGGTGATACGATATATACTGTTCTAAGATCGTCTTTCCACCTCCTGGCCGTGGACACCTTAGTGGCAATGATTGTCTCGTTCGTTTGGATTGCCGCCTTGCGATACTTTGTCAGGCCCCTGGTTGGCTTGATTCTGGTAGCCGTTCCGATTGTTATGCTCTCTTTCTCGATATACCCATTCGTCTCGAGCTTCCAGGGCGAAAAGCACGGTTCGACCTTCCAGGATGTTGTCATGCGATGGGCCTCAACTGTCCCCGGCTTCTTTGCGGGTGTGTGGGTCTACATGGTTTGGAAGGGACGTCACGCACTGGGCTCAGCCATTGCGATTCTCGAATTCTCCAGCCGGATTCTGGCGGCAAACAGTGCTCTAATGCTAGTTGGAATGGGCACTCTCGCCCTGATCGTGAGCTGGACATGGGTTTGGCTGGCCATGTTCACCAGGGTGTTCCTCGGCGGGTCCTTCTCGGGCGTATCCAGGTTCGTCCTCCAAGCATCAAGCTGGTGGCTAGGCGTGTACTTCCTCATGATGTACCTGTGGACGCTCTCCATGATCTCGGGTGTCCAGCGAGGGACAACTGCGGCCACAGTTTCACAGTGGTACTTCCATCGCAATGCAGTACCAGCCGTGGCGTCTCGCGAGATCGTGGCGGCTGCCCTGAACCACTCCGTGACCACCATCTTCGGGACCATTTCGCTGTCCACACTATTGGCATTGGTGGTTCGGATGCCCCTGCTTGTCCTTCATCGGCGCATTGCCAGCATCATTGCCGCCTTTTTCTATACCTTCATCCCTACATCCATCGTCGCTATGACAAACCCTCTTACTCTTACCTACGCTGCCATCCACTCCCAGCCTCTCGTGGACTCTGCACGCGGCCTGAGCCAGATGGACTTCCTCGGCCCGCAAGCGCCAACGACAACCCTCACCCCGCGCGTGTTCAGGCAACGAGGCAGCGCCCCTCTGCTTCCTTACCGCCTGGCGAAGCTGCTCCTTCAGGCTACCAAGTTCATCATGGCCACGGCCTTGGGCTTTGCGGGGTGGGTGATGACTGCAAGGCAGTTGTCGATCTCTGTGCCGGATGGCAGCACCGGCTTCAAGGGCAGCGCATATGCCTACGTGGTTGGTCTTGTGGCGAGCTTTATTGGCTGGGGAGTGCTTGGCGCTATGGAGGGGATACTCAGCTCCATCGTGGACGCGGTGGTAATCTGCTACGGCAGTGAGACGAAAATGGTCAGTGGAGGGGGCGGGTATTGCATGGAGGCCGCGCAGCTGTTTGGCGGAAGAGGGAGAAGACAGGATTGGGATGAGGCTTCAGAGTATTGACGAAACAGAATAGTCACGGGTGCAACGACGGCAGCAGTCAAATGAGGGGGCATGTGTGAGAGGGTTCATAGCAGAGTGCTATGGACGTGGAATATGTTTTTGACGGCAGGAAGCGCGGCGTTTTGTCTCTTTATTTGGGCCATGGCTCTCTGATTCTTTCAGTGGTCGATATCGTTCATGGCGCATACCCCGGCCTGGAATGATTTCAGGATAGATGCCTAGACTGACATAGAAGGGTTGCAATGGTACATACGGGACTCTAAGGGCTCATGGAAGGGCCGTCTCACTAGGACAAGAGCTTCCAACAACCCAGCTCTGGAACAATTCCAGATTTGAGTATGCCATTAAATTTATTTTGAATATATGAAAGTCCTCGTAGACCAAGAGTGAATCACGATGAGCAAATTTGGTGTTCGCCATGTTAGGACGTCCTGACTGGCTTACAAGCACTGGCACTTGCCATGGTCGCCCTAAAATTTTCAGGCCCCACTATTGACTTTCAACTCACACTCGCTTTTCTCAACATCAATCATCAAAGTATGCGCCGGTGACAACCCCCACCCACAACATGCCGATAAGCTTACGGCAAGGCCTAGACCGTGATGTCTACCAAATCGTACGAAAGTACGAGGACGATTCCAACGGCTCCAAAGTAACTATCAGCGGTGTGTACGAGTTTATCCAGCGGTCCAACTCAAGCCTGAAGAGGCAAAAGAAACGCATCCTAGAGGACTCGATTGAGAGGGTCTTGGATGTGCGGCGGGAGGAATCCAAGGCCGAGAAGGACTCGGACGAGGAGCTGGAGCGCGAGATCCAGGCCCAGGAGAACCGCGCCAAACGCTCGAGGGAGGAGCGAGATGCGGGCCTGCTGAACAGGCAGCTCACGAAGCACTGGAACTTCAAGGGCTCAGAGGCCAAGGCGACTGGCTCGGCCGCCTCGTCTACGGGGAGGCAGACGCCGGCGGCGGCGGCGGACGCCATGGACGTGGACACGCCGACCGTCGACCGCCAGCCAAACGGCGAGTCCAAGCCGAAGCGGAGGCGCAAGGACCCTAAGGAGGTCGACCGCTCGCCGCCGCAGGACATCAGCCTCGACGACCTGGCGGGCGTCGACAGCGTGATTGAGAGGCTCAAGGGACCCGTGTGGATCCCGCTCCTGCGAGGGGACGACCTCGCCGAGCTGGGGTACCGGCCCAGCGACGGCGTGCTGCTCCACGGCCCGTCTGGGTGCGGCAAGACGACGCTCGCGCACGCCCTGGCCGCCGACCTCGAGGTCGCCTTTATTCCGGTGTCTGCGCCGAGCTTAGTCGGCGGGACGAGCGGCGAGAGCGAGAAGAACATCCGTGACATCTTCGACGAGGCGATGCGGCTCGCGCCGTGCCTCGTGTTCTTCGACGAGCTCGACTCGATCGCGGGCAAGAGGGACAATGCGCAGAAGGCGATGGAGGGCAGGATCGTGGCCGAGATCTGCAACGGCATGGACAAGATCGGCCGCTCCGGCAGGGCAGACGACGGGGACAAGGCGCCCGGGAATGTGGTCGTCCTGGCCGCCACCAACCGCCCCGAGAGCATCGACCCCGTGGTGCGGAGGCGGTTTGGCGTCGAGGTCGACATCGGGATGCCCAACGAGCCGGCAAGGGAGAAGATCCTCCGGACCATGACGCGAGACCTGGCGCTGGGCAGCGATGTGGACTTCTTGGCGCTGGCGAGGCTGACGCCCGGTTACGTCGGTGCCGACCTGAAGCACGTCGTATCTGCCGCGGTATTCAAGAGCATCCAGGCGCGAACGGACCTGCAGTCAGAAATATTCATCGAACAAATCCCCACAACTGACACCGAATTAATAGAGCTTACGAAGTCCTGGAAAGAGGCTGAAGCAGGGAGCCGGTCGGCCAAGTCGGAGATTCGTATCATGAAAGCCTCCAACGTGATGTACAGCGGGCCACTAGGGATCACGCAGGCGGACTTCAAGACCGCTGTGTCGGCCGTGCAACCAGCCGCCAAGCGCGAGGGCTTCAGCGCCATACCCGACACGACGTGGCAGCACGTGGGAGCGCTGGCCGAGGTGCGCAAGAGGCTCGAGATGACCATCATCGGGCCCATCAAGTACCCAGAGCGCTTCGCGCGCGTGGGCATCAAGTCGGGGGCGGGGATCCTGCTTTGGGGCCCGCCAGGGTGCGGCAAGACGCTGGTAGCCAAGGCGGTGGCGAACGAGTCCAAGGCCAACTTCATTTCGATCAAGGGCCCGGAGCTGCTGAACAAGTACGTGGGCGAGTCGGAGCGGGCGGTGCGGCAGCTGTTCGCGCGGGCCAAGAGCAGCGCGCCGTGCATCCTCTTCTTCGACGAGATGGACGCCCTGGTGCCCAAGCGCGACGACTCGCTCTCGGACGCGAGCTCGCGCGTCGTCAACGCGCTGCTGACGGAGCTGGACGGCGTCGGCGACCGCAGCGGCATCTACGTCGTCGGCGCCACCAACCGCCCCGACTGCATCGACCCGGCCATCCGGCGCCCCGGGCGGCTCGGCACCAGCGTCTTCGTCGGCCTGCCCACGGCCGAGGAGCGCGTCGACATCCTGCGCACCATCTACTGGAACACCATCGTCACGACAAAGGAGGACAGGCGGGCGGCTGACGAGCGCCTGGGTGCCATCGCACTGGACGAGCGCTGCAAGGGCTTCTCCGGCGCCGACCTGGGCAACCTGATGCAGGCGGCCGCCCAGGCCAGTCTCGAGAGGACGTACTACCATGGCGGGGGCGACATCAGCGAGGACTCTGGCGCGGACGCCGAGATCACGCCGGGTGACTGGGAGAAGGCGCTGAACGAGGTCAAGCCTAGTGTCAAGAACGATGGGAGGTATGACCCTAGGCAGTTCGACAAGATGTTGTAGACAAGGTCGAACAGACGATAGACACCGCCTACGCTGCATGACTGGGCTTAACTGGCACTCAATTCCCCATCACATGCCTCCAATATTGTCGCGCTACGGCAGACACAATTCACATCTTCGGTAAAAGTTATCTCAGGATATTCGAGAACTACACTAGGTAGTCACAACAGTCACGATGTGTCGAGTGGAGGGCTAAGATTTTGTTCTCTTTGAAAATCATCATCTAAATTTGAAGAGGAGAGTCATTATAGAAAGTCGAAAGACACACAGACGCCACGCAAACAGGGTGGAGGCCTCTAGGTCTATAATAGTACAGGTGTCTCCCGTCTGTCTTTCTTCTGTCTAATGCCGTAATGCAAAACAAGTCGCCATATCATAACACCGCCCGGGCTTTCGCCATCTATTTCGTAGCTGACTTCAGGTAGCTGCCCAGGGTTTGTTAGCATATTCGTTCACGAGAGGGGGGGGGGGAGACAATAGGCTGTTGGTGCTTGTCAAAACGTACGTGATCAGGTCGTTCCTGTCCTTCTCCTTCTTCAGGCCACCGAAGGCCATCTTGGTGCCGGGGATGTACTTCTTGGGGTTCTCAAGGTACTCGAACTGCCGGGGGTGGGAACCAGATTAGCCATGCCCGTTCCGAAACGAAGGCCCGAATTGGCCCACGAGCGTCTCGACATACCAGAGTGTCCTCCTTCCACTCAATACCCTTCTGCTTGTTGGCGTCCGTGTAGGAGTAACCCTCGACGGAACCAGTGTGGCGACCGAACAGACCGTGCAGAGCAGGTCCGATCTTGTTGCCGCCGCCAGCCTCGACGGTGTGGCACTGAGCACAACGGGTCTTGAACAGACCAGCACCCTTCTTAGCATCACCTGTGCTGCTGTCAGTATGGAATCTGGGAACAGCTGAAGGTGTTTCCTGGTGTTGGGGGAGCCATTGGACCTCGAGCGCTGCGATACTCCGATGCCGACACCTTCCGAAACCACGTCATTTCCCGCCAAAGAGCCTTGCGAGCTCTGGATCTCTGCATTAGACCCAGAGCAACTCCCGTGGGCGTCCCGCGACCTTGTGTGAGGCCTGGTTGCAGTTGCGCAGGGAATGCGACTCGGGAAAATGCCTCAGGCGTGACAGCGCTTGGGACACGACGGGTGGCGTGATCAAAGGCTTGGAAAGACGTTGCTCGGGCTGTTCTCGATTGTTCTCGTCCCCGAGATTCAAACGCAGCGGACAGGACCGTCGTCTCGAGGCGCAATGGCGAAGGGCAGGGTGTGTGCGGTCAGCAAGGTAAACGTACCGTCCTTGAAAGGCATCTTGTCTAGTGTGTGAAGTCTGGAAGACTGGAGACGAGTAGTGGTGGGATTGGTAGGGTGTGTGGTGAGAGAGATCTAATGAAAGACTCTTGAGTGGTTCTGCAATGTAGATCGAGGAAGAGGTGGTTCTAGGTTGTGAAGGACAAAGAAGAAGGAGGAAAATTTAGCAGGGAGCGCGAAACAAGTTGCTGGCCCAACTTCTTGGTCCTAAAAATGTCGATGAGCTCAGCGTTCCCCCGGAGAACCTTGGAAGGTCGGTCACTGCGAGCTAAGCCCGGGAGGGCTAGCGAGAGCCACGCCTCCAGGACTGCTCGGTGCGGTAGGTGGACCGTGTGGGCCACTTAGGGGCTGAGGCAGCCAATCACCCGCCAACCGATGGTCATGGTCCAAGCCGAGTTTTCGAGCCTGCGAGAATTTGGCGGAAGGGAGAATCCGGAGCAAAGGCTCAGTCAGTTCATTGATTGTTTGATGCGCGCCGCGGCTCAAGCACTCGCTGCGATTCATACCGCCCAGCTGACTGCAGTCCATGATTCACTCGCCTGACTGTGGCCTAGTTGCATTGCAATCTGGGAGGTAGAGACTAGACACGCAACCCTTGGGACATAGCTACGTCAGTCAGCCAGCCAACCAGCCAGCCAGCCCGGCAAGCTTCTCTTCACGCCTCGGCCTCAGTCGCATTTTTCGTTTCGTCACAGCCTTTGCCCTGTCAACCCCTCGCCCCTTTCCCTCCGACCACTGACCACACACCACCTGCAACGCACGGCTTACCAAATGGCGTCCTCATACTCTGCCATACCCAGGTTCCTGCTGCCCCAGTCCGGGCGGATCTGGCGACGGGCAAACCTCGGCATCCACAACCACCAATCCGACCTGCGCATAGTGCGATATGCGTCGTCTTCCAGCAAAGGCTCAAAAGCAGAGGGCAAGCCTATCGTCCTAGAACAGCCACAGAGGTTCAACCCGCCCTCCCACGGCGCCCGTCTACCACGGAAGGACCGTCCCCAGCAACAACACTATGGCGGGTCTTTGTCCAGCGAGGAGATCTCTTCCCAGAGGAGAAAGGAATACCCCGGCCTGATGGCCCCCAAAGGCACCTGGGCGCATTGGTTCTGGAATAGCCAGGGCCTGCATACGACCATCACTCTGGTGAGTCTCTCCGGTTCGGGTATCAGGAGGAGGAGGAGGATCACATGTCACTCACACACCAATCGCAGGGAACCTTGGCTGGCCTGGCCATCTTTGTAGCTACCGAGAACTTTAAGAGCAACACGCCCTTCGCCGACATGCTCCCCGCGCGATCCGACTACTGGGAGCACCCCGTCGTATCATTTCGCACGCTGTACGAGGTCTGGCGGCTGACCCAGCTCCACAACTCGGCCATCGTCGCCGAGAAGCGGAAGAAGAACGTCGACGATGTCGTCAAGCGCTCCGAGTACCGCAAGGCCCACGGTCTGGAGAAGGAGGGCGGCTTCGGGAACTGGACGGCAAAGGAGGACCCACAGTCACCGCAGGCCGAGCCGGGAAAGAGGGAAAAGTGGCTTGGGGTATTTTGAGGATATCTATGGTCAGGTTTGCAGCCATGGCCGGCTTGTAGAACCGTCTATGAGCGTTACATGGTCCCCGGCCGATGCGGTAGGAACAAGGCTCGGCTTGCCTCTCGCAAGCGCTCAGGGTCCTAACCAAAGGGCGGGACTGGAGCCCCTGGTATCCTCTCCGATGGCCAATGAACCAACACATATCCCGTAGATCAGACTAGGTCTCTGCCCTTCAATCGGGCACCTCATCCCAGCTCCACAGCCTTCAGCCCGTCGAGAACCTCCGCCGCAACGCCTCCCTGTTCTAATGATTTCGCAATCATGGCACTGAGGACCCCCATTTTCGCCCCTCCCCTGGGCGCCTTCCAAACTCCGCCCACGGGCTCTGTCTCCTGAATCTGCTGCTCAGGCTGCTTCGCCGCGCCGTTGGTGCCTTCTGTAGCCACGTCGTTCGCCCTGGGAACACCAGGCGGTGTCAATCGTGATGGGGGGTCTATTGTGCGTATCGACAACAACCGTAGACTGCGCTTCTCGGAATCGTCGACGTCCATCTCTTCCGCGCCTTTTGGCGTGGCTGCTTCCGCTACCGAGATCGCCAGTGCGCTGTCGGCGACGGCGAGCTCTTCCTTTGCAGGGTCGAAAATGATATTGTCGCCGACGGCCATGACGAGCAGTGTCACTGGTGGCCGTGCGCCAGACGCGCCTGTGTCGTGGGGGTACAGGTAGTTGGACGAGTCCCAGTCATCGTCGAAGAGGGGGTCTTCGTCGCCCTCGGATATCAGGCGCGGTAGTCGTGTTGCCAGCAGCGCGAGGTGGGTCGTGAGGGAGAGGAGGGGCAAGGGGTAGGATAGTGGTGGTGATATCAGGAGGATCTGCGGCGCGTCCTGTTGTTAGCAAGCTTCTTCCTGTCGCAGCGGATCACAAGTATTCCAGCGACTGACGTCCAGGTATAGCTTCCAATGAAAGCGCCTGTTGAGATACAGCCTCCTGGCGAACTGGCCGTCGGCCAGTAGTGCCTCGCTCAACATCTCAGCCAAGTAAATTGTGCTCGCGTCGTCGTCCCTGGCACCTGGTATTTCGACCGCGATCTCGATCCAGCTGCTCTGGCCCTCGATGTTGGAACCCCTGTCATCGCCGTCGGTTTCTTCGTCGTCATCACCACCGGCGTGGATGAGGTCGGTCTCCAGTAGCGCGTTGCCGGCGCCGTACCGCGCCTGGGTTTTCCCAATCTCTGCTTTCACACCTACGATGGCCTCAGTTCCATCTGCGAAGCATATGCGCGCGCTGCCGTTTGTGCCGGGGAGAATGCCTGTCTCGGCGCTGAGGGGGCGGAACTGTGTTGCTGAGCGTCCGTCTGGTCGCAGGGGCGGGGTCAAGGAGAGAGAGGCGTGGAGGTAGGCCAGCTCAGCGGGCGACAGGTTGACGTGCTGCGTCGAGGCCATTGTGAGGATATATGGCAGAGCAGGCAGTGAGCTGTTGGGACTGTCACGCGGAGAAAGACAGTTGAGGCAGAGCGTGGGGTCGTGCAGGGCGCTTCACAAGCCAAGAAGTTGGTAGTTGAGCTCCCCGATTGAAATTTTGGCGGCAGGCAAAGCTGGGTACCTTACTGAAGGTCGGCTCGCCTGCCAGATCGGCATGGCGAGTACTACGTACCTGTATGCAAGCAATCCAAGAGGACCCAAGCCCTCGGGCAGCTCCCCAAAACCTTAAAGTCCGCTTGCTATCTACAGCACCAATTAGGTGGTACGCAGCAAAGCTTAGCGGCCGTTGATGCACAATGTGCTGACAAAAGCCGGATGAATAACCACACCTTTTCTCCACCTCGAAAGTGTCCGGAGGATGCATCCCCAAGCAACCTATTCCGACTGTCCATCGGGATTGAGCAATGTTCGCCCCAACGGTGACGCTTTTTGTGCCCGAGCCTATTTTGTCATTTGAAAAGCCAAAAGTTCCCGAGACCAATGCTATTGGAGCCTTGTGCCAGCTGTGAAGCTTGCAGGGCACCAGACGCGCTGACATGGAATGATCGGAGGGTAGTTCTCGCGTTTCGGATTTCAAGGTGTTTGGTTTCAATGCCCACCACATATTCTAGTCCTGTTCTCACTATGGCTCATATTTGTATATGCGCCCAGTCAAATCGAATCATCCTTTCTATATAAACTCTCATCATGCCTCCATCAGGTGAACACATGCCTTTGTCTCACATTCAGTCTCAATACTCGGCCAGTTCAGACAAGCGTGACAACAAGAATAAGAACAAGAACAAGAAAAGCACCTTGAAGTCCGAAGTCATTGCCTTACTCCTCTTCACAAAAACAATGTCCCTCAAGAATTTCACTGGGAAGTTCTTCCCCTCCTCCTTACCGCCAGCCAATGCCTTTGCCGGGCAGAAGGTCCTCGTCACAGGCGGAACAGCAGGTTTAGGCCTCGCGGCCGCGATCCACTTCCACAGTCTCGGCGCCGAGGAGGTCATCATCACAGCCAGGAGTGCGTCGTCCTCTCGCGCCGAGGACGCGAAGAAGAAGATCATCGCCGGGCACGGCGCGGGCAAGGGCACAGCAGGCAAGGTCAGCGTCATGGAGCTGGACATGAACAGCTACGGCTCATGCGTCGCCTTTGTCGACGCAGTCAAGGGCAGGTTCGGGCCCACGGGTGGTCCGGACGTGGTTGTCTTCAACGCCGGCGTGACTAACTCGCAGTTTAGGAGGAGCCCGGAGGGCATGTGAGTTGTGCCGGGCAACCCATATCTGCACGTTTCTGGTGGCTGATTGCAGTACAGGGAGGAGATCATCCAGGTGAACACGTTGAGCACGACTCTCCTCGCCCTCCTGCTCATCCCGTGGATGAAGCAGCAACGAGGCCAGAGGAGCGCGCCCGCACACGCGGTCTTCGTCAGCTCAGGCCTGCACATGTCCGTCGACATCAAAACCTGGGCCAAGTACACCAAGGAAGAGGGCGGCGTATTGGCACACTACTCCAAGGAGGAGAACTTCGAGGCCGGGCTAACAAGCCCGATGTACAACTACTCCAAGCTGATGCTGATGTATGCGCTCGAGGAGGTCACCAAGATGGCCTCGGACAAGAATGGCGAGTATGTGTGATTGACCCCTTGCCTCCCACAAGCGCGCATAAACTTCGTCGTTGCTAACAAACTGATGCCCTCAGGCCTCAGGTCATAGTGACGAGCGTCTGCCCCGGCGCCGTCAAGACCGAGCTGTCGCGGTCGATGCAGGAGAACTCGGTCCTCGCGAGGATAGTGGCGCCGCTTTACATGGCAATGATTGCGAAATCACCCGACTACGGCGCCCGCATCTACCTCGCTGGTGCGCTCGCCGGGCCAGCAGAGCATGTAAGTCAATGAACGGCCCAAGTGGGTGCTGCTATAAAATCTTCCTGATGTTTCACGCAACGCGGATGCTGCGAGCTGCGAGCTGACGATTCCCTATGTAGGGCAAATTCCTACGTGATTATATCACGGACGCGCAATATGCTAGCCGGTCTGCCCCTGTGCTGACGAGCAAGGAGGCCAGGCTGATGCAGGCCCAGGTCTGGAAGGAGATACGTGAGGCACTATCAGCAAAGGTTCCTGCCGTACAAGAGACTGTCTGACGTTCCTGCTGAGAAGATGGAAAAGAGGAACTTTGTGTGTATGCAGACGAGGCCGGGGCTCAAAAGACTGGTACTATATTCCCCATGACGGCCTCGAGGCCGGCTCAATCCGTAATGTAATGTCTTCCATGCAAGCCGTGGAGTAATGAATGATACATAATTAAGCCATGACCATCATGTTAGCCCACTCTCAAGTGCCTCTGCCGCCCAAACTCTTCCGATATCTCTCGGCCAGGGGTAGAAAGTATTCACTGTCCAGCTCCAGCTCGCTTGGACCCCAGCCAATCGGTAACAACTAGATAAGAGACTATACACTTCTCTGTAGTAGAATATCCCGTGGCAGAATGTCTTATGGGACAATCTCCTATGGGATAAACTTCCATGGGAGGACCTTCGGTGGGATAACTTCCCCCGGGATAACCTCCAGTGGGATAGACTGTTGGGATAACCTCTTGTGGGGGCATGTTTTCAACGCCACGAACTTACCAGAACCCAATTTCCGTTGCCATGGAAGGCTGATCGTATCAAAGTCTACACGGGAACCGAGCAGAGCAAAAACGAACACCGCCATATGTATCCACGGCTTCCAAGAACCCGACGGGCCCAACAACCTAACCTCAAAACCGCAACTGCTCGCGTGATACCTCCTCCTGTGCCGATCACCCGGCGATCGATCAACCGGCCCGAAGCGAGCTCGCCACTGGCGTCACCTTTCTCATGGCGGCCGGTCGAGTCAGTAGCACGTGCTCTCCACGAACTGTTTTCGAGGGGGCGCGCAGGGTGCAGCGGCATTGGACGTGTTGGTGTTCTTCCGACATTCACAGACGGTGCGTCTCACGCTCTGATTCCACAGTCATGAAAGGTCTTCCATTTGTGGCATGCTATATTGACATTGGCCTCCGAGCATCAATCATCACAAAGCATGCTGGAAGTGGCTTGTGGCAAGCCTTGCTGGCCTTTTTGACGTACAGCTTCACCATGGCCCTCTTGTATGGATCTACTGGTCAGCGCCCTCCAAGACCGACCCCCAAGTCGCCTACACACCAGACGGCTCAAGCTATTCTAAGCGGTATCATACTCTTTGGACTACCTTTTTTGTATCCTTTTCTTTGCTCTGTGAACACCTTCTTCGCACTTCCTTTGAATACAGTGCCTTCATATGAACAACTCCTAGTTCGTATTTGGCGGTTTCCAGTGCGGCGGCATTTCACCTCATTCCAGGGAAACACACACTAACTAAAGCACACCCCATCTCCATCTTATTGTCGTTTCCGTCGGAAATCGAGACAGATCTGTGGGAGAAGATCCGGTCCTATGGCGGCCGCCAGTTCCGCGATTCGGGACTTGAGAGACCCAACTTCGCGTACGCTACTGCGGTCCCAGATGTTGGCTTCACCAGTGAAGAAGAAGCCGTCCGTGTTGTCAGACATGACGCGGATGTGATCCAGGTCAACCGTATTCTCGAGGTCCGACACGGCAATAATCCCGGGCATATCGCTGTGGAAGAGCGAGATATCGTCACCGTTGTCCTCGTCACCGTTGTCCTCGTCACTGTAGTCCATCTCATCGTCGCCTTCAGAGAGAGTGCTTTCAACACGGTCCTCGCCGGCGCTGCTGCTGACGACGTCGTCTTTGCCCTCTGTACCAGCTCGCCTGTCTTTGGATAGGCTGACATAGTGCTTCTTGTCGAATATTGCCAAGGCGTCTTGGTCTAAGAGATCCCAAGTCAATGTCTCGGGATCTAGCACGTACTGTGGATGATAGTCGATTTTGTAGCGCATCTTGGGACAGCTGTGAATGTAATAGCCAGCCCACCAATACCGATAGCCGCCCTCCATTGCCAAGGCGATCTCTCTCAACGCACCAAGCTTACCCGGCTGGTGCTTGTGTATGGACTCATGGTACATGAAGTAGACAGCACTGACTGCCTCGGGAAGTAAGTCTAGAACCCCAACCGCCACCAGCTTGCCGTCGAGGCGATAGCACTGGTGAAATGAGCCGACTTGCCGACTCTTCCCGTTAGAGTCAGTGTGTATGCCTCTTCTGACGGGTGAGTTGCAAAGGAACTTCTTGAATCCTTTCTGGCTGATGCTTGAAGGGGACTCCCCATGTACGACTCTCTGGTAGTTATCAAAGACGGCGAACTTCTCATCAGTAAAGGTGTCTGGCTCCAGTGTCACCTTGAGCTCATGCGCCGGCTGGGGCGGAGCTTTCAAGTGCTCCGTCTCAGCTTCATGGATCCTCTCAACGAGGTCAAAATGGGTGTCACGCTTGCGTGCTTGTTCTCGCGTGAGAGGAAATCGCCGGGCCGCCTCCTTTGCATAGTCTTCTCCAATGACGAAGCGATTGAACCGGTTCACTGCTTGACGCTGGTCACGCGATGGTTTGAACTGAGTCGAGTCCAAGCGGAGGGTATAGTGCGGACAGCATGCACTCTTCTGGTTTGGCCGATACAACAGGGTTCCTGAGCGTCTCCAGCATCGATTTATGAGTGCTTCGTAAAATTCAGGTGTCAGAGAGTATCCTGATGCATAGTAGGAATATCCTGCTCGTGAGACCAACGTTAGAACATAATGCGCATTTGACACGAGGATGTAGTCTGAAAATGTATCGGAATCCTGAGGCCAACCAGCAGCAAGGGTGTGACCAGAGTAGTAGCCGACGTGTAACGCTTCACAGCAACATGTGAATCACCAAAGGCTTGCAAGGCGCGTTTACTCGTGTGGATGGGGGTCAAGGAGAGATTCACGTTTGACGTCTGACTGACCGCTGCGAGACTTTCGGCAGTATCCGCAGTCTGAAGAGTTACTGTACCCTGTTTTACAAGATTATGTTAGTGGATATGAGCACAAGCAGCCGCCAATGAGGCGTGTCTTAGCAACTCTATCGTGAGTTGACATGCTGATGGATGATCGAAGTGTTTGCATAGTACGTCGCCAAAGAGAACCGCTACCACTGCTCCTATCATGGACGGATGTAACCACACATCCTATGAGAGGGCAGCTGGGTGCTATGGAAGGAGGTTATTTCCTAGGAGTCTACCCCAGAGCAGATCATCTTGGGATGTGTTACACCAGTGAACTGCTGAGGCTGGCATTCCTTGTGGGAGTAAGGACGTGAATCTAACCCGACAACCTAACAGGGTGTAGAAAACTCTCGCTTGAAAGCAAACATCAACTTCGATGGCCCCCAAGGATGCCGCCGCACAGGAAGCCAAGAGAACAGGCAAAAGTCTGTGCAGGATTCAGGCAGCAAGCCGGCGGTGTGACTCGACGGCAGGGTCGACGAGGACGTTTCAACCCATGACCCAGAGTCAAATCCGATGAGCGGGCTGGCCGTACTCTGTACCAGCTTTGGTATTTGGCATACGGTATTGGGGTGGTGAGAGGTGAGGTGAAGTGAGACGACACGCGAGGCAACACGAAAACAGTAGTAAGGTTTGCCCTATTTCTGACAAGCAAAACAACAGCCAACGACGTTGCAAAGATCTGACACGGGTCCGAATGGTTGGGTGAGATGCGGTGACATTGCACGTATAGGGTACGAACTCACCTATTGGGGCAATGTAGGACAATGCATCGTCAGGGGTCTGCAGGTTTGTGCTTTCCATGGCCGCCCTAACGGGACGCCTGCAACAAGCGACCTTGTCTCGGCGACTCCAACGGTACGGTACGGTACGGTGCGGTATAGGATGAAAAGGGGGGTGGAGCCAACCCTCCGTCGCTTGCAGCCAGCGTTTTTCCGCGTGGGGAGGGGGGTTTTGGGACTGGGAGGGGAGAGGGGAAGGGAGACTGCTGCTTTCTGCCTGGTCTGGGGAACCTTGGGCTTTCTTCCGGGTGATTCTAAGCCTGGAGGCACGCGACGAGACGACAGAGGGGCCCTAGATGCCTCGCCCGTTGGATCGGAGATAATACTCGAACTTGGAACTTCGGAATCGTGCGCTGAGCGGGACTCGGCGGACTCGGGTGACCTGAACCTCGAGGTTGGGGCGACGATGGGTCTACCTGGCCGAGGCGAGACCAGACTGGATTGTCGGTCCGTTGCGAGTGTGTCCCTAGGCGACAGGGTCGTCCAGAAGAGGTCGATGGAACAATGGACTGTACTGTAACTTGAAGCTTGTGCGAGGGCGGAGGGAAGACAAGCGTTGCAACAAGCCGGGTGCGATGGGTGTGTTGACGGCAAGTGTGGGCGATAGACGCTCGCCTGAAGAGAGTTGGATCGGGACAAAGTCGATGCAGTGTCAACCGCCCGACATGCAGTGATCGTGACTGGCGGCCAATGCTGGCCCTCTGCCGCCAATGCCTAGGCGGGTTGGCCTCGAGTGCTGAGGTCAAGCTGAGAGTGCCCAGGGATGGTTCGGGACAGGCTCTGATAGGCTGCGTGGCGGCTGGGGTTCGAGGGCTGGAGGCTCTATCGGACGGGTTGTAGATCTGGTTTGTATAGAGGGTGTCACGAACCCAGCAGGCAGCCTTGATGTTGATGGGTTTCGCCCATTCGTTACCAGACCATAGGAGGAAGCTTGGGATGGTTTCACAAACTGGCTCTGGTTTTGGCATATGGCATAGACGAAGACGGTGGAAGGCGGGCCTTTGGGCGGTTCGCCTTTCCCTGTTCACGCACGCCGCTCCCCCACGAGCACACCGTTCCAGTTCCAGTTCCAGCTCCAGCTTGTACTGCTTGATCCCAGCTCCCCTGGGCCTGCAGTCTACGTTATGCCCGTGCCGAGGGCAGTCCAGGGTCTACGAAGTGCACGCCGCGTCACGATGCGCTCCCACAACAGTACAACAACAGAGCTCGACGGACAGCAAGGTCCAGGGTCCAGACGACATGTCACAGCCCTGACCACCGAGGAGGACACGTCTAACGGCAGCATCTCGCGTGGGCACGAGTCGGGACGGCCAGTTGGTGCAGGATCGAGTTACAAAACCTGCCGCAGAAGGGGTCGCGGAAACTGCGTGGCTTCCGGCCCATGCGATGCCATGCTGTGCCCAGCCAGCGGGCCATCCTTCCGTCAGAGCTCCATAGATATAGCAGGATCGGTACCAGGCATTGTGCCGCTGCCATCTGCGCTGGATCGGGCAACCAAACCGTGTGAGGCATGGAGCCATGGAGCCATCCTCATTCAACGTCCATGTGGGAACGGGCGGTCGATAAGAACAAAACGGAGTCGATAAGACCTACGAGCAAAAAAGGAGAAAGGACTGATACGGAAGTCCACCGACCAGATGCCCAAACGGGCAGCACCAATTCCAGTTCCAGTTCGGTTCCTGTTCAGTGGACGGCGCCAACTAGCTGTTAGGGGCGCGGGGTGAAGGTACAACGAGTCAGCAGATCGTCTGCAGCCTTGGAAAGTAGCGGGTACAAGAAGGTTCGTTTTCGAGGTGCACCATTCCAATCCCAGGGCTCCTTGCATTATTGCATTGCGACTTGAGGCGGCTCCACGCTCAGACAGTTCAGTCAGACAGTCAGTTGCGCCTGCACCTGCCACCTGCCACCTTGCTCCTCTGCCGGGCCAGACCAGCCAGCAAATCTCTTCCTCCCCGTCTCCGTGCTGAGGTGACGAAAAAAGACCGACTGGCGACTGGCCCCCTTCCCGACTTGTCCAGGACTCAAGCCAGACAGAGCCAGGCACTAGGAAAAGGTGCAATGACCGACCCTGCCGGCCTGGCTGGGCCTGCCTCGCGTCACAGTAACAGACGGTACATGGACAAAGGGGACAGGCCATGTACCGCGCAGGTACCCCTTCGACGGCTTCATCCTAGCTGTCGTAGCTTTGTGCCTTCGTTCCTTGGTGCAGCATCATGTCAAACCTCAATCTCGGGCCTTGGGGGAGGGCTAACGCAACCTTGGCCGCCCCCTTCTTCGCCCTGGACGGCTCGACTTGTTAGCTGATTGATTCCCGCTCCATTCATTCATTATCCATTTCCATTTCCATGCCCCTTGCCCCTTGCCATCCTGTCCTGTTGCTGTCCTGTGCTGTCGTGTTGGTCCTCTCTCGGATGGGGCCCAGCTCTGAGCTCTGACTGAGCTCCCCAGTCTCCGTTCGCGAGTCCCCATTCCCCGGTCGCCAGTCGCATAGAGTCTCCTGGTCTAATGGACTGAAATGTCAGGAAAGGTGGTCCGATCTGCGCAAGTGACATGAGTGGACATGAGTGACACGCCAGGGGTCCCGGTACCTCACGTTTGCGCGCAGACTAGATGGACTACTCCGTATATAAAGCGAAGCAGACTTATTTTTTTTCTCGTCCGCCCCTCCATCCCTCCTGCTATGGCACACGACAAGTTGGTGCTCTCTCGGCGGCCCACGCCAGTAGAGCTCTGCTCCTTGTCCGATTATCTGTCAGACTCCCCGACGCACTCTCTCATGATCCTGCCTCGTCACATTTTCTCCCAGCACCTCACCAAACCTTGCCCACCACTGCCTCCCTGACCCTCGCCCTCCGCCCACCTTCACGGCTAAGCTACCTCACCCTTACCAAACCACGCCGCCCCGGCGCTGGTCCAATTTCCAGGTCCGCCTCAATCTGTCACTGTCGCTGCCGCTGCTGCCTGCTTTACAGGCTCAAAAGGTCCTCTGTGCACCTTGACAGCCTCGAGCCAGTCACGAGCCTAATCGATCCCAAGGTCGGCGCGCAACCTGTGCGCTTGAGGCGTTTTACCCCCCCTCCCCCAAGGGGCCAATGTAGCACGACCGCTGCATTCACTCTGCATCTCACAGCACATCATCGCCCCTTGCGCTCCACCGAGGAGACGATCGCCAGCACTTGGGCTCAGTGCGCCAACTGACAGCATCCCCAGGCGACCCCCTCTCAATTTGCCCGTGTTGTCTGTCGCTTGCTGTCACTCCATCACGCCACCTGAGCGCGCCTGAGGATTCAACAAGGAACCTGCCGGAAGGTCCTGCTCCTCTCCAGGAATCAGATTCACATTCGGCGCGAGCCGTTGAGGCGACCTTAGAACTGTCTGATAAACCAGCCTCTCACTGTAACAACTTCCACCATGCTGCTTAAAAACAATTGAAAGACGCCAGGTCTTCCCAGATTCAACTCGAATCGCGACCCCGTACAAGCCCGGGTTCTTCGAGTGCTGGAATCGCTTCCGGCTTCTCTCTGTGGGCTGTTCCGTTCTCTCTCACCATCCCCAAACAACCAAAAGTTCTGATTCGCGCCTGGATCGCCCCATCCCATAACACATACAATCACAAACTCACACACCCACACACGGCTCCGGATCAAGCCAACATGTCAGGGGGCAGCTCAAGTAGTCGGTCTATGGAGTCCCGGACTGGGCGGGCCAAGCAACGTAAGTTTTTATTCTGAACTGCCCATGACATGCCGAAGCCTCTCCGCTTCCCTCCAGGCGGACTGACCAACTCATCTGCTCCAGGATACAACTCCAAGGGCGAACGTCTGGTTGCTGGCGTCGTCCCACTGACCGCGGACAAGAGATATGTCATGATGATACAGTCGACCAAGCGGAAGGGATGGGTCCTACCAAAAGGCGGCTGGGAGACAGACGAGGAGTGCACACAAGCGGCGGAGCGCGAAGCTTGGGAGGAGGCTGGAATCCTGGTTCGCATCGACTATGATTTGGGCGACATTGTTGAGACGAGATCCCTCAAGAGCACCAAGCACAAGTCCCTCTACCGCTTCTACGAGGTTACAGTCGTCAAGGAGGAGCGGGACTGGCCCGAGGTGGAGAAGCGCGAGCGCAAGTGGATGACATACCTTGAGGCGAAGGAGGCCCTCAAGGATCGACCCGAGCTACGGGAGGCTCTAGACCGGTCGACAATGAAGCGGTAGCCACGCCGACTCTGGACTCATGAGGCTCGCCAGCAGGATCCCGGATCCTGCCACTCCGTACCCGACCATTTGGTTTTGACACTTCACCTACCACCGCTGTACCGCCTGCAAAAGAAGCTTTTGCATTCCACAACAATCCCTACGATGTTGATGGTCTCTGAAGGAGAGCTACGCGCTTGGCTCGCCTCGCCTCCATTTCGTCCTATATCGTCACAGCACTGGCCGCGCTATGGTCATTCTCAGCTCTTCTAATTCTCTTTCACAGTTTCACTAGATCGTTCATGGTCGCTGTTTTGTCATTTGTCCATCCACCTCGGGCTGCTATACCTCCACAGTTGGATGATTCAGAGCTGTCCCTTTAAAAAAGCAGAGCATCTGGAGGCTCAAGGTTGCCACACCTAATTTTGACATCTGGGTCCACCCACGGGAACAACGTTGTTTTTGCATGCGGTCAACGCGAATCGGAGTTCAGGGCTGGGCGTGTAGAGGGGACGCAAAAGACCAAAAAGGAAGTTTGCGCGACACAAAAAAAAAATCAAAAGCCCGGAGCTGAGACATATTCGGGAGCAGGAACTGCTTCCTAGGCGCACCTGCGTCTTATCCGACGCCTACTTCTGGGAGCGCGTTGGATGTCACCATGACACTACGAGTCCGCAAGCATGAGTGGAAACCGCAGATGATGTGTTTTGAGAAGCAGACCACAGAGCGGCATAGAATACTAACTTAAGGAAGCACGTAGTCCGAAGACGATATAGAGATGAATAAAAAGTCCTTACTGAGAACACTATGTTTCCAACTGTTGCGATGGACTGCCTAATTATATCAGACTATCTGGTCCTCGCGCCTATTTCCCTCCCCCAAGGTTTCTGAGTGAAGTTCCCTGTTTGGGACGCCTCGCCCAATCAGCTACATCAAGACCAGTCATTGGCCGACGTCTAATATAGGACGTCGACGGCAATTCGTCCTGACTAGGTAGAGGGTGCAAAATGGGGCCGCGGATCACAGGGTGAAGGCGAGCCAATGCAACACTCGAGTGTGCTGTTCCGCAGTCACACTCGAGAAATTAACGAGTAGAACACGAGCGCTCTGAAACGTGGCCAAGTACCTCATAAAGGTGCAGTACCTCACACGGTGCAGATCAGCAATGAGCATCTCTGAGAGGGGTTGAGTGGTACAGATCGCAGGTCGAGCATCAAAGAGAAGAAGGCGTCTTGGTCGAGCGACCCTCAAGCGACACCCCGGCCGGGGCAGCCAGTGCCCAACTGTGTAGCCATGAGAACTTTTGCAGGCCCGGCGGTCCCCTCTGTTGATCACCATCGTCCGCAACTTGATGGGCCGGGTTCGATTGGAAGCGACACCACACGGAACATAGCAGTGTCTGGTTATGCAATGAATTATCCGCTACAAGTTGAAATATATCTGCCGCCCTATCGATGCGCCATTGGCCCCAATACATTTTAGACTCCGTTACCGTGCCCACATTCGCCTGGTCGCGGCAACGACAAGCGACCGCGTCGTATTATCGCCCCCTGTCCTATAATTGCGCCCGTAAAGCCCCGCCCTCAGGCCCAGGACGCTGCTCATCGTAGGAGCTCATCGACGACCGGTAACTGTGCCACGGTCGAGTTTAGACCCTCAAGTGATGCAGCCGCATCCATCCGGTGAACAGCGGCGCGATACTAAAGTGGAGACCATGTGTTAGCAAGATCGACACCGCGCAAGAGAGGCAGGCTCGGATAGGCCCGTATTGGGAAGGAAAGGGGGGGGGGGAGGTTTGTTACCTGGAACACAAAGTTCAACACCAGGGCAACCACTAGCGCGAAGCTGACCACCATGGGGCCGACCAGGTTGTCAAAGTCCCTCCCGCTGCGGTCGACGATCATCTGCCTGCGCGTGCGGTGCATGAGCCAGCCCCAGCCGCCAGCGAAGGCGGCGATGGCGAGATAGACGATCCCGAAGGCCAGGGCCAGCATGTCCCGGCCCGCGGCCGTGTACAGCGCGACGGCCAGGCCGCCCAGCAGGACGCAGATGTGCTGCCACTTCATGAAGGTCCGCTCGTTGGCCAGCCACACCTTGGGCTCGACCTTGAGCGGGCCCTCGTTCTTGATCCACGTCTCGGGCTCGGTGACGCCCTCGGGCAGCTGCACCTTGTCGCGCTTGCGCTGCCGCGACTTGGCGTAGCGCGTGATTATCGAGAAGGAGGGCATGATGGTGCCGTAGCCCCGCTGCTGTTGCTGCTGTCCCTGCTCGTTCTGTTGTCCAGCGGACTCGCCATTCTCCCGGGGTCCTCGGCCAGCCACTGCCGTCGACGCGGGCGAACCAGCAGGCCCAGCACCGCTTTCGCTGGCGATTCGCTCCGCCAAGTACGACTTACTGACAGGCGAGCTCTTGGAAGGCTGGAATGAGCCCATCTTGTTGCCGAGCAAGCTGCCTACGACCTGCTCATCAGCGGCGCGCCGGGCCTTCTTCTGCTCCTCCTCCTCAAACGCCGCCTGAGGGTCCTTGCGGATGTCCTTGTCCAGGTCACTCAGCCAGAAGGGCAGGGTGTTGACATAGTCGTCGAAAAGAACGGCAACACCGTGCGCAAATTTGGAGAAGCGAGCTGCAGGGTAGACCATGTGGGATGAGATCAGGTCCTCGATCCACTCCGGTCGCTTGCGTTTGCCATCCTCCTTCAGCTTGATTTCCAGTAATGCGTGGGGGAACCTTGAGACCTCGCTCTGGTTGATATCCTTGAAAGGATATCCAATATTCCTATTGTCGATATCAAGTCGATGCCACTCGTTAGGGTCGCGACAGGGCCGCCTGGAGTCCAAGGTATCCTCACGGACAAATGCCAGATCAGTGTCGATGGAGATGCGGATGCGGTCATCGGTTGGCTTCTGGAATGCCGTGCGCTTGTAATTTGCCCGCACCACGGGCTGTAGCTTGCGCTCCTTGATGAACTCCTGAATGCCGTTTACTGTCGATTTGAATTTGGCGATCTCGTCTTCGCTCTGGCCCTGCCGCTCCATCTTGGCAATGGTCTTTTCCATCTTGTATTCGCCATCGATGAAAGGCTTGACGTACTTGCCCTTGATGGTGAACTTGCGTTCTTCGCTGCTGCCGCCCTCACGGACAATCTTCTGCTCCAAGAAAATCTCGGGTGAGGCACTCAACTGCCCATACCAGCGTAACCGCAAAGACGACGCCTCGGTCTCGCGCTCAACCTTTCGCTTGTAAAGGTCGAACTTGGAGTTGTCGAAGTACAGAGAAGTCAAGCTGGGGTCCTCGTTTCCGTCTACCTCCTTTGCTGAGACCTCGCTGTACACCAAGTTTGGCAAGCGTCGCATGATGAAGGTCTTGACCTCGAGCAAGTTATCGGCATGAACCCAGACTATTCGAACGGCCGGTCAGCTATCAGAGAGCTATGATGTATCTTGGTGGCACGGGTTCACTTACACTTGTGCGCTGAATATGTCTCGCCGTTACGCGTCTCCTGCACACCATCCTGCAGCTCTGCCATGACCCCATCGCTGACGCCCTCCTCCAGCTGCTGCTTAACCGTGAAGTATGCCAGCGACAGCCTGTGGATCAAGGGGGAGTATGCCTGCTCCGAGTTGAAGGGCCGGTCCGACAGCTGCTGCATCATCATCGGCCGGATCTTGTAGCGCAGCCCCCTCTTGCGGTCGTGCTTCTTGACTATCTTCAAGAAGCCGGTGTAGTTTATGTTGCTGTACCTCTTGAGCTCGTTGACCTCGTTTGTGATGGCGTCCAGCTCGGCCTCGAGCTCCTTGAGCCGCTGGGTGGCGATGTCGCTCCGGGGCTGGTCATTCTCGGGGGTGGGCAGCTCCTTGAGCTTCTCGAAGGCGGAGTCGACGCGGTCCTTGAGTTCCTTGAACTTCTCCTCGTGAAAGCTGGTGACCTTCTCAAGCTGTACGTTGAAGATCTCGTCGCTGAACCTGGTCTCATCGTTTTCGGTCCAAGACTCGTCCTCCTCGTATTCGTCCTCACGAAGCATGCTCTTCAGTTTGGGGTAGTCGAGGTATTTGTCCTGCCATGGCTGGTGGAAGGACGACTGGAGTGTCTTGCCGAAGCGCATTTTAACGTATGGTTATTTCGGCCTTGCAGTTATTGTGAAAGGATGTAGATCTGGGTTCGTGATCCAGCGCCTAAAGAGAGAGGTTTCCGGGAGGGGGAGGCAGCTGATAACGAATGTGGTTGAAGCCGCCCAGGCACACTAGATGGATCCTGATCGCCGCTGCTCAAATCGAGTATGCCTTGGTCGGGATTCCACAATATGTATATCAGGACTCGGGGCAACTACGAGGAGGAATCGAAGCATAAGTGGTGCAGAGTCAGCTTGATGAGGTCGCATTGCGCTGGAGGACATTAGCTAAGAAGCTCCTCTGCGCCACCGTACCGAGGGCCCCCACGTCGCGGCAACGCAAGAGGCCGGGCTTTTGGCTGTACTTCTACAGCGCTAGCCGGCGTGCAATTGACCTATCAAGAGCCCAAACGCTCCCACATGTTGCTGCTATTACCAGGATAGCAATGCAGCCCGTTTTCACGTCGCGTGCCCTCATTCCCGTACTATTGCCGTTGCTGCCGTCTGGTGAGGAGGACGGACCGTGTAGGTTTTTTCTTCCAAGTGAGTCTACACATTGAGTCTTGACACATAGAAGCAGAGGGAGACCTGCCTCACCCTATCTCCAGACAAGTATCGTACTGGATGTACTCATTTTTATTGAAAAGATAGCTGGAAGCAAAGTTACGTACAAACAGATACGAAGAAACAGATATCAACAGTGAAAGCGAATGATGAAATGTCCGAATTTCAATTACATCCAAAATGATAATTTCATGTCGCACCAGGTGGTATCAAATAGCAAGACGAAGGGTGGGAAAACATTCGCTCATGTCCCTTCATGTAATGAATGCTTGCTCCTGTCCTGTCCGGTACACTTTTTTCCCCGCTTTGACTGCTGCTTGCTTTTTTCCCCTGCCCAACCGTAACCTCATTCGTGTGCGTATGTAGATGTCGTGAATACTGATACATAAGAGGTCTTTCGTACAATCGTGAGAGAGCGTGGTGGTGAGCAGAAGTGTCTAGGCGGCAACGGGAGGGGTGATCTTGACCATGTCGAGCACCTCGTTTGCTGAGCGCTTTACGATACCACCAGTGACAGGGAGGTTGGTGGAGTGCTCCAAATACAAGTCGACCTCGCGAGCTGCCTGGCGGCCCTCGTTGATACCCCTGGGAGAAATGTTAGCGTCGAGACATAGTCAAAATGTTTCAATGTGTGCGGATAACTTACCAGACAATGAGCGATTGTCCACGTCGGCAATCACCAGCCGCGAACACGCCTTCGATATTTGTCGAGTACTTGCCCGCCGGCGTCTTGACGTTGGTCCGAGGATCCTTCTCGATCTCATCTCCAATGGCACGCTGCTCAGGGCCCAGGAAGCCCATGGCCAGGAGCACAAGGTCGGCAGGGAAGAACTGCTCGCTGCCTTCCACATCCTTCAAGACCCACTTTCCGGCGTCGTCCTTGGTCCACTCAACGCGCACCGTCTCGATGCCCTTGACGTTTCCGTTGCCATCGCTGACAAACTTGGACGACTTGATACAATACTCACGCGGGTCCTTGCCAGTGTGCTGTCGCACCTCGCTGTGACCATAGTCGACGCGGTAGATGCGAGGCCACTGCGGCCAAGGGTTGTCCCGCGCACGAGTCTCAGGTGGCTGGGGCAGGAGCTCAAAGTTGACGACGGACTTGGCGCCGTGACGGACCGAAGTGCCGATACAGTCATTGCCCGTATCACCACCGCCGATGACGACAACATGTTTGTCCTTGGCCGAGATGTAGCCGCCATCCGCGAGCTCAGAGTCGAGCAGGGACTTGGTGTTCTTGTGCAAGAACTCCATGGCAAAGTGAACGCCGTTGACGTTACGTCCTTCAATTGGCAGATCACGACCGACAGTCGCGCCGGTGGCGATGACGACGGCGTTGTTCTGGGCCCGGAGGTCCTTCAGCGTGATATCATCACCAATGCTGACGCCGGTCTTGAATTGGACACCTTCAGCAGCCATGAAGTCGGTCCTTCGCTTGACAATGCGCTTGTCAAGCTTCATGTTGGGAATGCCGTACATCAGCAGACCACCAAGCCTGTCAGCACGTTCGTAAACGGTGACCAAGTGACCGGCCCTGTTGAGCTGATCGGCAGCGGCAAGACCGGCTGGGCCAGAGCCAATGACGGCGATCTTCTTGCCAGTGCGGACCTGAGGCGGGCGAGGCACCATCCAGCCCATCTCGAAACCGCGGTCAATGATGGCACATTCAATTGACTTGATGCCGACTGGGTCTTCGTTGATGCCGAGGACACAAGCACCTTCGCAGGGCGCAGGACAGACACGGCCGGTGAACTCGGGGAAGTTGTTGGTCATGAGAAGGCGGTTAAGAGCGTCTTGCCACTGGTTCTGGAACACGAGCTCGTTCCACTTAGGGATGATGTTCGAGATAGGGCAACCGGTGTCTGACTGGCAGAAAGGAACACCACAGTCCATGCAGCGCGCGGACTGATACTTGAGCTCGTCCTCGTCGAGTCGAGAAGAAAGCTCAGCCCAGTCCTTAGTGCGGGTCTTGACATCACGGTACTTCTCCGCCCGACGATGGTACTTCATGAATCCCTTAGTCTTGTCGAGGACAAGTGCGCGCCTGGACTCGGCCTTTTTGTCTCCCATGGCTTCCTCCATATCCTGGAGAGGGGCAGACTTGTGCTTCTCTTCCTTTTTACCAGGGATGACGGGAAGGTTGTGCTCAGCCTTCTTAGCCTCAGCAGCTTTCGCGGCCTCTTCCAAGAGAACTCGCTTGTAGTCAACTGGAAGAACCTTGATGAACCTGGGAAGGACTCGGTTGAAGTCAACCAGGATACGAGCGGCGAGCTCGGAACCCGTGTAGTGATGGTGGTCCTCGATCATACCCCGTAGGAAGGCGATCTCAGTGGGGTCATCGACGCCAGAAGCTTCCACCATCTCTGTGTTGAGCTTCGACAGGAAGTCGTGGCCCTTATCCAGGACGTACGCAATACCACCTGACATACCAGCTGCGAAGTTTCGGCCAGTGCTGCCCAGAACAACAATGCGGCCTCCGGTCATGTACTCGCAACCGTGATCACCGACACCCTCAACAACGGCGTGGGCGCCAGAGTTACGCACGGCGAAACGCTCCGCAGCAACACCACGGAAGTAACAGTGACCGGCAGTGGCACCGTACAAACAGACGTTGCCAACCAAAACGTTCTCTTCAGCTTTGAATACGGCGGAACGAGGTGGGTAAATAACAAGACGGCCACCTGAGAGACCCTTACCAACGTAGTCGTTGGAATCACCCTCCAGCTCGAGAGTCACACCAGGGGCCAAGAAAGCACCAAATGACTGTCCAGCGGATCCCTTGATGGAAACATGGACCGTGTCGACTGGCAGACCAGCTTCTCCATAACGCTTGGAGATTTGGTAAGAGAGCGAAGTACCCATGGCACGATCTGTGTTGACAATATCACACTCGATACGACTTGGAAGACCCTTGTCCAGTGTAAGCTCAGCCTCGGAGATGAGCTTGTTGTCCAAACGGACGTAGAGACGGTGGTCCTGCTTCCTGACATTAAATGTGGCGACACCGCTGCGCAGGGAGTGCGCTGGGGTGAGCAACAGATCGAGGTCAAGATTCTCGGTCTTCCTGGTCCGTAGGTCATCCCGAACCTTCAAGCACTCGACATGGCCAACCATCTCATTGATGGTCCTGAAACCAAGCTGGGCCATGATGGCTCGCAGCTCGTTGGCCACGTAGTAGAAGAAGTTGATGACGTGCTCGGGGGTTCCCTTGAACTTCTCGCGAAGCTTCGGGTCTTGCGTAGCGATTCCGACGGGACCTGTTTATCATTAGACGTTAGATGTTCCACGATCTGCCTGACTAGCTAGAGAACTAGGAGAACTAGAGAATTCTAAAGAATCTCAGCACTTACAGGTGTTCAAATGGCACTTCCTCATCATTATGCAACCCATTGCGATGAGAGGAGTGGTAGCGAAGCCCCACTCTTCGGCACCGAGCAAGCAGGCCATGGCGACATCTCGCCCCGTTCGAAGCTGGCCATCGGTTTGGACAACAACACGACCACGAAGGTCGTTCAGGACAAGGGTCTGGTGGGTCTCAGCCAGACCGAGCTCCCAGGGAAGACCGGCATGCTTGATACCAGTCCATCGGGAAGCGCCTGTGCCACCGTCGTGGCCAGAGATCAGGATGTGGTCAGCCTTGGCCTTGGCAACACCAGCCGCCACGATACCAACACCAGTCTCCGAGACAAGCTTGACGGAAACTCGCGAGCGGGGGCTGGAGCACTTGAGATCGTAGATGAGCTGCTTCAGATCCTCGATAGAGTAGATATCGTGGTGGGGCGGTGGCGAGATCAGACCGACACCCGGGGTCGAGTGACGAGTCCTTGCAATGCTCTTGCTGACCTTGTGTCCTGGCAATTCTCCGCCCTCTCCCGGCTTCGCGCCCTGGGCCATCTTGATCTGAAGCTCGTCCGAGTCGGCAAGGTATGCAGACGTGACACCGAAGCGGCCGCTGGCAACCTGCTTGATAGCCGACCGCCGAGTGTCACCATTTTCGTCGATATGGGACCGCTCAGGATCCTCACCACCCTCACCAGTGTTGGACTTGCCACCCAGGCGGTTCATGGCGACAGCGAGCGTGGCATGCGACTCCATAGAGATGGAACCGTAGGACATGGCGCCGGTGCAGAAGCGGCGGACGATCTCGGTCCAGGGCTCAACTTGGTCAATAGGGATGGATTTGGACTCGTCGAACTCGAAGTCCAGCATGCCTCGCAGAGTACAGGCCTTGATCTGCTCATACTCGGACTTTGAGTATGCCTCGTAGGACTTGTCGTTCTTGTTGCGAACCGCGTCTTGGATGTTGGCGATGGACACAGGGTCGTTGATGTGAGGCTCGCCACCATCTCGCCAGTGGTACTCACCCGACTCTGTGAGACCGGGCACACCGACCGTGTATCGTGAAGGGAAACCTCGCTCATGGAATCTGAAGGCATCTTCCGCGATGTGTTCGAGAGTGACACCTCCAATTCGGGAGGCAGTTCCTCTGAAGCTCAATTCCACAACGGAATTGTGAACTCCGAGTGCCTCGAAAATCTGGGCGCCCTTGTAACTAGCCAGTGTTGAAATACCCATCTTGCTCATCACCTTGAGAATTCCGCCATCGCAAGAGTGCTTGTAGTTCTTGATGAGGTCCTCGTCCGTCATGTTCTTGCGAATGAGTTTCTCCCGGTTCAGCTTCAAGATGCACTCCATGGCCAGGTACGGGTTGATGCCATCGGCGCCGTAGGCAAGCAGGACACACATGTGTTGAACCTCACGAGCTTCCGCTGTCTCGACAACGATGGCAGCCATTGATCGCCATTTGTTGTTGACCAAGTGGTGGTGAATCATACCGGAGGCCAGGAGAGTTGAGACCGAAATGCGGTCGGCCGATGTCTTGCGGTCAGACAGGATGATGATACGGTTGCGTTTCTCGATGGCATCAGTGGCCTGGTCGCGGATGTAGTCCAAGTGCTTAATATAGCCTTGAATCCCGTCCTTCTTGGGGAACGTGATGTCGATGACCTTGACGGTCCAGTCAGGGTACAGCTTGGACATAGTCTTGAGTGTGTTGAGTTCCGGGATTGAGAGGATAGGGCTCTTGAGGAGCAGCCGACCGCATTGCTCGGGAGCAATTTCCAGGAGATTTCCTTGGGGGCCGACATAGCACTCCAAAGACATGACAATCGACTCCCTGATAGGGTCAATAGGAGGATTGGTCACTTGGGCAAACAGCTGTCTGAAGTAATTCGCAAGCAGCTGCGGCTCTTTGGACAGACAAGCAAGAGGAGCATCGTTACCCATAGAGCCCAGAGCCTCCTTCTCGTCGGCCGCCATGGGAGCAAGGATCAAGGTAACCTGCTCGAAGGTATATCCAAAGGCTTGCAGGAGAGGATCTTCCTGAACAGCATGGGAATCAGGTTTCGCAGCCAATTCCAGGGACTTGTCAGCCTCAGACTGTTTGAGGACATTGTCCAGCTTTAGGAGCTCACTGTCGAGCCAAGAGCGAAAGTCTTGTCGCTGGGAAACCCTCTCCTTCAGCTCGCGGTCATCGATGATGCGCCCTTCCTGGGTGTCAACCAGCAGCATACGTCCAGGCTGTAGACGACCCTTTTGCACGACGCGCTCGGGCTCTACGCTGATGGTACCAACCTCAGAAGCGCAGATGATGCGGTCGTCGTCCATGACATAGAATCGGCAAGGTCGCAGACCATTTCGGTCGAGGTTAGCACCGCAGAAGCGACCATCGGCAAAGGTGAAAAGAGCAGGACCATCCCATGGCTCCATTTGGCACGCGGCCCACTCGTAGAAAGCGGCCTTCTTGGGATCCATGTGGGCATTATCCTGCCACGCTTCAGGAACCATCAGCATAACAGCCTCCGGCAATGAAAGCACACCGTTGATGGTGAGCAACTCGAGGACATTGTCAAAAGCAGCAGAATCCGAGCCACCATCTTCGACAATAGGATACAGCATCTCCAACTCTTCCGCAAACACGTCCGACTGCATTACACCCTCGCGAGCCCTCATCCAGTTCTTGTTGCCACGCAAGGTGTTGATTTCACCTATAATCTAGTTAGCACCTTAGAACAGCCGGCTGAGGAGTGTGGCCTACCGTTGTGGGCAGCCCACCGCAGAGGCTGTGCACGGTCCCATGAAGGGAATGTGTTGGTGGAGAACCGAGAGTGTACCAGGGCGAAGTGTGCCTCGTAGTCGGCGTTCACCAGATCATGGTAGTACTGGTAGACCTGAACAGGAGCAAGCTGGCCCTTGTAGACGATGTTCCTGTTGGAAAGCGAGCAAATGTAAAACCAGTTGTGGAGGCCGATGGTGTGCGTGGCACGCTTTCGCAGCACGAATAGCTGGATTTCAAAGTGTCTGAAGTCAAACTTCTCGGGGTCGGTCATTTCTGGCGCGTTCCCGGAGCCGTAGTGAGATGCAAGGACTACGAAAGGCTGCAGAATCACAGGCTGGCGACTGAGAGCAGCAGGCCCGAGCAGAGTGGAATCAGTAGGAGGCTCTCGCCATCCCAAGATACGCAAGCCCAAGGACTCGGCAATGTCTTCCAATTGCCGTTGCTGCTCCTGCAGCTTCTCAGGTTCAGGGTTGAAAAACAGGTTGCCAACGGCATACTGTCCGGCAGGCGGAAGCTTGATGCCGACATCGCGCTCAAAGTTCTTGATGAAGAACTTGTAGGGAATCGAAGTCATGACACCGGCTCCGTCACCGTCTCGAGCATCAGATCCCACCGCACCTCGATGGGTCATGTTGCAAAGAAGGTTGCGAGCTGTACAAGATTAGTTCGAGGTGATCACAGCTCGGATTTGGGCTGTTGCTTCTACTCACCATCGCTGACGATCTTGTGGCTTGCCTTGCCCTTGATGTGGCTACACGCCGTTAGCTAGAGCATCAACCAGATAGATAGACCTATATACCAGGCAAAACCGACACCGCACGCATCTTTCTCGAGATCAGGGTCGTACAGTCCCCTAATTGTTACCGATTAGCAATTTGCGAATGTCATGATAGCCAAGGGCGCTTACTGCTTCACGGGCAGGGCTCCGGCCCACGAGCCGTTGCCCTCTTCCTGATATTCATAGGGATGGTACGCCTCTTTTTCAGCCAGTAAATGTTGGTCTCTGTCGTCGAACTCAGTAACCACGCCCATGCTAGGCCACCACTCCTAAATTTCTGGGTGGGTCAAAAAGTCACTGGAGGACTGGAGACTCGTCTCTGGCGATAGGCGAGAGGAGCCTGCTGTTTAGTTTTGAGAGCAGCAGCGCTGCTCTTGTGGGTGATTCTGCAGAAGCGAACTGTTAGCAAATCCTTTGATCTGACCCAGTGCAAATCAAAAGCGATGCAGAGCCGGAAGAGATGTTCGCCAGATTAAGATCAGCCATCCAGCGGCAGCCCACGGCGGTAATGGAAGTTCGGATGGACCCCAGGCCACTGGTTTTCTTGAGGAGCATCGCATGCTGCAACACAAAAAGTCGCAATGCTAATCAGACGAGCGACAGGTGCAAATTGGCTCTGGCTGACCCTGCGGAGCAATGACGCAGATACATGTATACTCGAGAGCAGGCCCGAGCTCTCGGCGGGGTCAGCCATACACAGCTCCAAGACCCTCACAGGACACCCCGCTGCTAGAGCTGGACTGGCTTGTAGTACGTGATCCCATGACATAGATCCCAAGCGGCTGACTCTCTGTGTGGTGTATCGTCTCGTGTGACCACATCCTGCAAATCGGGCTCTTGCTGAATCGTGTGACAAAGCTGTGCCGATATAGATTGAGGATCGCCTGCCTCGGTGACGATGTTCTTTTTAGGTTGGCAACAAAGGCAACTTGGCGCAGTCCTACGCCTGGATGGCCTTGTAACTGGAGGAATGATTTGTTTGCTGTTGGCGATACAATTTCTGAAGAGTGGCAAGTCTTCATGGACCGCAATTTTTCTGGTGGTCGTAGCATGCGGAGAACTCATCCAATTCGTCCCCTCGAACCGAGTCGAGAAGTTTGGCGCGTGCAATGCGAGGTGTGACACCGGCCAATAAGGTTGCCGCGGCGCAGAGCTTCTCGTGCGACTATACCACGGCCTTTGATAAGAAGGGTGGCATATTTTGTTCTCTCGCCCAACTTCTCCGCACAGCGATAGTCGCGTAGACGCAATGAGCGAATGGTCGCGGATAGGCCGTCTATGAGAATTCGCCAGAATCGAGGCCAACGGGCGATCGGGGCGTCTGCCCGCGCGAGACAACTGGTGTCCTGCTGACAGTCTCTGGCAGGTAGACCTTCGGGGCCCGAATTGCTGCCGAGTAGTGTCGATCCGACCAGAGGGGCTGGCAAAGGCGGCTTTGTGTTGCCGTATCTTGCGCGGCACGAGATATCGTACCCTTGACAGATAGGCAGGGCGGGGCGGGGCTGGCAGTGGGCATCTATCTGGGCTGGCTCCCCATCTCTTCACGGCGCAGGCTAGCATGTGACTGAATCTCAACTACTTACTTGGAGGAGTTCTATGCTTTTCAGCAAGGACGTGGACGCGTGCAGCGGGATTGTGTCTCTGAGGTAGCGCCAAAGTCTGTATGAGAGAGCGTAGGCACTATGTTTGTGGTGGTGAAGAGAAGGGGGAGAGGCAGGAAAAAGTTTGGGCAAAGATGGGGGACTAGACTTTATGGATGGGGAGGCGTGGGAGACCTAGTATGGACTGGCAGGCTGGGGGTCGCCAAGACTCCGTTCTAGGACAATCTCAGGCAAGCAGTGCCGTGTCTCCCCAGTGCGTCTAATGTGCTGGAAAATAGAGGGGCAAGGAGTTCTCTGCTATGATGGCAGTAGTACTGTACTATGTACTATCTGTACTAGCCATAGAGATTGCAAGGGTTTATAATAAACAGGTGGGGCCCGCAGAACAGAAACGTGGGCTGTGCAGGTAAGTGACGGAGGTGGGACCGTGGGAGGCGTCAGAGGCAAACACCAGAGCCCACCAGCCCGGATTATTTACACTATTGTCACAGGCCGACCTCGCTTGGGTATATGACCCTTGGGGTCCCTGGGTAGTTCAGGTAGTCTGCTGCGTGACACCCCATCCTTATTCTGCCCCCGATGTGGCCATCAAGGGTCTGGCCTTCTCGATCATGCCAAACCCCCGAGCCCCCATCTCCATCGCTGTCTGTGTTACTGTAATGTACCTTCCATTCGCAGAGGAGCAACCATGCTGTTGCGATGCGATGCGATGCGCCTTGCGTTGCGTTGCGTATGTGAAAGCTGCAATGACCCTAGGCGACCTTCCTAGAGCAGTGTGTTTTTTTGGAAGGGGGGGGGGGGGAATAGGGAGAGGTTGGGAGGGCAGCAAGCAAGACTCCACGTGCAGCGCTGTTAGTACAGCAGGAGGATCGGCGGTGCGGTTGCGGTTGCAATTGCCTTGGTTTGGCCGCATTCTGCTTGGATGCGCACTGCCTACGTAGCACATTGGGCGTGCCAGCTGGTCCTCTCGCGCATTGCCCCACCGACCTGTGATGAGGCAGATGGGCAGAAGATTTTGTCGTTTCCGGCCAGAACCAGAGCTGTGGTAAGTGATGTAGCCTCCTGGGTCTTGTCCATCCAAGGAGACCAATCATGGCTGGCGCATTCCACATGAGAGCTGCACGTTTCATGCATTGCGTCTGGGGTTGTGTGGTGGTGACGACGGGGACAAGGTTCTTGGACATTCATTGACTTTTCCCCGTGCAACACAATTAGTGCCCAGCCGTCCTGGGCAAATGAGGGTAGAGGAACGGGACATGTCCTCGTCCTCGTCCTCGTCCTTTTGCTGGTGTCGATTGTTGATTCAGTCTTTCGCAGAGCAAATTGTCATGTTGCCTGGTCAGTTATATATGTGTAAACTATTGACAACAGCATGTCGCAAACTCGCAGCCAATCTGCCAGCGTGGCATGTGAAGCGAAGCAAGGTGAGTTGCCCGGCACTCCCCAAGCCTTGTACAACCCAGCAATAACAAGGCGGTTGAGAATTCCTTTGTTCACCCCAAGCTCCCCCACACAGACCAACGGCGCTAGCCAGGGGGGGCCCAGCTAGCTCAGGGTCCCGCATGCAAGCTCAGGTGACCCCTGCAAGAAAAAAAAAGGCAGCCACTCGTCACCTATCAGCGCATCGCCTTTAGCAACACCAGGTGTCGGCCGATCTCGCAGCAGGCCCACAGCTCGGAGCTACCTGGGTACTTATGCATTTGCAATTGTATTGCTCATCACAAATTCAAATATATTCTGCCGAGCCTGACCAACCCGCGGAGCCATAAGCCCCATATCCGCCGCCTGCCACGCTGCATGGACGTGCAAAGGCTCGCATCACGCCAGACCGACGCAAATTGGAGATGGCTGAAAACATTTCCGTAGGTGTAAAAGTAAAGAGTAGAGTGGGAAATGTCTCGGGAGTAGCTCCTAGAGAAGCAGAGCTTGACGGATAGGCATGGTCTGGCCTCGCCCGCCTCATTTTTTTTTCCTGTGTGTTTCCCTGACTTTTACCAAAGCGGCACTCTTACTTAGCCTTGCGCACCAATGGGTGGCATCAATTGAGTCGACGCACCATGGCACGCCATAGCGCAAAAAGGGACATGCCAGGGCACGGTAGGCGTCTCGGGCGAAACTTGGTGTTCTCATGGTCGACCCCAACCAGCTTTCTGATAGCTTGCTGTCAAAGAATCGTCATCAACATTTGCCTCACACAGCACACAGCCAATCAAAGCCGATCATGTCGGAAGAGCTCTTATCTTGGGCCAACAACAGGCATCCGAGGCTCTAGCCTCGTCTCTACTACCACATGGGCAATGGGAGAGGACGAACAGATCGCCTTACCCCGCGCTGCCCATCTGCCCATCAGATCAACGGGGCTGGGATTGTCTGGACACCCAGTACCACGACCCTCAAGTCCCATTGATGATTCAAGTAGTCTTTTTCCCATCGTGATCAGCGCCTTGTCGTCCAGTCACAGAGAGTTGGCTGCGCTGTCCGGCTGTCCACCACGCATCCTCTGAGCGACGGCGCAAATCCCCAGGCTATACTGCGTAAATATCCTTCTGTCTGCGGGGTCCCATCCTGCTTACACAAGCCAGTATCAGGCAGTGTGTTCGGTTCCAACGTTGCGATCTCCGAGAGGCCGAAGTCGGCTGTTAATGTGCTCTGAAGATGTCCTGAAGCACCGCATGCCCACGCAGCCCTGGCCTGTTCCCGAGGACGCCGCACCATCGGCGAGGCATCATTTGAGGCCTGTTCCGGGTTTTCCCGAGCATGATCCATCGAGTTGGCTGCTAGTAATTTCCGCGGGTCATCTCTCTGCAGCACACAGTCACAAACCAAGTCCAGGGACTGACGAGTCGCCGAGCCATCTGGCCACTTACTTCAATATTATTTTCCGCGGTTTGCGAAACAAGCTTCCGGTCTCTCTTGGGGATGGCCTGTCGACTGCAGACTGTCGTAAGCGAGGGCCAGCCCCACAATCTGCCCTGTGTCCAAATAGCCACCATTCAAAGCAATTGCAGTTACCTGATCAAAACTCAGGCCCTTGGCCGTTTCCTCCCTGTTCCTGTTGATCCGGACCGAAGACCGTCTTCCGCTAGAAACAGCCCACCTCTGTAGCGAGTAAATTCGCGTAAGAGCAGGGAATGCGGCTGTTTGCCTGGCTGTCTGACTGGGGCTGACTGGCAAATTGAAGACCATGTGACCAACTCTTTTGTTCATCCCAAGCGGTGTGAGCAAACAAACAGCTGGCCACCACCACGGCGGCGGCTTTGCCGTGTGCAATGAGCCTTCACGCAGCCTGATGAAAGAATTTCACGGCCAGGGTCTTTTACCCGGGTTTTTCCATGTCGTTTTGCTGGTGAAACGTCAACGCCAGATCTGGACAAGGATCAGCTCCACATCACCAGATCTGGCGCACGGGTAGGGGGCCACCCAACCGCGCGGCTCTCATGCCAGGCATACTTAGCCGCAGGTACTTGGGGAATTGTACCCTCCTAGGTGCTCATGCAGGTGGGGTCGGATTTCAATGCGCTGGGGTACGTCTGGAGACGAAGCTCGGCAACCACGATCAGCAGCAGCACGTCACCAAGCGAACACGCGCGACACAACGCCGAAAGCCAGCCTCTCAGCCTCCTTCCCAACTCATATACTCTTCACCGCCTGCTCTCGCTGTCAAAGTCTCGCAGGCATCGCATGACCGAGGTGCTGCCTCTCTCCAGCGCGCCTTGCTAGGCGGGCACACCTGGGAACCATGGATTACGCGCCAATGCTACCGGATCTGACGCCTCGCGATGTGAGTCTCTCAGCAAATGACCACGCACCCAATGCTGTATATGCTGACAAGGTCCTGCAGTCCCACAGTCTCTGGTACACCTCTCGCCACACGCACTCCTCCCTACTGCACCAGCTCAACGGCCACGATGCATCACCTTCCGAAGACCACAACAATAACAACAACCACGCGGGCCGCCACGGCCAGCACCCTTCCGGCCATGGGCGCGACCACCGGCGCGCGTTGGTGGAGCGCACCCCGCTCGCGCGCCTCCGCCTGGACGAGCAGATCATGGAGCGGCGCCGGCAGAACGTTACCAACTTCGGCAGTGCGTGGCTGAAGCCGCCGGGCGTGCCCAAGACGCTCTTCCAGATGCGCGAGGAGCGGCGCGAGGCCGAGGAGCACGCCGAGGCCATGCGGCGCGAACAGGAGCTCGCCGCGCAGCTGGCCGAGGCAGAGGCCGAGGCGGAGGGCGCCGACGATCTCGACGACGAACACATGGAGGAAGGTGGGGGCGAGGAGCCGGACCTGGATGACGAAATCCCCGAGGCTGAAGGGTTCGGATTCGACGGTGGCGATAGCGACGAGGAAGAGAGCGAGCCGGAGGAAGAGGATGACGACGACGAGACGGACGGGGACGGGAACGAGACGACAAACAACGCGGGGCCGGTGCTGGTCAGCCCGGCCGAGCGGCGGGACATGCAGGCCACGGAAGACCGGGTGCGCGAGGTGATGGCCCAGGGTCAAGAGGGCGGCAGCCTCACGATCGACGACGACGCCGTCGACGATGAGGACCGGGCGCAAATGCTCGAGGAGGACGATCTGATACACGACTACCACCAACACGGCGACGGCGGCGAGGACGCGCGTCCGGGAGACCTTAGCATGGACATGGACATGGACGCCGACCTGGACGATGACATCCCCGAGGCCGACGGGCGCTATGAGCACACGGACTCCGAGGCAGAGATCAGCGACGACGAGACGCGGGAGATATCCTTTGTTAGCGGCGGCCGCGCGCCGCAGGCCTCGCGGTTCAGGAGGAGCCTGCCTAGGAGCAGCGTCCGGGGCAGCCAGAGGGGCAGCCTGGCGCAGAGCGAGATCGACTTCAGCGGCCTCCTGTCGACGAACGAGAGCAGCTATTTGGCGAGCAGTCCGCAGATGAGGCGGAGGGGCTAGGCCGAAGTCAAAGGGGCGACAACACAATGATACCCAACACGAGCAGTAGTAATATAGCACGCATCGTGAGCCGGCGCGAGTCGGCTGAATCACTTCGGCGCGATTCTTTCTCATGGTTATAGACCGAAGTAAATATTTGTGCAGAACACGCATTACAACATGCATTATGGATGGACTTGGTTTTCGCCCATGATTGTGCCACAGCCCAAACGGTATATGTATGACCCAGTCTCTCTTAAACATTCGTGTACCCATTCCATGCCTCGTCAAAAGCGTGCCGCAACGCCGGGTCGTTGACTGATCCGCATCACTCGCCCCGTCATGGCCAGCCATTTCAGTTGCGCCACACTCAGTCCCGAAGAACCGCCCCTCCGGCCTCCGGGCACAGCGTGGCACGTAGTCGGAGGGCCGGCTCGCTCGGGGCGTGCATACCGCTTCCAAGTCTGTGTTGAGGCTCTCTCTCTCTCGCTTGTGTGAGGCGTATATACATCAGAACAGCCACACGTACATGAAGAGGAGGATCACCGCGGCGAAGAAGCCCAGCCAGACCCTCCAGCCGACGCCCGTCCGCTCGGCCATCACCAGCATCCTGTTCATGGTGCCGCGCACTCGCAGTCGCATGTTGTCGAATTGATCGTTCATTTTCTCCGCGAGGGCGGAGGAGTCGCGGATCTCGTCGCCGATCGCTACTGTCATCTAAATGCCCGGGAAAAGGATCATGTCAGCTTGCCTGGTCTGTGAATACAACCTCTTGCAAGGTGTCCGTGGTGGAAAGAGCAGCATTTCCCACTGCCCTGCGCCTCCCGCCAGCTCCCAAATGAGAGCTCGGCGGCCCATGGAAACTGGCTGGGGAATGAACGTACATCTTTCAGAACCCGCACCTTGCCCATGATGCCGTCGATCTGCGCGTCGTTCTGGCTCTCGAGCTCGTTGAGCACCGCGTCGCTGTACTGGCCCCTCCTGTTGGGCGTCGCGGGCCGGAAGCCGCCGGGCCTGCTGCCGCTGTCGACGCCCAGGTGCGTCCCGTTCCCGTTCGGCGAGGCCCCGCCTGGGTAGCCGTAGCCATAGCCCCGGCTCGGGCTCGGCGTGATGCCCCTCCTGTTGTCGGCGCCGGAGCCCGTGTAGCCCTCGAACAGCGCGGAGCGCGAGTCGCGCTGGTGGAGGGACGAGTTGAACCTGGAGCGGCGCAGCGCCGGGCGTGTCAGCAGAGAGGATGGGCTTTCAGTGTGCCATGCGGCACGTGCGGGCCAGCGGAGGCGTCGGGGATGGTGCTGGGTGCACTCTTCTATCCGTTGTCTCTCGTGCGAGCGTCGCAGAAGAAGAGCGTTTGCAGAAGAAAATCGTGGCTTCTTTCTTCCGCGGCCGGCACAAGTGAAACTCAAAATAGTGAGGCTGCAACTATCTTGGCCATCGCGGGTGCCGCAGAGAGCCAACGGATCAAAGGCGTCGGGCGTTGAAACTCACCTAGATGCCATCGTGGACGGCGCCCTCTTTCACATGCGAGGCGTGTGCGTTGTTGAGAGGAAAGGAAGTGGATGCAGGAGGAATCGGGATTGTTAGGTAACAAAATAGGGGTGCTCCTGCAGAGCCAGGGATCTGGAAGATTAGGAAATGGAGACGCCCAAGTTCTTCACATTCGTCTAGATGCGAGTGGCCAGGCCGTATCGAAGCGTACTTTGTCTGGTTCGCTTTCAGGAAGAGCCGGAGCTTTTTCTATTCAATCGATTTGTCCATTCATTAGGGCCCCTGTCTTGCCTGTGAGGTACCATCTATCACTGGCGGGGTACGTACCTACAATGAGCCGTCGTATTCCCCACCACCTGTGATAATTGTTGACTTCAACCTACGTGTACTGCGATGCTGCCTCGCTCTTGTACAGCAAAGTGAGCCATGGGGTAGAAGTGCACGTATAATACGTGGCATCCCGATTAAGCCACGTACGGTATTTCTTACTGTATGATGCAAGAGGTCACGAGGGATGGATGCATCACTTTGCATTACAATGCACACCATTCCTTTGTGCGTAGCACATAATCTGATGATTGTTGGGCTGGTATCTCTGTTTCCATTTGACCTCTCAGATCTTGGCATGCAAAACAGCACTGCCAAATGACGATTTAGGTGGCTGCCACATCCACACTAGATGCTTGTGCCTCTGGCCATCCATCTTGAAGCCTTCTGGTTCAATCCAGTTTTCACATGGTCCACGGACAAGCTACCGTGGTATTTATTATTTTCGTAATCTTCGTAATCCCATCGTCGTCAGTCATCGATTCGGTCGACGTTGCTCGTTGACATTGAGCGCAAGACCATCGAGACCAGGCAGCAGCGGACAGCATCTAGTCCTCGTCCATCTTGTCGTCCTCCTCCTCGAAGTCATCATCGTCGTCCTCATCCTCATCCTCATCGGCAGGGTTCTCCTCGGCGGCCTTGGCGAAATCGATGACCTTTCCGCGCGTGCGACGGCCCACGACGTTGTCTAGGGAGATGGCCTCCTCAGGGTTGCCAGTCTCGTCATCCTCCTCGGCTGTGTCATGTCAGTTAGTAATGCGGGGCACTCGGACGGAGGGGTCGCAATGCGCGGGTAAACAAACCATCCTCAGCGGCCTGGAAGGCAATCAGTTAGTGGGACTTCATCGCAGCTGGGCGGGGACGCATAGTGGGAATTGCGAACTGACCTCATCCTCGTCATCGTCCTCATCGTCGTCATCATCGTCCATGGCGACGTCGGCGGGAACATCCTCAGCAGTCGCGACAGCCTTTCCTTTGCCCTTCGCATCGGTGGTGGGCGTCTCCTGGGCAGCGGTGGTCGCGCCCGCGGTGTTCTCGGTGACGTGATCGTTCTCGGTGGCCATTGTGACTGTTGCTTGCAGTTGTAGTGAAGAGGGAAAGGCGAGGTCGATTGACAATTAACAAAGCGTAGGGGTGGGAGCGGTCTTTACTGTTTGCGATCGCGAGAGCAGGGAAAGGAAAGATGGTGGAGGAGGGAGAAGAGAGAAGGCGAAAGCTGCTAGACTGCCTGCGGACGGTTTCAATGTGCCCTTGGAAATTTTGTGGGTCCAATCAACACTGGTTGGCGGGGAGGAAGCTTCAGCTCCAGGGGAGCAGGGATGCGCTTAGATCTCCTCCCTTTCGACCTGCACGTAAAGCAAAACAGGTATCGCCAAGGAGCACGGCGACAGGAAGAGAAACAGGGCCACACAGGACGTTTTGAAGCCTTGAAAGAAGAAAAGTGAAGACACAAAGGATTGCAGCAACTTGCTGCGAATGCCTGGGTAGAATCGAGACTCCTCCACGCGCTTTCTTCCGCACGCCTGTGCCCCAAACTGATGTCGACAAGGCTGGCTCTCTGGTGGTCAGTCGCAATTCATCACGGCGCCCATTGCACGAAGTCCGCCATGGCCAAGGAGCAGCTGAGAAATGTATCGTCGGAATCGTGTTGAGCCATTTGCATGTCTATTTGCCCTCGCCGCCACCACCGCCCATAGCTATTAGCAACGCGATGGCAATCATCCACCAGTATCTTGACCGTATAGTTAGCTTGACTACTCCAGTGCAACACCGACACCAGACGTGTGGCTTTCAAAAAGGGGTTGGGAGCTGGTACGAACTTCTGCAGGAAAGTCTTTTCCTCCTTCTCGACCTTCTTCCCCTCCGGACTCAACACGATGGGCTTGTTCAGGTCCGGCTGCTTGCCCCTGCTCGTCAAAAGCAAGCTGGCCTGAGGTCCAAAGTCCCGCGTCTGCCCGGCATCTATCCTCACGCCCCTCACACTCGCCCCCAGGACAACCTCCTCGCCCGACGTGCCGTCAACCGACAGCACAAAGTGCGGCGAGTACCCCTTCCCGAAGTTCTCCGCGCTTGCCACGCTGGTCGAGCCCGCCCATTTCTTCTGATTTGCGTCGTAGATGCCGATCCGGACAAGGTCGGTGGATTCTGGCAGCTCAGGGGCTTCGTAGGATGTCACTGACGCGCCGCTGGCGGTGTCTGGCGCGCTGCTGTCGTAGGTGAGCCCGGCGAGCAGGACCGGGGACGAACTCGAGCCGAAGGGCTGGATGTAGATATTTGCTGTTCTTGCCTTGGCGCGGACGACAGACGCCGCGCCCAGCAATGCGGATGCGAGAGCAATGACACGCATCCTTCCTGTAGACTTGTTCCGAAGCTTTGGTGTTGGGCAGCAGCGCAGTCGTGCGAGGGTAGACGGGTGTGTGGTGCTGCACGCTGGAGGGATACAGCTAGATAATCCAGGCGGGCGGACAGCTCGAGCCTGAGAGCGGCTTTGGACGAGACGTGCGCACGGGCCACAACTTAAATGGCGGCCAAGTCAAATTAACATGGGAACTCGATATAGCAGCTCGTTTCTAATACTCGCAGCAATTCATACCATCCTTCCAGGGACTTCTTGACTTCCACGGGTGTCAAATGGTGGGTTACCAGAAAATACAGACAATGTTGTCTCGTGACGCATTAATTCATCTCATGCTTCTAACCGGGCTCCTAACCTTTCTCCAGAAATGCATCAATGCAGGATATCATAAGAACTCCCTTGTAACCTTCACCATTGTTTCCACCATCAATGTATGCCACACCTCTCAACATTTGCTAGCGACTGATTTCTCTCCGGTCAATTTTACAAGCCAATTTCAAGGCTACGCTTGAGATGAGGTGTCTGGTGGTTCAGTTTGAGGGGGGATCTCGCTCTCGCTAGCGTTCTCTACCTCTTCGACATCTTCGTCCGCCTCATCAGATATCTCGGTCGACTCGTCCTCATCGTCCTGGTCCACCTCGTCTTCAAGCACATAAGCAGGCGACCTCTGCACCAGCCCCCTGTAATAGGCCACAAGGACCTCCGGATCTGGAACGATTTTCCAGTCCACCCTGTGTAAGAACTCTAGCTCTAGCAGTTTCAGCTCGGCTACCCTTACGCCACCCACTCTCGCGTACGTGGAGTTGTTCCAAAATGAATCCGACAGTCCCTTCGCGGCGACTGTGGCCGCCGTGATAAGGAATCGGTGAACTGTTAAAGTGTTGATCGTAAAGTCCGGGTATAATGCACACAATCGGTCAATGTAGTAAACCATGGAGAGGAGTAGTGGCGGAGGCAGCGTCGCGTGCTTAGCAAGACGATGCAAATAATCCAACACAGATATTCCCGGCGCTGTCCTGTTTCGACATGTTAGCAAGGTTGATGCGTATTTATCTGGTGGGCTCGTTCAGGCTCGGCACATACCGGCTGTGGAATCTTGTGAGGTGCCCTGACCTCATGGCCAGGGCGTCGTTGGTCTCTATTAGTTCAGCCAGCATGTTCGCTATGAGGACCACGATATCCTCAATCGCACACAATTCGTACCGCACGGGTAGTACTTTCGGGGGTGCCGTGTCGGGCTTAACGCGCTTCGGCAACGCCCCCGAGTGCTGCCCACCTGCCGATGATTCCCCGGTTGATGCGCCGGGCCCTTGGGAGTTGCGTCGCTTCACGGGCGACAGAGGGTGCGGCGCCTTCAGCATCGGCGGCTCCTCATCCAGAAGAGTCTCGGTAGTAGCCACAGACTGGGAGTCGACCACAGTTGTCGACTGTTCGGTAGGCACCGTAGAGGCCGAATCGCCCTGAGAGGCCTGCTCGGACTGGGCTTGTGACGGGTAGGCGCCAGGCACCGACGGAGTGTTCCTCAATGGCGATTGTTGTGCGGGGGGTTTGCGCGGCGCAAAGTAGTTGTGTGGCTCCATGGGAGAGTACTGTGTGGCGGCATCGACGCCGACGTACTTGGCTGTGCGCTCGGGTTGCGCTTGCGACTTCGGCGGAGGCTTCGACTGTGGTTTTGAAGACTGTGACGGCGACGTCATGTTGGCGCCCAATGGCGATGTTGTCGACGGCCGCCGCGAAACAGCGGTCGGCACCTTTGGCGAGCGAGATTGCGGGGAGGCGGGCGCATAGTGGAAACTGGTGTGGAAGGAGCTAGGTGAGGCACTGGGAGACCTTGCAGGCACGGGGGAACGAGTCAACATGGTCTCCGCAGCATCGTCTGGGACTCGTGCTCGAGATGCGAAAGCGTCGGGATGGGTATGCTACCCGAGTCCCACGAGCGTGGGGAGAGCCGTCGAGAGTTGCGGAGCCGCGATCGAGGTCCAAGAACGGAGAATCGAGGGCTGGACAAACGATTAAGCGCCGCTAGTAGGAGCAGATCTGGGGCTTCGAGATCCGGCCCAAGCAGGCAGCTTGCAGGTGGCTAACCAGGTAGGTAGGTAGATAGGTAGATAGATGTCGTATGTGATAAGGCGTCGGACGTTCTGGGGCCTTTAGTCAAGGGCCGTGTCGAAGGAGTGGTATGTGGAGGTAGGTAGGTAGAGATTGTCACCCGAGTTGAATGGCCAGAACAGCCCACGTGTTGAGGCTCAGGCTGCCGGACTGGAGATCTCGTCAAGCTTGGAAAACCCAAGATATGGCAGCCCCACTTTTGCGCAATGCCAGAGCCGAACCTGAGACAGCAGGCCCTCGGGTGGGCTATGGATTTCTGTCATTACCTAGATATCATACAAAGAGACAGCCGTGTGTCGTCGTCAAGGAGGGGAAGTCGGACCAGTCCCGACTCTTGATCGCAGATTTTGTTGCACCCTGGGCGGCTGATCATGGGCCAGGGAGGATACACTGCCCAGGCTATTGGAATCGACCAGAGCTCAGCCCAGAGAGCTGGATGGACCGATGGGCTCGTGTGTCCAAAGGCTGAAAGATGCCCCCCGTCCTGAGTCTAGCGCGCCTGAGCGAGCAAGCAGGCCAAGGAGGGTAGTTTGCGCCGGTTCTCTCTTTTGTCGGACTAGCAGCGCGGAGGGGTGGGCGGGCAGCGGGCAGACAGGAACCGGTGATACGGCGATGACGAGAAAGTGGCAGTTTGGGAGCTTGGGCTAAACTGAGTTGCACACCGAGGCTCTGGGAAGCCTTGTCGACGGTCAGCGCCGACACTGGCTGGCGACGCACAACGGACCGCCCAGGCGGGTAGCTGCCTCTGCCTGTACCCGTGCTCGGTGCTGCTGGCTGGCTGGATCCGGACTGGCAGTGGCACTGGCAGTGGCATATCGTCCCAGCGAGGTGGTTCCGGCATCGCAGGACGAACCCATCGCTTGGTGTGGGTGTGCCCGACAGACGAGCGAGGGGGCACTGATTCAGTCACCCAGTCGCTCACGGCGCAAGGTCTTTCCCAGCGAGCCATGTAAAAATTTCGTTACTCGTGCTGGGAAGTCTCGAACAATGCACCACGCAGTAAAAAGTGGGTGTTCTGCGGATCTTGGCCAAATAGCTTGGCTGCCTGCAAGCCCAGCACAAGTCTCAATCAACCTCATCCACACTGACGGCCTACAGGGAAGGGGGACTCTCAGGAGGTTCCAAATGGGGCAAAGCAGAGATGACCACAACATACACTACGGGGGTCACGATAAGCATATTCTAATATTGCCCATCAATGTCAGAAAAGTCAGACGCACAAAGGCCGGGTACAGCAGATCCAAGCACGTTTCACACCTCACGCTTCACATTAATCGATTACCTGCATCATCTACGCCAAATAGATACATCCTCGTGGATGCTAATAGACTGCGATGTAGTAGATTGGGATCTAGATTTCGACCTGGATGCCCAGGCAGACTTGCGGACGGCACGGAGGTAGACTGCAGAAACAACAGTAGTCAACTATACATAGTACTGTCATTGCTTGTGGACTGTATCAATGAGTTCTGGAGAGATACGATGTGAGCAGCGCCAAGGATACAATGGTAGGAATTAATCTACTTTCTTTTCGACGGGGAGCTGGAAGCAAGCCTTCCCAACTATTCCACCATTCATCACCAGATCAAATAGCAGTACAGTCGACTATAGCACCTACGTATCCTTGGTCTTCAGTGACCAGGCGTGCCAGGATACACGGCAACAAGTAGTGAGCCCTGGCTGACACAGCAGATCTTCTCTAGCAGACGGACTGATGATCACAGGCCGATGGTCTCGGTTTTGGCCCGTGCAAGAACACCCCAACCCTTCTCCACGCAAAGCAGGAGGCAACGGGCAGAGGGCCGCCGCATTAGCCTTAGCTGCGACGGGAATACTGACAGCGACAGGGGCCCTTGTACCCGGAGAGCACGCTGTCTGTCTCCATCTCTCATCCCCATTTCATGACGCCATGCGCCATGGCCCAGCCCCAGAACCCGGCCCTGTACGGTTGATCTGAATGTGTTCACTCCGATAATCTTTCGCTTCCGCCATCGCCCCAAACCTCCCACGAGACTTACAGCTGGACGAACTCCTTGGTTCTCACAACCTCGCCGACCATCACGACCCGTCGATGGAAGACTGGCAAACCTTCGTCTGACTCTGTCTGCGCGCCGCGCCGGCCCGGCAAATCCACCATTCTGCTGGGGGTTGACAAGTAGTCTGCTCTAGCTTATCCCACCTCTCGCCCGAGCCGAGCACAAGCGAAGCTCCTTTCCAACCACCACCAGTCTATTTTCGCGTCGACTTCACTGTACACTATTATAAGTCATTGACAACTACAAGGCCTGCTCTCCTGGCTATCCTGCGCGACATCGCACGCCATGGCGCGCGTTCCCATCACAGCTCTGCTATCACACGACCAGGATGAACAACTGTCCGCTCTACGAACACTCAAGAACGAAATCGTTGGTCATGACCAGAAGAAAGAGAAGTGGATTGAGAATGGGGTCATCGAGCCTGTTGTCAAGGTCTTGGACTCCAGCAGGTCTTCGCCAAGCACAAACGGCAAGGACAGTCGAAGTCGCATACCACCGTCGAGATCCCTGACAGGCGAGGAATCAGTGCGATTACAAGCACTCCAGATTCTGGCCAGCCTTGCAAATGGTATGACACGATCTGACTTTACACCAAGGACCCTCTCTCTCTCTCTCTCTTCCTGCGGCTGACCTTGACTTGCAGGTGGCTTCGCTTTTCTGGCTCCCATACTCGCTGCTGGCGCCTTGTCCGCCATATTATCGAACATACCCCCAGCCGACAATCCTCCTCAGGTCGTCGTTGCAGCCTTGAGGGCTGCTGTAAATATCGCTGAAGCCTCGACTCTGGCTCCTCCCACGTCCGTTCCAGACATCGCTAACCTGGCTGACGTTGTCTTTGTGCCCGCGCTTCTCGATGCCTTCCGCGACATTTTAACGAACTCCGCAACAAACCACACTGGGCAGACCCAAATAAACCTGGTGGCGAGGCTCATCAGTCTACTATGCAGGGAAGAGCGCACACGAGTTGATCTTACGAACCAGGGGATTCTGGAAGCATTAGCGACAAACTTGGCAGCCGTCGTCGTAGCCCGAGGATATGTGGTTCCTGGCGCCGAGAATGTCGCCCAGAGCGAGGGGGTATTGGACTTGATTCCTGAGCCCGCTGCTTCATGTACGGACGTCACAGCCATACTGGAGGCATCATCTGCCATAATAGGGGACTCGCGCTGGAGGGCCTCTGTGCTCGTCTATGCCCCATCGCTGGTAGCTGTCTTCCCGCATCCTGGTTCACCGCGGCGGTCGAAGGGCATGAAAGCATGCGTCAACTCATTCGAGCTGGCCGGGTTGAGCAATATAGCGTCGAAAGACCTAGGAGCCCTAGACTGCTTCCTTCCTGTGGTTCCGGAGTATCAAGTAAAGGGCACAGCAATATCGTCGTTCCCACCACTAGGCTCTCCTCCACCGAGAGACTACCTTGCTTCGTCAAAAGCACCATCTATCAAATGGATTGCCTCATCTTTGAACTGGGACACAGCCCAGGCCGATACGGCTGGCCCAAACACAGAAGCGATCGTTGAAGAGACGGAGAGCCCGTTAATACCATGGTTAATTCACACAGTACGGTCGGCGCAGGGCATGGAGAGGATCATGGCTGCATCCGTGCTCACATCACTTCACAGGACCGGCCTCGCCAACAAGTCCAGGGAGGCCTATATGGGCCATTTAATCGTTCCAATACTTCTTCAGACCCTCGAGGACATTGGTATCACATGCGGTGCTGCTGCTGAAGCAACCTTCGTTGATACCAAGACTGTTACCAACTGGTCCATAGTCGAACGTACTCTGGCGATCCTGGCGAGGTTGATTGTTGACAGCGAGTTTCTTCAGAAATGTGCATTCGACTGCGATGGTGTCAAAATCGTCAGCGTATACTTAAAGAGCGCATATGAACCCCTTGCCAGCAAGTCGTCAAAAGCATGGAGCCCAAACAACAGGCGTGAGAATACAGGCGAGCGCGAAATCGGGCTACCAACGAGTCGCCTAGGGACTGGCGGCCAGCTGCCTCTTCAAGTTCATCGCGCACGTGTGAGAGAGAGCGCTCTGAAAGCAGTGGCTGGGCTGGCAGCGAGCAAGGACGACTACCGGAAGGCCCTCGTGGAACAAGACTTGGTACCCTTCATCGTGGAGTCGCTCTCGCCGAACCCGTCCAACCCCAAGAACAAGGAGCGTCCCAAGTCACCCAAGCGAGCTCCGCTGGATGATGGTGGGTTTGATGCAGCATACGGGGTCAATCCTATCACCGTCATCGTCGCAGCATGTCACGCCTTGCGCATGCTTGCAAGGAGTGTGAGTATACTTCGGACGACCCTGGAAGATAACGCGGTCGCTACTCCGGCATTCCGCCTTCTACGTCACCCGGATGTCGATATCCAAATCGCGGCGTCAGCCCTGATGTGCAATCTTGTCACTGACGTCGCACCAATGAGAGAAGTAAGTAATACATGTATCACCCGCAGCTGGAGCAAGTCAACTAATGCAGCGAAGCATCTCAACGATGTCGGCGTGATGAGGATCCTCTGCGAGCAGACGCGATCTCAAAATCCAGCGTTGCGTCTCAACGCGCTGTGGGCTCTCAAGAATTGGATCAACGGCGTAAGCATGGAGGCGAAGAAAGAATGTGTCGAAGAGCTTTCTGCAGGCTGGCTGGTTCGCTTGATCTGCGATGATACTGAGGACGACGCTCTATACGAGCGGACAACAAAGTCTAAAAAGCAGGCGGCAAACGATATGGATGATGATGTCGAAATGGCCCAAGCTGGAGAAGAAAGCGGAACGTCCAGCTCAGCCATGCTCAACACATCCACATCACCGGTGGGCGATGAACAAGGTCGCACGCCAAGGTTGCGGCAAACAGAGCGGAAGATTGCCGCCCTCCGCGAATCAGAGTTGAGCCTAATGCGTAAAGTCCGCGACGATGATCTTGCAGTGCAAGAGCAGGGACTCAACTTCGTACGGAACCTCATTGGGCCTGCGACGTCAGCAACCGACTCAGCTCGAGACCATGCAGACATGATCGACTATCTCTTCAACATTCTCGGCCAGGACCGCTTCTTCGAGCTCTTACACTCGAAGCTACAGCTTAAAGTCCTGCACCCCTTCGACCGGCGGTACTCCACTAGCCGTGAATCCCGCGTCCTCTATCCCCAGGCCCGTATCGTCTCGGCCGTTGTGTACATCCTCGTGCACATGGCAGCCAGCGTGCCCCGACATCGACAGGTGCTTATTTCGCAGACCAAGCTACTCACGGACCTGGGCAAGCAGTTTCACAGCAAGGACAAAGATGTTCGCGTGGCGCTCTGCCACCTCATGACCAACCTGACGTGGCGCGACGACCCTGATGACGAGGATAGCAGCCGTCAACGAGCAGGGGAGTTGAAGAAGCTTGGCCTGCTTACCAAGCTGGAGACCCTCGAGAGCGATGACGGAGAGCTGGACGTGAGAGAGAGGGCGAAGGCGGCGATCTGGCAAATCAGCCAGCCAAGAGGATTCTAGCCTGGTCCCTTGTTGTTTCTGTTATTAAAGGCATTTAAGTGGCGCTAGGAACACCCTTTATGAAGCATTGACTTGGGGGATTAGGATTACAATGCAGGTGAACCTCGATTCTGGTTATTCGACCCCGGGAACGCAAGGTTGCGAACTAGTAATGAGAGGTAGTGTAGTAGGGCGTGGGTACTTGTACACTTGTGACTAGAACAGCGGTCGGCTGTAAGATACTACAGCGACAAGGAGAGTGAATATACCCGGGATTTATTCTTTTTACTCTTGGCTTTTTACTTGCCTGGTCTCCGCTCCCAAGTCGCTATAGACGTCATGTAGATGGATATCCACACAGTCAAGGTCTCAGGGGCCCGTACGACACCGGTCTATGGATACATACGTACATATATGGCGACCGGCTGCCCTGAAAGTCCTTTCTACAAAATCCCTTGGCGTTGGTCTACACAGGCATCACAGGCATTCTACAGAGTCACACATGGGCAGATCACCTCCGCTCATTTCCCCGTCCAGGACGATCTCGATTCACATAGCCACGATTTTCTCGACTTCTTGAACTTAGGTTCCTTCCCTCTGATGCAGCAGCGAGTGTTTTCAGAAAGAGGAGGAATCAAGGTACATTCTGCTACAGACCCGGAGCATCGTCCCCCAACTGTGGCTTGTTCAAACGCTTTCTTTTGATGCTGACATGAGCGGCACGGAAATCCAAGTTTCCTCGTTCATGCCAGGACAGCGTGCTTTTTTGTCCTCCACGGGACTTCGTAGAGAACTTGCTATCAGATTCAAGGATCTAGAAGTTTGACATATCGTTACTTGATACTTGGGTCTGGAGGTTAGGAGAGGCTGCATTAGCAAGCTGGAGTGTACAAGCGTTACCCCCCCCTCAGGAGATGATCCCAGAGCTGGTGTGAATGATATGTATGATCTCAAATGTCTAGGGGCAAGCAAGAAGTAGATCTTTGAACAATTTTGGCAGGTAATGGGGTAAAGCCAGAGTCCAGACACAGGACTGTATTCAAGGTTGGCGAAGAATGGCATGGACCAATGTGATGGGAAATGTTGAGCTCCTCCACCCGTGTGTGCGTTGAGGCGGGCCAACGAATGAGCTGGTCTGCAGTCAAGCTGCAGGTGATCAATCATCTCAAGCTGCGGGCAGCGGGCATCTCGCCACCTGGGCACGGCATTCATATGCACGAATGCACGCACCCGACGACGTAACTTCGACGTCTCACAGCATCAGCGCGAGAGCGAGGAGCGCACAGGGTCGGCCACTGAGGGGGTCGCGGAGGACACATTATAATTTCCTCTTGCGTCTTGTCCCGTCCTCTAGTTGCAAGCAATCACATCTCGTTGCTACCCATTCGAGCTGGGGATCTCGATGTCCCATGGGCTGGGACGTGTTGGTCGAATGGGAAGTCGAACGTGCCTCCCCCGGGCTTCTTGTTCTCGGGTCCGGCAGGGATGCTCCGGAGCAACCGGAGCGTCTGCAGCAGAGCTTGCCCTTCGAACTTCCACGGCTCGCGCGGATGAAGTCATCACAACGTGACGCCTGGAGACAATCATTCGAGTCACCTGCACCTAACGAACAATCCGTCCAACCCCTAGTGGTGGTTTGCTTCGACCGAGTTCCTGTTTTCCAGGTTTCGATGCGGTCCTGGATCCCGGCTCTTCCGCTCCGGTGTCCGCTCGGCCTCCGGCGCCAGCCTCGCCAGCGACCCTCGAGATCAGCGGGGGCCAGCTTTTTGCCATCGAGCAGCTGAGCTGTCAGATTTCAAATAATTTCCTGGCTTGGTTTTCCACACCATACTTGCGTGCCGCCTGCATCTTCAGATCTGCATCGGCGATGAGATGGGCAGGTGGATGGGCTGCCAGTGTCCTGTCAGTCCTCTCGGACTGGTGTGCGCACTCAGGCAAAGGTGATCCGCATGCATGATCGTCAGCCTAGACGGAACGCAAGCGTAAATTGTGGTAGGGAGCGGGCGGGCTCGACGCTCGGCCATGTCTTGTGGTGGGCGACATAGTTGAGCTGCGTCAAAACCGCGAGCTTCCGTTGGTCGGCCCCAAGGCGAAGTCGTCTGGAAACTTCGGCTTGCCCCATGTATCTCACCACTCGGTCTGCTAGTTTGGCTCCGGGCTGCTCGGCATTCGCCAATAAGCAAGTCTGAGATGCAGTGCGATCTTGTCATGGATGGTGGTGGGCTTCACGTGTATGCACGCAGCGGTATAAGTGAGCACGGGCGCCTCCCGTCTCGATCCCACATGTTCTCTTCATATTGTCTTCAAGGATATATCTGAGAAGGTTTTACACAGCCTCACCTCAAAGATACTCTCGGTGTCTTCATATCTGTACCGAACAAGTCTCTTGAGCCTCATCCAGGACCAGCCCAGTACAACGTCAACACAATGATCCTACCGAGATCAGATACGTTGAATATTAACCCGCCTGCGGGTAACCAGGCTCTCAGTGTCGGTGGTTCCGACTGGCTATGGGCTGTAACGGCCGTCTTTGTCTTAGAATTCGTGGGTCTATTTTGTTTGGGCAGCTATGAAGGAAGCTTGAGGCTAACAGGCATCGCAGCTCGCCTTCTTCGGCCTGACCTTTGTGGCCCGCTCGAGGGAGAGGATCTTCCACTACCTATTTACCATTACTCTCCTTGTCGGCTCCATCGCATACTACACCATGGCTTCAGACCTAGCTTGGGATGTAATCAACCAAGTAAATCAGACCCAGAACGGCAGCCGTCAGATCTTCTTTGCCAAGTATGTCTACTGGGTCGTGTCCTTCCCTGTTGTGACCGTCGCTCTTGGTCTCGTCAGCGGTGTCTCCTGTAAGTGCATTAATGCGTAACCTTTTCTGTCTTGTGGACTATCGTGACAGCGATGCTTGTGTGCAATAACAACAGAGACTGTATTCTGAAGTCCCACTGCTTGTGTTGAGAAATTGTGAGACTAAATTTCTGACAACATCCAGGGGCAAGCATACTCTATAACGTTACCCTCTCCTGGACCTGGGTACTGTCCTACTTATTCACGGCCTACACAGCCTCGACGTATAAATGGGGCTTCTATGCTTTCGGGACTGCGGCATATCTTCTGCTGGCCTACAGCACATTGTTCGAGGGCCGGCGGTCTCTGATTACGCGCGACTTCGGTCCAGCTCGCAATCATCACACAATCCTTGCCGCCTGGACTAATCTTCTCTGGTTAAATTGTAAGTGAAGCTTGATAATAATCTACCACGCCCCCTCTCACGGTTCAGGGATGTGACCTACAAACCAGCAACAAGCATACTCTTTAAACTCAATTCGTTCGGGTGACTCCTTGAGCCCTCACAACTGGTGTTTGCTAACTTCCATATCTCTCTAGACCCAATTGCCTTTGGTATCTCGGATGGAGGTAACAAGATCGGTGTCACACCTAGTTTTATCTACTTTGGCATCCTCGACTTGCTCATGGTGCCAGTTCTGGCCGTCGCATTCTTGTTCCTGGCCCGTAAATGGGACTACGGCAGCATGAACATCGCTTTCACACAGTACGGTCGAGTGAGAGCCTCCGAGGGGACTTACCCTGAGAAGAGCACCACTGCCACTGGCCCTGCCGGTGGCCCTGTGGCCAGTGAGCCAGCGCCCGCTGCCGTGTAGAGGGATAAAAAATGTCAACCACGTGAAAAGATTGACAATTATATGCAACGCTTGCTTCGCGCCCGTTGCTCACAACGTGGTTGATATATTGGATATTCTATGAAGGTTTGTCCAATGAGGACTTGTCCTAAGAGTGCGCAAGATCTTTACAATATGGAAGTGACCGGCTGACTGCCATTGGGGGAAAGTTGAGTTTTGAAAAGGAAACTGTCATTTGCTTGGATACCATGATACCATTCTTCCAATAATTTTAATTTGTATTGCACCCTGAAGTCACCCTATAGTCTCTCGTTCTCTCCATGTCACAGATATCAAGGGATCCTTGGCATTGTGGATTTTGTTTAGTGTCGGATTATGTTTGAATCAACAAGAAATAGGAGGGGTGATCGATATCTGATACTCAAAAATAATAAATTGGCGGAAGTGTATGAGATTGTAATTCATCATACTATTCACTCAAGACAGTCGCTGACAAAAGACTCGTCGCGAGTCTCGTGAGAATTTGAGATTCCAAATGTCTCTTCCTATCCGTAGCTAGTCGCTATACCTGCACAGTTTGCCAATTGAAACGAAGACGTCCTGAGTTTGAGGCAGGTATTCCTCTATAATGAAGTTGTGATCCGCGAGACCTCACGCTGCCGGATCACACGTCCATCTCGTTGTGCCCTAGCCCGGTAAGACTTTCTCTTTCTCAATTTCCAGCCCTTGGCTCGAGCAAGAAGTGGCTAAGACTTTGGAACACGCCGCCGCACAATATATCGCAGGACCTTTGTCTGCATAAGTCAGTTCAAGTGATCACATTTGCAAAGCCATGGGCATCAGACGATCCCATTTAAAAAGAGACTCATTTTTGACAAATAGGCGCCGAAGTGACAAATCTTCTACATTAGCCCCGAGCAGTGAACATTCTTCGTATAAATAGATCAATTTGCAAATTCAAGTTGAGAGTGCCATGCTGGAAGTCGAACACGTACCAAAAACTCATGGGACAGACCGGTCGAAGTTTTTAATGTCTGCTACAAGAGAAATAAGGCGTTCTGCGGAAGGCCAGGCCGGAGTATTCGCGAGAGTGGGTGTCTACGGTGGATTGCCTAGACGTCAATGACAAGCCCTCAGGATTTTCGCTCAATATTCCCTCAAAAAGCCACCTGGAGATCTAATTTTAGATACAGTTCCAAGCTGCAAGACTCTACATAGGTGAAAGAAGTGTGGTCAGCGGCGACTCAGAAGTATTGAATTCTTGGCCAGGAAGTGATCTACGCCATCGCCTACTGCTATTGTAACCCAAATCTCGCACCTATTTGGAATTCAACACTGCGATTGGAACAATTGAGATGACAAGCAGAGTAGGATTGGACGCTAGATATGCAGTGAGTATTGCGGCGTAGGCAAAGTCGACCACGAGACTTCGCAACCTGACGTTGGACTTGGAGCTCAACCATTAGTATAGAAGGTACCCAAGTCGACCAGCCGTCTGGATATTGGATTGTCGTGTGCTCAGCGAAGGCTACTTATTTTACATGCATACGCCCCTCTCAGCCCAATGCCAGTATATTGAATTCTGGATATCCAGTTCTGAGGACTGCAGCCAAGATCTATACTAAGTAACAATGGGCCAAGAGCGATTTATTCTCCAGCGGGTAGCCCGACAACCTTTCGGACGAGTAATGCAGTTCGAAAAGTGATCACTCCGGCCGTCGATCTGCCCCTTACTTTCTTCCCAGACGTGGTCGAGAGTATCGGAATCTTCCAAGCCAGGAGGAAATCGAGGCAGTGTCTCTGATGAATATCTATCTAAGAGAGGCGATCGCTCTCGTGCAGACTCTCTACATCTCATGAATTAACGGTGACCGATGAAGGCGACGTTGACGGCAGCTGGCGACAGCTGGTTCCAAAGCATATCGACATCTGAGGAACATGCCGAAAGTCTGTCTTTTTAAAATACCTGACCTAGGCATATCAAGTCGCCAAGATGGGTCCCGGAGCGAACTAACCCCACATCGCTGTTATAATCTCCCTTTTTAGCCTTGCTAGAAAGCTTTCCCTCTACCTAGAACTCTTGGCATATAGACTTCGACTCAGTGGTTATCATGGGTGCCATATCTCCTCCCAATCACGCAATCAACTCGACCGCAACCACTTACGACGCTTCTCCCACCCTTCCCTGCATGCAGATAGATACCCTTTTTTCCCAGCGTCGCAATGGCGCAACAAGCATGGCCAAGCTCGTTACCGGCTTAGCACGGGTCAAGCTTCCCTTCTGGGCAACGGCTGTCAGGAATCAAGTGGCGTTTGATGGACGGAGCACTGTAACGTGCCCACGCGGTGTAGTGTAGGTAATCTATGTAAACGAAATGGATATGCGCATTGCCCGATAAAGAGCGAGGACGCCCCTCTACGTGCGTTGTGTCTGAGAGAACAATCGAAGACCTGCAAATCTGCCGACAGTCCAGGAGACCTATCTTTATCACCCATCCACGGGAAAGATAAGGTTATCAACATGGGTAAGTGTTCTGATGTGCAGTACACATTTCTGCCCTTCGTATTGGCTGGTAGTTGTCCATGAACTGACCAGTATTACCGCAGCTGAGAACGTCGTCGGTCTAAACGTCCAGAAGGTCGTCGAGCCGGACGCGGACCAGGGCGTCCACCCCGAAAAGACGCACGAGGTCCAGACGTCAGACTCGCGGGCGTCGACGGAAGGGCACGGCCATGCTCTCCTCGACGACGAGGCGTACCCGCCGCCGTCCGAGGAGGAGCGCCGGACGCTGCGCAAGGTCTACGACACCATCCCCATCGCCTCCTGGTCCCTCTGCATGGTGGAGATGGCCGAGCGCGCCTCCTACTACGGCGTCAAGGCCGCCTTCAACAACTACATGCAGTTCCCCCTCCCGGAGGGCGGGCCCGGCACCGGCGCCATCGACCCCAGCAAGCCCAACTCCCACGCCGGCGCGCTCAACCTCGGCATCCAGGCCGCCTCGGCCTTGGGTCTCCTGTTTACCTTTCTGGCCTATGTCCTCCCTATCTTTGGCGCTTGGATCGCCGACACCAAGATCGGTCGTTACCAAGCGATTGTATGGGGTGTGATAATTGGCGGAGTCGCACACGTGATCATGATCGGAGGAGCTGCACCGGCCCTCCTGCAGGCCGGGAAGGGCGTCGCGCCCTTCCTCGTCAGCTTCATCCTCCTCGCTATCGGGGCCGGCATCTTCAAGCCAAACGTCGCCCCTTTGATTATCGATCAGTATCAGCATCAACGGGAGTACACCAAGGTGCTCAAGTCTGGGGAGAAGGTCCTCGTCGACCCGGAGACGACTATAAGCCACATCATGCTGGTTTTCTACGCCTTCATTAACGTAGGCGCCTTCTTCTCTATTGCTGTGGTGTACATCGAGAAGTACCACAGCTTCTGGCTCGCCTACCTGGTGCCGGGAGTAGTATACTTCCTCCTACCAGTGCTGTTGGCAGCTATGTACAAGCGTACGGTTAGGAAGGCACCGCAGGGCTCCGACCTCACCCGCTTTATCAAGATCACGACCTCGGCGTTGAAGGCAAGCAAGGGGAACATCTTCTCCAAGGATCTCTGGTACAACGTGAAGCCCTCGACGCTGGCTGAGAGAAACATACACGTCGGCTACTCAGAGAAGGACGTCGACGACACCGCCCGCACCTGGCAGGCAGTCCAGATCTTCCTGTACATACCTATCTGGAACCTGAACGATGGTGGTGTCGGTGCTGTGCAGAGCAACCAGGGCGCGAGTATGATTTCTGACGGCGCGCCGAATGATTTGTTGGGTCACTTTAACCCCCTGGTGATCATTGTCTTCTCCCCTTTCATGGCCCACTTCGTGTACCCCCTTCTGGAGCGCAAGAAGATCAAGTTTGGGCGCATCAGCCGGATGACATTTGGGTTTGTCCTGGCCACTATCTCGGGCGTCATCGGAGCTATTGTGCAGTACCGCGTATACGCGACTAGCCCATGGTAAGTGATCTGACCGATTGAACAAAACTTGCTTCTTGGACCGTCCACTGACGTGACTGCCCCTGAAACAGCGGCTACTACGCCAGCAGCTGTGATGAGGTGGCCCCCCTGTCCATCTGGCTGCAGATCCCCAACGTCGCCCTCGGCGCCATGTCCGAGGTCTTCATCAACGTCACGGCGTACGAGCTGGCCTACGCCCGCGCCCCGGAGCACATGCGGGCCACGGTCGTGGCGCTCTTCCTCTTCATGACGTCCCTGAGCAGCGCCCTGGGCCAGATTCTGGTCCCGGCCATCGCGGACCCCACACTGATATGGGCCTGGGCCGCGCCTGCGATCGCGCTTGCGGTGCAGACTGTCATTTTCTGGTGGAGGCACCGTAAGGTCAACGATGATGTCTTCATGACCTATGAGGAAGACTACCAGCCCAAGACCCCTGAGAACAAGCAGGCTGTGGAAGGTGAGAAGGAGATCAAGGTGTGAGTGTCTTGAGGGGAAGTCTTAGTTTGGAGCAGATGACGGGATGGCCAGGTCTCGCATGTGGCACTCTTGTTGTGGTGGAAAAGGCCCACGTTCCCAACATGTATCCAGCCGCTCGTAGCCTTTCGCACAGCGGATGAAGAGCCTAAGTGGCTTCGAGAACCGACGAGAGCGGTATTGTTGAAACCTGTGAGGATCTCACACGTTAAACGTTACTTGATAGCTGCCACGGAATGCCTCCATCTTTCTACAGTATGCCTCAACGTTTGTGTCTCGGACCGATCATCCATGGGTGTGGTTTGCAGGTTGCTCGAGCGGCTTCCCGCATTGATGGGGGGACACAGGATTGCACCGATTGGATATCATGAGCAGCACAGCCAGTCCCAACTTTCGACTTCGCTGCATCCGAGAGAAGAATTTGACTGGTCTTGTTTCATTGTATGGGTGCGTATCGATGTTGCATCACAAAGAGAACATGTGGTTGCCTGCAACTCCGCGCGCCAAAAGAATGCGGCGAGAGGTGTTGCCTAAAGCCCCAGAGAAGCACATTTGATAGTGGGAGAGAGCCGGACGTCGTGCTCGGGCGGAGCACATACGCAGTGGAACGTTCGACATTACCCACCGGCCACCGACGCATATTACGCCAGCAAGCAGCCATCAACGACGCAAGTATGCACCGACAGGGAGTCCATACCTCGAAATGACCACTGGTAAAGAAGGTAATCCGTGACCTGTGTCGTCGTTCATCCAAAAGAGACCGAACTCGCACCGGCATTGACCTTGTCAGGGGCTTCGTGGCTACCAGTGGGCCTGAGAGGGCGCCTGTCTCGCCTACCGCTTCTTGATCAGGACAGCCTGGCGCCCTCCTGCTTCGGCTGGAAGTACGAGACGCCACCTGCCGGCCGGTGCCGTCTGGGTGGCAGCGAGGGGCTCACAAGCTGGTGGGAGCCGAGCGAACCAAAACTCGTCAGCACCACATCTGACGGACGGGAGAAAGTGGTGTGTGGGAGAACTACAGCTTGTGTAAGCCTCCCTGACTCGCTCTTCCTGTCCTGGATCGAGGGGGAAGACCTTAAATGTCACGGTTTCGTCACGGTGCGCCTAGTTGCTGACGCCGAGCAATGTGAACATGAACCGCTTACCGGCCGGACGAACGTCCAGGGCAGCGGAATGATTGGGACGTGAGATCATTCAACGACCGTCCCATAGTGGAGGGCTCAACGGTCTCGAGATCGTCGCCCGGCCGATTTTGCTACGTCGGGCGCTTGCTCGCCCTCATCGGATGAGTCGCACAGCAGCGCCAAAGTAGCCGTCGATCGTAACTAGACGGCAAAATGAGGTATGACGACGCGAAGTGTTGGGGAGACTGGCAGACTGGGGAGACGAGAAAGAGGAGGGCCATCTTCCCACCCTGCTTGCTTCTTCAGCCAGCTCTCATTACTGGCCAACCGACCTGTCAGCTCGCAGCTCCCGCGCAGATGGCTGACTGTGTTCATGCAGGTCAGCCGGGCCCCGGGCTGCTCTATTAGTCGCCTGGTTGCTACGCGAAGATTCCGAGCCATCGGCACGGTACTTGGGGGCCCCGTGGTGGCCAATGGGCTGCCGATCGGACGAGTCTGACTGAGGCACAAGTTAGCAGCCACTGGCTGAACTGGTGTGCTGTGAGGGGTCTGTAATGGTCCGATCATCCGATTCGGGTGAGAAAGGGTGTCCCAGAGCCAGGTAGCCGGCGTGACCCCGACGTTGTAATTTGATATCACACATGATGCAGTGCGACCCTACCGGCCAACGGCCCTGCGGCCTCGGCGGGGGGATGAGGGCTTGCAGGCCGTGGAATTTGTCCGGCCCAGACACACCATTCTACCCTCCTGTCCTCAAAAAAACTTTGGTGGCACGGGTGGATGATGCCAGAATGAGACACATGTCGCACATCGCTGAAGCTTGGACAGTGCGAGGCAACCTTTCTCCTTGACGGACTGCAGGCTAGCGAATCCGGATCCGCAGAGAGGGGTGTCACAATCCTCATGATTGTGAGCCAAAGGGCATGAACACGAAGAGGTCTTTGTCCTTGTTCCCCCCCTCGCGTCTTGATTTAGCTATCGCTCAGCTTGAGGACGGCTCGTTGCCGTTGCAGATCCAAGAGTCACCAGCACCGTCTTGCATCCGGAGCCGTGGCATTGGAAATTACCGGACAGCTGGTTAAGTGTCTCGGGGCGGGGCACGATTGGTGAGAGGGTGCTTTCGAGACGTGTTGGTTGACGCCCGAGCTTTGACGATGCCTGTGCAGTACGGACCGATGCGCGGACGGACCGCGAAGAGGTGGCCAGTCCGAGCACCTTGCCGATGGCAGTAGGCAGATTTTGGGCTTGGGCTTGGCTGAGGGCTTGTCTCACACAATACAGGCCGGGATTTCGGCAAGTTATGGGTGGTGCTCAGACGTTCGGCATCGTGACAGACGTGGGCTACTGCTGTGGGTGTTTCCGTCCGGCTCGAGACAGCGCGGCAAGTCAGCAGATGGCTTGGAATGAGGTTCCATGAATCAGACTGGAGCCGGTTTGGGCAACGCGTTCGGCCGACAGAATGGTGAGCGGAGTGAAATGGGATATAGATGCCAATAAGTGCTATTAGGGGGGTCAAGCATGGATATCTTCCGCGGGCGGAGATGGTGTCCTGATTTGGGAGGGCCAGCGGCACCCAATCCCACCATGCCGGATCGCCACGAAACATTGACACGAATTTGCCATGACGTTCCAGACGTTGCGAAGTTTTCTTCCTTCTTCTTCTCTTCTTTGAAGTGGCTGATGAGACAGCAGCCTGGCTGTGCTGGGCATATGCAGTCAGCACTCGAACAGGTGAAGAGGAGAGGAGAGTACCAGGATACAGTATCAAGTCAATCACTGTGTAATCTGTGCTTGGTCAGTGAGTGAATGAGTGTTAATGTGATGAGCGCCCAGTTGGCTGCTCCACTCACCACCCTGACCCATCACACGGGACCGCGGGACCGCACTGGCTGACTGGGGGCCACAAGCCACTAATAGTCATAGTGCTGCATGGATCAGCTGTCAGTCAGTCAGTTCAGTCCGTTAAGACTCTTCGCAAATTATTGGCGGCCTGCCCCTGCCCCTGCACCTGCACCTGCGGCCTACATTCCAACCAGCCTTGAGACGGTGGTGTGTGCCACTTACTGTTAGCATGTGTGCGCAGCAGCTGGGCCCGGGACTGCTAACAAGAGTGATTCCATGATTCCCCGAAATGACCAAGCCTCAGTGCTACAGTGTGCCCACCACACAGTACGCAGCACTGCTGTAAAGGTAGAGCGACTCGCCATGGGCGATCCAGGGATGTGGGAATGACGGCGATCAACAACCTAAGGCGGGCTGGGCCGGTGTCTACAGATCCCAGAGGCCCCATCCTCCCGCAAAGCATCTCCACATACTCTCGTCTCACCTGCCAGCGCGCTGAGACCGTCCGACAAGACGAACAAATGGCGATCTGTGTCGCTCGTGGATATGTGCATGCTGTGCTGTGCTCGCGGGCTGGCTTGCGGGCTGGATCAAGGCTTGCTGATAGGGCAGGCTGGACGTGCTGTGATCGACGGTGCCGTGCTCAGCACGTCAGGCTGCGTCGCCCATCATGTCGGGAATCGGTCTCATGTATGTATCTACGTACTTGTACAGTACACGTGCCCATAGCACCGCCTAGCCTCCCACCACGCCCGCACTGTGACGAGATGCGCGATGCGATGCTATGCGATGCGATGGGGAGCGAAGCGAAGCGCCCAGCCTCCCAGCGCCTTGGCAAGCCCTCCAAGGTTGCCCAGTCACAAATAAACTTCGGCGGCTCGAGGCTTCGTAAAGTCCTGCTCCGTTCTCGTTCTCTCGGCTGGGCTAGGCCAGCAGCCACCCCCCAGCATGTGCAGGCACGCAGGCACGGTACCTGGGGTTGCTAGGCCAAGGGCCACTGAACACAGTCGCTTTTGGTGTCTTTTCGTCCGGGTGGCTACACAACTGGGAGACGCATGGCCACGGTGCGTGTGTCAGCAGTCGGTGACGACACGCGGACATGGCCTGCATCTGACAGCTGAACCGAGGGGAAGGAAGCTTTGATTCGATGCCTTGGGTGGTCCCCAAGGATTCAAGGTTTGTTCCAGGGACGAGGAAGGGCGGTGCTGGTGTTTGTGTTGGTTACCGAAGCGCTGGTTTTAGGACCCCATTCATGCCCGTGTGCCGTCCCAAATGCGGTGGGCAAAGCAGGCCAGCAAGCAGGTAAGCAGGCAAGTGAGCGGCGCGGGTCGGGGGATGTGGTGGCTCGCCTGAAACTGGTGACGGGCATTGCTTGTGGCAGAGGTGAACCGTGGCCGTGCGACGCATTGCATGGCACGGTCTATTGCCGTTCTGACCTGCAGCACAAGGGGTCATCCAATCGTTGCCAGCAGTCCGGCTTTTGGAAGATGGCAGTTTAACTTTCGGCCAAATCAAAGGCGACCCGGCAAAGCTTGGATGCCACCTCTCTGGTTGTTGTCGCTGTGATTTAGGTTGTTATTCCGGTGGCCATTATCATGTCCTGGTGGTTGATTAGACTTCATAGCGCGGGCTGGACCGGTCGACCGGTCGAGTGCTGGCTCGCTGTCAGGCAGAGAAAAGGGCGCCACACAGACAGGACGATCCGAGATGGTCAGGTACTTGAGTACGTACAGTGCTCTTGGTACACACAGTACCGTAGACAGACAGACAGACAGACGAGACAGACGAGACAGACGGTACGGTATGCGGTGTGGGGCCCAGATCCAAGGTTTGGAAGGTTCAAATCCCGTTCAGCCTGCAGAAGCTTACCCAAGTCGGGCAGGCTGCTGCAGGCCACCCCCCCTGCCCAGCCCCATGTTCCCCGACGTGTACCTCAGCACCAGTGCCTCGGGCACGAGATACCTCCCACCGCCAAGGCAGGCATCAAGGCAGGCGTGCCCACACCCAAACCCAGCCGCGCTATGACCACATGCTACCGGGGAATGGAAGCACGCTTCCAGGGTTCTTGGTGCTGGCCCGTCGAGATCTCCATTGGTTCCGCAACCTTGGGACTGGCCCAGCTGAGAGGTCCCCAATGTCCCAATGTCCCAATTCCCCAATGTGCCCAGTGTCCCAGACAGGGCCTGCCCACCCTGTCCACCATGCCATGCCCACCTGCCTACCCACGCAGCTGGCAGCCCACACACAGCCCAGCCCCAGCCCATGCCCATGCCCACGCTCACAAGCCCTCAGCCGATAGGCTCATTACCACAGCACGCACAGTCAGTCGGTGCCAGTCGGTGCTTCAGAGGCCCGCCGTCCCAGGCCTGTGTTTCCTCCCGTCTTGCTCCTTGGGCTGGGCCCCACTGGTCCCCTCTTGATCCCTACTGGTCCCCTGCCCAACCTGCCAGTCGCCATCCTAGTTTAGCTAGGTACCCACCCACCTTCCACCTGGGCGCACCTGGGCTGATCCCAGCCAGATTTCCTGCCGCCGCCGCTCTTGAACCCACTACCACCCTCGTCCTCCGCCAATCTTGCGTCCTTCTGCCACTCCTGCTACTCGACCTCACCGTCACCCTCACTCTCACCTTCTCTTTCTCTCTCTCTGACACTCTCATCTTCCTCCACCCTCTCCTCCCTCCTCACGATCTTCCTCTCCTTCGCCCTCGACCCTGCCGACGCCCCGATTGTCCAGCGAGGATCGATCCACTACAGTATTGCGACCAGAGAGTGGTCGCTTCGGCTTTGAAACGCTCGACTGGCCCTGTGCGCAGCCAGCTGTCGGCCTTCATTTTCATCGCTTTGACCGAACCGAACTCAATTCCACTCGCCACAATCCTGGCATCTTTTCTTTCTATCCTGATTAATCTTTCGCCTGGCATTTGCTCTGCTTCATTTTGCTTTGCTTTGCCCGCCAGGTCAACCACCAGACCGGTCCAGGAACGCCAGAACACAGCCAGGGTAAGCTTATTGCTCCCGCCGGCCGTCCCCGGCCTCCCAACTTTCATTGTCGTCTCCTTTCTCTCTGTTCCCACAAATCCCCCAACCCACACAAGCCCGATCGCACGCCCATTGTCACTCCCACTGCGGATGATAGCCCTATCCATCTTGTAATCAATCAATCAACCACACACCCAACAGCTTGCTAACAGTCTTACTGCCAGCCGGGCTATTGACCACCGCGTGTCCCAGCCCCAACTCGCTGTGCAACTTATTCTTCGAGTGCAGGGTCTCAAACTGTACTCAATTGTATTGTACTGCTCTCTTCTGTATCACCATTACTTTTACTCGCGTGCACTGCACGCACCACCACAGCAAACATGGTGTCTGTTCTCGGTCCTCCGGCACCGCCGACTAGAGAGGGCGAGGTCATGACCATCTCGAGAGTCACCCGCGACGGCAGGCGCCTTCACTATGACCTTCAGGTTCTGCAGCAGCCGGAGCGGGCCCGTGCCTGCGGTTCTGGCCCAAAGTGTGAGACAAAGCAATATCTCTATCCGCGTCGCAGCGCGCGTGCAACCCCGACTGACTGGAAATCACAGCTTCTGCCGATCGCCGACCGGTTGATCCACCACCCGTCGTGCAAATGAAGATATTCGAGGGCCCCACCAGGGAGAACGCCAAGGACATCACCTTCGCCTACAACGCCGATTTCTTCCTCTACGCCAACCTGCACCACGCCCACGACCTGGGCAGCGGCCGCGTCGCTCCACCCAGCACGCCTCCTGTGCTCACTGGTATGCCCGTGTCGAGCATGATCCTGCTTGACCGCCCGACTGAGGCCGGCTATTTCATCTTTTCTGATCTGTCTGTGCGCCACGAGGGCAAGTACTTCCTCACCTTCTCCCTGATGGAGGAAGTCAAGGAGGACAGGGACAAGGACGTCGACGAGCCAATGTCTGGCACCGATGAGATTGTCGGTCCCGACATGGGTCCAGGCCAGGAGATTCGCTGCTGGAACTTCCGGACGACCGTCCAGACAGACGACTTCGACGTGTACAGTGCCAAGAAGTTTCCAGGCCTGCAGGAGAGCACCCAACTCAGCCGTACTGTCGCCGAGCAAGGGTGTCGTGTGCGGATCCGTCGTGATGTCAGGATGAGACGCCGTGAAAAGGGCAAGGGAAACAAGGACGCCAGCGCTCGGGACGACGAGTACACCCGCGCCGCTGCTGCCGCTGCCGCTGCCGCTGCCGCCCCGCCACCTCCAGAGAGGACCCCGACTATCCGCGGTCGGTCGTCCAGCAACACCAGCCTTGAGCGCGCCCCATACCCTCCGGAACTGCACCGACGTCCATCGGGGATGGAATTCGCTCCTCCAAGGCCGTCCTTTGCTGCATCTGAGCCATCGGCAAACAGGCATCTGACCTTTGGTGGACAACCTATGGCGTACCCTCACCCGAACTCAGTGCCCACCTCGCCATCGTACCCACCACCAGGAGCGCACTACACCCACAGGCCTTCGTACCCTTACAAGCCGGAGCCATCACCGACTCAGGTCTATACTCCTCAGGCTGGACCGTCTCCTCGAGACATGTACCAGCGACCACACCCGGTCGCACCTACAGCGCCACCTGCACTCGCCCCGAGACTAGAGCCGGATGTGGAGCCACAAAGAACACAGAGCATGGTTCTCCCGCCCATATCGGAGTTTGCCAACGGAGTGGCGCCACAGCGCAAGTCGTCGTACACCCCACTTCCCATCGCCCCGATGCCGCCTCGCGCTCAGCAGTACCAACCCCACAAGGACTTGGCCTCGCCTTCGAGGATGGAACACCACATGGCCGCCCCATACAAGATGGAGCAACGCCGGCCCTCATACCACAAGCTGGATTACGTGTCACCGCCCCCAGCGCCTTCAGGCCCATACAGCGGACCGCCGGTCTTGGAGCCCTCGATGCCGCGTAACAAGCGACGGCATGAGGAGGCTTTCTCGAACGCAGACTACGGGCGGGTCCAGCACGGCCGATGGGAGAACGGAGTACGCGAGTATAACTTCAGTGAGCCCGAATATCACCGGGCATCAGGATCGCGCATCCCGGTCGCTTTCGATCCAGTGAAGAACTGATCTCGTGGCTGTTCCGAACGTGGCAGTCTAATAGCTGCGAAGTTGCTCATGATGGCATGGAGCCCTTAATGTATTCTTTGTATGGTGTGTGCTTTTGGAGACAATGACCTATCAGGCAGGTGGTCCCTGCGTATTTCTTTTGTCAGATGGGCTGTGCTTGACTCTAGGCGTCTCGGAATCTGGGGATGATATCCGAATCATGCTGGGACTGGGCGTTCTTCTCTGTGCCTTGATCCTTTTCTTCATTTTGGGACATGGTATACTCGCGCACGGCAGCGGCGTAACTCCCTTGGACGGGGCTTTTTGTATTGCTTCTACGAGACATTCTACTAGTATGGGAATCTTAGTGGATCAAGGCTGGTCCAAGTCTAGATTCCTATATAGACAGGCAAAAGTATGAAATTCAGAATAACAGCATCCAGATCAATTTGTTTGGTATGGTCATATGTCATCTACATGTATCACCAGGTGACGGTCTATCGCCTATCTATGTATTCTTCTTGCCCAGTGTTTTGTTCCACCTGGCTGTACTCTGTACTGTACGTGTTTTATGGGACCCTGGCCCAGGCGCAGGGGTCGCCATGTGATTGGCTGGACGCGCTGCTGCCCAGTCAACAAGTCCCCACAGCTTGCCGCTTCTGTACCTAGGTCTGGACTGCAGCCTGGAGATACTGTATTGATTGGTCTCTGGGAGCTCCATTGCACCCCCAAGACCTCTGTGACTTTCTGCTCCCAGATGTCAGCCGGCAGTCGAGGTCGACTCTCTCTTATAGCCTGGACCTGTGTTCAGACGCCTGGCAAGATAGTCTCCCGAGTCTGCAGGTGCTCTTGCTAGCGCTCCCCTATCGCGCTGGCCACCGGCGCGGCATCAAAGCACATTGGAGGCTCATTTCATCGTCAACAAGCCCCAAGTAAACAAACACGACCACGGCCCAGCCACCGCCTAGCCACCGCCTTCTTCTTCCCAGGTCTTCGTCCATGCCACTCACGACGCCAGTCCCGGACGCCTCAATTCCAACGCGGCCATCAACATGGCTCCCACACCGCAGAGCCGCTTCCTCGAGGGCTCCATGAACGATCGTGCCAGCAATGCCCCGCCACCCGATTTCCTCGGCTTCGACGCCGACAACACGGCCGAGTATGAGCGGCAGTTTGCGCTGGACTGGAAGCCGCCTGACCTCGGCCTCAACCACCACGGCACTCGTACCAGCCTCATGAGCATCAGCTCGGCCGTGTCCTCGGCCACGACATCCCACAAACAAAACGGCTCCTCCTTTCTCAAACCGCTGTGGGGCGGTGTCAAGGAGAGGCTCAGCCTGAACCGCTCCAAGTCTTCCAACAATGTACACGACCGCGACGACGACAGCAGCTGCCACGGCCACATCATATCACCCACCTTCAAGCACCAGAGGTCCGAGAGCATCAATGTCACCAGGCACTCACGCACTGCCGACCCAGACTCGTTCGCTTCCAGCGGCGACGGTGCCAAGCTGAAGAAGTTCCCGAGCGCTGCCGCCATTCCCAACGCCGGTATGCCCGGGTCCGCCGCTTTCGATCCCACCAACCGGCCAACCCGCGACGAAATTGCAGCAAACTACCAAAGCTTGTTAGCTAGTGGCTTCTTTGGAAACCGTGCCATCCAGTCCACGAGGTTCTCAGCGCCCGGCGGTATGCAGAACCGATCGAGCATGCCCTCTGGAGACTCCTTTGCACAGCGCATGGCGGAGAATGAGCAACAAGAGCAGCATCAAGACGCGCCCATGGTCCCTCCTCCGGAACGGCAACCTCCACCACCACCACCCAGTCGGACAGCACCGCCACCACCTCCGCCTCCTGTCGAGTCGATAGACACAACATCGTCATCCTCGTCTGCTGGTTCACCATTTAGCCCGGCCTTCATGTTACAGCCGGGCTCCTTGGAGCAGCAACAAGCATCAAGGGACATGCCGCCACCTCCTTCACCGCCGAAGCAGAGAAAACCAGGCCACAAGCCATCTCTGTCTTTTTCTTCGGTCCCGTACACCTCAACGCGTCCCGCCAATGAGCCTTCTGTCTCTCGCCCGTTTCGACCTCCGCCAGTGTCACTTGCTAGGTTCTCGTTAGATTCTGGACGGAGGAGTTTTGATTTCAAGCTGGGCAATGACTCGAATAGAGGCATCAAGCGTCCTTTCGTATCGACGAATGACTCCGAAATGTCTCTTGATAGGCCGTCGTACGACATGATCAACGGCGATGGCAGTGGTTCGATGGTGACCGCCCTAGAGGATGGTGGCCACGAGAGCGGCGCGCGGAAACTGGTTAAGAAGCTGCGCAAGTCTGCCAGTCGGATTTCAATGGACCTGGGGAAGTCCATCTCACGGCCAGCCTCTTCGAATTTTGAAGCCGACAACGGTGATGTCCACATCGCCGACCCACCCTCAGCTCCTCGGCACTCCATGTCATCCTCCATCCGGCGGTCTTTCAGCTGGCGCCTGGGACGGTCAGCCCAGGAGACCAAGGATGACAACAAGCGCAGAGATATTTCCAGCAACGATGACAGGACCGACAACGCTGCCGAAGAAACAGCCGTGCCCTCTTTTAAGAGCGAGCGTTTCATACCGCCATCCTTGTCTGTGATCATGGATGCCCCCGAGAGCCCAGAGCGGAACAAGCTCAAGAAGAGGGACATCCGCGGCCGCCGCCTAAGACGGCAGGAAGCTAACAACAAGCCAACTTCCTCTCCTGCCCTCCACCATAGCCAATTCCCCTTCCTCTCCCCACCAAGCGACGGTGATTCAGTGATGACGGACTGGCAGAGCACGCGGGGCTCGGACCGGACCAAGAGCCGCAGCCGGAGCCGGCCGAGGCGGTCGGAGCTGTCGATGATGATGCAGTCCCAGCCCACCTCTCAGTCGCAGTCGCAGTCGCGGCCGGGCACCGCGCACAGCACGGACAGCTCGTACAGCTTCGCCACGAGCACGGCGGCGTCGTACCTCGAGCCGCGGCGCAGCGCGGAGGTGGTGACGGCGGCACCGTCAGCAGACGACAGTGTCATGGGCGGCGTCGAGCCCGTCGAGTTCGTCGTCCCGTCGTTCCACTTCCCCAACCGCGTCCGCCCGGGCGGCAACCCGCTGACCGTGATCCCCGACGCGAACCGGGGCATCCCCAGCGTGCCCAACATCCCGGGCGAGTTCAGGGACGTTAAGATCGTCGCGAGGGAGAGGTGCGAGAACGAGGGCGACAACGACGACGACAACGGCGGTGATGGTGCGGCCCAGGCGGGTGGCAGTGCGTGGCCCAGCGCGCAGGCCGTGTTCTGAGAGAGGTCTGGCAGTGCTCTAGGAAGGAATGATCCGCTCACGGTACGGTTGCGTGCATCCTGGCGAACTGAGGCTGGAGTTTTGTGCGCTTGGATAGACCTGCTGGCTCGGCGTTATGCCTCTGCAACGTGTTTTTCGGGGATCCCGGCGGCGAAGAGGATATAACGTCTCTTTCCGACTCGAGGAGAAGAAAAGATTCCCCACCTGACCCTTGTCTTATTCAGTCTGGGTACAGGTGTTGAGTTAGATGTGGGATAATCAAGAACGGGGGCTGCAGACCGAAACTTCTTTAGAGAGGGTCGTTCGGGTCGTCACCGGAGGATTGGTCTGGTGCGCGGGTTCCGAGCTTCTTTTCTTGTCTTTTGTTTTTTCTCATGACGATATCGATGATTATGATGATGTAGAGATATGACTTGTGCGAATAAATCACATCAAAGCCCCCATAAAAGTCTCCCCGGTGCTATGAGCTGTGATGATTAACTGTGATTGCGATCCACTGTGGCTGGCTGGCAGGCAGCGGCGAAGAACAAAGACGGGGGAGGCTGAGAGTCTTCGTCGGTCCCTGCTTGGCCTTGATACTCCACTACAAGACAAGTCATCGAGTGAAGCAATGGTGAGCATAGAGGTTGGATTGGGTTATTCGGTGGTAAGACTAAATATGATGTATATACACCCGCTCTAAATGGTCTCGGGTCGCAAATACTATGCTATGGGTGATTCAGGATGAGGTGATGGAGCTTGCCGGGCCCAAAAGACCGAGACAATGCAATGGCGATATAGGCTGGTATGCACTGCTATTTGGCCTGTAAGTTGATACGGTTGATTATCTACAGGCTATCTCGGAACAGACTAATATACATCCAACGCAGCGATGCGATTAGATCTCGTGCGAAACGGTCGCAACAAGGTACTTCGATCCATTAGATCATCTATAAACCACGCACACGCTTGTGGGCTCCAAAATAAAAAGGAAGGCAGGCAGAGACTTGGTAGGCAGTCCAAGATGTGTGCAATGCTCCGGAGACTGCAACCCATATTTCAAAAAACCAGAACCGACCCAGCCCGAACCAAAGTTGCCCGAATCCACGTTCCCAATTCCAAACCCGTATGTCAATCCCAATTATCCGACCATATGGAACGCACCAATCCGCTCGATGTCGTGAAAAAGAATGGACCTCGAAGCCCCTCTCGCCAGGCACTGCTCAGCTCAGCTCGCACACCCGCTCTCCTCCGTCTGGAACTTTCGTTACACCTCCCCTAGAATGGCACCAGGAACCCTTGGTACGGATTGTGGCTTCGGAGCTGAGGACACAAAGCTCCACGCGGCCGTGAAGAGGCCGGGGAAGTGACTGTACAGCATCGCACAGGATATCACCACCAGCAGTGGGATCCAAACAAAGAACAGGTTCCGATCTCTGCTCAGCTTCTTCATGTTTTGCGCATGTGCCTGACGAAGATTGTCTTGTTGTTCCTTAGTAATGTTGTTCTTGCGGCCGATCTGTAACAGTTTCGGTAGCTGTCTTGCCACCTGCATCTCTTCCACGTGATGCTCGTCCACCTGTTGCTGCGTTTTCGTTGCTCCTGACTGATCGTACAGCGCTGCACACTTCCTATCCGCATCATAGTCGGCCGCGGCTCGCGCAGCAGACTCTTGTTTGCTGTCCAGCTCGTCTTGAGAGACTTTCCTGTCTTGCTGTCCACCGGGGAAGATTTCGTCATACGCAGGTGGAAGTACCGATGACGGCATTAGAGAAGACAAGTCCCACCACCGGTTTTCCTCGCCTGGAGCAACGACACGTGGGCCTACAATATTCGGCAGTAGTGCCGACATTCGCTGCCTGTACGCTTGATAGTCCGGCATTGCCATCATGTTAGGCATCTGTGGTAGATGTGGGAGGTTGTGGAAGTGCGTCGTCATGGACTGTTGGAGCTGTTGCAGTTGGTCCCTGAAAGCCGCCATGGCAACCGCCGGCGATGCCAAGCCACCTTGCTCTGGAGCATTCGGAATATCGATAATTGGCGGCCTGGTACTCAGGCCCAAATTGCCCCGCGAGGATCTCCGCTTCATTTGCAACCATGTGTCCTCGTAGTCTTCATCCGAGCTGAATTCCGCAGCGTCCTCTGATTCAGATAACTCGCTGCTCGAGAACTCGTCAGATGGAGGGTATGCCCGAGGTGGCTCCCAGAATGAGCGCAAGGATGTGGCGCTGTTGGCACGGCTGTGGAGCGTGCTGCCTCTTCTCCCTGCACGCTTGATGGCGCGGATAACGTCCCGTGTCGTTGCAACATCCGAGGCAAGCAGATTCTGGCGTGTCTTCAGAGCAGGGTCCGCCTTGTGTTGAATGAGCCGCCTGACTAGCTCGGGATGGTTGTGCATCGCGGCGTAGTGTAATGGGGTATAACCTCCAGCATCCTGGATGTTGGGGTTCGCGCCTCTCACCAGTAAACCTGCGGTGAATCGATGGAGACCAAGGACACATGACAGGTGTAGCATCGTGTGCCCAGTCTTCCGACGGAGATTGAGACGAGCCTTGTTAGTGCTGTCATCCATGTCCAAGAGATCGAGCACCTGGAGCAGTTTTGTTTCCAGGTTCATGTTGTAACCCGAAGGACCACCATTGAAGTTGTTGCTGTTGCCGTTCAAAGAAGACGAGTTTGAGGTGTCGATGATCCGGTTGACGAAGCCCCGCAGTTCGTTGGTGTTCCCTGTCAATTTGTTTGAAAGCACATTCAACGCAAGGCGAAGCAAATGGTTTTCACTGTCGTCCTTGTAGGTGAAGGTGGCCTGTGGCCTGTTCTGCAAGGATGGTAGGAGCTGGGGCTGCCCGTTGGGGCCCCTGAGAGTAACAGGGACTGTTCCGGCCACGTGGTAGGGAGGCAAGAGACAATGGAGGGCCTGCTCGCCCCAGAACGTAGTGGTGGTGGCCTTCGTGTCTCCAAAAATGACGTCCAGCCCTTGGTAGAAACCAGAGCCTAAGATGGTAACCTCGATTCCACCAGTTGTCGGACCTTCGTTGGGGATCACCTTGTGGATGACGGACATGGGCATCGGCTGCCGAAGCTGATTGGTGTTCGGGAATGGAGCAGGAACAGGAATGCCGTGAGCCAGCATTTGACCAACTTGACTGAGTTGCGGCTGCTGCAGCGCACCATTCCTCAACCCATTTGGACTCGGTGGTCTGCTGGTATGTGCCGAAGGAGGAGCGGAGAACATTGGCGTGGCCGACATGCTGTCAGTAGCGGAGCCATTGGCATCTGAGAAGATGACCTGCTCGCTGCTATTCGGCGTGGGCGGCCCCACAGAGAAAGGCGGATTCGGAGCTGAACCGCTCGGAATGAAGCTACCATCACCATCCGGGAACGAGATTGTGCTTGGCGGCGTGAAAGGAGACGTCGAGGACGAGGGTCCTGGCTGGCCGTTTGGCAGGCCGTTTGACGGCTGCGGAGCAAAACCAGCCGTTTCGAGACGGGTCATGTGCAACGTCGTAGGCAGCTTGGAGGCGCTTGATTTTCTCTTCTTCGCGGACGGGCCTGCTGTACTAGGTGAAGGCGGCCTTGAAAGAACTCGAGGGGTCGGCACAGCAGAAGTGCGTTGAGACGAGGAGCCAGAATGGATCGGCGGGGGTTGCAGAGCATTAGCACTGCGTTTTAAAGCCTGTATGTCGGACGTTGACTGCGATTGCCGGAATGGGTGTCCGGGCTGAATAGCGTTCATGTCATTAATGCCGTTTGATGCAATGGGAGCTCCTGCGGCGACCGACGGATCCGTGGCATCACTAGCGACGGTCGAGCTGATCGGGTTCGGGGGCGGCTGTGTCTTGTGATCGTCTGTGATCATGATTGATGGAGACAGGCCCTGCGTGACAACCTGACCGAGGTGATCCTTGAGGGTGAAAATGACCTGGAATCCGAGTTTCTCGTGGTGATGGCGACAGTAGCAAGCAATTCGCATCGGCGCCTCGATCTGCAGGGTCCCGGAGGGCCTTATCTCTTCCGGCGGAGGCTGTTGCCATTCCTTGACCTCTTGGGTGTTGAAGACAATTACCCTCTTCGTCTCGTCCTTCTTCCAATTCTCCTCCTCCTCTGGCTTCTTGACCTTCTTGCGGTTGGCACGCTTGTGCTCTCGCGTGACACAACCTGGGCAGATGTGGACCTCACCGCCATTTTCGGGCTTGTCATCACCCTCTGGCTCTGACCTCAGCTCTACAGGATGTCCGGAAACCGCAGCACGGGCCAATGCCTTCTCCTTCAGCCCAGGTTTGGCCATGGCGCTGGTACAAACGAGCTGAGTGAATAGCTCCAGCGTGTCTGGTGCAGGAGCTGGCCTGGGTTTCGCAAGTAGTTTGGGCTTCGATATGGTATGCGGCGGCAGATGTATCTTCTTCACGCCTGCTGGCACCGGGTACAGAGTCATCTTGATTGGTATCTGTGTCTCCACGCGAGATTTAGGAGGGATCGAGTGAATGGTCAACTGGGGCCTCTGCGGTGCAAAAGAAGGCTGCTGCAGAATTGGAAAGCCCACGTTACCGGTGGTTTGGGTGGGCGTGGTGAAATCCATCGGACCGGTGGCGGCATTGTTTGGTGATAGTGAGTTGGCACTGAACCACGTGCTGCCCGACGGCATACCATTGAGGTCGGTCATTTCACTTTCGACGGAAGCGAAGTTGGGTATCGCAGACGGTGATGAGCCTTGGCTGAATACCATGTGTGAGGTTGGCGAGACCTCACGGGAGCCACCGGTGCGCAGACCGTTCATGGACTTGCTCAGAGAGTAGTTCTGCTTCAAACGTTGAGAATGTGAGCCGAAAGAAAAGGGCAAGGCTGCTGAACTTACGGAGTGACGTTTGTTGCGGTAAGAGTAAGGAGACTGAGCAGTTGGCGGAGACCCCTTGAAGGAGAAGACGTTGTGGTTCTCGCTGTCTTCTGGGGGAGACTCGTCAGAGGCGTTGGCAGCCATGGGGCTCTGACTGCTATCTGACGGACTGGAGGAATCGTGCCTAGGAGCGAACTGTGTGTCGCCAAGATCGATATGCTCGCCATATGGAGACTGATCCAGAGCTGCAGGATTGATGGTGCCGTTGCCGTTGTCGAATATAGAAGGCATATGGTCGATGTCTACAAAGTCGCCCTGCTCCTCCCAGTCCAACCTAGGTTGCGAATCGAGTTGGTCCCACATGCCGGCCATGTCCACATCGCCGCCGTTCATGGCTGCCGCTGACAGTGTGGAGCTATCGGTCCTGTGTGTTGTGGATGAATCGGAGGCAGAATCTTGGTCGGAGGCGGTGGGTGAGGGGGCGGAGGGGATGTGGCCGGGTGCGGACTGGAGGACGCCTTGGGCCTTGGACTGGGAGAGATCGGGGTTGGATTGGATCAGGTCGAGGAATCCAGCCGACCCGTCGAGGCTGAGGTCGGGATCGAGTTCGGAGTAGGCGTCGTAGTTGATGAAGCTTAGCTCGGACATGGAGACACCGTCGTTGGGACTGGTGGGCGGCATGACCAGCGAGGAGTGCGGTGCAGGGCGTCGTCAGTCGGACGGTGTCCGACTTTGTTCCCGACAGCGCCTTGCGAGATGTGAGATGAGATTCGGAGACAGGGTTTGGCGGATAGGCGGTGGCGCGACTTTTGGATGTATCAATTGGACATCAAGTTGGGTGCCGTCGCTGCCGTCGCTGCTTTTGTCATCGGTGTCGTGGGTAGGAAGCAGCCGTGGGCAGAATGATGGGGTGTGGGTGTGTGTAGTGATGTGGGAGAGAGTCAAGTGGCGTTTTTGGGAATAAGAATGGACGACAGGGCAGGGTGAAGCGGAGGAGATTTCCTGTGTTGGAGGGCCACACGGCGAGCGCCAGCACCAAACAGCACGAACAGCACGCAAGCTAGTGGAGACTCGGGGCACGCAGCGCTGGATGGAGGGTTGGCAGGTTGGGAATGCTCGGGAGGCGGTAAATAACTGGGGACAGAGGGACCTTGGATCTGGCTCAGGTGGGCTCTGGGCCGTGGACCCTTGCGAGCCTGGCAGCCCGCCTGGCAGGCAGGTGTCGTACGCAGCAGGAGCGTGGCTGTAATGCTACCAATCCAGGTTTCGTTTAGCGCGGGTCGCGAGGAGGTACTTTGCGGTACTATGCAGTGATATGCAGGCAGCGCCGCCAGGTATGGAGGGAATACCTGATCGAGTGTACTGTCCTGTATGGAGATACTGGACGGGCAGTTACTCACTCTGGCGGTCTCGAGCAGAGAGCACACAAATTGTAACCTATCACTTCTTCGTTGAATGTCCTAGTATGCGTGTCTAGAGGTGGGGGATTGACAATGGCTCTTGTCTGAGTTGCGGGTGGGTTTTGTGCTCAATTCGATAGCAGGCCAGAACAAGCAAGTCGAGTGTTCCAAATAACTCCTCGGAATAGTAACAAGAAGGGGGAGGGGGATAAGGGAGTGTGCAGCCTGTCCAACTATTCTATCTGGCTTTGGCTACCGAGGGTGAGTTAGCGAGAGTGCCCGCGAAGATGAGAAATGATGAGATGGGATAGGATGGGATGGGATGGCACGGCCAGGGCCAGATAGAGAGGAGACAGGCAAGACGAGAGACACACAGGTCTTGGATGTCAGGATGGACAAGTCAAAAGTGGAGTTGGCAAACTGTTAGCGTCGCCAGGGAAAAGGCTACTGCGATCCCCGTCTCCGCGATGACTGGACAGCGCCCCCACCCTCGCAGCAACTCCCAACACTCAGGTTGGCCGTCTGAGCCGTCTGGTCCTGCTGGTCTATTGCGTAGTCCACACAGTCATTGAGATACCCGACAGATTGAAGCCTGGACCCCTGGCCAGGCCTCGACGCCGTGCTCTGAGACCCTTTTGTCGATGGATATCTTTGATTCTTATATCTACATTCCCCATGGGGACGGCCAAAATGGCATCTTCCGTGCCCGTCGTGTCTCCCTTCTCACTATCGTCGTCTGTAGGGCTGCCTTTTGCTTCAACCTTTTTTCCTTTCCTCTCTTCCATTTTCTTTCTCAGCCCCAGGGTCTACTTGTTGGACACATTGTCGCCCTCGCGTTCCATTATCAGTGATTACATATCTACATGCAGGTACTGTGATATATTGCAACGCACGCCAACAAACCTTCCTGCCTGCGTAGGTACATTGCCTGCCCATCATGTGTGTAAGCCCCCTGCCTGCTCATACAGTATATATTTGTGTATCCTGGTATTTCGCCCGGGGGGCTTCCCTTGGCCTCGTCCTCGCTGTCGTCCCATCACGCCAGAAAGCCAGAGGCAAAAAGCAAGTGCAGCCCACATATGCAGTGCAACTATTCACAGTCCCTTGCCAAACGGTCTGCCAGTGTAGTCAGTCCATCCTCTGCCTGCCCGGGCCGTTGGGGCTGGTCAACTTGTGCGGCCACATAGGCTGGGCCTACATATTGCAGGCCGAGGAGATTTGATGTCACCGTTGCTTCCGGACATGGTAATAGATACTCGTAGCCTGTCACACAGCAGCCTTGTGTGCATTATCAGACAGACCGACATCGCTGCTGCTGCTCCTGCAGTAGCTGCAGCTGTGGCTGTGGCTGTGGGCTCTCTCTCTCTCTCTCTCTCTCTCTCTCGCCCAAGCAGTTCAAGGCAGGACGAGCAGGAAGAGGAGGAGGCTCGTATCCCCCTCACTCGCCCGCTGCAGCTATTTTCCTTGTCATCGGCCCCCCTATGCATCCTGCTCCTCCCACCCAGTGCCCGCCCATCCATTCGCCGGTCCAACTCTCGCACAAAGCCTCTGCTGTGTTCAGACGTGATGCTCCCCGCCTGCCATGCAGGCCCTGCAGGAGTGGTGACCTTGCAGGGCGGCCGTGCATTCCGGTCTGGCACTAACAAAGCATCCGGGGCTTTAATTCTACGACCAAACTCCCGCCCTCACCAACCCTGATCGCGGTCAGTCGATGGAACTGGGCATTGTTTTGCGAACAGTCAACGGCCATGACAGCACGTCCCAAAATGGTTGTGCCCTAGCCCCCATTCGACCCAGAGGCTGCCTAGCAGTGCGTGTGTGCTGCCCAGCCCATGACGACGACGGCGTGTCCGGTGACTAATTCTCTTACACAGTACCATACCCACCACAGCGGAGTGGTCGCCACTTCGCAGTGAGGTGTTGAGGACACATGCAGTGTGTTCCCCATCCAGGGGCATCCCAGCAGAGAGAACTGGCAGGTGTTATGACCTGCATGGGCGTTGACGCGAATGGCACAATATTAGCTCTGGGGCATGCTGCTAGCCGGCCTAATTCGGGTCCAGGCCCCATGGGGCTGCTTCCCACTACTTTGACGACGACGAAAAGTATTAGGAGCTTGATAATAGGAGCTTTGGTTGTGGAGCTCGCGCGTGCATAATCGACCATGATCGGATCTGCAGCTTGGGAATCATCGTGGCTCCTGGTTGTACATGATACTACCGTACGGGCAACCCTTGCCGCCCTGTAGCTGATCGATGTTGCAGCGAGCTTTCACTGTCCTATGTACTGATCTCCATTGCGTCAAAGGTCCGCCGGCGCCTTCTCACTTTGGCACGGGACCGAGGCTGCAAAGCATCTTCATGCTGTGTTCGTTGCAGGCCAAGATGACTCCTTGTCTTCCAACGTCATTTCGACCGTCGGCTGTCAGAAGCCAGCCAGCGGTAAACGCGACCCACAAGTGCCATCTCCCCTGCCCTGACTTGACGGTTCGATAATATGTACTGTATAAAGAGTATCCATACAGTTCGGCAAAGCGACACGCCATTCCCCACCCTTCAAGAATCACCACCACCACGCGCCTCATCAGGAAACCGGATGGTACGGCTTGCCAGGCCTGAGGCGGCCCGAGAAGCGAGCTGCGGAGGCGAAGGAGCACTGTCGACCTCTTGCCCAAGCACATGCGACCTGCTCGTCCCTATTTCGCCCCTCGGGCGGTCACACGAGGAGACCGGTGGCCCAGGGCGTTCTGGAGGAGATTGTATCTGCTGATCTTCCTGTGCCGGAAGGGGTTCCGCTGAAGGAGCTGTCCCAACGGCGGCCCAAACGCCTCCTAAGGGATTGACACGAGAGGGGCCCGGGCTGACCGGTCTGGATGAGCTCGTTCGGTCGCGACTCAAAGAAGTGCGTCGCGAGGTGGAGAAAGTCGGCAAGCGAAGACTAATTCGGCTCCTGAAGTTCAAGGCGGCGTTGTCGTTGTCCTCACTAAGGCTTCGAGAAATAGTCCTTGGCAAATGATATCCAAGTTTGCCTAGAGGTATACTAAGGCCATGGACGACCTGTTTGTGCTCGCTATTAGGACCAGGCTGTGTACCAACAGTATAGGGATGGCCTAGACTTACCACACTGCATATGCATATGAACCAGACAACAACTAGCACGGCCTCCGGCAATTGTTTTACTGCAAGATCTCAAATTAATTCTTTCCGTTCTTAGAAGGAAGCATAGATTGAGAGCATTGTAGCACAGTCTCTGGGCTCTGTGCCCTCCAAGGACTTTTGTAACGAAGCACGACATCGCGTGGTACATCACAAAAGAGGTAGTAGTGCTTTGAAGAGGTAAAAACATTGACCGTGGGTATGACTTACCATCTGGCCTTAGCTCCCCATTGTCACCTCTCAGTGTCTCCAAAAACTCCAGGGTGATGTACAGGTAGAAGATAGCAGACACTCCGACCGGACCAAAGAATCCGACGAATATGGCTTGGCGGGCGTGTTCGATCTGGGGGATCTTCTTGTGGATGGCGTACACCCAAGGCAATCTCCGGAAGAGCAAGATGAGGATGCCCAGTGGCACGAGTCGGTAGAGCGGTATCACGTCGTTGGCGAGGAATTGATGCCAAGGGGCGACCGCACCGTACCATATAAAGATACCGATATTCAGAAGCATATCAATGGCGGGCTGGAGGGAGTCGTCCAAGGTCTCCAGGCGGAACCAGTCGTCCCAAGTGAAGGTGTTCCCTGCAATGAAGCATGCGAGGACGCTGTCGGCCGCGGTGAGCGTTCGTATTCAGAGGCGGGGAGCAGGACATGCAGGATACATACTCATCGCTTCCGATCATACCACATGTGCCGACGATAAAAAGGGCAAGCGAGAAGGCGAAGACGAGGAAGCTCTCGCGGTCAACAAACTTGCGCTTCTCAGCCCCTGGATCTCGGTCAGTGATGCGCGCTCAAGGCATGTGGGTGATCCATCGCTCACAGTGCAGGAGCTCCTTCGCCCCCCATCCCACAACAGCGCCATAGATTGCCGATAAGATGATCGTATAGCCCAGGTTCTCACCGAACCACATGCCCATCGCCATACCCGCTCCTCCTGGCGCTGATCCTGCTCCGTTGCCCGTGTACTTGATGATGTATAGGGCCAGGAACAGGAAGGGGTACCCCAAACCATCGTTCGCACCGGACTCGGCAGTGATGATATCCTGGAGTTCCTTCGGCACGTTCCGGTCGGCGAACTTTCCCTTGACGATGACATTGGATAAGACTGGGTCGGTGGGAGTTACACATGACCCTATGACCAGCGCGTGCAGGAAGGGCAGGTTAGGGACCAAGGCCCAAATAAGGAGGCTCGTGGTGAGCCACATGGCCGTCATGATCGGACCGAGCAGGAGAGCCAGTGGCCTCCATTCCTTTCTGAGATACCGGCCCGGGAGCTGTATTCCAGCAATGACTAGCTGGATGCCGAGCACAAGGCGAGAAAAATAGAGGGTAGCCGAGTCTAAAGCCTCCTGAGATCCGCTGGGAGGCCAACCAATCAGCTCCATCCTCGACATACAAACTCGGGGCCACTCACGTGTATTCCAGAGGTCTGATGAGGTTGGAGGCATGGGGGGAGAAAGCCGCGCCGGCCAAAAGCGATATTACTGGATATGCAGTTGCGTCAGCCCGAGGTTTCTCTCAATTCTCCGAGACGCAGTAACGAAAGCGAAACGCAGGGCCTTGCAGCTGCTGTGTCGCTCCAAGATACACTCACATGCTTCGGACAGGTAGAAATGCTCCTTGCACAGGAACGAGACCAGTCCAAACAACGAGACCCATCCCCCTAGGACAGATAGGCCGATGTTGAAGTTGTTCACCGCCAGGGTCGGCATCTTGAGCTCTGCACTCGCCTAGTCGGCGACCTGTCACGAAGCAGGTTTTGAGCGGTTTGAAGTTGAGCTCGTCTGCGTCGCACCGGAACTTCCCTTGCCGTCTCGCAGAAATGGTAGGTATAGGTATACCTGGGTGTATGAGACAGAATAGCGAATCATTGGATCGTAGAGTTGACCTATCAGTTGGTTCTAAGAAGCGGGCTGTTAGTAGAGAAATGTTGTGCGTCGTCAACTTTGCCTTTCCTCCACCCGTTCAGTTAAACCTGATTCGAATGCAGTGGCTACCCGATAGCAGTTGCTGTTACCCCAGGCCTTCTTGCTTGTTGTACGACGAGCGGAAAAAGAAAGAATGCCTTGGTGTTGCAGACTGATAACAGAGATCAGATCATGAAGTTACCTGAAAGTGTAGATCTGGGGAGCCAGAGATATAGTTCATCAACAAATGAATCATTTCTCGGCCCAGCATCCCGCTCAGCATGAATCGGCCGGACGGCTCCCACACCGCCCGGACCGCCAGAAATGGCGCCGATATGGCCGACACTTAGACCGATTTGGATGGCCGTCTACAGTCAATGGGGTTAGCTATTATCTCCCAAATATATTGTCGTTATCCTCGGGCCAGCCAAATTGCACAGATTGGACAAAACACATCACATCGCACAGCAGACCATATAGGTGATCCAGAGACAATTTTCTTAAAGAAGGCTCCCCGTTGAAAAGCTCATTCTTATGTGCCTGAGCAATAGTAATTGTGTACAGTTAACCCGTGTCTAATACGTGGCTTGAGGCCATAATATCGGGAAACGCAACCTACAACGCCGCGCCTTAAAAATTGGTGTGAAGACCTGGCCCTTCCAGATCGCCGGAGTTGTTCAGCCACGAAGAGATTAGTTTCTCTGCAAGCCCATGAGCAAGTGCAGGCCGTGCCGTGCTTCCAAGAATTCATCCCCACCAGTTCTACGATATCATACTAGGCACCTCCATCGTTATGGCACTGCGAAGCTCCAAGCCCCATAGCATGGGAGTGTCCAGACCGAACAAAATGCGGCTCCGTGTATCGTAGAAGATGCTGTCCTTGTTTTCCGTTCCAGGTTCGAGCGGAAGTGTCGGAAATATCGCCAGAGAAGCAGCCCTCCCTCAGCGGCGTCCCCTGCTCGACTTGGCCAAATTGGCGCCACCGACGGCGAGCTTGTCCGCCGAGATGTTTCCTGCGCTCGACTCGTGGCCCTTGATCCACTTGATCAGTGTCGTCGTACCGTGTCTCTCGCGCTCCCGTATCTTGACAAGGACCGCCTCGACGAGGTCGCGATTCTGGACCTGTCCCTTGTGCGTCTTCCAACCATTCTTCTCCCACTTCACGAACCATTCCGTCACGCAGTTGATTGCATACATTGAGTCGGACCAGATCATAACGCCTTGGTCCACGGGAACCGTCTCGAGTGCCCGCAGGATCGCGGTCAGCTCCGCGCGCTGGTTGGTCTGGGGCGTTCCTGATAGACGCTCTGAGATGTTCCTGCGCAGGGTCAGAGATGTTTCACGTAAGGAATAAGCACTTGGTTCTAGATGCTGTTACGTACCTTGGGTCGCCATCGCCGAAAAATACACCAACACCTGCCACAGCCCCAGTCTGCCCGTTCGAAAGGGTACTGCCGTCCGTGTAGATTTCGAGCAGATCCTCGACGGTCTCGCCTGAGATAGCCACTGCGATCTCATCACTCGACATCTTGGTCCTCTTTGCCGCAGGGGCCACTCCTGCCTCGTCTTCTTCGTCCTCATCCTCGTCATCAAAGTCGAACCTCTCTTCGGGCGCCGGGCCAACACTCAGCTGGATGCTCTGGATCCACTCTTCAGCGGCCTCCCGCGTCTCGAACTTCTTGTACTTAGGCGCCTTGACGCCCACATATGCTGCCTGCGCGTCACTCCATTCCGTATATACACCTGGCTTGTTGCCGATTGCGACTGCATAGAATCGAGTGGGTGCGATGCCGGGGTTGGGGTTCTTGCCGGCCGCGTAGAGCTGGGCCTCCTCACGCGTACTGAAGGACTTGTCTGTTCAAACCCGCCATGTCAGTGGCGAGACAGTGACAGTTTAAGGGGCTGCATAGAAGATGTGGGCTTGAGAGGGGTCGGAGGTCGGAGGGTCGGTGAGTAGCTCACAGTTGGCACCAGCAAAACCATTGGTCATGGCCTGGCACTCGGCCCAGGACAAGTAAACACCAGGAATCTTGCCCGCGCGCACTGCGTAGTATCTCTGCTCGCCTGGTCTGCGCTTGCGCTTGACGGAAGCAGGGTTCATCTTGCTGGCATCGTTCGCTATCGCCGAGGTGCTAGGCGCGTCGCCCTTCTTGGTTCTTGCTGCGGGCATGACGGTCGCGTGGGTCGCAAGACGGTTTGCTCGGCGAAGTGAATGTAGTTGCGTTTGGGTCAGTTCGGCCGTCTCGTATGTCTCGATCCAGAAAGTGGTCGTTGGCGAACGAATGCTGGGGAGGGTACTCCGGGGCGGAGGGCCGGGCGGGGGAGAATGAAGTCGGAATATCTGAGCTGGGCCTTTGTTGAAACTGGTGGGAAAGCCCGCAGATACACGCGTGGCGGGTCGCGTCTGTCGCGAGCAGTGTTCACAAATGCTCCAGACAAGTTGTTGCCTCCTCAGCATAGGTGTCTGTGCTGTGTTGGGTCGACGTCCAAACAGTTTGGAGGGGGGGAGGGGCCCCCGCAAAATATGTACACAGGAATTTGTCGTCCCGACCAAACAGGAAGCGCCCAGCTCCTGCTGAGATGCTGGCTACCTATTGCAGAGATCGACCACCGAATGCCTTCGACAAAAATGTGTTGGTGGTTTCAAGCAGCTTGAATAATTGTTATATACAGAGAGAGGACAAGCTAGGGGACTAGAGAAATAGCCTAACAAGACGGCTGATCAACGAGTTTAGGTAGTGCTAGGGGCAAGCAAATGAATGTTAGTAGTAGAAAACAGAACAGAACTGCGGGACAGACAGAGCATCTGTATGTTTAGGGATCTTTTCAATTCCTATCAGACATCTCTTTAAAAAAAAATCGCATAGATTCGGTGATATAAATCCTCCACCTTTCTGATGTTTTCCCACCTGAGTATCGCTCACCCTGCCTACTGACGCACCTATCTGCTTTCCACTCCAGCGAGTGTGGAAAAAGAATATACTCATTCACTTCCCCGGGACCTGACTGAAAATAACAAAATTTTGTTGGGGGTTAATTCTGAACACACTAGACTACGAGTACAGATCTTGAGGCATTTCACTTGGAACCTCTTGGAAACCATTACCAAACTGCAAGACTGGCACGCATTTGATGCTGCTTTTGGTCTCCATTCATTGACTCACCAACCATGACCAACTACCTAATTATCACTATGTGCACCTCAGCTGTAAAAAGGATGATCCTAATTCCCTGCCAGACTCCTGACGAGGCACGTCTAACGTTTGTAAAGTGCCCGGACAATAAGGTGGCCAGTCGCCTAGCCCACGGGTCGAGTTGTTTGTAATGCCGTCAACCTCCAGCCATGACTTCTTCCTGGAGATGATTAATTTTGGAGTGGCTCTCATACAAACGATTTCGCCTTGGTGGAGCAACAATTGCAGGACTTGTTTCCCTTCCCGGTCGTGGGATTTGCAGCTTCCTGTAGTACCAATTCAAGAGAAGTTCTGCGTAAAATACGACTGAACCCTCTGGTTGGGTTACTTTCACCAAAGTTCAACAACACTCGCAAGCTATGCTCATAGCCGTAGGTTCTTGCCTCGACGAATTTCAAGCCGAGTGAGAGCGATGGCGAGCATTATGCATGTGTTTCTCTTCAACCACGACTTGTTCTGGATGCTGGAGCTCTTCTTGTAACTGAGTGCAGATCAAGCATGGACCATGGGGTCAACATCATGATGTTGGACGCACTTGTTGCCCTCCCACTCCCATGCGACCAAGCTCCAGTTCAACTCTCTGCGCCAAAAGAGTCCGAGACCATGACCTCCACCAAAGTCTGCCAAGTGTGGCTGATTGTGTCCGCGGACCTCTGCCGTCATGCCGCCAGTCAGAGTCATTCGCTCGCTGAACACAACTTTGCCCATGCGCGAGTGCAGAATTGCCATGGAGCACATCACGCATGGCTCGTGAGTCACGTAGAGCTCGAGGTCGTGGCAGAGGTATCCGTCAGGGGTGGGGTGATCCTCCTCAAAGACCTTTTGCTCCTCGTCCAGGAGAGGTTTGTCCTGGAATGCCTCAAATTCCAGAACCGTTTCCGGGAGTCCTCCTTCCCTTTGCTCTGCCCGCACCAGCTTCTGAGCAACCATGCTGATAGCCCGCATAACGCAATGAGCCATTGGGTTGCCGGTACTGCATGTCTTAGCTTGGTTGTGCCACCGAGCGTCAGCTGCCAACGCCACGATACGGCAGCCATCTGGACCACGGTGGACGATGCAAGCGCCCATGGGCTCGCCATAACCGGCCTCCTTGCCCTTCTCGGCGATTTGGTGTGCAAGGCTCACCCAGATGGACGCGTCTGGTTTGATCTCATCTGTATACCGGGTCACCATGCTAGGGTGGGGACCAAGTGGGTTGTTCTTGCGGTAGACACAAGGCCAGTATTGTTCAGACCACATCGCAGCCTGGATCTGGGAGATTGGGGCCAGCGAGGGAACTGGGATAGTTGAAAGCCATGGACCACGGGCCGACCCGTTGGCATCAACAAGGCCTTCGACCGAACACAGGCCATTGAGCAGTTCTTGTTTGGACAAGTTAGCTGCAGGCCCGACAATAATGTAGATCCACTGTGATTTTCCGGTATGTATTTGTCGGCTGCTAGCGTCGTCATGCATGAACTGCAACTTCAGGTGGGCAGGTAGATCTACGGGCTTCGCACATCGACGCAAATGAGGCATGCCTTTAGCAATAGCCTCAGGCAGGAGGTTGCGAAGTAGACTGCGGAAAAAGAAAATCAGTCCACACGATCTTGGGCTTGGGAAGACAAAGGGTCACAAGGAAGCTCACGTAATGACGGCATTGGCGCTCTTGACAGGAACTCGAGTGATGACCACATTGACACAGCGGTGATCGTCACGAAGCTCCAGCGTGGTCTTTAAAGGGATCAAGACACCTTGCGTGACACCGACTGGCAAGATGTCTTTAACCACCTGCTGCTGGGCCGCTATGATCTCGTCCATGTTTTCGGCAGCACGGGTCGCCACGGCGGCCATTGTTCTAGCTGATGCACACCTTGTTTATGGTATCGTGTTGATGGTCGTCGCTGAAGATCTGGTGATGCTTAAAGCTCCAAAATTGGCCGAGAACCACACACGGTCGGTAATCTCACGGTGGTCGTAAGCGAGCGATCAGAGGAAGTTGGATCGAGCTCAGGACCAGCTCGTCGAAGAATGCTTTTGTCGAGATCTCCTAATCTTGGCAGGTGCGCATGGTGCTTCGCGATGTAGTTTGCTTGGATTCGAGTTGGTGGCGGCCTGAGAAGATTTGGAGGAGGGAAAGAGCATTTGTAAGGGCGTCCAATGCGAAAACCGTCGTGATATGTGTGGGCTACGGCCAGGAGGGAGGAGAAGTGTTGAGTAGTAGTACACTTTATTGGTAGTAACTCGTGAAGGACGGGAAAGATCGAACTGTATGGTCTCGCAAATTCGAAGGCAGTTGCAGTCGTAGTTGCAGACGCGATGGGCGACGTGAATCTTTGAGGGCAATCACGAAAATGCGGCAGATCTTATCAGCAGGTTGCATTACGTGGGGTAGACAGCTCCCTGAGTACCCAGGTACCCCTTAGCGACCCAATTGCAGTGACCCTAATGCTGCGGGTTCAGGGGTCCTCCAATTGACAGGCACCTTGATGGCCCGCGCGGGAGAGCTACCGAACGGCTAGCTGACCTTGGGGAACAGCATCAACCCTGAGACATCTTGGGATCTCAAGTTGGCGACCATGTGTATTCCGCCTTAGAAGATGCAAATTCTGGACCATTGAAAAGCCTCGAAACATATCTGATGGACGACTCGGTGGCCTTGTCGACGAGGACAATAATGGGTGAGTCCTGCCCCCCCCCCCAAAAGTACCCCTCCTAGCAGTCAAGCTTAGTCATAGAAAGCCCACTCTACTACTAACCAACAGTCTCACACTTTAGGAAGCTGTCTGTCCTGGATTGGTAGCTGGTTGAGCTTACAGATAATTCGGATTCGAAGACAAACAATCCCTAGGTCATATTAGCAAGCAATTGGAGCTGGCAAATTGCCTGCGTTTTCCATGTGTTGCATTTGCGGCAACCGGAAGTTACCCTTGTGGCAGGCTCAGTATCATAGAGTTACAGGCAAGGACGATATCACATGTGAGGCAACCCTCAGCCATCTACCATAGCACACAGCTCCCAAGAGATTCAAATCTCGCAAAGCGTCGTGGCGTGGGGGTAGAGGCTGCAGGGAATTGCTGTGTTGACGCCCCTGGCCGGCCCCACGAGGCATTCGTTTCGATACTGCTCGGGGATCGTTTCGCTGCTTGACATCGCATCAGACTCGGCTCCAAGGCTTTGCCATGACAGCTCGGCGTCTTCCGTGTGATGCGTGCGCACGCACACACACACACACAGACACACACAATTCCCAACGCCAGAGTCCTCCACTCGGGTTTCTTGCTCGGCCACCGTGTACGTATGGTTGGTTCTCTTCGCGGGGAGTCGTAAGCTGCTACCGGGGGCCTAACCGCGAGAACTAGGCGTTCGCTATATCTTCCCGCGTAATGAAACAGTGGGGGGCATGGCTGGGAAGCAAGCCGTTGAGGTTGAGAGCCCAAGGTCTTCCCTTGAGGCGGGTGTCGGGTATGCGACACCGACAGGCACGGATGTAGATCCCAAACTGCCAACGGCTTGGCTCACAGACTCTGTCGGTGTATCACCGTTCACCGAATAAAGAAGAGGGTAGCGAGGTGAGTGTCTCATAACCTCGCGTCTTGAGAAGCAGTCCGTTTCAAGACTCATGGTTCCCACTGCCTATTGCGGAGGGTTTCATGAAAGGACTCATGAATACGGTAGGTTTGGTAGGGGAAGAGGCCCACAACAACCCGTCAACTTCAGACTTATCAGCCCAGCTCGGCGCTGCGCGGATATGCCCCGAATGGAATAACCTCTGAGCCTGCTCAGGTTGGCAAGCCACAACAGGGGCGGGCCATCCGGTCATTTCTGCGGTGACCGCAACAGCTTGGGCGGTCCAGACATGTTTAGCACGAAGGTTTGCGTCAGTTGAGAGCAGATCGGATGTAGGTCAGCAGAGATTCAGCCGAAGTCTGGGTCGTCAGACGCGCTCTGACGACAGCGGAGCCAAAAATTGGGGACTGCTTAGACTAGAGAGTGGACCCTGGCGTGATGTAAGAAAAATAGTAGCAATCACAGCTGTCTGGCCTGTCTGCCTGTAGGGCTGGACCTCGGGAAATGCGTTTCCCTCCGAGAAACAAGACTTAGGCAAGCCAAAGGGCCTTATCGCGTGGGGGACCGAGGGATCATAGATCAGCAAAGTCTTCGGGGAGTACAGACAGAGGGGCGGACCATGGCGCATGTACAGTTCCATGGCGGACGTACTCCACGTACTCCAGATACTCCAAGCATACTCTGACAGTCCGAGTCTAAGATGGACAGAGTGCCAAGAAGATCAGAGTCATGATCAACCCCAAGTCATCATCTACTGCGAACGTGCCTCCATTCCTGGAACCCTCCTCCCTGGCGATCCCTAGCCAATCACTTATTATGGGCACACATGTGTCTGTACTACGTGTACGTTGGGCATGTCAGAGGCAAGCACATGCCGGCGACAAGGTGAGACGGATTTCGGAGACACGTCCTGTGGCTGGCCGTCATGTTCTGTTTCCCGGACCTGGGGGGGTCCAATCGGTATTTGCAGCAGGTGCGTCTGAGCCGGCTGGGCGGGCTTGGAAGCCCAGTCGGACTTGATCCAGTGCACCTTCACCCAGGGCTTAGATACAATAGATCTCTTGGAACACCTTGGGAGCGAGGCCCAGCCCACCTCGTTCCCCAAAACAGTTCCAGGCCTGCCGCTGCCTCCCGATTTAGACGTCCATCATATCCGTAACGGCCCTCTGCCAAACTCCAAACATCCAGGCCTCAGACGAGGAGGCAGTCACCCCACGTCCAATTTAGAAGCCGTCCAATCTTGTCGAAGTCAATGCTTGCCGCTCCCGAACGCTCTGATCCGGCTTGGCAGATCTTTGCGCTTTGCAATATTAAGCCTGGAGCTTCACCAGGCCAACTGTATGCGACCAGCCTAGCCCCCATTCATAGAGTTTGTTGAGAGATTCCTCGAGTTCCAACCAAGCCTTCTTAGCCAGCAGTACCGTGCTGTGACTGGCTGCTTGTCAAAAAACAAAACCACCGGAAAAGTCTACTTAGGAGCTGAGCCGTCAGGACCGTCCGGACCGTCCAGTTGCTTACAGTCCGACCTCGACATATCCTATCTGGACCAAATACACCCCAAAGTCCTGCTGGCCTGCAAGCCTGCAATCCTGCCCGCTTAGTAGGCAGTGGACTTGACTGGCTGTGTTGGACCCTGACAAATTCTGGTCCTGATCCTCGCACCCCCAATCACGCCTCGGCTCGCCTCATCTCCCCACTGACCTGCCTGTTTTGCCTCGCCCCCAGGTGCCGTGGGCCCTGTTCCCCACTGCTCACCTGCGCCTGCACCTGCGCCTGCACCACCTGCTGCAGCGCGCCCCTGCCCAGGTGCTGCCAGCGAGCGCCAAGCAAGCCACTGATTGGCTAGCGCATACGTAAACTCGATCTCACAGCACCTAGCAGCAGGCTACCCGCAGCCGCACCGTCACCCGGTCGTCTGTGCCTCCAAATCCTGGCAGCCGCGACGCCCACCCCAGAAAAATCATGGCTTCCGCTGCGATCTTCGGAGTATCCCATCCAAATACCCATACCAGAGGTTCGTCTCCCTCCTGCATCAGATATCCTCCCCTTCCAATTTCTTCCCTACAACCTTTGCCGTATTCTTCGCCCACAAACCACCCAAAACCCGCCCTGCTGACCATCTCCGCAATCAGACAACGCCTACTGGGAACATCCGTCATCTTCCCTCTTCAAACAGGTCATGCGCTCCCAAGCCGCCGCAGCCCACCATACTTCCGCGTCGCAAAACTCACCACACCAGCCCAAAGAAGATGCACGGCAACAGCCTGCCCCCAATGGGCACGTCAGCCTCGATCCAGGGCTTCTGCCGCCTCCATCAGCTCCACCATCGCTGGTGAGCGCACTCAAGAGCATGAGCGGTGCACCGGACCCTCTTGTGACTCTGCGTGAGAAGCCCCGCGAACATTCCTTTGACTCACCTTATGCGCGCTCAGCCAACTCGACCGCGCCGGGCTCGCCACGAATGTGAGTATCCATTCCTCCAATTTATTACTCGGGAGCCAATAGTATTTTATGCCGCTTTGGATCCCACTGCCTTTGAACATCGTAATGACTGGTGTCTCTCTAGTCCTGTGCGCCAGAACTCCGGAAGCCAGACACCTCGGGTGCGGCCCCACGCCACCACCCTGAGCATCCCGGGCATGACAAGGTCGAGAGTTTCACCCGATGGCAAGATTGCAGAGAGGGATGTTGCTGCCAAACTTGTGATAATCATGGTCGGATTGCCCGCACGTGGAAAATCTTACATTACAAAGAAGATCCAGCGGTACTTGTCATGGCAGCAGCACGATACGAGGATTTTCAACGTTGGCAATAGGAGACGAATTGCTGCGGGTCAGAAGCCCCCAAAGGCCCCCACCGCCTCTGATGACACCAAGAGCGTGGATGGCCGGCTCCAGGCGGCCACTGTCTTGCTGAACGGCGTCACACAACCAGACGTGGACGAGCCGACCGCCTTGGACTTGAACGACACAAATGACGAGAAAACGGTACACTTGCAAAATGAACCCACCACCGGGAATCTCAGCGAAGGCCAAGATGTTAACAATTTCGACCAGTCTGCGAAGTTCTTTGATCCCACAAATGCAACAGCTGCCCAGCTCCGCGAGAAAGTGGCCATGGATACTCTGGATGAACTCCTCGATTACCTCATCAACAGCTCCGGTGCCGTCGGAATTCTTGATGCGACAAACAGCACGATAGCTAGGAGGGAGGTTCTCGTCAAGAAGATACGGGAGCGGGAACCGAAACTAGGCATCCTCTTCATCGAGAGTATCTGCCAAGACAGAAATGTAAGTCCTTCAGGTTTTGGTTCAGGGCCGATTCAAGACTGACATCGTTGATAGCTTCTGGAAGCAAACATGCGCCTCAAGCTCTCCGGTCCTGACTACAAAGACAAGGATCCAACCAAGTCATTGGAGGATTTCAAGGCTAGGGTACAAGCATACGAGAGCGCATACGTGCCGCTTGGCCAATACGAAGAGGAGCGAGATCTACAGTACATCCAGATGATAGATGTGGGCCGGAAGGTGATACATCACAGGCTCAAGGGATTCCTGAGTGGGAGCATTGCCTCGTACTTGACGACATTCAATCTAGCACCAAGACAGATTTGGATCACCCGACATGGTCAAAGCGAGGACAACAAACTCCAAAAGATAGGCGGCAACTCTCACCTCACAGACCGAGGCCAGTGTTATGGAGCAGCACTTTACAACTTCATCACCAAGAAACGCCAGGAGTGGCTCGTCGATCAGCAAGACAGACTTGCTCAGTCATCATTCCCTCCCAAAGCCGGGGACGACACCCCTCCGTACCCCGAGATGTACCACGAGCTTCAGCAGAAGAACTTTTGCGTATGGACATCGATGCTTCATCGGACCATTGAGACGGCTCAATACTTTGACAACGATGATGATTACGACGTCAAGAACTGGGAGATGCTGAATGAACTCAACGCAGGGACATTTGAAGGCATGACCTACGATGAGATTGCCGTCAAGTATCCAAACGAATACCAGAAACGCACTGCGGACAAGCTCAACTACATTTACCCCGGCGTCGGCGGGGAGGGATACCTCGCGGTCATCTCCCGACTGCGCGACATGGTACGGGAGATGGAGCGGGTTACGGACCACGTTCTGGTCATCAGCCACCGGTCGGTGTGCCGTGTGCTGATGGCGTACTTCATGGATCTATCACGGGATGGCATCGCCAACCTCGACGTGCCACTAGGAATGCTTTTCTGCATTGAACCGAAACCGTACGGGTACGAATTCCATGCGTACAAGTACAACGAGCCAGCAGGGTGGTTCGATGAGCTACCGGATTACAAACCACAAAAGGCGACTGATAGAAACAACTGAGACGTTATGATGGTTCGCGATGACTTTTTGATACACTAGCATGTACTTTTAAAAAGGGGTGATGATGGTCAGGCGTTTTCAGGACGGCGGGGACAGGTCGGCCTTACGTCACGGGGCTTTACAACTGGCAATGGTTGATAGATAGACCATAGACGACACCTCAAGTGCTCAATGCTACAGGTCTTCTAGAATTAATTCACCGACCACCTTCATGGTGCGGAATGATCACAACCATCGGCTGCGCAATTGGGGATTTCGTGGATTCTACTCTGACCAGAGCAGATTCTTGGCATATGGCATCTCGCATGGATTTCCATTATGTTACCTTGGTTTTCAAAAGGTCTAGAGATGAGCAACGTTGTTCAACAACTCCATGCCACGGACAAAACTGGCCGGACACCTCTCGCGCACCGACAAAACGGAGACGGGCGAACAGAGCGCCTTTGAAAAATCGGTAAACCAGTGGCGACGAGCGGGAGAAATGGAAAGCGAAGTGGCGACAGCCGGCTTTGAGGCAGGAGAAATTTTGAAGCACGGAATATACTCTGCGGACGTGCACAACCGGCGACGTGACACGCGCAGTGTGCCTGGCAGCAAACCATCACATCTTTTTCGTCCAAACTGGGAGGCCCGCACTCGCCTGCGGTCAGCCGGACCCCGATTCGGGGGTTGCATTCGCTTCCTCAGCCCTACCGCACCGCCGCTGCGGGCCTGCTACTGTAAGCTTAACTTTTTCAGGAAGGACCCTGCGCCGATCATTTATGGGCTTCGCGATCTATGCAACCCCGGAAACCAATGGGGGTGGGTGTGTTGGACATTTTGAGCCACAAATGATTCTAAATGCGCCCTGGGTTTTCCTGTATGTGGGGTGCTATTGCCGGTGCAGAGCTTCAAGCATTACTAGACTTGAGGATCCTGTGTATAGTTGCTATTATGGGTGATTATCAGGAGCTCACTTTAGATTGTTCTCGCCACTCTGTTGGGAGGGGAGGGGCGGCCTGTGTCTTCACGGTCAGGCTGTACACGCCAAAACCACCCACTATTATCAAGGGAATAAGCCATGTTCTGTGCCTTAGATAGACAACTAGCTGGCACCAGTTAATGAGTTGTCTATGGTTCGGCAAAGACTCTATTATTTTACTGCGGAAATGAAGGGCTGACTGCTCGTCGCTCAGTACAGCTGACAAGATTGTCGGAAGCTAATGGAGGTTTCCTCCTTCGCTATAGGTCTTGAAAGGCCCTATACTCACATGTGCTGAAACCGCCGATAAGACATAGTCAAGGTAAATTGATGAGTACCGAAAAATCCACACTGAAAGCCCTGACCCTTTCAAGGTGCCTTATTTCATCAATTATAATGGATTTGACTTGTGTTGACTTTGGCATCATTACGCTCACCGTCCAAGCTCTGTTACTCAGTCTGATCTACACTATTTGCCATAGTCTTGCAGAACTCTCGAGTTCACGTCGGTAGGGTGTGTTTTTCCTCTTGAAGCACCCTGGAATCAACTTCGACTAAGGAACGAATCCTACTTAGGAAGGCTCCCATTCATGTGTTATTTGTGCTCAAGATTTCTCGCATTGGAGCCTGATCTTGTGGCACGTCGACCTTTGAAAACCCATAGTCGTTATCTCAGAAATTGAGTGGACGGATTAAGCTATCAGATGAAGTCTACTTGTTACCACTGGATCATGTAAGCATCCGCCCTGCCTCAGACCACTATACACACAGTGATCAGCCAGCTCAACATCGCCTGAGAAGATTCCAGGTAACATTTTGAGGACGAAAACCGAACGACGGCGACCCGACTTGAAAGGTCTCACGTTATCAGCTTAGCATACCCCACGCACGAGCGCTCTATCGGCTTCCCGCCCCTAACCGCCTTGCCGAAGAAGCCCGGGTCCCTCTCCAGCTGCTCCTGCACCCACATGGGCCACTGATTATATCTGACGAGGCCCGGCTCGACCTGCCTGTTCAGCCACCTCAGCCACCGGCCCAAACCCTCATCGATGTTGTCCTTCGCGTTCTGCTTCTGGGGCGACCAGGCCTTTTCGACCTCTGTGATCACGGCCATGATCTGTTTAATGGAAATCCCTGCGAAGGGAATGTTAGTGGCCCTGCCTTGAATGCGAATCACGGAATGGATGGAGAAAATCATAGCTCGAGGTTGAAAAAGGTCAAAGCTGAGTGTAGACGTACAGTTCGCGGCCAGCAGGATGAAGACCTGATCGCTGGGGTCGACGATCCTGGAGAACTGCTCGTGCGGGAGTAATATCCACCAGCCGTAGTGATCGCTCATAGCTTTGTACGCTTCGCACGTGAAAAGAAAGTTAGCACGTAGAGAAGAGAGGTTGGAGGTTGCCATGGCTACGAACCCTTGTAAGGCGATTCCTCATCGAGCCCATTGGCCATGTCCTCCGTCATCTGGTGGTATTTCATCTTCAGCTCGTCTCCAAGGCAGAAGTGCTTTATCCCCTCCAATGACGCCAAGGCTCCAGACTTCCACTCCCACATGCCGTCTGGCAGGATCACCTTATCTATGTGAGGCTTCAGGAGATCGCCCTGCTCTCCCTTGATCAGATGCTGGAACATGAAGTCCACGCCGGCCTTCCACATCTGTATTACTATGAGGATAACGCCTCTGATGAACGCCATGTACTCGGCCACTACAGCACGTAACCCGGTGATTAGCTAGTAATATTGAATGCGTCTTCCCAAGCCGAGGGTGAGCCAAATCCAGGTCCAAGCACGGCCTGACCAGGGAAATGAATACCCCACGAGCACCAAGAGACTGGCGCGATCGCAATAAACAGTAGGGACATGATTTCGATAGTAATTGGATATTAAATAGTCTCGGGGAACTGCTTACTTCCGTCCTCCAAAATGACGCTCTGGAAGGTAAGAGCAAAGCAGGTTGCGATCAACGCGTTTCCCTCGGCGTACGTGATCCCCTGGTCACTGGAGGCCAGCTTCCGCTTGATGGCCTGTATGGACTTGAGGCGGTGGGCCATGGCTGCCTCAGCAAGCGAGGCGTCGCTTGCGATGAGCTCGGAGGCCGCGAGGCCCAGGATACTGTGCATCAGGAACTCGTACTAAGCGAGCAAGGTCAGCGCAAGGGCAGCGACATACGTGTTGGACTTCCGACTGTTCCCATTTGCATGACATGACGCGCAGGCAGGGAGGGATTCGCACGTTATAGGATAAGCATGGGACCTCGTGGGTCCAGATCTTGTCGTTCCCGAGTGGATGGTGCGGGAACGAGTGGATGAGGAAGTGCTGGAAGAAGCGCATGTCCTGCATGCTGAAAAGGGGTATCTGGTGTGTCGGCTGAGTAGCAACTAGTCAGTCAGCTTTGACTATTACACTTTTTGGCACCGTGTTAAAGTGAGATGCGCTGACCTGGTGCACAATCTGTGGTGTAGCTGGATATTCGCACTTCAACTGCCCCTTCACGCAGTGCTCACAGGCAGGCCGAGTCTCTTGACACTTGGGGGTTTGATCAGTTCACGCAAGCTCAGAACCAAATGGGAAAGAAGGCCCCCTGATCACCTTGATGCGTCTCTTCTTGCAATTAAAACAACCATTGCGTGACTTGAAGTGCCCTCTCCTCTCGGCCTTCTTCTTCGCAGGAGCCCGGGTGAGCGCATCCAACCGGGCTATTGGCAAGGGCCCGCGCGGAACGATGGCCTGCAGCGGAGAATTTGACTTCGTCGCTGACGACGAAGACTCCCCGCCCGAGTTGTCGGCGCTGAGGTACTGGGGATAGAGATCTGAGGAGGACTCGCTGGACTGACCGCCTCTTGAGAGGGCAGTGAAGTCCATTTCTTCTTGAGGGCCGAGGCTCATGGTAGTCGTCTCCCCTTGGCTGAGATGGCTCGAGCTTGGGGGAGTCTCCTTGCGCCGCAGCGGATCTGTGCTGCAGCGGTTGAAGTATCTTGTGTTAATAAATCGAGGTCAGGTTCGTCGCAAAGACAAAAAGGCGTGATTAGCCGTATGAAACCGCGTGGTGATGTCAGCTCCGATCCGTGAGGCTGAGATGCCAAGCTAAGCCGGCGGGTCGCAAGTGCATCCTCCGGACATGGGGGCAAGGGCAAGGCATCCTGTCAGGCTGTTCTCCGTTCTGCCGGCCTTTGAATTCGACCATCAATTCATTCAGGTTTTATGTGGTGAAGAGATGGCATCTAATGATAACGCAGAGACTTCGAAAGCCCTCGGTCACTACATGGAAAGGAAGTTCTGGTGGTGAAAGCGGCGGTTGGGCGGTACCGCTCGATGGAAACTCGATGATGTTGAACACCATCGGTTGCAGACAGTGTGTGAGAATCTGAGAGAGCTCCAGCCATGAACTTGATTATTGACCGCATGTTTCAGGAAGACGAAGCTGTCGTGAATTTCCCTTGAGGGAGCAGAGGATGGCACGAGTCGAAGTCCGGCCCCGCTTACGGCGACTCGGCCGGGTTCTGCGTGGGCCGGGCCGGCCGATTCAACCTCAAACACCGGCGATTGCCCGGCAGGTGTGTGACGAGGCTCTCCCCAGTGCAACACAGCTGTCCCATAAGGTTCGACGAAGGCTTTGAGGTTCATCGAATGCTTGCTCACATGACTTCACTGCGCACTCGAAGAGGCAGCCAAATGCATTGAGCTGTTGCCCACTTACACATTGCCTTATAAGAAGTGTCGCAGCACCGCCTTGGTCATGCCCGGTCGAGGCCAAGAAAAATGAATGCTCAACTTCCTGAGGAGGACTCTCTCTCTCGCAGGCTTCGGATTTCGAGCACAGAGTCGATCCATTCAAGAAATACGCTAAAGAGCAGCTCGTCTCCACGAACGAACTCCTCGTGGCTCCCCAATGTATCTTGACATTGGAGGCGAGAATGACAATGAATTCGTTAATGATGCACTGCACCGCCCAACCTTAGAAAGTAGAAAATATGGGCAAATCATTGACTTCAGTAATGCATCATATTTATTTCATCAGACAAGCTGTGGAGTCGTATCGACGTTGTGCGACGTTGCACGTTGGGATCGCTCATGTTTTCCAGTCTTCCTCTTAGATCCAGTGTGCCAGTGTCAAGTGCTGATAGGGGATTTCTCCGTATCTCAAGAATGCATGTCTCACGGCTTGCATCATCTGGACACGAAAGACAGCACATATTCTCATCATTAAGCCGGCCGAATGCAAATAATCTGCTCCGCGATCGAGACGAATCGTGTCGTCGAGGCAAGCGGTCACTCGCGTAGTGCCGACGTCGATCACCGATCTGTCAATCCCGACACTGCACGAGAGGCCACCGAAGGCCGTGAGAGCCCAGACATTGAGATGCAGTGAAGCACAAGATGCAGCGAGGTCAATAGAGTACTGTATATCAGGATCGGCAGAGAAGCTTTGGGAGGGCTATTTGTTACTGCGCGAGACAGAAGGGGCAGATCGAGGCCACCGACGTGCATGTGCGACCACGTACAACCGGTTCATCGTGAATGACAGGTGGAAGTTCAGCAGACCCGGCGGGCCGGACAGTGGCTACCCGAAGGCAATGTCACAGGATGCGGTAGATGAACGCCGTGGCTTGAGTGTTCCGAGGATGCTTTGCACCACAATTGTTCTTCACTCAGGCGGTCACGAGCTGCAGTGCGAATGACCTGCTGCCAAGAGTCTCACTCTGCTAGAATCTATTTTAATGAGTCTGCAGTCCGGCTGAGAATAAAAGAGAATAACATATTACATTTAAAAAGGATAAGATGAAGGGGGAGGGAGTGGAAGGAGATAGAGTATCCCAAGATTATGTCAGACCTTGATGGAGTTGGCGAGAATGACTGCCGACCTGCCCAAAGCTCTTTTTTTACCTCTCCGTTGCAGATCCCTAATTGAATGCGCGGAGGATTTTGGGAGGTAAAGCTTGGCACTCAGATTAGCTTCTGGGGAACAGTTCGTCCCATCAGCGATTTGCTCTGACCCGGGTCCCGGTCCCTCCAAATAACGTTCTGGGTGTGCGTCTCACCTGCATCCGAACATTGGGCGCCAAGTGTCTGCCAGGAGGCGGCCGCCAGCACACGGCAGAGCAGCACGCGACAAGAGACCAAAACATGGTGAAACAGCCAGCAACGAGTGTCCTGTCTGCGGGCGGCGGGCAGTAACATGGCAACACGGGCGGGTGGCGCCAGGGAGGCTCAGTATGGAGAGAGACGACTTGCGTGGACTGACAGACTAACGGGCCAGAGGGAGGGAGGGTGGTGCGCAATCTCGGTTAGGTTTCGCGTGCACGCACTCCCCCTGCGGAGATCCGGGCACACGCTGGGAGACGCCTGGGTGCACCCGTCCAATCGTAGATCCAGGCCCGCTGATGGAAAGCTGCCCTCGGATGATGGGCGGGTGCGGTGGCCAGTGCGGTGTTCATCTGTGTCTGCGTCTCGTGGTCCCAACCAGGGGTGAATGTCTGAATGTCCAACGACGGCGTCGAAAGGTGAGGACTGGCTGAGGCGGGCAGGGGGTGTAGCAAGGGGCAAATAAGCCTGAACCTGATTCGGGGTTGTCTGCTGTCAGTAGCCGGCCTCGTCACCGTCGACGGTGGGACGGCGCAGGCGGTGGGCCAGCCGAAGGGCAGCTGAAAATACGCAGTCCCCAGTACGCAGCCACTGAGCACAGGTATGGCGGTGGCCTGTTGACGGTGGCAGCTGTCGTCAGCAAGATGGCCTTGGCGGGTGGATGTTTCTATTCCAGAGTTGCTCGTCTCCGTCGCTTAGGCCAGTTAGGCTCACCAGCCGAGGCGTGAGCCTGATGGGAAGAAAAAGTCAATCGAAGCTTCCAGGTTGACTGACTGGCCGGCTCGCAAATGCACCCGACAGGATTCCCGCGGCTTGGCAGGGCAGTCCTGGAGCTTGACATGCCCAGGACAGCGTCGATTGGCCGCGGGGGGCAAACCTGTGCCTGGTTCCTGCATTTCGGGCCCACCACGACGACCCAGCACCTGGTATGTCCCCTGCAGGCCAGCGATAACATGTGTGTGCTGTGCAGAGTAGCGCCATTTACCACCCTGTACTGTAATAATCGTACTGTATCAAGGGGTCGGAAAAGCATACCTCGCCACCAATAACAATCGGCTGATGCATAGCCAGCCCGGGATCCCACACGCGGGAAGACACACCAACTTGAGGTTTTAATTATCGTTAATTCAGCACTGATTGATGGGATGATTGCCAAGAGCGGGAGCAGAGAAGCAGCAGCAGCAGCGAGTTGCTCCAAGTGCCGAAACGTGGGTCACCACATTTGTTTCTCATTTATCTGTGCGCTGAGTAGTCTATCTCGGGCCCAAACAGCTTGATGTGTTTACAGTTCGTTTACCACAGTTCCGTGCACAGCAGACGGGGTGTTTGAGATGGTCCACACATGTAGAATGAACCTAACGTCTGACAGCTGGCCTCATACTGACTCTGCCGTGTCTGCTAAATGCAGTGTTTCTGGGTACATACCTGATTACAGTACACGCAGAGATAATCTACCTAGGTACCTAGGAGGGAGGTGGTGCTGTGAAGTAGTAGCGCCAACGGGTCCACCCTAGCCCCCTGGTCCTAGTTCAGGCTAAGCTTCCCCTGTCCCTGTCTCTCGGGTCCGTCCAAGTCGTCGTCGCCCTCGTCGCCGTCTTGCCCCTGGCGCCAACATGCACATCATGTAGGTGCCGGGCGCAAAGAACCCACCTGGGTGATCACATCCAGCAGCCCGGCTGGCCCAGGCCTGCCAGACAGGGCGCATCGCCGACAAAACAGATCCACTTCCCAGGGCGGCCCCAGTATTTCTTTTCCACGCCTGCCCCTCCCACCCACGTAACCCGCGCCATACAAGCCCGTATCTGTCGTCGTTTCTCCTTCTCTCCTCCCACAAGAGCCCACTTTCTTCCTCACCACTCACTGTCCTTCACTTCCGGTTCCACGCCCGCAACCTGGTCGGTCGTTCGTTTGCCCAGCCTGTGCCTTGCCTTGCTTGTGCCCTGTCCCCGAGATACTACCGTCTCTCCCACGTTCTTTCTCCCCCATCTGTCTATCCGCCCCGAGGGCCCACACTGCAAAATACTTCAACAAAACGGTCGCCAGCCTCGACCCTGACGCGTGCGTCCCCTTGAAGCTCACCTTTCTCCGCCTCCGTCCACGACGTCCCGAGAACGCGCAAGCATTCCTTTTTGCGTCTTTGACAGACAGCACTCATTTGCACTTGCCTCGCGCGGATCATCAGCCTCACCTCTCGACTGCTCTTAAGCATTCACTCGCCTTCCTTTGACCATCTATCGGCACGAGGCAATCCTTTCTCTGTCCCAATTCGGTCATTCCAAGTTCGACACTGGACAAAGCAATCTCTTGTCTTTCATTCTCGATCCCAGGAACTTTCGTGGCTTCCTTCTTTAGCCCGAATAGGCAACTCACTGCCCAACCATAACCACATCGATATCCCCAATATCAACCGTCAAAATGCTCACCAAGACTTGCTTCGCGCTCGCCTCGGCTGCGCTCGCCAGCAATGGTGCCCTTGCCCTGGGTCACCGCCACCGCCATGGCCATGAGCAGAAGCGTGCTCTCATCTACGAGACCACCGAGACCGTCACTGATATTGACTGGGTCACTGTCACCGTCGATCCCAACGAGCCTGCCACCTCAGCTCCTGCTGTTGAGGCCACCCCCTCCACCAGCTCGACTACTGTAGAGGCCACCCCCTCGGTTGTGCCCAGCGTCGCCCAGCCCGTGGCTCCTGCTTCTTCGTCGTCGTCGTCGTCGATCGTTGTTGCGACTCCCACTCCTACACCAAGTGCCGCCCCTACTACTTTCGCCACTAGTGTTGCGTCGCCATCGCCTTCCACCACCTCTACCACCTCTCAGGTCTTTGAGGCTCCCGAGGTTGCCGCTGTTGCCACGACACCTTCGACGTCTTCGTCTGCGGCCGCGGCTACGACAGCCTCTGTGGCCACGACCTCCGGCAACAAGCGAGGCGCCGCTTACAACCTCGCCAGCCTGGTTTCCGCCCTCACCGGCACCGGCAGCAAGATCAGCTGGGCGTACAACTGGGGCCAGGTCAGCGATGGACTGTCTGATGTTGACAGTTCCCTGGAGTACGTTCCCATGCTGTGGAGCAACAGAGCGGACTTCATCTCTACCTGGGACTCCAACGCCAAGTCCGCCATCAGCAATGGCGCCAAGAACTTCCTCGGCTTCAACGAGCCCGACAACGCGGGCCAGGCCAACATGGATGCTGCCACTGCTGCATCCGCCTACATTGAGTACCTGACCCCTTACGCCGACTCTGTCCGTCTTGGCTCGCCCGCCATCACCAACAGCGGAAGCGACGGAGAGGGCGTGAGCTGGCTGAGTGAGTGGGTCAGCGCCTGCAACGGACAGTGCAAGTTCAGCTTCTGCGCCGCCCACTGGTACTCCCCTGCCAGCAGCTCCGACTTCCTCAGCTTCGTCACCCAGGTCCACGAGGCCTGCGGCACCGACAAGACCGTCTGGATCACTGAGTTCGCACCCACCGGAGCTGATGACGCCACCATCTCCTCGTTCCTCGAGGAGGTCCAGGACGCCCTCGACAACAACTCGACCTACAGCTTCGTCGAGAGGTACTCTTACTTCTACGTCGCTGATGGTTCATTGATCACTGGCACCTCGGCCAGCACCTACGGCAACACCTTTGCCTACGGCTCCTGATCAACCAATCGTTGTCTTATCAGCGTCTCTTGAATTTTGTTGTTTTGGAAAGGGTCCATTGGCGTTCTATGAGCTCCTAGACTCAGGGTTGTTTTGCGGTGATCATGGTGGGATATCTGGAGATACCTAGACCCGGAAGTCAGGGGTTTAAAAAGGCTACTTCATTTCTTGTACATAACCAAAAACTTTTTATCTTCGATTCAACTTGGGTTCGTCACGGACCGAGGAAGGATACTTAAACAAAGTGAGCACGAGGCTCTCACGAAAATCAAAGCTGGGTGGCCAAGCCTGTACATCAGAATAAGATACCGGGCACCCGGAAAACGAAGTCGATTGATCTAGCCCGAGGTTAGATCCACGATGAATTCATGCCAGCAATGAAAAATCACACAGTGTTACACACACATGAACTTGATCTGAGAAATATCTGCGTGACTTCATCATGTCGAGAATCGACGTACGGCAGCGATCACATGCCACTTCTGTAGCTCCTTCTGGTCTGGCATGGCCCTTTCCCGCATCCAGGGAGCGACGGCAACGACGGCACACAGCATCACCTCCCTTAGCAATGTATCATGCCCGCCATCTTCCCTTACTGCTACTACTGACAATAACATGTCGCACATGGAGTCATCAAGCGGGCCAGCAAACCACTGCGCGCACTGGTGATATCCACACCCTCCGCGCTCGAGCCAGGCAAGCAGGGCGCAGCGGCACCGCCCACCAATCCACCCGCGAAGGACACTTGCGAAGGAAGCACGTATGGTGCAAGGCAAGGGTGTGAGCTCAATGAGTCGACAACACCCGGCTTCGCCGCGGCCAGCGGTGTGTGGGGACCGCGCTGCGAGGGTGCTGCGGTGGCCGCTTTCTAAAAGGGGGAATTAGGGATTCAAGGCGGGGTTGAAAGGGAAATTTCCCTTCGAGTGATTGACTCACTTGATCGGACTTGTAAGTTGGGCGGTGCAGAAAACAATGGCAATTGTTTTGTAAACACACACTTTGGCCTTGGCAACTTTTTGGATAGCTTCACCGGACGACTTGGTGGCGCGAAAGGAATCTCGCCTATGTGGAAGTTCCCGCTGGGCGGGTTCCGGAGGCGTAAGCCGATTACGCGTCCGTCCAAGCTTGAACATTTCTCCTTTCAGAATCGCGTGTTTGCCTGGTGGCCCTCAAGACTTGACTGTGAACTTGAGAAGACTTCTTCACTATTGAATGGAAACAGGGTGAAATTCACCACACTTCGATCTGGCGCAGCATGACTGTAGGTGAGGGACCGAGTCGCGAATTTCCCTACTTCAGACAATTTGAGAGACGCGAAGTCAGTTGTCAATTGTGATTACTCTCACAATGTATCTGTTGATTGTGGTGGTTGTCGAAGGCTAGTGAACAATCAGAGAAAAGAATCAATTCAAGCTGATACATCACACAACGGGCACAAAAACACTCGTGAATTTCTTGACTCTCAGAGCCAACAATCTTTATTCTTTCTATCTCCAGTAGTCTGACGAATGTGCCCTTCCCTGGGGCAGCACAATCTCGAGCCTGCCCCGCCAGTACTCGTGGCCGCCGAGGTTCCGGCGCTCCGCGTCGAGCGCGGCGTACTCTCGCCGCGACTCCAGCCGGAAGGCCTTGATGCGCGCCACCACGTCCTCCATGGCCCGCAGCTCTGCCTTGGTGGGCAGCTTGACCTCCGCGGCGGCGGCCGGCAGCATGATCGAGTCCCACGCGCGCTCGAAGATGAAGGAGCCCGCCGGTACGCCGGCGGCTACGTGGCAGGGCGTCGCCGGGCTGGCGCCCTCGCGATTGGCTGGGTCGCAGACGTTCCTCATGTACTCGTTGATGGCGGGCGGGTTGTCTGGGCTGATGAGGCCCGATCCGATCCAGACTGAGACGACGAGCTTGAGTGGCTGGCTACTGTCACCACCCGGGCTGATGGTGAAGCTGACGTGCTCGCCCTTGGCCCTGTTGAAGGGGTAGTCATCGATTTTCTCTTCCATCATGGACGGTCCCTTGCCTTTGAGGACTGCGTCTTCTGCCTCCGCCGCTGAGGTCGTCTCCACGACCACCTGCTGCTTCACCTTGGACTTAACTGGTGAAGATGATGGTCCCCACGCACTCTCGCTGAAGAACGAGAACGCCTCTGTGCCCTGTTCCACCAGTGCTCCTGAGTCCAACTCATCGGTCTCGTTGTCGAGGGAACCGAGCTCGTCCTTGGCGTCTGGTTCAAACTCTAGTCGGATATGGCGCAGGCCCTTTAACATGGGCGGACCTCGGAAGGGCAGCAACGCTCTTGTACTCTCAATTGCTTGCTCCTGATGAGCGGCAAGACGCAAGAAGCTGAGTAGTCGCTTAGTAACCATTCCGGTCGAGTACCGCGGGATCATGGAGATGGTGAGTGAATCAAGGCGCGGATTCATGTCCGGTACGAATGTCTGCGGGTATGCGAGGTCAAGTCTCTCGCGCATATGCGTCTCTGCCAGCCACAAATTGGTCAACTCGCCAGTACTGCGAGACTCGAGCGTTGGTGTGTTAGTGACCAAGGAGTGATGAGCCTTGAGTACGCGCAGGTTCGACGATATGACGGGACGAAAGAGATACGCGGCTCCTGGGAGGGCATACAAGGTGGCGGCTTTGGAGAGGTACGATGCTTTGCTCTGCCAGGCTGAGGCGTGATGAGGCGGCAGATATGTTCTATCGCATTCGAAGTGTTCTATGTAACCAGGAGACTCGCGAATAAAACTCTTCACGGCAGAGGCACTTAGCATAAGCTCATTGAGATGCAAATGCGTAGTACCTGCATGAAGATGGGGCCAGTGAAATCGTTGGTGCTGTGGGTGTAAAGCATCTGGTATCTCTTCCCCTGGACCACCGGCCAGCACCTTGACGGCGTCATGTGCCGAGTCGCCTCGGATGCGTTCTCGTCCCTTAGATCGACCACGCACCGTTTGACCTTCCTCACTGATGAAGTCGTCATTAATGGTATTGTAGATAGGGGGATCGGCAAGATATCGGTCAGGAGAGGAAAACGTTGCACTCCACTCAGACTCGTCCACGAAAAAGAGCCGACTGTTAGGACGAGGATGGTCATCATTAGAGATGGGTCTGACCTGTCCTTCAACTCTGAAATGATCATTCGTCCGTAACTTAGTGTTCGAGTAAACAGGGAGGCCGTATTCTAATAGCGTTCGGAGAAAGTCGTCGGTCAGACCATTCTTGGATACGTCAAGACTGAATAGTTGCGTACGGAATTCGCGCACGATTGCACCAGCCGTGAGGTCAATCAAATTCTTTCTTCTGAGCTTTAATATGCGGAGGAATGGCAGATCCTCGGGGATGAGCGCTCCCTGGTTTCCAAGAGTCCCAGGGGTGTTGGACATGTCAAGATAGACTAAGCCTTTGAGCCATTGGCCACCAAAGAACCTTGCCGGGAGCGATATTCCACAATTGGCAATGCTGATGAGGTGGATGTTTTCCAAAGAGACGGCTGTACTCGATCGAAATGCATGTCTGGACAGCATAGAGAGATTCAGTTGGGGGTGTTCATCAAGCAATAAGCAGCGCAGATTGGGGAGGCGAGTTGCCAATTCGCGGAAGCTGTTGTTGTAAGCCTCCTGGTGCTCGTCCAGTCCAGATGCGGGAGCGAAGCCACGAAAATCCATGACAGCCACCATTGATGCGGTGGACGCGTCCATCTCTCTGATGTGGGCGAGGAATTTTGAGTACCACTGATAGTCTTGATAGAATGTGTCAGCCGCTCTGCCACTGGGATACAGCCCGCCAGAAGCAACAACTAGGCAGGGCACTCACCATAAGCGGTGTCACGATTCGATGTGCGCACAACCGCGAGAGGATCCTTCCAAACTCGTGGGGCGAAATGACGGCGAAAATGCCGGGACACGCAGCATAGGCTGTTGTAGTCTGAGGGATCGACGTAGGGCGCCACAAGCTCCAGCCACTGCTTCTTGCCAGCAGCGTCCTGATAGGAAGGTAGTTGCTCCATCATGAAGAATGTCGAGGTTGGGTCCAGCTCGAGGAGATACAGCCGTCCCGAGAGTTGGTTGCAAAGTGGTGGCCTGCAGTCATCGGAATGAAGAAAACTTGGCCGGTTCAAACCCAAGACAAGCTGTCGAGATGGTCCGCATAGAGGAATCAAGAAAGCAGACTGTTCATGGAATACCACGTCCAAGTGCCGAGGTCAACATCACCCCGTGTGCCTCGAAAGAATTGGTAATGGGATATGTTTTTGAACACGCAGGTGAACATGAAGGAGAGATCGGAGGCTGGATGAGATGGTTGATGCGGTGGGGGGCCTTGGCCGGATGGGAGATGTGCACTTGCGCGAGGCCTTTAGTGGGAGATTCCACATTTGAATGAATGCAGTGTTCTTTTTTGATTATCTATCTCAGCAGCAGACAAGTCAGAATCTGCTCGGCGATGATTGCTGTGAAGACAGCCGGTAATAATTGGTATGCGGCTCAAGGAAGTGTAGCCAGCTTGGTCGTCATCTCTCTCTCTTGACCATTGGGGCTTAGTGATCACTTGATACTGGCAAGGCCGAATCGCACTGATTGGCTGCAGCCGCTAGAGTGCTTCTTTGACCGAGCCACATCCACAGCCAGAACAAGGGGCAACCAAAAGAGAGGACGAGGAGTGAGAGTATGAGAAAATGGTGCCATCCTCTTGCGTATTCATGAGCATCTGCTCCTGATTCCACCAAGCGGAAGTAAATTTTGTCATGCATGTTGTCTTGCCGGTGAGAGGTGGCGACTGGGTATCAAGTACTTGCGGTAAGTAGGGGACAAAGGGGGCATTGTAGCAAAACAAATGCAATAAGGGGTGCCATAACACCGGCCATTTTTAGAGCCCTGACTCCGCTTCCCAGAAGCAAATATATACAGATTTAACGGCATAGGTCAGTTTGCCGGGTTGAGATATACGTAAGGTATCTCGTTAATCGTCCAAAGCTGTTCAAGACCGGGTAGCAGCAATTGCTTGCTCGAGGATGCTCAGACCCTCCTGAATCTCCGCCTCCGAGATAGTCAATGGAGGCACAAACCGAAGTGTGTTGGTTCCCGCCGTGATCACGAGGAGTCCCCTTTCGCGGGCAGCCTTTACAATGGGCGTTGGGTCCTGGGTGAGCTGGAGACCAAGGATCAGGCCACGGCCCCGTATTTCAGTGATCAAGTCGGGGAACTTGGCCTGCAACTGCTTGAAACCACTGGCAAAGACGGCGCCCTTGGCCACTACGTCTTGTTGCAGAGAAGGATCTGCGAGTCTGTTGACAATGTAATGTGCCAGGCGACAAGCGAGGGGATTGCCACCGAAGGTGGTACCGTGATCGCCCACCTTGATCTTCTCACCCACGTCCTTGCTCACGAGGACAGCGCCAATGGGAAATCCGTTTCCAAGGGCTTTGGCCGTGGTCAAGATGTCCGGGTGGGCCTCCTTGGGCAGCCTGGTATGGGCCCAGAATGTGCCAGTCCGCGACAGACCACACTGGATCTCGTCGTAATGCAAGACAGCGCCAACGGCCTTACACCGCCTGGCCAGGGCAACCAGGAAATCATCACTCGCCACCTGAACACCACCTTCGCCCTGAATGGGCTCGATTATGACACCGCACGTCTTCTCCGTAACGAGATCGTTGATGGCAGAGATGTCATTGTAGTTCCCGTACTTGAAGCCCGGCACCATCGGAGAGAAAGGCTGCTGATACTTGGGGTTGGGTGTCGCTGAGAGACTGCCCATGGTCCGCCCGTGGAAGGAGTTGTTGAAGGAAACAAACTCGTGCTTGGCGCCGGAAGGGTCGAGAACCTTGCCAACCTTCCGGGCGAATTTGATGCCGGCCTCATTCGCCTCGGAGCCGGAGTTGCAGATGAAGACGGAGGCAGCGTTATGCATGGAGCCAGACTCGAGCGTCTTCTCAACCAGAAGCTTTGAGAGAGCACCGGTCCAGGGGTTGTAATAGAGGTTGGAGGCGTGGACAAGGGTCTTGGCCTGATCTGCTATTATCCTGGAGAACTCCGGATCGCAGTGTCCCAGGGCATTGACAGCAATGCCGGATGTGAAGTCGAGGTAGCGCCTGTTCTCAACGTCCCACAGGTAGGAGCCTTCGCCCTGGACGAATACTGGCGGGGGGCGGGCGTAGGTAGCGACCATGAAGGGGGCATGACTGTCCACCATGGCGGCACTGGGAGAATCGGCGGCGGGATCTGGGTTCGGGAGGCTGGCATCTCTCTGTGGGGTTGATTTAATGTCAGCGTTGTTCCAGTCGAGACCCCGGAACGTGGCATAGGCTCACGGCTATGTTCTGCTGGACATGCGAGTTCAGGTTGCTAGTTGGAACAGACGTGGCTTGGGAGTAGGAGCGCAGCCTGGCTGGGATTGAGCAGCTGGAGGAAGAGGCAGGGCGGCAAGGGCGAGCAGCCAGCCCGGCCGCAGCCCTGTGAATTCGAGCTCGGAAAGCCATTGTCGAATCCTCCGCGATGGGTGAAAGGTGAGGGCCAGGAGGAGGACGAGGATGAGGAGGGAAGGTGGCTTTTGTGATGTCCAATGGCTTCGAAGCTGGTTACTGGAAAGAAGAATGAGTCAATACCGAATTGACTCAAATTGACTCAGAGGAAATGTCGCAGGCGATGCGATTTGAAGGTTGTCGGCGCATCACTCGTAGACGGTTGAGCGGGCGAGTGGTTATCTGCAATTGAGCCCCCCGATAGCGGTCCCTGGTGAAATTTTCGAGGAGTCAGGGTCCCCCCAGGCTGGGGCGCTCTCTGTCCAAGACCCAGTGTCCAAGGCTCAGAACCCCAGGATCCACCACCTGCGCGATTGAGCAGGCCCAGATGACGCTCCCGAGGTCGGTGGGGGTGGAGACAGGCCTGCACAACCTTCCTGCATGATGAGTCCCGCCGCCTTGGGTAACTTGTCGTGTTGCGATCAGTTCCATCGCGGGTGCGGCAACACCCACCCATCAGAGGCTAAATAATCTAGTCTATATAGACTAGACAGTCCAGATGGGAATGTGTTCCCCAGACTCGGCAGCTTCGGCTGAGACCAGACCGTTGACTTGGTCAACTATCCCCGCAACGGCGACAACGTGCACCTGACTCGGTGGGTCTGTACCTGACACGCTGAAGCTTGGGAGCTTTCAAGGTTGTCATCTTCACATGCCAACGCCCAGAGAGGCCAGGAGAATCCGACGATCCCAAAACACCATGTCATATCCACCCTACCAGCCTATGCTCGCCCTTCCTCGTGGCAGGCCGCGGGGCCCAGACCAATCAACATTGATCGTTACCATTTCTAGAAGAGAGGTAAAACGTGGGGTGCCTAGGTAGCCTGATAGCCTAGGTGCCAACAACTGATGATCCGCTCTGGTCTGTCACTTCTCACCACTCATACGTGGCTGATTGAGAATCGTGACCAAGCTCAGCAACCACGTTTCCCACAGTGGGCCGTGGGAACACAGAGGGCGGAAACACGAACCCGAATCCCGATCGGGGCGTTATAACAAACCCTGTGTAGGTGCGGTGTGGTCTACGTCTACCTAGGGTAGATCCAATCAGCCCAAAATGGGACTCGCTCCCTTCCTGCGACAGTCACATGCAAAACTCCAGTCCCCCATCCCAGTCCCCAGTCCAGCCCAGCTTCGGTGTCCGTCTGACGTCCAAGTCCCTTGGGCCGAAGCCATCGGTTTCCTCACCTCACCTGACCACCTCGACATCTTTATTATTGTTATTTCATTTGTTTCTTTCCTTGGAAATCGTCTCTTCTTTGTCCCTATAGACTACCTGTGCTCACCAATACACCAACCAGCTACACCGCGTGCCGTCTCTTGACCCGTCCACTTTGTCTCCGTCATCGACAACACTCACCAGCGCATTCGCACCTAGAACTCTCATCTGGTCAGGCATGGCTGTGCGTGCTGGCTTACGCCGTGACTGAATCCCTCTCGACACCTCTCGTTTGGCTATTGGCTCGACGTAACCGAACTTGTGTTCATTGCGACGATATAATCCTTGCAACTCCCGAAGAGCCGGGGGGAGGGATCTAGGCTCACACTTTCTAATAAGTGTTCACAGTCGCATGGATTTAGATTCAGCATATAATCTTCACGCATCATGATAGACCATGTGTTGGGGCGGCCGTCTGCCAAGTCGCGACGACTACAGGTCCTAGCTGTGCTTGCATTTTGGTCCGCCTACCTCTTCAAGTATGTTCTCATGTCTCCAGTTGATTTGGCTAGTCCCCATCTAACATAAGGCAGAGGCCACAAACACGGTCCTCCACTTGTTCGTCTCTACTCCAAGCTTTGCTCCAAGAAGTTGACAGCATGGCAAATCGTCGTCGTCACCATGACATTCCTCTATGCCGGCCGCAATTTCAGTACTTTGGTCGGCCTGGCCAGCCCGGAGCCGCTATCCAACATGTACGATGCGCACTACTTCCGAGCCACATGGATCTTGACCGCACTTGACGCAGGGTTTTGGACCGCCATGAAGATCAAGTCCAAATGGCTGAGGGACTTGTCAAGCGTTGTTTTCTCAATCTTCTATTTATTTGCCGCGGAAAAGGCCGATGAGAAGGTCCGCAAGGTCCGATCAAATCTGACTGTCGAACACCTAAGGATTAGCTGGAATAAAGGCATCAGCCCATATATCGATTTCTTCCAGAGACTGATGCGGCCTCGATATTCTCGTTGGCCTCCGCGGGCTATTCGCATCCCGCGGCCGTCCACGAGCGACTACAAGGAACCTGTTTCGGCCTGGCTATATTTCGACGGGCCACTTTCAGAGCTTGAGCACCAGAACAGGGTTGTGCTGGACTTACCAGGAGGTGGTTTTGTCGCCATGGATCCACGCTGTAATGACGACAAGTTACTCTCATGGTCGTCCAAGACGGGGCTCCCTGTTCTCAGCATAGATTACAGGAAAGCGCCCGAGTATCCGTTTCCCTACGCCTTGAACGAATGCTATGACGTCTATGCCACTCTGATGAAGACTCGTGGGCGCTGTATCGGCATGTCTGGCCAGGAGACGCCCAAGGTCGTCGTCACCGGCGACAGTGCTGGGGGTAATCTGGCCACCGCCATGACTTTGATGATCATTGAGGGTGGGCTCTTCCCCTCGAGCCATTTCCAGGGACAGGCTGGTCTACCACTACCGGACGGCTTGGTTCTCTTTTATCCGGGGCTCGATATGAACATTGGAAATTGGATGTCTGACGAGCAGATGGCCTTGATCCAAGACCGAAGAATGCGATCAACCAACAAGGCAATTGCGCGCCGCAAGAGCATGCAATACAATAACCTTGTCGGAACACCACATCACTCTGACGACGAAGATGAAGCACCGAAGTATCTGGTCCACCCGCCAGAGGATGAGGGAAATGACAACAAGCAGCTGGCAAATTCGGAAGGCACTCGCACGCCCCAGCCCGAATACGCCCACGCGACTCCAACTAAATGGAGTAAAACACGTCGGTCATCGCAACCAGATTCGTCTGCCGTCAGTAAGCGAGCCGGCAGCACTTCATATCACTCCGAGCCGCTTCAGACGAGACTCGCAATGTCATCCATGCTATCCTACTTCAACGATCGGGTCCTCGCCCCCGAAATGATGCGCGCCATGATCATATTATATATAGGCCCACACAACCGGCCTGACTTCAGCCAAGATTATTTATTATCACCTATACTTGCCCCTGATATGCTTCTTGCTCGTTTTCCGAAGACATACTTCCTGACCGGTGAGCGCGACCCCTTGGTAGATGATACCGTCATCTTCGCCGGCCGCCTCCGCCGGGTCAAGGCCGCGATGTATGCCTCAGGAGGGCAAAGGACCGATTACATGGAGTCGGACGCCTTGGCTGAGGGCTTCAACGACAAAGATGTTGCGGAAGTGAACCTCATACCGGGTACATCACACGGATTCCTACAATTTCCGACAATCTATCCGCCGGCGTGGAAACTCATCGACCGCTCCGCTGGATGGATCGAGGAGGCCTTCGCGTCGAGCGAGAAGCGCGAGCGCGAGAACCGACGGCGCCTCGTGAAGAAGGCGACCGAGAGGTCTGGAAGACACCACACGCGGACGGAGTCGAGCGGCGACGAGGGGCTGCTGGAGATCGGGATGACCAGGGCGAGGGGCAAGTCGACGTCCAACGGGGTCAACGCCAACGGCAAGGACGCTGCGGCCATCGAGACCCAGAACGCGAACAACGGCGATGCAGACGGCGAGAACCAGGACAGGAAGACGAAGAGGAGGACGAATGGCCGCACAAAGAGAGAGGCGCTAAATAGGCTGGCGAGCTCGGACGACCTCCTGGGCCGGAGAATGCACGGCCTCGCTGGTGGCTTGACGGGTCTGGCGGAGGAGGATTGAGTAAGATGACCTCCGGTACAGATATTGAATGAAGGATACATCATCAAAGCTCGCCGCAAGGCGAATACCAGAATATCGCGCTTGAACTGCGCCAAACGATCCTCCGAACCAGCACATGACCCGTATATCTTTGAGCCACTCGTTCAATCAAGCTTGAGTTGACTAGTAGAATCTACAAAAAACATATTGACACGTTGACAGAAATCATAAAGCAGTGGAAAATTCATCTAAGGCCTTCATTCTCTCGGCGGGAAGCTAGGAGCATGACCTTTCTTCAGGATCTGGCGTTCTCCTCGTCAAATTCTGGCCTATAGTATAAAGACGCTGCAAAAGAGCCTCGACGAATAGGGAAGGCTGTTTCGAGAGATCATACACAATTCCGGTCCTGTCGTCTGGCGAGATCCAACCGGAATCTCAACACCGAAAAGCCCCTTTGCTGAACAAGACGCAGGACAAGACGCGGAGCCATCGCCCTTCAACTTGTCGTCCCGACGCCCTTTCCCTTGCCATCATGCTTTGCGTCGAGCCCGGATGAGTCTTCTTCCATGGGAACAACCATGTCCTTGATTAGCACAGGCGCCTCGACCGCCGGGTTCAGCGAGGAGTGGCAAATTGAGAGGGTGCGGCCAGCTGCGACGGCTGTCGCCGAGCAGGCGCGCTGTCTTTTGTGCGTTGGCACGAGTCGACACAAAGGCTTCACAGAGGCTATTTCGGTGCAACGAGAAAAGCATGCTAAGCGGCTGTGTACATGCATGCGCGCCTCTTGCCCACAGAATGACGTTGCTTGGGCAAGTGCTCCTATTTTGCATCAGCCACCTCAGCCAGCTGCCCCTTTGTTATTGTCCGCGTCTGCTCAGGAGAGGCTTTTGGCTTCAGCTGTGCTTCTGTGCGTAGGAATCTGGCGCCACAAACAACAGACCCTGTCCATCATACTCATTGTTATCTACCCGCTTCTTCACAATGTCATGTATCCGGATCCGTCGGCCAAACACGGTACACATGTGCTGCAACTCGATTCTCGTACTGTGCCTTGTGGCCTTCTTCGCACGAACAAGGCGGACTTGTTCGCGCCTCGTGATTGCTTACATGGGACGCCGTCGGCAGTCTGCCTCGGGCCGCAATGGAAATGGCCCTCTGCAGAGGTGGGCCGTGATCAAAACACCGGGTTAGGAGCGGCGGCTGACCAAAGAGTGATGTCGTAATCATATAATGTCTCGGATGGGGATGGAAAGGGCTGGCAAGACTGCGGAAATGACGAGCGCACGCAAATCAGACCCAGACCCGACCTCCCCAATCTCGGCCCCTTTCGACGTTAATGCCAACATCACCACTTTAGAACCAGGGATGAAATGGTCTAGATGGTCCAGCTCTATGTCATCAGCATAGGTCTGAGGAGTAGGCCAGGAGAATTTCGCGCTGAATACCTCACATCCGATGATTGCTTTTTTCTTTTTCTCTCCGGTGGCCTCGAACCCACCGATCGGCCAAGCAGGCCAAGGCGATGTCTGAGGGTAGCCTCCTGCAAGTAATGAGACATTTGCTCTGATCATATGCAGGCGTGGGCCCATAGATGCGCACCGGCTCGCACCAACTGCTGCAGGTGGTTGCAGAATCGTACAAGTGCCTGCAGAAGCGTCATGTCGACCGAAATTGACCTTACCCAGGTGTTTTTGTCCATCGGCGGCCCCGGCCCTCGTCGGCACTGCAGCTAAGGAAAACCGCCATGGACCCGTAAGATTTAGTGGAAATTTGAAATTCCCGACGGGGGCTTCTTGCCGACGGCGTTGTCGGGAAGTGGTGGTGGAGGGAAGAGGGTTGGGCTGGGTGGCCTCCAGGAGAAGGCCGGCATAGCTGCACGTCAACGACGCTCCTGCAAGGCACCAGCCAGTCTCTTGCGCCCACCGGCATTTGCAGGCTGCAGACTGCAGCCCCCAACATCTGGGCGCCTAGGGCTCGGCAGCTCTTGCTGCGTCCTTAACGACATCTATCTCGTTGAGATACCGTCCGGCTCACACTGCCGTATGATATCCCACCCAGCCGGCAACAGCCCATATTCCGTGCGATCGGCGGCAATCGAAGCGGCAAAGACATTCATTCCAGCGAGAGGACGCGCAACGCGTGCCGACGGGAGCCATCCAGACGCGTGGGTTTTGGAACTATCGCCAGTCAGTGCGGAAGATGGGAAATTTCAACCGGGTGTGGGGGGAAGGGGGGAAGAGGGGGGGCAGTGCCGCTCACGCCTCCATTAGATATGACTTAATGCCGGCAGGGCTGGCTCGACAAGACTCTTGTGCTCTCCTGAGGCGGGCTAAGAGGCTTAAGTGGAATGGAGCGGTCGCACAAGGTTGAGGGGTCTCAGTCTGTCTAGCTTCCTGGACGCGTCCTCCAAGTCTCAGTTCGCGTTCATGGCGAGAGCACGCGTTTGCGAAATCTTGTGACGGGAGCTAAGTTGTCTCGGGCTAGTAGTGAGAGGGGAGAGCACCTGCGACATAGTTCAGCGCATCGGGCGATGAGGTGGTTTGATAAAGGCGTGGGAAAAGAGGCATCGATGTGCCTCGCCAGTGTGAACAGTGTGGCGGACATTCCCAGACACCTGATCTCTTCGCTCTTCCCCTGCCAGCTGCCAGTCTCGGGTAGCCTCTTGTCAGTTCAGATCTCCGGTGCATACCCGTGCAACACACCAGTCGCACAGTGCCCACCATGTCTCACCCGGGACCGATCCGAAGAGGTGTCAACCCAGTGTGAAAAGGAAGGCGAAGAGTGTGGCTGGACGCACTGTTTCGGAGAGGGGAAACGGCAGCGAGCAGCAGGAGACCGGGCTTCCCAGCAGGCCAGATTTTTCATGAGTCGAAGTGGTCTCTTGCTCGTCCGCGGCCCAGGTGAGCTGAGGAATGCTGAACGGGGAGGAGGGCTGGCTGACTGAACAAAGGACTGAGACGCAATCCGCGGCATGGCTTGAATGCTGAGAATGAGAGCTGTCATCAAGAAGATAGATCCGGGTTATGCGTGAATGTTGGGGCAGAGAAGATACGGCGCAAGCAGCAGAAAGTGTTCATCTAATTTGATCTGTAGCGAAAGCTGTGGAAGGAAAAGTGGTATCTGACAAAACCAGGACATGTACAACCTCGGACTCCTTTCCGACCCTCCCAAGGGTTTTTTTTGCACATGGATCTTTTCAACGCCTGCCAACATGATTTGCTCGTTTCTGTTTGAGCTCCTTTCCGTCCCACCGTTTTCCGGCTCCGGAATCATCTTTCCCTTTTTTAGAAATAGTGGCAGACAGCATAGTCCTAAAGTGGTAGAATATACTTGATACAGAATTACTGTGAACATATTGAGTACCAGCCCCGTAACACCTGGATAAGATATGCGCCGGATAGATGCCCATGCCGCGAATGGTGCGTTTCTCGGAACAGTGACATATTTCGCGTGATTCAAAAACATCGTAAAGGGTTATAAGTGTGTGTCCCAACAGGAGGGAGGGGGATAAGAATCTGATGCGATTATTCCCAACGTATGAGTTTAACATAGTTCGCACGAGAGCCTGTCCTCCAGCTCTGTGGTTGTGGATCCAAGCCAATGCTGCTTCCTTGTAGAATCAGCCTGTCAGCCTCTCGCTAAGAGGGTTCGGCTTTGACCAGACTTCGCGCAGACTTTGATAAAGGGCTGCTGTCTGGCTTGATACCATCATCTGTGCTTGGCGACGTTGATCTCGTGGTGGATTTCTTCTTGTTCTTCATCTTGCTTTGCATCTCGGCAAGCAGGATAGCAGCGCCGATCTCGTGCCGTGTCCTGCTGCCAGCAGACTTTTCGATGTGCCGTTTGAGGTGATCACGGAAATTGTCGCACCTGCCGAATGTTTTGGGAGTCTCGCAAAATTCACAGCGCCATGTCTCCGGATTGTCTGAGTGTGCTCTGTAGTTGTGTGTCAGTGATTGGGTGTAGACTCTGTCGTTAATGGTGAATATCACTTACTCATTGTAGTGCCTCTTCAAGTGCTCCTGCCTTGAGTAGCTTTTCCCGTTACACTCGGGGTATTCGCATCTGTGTCTGTTCGCAGGGGCCTTGGAGACCTTGAAGCCTTCTTGAAGTGGAGGAAGCTTCCCCACCGCTGACTTCGCCTTGGATGCGCGGCTCTTGCTGGAGTTTGTCTTCGGAAGACTCTGCTGCAACAATGCCGACTTTTGCTGAGGCCCGTCCATGACGATCCTCCGCCTGATGTTGCCGTGGGAACTGCCCAGGGGACCGGGAGTTGGGGTTGTCATGGCCATGGCCGGTGACGATGTCCGCTCAAAAGTGATGGGACTCCCATCCGCATGGTGCTGCCAGATTGCTGTCATGTCGCAGTTTTGTATATGGTTACTGAAAAGCGGGGAGGGAGTTGGCATCATGAGAGAATCCATGAAATTGTAGGCATCCATGCTCTGTGTTGGAGTGAAGTCCACGTTGTTCTGGAATGCCGCCGCCGAGCTGCCACTCCGGGACGGTGTCATCGGCATACCATGGCACAGCATGTTGGGAGCCACGGTTGATTTCATGTCTAAAGGGAAGCAGCCAGATGTCGATGTTGGGGAGGGTGTGAACTCGTCGAACATCATGGTGTCATTGCCGAAGGAGATATCGAAGTCCATGGAGTGCTGCGGAGTCGAGTTTCTTGGGGGTGGTGTCAGGGCATCGTAGAGCGAAGAGGCTGACGAGAAACTGCCAGACGAGGACGGGCAGGAAGAAGAGTATGGTAGAGATTGACCGTTGAAGCCGAAATCGAAGCTGTCGCCTGCGTCCATGTTCAGACTGAGCAGTTGAATGTTCTGGCTGTTACTGGAAGAATAACTGCCTGAACCGAGAACTTCCTTATTGGACTGTCCCCTGATTGTCATTCCAAGTATCGGAAGGATGGAGGCGAGTACACTGAATCACGGCCCGATGGTGTCGAGAAGGGATGTGGTGAAGGAGAACCACAGTGATATACTCTAGATATGTCGAGGCCACACAAGACTGAAGGGATTGTCGAGCTTCACTGAGGCGTCGGCTTGTTGGACAGGGAGGTCGTCGGTTCAATATAAGAACGCGCAGAGAGGTGAGCGGCTCATTGGAATGGAGACCCTGAGCCACTTGGTGGTTGCTCAATACGTAGGGGTGGCACACCCAGAAAAGACGCGGCAGACCTGGCCAGCCCAGTACAGAATCGAGGTTGGGCTGTCAAGACGTTGGAGCGAAACATCCCTACACCAGCCTATTGCTTGCATGAAGCATCTGTTTTAGTCGGGACTTGTAGTGCCCCTGGCGAGCAGATGGGCAGGCCGTGGGCAAAAGCTATCGATAGATCGGTGGATCTTTGCAGCAAGATCAGTACCTCTGGGCGACCTAGCCACTTCACAGTACCCTGCCTTCTAACCAAAGTACGGGCTGGTAGCCAGAGACAGAGATACCCCAGCCGACACGGAGAAGTAGAGTCGCGCCTGGAGAAGAAACAAGGTGCATGAACTGGTAGATCTGCCCCACAGTGAGTATCGTGATGGTGGGAAACTGGAATGAAATTCGCCTATACGGTAATGGCGCCTTCCAGAGCAGGCCTGGCGGCCATCGGATTTGAGACACTGCAGTAGACAGCCAAGCGTGACGGGCTGGATCCTATCATCAAGTGCCTTCCGCGGTCTTCAGGGACAATCTCGGCATCTGGCCACGGTTGTGGCAGGCAGACAGTGCGAGAGCAGGCAGCTCGCCATTGGAAGATTGGTGAAGCCTCCAGGCCGCCCATGACGCCAGCGAGGCCGCGCGAAGTACCATGCAGGTCGAAAGAAGTTGAACTGGGGGGCCACCGTGGAAAAGCAAACATACTCCGACGTAATTGGAGCTACTGTGCCGCAAGCCGCACTTGGATGAACTGGTTGAGGCTCGGATGATCAGCTTGTCGTGCTCGATCCCGATGCTGGCCCCCGAGGCCTGGCGAGATGTGCAGTCAGTCGAGTCTCAATCTCTCCTGTTTGCGACGCCGTGACTGTGCCGTGGGTGAGTCTTTGTTGGCAGAGCCTCATGCCGACCTCTGAACGGATCAAATCCGTAACAAGGGACAAAGACCTGAGCTCGACCATGGACCATGAACCGTTTGAGGCGTTTGAACAATGGTGGTGGTAATGGTGTGTGTGCTAGTCGCCGTTATGCGCTCGACAGACACGCTGTGAGGGCCGGAGGTCAGACTCACTTGAGTCTGCCGTTCCTGGGGAACCTTGTCTCCCTGCATCTGGGACCTTGCAGAATGATCTTCCTGGACTGCTGCTTGACTCTGTTCCGGCCTGCCTTAGTGAAAAGAGGCGCTCCTCTTGCAGGCGGGTGACAGGTCATGTCGATTGTCGCACCCACGCAATCACCTATTCAAACAAGCTCCTCTGCCAAGTGGACCTGAGAAACCCTATTGATCCTCGTTTCCGCATTGTCCAGGCCTGTTGAACAGTAGGACGGATGCAGTCAGTTTGTGGCGTCCACCTTGACGGAAACTGCTTGCACACCTGCCAGAATGGCTATCGGTGTGGGCCGTCAGACTGCCTTTTGGGATGTCAGGCTCCGGAACATACATGGGCATGACGAGGCCACGAGTAGGATCAAAGCCATGGAAGCATTGTCGTCTCGACTGGCAGTACATGGCAGACACTCTCATGACCCTGGATGATGGTGGCCTGCCTGCCTGCCTGCCTGCCCAGGAGTGTCTTGTCTTGTCTCTTGGGCCAGGAGACAACTCCATCTAGTCGAAATATCAGACGGATAGATAGATACTGTGTAGACTAGATGGTCCGGAGAAGTTGAAATTGGGTTGTGTGGGATCGAGCGAGCACAGACACCCGTTCGAGGCCCTTGTGAAGATCACAAATCTCCGTGCCGAGTGAGCAGGCGAGGAGAACCCCCCAAGCTCAAGACGGCAACCCGATCTTCCAACGTTGGATCCAACACTCGCTCACCCCTGTCTGTCATCTGTCACTTTTGTGACAGCCCCAAAACTTGTCACCTGTCAACCACCAACCGCGATCCCGTCATCCTGCCATCCGTCATCCGTCACAACCTCGTCTCTTTCCTTTTTCGGCTTCTCGGCCTTGGATCGATGGCCCTCGTGTACTTTTACAACCCTACAAATACGAACACGACTCTACCCCGACTTTGCCATACACTTCAACTTGCAGGGCTTTGATTTGAAAAGCCAGCACACAACATGCATGATTAATATATCCCTTCAGTAGGATAATCTCCCACGGGGTCACTTGTAGGGTGATCTGTGAGACATGCGAGGGCAGACTCGGGCTCAAGAGTAGGTCTTGCTGGATCCCTTTCTATATACTCTCGAGTGTCTGCACAAAGCTCGGTTCCTTGCGACTGTAATTACTGCCTCCAAGTCATGCAGACAAAACCATTTGAAAGCGGCGCTCTTTGCCCATGGCCCACCTGTGCTGCCTTTCAGCACTCGGCAACGCTGTTGCGTTGGTTTGCCGTATCTCTCCCATCAAGTTCCTGTTGCAGCTGGCAGCTATTCCCCCTGGTGCGGTTCCGGGGGTGAGGCTTGTCTTCCCGTGGCCTACGGCGCTGTAGCGAGTTGAAGGCTCCGCATGTGTACGGAGTGCACTCCGTACAGCATGTCTTGTCGCCTGTACAATTCGTCATTGTTCGTCACGACCCACCAACATCAAACCTCTCACGACCCCGGGTTGCGGTCTTCGTCAGTCTTGGGTACCCCTGAGGTACCTCGGCTTTTCCGCCGTCACGATCAAGAAGCCACGATGTCCCAGCTCCTTGAACGTGGTTTGCTTCCCTTCAAGCAAACCCCCCCTCAGCATGCCATTCGACCGCCGGAGCATTAATCCGAGGCATCCAAATTTTGTCTCAGAGGCAGCGGAAACCGAGTACCTGAGGCCTTTCGTGGGACCAACCAAGACCTGCGGCAGCACGCCTCCATTTGACCCTGGCTCAGTCCAGCGCTCACTGGGGCCCTTTTCTCTTTTTGTTGCATGTTGCAGGTGATCTTCACGCCACGATTTAGCCTTTTCTGCCTTTTGCAATCATGCGTCGGGCTGTTTTCCGCCCGCGTGTTGAAGTGCGCACATTCAACCGCATAGTAAACGGTTTCCCGGTCTTCCTGCCGCTTCCCGGTACCAAAAGTCTCCTATCTTTACACTTCCTTAGCATCGTTTTCGGAATTTAAATCCGGATGACAATTGAAAAATATGCCACTGTCTTTTCTTGTTTAGTAATCCGCACAAGATTCCCAGTCTCCAGGGCACAGACACTTTACTTCGGCTCACTGAGTCTTCAGCCTTTAGTCCTCAACCACCACTCTGGTTGCTCTGTGCTTTCCATGAGTTTCCCCTGTACTCCATCTGCCCTTGGGGGCCGAGGGCAAACCGGTTTCTTCCACCTCAAGCAGTTGTGTTCATATCACAAGCTCTCAAGAGCACCAAGCCATCGCGCCTTGCGTTTCCGGATCAAGAGTCGAATGCAGGGTTTGACCAAAATGGCCTAGCCACAAGCCGACTCCATCCTCCATGATCGACGATAGTCCACTTTCAGGTATCGAAAGCGATATAGCACTTGATATCGTGGTCCAGGGATCTGGTCCGGCTCTGCTCCGCGCCGTGGTGAGGGGACGAGCCACGTCGGCCTCTCACAAGTTTTCGTCAGACGGTACTTTCCGCTCTTGTTGCCAATGTCACCTTAACCGGCTATGATCCCACGGCGTCTCGATGAAGCTCCAGACCGGTTCCCCCGTTTGGCAGCAGGCAGGGCGTTCTAGTGAGGCTCTCGCTCGAGGTGTATGGTATCCGCGGATACGCAAACTCGGATATTAGTGACCACCGATTTTCCCGTATTGCATTGCTGCCCGATGCTGCCAGGGCAAACCTTTTGGAAGCCAACCGCGGGTGTTGGTGTCCAAATCGTGAGGCATGTTGTTTGAGTCCATCCAGGACGTTACCAATACTACCACGAGGCCCACACCCCATTTAACATGTACGATTTTGTTGTTAACGAGTACTCCAACTGACGGTAGATAATCGTTTGAAGCGGTCCACTCACCAAAGACTCGCGAAAGAATATTGTGTGCGGCAACGAACATCTCTGCGCGTTGCTTATACACCGTCACCACACCTTATTTTGGACCCTTTATGCAACATCTGCGCCTCGGATCCGGCCAGACGCACCCAACGGCCACTGCCACAAACGTTTGATCATGGGTGGCTGACGAGTTGCATAGTCGATGGTACATCGCTCCTCTCGCTTCGGTTAATAGCGTTTCGACCAGTAGTCCATACAACTCATCAATGTGCAACCGGCCAGCCCTGTGGGGCTGTAAGTACCTATCACACCAATTACCAATATTTATGCTTCGCAAAATAGTGAGTGGCAGAGAGCATCACCCCCTCCCCCAACCGGCAGACTGGCTATCTAACACCCTGGAGCTGAAGCTTATCCCGGGCAACAAAGGAGCCTTTGCATCCTGTGCCTGCCACCACCGGCTGGGGTATATCCATTTTGAGCTCTCCGTTGCGAGAGCGGCAATGTTCGCTCCCGTATAGTTACCAGCTGCATCGGTACGAGGGGCCCAGACCAGCTAGATCGAAGCAGGCCGACGCTGGTATGTCTCCACTGGGAGAATTCATGGCCGTAAGAGTTACTCTGCAGGATGTGGATGCTGCCTTTCATCAGTTACGAGGAGGAAAAGCGCCTAGCGGTGACTCCGTGCTTCTATGGCTGCCCTTCCGCCGAGGTTACTGCGAAATTATTTTCCTGAGTACGCTAGGACGGTATTTTCCGTGGGAATATGACTTCTATAGAATCGAGTTGTCAATATAAGCTGTCGAGTATGCCCCCCTGGGTTTTGCCTGTTTGTACGTTGGCTTTGTTGTCAGATCAGCTCGATATCGTCAGACAGACACAGTCGTCTCAACAACACCACACCTTGGAAAACAGCCCGCATCATCATCCGTCATGTGTACCCTGAAAAGATACTGCTATACATGCAGAGGAGGTTGTGTGGAGCAGGTCGTAGTGCCTTGTCAGGCTCACCTCGCCGGGCGCGAATGCGGCCAATCCGATATAGCCCGAGCAGGCGAGGCGGGAGGTATGCTCCTTCAAGAGATATTACACCATTCCCCATGTCCTAAACATGGGATTGACAATCCCCACGATCAGTGTAAGGGCATATGCCAATGTCGACTCACTATGCTGGAAAGAAATCACTGACGATTTTCTAGGAGGCTCGGCAGCACTTTCCAGTCCTAGACCTTGGGCCAAAATGGCGAGCCCACTTTGAATCGACACTCGAGGGCAAGGTGGAGAAATCACTGGTTCAATGGCATGGATAACGATGATCAAAAGCCTCTACTGGAGCTGCAGTCACAGGCCAAGAGGATAGCGCAATCCATATTCGCCAGCATAGTTGTGTGTGGAGGGACAGCATCTTCATAAAATCCTCATAAAAATCTCATAAAATCCTCATAAACCCTTCATACCGACGTCAATAACAATATGGAGGCAGACTTATCACAGGCGGCATGGTGCTGAGTGGCATGATTCGAAAGGCATAGACAGATGTGGTGCATACATGAAGTTCTTCATCAATCGAAAAACCAACACAATGCGTCGAGATGCCAAGAGACCTCCTGTCGAACCTCAGGCTACGTACTGTAGTACACAAGCAGTACCCGCTTTAGTGGCAACAGGCTGCCTCCGACCACTCATAGGTCTTCAACCTGCGCACGCAGCTTACCTAGGTGAACGGCCTGATGGGACACCAACCCACCTCGGACCATTCTTCCGGATCGACATCCCGAGTAAGCAATCTCGCATGATAAATGAGAGCATTTTGACACGTGCACAGACAGCAGGCAGAACAGGCCGCGAGACGGGAAGCCAGAGGCCAGCCTCGATGCGAGGTGGTTCAAGCCACCCTCCCCCGCCGCATCCACGCCTAGCCACACGCAGGAGGTCTCACACACGCATTGGTGAACACAAAGTCTGACAGCTACCCGGCTGCCCGGCTGGGAGGTTTTGCCACCGAACGAGGTGGCAGAATGGATGAACAGGGTTTCTTTCGGGAGGCTGCATGAGGTGCATTACCCGGGGACAGATTCGGGAATCTCCGCCGCCCGATGAGAATTCATTGCTTTGTTGCGGTGGATGCCCATTGCAGAACAGCAACATATGCTGTACCTCCTCAGCAGCTGAACAGGCGACGAGGCCGCGCCGGGTTGGTTCTGGGCAGGCTGTTGGTCTGGACCCTTCTGTCGGATGATGTTGCCCGACAGTTGTCCGACGTGCCACGCATATATTGGTTGCATCTCATGGGAACCTGAAACTTGCAGTTGAGCAACGTCCATTTCTCGTGAGTTCTGCCTCGAGCTACCTGGGATGTGGTCTATCAGATCTCTTTCAACGCCTGGCTCTGGCTTTCTTCAGCTGTCGTATCTGACAGCAGCCTTCTAGGACAGGGATGAAAAGCCTTTGTGGATATTCGGAGCCTCCGGCCAAGTCCAATGGAGCTTTACATTGCATGCATGCGATAGTGAGTGTCACATCCAGTACAACGGCCTGAGAACCGAGACGAAGCTCCCGGTTGGCGCATTGCGGTAGACGATCGGCTCGGGATGACCGACATAGGGCAACTATACCCTGGGTCTTGAGTCGTCGCCAACGTGACCGGGCATCTTCACCGTCCTTTTCAGAGACTGGCGTTGTCTCTTCAAGTCACTGCTGTGTTACCCCCTCAAGCGGCATCGCCGGCCTCAAACTCTTGATACACCTCTTGTATCTCTTCCTCCGTAGCCTCCAAGCCGGAACTGCTCATCAGCTTGGCGTTCTTATCCTCCGTCCTGGGCTCAATGAGCAGGTTCTCTTGCACCTCACAGTCCGTCAGGGTACAGTTATCTCCAATTTCGCTCCGCTTGCCCAAGATGCATCGAGTCAGCTTACATCCCTTGCCGATCACGACGCCGTCCATGAGCAAGCACTGGGACAGCTTGGCTCCCTCCTTGATCTGACAATTGGCGCCGACAACTGACTCCTTGATGGCCACTTTCTCGTCGACCATCACGTTCTCACCAACAAGGCTGTCTGGGCGCGTGATCGTGGTTCGGCCCTTGACACCCTCAGGATACATGACTTTCTTGGGGTGTGCGAAAGGTGATGGCGTCTCGCCGCGAGCTTCGGCCTCTTCAACGGAAGGAAGTTTTGCGAGTTGAAGCGAAACGTTTAGCAGCAGCTGAGCAGTATCCACCCTCCGGACGATAGATGCCGTCGATTTAGAAGGGTGTATGTAGGCAAGAATAGGAGGTACGACATCGTCGGTAGAACTGGAGGAATCCTGTGCAGCAGATGATTTATGGGGCTTTGTAGCTCCGTCTACCATATCACCAGAGATCCCATCAGAATCTGCGTGCTCGGAAGACATACTGTCATCGTGCAATGAGTCCGTGTCTGCCTTTTTCGTGTCTTGGGCGAATAATTTGTCGAATCCAAGTTTCTGGGCGAGTCCCGTTTGCCAACCTGCCTTGGCCCACCAGCCAATCACATCTTCTCCAATGCTGTCGAGGCGATCGTTCTCGCGAATGAAGTCTAAAACCCACTGAGGGAAGATGTAAATGTGCGCGTCTCGGAACGTGGTCCGCATTTGTATCCGAGGATGTCTTCGAATGAGTCCATGCCGCAGCGGATAGCCCTTTCTCTCCTCCATCAAGTCGTTCAGCGAGTCTGTAGGCATTGAGTAGACCAAATTCGACATATGCGAGGTCAGAGTATCTTTGGAGGATGCAGCTGGAGCTGCTGCCAAGGGGGTGGTGGCGATGAAATCAGTTTCTTCTCCTTTGACGGGTGTCTCTGTTTTGGTCTGGTACCAGACTCCCATGCCGCCACTATGCGGGCCCTGGTCTTCGGAAATCAGACCGGATCTGTTCCCCACCAGATCCCTCAAAGTCTCGCAGTTCACCATCCATGCCTGGAGAAGTTGGTCGCCACCAAGTTCGCAAACTAGGTCACACGGAAGGACCACAAAGTCTCCAGTGACGGCTGATCTGACTTCAGGAAGTCGTAGGATCTCTGCTGTGCCAGTGTTGTGATCCAGGTCCTTTGGTGCCAGCAAATCAGGCCGTGGTAATGGAAGGCTGGTCAAGGCTGGATTCAGGCTCAGAGTCGAAGCTATCGCCTTCTCGGCCGAGGGAGGGCAAATGAGTGTGATGTCTTGGAAAGCCGTCAGTCCATGCTGGCCCGTCTTGGTCGTCACAGGTGCTTACCTGTAATTCCTGCCCTGTAGCAGAACTCGAGGGGATACCAGACCATGGGCCTATTGGCGATGGGAAGAAGAGCCTTGGGATGGTCATCAGGGTTCGCCGTAAACGTGGGCAACGACGACCCCGGCCCGCAGAGAATGAGGGCCTGAAGGCCAGGCGAGGCCGAGGAAACGGCGTGGGGCATTATGAGAATCACTGAGCTGCGTCGTGTTCGAGCACCGTTTGAGAGATAAGAAGGGTATGAATGTTTGTATGTGCGTGTCTGAGAGACTGATTGGTAGGTCTACTTGCCCCAATTTGATACCGAGGGAGATTGTGTAGTGAGCAGAAAAAGGTGACTGCTTTCACTCTCACAAACGCTGGCTTGGCTGACTCACACTCATGAAGCTCAATCTTTAGTGGCAGCAGCTTCCACATTGAATGTTTGGCCCCGCTGGCCAAGGGACCCCTGTTTGCTTAAGTAAGCAGCCGCGACAATAACAAGACTGCAGCGCCCAAAACTCCGGGTTAGTCGCCAGCCACCTCCAACGCCAAGTGAGGTGCGCACATCCCAGGATCCAGGTGACAATCCCGCCACATCTTTTCCGTGTTTATGGTATATGCGACTCACTTGCACATGCCATACGTTCCGATCTTCTTGCAACTCCACAGTTCAAATTACTGTGAAGACATCAACTCTACGCCGCGCAGCACATGTGCTCATCCGACATTCTAATGCGATGATCGCCTCTCTGTGATGTCTTCACCCTATGATAATCGCGGCTCGTCGCGCCGCCGACATGGTGTTTGGAGCCACTGGGTCCCACTGGCAGTGACTGTGACTGTTGCCACTGTTGGTGTTGCGGCCTGGATATGGAGCCAGCGCAGCAATGACGAGGAAGAGGAAGAGGACGCCATTACACAGCATCTTGACTACGAGCATGCTGATTACGGGGACAACCCACCTTACGGTGCTACTGGCGACAATGTCAGCGTCAGAGCTCCGCCATCTTTCAGGAGCGACTTGAGGCCCGAGGAGGTCGGTTATGGGGTCACACACGCCGATGCTACCGGACCAGGCTGGGGAGCGCGCATGTCTGGCGCGTTGCGCCGCACGCCCAGCCCGCAAAACATCCTTGATCGCGCTGGCAAGACAGTCGCCGCAGGTGTTGCGGCGGCGGGAACGGCTGTGGGGAGCGCCCTGGCTGCTATCCGGGAGGAAGACAAGGCTGCGTTCGCCGACCACGAGACGTGGTCCGAGGAAGCAGATGCAAAGAACGAGAAGAGTCCGGCTGCACAAGCACGCGAGTACGGCAGCAAGAGAAGAAAGACAGTAGCTATTGTCGTTTCTGCTGATACGCAACTGGACTTCGACGGGGATGGGTATCATGAACACGCCGTATGGTCCCCTGATAATGCCCCTTCAATTTCGCATTGAAATGCTGATATAGGACTGCAGTCAATACTGTCGCATATCCCAAAGCACACCGACTTTTCAAAGGTCAAGCTGTTCATCTTGATATATGCGCCAGGGCTGAAGGACACGGTTACGGAAACAGCTAGTACCCGGGCCCCGGCCTCACTCAGTTCATCATTCTCTGTGGTTGGCCCTGAGCAGGCCTTAACACCCGGGGACGAAATGAAGAGCCCACTGTGAGTGCTGTGTTCTTAACGTGGCTAATTGCTTTTCGTTCAATGAAGCTAACCTTGACCGTCAGGCTGGCCTCGTCTAGCAACCCGAGCTTCAATGCGGTCTACTCTCAGGCTATCGGCTTAGTTGAGAAAGAAACCAGTGTTCTTCCATTCACGACGCCGGCTGGCTATACGCACATTCTCCACCACCTCAAACCGGAAGTTGTCTACCTGCAGGAATCACTTGCGGGAGAAAACGGGCTTCACGTGCAGAAGCTCCAGTCCTGGCTCAGATACGACATTATTCTGGTCGTCGGTGCTGAGAGTGGCCATGGAGGTCTAGCAGACAGCGAATCTGAGGCCGAGAGGCCCGGGGAGGCACAGAAGTGGTGGCAGAAGGAGGATCGCGTAGGACGTGGCCGGGGAGTGATCGTGGTGGATGGGATGAGAGTTAATGATGACTGGGCGCGTCGCGTCCAGGGGAACGAGCAATGAATTTGACGACATGGCAGAAAGGGAGATGATGAGCTATACGAGATAACGCCCCAGGCCCAGCTCCAGTCCAAAGGGCCGAGCCAGGTATACAATCTGGCTCGATAACGGGAGCACGATGATTAGTAGTATGATGTTGCCGATATGCAACCATATTGAACACGCACAGTAGATACGGCCGTTGTTAGGCTAGTGATCGGATGGAAATAAGCATCGGAAATACGCGAATAATTAAATAAATATGCCCTCTTTGACCAGACCACGCGATTATGAGGCTCAAGTCGATCGACCAGGGGATGCGGTGGGACGGCAGACCTGCCTGACCTGGGGAGAGACGACGAGTGGGGCCACCCTGGGTCGCAGCCCAGCGACAAGCGCCAATTCGATCCACCCGACCGACTACCCAGGCTCCGACCACCGACCTCTCTCCTCCCCACGCGCACATCATTGCATTACACTGCATCACATCACGGTCGACTTCCGCCAACAGCATCACTACCATCTCGAATCCATCCGAGCCCACTAACATCAATCACGTCGTCATTGCTGTCGCCATCTCGGCGTCGTATTTAATCACTGGCAGGCGACTTGCCGGCCTCATTGTCTCCGATCGCTGCACGGGACAAGGAGACCCACGAGATCCTTTGAGTGCGCGTCAGTCCAGCAGCCCACAGCCCAATCGTCAGCGACTCCATCTCACCCCGGCAACCCCCCATCTCCGGCGCCTGCTTACACGTCCACACGAGCCCAGCAGAGCGCAATTCCATCTGGCCAAATGCGATCGAACCACGCCCCTCACACCGTGTTGCAATAACCTCGGAGACGGGCCAAGCCAAGCCTAGCGCACGAGCACGAGCACGAGTACCAGCTCCAGCACCAGCACCTGGCCGCGGGGCCTCACCGGCAGCGCGCTGCGCAGTCTGTTGAAGTAGCGCACCGGTCGCCATGGCTCCCAGCACGACTCCTATACCTCCCCCCGTAATTCCTCCCCATCCAAAGACGAAGCGCCCGATTCCTGCCGGCATACAGACAAATGGCGCCCTGTCTTCCTCCTCTCCTTCACCTTCCATGTCGGCAAAGAAGCCGCCCAACAGCGCCAAACAAGCCCCAAACTCTGCCTCGACAAATGGCGGCACCGTCACTGTCGCGCGGCCACCAAATCGCATACGGCAAGAGATCACTGCTCAACCGAATGGCGCCGTCCGGTCAAGCACAAATGGCGCCGCTCAGCCAGCCTCGGCCGGTGCGGCGGATCCAGTCATGATACCGGTCGCCGTGCAGCAGCGTGAGTCCCACTGTCGCGCATATATCGTGCCCCAGACTGACATAACCTCAGCTCCATCGCGCCAATATATACTGAAGAAGTACTACGGCAATCCTCCGTCGCTCATTGTCCATCTCCACCCGAATCATTTCAAATTCGATGCCCAGGATGACTATTTCCTCTACTCGTCACCAATGAAAGCCTTCCTCGATCACGTCAAAACCCGAACTATTCCACATGATATGGTCGCTGACTTGACCGAAGCGGGAGTTCCTTTCTACGAGGGTTGTCTAATCGTGGAGATCCATGATCATAGGACCATCGCAGCTGAGAAGGAAGATGCCGCAAAGAATGAATCTGCAAAGAAACCTGACGTTCCTACCTCAGTACACAAGTACAATCCTTACATCACGCCGTCGCCGAATAAGCCATATCAGAGGGATCCTTTGACTGCCATCAACGGCCAAGCGAAAAGTCCAGAGGTCGATTCGAAAGGGAAACCAGCAGGGTCTGCGGATCAAGGAACGCGACAGCCGTCCAGTTCGCCGCAGAGCCAAAAGAGCAAGGTTCCTCCGAAACGAAAAGTAAACACTCTCGTCCTTTTCCCGACGCAACAGAGCCGGCAAGCAGACCTTGCGATTAAAGCGTGTAATCCTCGTGGCTCCATCGATGGTCGGCAAGACATAGCAGGCAATGGAATGGCCCCTCCGACCCCTTCAGCACTCGTTCCGCCCACACCAACAGGATCAAATATGCCACCACCAGCCAAGAAGAGCAAGCGCGAGCGGATGGAGCTTGACAGCAGCAACATTTACGCAGCCGAAGGCGCAATGCTACTTGCCACCATGCCACCGCTAGATCTAGAGCCGACCAAAGATGTGGAGAGCACCATTCTCAAACTAGAGAATCAGTCGAGGCTTCACGCGCACCGCTTTCAATCACCTCCGAAGCCGAAGACACGGAAACGGACCGTCGCCGAAATGGCCGCAGATGAGGCTCAAGCTGCCGAGAATGAGAGGTTCCTTTTGGCATTGGATGAGAAGATCACGCAAGGCAGCAGCTCTGTCCCAGGCGGTGATGGGCAGCAACAGGTCGCGCCCTTCAACTCTACTTTTGACCGCTTTAAGAAGATCGAAGACATTAAGAAGGAACACGCCGAAAGGGCCAAGCAAGAGAAACTCAAACGGGAAGAGAATGAGCGCCGGCTTCAGGAGCAGAAGGTGCAGGCGCAGGCACAGCAGCAGCAGCAGCAAGCAGCAGAACAGGAAAGACTCCGTCAGGAGCAGGCTGCCGCCGCTCAAAGGGCTCAACAAGAGGAGATGCGAAGGAAAATGCAGCAAGCGCAACAAGCGCGGGAGAGGGCCCAGGCCCAGGCCCAGGCGCAGGCGCAAGCTCAGGCTCAGGCCCAGGCACAAGCACAGGCTCGGGCACAAGCACAAGCTCAGGTCCAGGCCCAGGCCCAGGCTCAGGCGCAGCAAAGTCAAGGCGGAGGAGCGATGCACCAGAATTCACATGGACATCCTGTTCAAAACGGTCAGATGTCCAATGGAGTCTCGGTGTCAGCGCCGAACGGCATGCCAATGGCGCAGGCACGCTTCCATGGCCAAGTCTCACAGCCCCAGGTGTCCTCCCCAGTCGTCCAGCAAAATACGCCTCAAAACATGTCGTCACCCATGGTTGGTGGCGTTGCCATGCAGACATCTGGATCTAACATGGGAGGCAGCCCCGCAAGGCCGTCATCCGTGGTTCAGAATCAGCCTCCGATGTCCACACCCATGGCAGTCAGCATGTCTGCTCGCGGAAGCCAGCAAAGTCATCCTTCTGGTACACCGCGTATGCACACCGCGACCCCTAACATGGCTCACGCAACCCCGATCAGCCGGGCTCAACAGATGGCCCAAACTCCGCGCATGTCCCAGTCCAGCCCGCCTCCTGGCATGATGGCGCCTCACCTCAACCAGTCGATGATGATGAACAGCCCTGGAATGGGCAACATGCAGCAGAATGCGAACCCAATGGCACAGGCTCAATTGTTGGCTCAACAGCAACGCCAGTTCCAGCAAGCACAAAATATGAACGCAGCAATGATGCAGAACAGCATGATGAACGGTGGTGGCCCACAGAATGCGCAACAACTAATGCAGGCGAGGTTTATCCAACAGCAGCAAAACATGATGAGGCAAAAGATGCAGAATGGCCAGCAGCCCGGCATGCAAATGAACCAGCAGAGGATGATGCAGGCCAATAACATGGGAATGCCGGGCGGAGCGCAGATGCGTCCAGGCCAGAACATGGTCAACATGGGAGGCCAAATGTTCCCACAGTCAATGCAGCAGATGCAACAACTGCAACTCCAACAGCAGATGCAACAGATGCAACAGCAACAGCAGGGCCACCCCCAGCAGATGCAGCAGAACCACATGATGGGGGCAGCAGGACAACAGGCTCAACTGCAGCAGCGGATAGCTATGCAAACGCAACAGCAGGTCTCGATGTTGAGCACGAAGCTGTTTCAAGAGAACCTGCCCGCGTGGTTACAGCAGCAAGGGCTTACGCAAGAAACATGCCCACCCGAGGTACTGCAGAAGTTTAAGGTGCAATGCTTAAACTCGGCAAGGCAGAAGGTCATGCAATTGAGGCAGCACCAGCAGCAGCAACAACAGCAACAGGCGTTGGCTATGCAGCAGCAACAGGCTATGCAGCAACAGGGGATGATGCCCCAGGGCATGTAGGGCGTACTAGCGAGGGCAAGACTGGATGCGATTCTGCGGCTTGACCTCGAGATGGCCGGCCTTCAAAATTCCCAATGACTATAATTATATTTACTCGTTTTAGGTCCACGGCAGCAAGAGCGAACCTCGGCGTTGGAAGGAAAAGGGACAGGGAAATGATACACGATATCATCGAAGCCAGGCTACTCATTTCGGCTCTGAGCAAAGTCTTTTATACCCCGGGCGGCCCTGAGCGATTCATCGATTTTTAATATTCGCTGCTCCTGCTACGCAATAGTGATTGATGCTAGCCTTTTATGCAACTGAGATCAGACTGAACCTCATGACGTTCGTAGGAGCCGAGATTCAGTTTAATTGGCGTACATGGTCTCGAGCCTGGTATGATATCTGACGGCATAGCCAGGGGGTGGGGGTTTAAGGCGCTTGCACAGTTGAAATATATGAATTCTTCAAATCATTGAAATTCGCTGAACACTTATGCTCTGCCACTCGTGAAGATGGCACCTTTGAAGCCCTGTGGAGAGCATCGCACGATTGAGCTGCGGCCACTTCAAGTGACTATTAGTACACCCTTCCCCTCGGATAACATCCTGAATCCCGAAGGATAACCTGCAAAGCACATCGTAAATGAATTCTTACATCAAAATGGGTCTTGTGGTTCTGGTGACTATTGTGTGTAGATGCACAGAGGTTTGGGACTCTAGCAGCATGTATCCAAACGTCGTCTCCCATTGCCCACTGGCTAGCACGTGACGCCGGGAGAGGTTGCATTGCTTCCCATGACATAACCAGCCAGCATGATACGTGCAATACTTCAAGCTGCAACCTCTCTTCCGAGGATCCCTCTGCTCCGTAGAACATCTTTCCATGACAAATCCGACTCTAGTTCCGTCCATCTGATAGACCATCCTCAAAGACCTCTTCGCAAGTGCTCCTTTGCCCAAAATTGATTAGTCCGTAAGATCGGCCATCATATCTATCTCCAACTCCAAATCCACTTCCATCACGTCGCGTCCAGTTCACCTACCTCCGCGAACCCTCCATCCATCCACCACACTGGCCACGAGCCTACTATCACCATGCGTTGGCCATCCACAACATCGCCAGCCGCATCGTCGGCCGCTGGCATGCTGTCCCTCCTCCTCCTAGCGACACCGGCCACTGCGATGCTCCACTGCGATGCAATCGTGGCACAAGGCCAAAAGTTCAACTTCAAAGACCTCAAGGGCCCCCACTCGGTGGTCACGACACAGCAGCTGGAGGAATGGGAACCATTCCAGTACCGCAACACAACGTACACAGTGGACCTCTGTGCACCGCTGAAGAAGGACGGCCCGGCCAGCGAGAGCTGTCCGAACGGCGCAAGGGGTGAGTGACTCCCAACGCCAGCGAGCGCTTCTCCCAACTCCCACCTCGTGAGCGAATTTGTCGTGCTAAATTAGGATGTATCCAGTTTGCGGCATCGTGCGCGGCATCAAAGACGATCAAGACCAAGTGCAGGCAGTCATTCCGATCGCAGGCGAGCTGGCCAACCACGGCATGGGCAGCTTAGAGCCCAAGACAACACGACTCAAGACGTCCGAATCGGGTGATGATGCAAAGAAGGAGGGGGTTCGGATCGTGCTCAACGGCGGAAAATCGTCCATTAGCGGACAGGATCGGACACAGCAAGCCATCATCGAAATGGTGTGCGACAAGGACAAAACCGGCAAGGAGGGCGAGTGGGACCCGAAAGACGACAAATATGAGCCGGGCCAGGAGGAGACCGAGGAGGAAGGAAGCTCATCTGCTCGGGAGCGGAAGAGAGCGGATGGCGACGAAGGGCAGAATGAGAAGTCGGAGCATCAGCTGCGCAAGCCGGACTCGGCCCTGATCTTTGACAGCTACGGGCCCCGGAGTGAGGATGCGAAAGTCGATGTGCTGAGGTTGACTTGGCACACGAAATATGCATGCGAGGGCCTGCCGGCCGACGAGTATCCGAGCAACGAGCACTGGGGCTTCTTCACATGGCTTGTCATCCTGTAAGCCATCATCTACTTACACACTCCCAGCCCCTTTCCCAGCCATGGGTCTTGTTCCATTACTGACACATATATTGCAGTGTATTCCTTGCTACTGCATCTTACCTGATCTTTGGCTCCTGGTTGAACTACAACCGCTACGGCGCCCGGGGGTGGGATCTGTTACCGCACGGTGACACCATCCGAGATATCCCATACCTTCTGAAAGACTGGACCAGGAGGGTCCTCAACACCGTACAGGGCACCGGTTCCAGAGGGGGCTACTCGGCAGTCTGAAGGCCTACGAAGATCACTATACAGAGATAGGGTTAGCTCTTTGTTCTTTCTATTTTTGCTGGTTCAAAGATTCGGCATGGCCAGGCGAGGGAGTTGTCTTCGTGGCGTTGGACTCATTTGCGCACCAAGACAGACAGCAGTAGCAGGAAAGACCGGCGTTTGGCCTGGCGACATAGGGCGTAAAGTATGAGATTGTTCGGCTCCAAAGACCGACCTAAATCACTTTTGCGGGTGGAAATCAGACACTCGATCACGGGACCGGTTGACACAACTTGGGTCTCTCTGCACTGCTGGCAGACCATCTCTCGCCTCCTGGTCAAGAGACTGGCTGCATTTAAGCAGACAACAGATCCGCTCAACGTTGGGGTCAACGCAGGAGCTACTGATATCATAGCAAATACCAAGTATAGATAGGCTGTGCCTACCCAGCTACCGGAGCTGAGACTTCTGCGCGTCGGAGTCGGTTGTCAATTAATGGCCGTGCCCTGCTCACGACCAGGGGGCTGAGCAGGAGCCGAGGTAAACTCGGGGCTTGCTTATGAAGGGTCCAACGTCAACACTCCCCCCCTAAAGATATTCCACTAGAGGATAATAAACCCGTCAGTTCGAGCATATCATTTCAATAGGTTCTTCTTTCTCACATATTTGCTGGACCTCGTCACATTCGAGGACGGCCCGTGAATAAGACCCATCATGGCCTCTCCCGACTCGTCCAAACCGCTCTTCAGCGTGCCTGTCCCAGCATGTGATCAGCACCCTGGCGGGTCGATCACCATCACCGAGCCAGCATCCCGCGTCTACCTCCTGACAATATCCTCCCCGCCAGACAACCGGCTCACCACAGCGCTATGCCAGGCCCTGCTGCAGGCCCTCGACATCGTCGAGTTCTCGCTGCCGCGGGGCTGCGTGGTGACGACGTCGGCGCTGCCCAAGTTCTTCTCCAACGGGCTGGACCTCACCCACGCCGTGGCGGTGGGCGCGCCCTTCTGGGTCGGCAGCCTGTGGGCGCTGTACCGGCGGCTCCTGACGTACCCGATGCCGACGGTGGCGCTGCTCAACGGGCACGCGTTCGCGGGCGGGCTGATGCTGGCCATGCACCACGACTACCGCGTCATGAACGCCGAGCGCGGCTTCTGCTGCCTCAACGAGCTCGAGTTCGGCGCCCCGCTCAAGCCGCCCATGTCCGCCATCTTCCGCGTCAAGGTCCCGGACCCCCGGACCTACCGCGAGATGGTCCTCGAGGCGCGGCGCTTCGGCGGCAGGGAGGCCGCCGCCAGGGGCATCGTGGACGCCGCGGGCGGGTGGGACGAGGTGCTGGCGCTGGTCGGGGAGAGGAAGCTGACCGACAAGGGCAAGTCAGGGGTGTATGGGCTGTTGAAGATGGAAATGTACCGCGAGTGCCTGGACCTGCTGGAGAATCACGAGCGTGAGGAGGCCAAAGATGATGCTTGGTTCAAGGCGGAGGACGAGAGGAAGCAGAAGGGAGAGAAGCAGGTGGCGGACTTGGTCAAGGCATATCAGAAGGCGAAGTTGTGACACAAACGCACATACTTAGCGGAAGATATTAAAGAAGTCTTGACGGCGAATTCACAGTCAAAAGATTTGATCACAGTCAAGGCAGTCGATTCAATGCTATGGGTCGTGAGAATTTTTTGTATGCCATCCATCTACAGCCTCTAAAATGCCCTACCGATACAGTACGCCTTGACCGTTCAGACCCACCAACTCCCCCTTTCCGTCCATTCTATGTACGGTGGCCCTTGGCCTTGGCCCAGCCTCCCTTTCAGTGATCCATCAATCCGCAGTGAAGCTTTGCCCCGCCAAGTCTCATACAATAGTACATCCAGAGCCGAAACCCGGCTTGGCTTCCTTGGTGCCCCTCCTTGTCCCCGAGAATTCCGGTATTGTTTCCTTGTGGCTTAGTTGATGTTGTGGTTGACTTTTTGGTATCATTGGTATCATTTTTGATGTATTTTTGGGCCCATTCAACTCCACATAAAGCCGAGTCTCAATGTACTCGGACGAAACGGTAGCACAAACCCCCTCCGCAAAAGAAATAAAAGGAAATTCCAAACACTCTTTAAAGACGCCGAACGCACTAGTGACCTCGCCCCAGTGCAAAAAAATGGGGGAAATAAAGATAAAAAGCTTTCCATTAGTACACAATCGCGAGACGAAGTCGCTGTCATGCACTGTCTGGGAGAGGACGATAGAGGGTGTAGCTAAGAGGTGGCATTAAATAGAGCGAGTGTTTGACAAAGGGTTGCGGCAGCATTTGTTACTCGCTCACTGACTCGTCCTCCGAGACGTCCATTTGAGGATCATAGACCAGGTTGCGCTGCGCTGCGGGCAACCCCAGTTCGGTACGAGTGTCGTGTTGGATTTTGAGGAAATACCTGCGCAGACTCCGCAGACCTTTGAGAAAGCCACGGTCTGGATCTTGAGGATGACGTGGTGGGCATGGCTTGTCTTTGATCATGTCCCCAGCAGTGAGGCTGTTGGCAAAATCAGCGATTTTGAAATCGATCTCGCCCTTGTTCTTCCGCTTGCGAACGCGACTCGCATCCTCCGTATCGGTCGCGAAGTCTGTTGTCGAGTCGTCGATCGCGGTGTCGTAATTATCTCTACCGGATTGGTCGCCGTCATATGTCATGAGCAGACTGGCAGCATAAAATCGGTAGCCTCGCAGCCGACGCACGATGACCTCCAACTGGCTTAATTTGTGCAGGATGTTGGGGATATGCCTGAGAATGCTCTGAAGATCCTTCCCATCGTACAGGAAGCGTGTGAGCGCTTCCTGAAATTCGTCACCGGCTTTGAGGTTGCGGCCATAATATTTGTCTTGAAACACGTACTTTTCGATCTGTGCATCCCACACTTGAAGACCACAGACTCGCACACCCAGTTCTCGTGAAGTTGTCTCGGCACATTTGCGCTGTTGAGACTTCTGCTTTTTAGGGTTGGCGTCAACGCCATACTGGCGTGTGCCCATCTTCAGATCCATAATGCAAGGTCGCTTCATGCTGGCAGTCAGATCCTCTAAGAGAAGAAAATAAGAGACTCGAGATCCACGCTGGGTTTGGGCCTCTTTAGGATTCATTGGCCTCGGCATCCTCTTGAACTCGCTTGTGGGGCTCGTCGCTCCTGAGACCTCTGCGGACTCACAAGCCGACGACGTCGTAGACGATGCCTTGCCTTGTGTCTCAGCTGCACCATTAAGACCCTGAGTGGGCGTTACTGTGTGCGCGTCTGACTTGGGACCTGCGCCTCCAAGGCCTTCGTTGTCGCCCTTGTAGCCTGCCTCATCAGGCTCCTCCCAGTAGTGCAAATCGCCTCGTGAGTCCGAAACATCTTTGGGCCTCCTCCGCAGAGCACTGCCAGAATGCCGGCGTTTCTTGCGTTGAGGTGTCATGTTTTCGTTCAGAATGTCTAGCTCGGGAGCACTAGTCCCAGTGACATCTTTTGAATCTCCATTGGTTTCTGAGCAAGGCTCGCTGGAAGGACCGCAATCACTCTGAGATTTCTGGTGTATGCGTGATGATACAGGTTGATTAGATTCCTGGTCGGTCACAGCATGTAGATGCATATCCACGCCATTGGATCTTATGAGACTTGAGTCTGAACTTTGCGGCCGAAGCAAACGGTCCAGGGTCTTCTTCGGAAGTACTCGCTGATGAGCTTTCTTGTGCCTTTGAATGTTGATGGGCTGGTTCCGGAAGGCGTCGTTGAAGACCTCGTGGCGAAGCTTCTTGTTGACCACAGTGGTTCCCCAGCTATTAGCATGACGGTCTTCCAAGGAGGGTCTTTGCAACAGCCCGCCAGGCGTAGATTCATTGGAGGTGTAGTGTGATGCTGGAACAGAAATTGACGAGCTACGGGCACGGTCTGAATAAAGGGCCGCATTAGCCGCTGGATGGAGGAGGCTCCGAGGTAGGATATGCTGGTTGTCCATAAAAGTAACCGTTGGGATTGGGATCGAGCTTGATTGCAAAGATTGGCTGATCACTCTAGTATGCGTGCTCGCCTGTTGACCGGCTTGAGTTGGCTTTTCTTCAGCATCGTGAGTCGAAAGGCCATTAGCCTGCACATCCGTGCTCTGTTCCCTCTGCTCAATTTTCTTGCGTTCGGGAACAGCAATTTCTTCTCTTTTCACAGTAGACTTCCGCCGAGGCTGCTTTGAGTATGTCACATTGAGCACACCGATATACCTGCACTGACGTTAGCCCTGTCCAAGCATCGAAATCCGCTGCGGGCTGATACATACCTCGGTAGGAAAGGCAAAAGGTCTCTGTGGTACCTTTCGATATCTTCGTAGAACTCATTTTCTCGATTATTGAGCTGCTTGCAGACCGCCCGCTTCGAAAATTTCCAGAGAGTTGTATGCCCACCAACCTGATGGGAATAAGGAACGAGCTCTATAGCATCAAGTGGTTGATGGGTGCCTAGTTGATGGTCATGGACATGATCTTCGTAGTCCTGCGAGCCCTGTTGAGGAGGCAAAGACAGGTCTTGTTGCGTACGTTCATGCTCTGCGAAAGGTGATGCCGCAGTTACTGCTTGCACGGGCGGCTGGATGCCAGGGGAGAGTGGTCCGGAATCAAGGAGTCGATTGGGAGCGGCATCCCGCGTGATTTCTTCAGTTGGACCTTCAGGCGACTTCGGCTCGTCAACCTCAGGTTCGTCAGCCTTTACCAGCCAAGCTGAACCATCGGCGTTCCGCTGATGTGTTATGCCAGGATCACTTGTCGCATCGAGATCTTCCTCAACATCACATGGACTATCGGGGGCAGCATGGGGGCCCTTGTGCGGCAGGAAAACGGCTGACGATATTTTCTCCTCTCCCGAGATTTCACCGTCCTCTACAGCGTCAGCTGTATCACCTGAGCCTGCTTGCACTTCTCGATCCACCGGAAGACCTCCAGAGACTTTGGGTAATTCCTGTTCCTCGTGCAAATCCTCCCCATCCAGAGGGTTCTGCGGATCAGCATGGCCTTTTTGCTCGCGACGCACGCGAAAGTAATCCTGAGGCTCTTCGCTATACTTCTGTGTAGTTATTGAGAGCGGAAATGTTTTGGTGCGCGCCAGACGGCCTGGAACCTCCTCTGATGGGCCAGGGGAAGATTGCAGGCTCTTGAAATGATCTTCACCACGTGCAACCCCTCGATGCCTTTCAAACTCGGCATCATTTGCCGACGGCGTCAACTTCTCTCTTGGGCTTGGACCCAGTCGCGAATCTCTCCTTTTGATAGTCTCCTCTGGCAACCCCTCCTTGAAGAAACGCAGGCTGTGGCTTGCTTTGCGACTTCGAGCGTTCGGTTCTACCCCTGCAAGTACCTCCGCGATGGACTTTTCGACCTGGCCATCTTGACCATTGTTCAGATCGTCCGAACCAATCGACCACGCCTTCTCAGGTCCCATTGATAGCCGATGATCGGGTTTGCGAGGTCTCGTCGGGGACCGCTGGCTTGGTGCGGCACTCGGGTCCAGTCTCCCGTTAGAGAGCTCGAGTTCCCGGCTCGGGGTTGCAGCGAAAGATGGTGACGCTGATGTATCAGAGTACGTGCGACTAGAGAACGCGACGTCCTTCAATCTCTTCTCCCTTTCTGTCCTCTCTAACGAAGTGCCCCTGCCGCTGGGTCTAAGAAGGTCCCTGTGGCTCCGGGGCCTTGAGTCCACACTCCTGGCTTCCGAGGAATCGAAGGTGCGAGGTAGGAAAGATTCGTTGGCCCGGGGAGGCAGAGTAAGTGTTTCGACAGCTGCAGTAGGAGCCATTGCGGCGAGTGCCCTTGGTGAGGCTCTGGGCGTCAGGGAACCTCCATCGCTGTCATAGCATGTTTCCGGGCTGTCGTGATGGGATTGTGCAGCAGGATGTTGGCTGTCCGAGGTGAGGTTTGGTTTCGGGTGACTACCGGTGGCAGGGTCGTACGGATGGTCTTGCAAACGAGGGCTGGGACAAGGTGCATCGAGGGACTGGCTACCGACAGCAAGAGAAATACCACGAGCTTCTGCGAGTTGCTGTGTCAGCAGGGAAGGCCCGTGAGGCCGTTTGGGAACAACAGTGGCAGAGTCAGAGGCAGAGGCAGATGTAGGTCCCCTAGGCCTTTTATCTATCAGATCTGGTGCAACAGCTTTGTTCTCGAAACTAGGTACACGGGTATTCTGGGATGTCGCCGTTCCTGCTTGGCCATTCCCCCCAGCTGCCGGAGCGCTCGAAGTGCCAGGGGCTTGGAAAGGGGCGGGTATGGAAGGGGCGCTGGCAGGCCGATCGCCGCGCAGGAGGTCCTGTCCCTGCCCTTGATCTTCTTGTTCTTGTTCTTGTTCTTGTTGTTTCTGGGAGAGGAGGAGTGGCTGTACCGGTACGGACTCAGGCACGGGCACGGGCACAGGCACGGGCAGAGGTACATGTACGGGTACGGGTACGGGTGCAGGTGCAGGTGCGGGTTCACCACTGTGGGGGCTCACCGGTACAGCTCCAGACGAAGTAGACGGCGACATGTGGTAAACATTGGCTGTAGACGGGGAGAGGTGTGTGTGTGGGAGGGTTGATAGGTGGCCGTTGCGCGGGTGGTGGTGGAAGAAGCAAGACGGCGCGAGCCCCAGCCGGTCAGGGTCAGGGAGAGGGAGGAGGAGGAATGAGAAGGACGGCAAACCCTGCGCTGCCCGTCCCTGGTGCTACTGTCCTGGCGCTGCGCGGCGGAACAAACCATATGCTCTGCTTCGCTGGCTTCGGCCTGTGTGCCGTGGCGGGCAAGCAATTGGATGGGAGGCGTGATTTGTGGCAGAATTGTCGTCTTGAGAGAGTCGGTGTGTGGGAAAGAAATGGAGGGGGGCGAAGGTGGTGTTTCGCTAAGCAGTCCACGAGATAAGGCCTGGCCGCCTTCCCAGAGTGGAGCACACGTTCACGCAAGAAAGCCACCCCCCTGGCCCTGGCGGGCCAAACATGGGTACCTAGGTACATGTACTTGCCTGGCCGACGATCGGGCACCGACAACCAAGTACCTGGCGCTAGCCCCCCGATGACAGGCGCACTGCACCACCTTTCCCCCTCTCCCACACACAGCACAGAATATAACCTACGTAGTGTACAGACTATATGCGTCGACCACTGCTGGGTAGGGTACTTCCCTTGTCATGTGCATGTCAACCGCGCAGTTCGTCCACGTACCTTGCGGGCAGGCTGTGGAGATGACATCTTCAATCCCCCATCTCGAGCGACATGTACTCTGCAGTCTGCCATTGTAAAAAGTAAGCCAGCTCGGTCAATCGGATCGTCAATCAAACTCCCAACCAGTCTGTGCTCTCGCCGCCCAGTCAGACCAACGCATCTGCTCACCTGCTCCAGCCAGAGGCTCGTCCTGGGCAGCAACGACGGGGCCAAGTACCTGCATTGTTCTCCAGCCCCCTTTTGTCCTGGTACGGGCCACCAAGGTGTCAAGTAGAACAACCTTGGAGCGCACGGCTCAATGCCCGCTAATCATCCAAAACTACGTACCACGTGGGCATCACTGGTGGGTTCCATGGGAAACTCGTCAGCCTTATTCTCAATAATCCCGGGACGGGGGTGAGCTTGGGAATTGGAACTCCCTCCTCTCTGCCCCATCCATCTGGGCACGTATAGACTACTATGTGTGGGTAATCGCAGTGCCCACGGGGAACCGAGCCGAGGAAACTCAACACTCCACCCCAGGACCGTATCGCTTGCTCGTGGGCCACAGTCTATGTCATTACGTCGTACAATCGCCTGTATTGCCGACCGTGGGTTTCGTAAGGTTCTGCAGCATTGGCTCCCGCCTGGTTACGCAAAACCACCACAGACGGCAGCCCCGTCATCATCATGCTCGTCCTCATCCCGCTTGGCCATAAATCACGTTGCGCGACCTCTGCCTTTGACAGGCTGGAGTCGCACAGCGTTGGTTGGGTTTCGCATAACGCGAGCAAGGACTCGGACTACTCACTGCCCTCCCTGATGCTTCGAATGGCACCGGGTTGCAACTTGGCTTTGTCAGTTCAATATCCTTCTTCCCCCTCCTCGGCGCATGCCTTGCGTTCATGCCCGTTCGGGCTGGCACCCTGGCCCGACCGGTGAGGACGAGTCGGCCCTTGATCCCCAGACTTTACCAGGTACCTTGTCTGCGGTATGGAGGGGGACTAGCCCACCTTACCCATCTATTCGTCCATCCATCTGTCACTTTCCCCTTGCCGTCAGCAACTCCTTCGACCGTTCCATTCCAACGGGTCGGCGCGGTTTCTTATCATGTACACCCACAGCCGGCCGAGTCAGAAAATATCGCGCACATCATAGACACACTTAGTCTTTTTGATCTGTCACTTGTGCTTTGTCGCTTGCGTTCGTCTGTTTGCTGTTTTCCCTGCAACTCCAATGGTGAATTCATTTACAGTTATACAGACTGTGATATGCTGAGCTGAGAGGCTGATGTTGACTTTTTGCCAAGTGTGGTTGGCCCAATGAAGAGAGTCCATGCTCTGAAGAGCCCGAGACAGCACTCTCACCAATCATCCGACAACGTGCTCTCGAAAACGCCTCCTATTCCCCCAGATAGTGTCATTAGCAACTCGAGTCAATGCCACTTTCCGAAGCTTCCTCCCTTTAGTTTCACCTCCAACACCCGGATTCTGATCAAGCTGGTCAATACTCCCGCCCAGGTATTCCTGTCTGTTTCAGCCTATCAGGCACATCTTTCTTTTCGGTGAACGGTCGAGGTGTGGCCTCTGCGTCTGTCCGCGGTCACCGCCCCTTTTCTTCTCACTCCGATTACGAGAAGCACGCCCAGGCAAGGGCGTATCCTTTCCGGGGCTGTGTTCCCTCTTGCCGGCGGTCGAGTCGCTGTCAGGTCTACAGTAGTCCAAGCGAACGGTGGAAAGGTGTATCAGTCTCTTCAAGGGTAGGGCCATCGCGGGACGCGCCCCGAGTTCCATATTGCCTTTCCTTAGGGTTATGATAATGGGAACAGGAAGCCCTGCTGCTTCACAGCGTGGATCCTCCCCGTGATCTTTCAGCATCCGTGCCGTTCGCGTCACCTTTCTGTCACGGAGAGAGTTTGATATTGGCCCGTTGTTTCCTGCAGCTCTGTTTTAAAGGTACCTGCTTCTGATGGACCGTGAGCTTGGATTGCACACTTCACATGTGCATGTTCATTTCTCTTGACAACCCAATTGGCTGCCCTGTCCTTCTCGTCGCCGCCTGGAACGACATCCCGCAATCATTACACATCACAATTCACTTTGCGAGGACAGTTGTGATGTTGAGAGTAGGATAGGTTGGAAAAAGCAAAGCATCGCCACGTGGAGTCGAGACACTGTGTAATGATGAGAAAGAACAGCTTTTCCAGGCTTGCTCCCGTGTCTCGGGTCTGTTGATTTGCGTGGCTCGCATGCCCTTCCTCGGCCAGACTCGAGCGTCATCACTCGTTAGTCACATCTCCCAAAGTCCTCGTTATCTATACTCTACATGCTGAACTTGAGCTCAAGGTGCCAACAAACTGTTCTGACCACGTCAGCTGATGATGCGGCTGTCGCTCCGCAACAGAATAGGACAAAGTCTCAGACTCAGAAGCGCTTACACTGCACTGTCTCAGAGCAAGGCAGGTCTCCCGACTAACGCGAGCTCGTTGACATAAGAGCCTGTCATCGATATCACATATCGTATCAGCAGCTGTGAGGGAAAACGGCCGCCGTGGCCGAGCATGTGAAGCTGCCACCTCACTTCAAGTAGTGACACAGCACGGGGACGTAGTTGGCTAGCTGCTTTGCCGCCTCCTGCATACAATGCTACACCATCAATCCCCTGATTTGGGTTGCATGCGTGTAAAATCTAGAGCTCACTAGCTTGATGTCTTCATGTAGAGAGCAAATCGTTGATCCCTCTGTCCATTCTCTCATGCGTCCTCTCTCTCACACACCGCCATGAAGCTCCTTGTGACCTATCTTGCGTATGCGTGTCTCTGATGGGATCAGTAACTCAAAATACCAAAACCATGACATCTGTTGTGTTGGGAAGTCCCGTTTCTCTGTTCACAGTCAGCCGTTGAGAAAACCACTGCAGAAGCACACAAGTGCCACTCCGCGTCCATTGTCCTTTGCATGCCTAGCATCAGAATGGTCGAGGCTGAGAATTGGCAGCAAAGCGAAGTCGCCAGGACCAGATTCTGTGCGAGCCAACCGATGTATTCCACACAAGACACGGTTGCTACGCGCTGTAAGACGGGCGGCGAGAATATTGTTGTAGGATACATCATGAAAATGCGGGCTTCCTACGTCTGTCAAATGTTTCGAGGGGATTACCTTTCACTTGGTATGGGCTTGATGGAAAGGGGCCTGGTCAAGGGGATTTAGCTTCTTAATTTCTAGCCTTAGTCTTGTGTGTTTGGACGTGTGATTGAGTATCAGTTCCAACCAGGCTGAGGCACCCCTTCGACTGACAAGAAGTTCCTTTCTTTTCTGAATTTCTGCCGTGGGACAAGCGACGACGATGTGCTCAGAGCACAATAGGATATCTCTGAAAAAGCAACTCAGCGCGCCTACCAATGCAATTGAACCTTCAAAAAAACTCCAATAACCTCACGATGCTCTCCGAGCATCGGCCCATCCGTTCCAGTCAATAGCAAACAAGAGTGTACAGTGATGAATATGCACGCACACCACGAAGCTCGCTCCTTTTGAGATCCTCTACGCCAGTCTGTCGACCCATTGATCCTGTGACAATTCCTTCCAAGACGACCTAATCTGAAGAGTGAGTGACTCTTCAGTCGGCCCAGACGTTGGCCTCCAAAGAAAGCATTGGGTCTCCAACCTCTTGTTGCGCACTCTGGATGGAAGCAGGTTTCTTCTCCTGATTACTGTGCGCCTCGTCTGCGGGGCGGTCGTTGACACCCATGTCAATACCCCAAGTGTTGTCGAGGAAATCGTCCAGATTATCGAGGACTGCGCTGACATCGTCTACCGGCTCCACATTCTCCTGATCCTCGAAAACCTCCATCGCTACAGGGGTGAATGCCTTCTCAACGTGGCCGTATTCGCGTTCTGCCTCTGCCTTCTTCTCCACTGCGAGCTCCAATCCTTTCCGCCTGGTCTGTGAGGCTTGGATGAAAGCCTCTGCCATAGCGCCGACTTCCTGTCTTGGAGAGGTCCCTTGCTGAGACTCCGATGGCAACAGTCTCAGAGACTTCCGCGTCGGCTTCTTGCGTTTCGACATCGCCTCAAAGTGCTTGGCAAATTTCTGGTCGTGATCGGGGAGCACGCCAGCCTCCACAGAGCTCATCTCTGTAGGGGGCGGAGAAGCCACCCTCGTGGTTGGCTTAGGCAAACGTACGGTGCCAGTCTTCTGGCCTGATGGATCGAAGTAGGAGATGTCCTCTTCATCATAGATACCGTCCGTGTCATCCGTTTCAGGTTCAGTGATGAATGCCTCTTCCTTGCCGGGAAGAGGCGCAAAGTGCACTCGACGAGCTGGCTTCTGGGGCTCAGACGTCTTGAAGAGGATGCCAGATCTTGTGCTTGAGCATTTGAGGATGCTTCCGTTCGAGGACACTCGCTTCTTTATTGGCGACGGTGTCATAAAGTCCGAGAATGCTCTGATAGACATCTCGAAGTTCGGTGTCGGAAGATTTGAGACTGACGGAGTCCGCTCCCCCCAAGGGCTCTGTGCTGGTTGAGACACCGCCACTGCTTTGCCAGCAAGGAGGCTCAGGTTAGGTGTGCTTCCGGTCGGGCTGGCACAGATTGCCTGCGGAACAAACAAGTGCGTGGCAATGGCAGCTTTTTTATTCCATGGGCTTTGAACTTGCATTGCTGCCTCTTCGGGGACATTAGAATCTATGCTAAATATTATGTCATTGTTTGGAGCCTGGGGTGGCGTCTGCAAAAGGGTGCCTTCTTCTTTGGCCCATGGGCTTTGGAACTGTGGTAATTCGGTACTGATAGTCGTCTCGTCAAAGAAGCTAGCACCAACACTATAATCTGCGGCGTTTCCAGGTGCTCTTGGAATTTGCGAGTCGTTACCGGATACGTCTTCGATGTCTCGTATCTCAACATCGACCATAATTTCATCGGGCCTGCCTGGATCGCAAGTCGGACTCAACTGAGATTCTGGGGCGGTCGGCATCTGCAGAGTTGCTTGAAGCTGCTGTAGCTTCACACTAGCAGTACTCTCGTTGGGCACGTCAGACTCATCCACCGAGACCGTCGCAATCTGCTTTGACAAGGAGGGCGCATCTGCTCCTACTTCCCTACGCTCAGCTTCGAGAATCTCTGTCGTGCTTGTCTCAGTCGTAGTGATCTCGGTGTCAAGATGGAGATTCGTTGACATAACGCTGATCTCGGCGTATGCATCAATGATGGATCCCACACTAGCTTGGGAGTGGTCGGCGTCGTGAGAGACTTTCGCTGGTGTGGGCAGTTGACAATTATTGCCTGCTGAACCAGCATGAACTGGCGATGACGCGTCGTATGCGGCACCGGCAAAGTCGTGAGTCGCTGTTGATTCTTTGGGAGGGGAGCTTGGCAGATTTTGCACGTTGACAGGTATTATCTCGTCGGAGTTGACGTGGATATCTGAGCCTTGGTGGACGACATTTGCGATGACTTCTTCCCGTTTGACGGATGCTTTCGGGCTGGAAATGACAGGCATGATGTCTTGTGTGTCAACGAAAGTTGACCAATCCGGATCGGACAAGCCGTCGACGCCATATTCCACGACTGGAATGTCGTTTGCATTTTCGGTGTTCTCCTTTTCCCAGGCAGAAGTAGGTGTCGGGTCCTGCGAGTCAAGGTAAGTCGACCACTCTGAGTCCGACTGAGCACAGCCGTCCATCTGCAAAATAGCTCGAGGGTCTTCAAGCGCGTCATGCTTGTCCGTACTCCGAAGCTGAACAGAATCTGCGGACTCATCCGCAGCAACAGGCTCAACCTTGGTTGGCAATTCATTTGCATTCTTCGTTCCACCATTTGTCTTTGTCCAGTCCGTGCTGTGGGCCTGATGATCTGCTGGATCGTTACCGGATGGACATACTCCAACAGCAGCGAGGGCGGAGACTGGATCTCCGGACTCTTTTTCGGTTTCATTTGGGGGACCTTCAACGTTTTGAGAGCTATTCCTCACCAAAGCCGCTGGATCAGATCTAACGGAGGCAGCAGCCAGGCCGTCATCGACGGCAGAATGGCGTCCTTGCTCTTCTGTCGTAGCTACAGGGAGCTGTAGCGATGACGGACTCGGAATCGCCCCGTCCATGAGATCGGCTTCTGTAGATACGAACTCTGCCTTCTCTGCAGGACTTCTGGCTCTCTTGTGGAAGCAGAAGCTGTTGTCTTGTTGAGTTGAAGGTAGTGCACCCACGACTTGGGGGAAGGCCAGTGGTTTTGCCACAATAGCACCGTTTGGATCAAGTCCGTTCCCGAGTGGCTCGGACTGCATCGTGAATGATTCTTGAGGGCTTTCATCCATGCACTTAAGTGCAGCTTCCGCCATCTGTGCTGCCCTTTGAGCATCTGCGATGGACCCACCAGGACCCAAGTGTTGGCTCGCCGGTGATCGGGAGAGTTGTGGCTTTTCAACTTTGCCTCGCCCCAGGGACAAATTCTCGCGGTCACGAACTGATCGGGAATTGCTCTTGGTGGCTTTTCCTCGTCGGCTGGGCGACCGGCTCCCTGTCGGAGACGTTGAAATCATGGTAGAATAGCGCTTAACATTGGAAGTAGGCGTAGTGGCCGGCATAGACAATTCATCTTCAGAGGTATCGCCGCATTGATATCGTCGTGTCTTGCGAGGCGAAGTCTGTCCTGGCCGCAGCAAGCCGAACGACCCCATGCTCCTATTCGCCATCTGGGATGCATTGAGACCGGAAAGCCCAGTACAACCGTTCGTTGCAAGCTCATCTTCACGCAGAGAGGGAACTCTCGAAGGTTGTGTGACCACTTGAGAAGCAGAAATTTGTCGCGCCTGGTTGCCTTTGGTTCGGGCTGCACTGCGACTCGGCGAGTCATCCGGAGTGGAATTCCTGGGGTTGACAGACCTTCGCTTCTTCCCGTCACGCTTATGAAGCCAAGCTGAATCTGCAGATCTCTTTCTCGTGCGAGGTTTATCGTGATTGTCACTCTGTTGTGACTGCCAGAACGGGTCTTTCGATACAGATGTACTCTTTACCGCTTCTCTCCAAGCCTTGACACGACTGTAGTCTTGTTCGCCCATGTACGGGTTCTTCCTTGCCGATGGTGGATTTGTGATCTCGGGGCTGGGGAGGGGATATAAACTTGTCCCCTGAGTGTCCGGAAGGTTGTCATCGGGGCAAACAGTCTGTCTCGATCGGGTAGGCTGAGCCTTGGGCGGCTCAGCATGTGATTCGGCTCGGGTTGACCGCCATGGGTTATTCCATAGCTTCCTGTCGAAAGGTCCGCGGAGCGTTGCGGACAGCAAGATGGGCACATTGCCAGACAGGAAGTCAATAGCCTTCTTCTCGATATGCAGCCGTCGATGCAGAGGGCCCTCGTAGTGGTCGTCCTCCGAGCCCGAGTAAAAGTCGGTGTCGTCATGGTTGTGCACCGCCTCACAATAAAGGGGCTCATCGCTGAGCTGTTGGAAGGGTATTGGTGGCATGGTGGCGAAGGAAGACCCCAGTTGTCCGGCTGCGGCGAGGATCAATCCACGATAGCATCTGTGCGGTCTCGTGCGTGGATGGCGGAGAGAAGAGTGAGAGGCGCTGCGATGTTGAGGTGATGTTGAGTTTGGCAGACAAGAGGGGGCCGGGCCACTTCTGTCACGGCACCGAGCAGGCAGAGGCGGAAAGCTTAGGCCCCATGAGGGTCAAATGGAGACAGGCGCGGTTGCAGAGAGCAACACGCGCCTTTCTTAGTCCACTTTACGCGAAAAGTACACGCTCTGGCGCACGGACCACGCTCTGGTCATGCAAGTACTGTAGACCCCTGTCGTCCCCATAGAACACCTGCTGGAGGTACCTTTCCAGGGAGGCGTTCTTTGTCAAAGAGATACAACGCCCCGCCATCACTCTTCAAGTTGCCCTTGGGCATGAGACCCAGAAAACCTGGACATGGCCTCTCTCGTAGGATCCTCAGCTGGAAGCACGTCTGGTGATGGCAAGATTCGTTCGAGACCAAGCTTCTCACTCACAAGGAGATCCCGAGGAGCTGGTTGCCGTGACAACAGCCGTCCAGCAGCCCAATCACGTCTCCAATGGTTATGTTTTGCACCAGCAACAGCAGGTTGCAACCCAAAGTGCTCATGACGGGAAGAGAGAGAGAGAGAGACAGAGCTGGACCACCACTCTCCCCACTTTTGGCCGACAACGCGTTGTCCATCTGACAGAATTTTAGAATCGCCTGCTAATTCAAAAAGCAGACGCACCAACACTGTATTTATTCGAGAGGACAGCTTCCATTACAGTACTGTATCAATTGCCAGAGGCGCATCGCCGGTTTACCCTGTCAAGCGTCGCGACTCCACCGGTGCTGTGCCAATCCACCTGCAGGCAATTGCATGACCCGCTCGATTGCAGACTGGATCCTCAGCAGGGTATCCATCCGCAGCCCGAGGCTGGATCATCGCGTCACTGCGCTGCGCACCTCTTCAATTGCGCAAACAGCAACACATAAACCAACACATTGGCCTCGTCCCTCCGCCGCCAGCCGGCCTTGCTTCTGATCGCGACAGCCATACGACCTTCATGGATGCAAGCTAGTCTCGACGCGACAACCAGTCCATCTGCGGTATCCGGCCGACATCATGTCGTCGCATGCCTGGCTTGACTCCTTGTCGGAGGACTGGCCTTCAGAGCCGAATTCGCCGACTGACTCCAAACCCCCGACAAGAAACGGCACAACACGATCCAGCATCAGGGCCAGCGGGACTAAGATTCCGCGGCCTACCAGCAGCCCCAGCGCCAACAGAAGGTTGTCGGGGACGCCCAACGGGAACGGTAGCATCGCTCTCAACGAGCGAAGCCCTAGCGACATTAACATTCCCGCACAGCTTTCCAAGCGAACTCCCTCAAAGCTCTCCCAGGAGGTCAGGTCTCATCTTCATCGCGGCCGCACCGCAAGCCGATCTATTTCAGGCTCTCCAGCAGGATCAGTCGTTCATAATACCGTGCACCGCCAGTCGCTCAGCTCATCGCCCGAGAAGAAAAAGTTTGATACCCCAGAATGGAAACGAAGACTGATCTACGGCCAACTGGCTTATGGGGAGCAACGCGACTTGTTCACTTCCGCTGGCACCGGTCTCGAGGGCATGTTCAAGCCACCGGTCCAGGCAAAGGCCCCTCTCGAACATCTGGACGAGGACCGCAGTGATCTACAGAGGAATAACACAACATTCCCTTCCAGTCCACCAGAAATCGCGGGGAACTACTCCAACTACGACGTCTTTTCCGATCGGTACACAGAACAGGAACTGCCAGAGCACGTTGGGGCGACCCAATCCAATGGCCGCTCGGTCCGGTACAAGTTGGCCGATGAGGGAGGGTCCGACACGAGTGAATTCAGCGACATGTCTGTTCGACGAAAGGTGCCACTGGAAGGAGCACAAGCAGACAGTAGCCGGTCCGCAGCACAATTCCTAGCTCCAGCCACTGCCGGTGGCGGGTCGCGAAAGACCAGCAGTCAAAGTGCGGCTCGCCATGAGGACTTCAGCCCCATCTTTATCGCTAGGCGTGGCGGTGAAGATGGCAAGAATGATTTTTCTGCTCTGGATCTGTCACCCTCCGTTCTGTACGAGCGTCTTGAGAGGGTACAAAAGGATCGCATGCGTGCAAATGGCTCCGAACATGACCTCTCGGAAGGCAGATCCCAAGGAACAGTAGCCACGGGGGGCGTGCAACGGCTCGGCAGCTTTGTCAACCTTCGTAGGGGAGGTCAGTCGGTTGACGACTCCTTTCAGCATCGTGTGTTGACACCAGCGCTGGGGAACACTTCAGACATGCTTCCGGAAGAGTCTCTCCAAGCAAGCACCCCGAAACAGTTTCCGAGCCTGCGCGGTCAGAAATCAGACTCTCGAGGCACGTTGTCTGGGACCCCGCCCGTGCCTGCTGCGCCATATCCGAGCCCGGACAAGAAGCAACTTCGTGCCCAGGGCGGTGGTGGCAGCCCGCTGAAGCTCTTTGGACCGTATGATACTTTCACGAACCAAACTCTGCTGAGAAGAATCAGTCAGTTTGAAGATCCGAATACTTCACCTACATCAGAAAGACCCCCAAACTTGGGCAAGCGAAATTCGTCGGGAAATCCGTCAATAGACGCTACAGATGCGGATTTCAGAGCACACTCGAATTTGGATAGTCCAGAGCAGAATTCGGGCCCTCAACAAAGGCAATCTAGGTCGGTCAGCCAATTCGGGGCAGGAGAGCTCGATGGATTCGAATTTGACGAGGATTTTTCACGTCTTTCCATGGAGTCTGACGACGAGTCTGTTCTGCATCGGTCGGTCGCGTTCAATGCTACAGCGAACTCTTCGCCTTCGGGAGGTGGTAACATTTCCATTTCAAAACGGCGTCAAAAACCAGACAACATCTCTGCGCTACACTTCAGGACTCTCTCGGGAGCTGCTTCACGAGCTGCGTCGGCAGCTGTGCTCGCAGCCACCCCGAAACACCAGATCCAAGATCATGAGTACAAGAGGCCTCGAACATCACCAACCAAAGACCCGACACCGAAGCGCAGGAGAACTTTACACGAGTCTGACATCTCATTCGGCGCTTCTGGGGATGACGGTATGCTAGAATCAACTCAAACGTCCCACCAGCACATGCAAGTGGTCATTGGGAGGAAGCGTAAGGACGCTCGCGCTGGCGAAATGCAACAAACAGCTAATGCCGAAGTTTTAGCTTCTCGAAAGGTCCACCGCCTTCGAAGTCCCACTCCAAGTCAGAGGTCGTCAGTTCAAAAGGAACAACACCCGTACGACCAGTCTCAGGGATCTGGGCATGAAGGCGCGAAGCGCGCACGAAAGGCCCCTCACAAAGCTCAGCACCAACCCAGCTTTCCGGTCGGTGGTGGCAGGAAGCCTTCGATCAGAACAGAAGACTTCATCAATGAAGCACACCGCATTATGGCAGCTATCAGAGGCAAGAATGGCACACGGAGCGGTCTTGCAAGCGTTGAAGAATCGGAATCGGAAAACATTAAGCAACCCACCCGGGAGCCTGCTTTGCCAGACTCATCATTTCAGGAGTCGACTCGAGAACCATTTTCAAGACCGCCAAGCCGTGACGGGAAGCCTATTCCGAGGGCCATCAACAGGCAAGAAAACCCCGAGCTGGTAGACCATTTGAAAAAGTACGAGGAGCACAGTGATATGGGTGATATCATCGCCTCCTCTCTGCGCTCGCTCGGTGTATCTAAAGAAGACATTCAGGCGGTGCAAGCCCTGGAGTACCATTCCCACAGCTCGATGTCGGAGGCTTCTGAGAATAGTGTCTTGCGACATGATGAAATAGTTAGCGACCCACCCAACATTCGGATCTCTGAGAACCCTCACCGTTATGAGAACACTACTTCAGCAGAACAGGCTCAGCAGTTTCGAGATCGGTTTCCCTCTCACAGCTCCGGCTCCGAATCTGGTGCTTCCACAGGACAATCCATACGAACGGGATCCTCCAGAGGGTCAGATACCAGGAGAACGATCGCACCCCAGAGTGTATCCCATCTCATCCCTGATCAGGTCGGCAACATGGTTCTGGACAGACAGCGCAATGTTTGGGTCAAGAGCAACCAGGTGCATGCAACACGCACGAAGAGAAGCAATACTCTCGTCTCCGAGAACAGCGAGGATGATCCGTTTGCTGATATCCCTGACTTGACCGTGGACGCGACAAGGGAGCTGCAAAATCTGAGAGATAAGCAGAGTCGGCAGAATCAATCAGGCATGCATTTCTTCGGTCCTGATAAGTTCATGGGAAGTCCACCCCAGTCAGTCCGTGGACAGTCCCTCAAATCCATTCTCGTAAAGGATTTTGCCGCCAAAACAAGCAAGAATGGGTCGATGAGATCTACGAGTAAACTGATGAGGAAGTTTGCCGAAGCTGACAACGAGGATGTCGAGCACGAGATCACAATACACGAAGATCGCCTGGAAGACTCGTCGCCTCGCCGACGAATGACCATCAGCTTCTCGTCTCCCATAGCTTCTATTATACAAGATGTGGTTGGCGGGAGCGGCCAAGAAGAAAGCAACACCAGTATGTTCGAGCAGTCTGTCACGGACATGCTCCAGTCATCCGGGAGGCACGGTCGCCGCACAGTCTCCATTCAGTCATTGAATGGCCACAGCGGGCCGCGACCACGAAGCTCCTCCAGTGCGCCATCACGCCATATGTCGGTCAAAGGCGCATCATTTGTACCTCGTCCAGTATCAGTGATTGAGGAGGAGAGTGACGAGAAGAGCTTTGTGGATAGGACAGAAGTTACCAAGGCCGGCGACCAGAGTCTCACGGAAGAGAAACCATCTCAGCGTCGCCAAGCAAGTCTGAGCATCATGTTTAAAACACCTGGTCGCCCCAAATCAAGTCTCCGACCAGACAATGCAGAAACGCTCAGCCGCCACATCGGCAATTTGTCGCTGAGTCCTATATCTGACTTCACTGCACACCAGGATCGCTCATTAGCCTTCGAAGTAAGCTACCTACTCGACGATCAGAATCTTGTGACGGGCGACGGTTCACGACAGCGTATGTCGCAGACGGTTCGCCACCTAGTCAGCAAGCTTGCGGAAGTAGAACCGTTCGAGCCATATTGGGAGGATTTGAAGGAAATGGCACTCCGTGAAAAACAACTGGACAGTCTGCATATGCTGGACCGGTTTTGCGGAAGCCTTGTCAAAATCGATGTCTCGCGCAACACGATAAGGGCCCTGGACGGCATCCCGTCGTCTATTCGCGAGTTGACCATAACCCACAACATGCTTAGTGAGCTAACTGCTTGGGATCGCTTGGGAAACTTGCAGTACGTGAATGTCTCGAACAACGACATCAAGAGTCTCTCAGCTTTCAATGGTCTGGTTCATCTGCGCGGCTTAGTTGCAGACAATTGTGGACTAGCCAACTTGGACGGCATCAAGTTCCACGACTCGCTCTTGACCTTGAGGGCCAGGGACAACTGCATTGAGAAACTCAGCTTTGAGGGTACTAATCTGCAGAGGATGACCAGTCTTGATCTGGAGGGCAACAAGATACGGGAAATTGAGAGTCTACATGAACTTTCTTCCTTGACGTATCTCAATCTGAAAGGGAATGAGCTGGTCAAGTTCAGCTCTGTTGAGCCACTCGCGCTGAAGCACCTGATCATCAGCGACAACAAACTGAGGAAACTCGATGTGACTTCGATGGCTCGACTTCACCTGTTGTATGCCGATCGCAACAAGCTCACGACAGTCGATGGTCTGCCTCGAGTTCCTCATCTGGACAGTCTATCGCTTAGGGAGCAGGGCGGATCAAAGCCTTTCGACTTGTCCTTTTTGAAGACCGCATATGAGGTTCGGAAATTGTTCCTTTCGGGAAATCATCTTGGGTTTTTCGATCCACCACGCGACTTTCTGAACCTGCAGCTCTTGGACCTAGCGAACTGCGGCCTGCAGCGTCTGCCTGACAACCTGGGACAATTGATGCCCAACTTGCGTGTGGCCAACCTCAGCTTCAACGGTCTGTCAGACGTCAGCGGCCTCACGAGTATTCCGCGACTCAAACGCCTGTTGCTTGCAGGCAATCGGTTGGCCGACACGAAATCGCTGCTCAGTGTCCTAAGCGAATTCCCATGGCTGACCGAGGTCGACCTGCGTGACAATGCTATCACACAAGGCTTTTACCCTCCCATACACATGGTCCTTCGAGATGGCGAACTACAAACTACCGACATTTTCAAGCTCCCCGACGCGGACCTTGAACGTGACGCCAGGTACTGTGGCCGCCTAGACATGGACACCCGAATACAACGGCGGATATACGAGCGCAAATGTGTGCGATACTGTAAGCAATTGCAGAAGCTGGACGGCCTGCCAGCGAATAGGAAGGTACGGCATATAAGAGATGTGGTATGGAAGAACATGGTCCTGCGAGGCATGCTGCTCAGGCCGGACGGGATGCCGTTCGACTTGTCTCAGTACGAACTGGAGAAGGAAGAGGATCCTACTTCATATGTCAGTGATGAAGATGGGGATGAGGAGAAGAGAAAGAGCAAGAGCGTCGATGAGAGTGCGCGCTGGGGCATCGAGGATAGCTTTGCGGGTTGACGCGCCTAGCATGAGTGCTACTACCTCTCATCACCGCGGGCGGCTTCATATCACGGAGAACGGGCGTTTGGTATTGCAAGAGAGCATGTCATTTCGATTTTTGGTGGAGGCAGCAGGCTACTCTGTGTGTTTGTTGGGCGATAGGACGCCCCTCAGGTTTGCAAGCATAAGGACATGTATATTTACGGGTAATTCCACGGGCGTCGGTGCTTGGGTAACCGCGACGGGAAGTCATCATGATGATAATGAGTATAATGGGCTCCAGACCCGATTTTCTGTTCATGCATGCTTGAAGCCGCCCATCTCTTTGGGCATAATAGGTACATTATGCTTGTCACTACTGCATTACGTTCACAGGCTTATGGATCGCACCGTCCAAGAGATACTACCGGACAACCTACAGAGACCCTCGTTTCTCTGCCAGACCTAGACAGCTGATATGCTCGAGTAGTGCATATACCCGACGTCCAGTCTGGGGTTGTTTTCTGTCGAGTGCATAGGGGAACCATCAGAGTGCCCAGATAGAGCAACACGCCAGGCCTCAAACACAGGCAAGGCAAATCAAATTCTCACAGTGTCCAGTTACGACGTCCCCCTTCGGCCCGTTCGGCAGTCTACGATCTCGAGACCAGTCACCGCGTCACCTCGAAGACATCACATCACAGCAACTACGACAAACCCGCACCTTTCCCCTTTGGTTAAAAACGTGGGAAGCATTCTGTCGTCATTAAAGCGCCCCCAGGAGGCGACTGATCAACAATCAAAACCCGTGGACTCGGCCGATTGCTAGACCCCGGGAGGCGAGATTGGAGGAAAGGAGGGGGCAGGAGGCAGCGTGTCTTAGAAATAGGGAAAGGAGGGGGTATGGGCGAAGGCAAGATCTTGGAGACTTTGCTGCACCATTACGATGTGCAGCAGCTGGGGGAGGGTTGCGATAGGGGTCGCGCAACGTCACGATGGCGGCCATGTAGAGTCTAGAGTTGAGCCTTGCTCGCCGGTCCAAGCCACACTTTGGGTGGAGTAAACTGCTGCTACTGCTGCACTTGACTTTCCCCCTTCCCCAGGTTCGACAAGGGCAGTGATGGTGTAGGGACGCGACGAGCCGCCCAGCAGCAGTGCGGGAACCCAGGCAGGCGATGGTCCCAAGCCCCGCGTATACGGGGGGCGTGCTAGCTGGGGGAGCCTGGGGCCACAATCACGAGCAGGCCGCGTCAGGCGCAGCTCCTTGCTGAGGTGATGTGATGGTGGGCTAGATGTCTTGTTTTGCTCCGGTCGAAGCGAGAGGCAGATAGAGAGGGGGTGGGTTGCAGAGGCGAGAGAGATAGATGGGTAGGTTCAAGTCACGACAGGGTGGTCGGCCTGCGAACACCTTTCTTGCATATGCATGTCGGGCCTACTTGTTGATCTCGGACCCTGCATGACCATAGATCAGGGAGTGGACTGTGGTCGAAGCAGAGGACAGGAAATTGAGATCCAGAGGCAGGAGAGGGTGTGGCTGGTCATTGCCTCCCTCCCTCCATGCGCCCCCCGGGCCATTACGGAGTCGTTGGTCGTAAAGTAGAGCTCGAGTGTGGTGGCCGGGGATCTTGTGTGTGGAGTAACAGGCAGTGCGGAGGGCACATGTGCGTCTGATGAAGCATCGCTTTCGTAAATTTTACGACACTTAACCGGATACTAAGCAGGGCCAGGCGTGACCAGGCATGTGGTCGATGGTCGACGCGAAGGAGGGATTTAGTTTTCCTCGCCGGTTGCCACTTTGCGCCTTTGTAAGCCCTTGGGAGGCTCAATAAGCCCCAACGAAGATCGGGCCAAACTCTACCCTGAATGCAAGCAATATGTGCCTCCCGATCATACGTGTAGTGAAGGATAGGTCGGAACACCGGGGTTGTCGTCCGCTGCAAGTAAGAGCTACGAGGGAGATCCTGGTGGCCCAGACTGATTTAACTCTGGTCGGTCTCGCTCGCATTCCCGGCGTCATTTCGCACGTTGGATGCTCCCCTTGGGAACATAAGACATAGACTACCACATTACATCCCGACTTGCGTAGTATACAGAGCTGGGCGGCTGTCGCGGCCCACAGTCGATAAGTACACTGCGACTGTGAAGGAAGACACTAAATACGAACCGTCTGCTATGGCGTTGATGCTGCCTTTAGCACGGAGATGCAGACGTGAGCTCCTATCGCCCAGGTAGACCAAGTAACACGGAGATATCCACGGCAGTCACTTCTGGGGATGTCGGTGACACACGGGCAAATGCTGAAGAGCTGGCATACGTTTCAGAAACAGACATGTGTGCCGTTGCTGTATGTCGGCGCTCAGGGATGATGCGCAGCAACTCCTCGATTTTCTCGCATTGACCAGGCGCCGACGAAGTGCGTCTTGAGTCCGCATCTCACCCGTGTACTTCTCAGCACTTCAGCCTGCCGCCGTCACTCGCAAATGACAATGCTTTCTCATCATCATGATGATTGGCCCACCCCGGGAGGCCACTGTTGGACCTCCATGACCAATCTCGATTGCCTCCTCGACCAGAGCCATGCGAGCCCTTGAGCCCGCCGGCCACCTTGTTCATCTCATCATGGCCGGCCTTGCCATCACGGTCGTGCATGCATGTGGAGATGGGTCCAGGGCTCGTGATGGAGGGAGGGCGGAGGGACTGATTTGACGCCCGCATCGGGTCCCCTAGTGGGTCGTATGCAGGTTGTTCTGCTTCGGGAATGGGCCGGCCGGCCTCTTTCTTGACGAGAGTTGGGGATGGGTAAACCTGCCTCCTGATGAGAGTCGGGGTTTGGATGTGGTTGCAGTCGCAGTCATCAGCGCCCAGGTGCCTGGGCCCTTGGGAAAGAAGCAAGTTGCCAGCGTCAAATCGGTGATATTCCCGTCGCAGCTCTGCTAGTCTAGTCCTTCGCCGTAATGCTGTGGGTTCAACAAATTCCGGGGCCCCAGACTCCACGTACACTAAGCATGTAATGTTACAAAGTATCTAGTTTATACAGCAAATGGGGTACCGAGGTACTCAGTCTCACTCCAAACCTCCTAGTCAGAATCCAAGTGCTTGTAGATCCCCATCGCGATCTCCGCCATATTCCAACGACATGCCATGCGTCAGCCTGGATCTATGCTATCACCAACGGCACTCATTCGTGTTTTGACGGTTTGTGGCGGCCCAAGCGAATGTGGATGGAAATTATGGTGGTGGTGACACAGGGCTACAAGAGACCGACCTCTGATATCGGGACACCACGACCACCAAGCTACAGGCGGCCCCTCCACACTCTCACAGCTGGTACATGCCGAAGCTATTACGGGAGAGCTTTCGCGCTTCCGTATGATATGTGACTTGTCAGACCCGCCTCAGACCTCCCTGGGCCTCTCTCTATGGCCTCTGAGACAGCCCGTAGCACATGCCAGGCTGAGGCCCGGATCCAAGATGGCAGGGAATAGTTGGGTGGGTGGCTGCATTATCTTGGCGTATCTCACTTTGTGACGAGTAGCAAGACACACACGGGTGAGTGCTCAAGTGTGCTGCAAGCCTATCATCGACGCGGATTGCTATGTTGGGTATTGGGTATGCCATCTCAACAGCCAGATAATCCTGCGCCAGCGCCGGCGGAGCTGACGACCTGGGGAGGAAAAGTGAGCTGTCGAGTTGCTAGTCTTCCAACCAGCACAAAGTCTGATCATTCGGCTGCTGGCAAGGCCCGTCCAATGCTAAAAGTGCCACAGGCGAATCATAACAAGATAATGTTGTTTTGGGGGGCAACTAAACGCGAGGCGGCGTACAGAGTCAGTCACTGTGAGTGTGGCAAGCTCAAGAGCTACCGAGTGAGGGAAGTTGGGACAGCCCCGTATTGCAGCAGAAGCAGCAGGATGAAGGAGCCAGTTTCTTGCGTGCATAGGAACGGGAGGTCGGTCCTTTGGCAAATAAAATTACAACAGCCCGAGTCGGAACGACATGCAAGTGATGAGTCGATCTGGGCTTGATGCGTAGAGAGTATTGGAGACATAATCCGGGGTGGTGATCCACTGGGACTGGACGGGAGTGACAGGCTGTGTATGTCCGTACACGTACTTTGAATATAAAGGGACTCGGCCCGGCCTGGCAAAGAGGGAGGGTCGCACAATAGCAGTCACGATAGCTTCACCTACAGGCAAACATGGGATAACAAGCGCGAACACCTTTTGGTGCAACCTTTTGGGGATGGGCAAGACGGTGTCTCCTCGGGTAGGACCACCAATGCGCTGGGCCGTCGTGGCTCATGCGCGCACCTTTATTTGCCTGCATGGCAGCCGATTGGACCCAAAGGCATGCTCGCATCACGTGGACGACCATAGGTAACTCGGAGCACGTCCAGAAGCAGCAGAGCAGGGGCGTGACAAGGGCGGGGCGGTGCGCTGGAGCGGTGCAAGCAGAGGTCACAAAGAACTTCACGGCGCTGCCGACCCGGTCGTGCTGGTCAGGGCATGATGCAAGTGAAGCCAGAAGCATGCATCGTGAGTCTTTGTGGAACCAGAAAAGGAAAAAGGCCGGCCTGGCCAGCTCGCCAAGGTGTCAGTCACCGCCCGGCCCCTCCCCTTATGCCGCACGCCCCATGCATTTCACCCCAGGCTTGGGGGCGAACCTCACGATGCCCTCTCGTCTTGCCACGATGCGCCGCCGTCTGGCAATCCGCTAGCTCGTCGCGCCAGCCCTTTCTGGCGGCCTGAGGTCCGCACGGATGCCTGGTCTTGTGTGGACCAGCACTCAGGCCCTGGCCACTGGCCAGGCCGACCCCGATACCTGTGCGCTATGCGTTGCAGGCGCTTTGGGTTCGGGACGGGATCCCGAACGATGATGGCTCAATCCTCCGAATGAAGGGCCACGATGCGAACGGCCATGGCGCTCGGGCGTCTTGACATGAGGCTGAGATTCGGGATGGCAGACCCACGGTCGCCCATCCATAGTCGTGGAGGAAAAAGCCAATGGAGGCTTAGTGAATTGTGCACAGCACAATGAGCATATGTCGTAGCACATAGCATAGTGTTGTTCGTAGCCAGAGAGCGGAGCATCTCTTCCTCAAACCCTCAAAACGAGGGGCCAGGAGGGCCCAAGCACGGCTAGCCTGCTGCCGATGGATATCACCTCTGCTAATGCTCAAGCATACTCGAGGAGGGCTGCGCACCCCCCCGAACGGGACCAGGAGATGGTAACGTCACTAGCGTCCGCCTAATAACGTGCCCCCCAGCAGTCTGGAGTCGGTTTCTTCATTTGTCGCCAAAGTCAATTAGGGTGCCGAGAAGCCCTCTGTTTCTTCTCTGGACGACGATGTATGACAGCATGGCCTGCCTTGCATCGAGAAAAGCACGGACCTGTCAGCGTGAGCACAACTCACGTTTTGCAGCAGCTGGGCAACGGAGGGATTTGGGGGGTCGTGAATCGTGGACGTCGACAAAGACAACTTAAGACAAGGCAAGACCAGACAAGAAGTTCAGGGAACAAGTTGCGCCCCACCTTCACAAGCGTCTCATGCCCGTTCTGGGACAACGTTGGACATTCCCACCGGGGGTCCACATTCAATGGACCCTCAAGAGCGGCTCCATTCTGTTCCATCCGTCCATCCAGAACGAAGTTGGTGAAATGAAGGGCACAAGGGCCACCTGGTGGTCTCACGCCCTCCGTCATCATGTAACGATTTCTGGGTGCAACATGTCAATCTCGAGTATGTTCGGGCAAATATGGGGCGCCGACATACGCGGTAACCATTCACGGGCAGTACCAGGGACTAACTGCAGTTAGCCACCGGGGGCAACAAAGATTAGATCGTGTTTTGGCCGTAGTGATCGCTCCCAGATCATCCCGTCTCCCGTTGTCGTCTTGAAACCCCGGAACAGGCGCTTGGACAACCACACCTCCCAAGTGGCCCCCAAGCTTTCCGGCTCATTCTGCCTCTGATTAGATCTTGATCAGTGTCAACAAACGCAGTAAAGATCGGTGGTTTCTGGCCTGATGAGTATGCACAGCGAAACCCAAAGATATCCACCACCACCAGTCGGGCAATTCCCCTGGTACTCGACCGCAGGGTCGATGCTGTTGCCGCCTGAAGGCTGAGGTAAAAACAGGTCTCGGAGGGAGACGTTCCCAGCCGACACGGTTATGAAGATCGGGGCGGGATCGCGGCCTCACCATCAGCGTGGAGACGGGCCTGACTCGCTGTCACATCATGGCCTGCATGTGAAGTACATTACATAGTACCACTGGGGTAGAAACTCGCCGACAGACAGACGGACCATTCAAACCATCAGGCCTTTTGAAGCGCCCGGTCCTGCAGTGGTCGTGCCAGGCTCGCATCCGTTGGTCGCGTGGAATGATTTCGATCAATACGTTTGGGATCAGTCAGCAGCCGAGCCTGGGTGAACGAGTACGAACCCTTGCTGTCTCGTAGATTTTTCCTGTTGGCGAGCAGAGAGCCGAGAGAAATGTCTCGTTCTGTTCACCTGCATCTGGGCCAAACGATGGCGGAAACTTAGTGGGAGTGGCAATCGGGCAGTGATGAGCACCTCCAGGTACGTACCTGTCGCTAGCTAGCTGCACTGGACAATGTAAGTATGTACGTAGACTATGTATGTACGTACCCAGGTGGTGACTGGAGTGATCGCTCAGCTTAAGCCCACTTCACATGCGTCGACGAAGAGTTACGGTCAACCCATGTTCCTATTGTCGGCCAATCAGCGTGGCCAGGATGGGACCACCCTTATCGCACGCCAAGCCTACTGGGCCCTGGATCCTGGACCCTGCTGCATCTGGGAGGGCAATTTAACTCCCGTTGCCCTTGCCCTCTGGGAAAGCCTGTGTCTGTGTGGGAGCAAAGCAGCAAGCAGCAAGCAGCAAGGAGCCAGCAGCCAGCAGCCAGCAGCCAGCAGCAAGGAGCAGGGGAGGCTCGACCTCAATTGTTGGGCAAACTCAATCAGTGCAGTATCTGATGAGGCTTCCGTCCTATCAAGCCCTCGCCGACGCGGGTTTGGGTTTGGGTTTATTTGACGCACGCTTTTTCTGCAGCCCAATCCGAACACAGACCGAGCTCGGCCCAGCCGCTTGAGGTTCTTGTTGTGAGGACGAGTCCTATAAGTCCTGTACCGTTACGGTGAGGTACCTCGTCAGGCTCACGAGCCTTGCTTGGAAATGGCTCGGCGGGCCGACGACGTGACGGTTGAGGAATTGGCCACTGGCGCTGATGCGCGCAGGGGATCTAACAAAGTGATGGGAAACATGATACCGGTCTACCTCCTGTACGTGGACGGACTGCTCCATGACTTGCCCAACTCATGGACTGACCATCTCATTGTTGGCATTTGCGCCCGGCCGATTCTCTGCCAGCAGTAGCCGTCAGTGTCCCCGACGGCAGCCACGCACTAACTCGATCCCTCACGCTTCTATGTGGCGGCCTGTTAGGCAGTGGAGAAACGGGAGTCGGAGGAGCGAGGGGCGCTATTGTAGAGCTAATCGTGTCTAAGTCGTCTTCAACGGGCGTGGTCGAGGTTCACTCTCGTCCGTTGGCGGCACCGCATCGTTCCGCCCGGTTCGGGTTCAGGTTGAGGTTCAGCTCGCCAGCCTTCAATCCAGGCAAGGGCAGGGTGCAGTTGAAAGCCAGCTGAGAAAGCAATGTGTGGTGGTAAGAGGCGGATTCCAGTCTATCTAGGGCTGGATGGTTTTATCTGGTAGACTACGTAGTTGGCTGGGTGTGCACACAATCACCGCACCATCCGCCCACCATCGACTGAAGTGAACGAAGGTGAGGGCATGGGCAGCCTGGAATCATGGCACATTGATGCAGCTCGCGCTCTCTCGCTCTTTCACATTCTTATTGTTTATTAATTTATTTCTTTTTTTCTCTTCGCTCGTCAACGACTGTACCAGGTACAGTACAAAGATAGAGGGAATTGGAAAACTCATGCCTTAGCCCGGGTCCGCGCACATGCAGCGCAGCTGCGGCCATTATTAGCTCTGCACCTTTTTTTTTTTCCTTTCTGCTCACTTCGTCAATGGATGCCCGGCTTGGCCCCTCTTGTACCTCCGTATCCCCCTTGCAGCCCACCCGGTCCGCAGCCCAGCGTCCCAAAAACTGACGACCTTTCCCACCCACCCCAATCCACTCACACACCCACCCTGTCCTGTCCTGGTCTGTCCAGTCCACTCCTGCCCTGTCCTGCAGCCCCCCCTCCCTCTCTCCCCCAAAAGCCCAAAGCCAGAGTACAACTGCACACACACGCTCACCTTCATTCGAAACCGGCCGGCCTTTTCCTCCTCTGCACCGAGACTGCCACCGACCACCGACCACGATCCTCTCCTTTCCACAACCCACCTCTTACACCCTTTTGAGCTGCTCAATCGCCATGGCTGCTTAGACGACAATTCTTCTTTCATTCGACTGCTTCGCTCCGACTGAGGCTTGGCCGGCTCCAGAGCCAACACCCCCAGCTCACTATGTCGAGTTGCCGTGCCCTCACTCTTGACCAGCATTCGAGCCCACGACGACTTCGACTCCGACTCCGTGTTCGACCACGTCCGCAAAATGGAGCACCAGGCGCCTAACCCGCCTGCTCAACCTCAACTCACAACTCACACGCCTGCACTTCCTCAAAACCCCTCGCTCACTGCCAGCAGCACTCCCGTCTCGTCCCCGGGGCTCTTCAGTCCGTCGAATCCCCGCACCACCATGTCTCTGCCGCCCTCGCAGTCGGTCTCCGAGGGTACAACGCCTGCTGCACTCAACAGTCCCTTTCTACATCCCCTTCAAAACCACAGAGTTAGAGAGTATGTCTTCTGCCTACCAAGCCAGACAACCCCTGCAACATCTTCTCTCCTTGCTACACGCGGCGGCCAACGTCGAGCGACCCGAAACCATCCTGGCCGGCGCGGCCTTGGTGACCGCGCTAAGGGCTGTCCTGACGGCGCCAACCATGCCAGCGTTGAGGGTTCCGGCACGAGTAATCGAATGAGGAACGATTTGCTGACCAGAAATACTGTAGGACACACGTCGCCAATATTGACAGAGACTTCACCACCGGCCGCAAGATCATCAATCATTACGAGGTCATCGAGGAGATTGGCCGCGGTGTTCATGGCAAGGTGAAATTGGCCCGCGACCTCGACAACGGCCAGAATGTCGCCATCAAAATCGTCCCCCGCTTCTCCAGGAAACGTCGGCTCGGCAGGATTACCCAGAACGTATCCCCTTTCGAGAAGTCCAAGAGGGAGATCGCCATTCTCAAGAAAATTAGACATCCGAACGTGGTAGCATTACTGGAAGTCATCGACGATCCAGACTACAGGAAAATCTACCTTTGTCTCGAGCATGTCGAGTGTGGCGAGGTCATCTGGAGGAAGAAGGGCCTTCCGAACATCTGTGCTTTCGAGCGCCGGCGGATCGAAAGAGAGATGAGGGGCGAGACGCTGACCGATGAGGAAGAGCAGCACCTTCTCGATTTGGAACGCAGGTTCAACGTCAAGGAGATGAAACGCGCTCATCTCGCAGAGAAGACCGGTACCCACGCCGACCCTTGGAGCTTGGAACTCGGTCAAGACGATTCCGAACTCACATCGGGGCCTTCCGAGGCAGATCTCACCCAGCACGGTGTTGGTTCGATACGATCGCACTCGCCAGCTTCTCGAGGGTCCGCACCATCCTCACAGGCTCCGTCGAGAACGCAGTCTGTACGATCAATGTCCGCTGTCGCGTCCGAAGGCCCACCCACTTCGAACGAAGATGATATGGAGACTCCAGGACCCCTACACTCGAACCCGGGCTCGTCTAGTGCGCTTGCCGGAACGATGTATGGGGCTTATGACGATTTGGGATTTAGAGAACGATCTCCCAGCATGGCCGACTCCATCATATCACACATGTCTTCGATCGATTTCAACCCGCAACCCCATGATCCGTTCGCCGACGACTTTTCATATGTGCCCTGCTTCACCATCGAAGAGGCACGGAATGCCTTCCGGGATGTCGTCCTTGGTCTTGAATACTTGCACTACCAAGGGATTGTCCACCGTGACATTAAACCGGCGAATTTGCTATGGACTCGGGATCATCGTGTCAAGATTTCGGATTTCGGTGTGTCTTATTTTGGCAGGCCGATGCGAGACGGCGAACCTGATGACACCGTCTCCGAATCAGAAGCACAAGACTTTGATGACGAGTACGAATTATCCAAGACCGTCGGTACGCCTGCTTTCTTCGCTCCCGAGTTGTGCTACACCGATATCGACAACATCCCCCCGCCCAAGGTCACCGAACAAATCGACGTCTGGTCCCTTGGAGTAACGCTTTACTGTATGATATTTGCTCGAATTCCGTTCCTGGCGGAGGATGAGTTCCAGATGTTCCGCAAAATCGCAACAGAAAAGGTCTACATTCCTACGAGGCGGCTGAGACCGGTGGATCCATCCACATCCCCGGACACGTCTTCGCTTTACAAGCGAGTCAACAGTGCTCCATATCGTGACGACCACCAGCTTCTTTACGAAGATGTTGACGAAAGCCTTCAACATCTCCTGGGACAGATGCTCGTGAAGGACCCAAGGCAGCGGATCACACTAAGAGGAGTGAAGTATCACCCATGGGTACTCTCCAACCTGACCAACATTATGGGCTGGATCGACGACACGGACCCTCAGAGGCAGACTCAAGGCACAAGGATCAAAGTCAACGAGAAAGAGGTGGACGACGCCGTTGTGCCCCTGACACTTCTGGAGCGGGCGAGATCTACTCTGAAGAAGACGCTTACCAAGTTGACGAGCCGGTCAGTGGAACGCACCGAGGGTATTTCTCGGCGGAGAGCCACCAGCAGTGCTGCCAGCTCGGCCGGCGACAGCCCAGCGCACACGCCGATCACAAATCATATTCGCGACGCACGCAGAAAGAGCATACGTGGAGACGGCGACTACTTTGCGACTGTGAGAGAACATTCGCATACACACAGCGAGCATCCTTTGACCTACAGCGTAACGGCCAGTCCAGAAGAGTCACCGTCGGAGACGGAAGCATCCTCGCAACAACCGGGAGCGGTAGGCGGCCACCCATCACATCAACTTCCTGAGATCGCCACGAATTTTAATGGCAGACAAGACATCGCAGACCACCAGACACCGACATCAGCTCAGATGGAGTTCCCGCGCCACAGGCATTCGAGATCCATCTCGAATGCGGTGATTAGTCTGCACAATGATCTTGCAGAGGCTCGCACTGCACCAACCACTCCTGCGATTGATATCCATTCAGATCCCTTGAGCGGTCTGCGCAGGAAGGGTAGAGACACGAAATCATCCGAAGATTCGACCAGATCTCAATCGGTCGACAGGGCTCTGGTATTTTCCAACCCCGATAAGCGAGCTGAGGCACGAGTCGGTGTCAGCTCTTTCGTTGCACCCGGAAGCCTTGAGCAGCCCAAGAAGCTTTCGCAGATGCGGTCTTTGGATCTTGGTTGGGCTTTTGGAGAAAGCCCACTGCCATCTCCTCAGTTCTTCTCCCCTCATACTATTTCTTCGTATCAGCATGGCCAACACAAGTCGGATCCAATGCTCGACAAGTTTCGAACTGTGGTCAAGATTGAAGACCGGCCGATGACGGCCCACCGCGTCCAGGACATACCCGAGGGCAAGACTCCACCTCCGAGGCAGTATAACTCATCGACCCCCGAGTCGTTTGCTCGAGCTCAGGAGACTTTGCGTCGGCGTGAAAGGATCGCGCACGAGGACGATGTACGGCGACAAGAGGCACTGCAACCAGCTGCTGAGCTTGACGCAGTCCATGTCCCTTGTCCCCCTTCTCCGGACGACGACGACTCTGCTAGCAACGGAGCACCTTCCCGCGGGGAGACGTTTAGTACGACGTTTTCGACCAAGTCCAATTCACGCGAGGCCATCGCTACACCGTGGACTAGCCCTAGCGTGGTAACAAGTCCAGTGAGCTACACCACGTCGACGTCGCAGAAGGACCTAAGGGAATCAGATGCGGATCAAATTCTGGCCTTCCAGTCCGATCCATCCTTACCTGCCCTTCTCAGTGGGGCATCATCTGTGTCAGCAGACCCGGAAGGAGACTTTCTGGGCAACCCAGGCAGTGTCAGTGTTGTGAGCCGGCGTGCTGTCCTCGAAACAACCGACTCGGTCACACCGCCAGCATTAGCAAAGGAGCCCGTCACTGGATTTCCTCTAGAGGCAGCGGAGCTCGATGAGCCCAGCGGCGCTGTCCTTGTTGATGATCACGAACCTGAATCTCTCGGAAATTCAACGCCTACCCCGCCCGCACGCCACCTTGAAGATGACGACAGCGACAGTGATGACGGGATCCTCATGATGGGTCACCGATCTAAGAAGTCCACTGCAACCAAAGGCTCTCCCAACTCCATGGGCAAACTTGTCTTCGGGTCCAAGAGGCGCAACACCAATGCGTCCGTGGGCAGCACTGACACAGCCAAGAAGGTTTTTACCCCAGGGGAGTGAGAACTACCCCTTGTACGACTACACAAGAAGCTCGATATGCAATCACACCACTCAACGAGACCCTCTAAGGCATTCGGAAACGGCTTACAACAGTCTTGATCCGCGGCAACGACCCAAATCACTCCGTACATGAACTTTATAATTGACAAAACCTTCCATCTCAAGAATCACGCCCGGATGTCGAGTACCAAAGATTACGATACGTCACAAAAAACTGCATCGGCCGGCCATCTGCTTATTATTGTTACCACCAGCACATACACACTTTCCCGTTTACACCGGCGGCTTCAAGATCGCATCTCTTATTACTTGCATAGCGCCACCTCAGCCCGATATTCCGGGAACGGGCGGCCTGGTTTGTGGCGTTCTCAATACCTTTCCGGTTGGGTCACTGTTTATTTTTTTATTATTTTTTTTATCTGAAGCATAGTCTGAGCCGTTTTCATGCCGCATTCAAACGCGCTGGCCACCCAGCTTTTGTTTGACAGATGCCTGGGCTAGCCAATGCGAGAATTGACGGGTAGAGCGGAGCTCAGCATGCAGACATGGCACTTCATGCAGCATTCCTCATCGCACCGTTCACTACGGCCGTTGGCGGACTCTGATGAGTAGTGTTTCACATATGTATAATTTTTGTCGTCTTTTGGAATGGGTTCAAGTGGGCAAGACCTCAACAGGCATGCATAAGGAGCGGAAGACGCGAGACCAGGCACCCGGTGTTCCAGTGGTTTGAGGGATTCTGCATTGGGAGAGTTAGGAAGGCTCGCTTGACGGTCAATAGCAAGGCGCGGGAGGGAGGTCGGTTATCGTCTTTACGAAACACCCAAAGATTTCCCATCCCCTCAGTCCTGTCCTCCTACACAATTCGGCGCCCGCCGGAGTGTCAGGACGGATGGGCTCAGTATATATACGTGGTATTCATTCATGACCATGATCGATGAAGGGCTGGCGAGTGGGCCTTGGGCGAGAGGCGAGATCTGGACGGAGTCAACAACGCCGAAACTGGCACAAGGATCATATCATCATAAATTGTGCAGCAGACGAGCGGGCAATAAGACCGCATGGGATGGGAGAGTATGATAAGAATCTAATCAATTTGGCCTAGGTCATAGAAGTCTAAATGAAAGCAAGACGGGACAAAAACCTTCCTAACTCTCGCGTTTGACGTGATACGCATAAGCACATGCCTTGTAGACTCGCACCCTCCTTCCCTAGTGAAGTAAACGCTTGATAGGTTTCTTCATGTGATTGATGTCCACCCGAAATCGTAGGTTCCTACAAAGCTACTCTGTGAGCACATGTTGTCCAAACTTTTCCTTTCTTGCAAGGATAGGAAAGAGAAAAAATGCATGCAGAGTTCCTTGTGCTCGTGAGGCAATAGCGCAAGAGGGACGCTGAGGGGAGGAGAGGAGAGAGAAGGTCGCAGTGTTGTACATCGTGGTATTTCAGGGGGTATCTATCTCCTAACGGTACCATTCCTGTCAAGCGACGCCTTTCTGTGGCCGTGATCTCTGGCATTGAGAGCACATCCAGCCTTGCTCGACTTGCGTGTTCATCCGCCACCTCCCATACCTTTACTTTCTCCAAGGGCTCGGTCGAAGCCCGACTTCATCACTGAACCCTTGAAGCGAATGCAGCCAGATTTCAAAAGCTCTTCGGCGTCTCACCTTCTACCAAGGCGTCCTCGCCTTGGACCCGACGCTCGTTCTTGAGACTGGCCTGTCTTTAGCTGCAGGTTCGTCTCATGACCCGGTTTGGAACCCTGTCCCATCTTCAGGCTGAACAAGGTCATAGACAAGGTGTCTAGCAATTTCATCGGTGTATGTTCATTTTTGGGTCAGTGCCATGGCTGCTAGCACGCCCAGGGCAGCCAAAACGAAGAACACAAGAGCACCCGAGCCCAAAAAGCCCAGCAGCGCAACCAGGCTGCCTTCACGCTGGGGGTTCTCGATACTCCTCAGGATCTTGTCGAGTCTCTCGGCCATTTGGGTGTCAGCGAACTGGGTGCGGACCCTCTCGTCGCCCTTGCGACCCATCTCCTCCAGCTGCTGCTGGCTCATCTCGCCCAGGACCTTGCCCATCACCTTGGTCCAGGCCGCGACGTCCTCAGGGTCCCTCAGCCAGCCCGTCTCGCCCTCGACGACCGTCTCCGTGGGCCCGCCGGTGTTGGCTGCCAGCACGGGGGCGCGGGCTAGCATGGCCTCGAGGGGCACGATGCCGAAGTGCTCGTTCGAGGGGGTGTAGACGAGCAGCCTCGCCGACCTGAGGAGCTGCTGCTTGAGCGCGTTCGTGACCGACAGCAGGAATATGACGTCGATCTCGGCCGGCACGGCCAGGGCAGTCTGTGCTGAATGTACGGTCGCCTCGGTAAGTTTGAGGGACTGGGCAAGCTCGACGAGCTCCTTATGGTAGGACACATTTTCGGACACGCGAGAGTCGTATCCACCTAGAACGTACGTCTGTTAGTCTCACAAATGTGACGTATAATATACAGGTCATTTTGACGAAGGGTGGGGATAGAGCGGGCAGATAAATAGGGTTGGGCCTCATACCGGCAATAACGAGCTTGACGCCATTCCTCTTGTGCTTGGGCAGCCCAGCGTACGCCTTTATAGCCAGGGCGATGTCCTTCTTTCGCTCATAGCGATTGATACTTAGGATGATGTCGCCGTGCTCCCATATCAGCCCTCCATCTTTGCCCTCGCCCCCTTTGCCCGGGGGTCGTATGTCTATGCAAGGGTAGACGACCTTCAGGTCCCTACTCCTCGCCAGGCTCGGCCAAGTGCGCGAGACCACCCCCCTTGTGAACTTGCTATTGACAGCGATCGCGTCCGCAAAGCCCATGCTGCACCTCTCTAGCGTGTCAAACGGCAGGCGGTACAGCTTCTTCAGCCATCTGTCCCGCCCCTGGACGAGGTGGAGGTCGGGAAAGTGGCAGTAGAACAGGATGGGCGCCTTTGGCTGCAGGAACTGCAGGAGTGGCAGCCCGGCGCTGAGCTGGTCGACGAAGAAGGCATCCGGCCGCAGGGAGGCGAGCTCGCCGTTGAGGCGGATCTGGACGAGGAGGTGGAGTTGCCGCGCGATGGCGCACAAGATGCTGAGCTTGGAGAAGATCGAGGGTGGGAAGATGGTGTTCCCGCGCACGCGAACCTCGAGGGTCCCTTTTAAAGATGAAGTCAACAGATGATCATGAAGAGAAGAGGTGTGCCGTAACGGGCTGGGATGGGGGTAGTGCGGCGTGCGGGAAGGCGGGAGGGACCTATGTACCGTCTCTGGCCTCGTCAAAGCAGTGTTTAGGATCACAATGGCTTGTGAAGACGATAACCTTGTGGCCCCTGTTCTGCAGTCCCACAGCGGCATCGACCACCAATCTCTCAGCACCACCAATGCCAAGATCTGGATGGAAGAAGACAATTGTCTTCTTCTTTCCCGTCGCTGTCGTCTCTGCCATCCTGCCGAGGAGCTGGTTCAGTCTTGCATTCCTGTGTATTCTGAGCCACACGTTGTGGAGAGGACATGTAAGTGCATTACTCTGAGTACGGTGCAGACGTGGGCTTGCGACAGTCCCCAGCTAGGACATATGTCATGGTAGCCCCGAGATGACTAAGCCACTGATTCGCACCTCAACTTCACTTTGGGCGACGCATGTTTGACCACGTAGTAATCTCACTCCCGAATCCAAAGTTAACGAAACACCACGGCGGTGGCAGCAGCAGCAGCAGCAGTGACCATGGGACCCTTTTTCTATGAATATTTTCAATTAAAGAGAGCGAGAAGAACCTAAAGCTTCAAAAACCACCCTGGTCCAAAGCTCTCAGGGAGGGGTATCTCAAGTACCATTCGTGGAAGCCTCATCGTGAGGCCTCATTACCGCCCGCGCGAGTCCGCAGGTCTTGTTGCCCTCCGCATTACGTCCCGGCAAATTGCCACCAGACCATTCCAATCGTACATCCGTCATGCCGTCTGGCAGAGGAAATCAGCATATTTCGTCATCATGTTCTTTTTTCCCGCCAGCAAACTCCAATATGTCCTTCATGTCATTTCAATCGAATCCCCCCATCCACTGCTCTAATTCCGTTGCCTTTGTACGCCATCTACCAAACCCTTTGTGGACGCTGAAGCCGATGACCGGATGGACTGTGGGGTGAAATGTGAAGAGAGCGAGTGTCGAGAAAGTTGAGAATTAATTCGTGACGGGTCGACGTCAGAAATGCGAAGAAAAAACCGAAAACAAAGGTTGAGTGTCGATAGCTTTCCTCTCCAGTGACTTAGAGGAACATGGCGGCGACACCGGCGGCAGCCAAGAAGCCGGCAGCTGGGGCAGCTGTCATCTTAGGCGCCTACGAGTCGATAAAGTTAGCACGAGAAGGCGCAAGCACGGGCAAACAAGTAATCCAGTCACCCATTTGGGAGTTTTTTTGGAAGGAAAAAAAAGGGGGGGGGGGGTTAGCTTACAAAGCCACCAGCGGTAGAGCTGGTTGCCTCGCCCGCAGCGCTGGAAGCGGCAGAGCCAGCGGCACCGGAGGCGGAGCTGGCAGCACCGGAGGCAGAGCTGGCGGCGCCCGAGGCGGCGCTGGAAGCAGACTCGGCAACGCTGGACGCAGACGAGGAAGCCTCTGAAGCGACGCTGGAGGCGGACGAGCCTGCACCACCGACTCCGAAGATGGTGGTGGCAGCGGAGGTGGTGATGGTCGAGTCACCGCTGGTGATGGTGGTGGCGAAAGACGACGTGGTAATGGCGCTCGAGGACTCAGTGGCAGAGCCGCTCTCGGTAGAAGAACCGCTCGCAGAACCGCTCTCGGTGGCAGAGCCGGTGGCAGAAGGAGAGCCAGTCTGTGCATATGTCAGCTTCAAGTGCGGTGGGTTGACCGAAGGAGGGGAACTTACGACGACAGTGGTGGGGACGGATACACCAGCGGCTGTTTGTCGCGAAGACACAAACGTCAGTTTTCAGCCCAGCATGGAGAACGGGTGTGCCTGGATGGGCCAGGGCAGCACGTCACTTACAAGAGCAGTAGCTCACACCGTACGAAACGACAGCGGCCTCGACATCAGCGCCGCAAGCCTGGTTGGCGCAATCGCGCAGACCGTAGCTGAAGTCGGCGTTCTTGCAAAGACATGAGGGGTCGGGCTGGCCATTGACGGGAGGGCAGCCCAGGTTGGCCTGCTCCTGCAGCATGTTCGTGATGCAGGTTCGCTTGAGGAGATTGTCAGCACATGATGAGCGACAAGCAGAGAAGACAAACAGAGAGACTTACGCCACACTCAGGGACGGAGTTGATGTCCTGGGCGGACACGGCACCAAGGAGGGCGCTGATGAGAATGGCGGCGGTCTTCATCTTGATTGTTGGGTTTGGGTTTGGTTGTTGGTGTGTTGATAGTGGCTGCGAGAGAAGATTGACGACTGTCGATGTGTGGCAGTAATACTCAAAGTGGTGAAAGGCTGTTTGGGATGAAAACTTGGGTCAACACGTGGGAAGATGCGCGGTTGGGTAAGTGGTGAAGGTAAACAAGAGGGAGGAAGGCGATGAACGTTTGGGGGAAGTGAAGAAGCGGGCGCGGTCGAACTTAAAAGACGGACGGGGTCACAGATGCGGACGAAGTGAGGTGGCTGGCTGGGGGAAGGTGCGATTTGTCGGTGCAGCGGTTCACAAAGAGGCCAAGGTCAGGACTGGGGGCAGATGGGCAGCAGATGGGCAGATGGATAGACAAGGTGGGCAAGGTAGGCAAGGTACGACAGTATGCAATCTTGGAGAGGGGCCTGCACTTACTGGATCGACGGACGAGGCTTGCCAGGGTGTAAGGTCGAGATGAGATGGGGATGATGGACAAGGACTGAAGGAAGGCAGGCAAGGCACGTACATGTTGACCTGACTGAAGGTGCGCGCAGGTACCGGTGGGCGGTTGTTCTACTGTGGTACCTTGGTCTAGGTAGCTTGGTGCTACTACTGTATGCGGGAGGTGAGGTGAAATGAGGCAGGGCAATGGGCCTCTCCTCCTTGTTTGGCTGATGGTCGGTCGTCACTATGCCACCACAGTCACTGCTTTTCCCATACCACGCTACAGCAGCCCAGTTTCCGCCCCAGCTGCACCTGCAACCTGGGCAAGGGCCCCCCAGGTACACGTCCGGGTACCTGGTGATGAAAGGACATAGCCGCCAAATTGGCGTCGCGTAGCTTGGCTGGTGCGGTACCTGCCCTGGTCAATCTTGGCCTCCCCCAGCCGACCTGGACATCCCTGCCTTGGTCGCTAGGTGCCATTGTTCTTGCTGGGAAGCTGCAGGAGCTGCAGCTCTGGCCCTGATCTTGTCGATCCCCGCTTATGATGCATCTCCGTCCATCCACACCACCCAGGTGGGCCACGTCCATATGGCACACTGGGACATGCCCATTCATTCCAGCTGTGTTTTCCAGAATTTTTCGAGCTGACCTGCCCTGCCCTGCCCTGCCTGGAAGCCTCCGACGATCGACGTTGTGGACTATGCCGTTGCTCCGTTTTTTCCGTTGCTGCAGCTCCCTACGCAAACTTGCATATACCTGTATGGATGTATCTGGCAGCACCGTGACGGGCCACGGCTACGCGCAGGTCTTAAACTCTCCCAATCTGCCGTGCCTTGGTGCTCGCACTACCGTATTTCAGTCAGCCTCTTTGGACGCACGCATTACACTGTCCCCTTGGCGGACTGCTGCTGTCATCGGATCTGTCAGGTGTGGGCCTGGAGCTCCCCATTCTCGGTGTGATGCCCTGGAGGCGATACCGTACAATGCACAATGCCATCCCTGGCGGGTCGACCAAAGAATGGGGTCGGAAGCAAATCAGGAGCGGTGTTTGCAATGACGGTGTCACTCGCATGGCGGGACCGCGATCCGTCTCACAGGCCCGGGTACAAGCACACACGGCGGCGACCTTGAAACCTGGAAGGCTACATGTACGCAACACGGGAGCGGTCAGGACCCAAGGACTCAGGGCCCAGCCGCGAGGCATGCTGGGCTCCAGCACGCGTGCCCTCAACCAGGCTTTTCGGTGTGGGCAACCAAGGAGGTGTGCCATTACCGCCAATTCTACCCCGTCAGTCCGTCCGTCCCTCGCCTGCTACTGGCCCGTCCGCTTAACAGCCGTGGTCCTACGTGGATGCGCTGTGGACTGGCCTGACTCCGACAGGGCCCTCACCGATTGATCGGTACAGTATAGATGCACTGGCCGAATCGACCAAAGGGCCCGCTCCTCCAGCAACTTTTAGGTCGCGCAAAATCTGGTATTCTTTTTGTGTCTGGAGGCCCCCGGCGCTTGGTAGCCAAGGTGCTGGCCATCGCGAAGAATCAGAGCATACGGCGACCCGGCAGCTCTAGCGTGTGCTGAAAGCAGGGAAAACAAGCTCTCCAAGACCAGATGAGGTCAATTTTGAGTGTTTGTTGGCGGGCCTGGGTGGCTGGTCCCGGGCGTTGGCTGCCACCCATTGGACAATGGCAGACCTGGGCCGGGCCTTTGGGGAGCAAGGACTACCCGGTCTTGACGTTGCATTGCACCGGCAGGGGCAAAGACACGCATCAGTGCGCCAGCATCATTGAGGGGAGGCCACCCGGAGAAAGAACACGCGCCACATCTGGAGAAAGCCCGAGCCTGACTGACGTATTTTGGGCATGATGTGGGCAGAGAACCGACTCCTTCTACATTTCGACTTGGAAATGAGGACACTTGGGTCTTGCGAAGCACTGATGGATGGCCTCTTCGTCGGGACCCACGAACTCAAAGCGGTGTCCCAGATGATGTCATAGGATCGAGAAACCCAGCAACACTAACATGACAGTACCCAGGCACAGAGATGCAGATTATTCCGTACTGTAATGTACGCACGCACGCACGCGAATCCGTGCGAGAAGCCACCCACCGGCGGCTCCACTTTGCTCGATTGGGGCTCTGAACATCTGGGGGCGTTTTCTTCCCCAACTTCCCACCACCAGAAACACCCGGCCGCGGCCTTGATACTTGTGTAACGTCCTTAATTTGCGGGCACCTGTCGCCTCCAACCCATCTCACGACCTTGCCTTTTCCGTCGTGCAGGTGTCATCTCATCACTACCACCTAAGAGTCCAACGGACCACTCAGCACGCACAGAAGACAATGTTTCGTCTGTGCTGTGTCTCGGCGACATTATAATTATCAGCTACCTGCCCAACTCTTTCATCTTGTCGGCGTGACCACCGTGCGTATGCCGAGTGTGGATTAGCTCGACCAATTTAAGATGTACACTTTCGACTGTGCCAGGCCACGAGACGAGTTCGTCTCCTTCATTGCCCTTTATCTTGACAGTCATTCCGCCTTTCACCACTTCCTCAATCACCCACATATCAAAGCGACTGAGGGGTGAGCCGGTGTCGGCCAGGCAATATTTTAGGCTTTCTATGATGAGGAGGAAGCAACAGTGGGATGCGCTCAGTCCCCAGTCCCCAGCCACCAGCTCTCTGGCCTCTTGTTTGGCCACCGTCCACGGCCTGTCGCATTATCAGCGCGAGAGGAAAACATGCTGAGCACAGATCGTAGTCAGAACTCTATAGCCCTGGTAGTCCATCACTTGCAGGCCACTAGCCCAATACAGCATGCCGCCGATAGCCATCCACAGTCGGCACCGAGGTCTGGAACTTCCTGGCTGGCGGCCCGCCAACGTCCTTGAAAGGCCTCCTGTACTGCTGCCCCTGGCCTTTAGTAGCTTATCAGCATTGAGTGTAACCACACCTGGATCTACGAGCCTACAGACTTGGCCGTGTTGTGGCGCCAGAATGGTCAGCCACTTCTCCCATTGGGCCATTGTCCAAATGAGGCCTCAAACGCGGCGGACAAGGCAAGCTGAGCTCTTGAGCGCTTGCAGCTGCTTGCATTGTCCACTGTCGGCAGTCATTTCCGGAAGGTCAAACTAGTTCAACCGCCTTCATTTCAGCCGGGCCAGGACCGTTGGTGCAGTTACGCTCATCAAACCATTATATCAAATACCTTTGTAAGTGATTGTCATGAGACAGAGCTCGGCCGGGAGACGCGCTGGCGGATTTTGCTTTTGCAAGAGTTGGCTGAGTAGCTCATCGAGAATAACGTATGGTTGCGGCGTCCTCAAAGCCCTCGAGAACCTGCAAAGCATTGTGCTCCCTCCGATGGGCTAGAGCACGTTACCAGTGTATCTCTACTCGGTCATTGTCATGCGCCTAGTACAGCGAGAAAGGGGCATGTCGAATTAGCGTTCGCGCCACGTCCCGCGAATCGATGTGCGCCAGCCCGAGTTCGTCTGCGGCATCAAGCGCATAGTAGGGTCATCATCAATTTACAAGCCAGCGCACCAAAGTCCAGATCGGCCGGCAAGACCGATGATTTGACTTGCCTCTGATTGAACCTTGGACAAAGAAAGCCGGATTAGAACTTCGGTCTTCGACCCAGCGATGTTCTAGATCTACCATGCGAGTGATGAGCTAAGAAACGATGAGTGTCGTGGGCCAACCATGACCATACTGTAGGGAATTGCTGGCCTCCCCGGCGCAGTCGAGACGTGGGCTGGCCTGCTCAGGCGTAGAGGCGGGCCTATCAATCGCGCTCACCACAGCAGTCCTCGGCCTAGGATGTGTGGCCTGGGGGGTCCCTACGGTAGGTCACGTCCAATCCACCCCATGCGATCTCCCACGAGGAATATGTTCGGATGGCAAAATTGGGCGTTCCAACCACTCGGAACCCCGAGCACGTTTTTCTTGCACATTTCACGCGGGGCTCTCTATGGCAGACAGGCATCCTGCTCCGGCGCGAGGTGGATTCGCCTTCTACCGTAGTATCAGCGACGACTTTCGGTCAACAACGCCGCCATGGGGGTTAATTAAGCCTTGTGCAGATAGAAAATGATCCCGAAGAGCCTCGGACGAGGTCATGTCTTGAGTCACGCTGAAACCCGAACTCATACTGTATCCCCTCGGGTCTAACCACGAAACGGTGTCTTCCCGATGAAGTTCTCTGCGCTACGCTGTTCTAATGAGTTGCTGATCTCCGCGGGAACATCGTGGACACTCACAGTGGAATGAGCAGAATAACTTACAATGAAAGGGGTGAAAGATAACCCTAATCAGCAGTGAAGCAAGCTTTTGACCTGCGGCAGTATGGACATGTCAAGCGGTTTCAATCGGCCAAGCATGACAACGAAGGCGTGATCAGAACTATATTCACAGATAACAGAAGACTATGACCATCCTTAACCCAACTTCCAAATAGAGAGTGGTATAACAAGACAAGTAAAAGAAAAGGAGGCGTGTAGCACCTCCGTGAAGAGATGGGCTCTCACACGCCTCACCATGACTGCATCCCTCCGTCCTCGCCTCGTACCATGTATGTCGTCGCTGCTGCTGTGCAATGAGACGCAGCCTCGTAGTATTACCCAATGTCTTGCAAGCGATTTATGTATGACACCGCCCCTTGCACCGTTGAATGAGAGAACCCCTGCCCAAAAGAAAACAGAAAAAAACGACGCCCATTCTCATGACTTGCTGTCGTCAACATCAACTCGTACTCATTTCTTACACCCGATGCCGATGGAGTGCTCTAACCACTGCACATCACACAGGACTCGGGGTTGTCAATGCTACCTGTTAAGTTGTTAGTAACGTAAATTCAAAGCAAAAGAGTACATGATGGCTTACATTGCAGGACAGCTTGTGAGTAGATGTCCATCTCCCGGTCAGCGCTGTCACCATCCTTATCCTCAGACTGACCGTCAGGCTTCTTTCCATCGAGGAGCTCCTCCTCCACCGGCTTCTCGGCCGGCTCGATGGGCAGGGCCTTGGGGCTCTCGCCTTCCTCTTGGTCGGCCTTGAACGGGACGGTCCTGGGCTTGGAGGGAGATGACAAGATACGTGCCGCAGCCTCTTGGTCGACAGATGGAGTCGAAGGAGGCGGCGTGATACTTGGTGTGGGGATTCCGTTAGACCTCACAGTGTTAGGGCCGCTCACAGACTCCTTCTTCGCATACATGGGGCGCACAAAGCTGCTAGCTGAGGGCTGCCACATGCCGGCTGGAGGAGCACGCTTGCCCAGCCCACTGTGCTTAGCACCGGTCTGCTCCTGGATCTTGAGTGCCTCCTGGTCGACAGTGAACTGGATGGGTGCCGCAGCTGCCTGAGTGCGAAGGTAGTACATGCCAGTCTTGAGACCGAGCTTCCAGCCGGCGAAGTGCATGCTGGTGATCTTGCCCATAGACGGCTCTCGCATGTGGATGTTGAGTGACTGAGACTGGTCGATAAAGGCACCACGGTCAGCGGCCATCTGCACAATGGTCCTCTGTGAAATCTCCCATACGGTCTTGTACAGGGCCTTGATATCAGCAGGAATGCTGGGGATGTTCTGAATGGAACCATCCTCGGCGATGATGCGGTTCTTCATGGCCTCAGACCACAAGCCAAGCTCTGTCAGGTCCCTGAGAAGCCAAGGGTTGACGACCTGGAACTCGCCAGCAAGCACACGTCGCTGGTAGATGTTGGACGTGTATGGCTCGAAACACTCGTTGTTGCCCAGAATCTGGGAGGTGGATGCAGTGGGCATTGGCGCCAGCAACAAGCTGTTGCGGACACCAGTCTCCTTGATCTTGTCCTTCAGGGCCTCCCAGTCCCAAAGGTCGGAAGGCTTGACATTCCACATGTCGAATTGGAGGATACCCTGGGAGACCGGGCTGCCCTCGTATGTCTTGTACGGGCCTTCCACCTTGGCAATATCGCTTGATGCTGTGAGAGCAGCGTGGTAGATGGTCTCGAAGATCTGCTTGTTCAACTCACGAGCCTCAGGGGAGTCGAAAGGCATACGAAGGGCCAAGAACGCATCAGCAAGACCTTGGACACCGACGCCAATAGGTCGGTGTCGCATGTTGCTGTTGTACGCTTCCTTGACCGGGTAGTGGTTGACATCGATGATCTTGTTCAGGTTGCGAACGACAACTTGCGTAACCTCATGCAACTGCTGGAAGTTGTAGCAGTTGTTGTCGTAGTCAACGTATGCTGGCAGAGCAATAGAGGCCAGGTTGCAAACGGCGACCTCATCCGGAGCAGAGTACTCGATGATCTCAGTGCAGAGGTTGGAGCTGCGGATGGTACCCAGATTCTTTTGGTTGCTCTTTCGGTTGCAGTGATCTTTGTACAGCATGAAGGGGTTGCCAGTCTCGGTTTGAGCCTCGAGGATGGCGTACCAAAGCTTCTGGGCCTTCATGGTCTTGCGACCGCGGCCTTCCTTCTCGTACTGCTCGTAGAGGGCTTCAAACTCCTCACCGTAGCAGTCGGCGAGGCCGGGGCACTCGTTGGGGCACATGAGGGTCCAGTCACCGTTCTTCTCGACACGCTTCATGAAAAGATCGGGGATCCAAAGAGCAAGGAAGAGATCACGGGCTCGGATCTCCTCCTTGCCATGGTTCTTCCGCAGATCGAGGAACTCGAAGACATCAGCGTGCCATGGCTCAAGGTAAATAGCGAAGGCGCCGGGACGCTTGTTGCCACCCTGGTCGACGTAGCGGGCAGTGTTGTTGAAGACCCGCAGCATGGGGGTGATGCCATTAGAGGTACCGTTAGTGCCAGCGATATAGGAGCCGGTGGCACGGATACGGTGGACGTTCAGACCGATTCCTCCCGCCATCTTAGAGATCATAGCACAAGTCTTGAGAGTATCGTAGATGCCCTCAATGCTATCCTCCTTCATGTCGACGAGGAAGCATGATGACAGCTGGGGCTGGGGAGTGCCAGCATTGAACAGCGTGGGCGAGGCGTGCGTGAAGAACTTGTTGGACATCAGGTTGTAGGTCTCGATGACTCTCTCGACATCGTCTCCCCAGATGCCAACGGCGACACGCATGATCATGTGCTGTGGCCGCTCGACAACTTTACCATCGAGCTTGAGGAGGTACGAGCGCTCGAGAGTCTTGAAGCCGAAGTATTGGTAGCCAAAGTCGCGGTCATAGACAATGGCAGAGTCAAACTCCTCCTTGTGGCGCATGACACAGTCGTATGTCTCTTGAGAGATCATGGGCGACGGTTTGCGGTTCTTGGGGTTGACATAGTGGTAGAGGTCGCTGACCACAGAAGACCATTGCTTCTTGGTCTGCTTGTGCAGGTTGGAGACTGCGATACGCGCAGCGAGGATGGCATAGTCGGGGTGGGTGACGGTCATGTACGCGGCAGTCTCAGCAGCCTGGACACGAAGAGCAATCAGCACCTAGACGTCGAAGGGGGGCAAGCAGAGAGGTAGCAAGGTTACTGACGAGATCATCCAGCTGGATGGTTGTGACACCTCCGTAGACACCGCTGATGACCTTCTGCGTGATCTGGACGGGGTCGACGTGGTTCATGTCCAGACCATAGCACAATCGCGAGACACGCGCCGTGATCTTGTCGAACTGGACGCGCTCCTGGCGCCCATCTGGCCGCGTATTAGTTTCCGATGTAAGTCAAAGTGAGGGGCTTGGGAAGTCTTACCTCGCTTTCGTACAAACATCGCGTCGAAAGTGTTGTGAGGGCGTTTGAGAGGGTACGACAAGAAGGAGGGGCAGGTTTTCCGCGGTGGCGACCTACAGGTCCGGCGATGCGGGACAAGATACGGAGGGCACCGGGAAAGTTAGTTTGCTTGTGAAGCAAAGGCAATTGCGTATGGTTCTTGCCCCGGAGAAGTCTTAGAGAGGGAACAAGTAAAGGGACAGTAAGTGGATGTTGTGAAGTGAAGATGGAAGAGGGGAATAATGCACCACGGTTACGGGAAAGTTTTAAGTAGTCGTGCTCTGGAGAGCGCGTGTTACTAGCAAGCCCAGCAAAAACGCGTCTTGTTGTGGGCGGGCAGGAAGAGGACGCGCAGAGGCTCGTGCTGCCCCTGTCACCCCATGCACCACTTCCCAAGTGCCTGGGGTACTGTGCATCACAGCAGACATGGCCTGCATATGAGCAGTGCTCCAGGATCAGTCCGCTGTACTGTGTATGCAGCAAGATCTGATAAGTGCAGGGGCCAGCCAGTCTGACAGGCTGGGGGCCACTTTACGCGCTTAGCAGCTCACCCGCGGTCGTAACGTGTTTTAATGGTAGTGCCCACATAAGCAGTAGATCACTCACACATCACGACCCATCCATCCAGCAACCCAGCAGCCCAGCAACCCAGCGGCACGGACGTGGCTTGGACGAGTGTGAGTCAATTCTGGGTTTGCTGCCTGTTGCCTGTAGCTACAGTATTTATTTGAAGTTGATCACGGACGGACTGCGAATGCTGAGGAATGACCGTGAATATACTCTCGTCCTTGCCTACACGAGCCAGGCTTTTCTCAGTACGAACTAGCACTCTCACCAAGATCACAATCACAAACAGAACTGCTGCAGCACACTTCTCCGTGTGTGCATCCTCCAGGATGGCGTCCCATTCGCAATCTCCGCCTCCAGCTCCGTCAATAGCCCCCGAGAACGGAGCTGCAGACGTCACCTCAGCCCCAGCATACAGGCCAAGATACATAGATGTACGTTTCCCCTTGACCCTCTCTACTGCATTTCTGCACTGCATGCGCGTGGAAGATCCTGACCGGCCCCAGATCGGAATCAACCTCGCAGATCCCATATTCCGGGGCGTCTACCACGGCAAGCAAAGACACGATGATGACCTCAGCGGTCTGGTAGACCGCGCCAGGCAGGTCGGCTGCACCAAACTCATCGTCACGGGGTCCAGCTTCAAGACCTCGAGGGAAGCCCTCGCAATCGCCAAGGAGTACCCAGGCACCGTCTTCACCACCGCAGGCATCCACCCATGCTCCTCCTCAATATTCGACCCGGCCCACCCCCACTCCCACGAGGAGGACGGCGACGGCGAGCACACGCCGGCCTGCGGGCCGGACCCGGACAAGCCCATCCCGGACGATGCCAAGGCCATCGACCCGGAGAAGACCGAGACGATCATCTCGGACCTCCGCCGCCTGGTCGAGGACGCCCGGGGCCCGGGGCCGCAGCAGCAGCAGCAGCAACAGCGGCAGCTCGTCGCCTTCGGCGAGTTCGGCCTGGACTACGACCGGCTGCACTACTGCCCCCGGTCGCTGCAGCTGCACTCGTTCCGGGCCCAGCTCTCGCTCGCGGCCTCGCTGAGCCCGCAGCTGCCCCTGTTCCTGCACAGCCGCGCGGCGCACGGCGACTTCGTCGCGTGCCTGAAGGCCGCCTTCGGCGAGCGGCTCGAGGGGCTGGAGAAGGGGGGCGTGGTGCACAGCTTCACGGGCACGATAGAGGAGATGAGGGAGCTCATGGACCTGGGCCTCTACATCGGCCTGAACGGGTGCAGCTTCAAGACCGCGGAGAACTGCGAGGTCGTCCGGGCCGTCCGGCTGGACAGGCTGATGATCGAGACGGACGGGCCGTGGTGTGAGGTGCGCCCGACCCACGAGGGGTGGAAGTACCTCGTCGAGATAGACAAGAAGGAGAAGGCCGCGGCTGAGGCGTCAGAGGCTGCCCTTCGCGACCAGGCGAACCAAGTTAATGGAGACACGGTTTCGCCCCCAGCAGCAAAGCAGCCGCCCAAGAAGCAGCAATCAATCAAGAAGCCACAGAAAAAGGAGTCAGAGGTCATTGAGAGGTTTAAGACGGTCAAAAAGGAAAAATGGGTAGAGGGCGCGATGATTAAGGGCCGCAACGAGCCCTGCATGATAGAAAGGGTGGCCAAGATCGTGGCAGGTATCAAGGGTGTCTCGATCGAGGAGGTATGCGAGGCTGCATGGCAAAATACAGCCAAGGTATTCGGAATAGACGAAACATAGACAAGAAGATACACGAGCGAGTCTTGAGGATGGCTGAAGGATGCAGACACGAATGATTTTCCAGCGTCAGGAGTCACTAGACTAGAATCATGGATAAGCCTCGTTATAATGGGCTGCGGTCATATCGACATATTGTATTATCATAACCATCAAATCCCAGAGCCTTTGTAGCCTCTGATCCTGCCATGCCGTACGGCACCAATGGTCACGCCCTCTTCTCCCGTCAGCCAGCCCGGCATCCTTTCCCCGTCGATGATGCCAGCCTCGACCAGCTGTCGTATACCAGCGAACACGTGTGGTCCGTGAAAAGTCAGCTTGACACTTGGACGCCACGCTTCGTCATCATCTACATGGTCGCCTCCGCCTCCGCCTTCATCGTCCGGCTCACGAGCCCGATCAAACGCCGTGTCCATGATACTCCTGCGGACAGGCCGGTTTTGTGGAGAATCCGGCGCTCTTTCAGGGGCCTCCCCATCATCGTGCATAGGGTCCATTCTCGTATGGAACGGATCGTCGATCACAATGTCGACCCTTTCTACGCCTTTGCCGTCGTCGATTCTTGCCGAATCACCAAACCTGGCTTGAGCAACCAGCCTCGCGCGTTTCAACCTGCGCTCATCCCGTGCCGTATCGGGCGAGACCGCTCGTTTTCTGGACGGTTTCTCCTGGCCAGAGTTATTCGTGGAGCGACTGTCGTCCGCCTCACTGAGCGGTGGCGAGGGGAGCACTGTTCCCAAGGGCGACTCTTTCTTCTTTTCATCCGCATAGATACTCCAACCACCACCAGTTGAGTTCGTCCTGCCTGCTCCCCGTCTGTGCAACAGCTCTTGGATGTGTCTCGTGTTCAATGCAGTGGGCTTCAGTGTATATCTCTGCCTTGGTCGTGACAAGGCCTTGGGTACGCCCTCGATGACGAGGGCGTATAGACTCTTTGTATCACCACTAGCAGCCGGACCGATAGTCTGTGGTTTGCTGATGTAAACGTATGGGCTCCCGTCGGGGAAGGCCACGTAGATAGTGCGGCTGGCGTCACCATCGGCTGCTGATGTTGCGAGCTTGGTGTTGTATGGGGAGTCGAGGATGAGAATGCGCAACAGCAGCAAGGCCATGTCCTTAGGGCGGTCAAAACTGTAATGCGCCTTTACGTCGGGTAGAACCTGGGCCTGGAGGTTCTGCAGGAACGTAGAAGGGTGGAAGCGCGGTACTTCCAAGGACGAGGAGTCGATCTTGAGGGGCTCGTCGTCCTCTGCAGCCTGTTGCGGCGTGGGTATCTTGAGGGGCATGATGTGGTATGCGCTCCATTTCTGGGAGGTTGGATTTTGGTAAAGATGTTGCAAGTCCGCCATTGAGATTTGATAGAGAGTCAGGCCGTGGCGCCAGTCCCCTTCTACTATGCGATCGACGACTTCGCGCTTAGAACCTTTGCGGGCCTGCATGTCTGAGTAAAGCTCGCGGAGCTCCTCGACGGTGGACAGCGGCGGATAGAGGTCGGCAGGGTCATCATCGTCATTGTCGGCCTCGGGGTCGCGGAGATAGGGCGCACAGATGGAGGCATTGTTGTCGTCGAGCCAGTCGAGCACGAGTGCAAGAAGGGACGGGCGGGTCAGACGGTTGAGATGCTTGAGGACAGTAGAGCTGGAGGAGTCGATGCGCAGGGTCGAAGGGAGGCGGGCAGTGGTGGGGACAGAAATACGCGCCATGTCTCGTCGTCAACAAAGCCCACAGGGAGCATCATCGCAGAGGCTGCTGCTGGTGAGGATAGCTGATGCGACCGACCCACGTCATACGGTGATGCGATTGCTGATGGACGCTCTGCAGAAGAGACGCGTCGGGGCCTCTGGGTGACGCGAACCCTGGGTGCCAAGCCCACGGTTCTATCCGGCACTGGCAGTCTGCAAGTCTGCAGGTCCCATCGCTTACTACTCTGGGTCAAGCAGAAGCTTGCAGGGCTTATCTAAGCGACCGTAGGACCTAAACCTTGATAAGAAGGTAGGCTTGGCATTTGCATTTGTTACCTGTCATCAGACACAAGAGATAGGGAGCAGCAGTCTTGATTTATCAGCAGCAGCGGGGCAGGCTGTACGTTTCCCGACTTGTCCGCAAAGCTATCAGGGTACTACATAGATAGAACACAATTGCGCATCCAGGTTACTTATATACTGTCAAATAACCAACGCAATATTACACTGCATCCGGATTGGAGCACCGTCGAAGCAAAGGGATGGCAAGCTGGGACTGCCATGTGCTACGTCGGGCTGTATGCTAATAGAATAGCGGTAACTGAGCGCATAGTGAAGGGCGTCGGGTCGTCAGGCTGATTAATCTTGATTAGTATTTTGGAGACGAGAAAATCTAGGGTCCACCTGCTGCGTCCATCGTCGAGTCGTCAGCTCGTGGTGAGTGGTTGGTGCGGCGCAGGGGAGCTTGGCTGGCGGTGCATCTCCGGCGATTCGGCAACGATCGGGCCCATTTTCGCTAGTTGAAACCATCTGCCTCGTCGTCGGCTGGGGGCCCGTGGGCCCTCTTGAAGATCGATGTCTTCGACAGCAAAGGCCTATTCTCCGAGGCTTGTTGTTGTGTGCTGTGTGCCGTGGCCTGTGGGTTGTGGCCCATGGCCTGTCAGTTCAGTCGATGTTGTATTGAAGGGCAGCAATATGAATGAATGCCTCCGCGTCACTGGTGGCTTGTGTCGTGCAGGACGGATGAGGCAACGTAGTGCAGCTCGCGTGCAGCTGCCTACTGTGGTATCCAGCTATTGAGTGTCCCGTGTGCGTGGATACTGCGCAGACGAGCGACGAGTCGAGGCCGTCGTTCTGGAATCCGGGATAGGTTTTGGTCGCATCCTGTGGCTTGCTGTGCGGGATGGGCACACTGCGCCGGAGGTAGCTGGCCAGGGTCCCCACCACTCATTAGATAATTCAATCCCTCGCCATGTGGGATGGCCTGCCGTGGGTGGTGACGCTGTCGGCTCTTCACCCACTCTTAATTTAACCGGCGGACTGGGTGACAATGGGGGTCGTAGGGGATTGTAGGGGATGAAAGGGGAGAGCCGGGCGGCCTGACCAGGCTCTGACCAGGAGAGGCGGCGTGGCCTCGCCTCAGAGGGTGGGGCACCACATTTCCGATCTTGGGAACTGTCCCCGCGTGGGATGATGGGACGCATGTACTCTTGATGAAATGATGAAGGATGGTGTGGTTTAGGGCGGGATCAGAGATTTTCCTCTAACAGCGGGAAAGGTCCCTACACAGGGTTTCCGCACGCGGCCAGGCGCCCTTCCGACCGCAAGCTGTTACCAGTTCCTGTGCAGCACGCAGTTAGCGCCGACCCGCTTGCCCTGGACTGGACTGGGCTGACTGGCTGGACTGGCTGGACTGGGTCTCTTGAACCTGACTGACTGCCTGACCTCAAGCCGTCAGGTCGCTTGCTCGCTCATTCACATCCAACTCTCGTGAAAGCCCCGCAGCGCCCTTGTTCCGACCCCAGTCTCTTACGTTGTCCATATTTTTTCTTTCACCTGCCCCCTCTCCCCCAGATCAAAGAGTGCTTCGCAACACACTCCGCTCAGTCCAATCCCCTTCTCAACATCTCGTCTGACCTGTGTGTGGTTCAAGACTCATTCATATCTTGGCTCCTCCCCAACCTGTCAAACAGGTAAATAACCCATCATCGACTCTCCCGGGTCGCTTTCGTCGTCGCTGCGTGCAGGGTCCGGATGACGCTCGGCCTTGCTGCATTCTGATTACCACCGTTTGGCCGTGACCTGGATCGCCCTTAATAAACCGACCCCCCGATCACCGGCGAATTCGACTGGCACCACTCTCATACTTTACCTCCTGGACCACCCGCGCCAGCGAACTGACTCAACCACACAAAAACCTCGACTCGTGACACTCCGCCCAACCAAGGCCACAAATCATCCTCATCGGCACCTGCTGCAATTAAGAGCACCGATCATCACTCACGGATCAATTTTATCGGGCAACTTACGCACACGTATCCGACACCACCGCCGGCGACGAGATCGCGTTTACGACGACTACGGTTGTGATTGTCGACTCCCGTTTTCGAAGTCACTACTCCGAGCTTGCGAGACCGACTACGTGGTTCGAGCAACAACACAAGACGACGACATGGCCAACTTCAGGCGGCAAGGGTCCAACTTGGCCCAGTTCATGAGGGAACAACTGAACACGGTGCCAACCACCGAACCCGAGGAGGATTTCAGCAACATCGACAGTTTGGATTTGTTTGCGAACACGCAATTCTTCGACTTTGATACCCAGACACAGACCGACTTTAAGCCTACTGCCGAGAGCCCGGCGTCGAAACCCGAACCGTCATCAGCTACGTCGACGATTCCAGGCGAATTTGGGAGCATGGAGTTCAATATGAATAGTGGTAGGTCTTTTTGGGTTTCTATTTGCGTCTGATGCTTGCTCTTCAAAGCGTGCAATGCAGCCATGCTTTGCTTGGTATCCTCTGCTGGCCCTGCCCTGCTCCGTCTGTGCGACTGGCAATCCTTCCTGGGTCCAGGCCATGGGGCACCACGGGCCATCATCGTCATCACCAGAGGTTGAGTCTCTTGGAGAGCAAAGCGGTCTTCCGGCTGAGAGGGGCCGGGTTCTCGGCAGGGGACGGTGAATGCCGAGAGACCTGGCGATGAGGCAAGTGCCTTCTGAGCCTCTGACCGGTTCCGAAAAGCTCAGATCTTCCGTCCGAGACTGCACACGAAGCCAATGGCACTCTGCTATCGCGCACGGAGAGAAACAGCCTTGCCTTCCCCACCCTGCATCTGCGACCTGCACCAAGCTTGCGCCATCAGCTGCCCATCTGATTGGCCCTGGGTGCCTTCAGATGCGAGGACATGTCAATCCCGGCTGCTTTCTGCGAGGGTAGCCTCTGGGGTAGCGCCAGATATGCATCCGCCATAATGGCCATCGATGGCGCCATTTCCCGTGACTTCACAGTGTCACTCTCCATCACCCAGAACCGACAGAACCCATGCCTCACCTGCACCCATCCCCAGACTATACCCCCCCATGGTTCCGCGGTGTCCATTTCTTGATATGTCTGACATGGTCAACATCCCGGGGGCTGTGAAGCTTGTTCATCAGACTTTCCTCCTCAATCCGTGCTTCTCTTTGCTGCGTGTTTCACTACCGTCCACACGACCTGGATGAATCAAATTCTCGTGAAGCACACTTGCTGATCATGGCACTATGCCTCGTACAGGGGAGTTCAATTTCGGCGATTTCAACAACACATACGCGTCTCCCACATTAAACAACTTTCCCGAGAGCCTCGGAAGCCTGCAGCCTATTCAGCCAAATCCACAGGCTGTTTATCCTGCCCAGCACGCCTACGCAAACCATGCCGGCGCTCAGCCCAAGACGGGTGAAAAGCGCCGGGGCACCGAACCCCAGATTCCCAGCCGCGCCATGAACATGGAGGAGGTCTCGAGAGTGGCGGCCGAGGAGGACAAGCGCCGGAGAAACACTGCTGCCAGCGCTCGATTCCGCGTCAAGAAGAAGCAGAGGGAGCAGGCTCTCGAGAAGAGCGCCAAGGAAATGTCTGAGAAGGTCGCTGCGCTCGAGCAGAAGATCACACAGCTCGAGACGGAAAACCAATGGTTGAAGAAGCTGGTCATCGAGAAGAACGAAGGCAGCGCCCCTAGCAAGGCGGCAGCTTCAAAAGCCGCTGAGTCGAAGGATGAGGACAAAGCTGAGGCTGAAATCATTGCCAAGACGGACGAGGCTCCGGTCTCGAAAAGGGCCAAGACCGAAGCATCCTCATAACGCCTGAGTAACCGGGTGGTTTGATCTCGAGTATATACCCGCTACCAACTAGGTTCACCAAAGCCGTTTCCTAGATGCACACACATTGGCAGGCGTTTTCGGGTTGGGCTCGGCCAACACTATGGTTCTCCTCCTTGCGGCACGGGCAGGGAAATTGGTCAAGGAGCATAGTTCCCCTGGAACATGGGGGACGGTGGGGGACTTCATTGACTTCATGTTTATGTTTACGTGGGAAATGTAATTCTGGTTCTCGTTCTGTCTCGGATGAACCTCAGCACAATGAATGCTCAGTAACAGTACTGATTCACTACTTGGTCTCATTATCCTCTGTCTGCAAACCTTGCCTCAAGGCACCCAATCTGACCTGGTTCCTCTTCACCAGTATCCGCAGCGTGTTCTGACGCTCAATTTCAGTCATCTCCCCCCAGTTGTTGATCCTTGACAGCGTGCCGTCCTTGTGAACAACCATAGGGCCCATGTGGTCCAAGCTGATAGGTTTCCCGTCGACCTCGAGGGTCTGCACGTTCCCGCCCTCTGTTGGCGCCGGGAGGGTCTTCACGTCGCCGCCGCCACTCCCACCTCCTTCTCCATCCACAACCCCTGCTGCTGCTGCTGCTGCTGCTGCTTCTCCTGCTCCTCCCCCTGCCGCCTCACGCTCGCCTGCATTCTCGCCGTGATCTGCGGCGTGCCCTGCTGCGGCCCCAGACGGATCTGGCGCGCCTGGGGCCGGGCGCGCGGCGTGATTGGCCGCCGCGGGCGAGGGCCCATCTTGTGTGCTCCCGGGCGCGGCTGACGTGCTCGCGCCTCCTGCGGGGCTTCCTGTCACTGTCATTATGCCGCGGGCTGCGGCCGGGGTGCTCCCTACCACCGCGGGCGTGGGGGCTCGCTGCTGGCGGTTGTGGTGGTAGTAATGGTGTGGTAGCAGCTGTGGGTAGACGCGGCTGACGATGGGGAGGGAAGGCCGCCGTCGAGGCTGGGCGCGGGCGTGGACTCCTCCTGGTGCTGGGTGCTGTTGCAGGTGGCGCCCCGTTGAGGTAATGGTGGTGGTGTGCGTCGGTGAGCTGCGGTGAGGTCCCACGAGTCTCGTGTGCTTTGCCCAGCTCCTCATTGCCGGCTCGAGTCAGGCCTGTACAGGACGTGTTGTCGAGAAAGACCGGTATTTGTAGCGCGTGACCGAGGCTTGTTCCTGTTTTTGAGGCTCATCGGCGATTGCTGGACCATGACTTTCGGGTGGGTTCTAGAACAGACCTTCCCTGGGAGTCCATAATTGGGGTGCTTTGCCCGGCTGGCCCAAGCTCGGCCAAATATCCCTCGCCGTTCAGCGCGGCTTTCTCCATGCTATTTCCTTCATGGGTCACTATTTCGAGCTACACAGAAAATATTGGTCAGAATTCGGGGTTCGTATTTTCTTGGGTGTCCATAGCCCGTTACGGAATTATTCCGAAGCAGAATCTTTATTACTTCGCTATCACATCAAGGAGAGAAGCATATCCGCGGAGGCATGCGACACACAACCGAGGGACTACATGCGAGGGAGCCTTGTGTGACATGTGGTCGATGACGATTCCGAGGAAAGAGGAGCCCCAAGGTGACGGGTCATGACAAGATCTCAGTTGACCAAGGTGAGGTATGACTGGAGCGTAGACTTGTCACCCTCGTGCCGTAAGCCGCCACTCTGACATGTCAGTCAAGCCTAAGTCAGGTCAGCTCAACCTGATACTACCTCCCTGATCTAGTAGAAATATGCTGTGGGCTACGATTGATCCACCTGGGAAGGATTAAACGGGAGTATCCTGGCCGAAGCCCTGCCCTGCCCTGCTAACAAGACTTCTGATCACCAGTCCATTGCTTGTTACACTCGGTCGAATATGCAAACTCGGACTCGTATTGAGATAGGTTGAATTTCGGGCGGCAATGATTATGTAGCTTCCAGGTGATGTCGAATGTTGGTGTGGCTTTCATGATTAACTCATGTACGTAGTATGGGTCATCTAACAACCCAGAATAGAAAATGGATGACAGAAAGTTCATCCACGAAATACTTTCGTGTGGACAGTGTCCCAAATCGAGAGCAAGACGACTCTTACCAAGCTCCTGCCCGATTCGGACGGTTGGTTGTCACTCTGCCAACCAGAGTTTGGGCTGGCATTGTGTTCCCATATGTTCATTTAAGGGGGTTTCCCTGCAGGTTATCCCACAGGAACACAGGAGGTTATCCTACAATACACTACATTTCATCACGCAAATACGGCACTGCAATTGAAATCGGACAGATGTAAATATAATGCCATGGGAATGACGCTTGTATAATTTGGGCCTCTTTTTCCGTAATCAGGGCCTAAAACATATATATTTATACTCTATCGCCCATTCTTGGTGAGCCAACTTAATTGTCGGAAAATTTCTTGAATCTACACAAGAAATTAGTAACCTGCGTACTCAGGAGCGTCTAGGTAATCACTTACTTGTTGACAACCCTCTCGATGCCGTCACATCCCAGCTGGAGCGTCTCCATCTTGGGCCCGTACGAGAAACGCACGAAGTGGTGGCAGGGCGAGTCGAAGAGGTCACGACGCCTCGCCGGGTTCAAATCGAAGAAGATGCCCGGGACGACAATGACCTTCTCCTCCAGGCAGGCCTGGAAGAAGTTCAGGCCGTCGCTGATCGGGCCGGGGAGGCCCTCCAGGTTGAGCCACAGGTAGAAGGTCGAGTCGGGCACGTACTTGATGACGAAGCCCATGGTGCGCAGCCTCTTGACGACGTAGTCACGCTTCTCCCGGAAGTGGGTCTGCAGCGCTTGCATCTCGGTCCTCACTATTAGACGTCAGTTACCTGTTACTGGACCCTTGCTTGTTTCTGGGACATTCTGAAGGTGAGGGAATTTGGAGGTCGTGATGGCAAAACAAGAGCTTGAACATACCGAGCGTGGGCTCGAGCATGGGCACGGCGGCCTCCTGGAAGGGCGCGTTGGTGCCGCCGTCGAGGTAGGAGCCGCAGGAGCCGATGGCCTTGATGAACTCCTTGGGCCCGAGAATCCAGGCGACACGCCAGCCGGGCAGGCGGAAGCGCTTGGTCAGGCCGTCAATGATGAGGACGTCGTCCTCGTCGACGTCGATAACATTCTCGGCGGCGGAGATGGTCGAACCGTCGCAGTTGGAGGTGTAGTTGTAGCCCGAGTAGAACTCGTCGCTGATAAAGGTGGCTCGGCCACGGCAGATGTCCTGGATCTCGGCAAGCTCCGGGTTCTGGACGACACGGCCGGTCGGGTTGCGAGGGTTGGAGGTCAGGATCACACCTGTTCCTCGCCTGATTTCCTCGGCGATCTTGTCCGGGTGGATGTGGTATCCATCCTCCTCGTCCAAAGGCACAGGGATAGCAGCAAACTAGAAAGATGAGTTTAGTGTGAGATCCCTTGCCTATCGCTTAAAGCGCAGCAAAGCTGGACCAGTCGGACTCACATTCCTGAACAACGACAACATCTCATTGTAAGCAGTATAATCTGGGATGAAGAAACCCAGGTAGGCCTGGTTAAGAACCGCAGCGATTCTAATCAGACCAGCACGGCCTCCAGGAACAATGGCAACGTTCTCCCAGGTGTACTGGCTGGCCTTGCCCTGGCGATGATGCTCGTTGTACATCTTGGCAACGGCCTCGCGAAGCGGCTTGATGCCAGCGGTCGGGGCATATTCTCTGCTGGCGACGGTGACGTCGATATGGGTAGGTCGCTGGAAGCAACCTTCGATGTCATCCTCGACCTATGCACACCGAGAGCGCTTAGTATTTTGTCCTGCCACCCTGCACCTTGTTGGCCTCGCCGATATTGCTGCTGCGGAAACCCACCTCGGGGGCACCCTGGCCCAAGTTTGCCCATCTCTCTGGCTCTTCGAGGTAGCCGAATTCACTTGCTCGTTCTGTGCACCAGACGACACCGGTAGAGGACCTCGAGGGATCTAGACCAGCGTGGGGCAAGTGACCCCTATAGACATAGATATATGTAAGCGTGTGCTCTCGCGGACTGGGTCGATCGTTGTAGGTCTCGTCTCGTCGACGGGCTTACTCGTGAGCAGCTCGAAACTGCCGGTGGATCTTGGAGCTGTGCTCTGGATGTCACAAATAGAATACCGTTAGCAAGACAATCTACGCTCTGAGAGGGCCCAACTCGAAGCTGGAATGTTTTGGGTTGCAGGGGGGTTGCATCTACTGCACATCGAGATGGCCAAGACAGCCAAGACAAGACATCCAGCAGACGTCCGAACTCACCAGTGGCACTAGGTTCACCGATAGAGAATCGACGCTCCCGGGGTACACCAGTGTTGCGGTTGATTGAGAATTTGCGGTTGGCAAAAGCCCCGACCACCGAAGCCATTGCGTTAGACATGCTGGGCGGTTAGTGTTGTGTTACGCGGGTATGTGTTTGGCAAAGATTTTGGCGATTCAGGTCGTCGTCAAGTAAGAAAATATAGACGTCGCCCGCCCAACGAGATAGGCTAAGGGGAGCGATTTGTCGACGACTCTGTTTGCTTGAGACAAAGAGGCAAACAGAAAAGCCACTGCTGCTGACCCCGCCCTGGAAAGGATAGCTGAGACGAACAGCTAAATACTGTGCGTGGTATTCACTAGACCATGTGCCAACAAATGGGCCGCCGGGCAGCTCACCGTCGCCATGCTTGCTCAGACACCCGGGGCTTCTAATAGGTTGCCCGTTGGGCTGAGAGACACGAGGCATTCCCACATGGAGCGGCTGATTGGTTTTCTTCAGGTCGACCCAGGTGAACGGGGCTGCCCACGCTGGTTTATGCTGGACCACCATCCCTATTTCCTACATGTTGCACACTTTGCAATACGCTCCTGTTGCCTACCTGACACAGAACGGTGCACACACACGTCTTGAATAGCGACACGAGAATGCAAGGCACTAGGCCCGTCCACGATCCAGTGCAGCATCTGGGGATTCAGCTTGATGGAGACCGGTCTTGTACCCCAGAGCTGCCCCGGGGGAGGACTGATTCAGTGCATTGTAGAGACACAGTATCTAGGGCGGTCCAGTGCCGATGCTCCCCACTTGAATCTCCTGGATCGTGAATCAACCCCACCAGACGAGAATGTAACAGCGGGGTAATATGTATGCAGCATCGAGAGGCGAGAAGGCGGTGACGATTCTATGCTGTCCACTTCATATTTGTCGAACAAGACCAGTCGCCAAATATTCGCATCAGGTCAAAGAGATAGCAAGCCCAGATGTAGGTAAAAGCACGACAGGCCAAACATCTGTTTCGTAGAGGCGAGCTCTTCCGACGGCCGGTCCGATCGAGCCCATCATGTGGCTCCCTCTGACAAGCTCGTACAGGTGCGTGAATGGGCACATATACGAGAGCTTGTCGTGTGAGTCTCGCGCGAGCTAAACATACCATAAGCTTATTCCACATCAAGATGTCTTCGTGATCATGGCCTTGCCTATTCAGCCCGTTCCGGCCACTGGTCCCTCATGTGCAGCGCTGATCTACAAGTGGGTCATGATAGACCGGGAGAGGTGAAGGGAAAGAAGAGAGATGTGACAGACAGACTCCAGGCCACCACAGACATGATCCCGTTTATCCCACAGAGCTAAATCCCGAGTGCCTGGGCTAAGGCCGCTCGTGCGGACCTGCAGGTAGGATTCAGATTCAGGATGTCCTTGGCCGGGACCCCAGAGACCGGAGCCGACAGTCTTGGCGATGCTGCGAAGCCGAGATGATGGAGCCGGAAGACCCCCTGACCCCGGGCCGAAGGGAGCCTGGAGGTCTTTGGCCGACTAGCACTCGTCTCCTCCGCCCATATCGTGCCTGATGTCCGCACCGGCACCCTCGTGATGGTGGGCAGCGAGGTGGCGTTGGACACCCTGCCGCCTTCGGCAGCGCCGTTGAAGGCCTCACGTCTGTCTGCTTCACCATACAGCGGGCAGTAAAATGACTTCGACTTGTGACTCTGATGGCAGACAGCAGATGCAGAAGCCCGTGGTGCGCCCGAGGTCTGAAGTCTGCATCCCGAGAAGGCAACAAGGCGATTGCTACTAAGCATTCTAAACAGTCCGTGTAGTTGAGGACCCCTTGCAAAAAGGCCTCGCTTATGCAGGTACCTTTGTGCATGTTTCTCAGTGGCCCATCTCATATCTTGAGCCATGTGGGATGTGGATGGGCGAGGGGCGAGAAAGGCCACAGCCTCAGCCTCAGCCTCAGCCCCGCCAACACGGTGCTATGCGGTTCAGTATTGGTACCAACACCCAACACCACCACCACCACCACCACCCATCACCGACAATCAGGCTCAGGATCTGTAAAGCATGTGCATAGGCGCAGCCACTGGGCGACTGCAGTACAGTCATCAGATTGTTAGTTAGGCTGACCGGCCGGCAGACGTGTAAGCTGCACTGCATGCCCGCCAAGTACACATGTATGCATATGCATGTTGTGCAACCTCTGACCACTGAACGAGCGCAGTGGCAGTGCTGTGCCTCCTCTCGAAGCGGCGCGAGAGGCTGTGTCAGCCGACAGACGACTAGCACAATGCCCACCTGATGCTGGCGGGTCTCACCCATCCTTCTGGATGCGGTCGCGGCCTTCCTCTGCTTCATCATTCAAGTCCTTTGTGTAGTAAAACGACTGGTATGTTGGTTCTGCGTCCCTCAAGTCTGTCTGTCCGCTCTCTGCCTGGGCCGGCTCCCGTACTTAATCAACAAAGCGTTTTAGCATCCCAAATAGGTGGCCCTCAATGTGAGCCATCGATGCTGCGCCCATGGCAGGCAAACGCAAGGCACACAGTCTGCCCTCCTGTCATGACTTGTGAGGATGTGATAAGAAGTCGTCTTCGTCGTTGAGATGTGCTCGGATAGCTGCTATGAACAGTCAACTCCACCGTCTCATCAACCATAAAACATCGTCTTAGGCCTACCAACTGACCGGCCAAGTGCAAGTGCAAGTGTCAGAGCAAGCAAGAGCAAGTGCGAGTCACAGAAGCAGGGCCAACCACTGATTGCTTGTGTCCCTTCATCACTTCTTTTCTAAATTAAGAGCTCCTCCCGTCTGCATCCCTTCCTTCCAGCAAGACAGCAAACTCGCCTGGAAACAATTTCCAGACCTCCGTCTTCACAAATGTCCGACCTACTTATCCACCCGTCTACAAGCAGTTCTCGACGCAGTCGCTCAAGTCGTCACTCATCAGCATCTCGTCGCCTAGTTAAACCTGTCCAATTCGACATGGACAGCAGGAGCAGCTTCTTCGGCTCTATCAAGGGCTCCATTAAGGACAAGCTCTCCAGATCCCCCAGCAACGCATCTCAGGGCCCTACCAGACAGCCTCGCCATCAGCCTCAGCCTCAGGCACAGCCCGTGAGGCTCTCAGCAGGTGCTACCTCAGGCCAGGGCATCAGTGCCAATCCTTTCTCCAACCCCTTCTCTACCGCCTCTACTTCCACACATGTACCAAGTAAGTCCCATCTCTGCCGGTGTAACAAACCCATCATGAAAAGTGAGTGCTGACAGCCGTCCTGCAGGCAATGAGCCTCCTCCGGCATATAGTAGTGTGCCCACCGGTGGAGCCAGCGCCTACCCATCGGCACCGTCCCCGGCCTACGCCGTGCGGGATCCAAGCCCTACGCCCTCTAGACTCTCTGCCATCACAGCCACCACTCCAGAGGATCCCTACGCCTTCCTGACCTCCTTCGACACCATCTTCCTGATTGATGACAGCGGCAGCATGGTGGGCCGGTCCTGGCGGGAAGTCCAGTCAGCTCTCTCGTCCATCACGCCCATCTGCACTGCCCACGATGCCGACGGCGTCGACATCTATTTCCTGAACCACCGCTCGCCCTACCCCGCTAGCCAGTCTCAAGGCAAGGCTTCAGGCGGATACTCCAACGTGACAGACGCATCCGCTGTGGAGCGCATTTTCACCTCTGTCCGTCCTGGAGGCATGACGCCCACGGGCACGCGACTCAATCACATCCTGAAGGCCTACCTGCGACACTACGAGGCGGCCGTTGAGCGAGCCGGCGGCGACCCGGATGCTACAGACGTCAAGCCCATCAACGTCATCATGATCACTGACGGTGTGCCCTCCGATGACCCTGAATCCGTCCTGCTGTCCGTCGCTCAGAAGCTCGACCGACTTGAGGCCCCGCCACACCAGGTTGGCGTGCAGTTCTTCCAGGTTGGCAACGAGCCCGGTGCCGCCGAGGCCCTTCGGACCTTGGACGACGATCTGGCCGAGCTGGGTGGTGGTGTGCGGGACATGGTCGATACCGTGACCTTTAATTCCCGCGGCGGCGGGGGCTCTGGCAACACGCCGACCCTGAGCGGAGACGGTATCCTGAAGGTGGTGCTTGGCGCTGTAGTCAAGAGACTCGATCGTGCTAGGATCATGGACGCTGAGCGGAGGAGTCAGAGAAGCGGCATGCTGCGTCCCTAGGAAGCCGGACACGAACAGTTCCTGCAGCCTCAACAGCAGCAGTTCGGGGACCACAGAGGGTCACAAGGTGGTCAAGAGCAGCAGTACCAGCAGCATTACGCTTACGGTACAGTCCAAGAATATGGCCAGGGGCAGCAGCAGCCTTCCTATGGCCAGACTTACAACGAGCAATCCTCACAGCTGTGGGGGCAGCCCTCATACGGTAGTGTCTCACCAGCTCTTCCTCCTCCTCATACCCGTCCGAGCACAGGCCCCTCGCAGGTGTGGCAACAGCAGCAAGAGCAAGCCCTCCACCAAAATCTGTATGATCAAGAGGAACAGCAGCGGGCGCAAGGCTTTGGTCCTCCGTCTGGGAGTGGTCTACACTGGAGCCCATAGATTTCTGCATTCTCATTCGACTCTGGAGTTCTGTTAGACAAAAGGGCGGGGCGGCAGACGATCCCATTTGATGGTCAAGTCGGGTCTCGTGGCGTTGGTGCGTAGTTCCTGTTGTGAAACCTCGTCTTACCTAGGAACCATTTGGTTAGTTTGATACCCCATGGGGGCAGACACCTCCTCTCAAAGAATTATAATTCAAGTTTCATAGCTTTGAAGTCGCTCGTTTTGACAACGTGACGTATTTGGCTATGGCCACGGTAGTAACGATGACATCCAACAAAAACCTGCCCACAGAAGGCCAGTTGCCACAAGGTGACATGAATTTCGAGATGAATTTCTGGGCAACATTTTCTAAGAAATTCAAATCTGGGGGCAGACTTTGCCAGTCAACAAGACTGCAGACGTCGACTAGGAGAAAAGCACAGAAAAATTAAGCCGGTCGGTCCTACCAGCGCTGGCAGCGCTGTGTCTACTGCATTTCACGTTGTAGCATCACACGAAGCACGAGACCATCAGTTTGGGGTCCACCATTTTTTTCTACCTAAGAATACGTTGAATTTGTCGAATTTCATGAATTGCAGGAGTAAGAGACTTTCCGAATCCTAGCAGTCTCCAAGGCTTCCACCATGGTGCCGATGTCACATCCCCCAGTGGGATGCGTCCGAGTCGCGAAAGTACCCAAGTCCATCGTCGTCCGTAGAGAGAAATGCCAGAAACTCCTGGCTACTGCATGTCGTAAAACCTCTGTCCCGCGAAGACCAAAGATCGTCATCTCACTCATTCCTCATTACTGAAAAGAAAAGCATCCGCGGCACGTGACCCGATTGATAGGAGGGTTACCGACAGCGAAGTCTGTCCACTGGTCCATCCGGGCCAGCCTCCAAGTCCGAGGACCGCCAAATTATGATGCGTATCAGCCGTAGACGAGGCCGAGATGCCGAGAAAAGAAAAGAAAAACCAAAAGTGAATTTGTACAAGGACTTCAATGTCCTGAGAGAAAAGAGTCGTAAACCAGGTGAAGGCTGTTTGAGGAACCACAGACAGACTGCTCAAGCCTATCCGAATATCAGGTCGCCTGTGACACTTGGCGACGGACTTTCCATGAAGACATGAGAGCCTTCAGCATATTTTGGCGGGTGCCAAGCCATCTTTGGGCGGCGCTGGGAAGGGCCAAAGCTGAGGATCAAAGTCGAAAAGCAGAAATCGTCACTGTGTGTTGCTCAACTCCGTCAATTCAAGACGCGAGCAGCACGAAAAGAGCCAAATGGTCGAAATAGCCGTCCAGTTGACAAGGAACACCGAAGAGGAGACAATGCGTGCCTCGTTCAATGCATGGTGAAGACATTGGCCTTGCAGATGCTGCGGGCCACGATGCTGGTGCCGTTGTCGTTGCGGAAGCTGACGTTGGGCGTGACGACGAGCGCGACGCGCATGTGCTTCTGCTGTATAGCGATGCCGTGGAGGTTCTCGTTGAGCGCGACGTGGGAGTCGTGGGAGAACTTGACGCCGCACAGGTCCCAGATGAATGTGAATGACTTGCAGCTCGACATCATCTTGGCGCTGCACTCCATTGCGAGCTTGGCGATGGAGTGTAGGCCCAAGATGGCGTCTCGGGACTCAGCCTCATCCCGCAAGAAAGGACCCGCAATGCTCGTCAAGGCCCGGGCGTGCTCGGCCATCCGGAAGCCGCGGAATTCCTCGTACTTGTCGTGGTTGACAATTCCGTCGACCACGCCCCGCAGTTGCTGGTGTGCGGTGCGGCGCTGGTCAAACGGGCCGTCAGAACTCTCCAGGACAGGAAGAATTGAGTTCTTCAAGAGTGAGTCCGACTCCTCGTCAAAACCCAGCCAGGACCTAGGACGCAGGATCTCCTGTTGGATGTACTGGAGGAACAAGCGGGTGATGAATGGCGCACGGAAGACGGGCGATCTCAACATGAAGAGCGCGTGGTTGGCGGCGCCCTGCCGGTCCTTGTGGCACCTGGCGGCACTTAGGATGTACTCCCATAGATCGGGATTGTTCCTGGTAGCCTCCTCAACAACGCCGGGTAGGAATACTCTGCCATTTTCCACTGGCCAGCCCGTCACGGTGTCGAATAGTCTCTTGAATAACACTTTCCACTGTGCCACCTGGGGGTCGGACTCACGGTCGTCATTTCGTCGGAGGACAAGAGCATTGCTATGATTATAGTAGTTGTTGTAACCAGACGGGCCACCTCGGGCCTCAGGGAGAGAAGCAGAAGGCTGTAAGCTAGGCATGCCGTAGGTGTGGTGTGACACGGGTGGTCCGTGAATTGGATTGCCAGCATAATGACCGTACGTCGCAGGAGGGGGGTAGGCACCGTGGGAGCCCATAGCACCACTCATGGGGTTGGTGGGACCGACAGCAGCCGTCATCTGATGGCCAAAGTGGCCGAACGAGGGAGCAACAGGAGCAGGTCGGTATCCGAAGTGGTTATCCCTCTGCATTCGTGTGGGTCCATGATGCGGAGGGAATCCGTGACCACTATCCATGTTCATGTTCTTGAGGTGACTGACGAGAAACTCCTGGTCCTCATGGCTGATGGATGAGGACATGTTCGGCTGCGGGACGGGAGGACTCCTACGGCGCGGGTATTTGAGCTCAGAAGTAGCGGAGTGAGGGAGTGCCAACTTGGGAGACGTTTTGTCGTCCCTCTTGTCAGTAATGGCCAGCTTGCTGAGCTTGCTGCCGTTGCTCAACTTCCTCTTTAGGGTCTGAGTGAATAATTAGCTGTGTACATACAACTAATTCTCTAGACATCGATTGGAAAGCATACCTCAATCTGCGCCTGCTGCTCATTGATACGACGCTTCTGATTGGTGACCTTCTCTGTCAACTTCTGTGCCTTGATCTCCAGGTCACCACCCTTGGGGTTCTTCTCGTGCTTAGCGAGGAGCTTCTTCGACTGTTGAAGCTGCTCAGTGAGATCATCAATTGTGCCATTGGCCTTGATTAGTTGACCATGAATTGCATTCAGAGAAGACTCATACGCGGCTCGCTGCGCAAGTTGGTCGTTGAAGTGTGCCTGGTCTTGTTCCTCGAGTTTGTTCTGCAACGTGTTGCACAGGTGACTGATGGTGATCAGTTGATGTCCAATGCCTCGTAGGTCATTGTTCACCAGAGCTGGGATACCTGGCGGCATGCCAGGCTGGCGGCCAACGGCCTGGCTCAAGCTCTGCAATCGAGACTGCGCGCCATTGAGCCCAGTGCGCATATCCTGCGTTTTCAAGGTTAGACCACCAATTGCGTAGTGATGTAATTTACCGGAGTCATTGATTTACTCACATTAACGACGCTCAAGGGAAGGGGCTCCTGTCGATTGGCAGTGATTGCGAGTCCCGAAGGTCCGCCTGGACGGTACGAGTTGTCCGTTGAAGGAGTCTGACGGGTGGTGTTAGCTGGATCTGTGGTTATCACCGTTGACTGATTTGGCGAGTAGAGCGAAGCTCCATCGAATCCAGAGGCCTTAGAGCTCATTGTGGGTGCTGAGTGCTAGCGCGAAATGGGGAAAAACAAAGACGCAAGATGCAAGAGACGTAATGACCAGATTGATTCCCAGGCTTTCCCAGGCTTCTCCAGATCAAGGCGATGGCGACGAGCGCAGCTTGTTGAGCTATGACGAACGGCTGTGTTTGAGGACAGCCAGCACGCGATTGCAGAACAGGGTGCCCTCTGGGTCAAAGGCAAACACGTAGGGGTCAAGTGATGTGAAGTGAGGCAACGCTGTGAAGAATGAATGGCAGCAGCGAAGACCAAGAGGAAAGGAAGGGAGCTTCTTTGACAATGTGCGATGCGCGTTGAATCGTCAAGGTTGCTGTGGGGTGTGGAGGGTGTCCAGAGAATTTGCAAGTGGTGTGGTTGGGAGGTGGATGGCTTGCTGTGTAGAAAAGGTAGGCAGTCTGCCGCTGCAGAAACGCATGCCTGAAGGTAAGACCGCTTCGAAGGCAAACGAAGATAGGACGACTGACAGCGTGGCCACTTCAGACGAGGGTGAAGTTGAATAGCGCAAAGGCAGCCAGCCTCTCCAGGCTGTGCAGCACAATGCTAGTGCAGACAGGTGGGTGCAGCTCACTCTGTGGCTGCATGCCTGATGTCCCTGATGGCAGCAGCAACACCAGGACCACATTGACAGAAGGTATGCGTTCTCCTCCAAGGTAATATGCCAGCCAATGCTGACTTCATGGACAGCCAGGAGGAGATCATCATGACCTGAAGCTCTGGTAGCCTCAGCCCTTCCATCTTCAACCCCAGGGCTGGAGGTGCCCAGCCAACCATGGTTCATTAAGAGCCATGCCGAAGTCCATGAGACTGCAGCCACTGGGCCCATGCTTGAGAAGACAGAGTCCCTTCATGATGAGTGTCGCTAGGGACAAGACCATGGTGGTTGAGGCAAAACAGAAAACCGCGGTAAAATCAGGGGCTTCTTCGCCTCGTATGTGCAGAAACATGCAAGACACGCTGTCACATACCACATCCTTTGTCATATCTGTCAGTATCTGGATCAGCTTCGCGGACTGAGCGTCCACATCCGTGGTGTTCCGCGAGCCAGGCGACCTGCAAAAAGAACGTCAGCAACGGATCAATACATTTGGTAGTATGGAGGCAGGAGACAACGCACAGCATGGTAGATGACACCTTGGAGCTCTCATGTCCTGAGAGTAAGTCTTTGCCGCCATTACCCGAGCCGGACCCAGGTCCCTGCTGAGGCAGGTTGCTGCCGGGTTTGGAGGAACTCATGGTGTCGGGAGGAGGCAGTGAATCGATGTGTACGTCAACACGCACATTGATGTCCCATTCAAATGATGAGACAGACTGTGAACTCCGAAAGCCCCAAGTTCGAGCTGGACTGGATGATTGTTGCCGAGGGGAGCTGTTGGGAGGGTCAAACCTTGTGCTGCTGAGATGCCGAGATGTGGTGTTGTGTGGATGCTTTCTTTGTTTGGGACGTGTCTTCCACAGGATGGTTTGGCTTCAGTGGTGAACTTACGTGAGTTGATGTCAAGGCAGGCTTGATCGACTGATACCGGACAAGAAGAAGCTTGTTGCTGTCGTTCTCTGCTCCTTCTCTGAGGAGTGGTGATGCCGCAGCAACTGGGGCTCCTCCTTTGAGGAGTGTTGATGAAGCAGCAGCTAGGTTTCCTCCTCCGAGGAATGTTGATGCTGATGCAGCTGGAGCTCCTCCTCTGAGGAGTATTGATGCTGCAGCAGCCCGGGTTCCTCCTCCGAGGAGTGTTGATGCTGCTGCAGTTGAGGTTGCTGATGTGTGGCGGATCAGGAGGGGAAAAGTTGTTGGGGAAAGATGATCAGAAAGAAACCAAGGCGTGGCAGATGGTGCAACAACTTAACAGGCCCAGCAGGCAGCGGTGCTACCAGGAAAGAAGGGTAGTCTGCTGCTCAAAAGGGTCTGGGGGGACCGGCGGAATTTTCTGGCCAGAAGCAAACAAGGTATCGTGACAGATGCCGAGCTACCCACCTGATTCAAGGCTCCTTGCGTCTTTCTGCAGGAGGAAATAAGGCTGGACAGCGGTGTGATACAGTCCATGGGGACCTTCCAAGACTGTCTTCCGGAAGCAAGAAGGGGAGAATGTCCTCGACCGTGCCCGACAGAGAAAATGCAAGGGGATCTCCCGCAGGAAATCATAAAATCTCCCAGCAGACCCGACGTCCCGGTTATCACTCGGGGCCATATCCGACGCAGACCTGTAGCAAGACCAAGCTGTCTGTTGTCTGTGCCAGATGGACCCAAGGTCGTGTTGCCCACCAAGCCACACAACCCTCGCCCTGATACCACTCCTGGGCCATTGTCCCCATTCGGAAGACCCAACAATGACACTGAAGCCCCTGAGACCAAAGGAGCGTCCCTAAGGTCCGGTGAAGCGAGTTGACAGAAAGGAACAGCAAAGAAGTTGCTGGAGCAAAGCCATGAACATTGAAACCCCCATGAAACCTTAGGGCTTTGGTGCCAAATTCGACATCCGCAATATTGAGTTCGACCCCGAATTTGTGAGTAGCTGACATGGACGGCTTCCCTCCAGGTTCTGGTACCCAGACCGAAAGTTTCCTCTTCCTGACGGATTTCTGACCATGACTGCCTATCAGGTTGAGATCCACACTGAGCATTTCAATGGTCTGTACCTTTGACGGTCAATATGTGGCTCGCATGAAAACCAGCACTCTCCAGAGAGAGACCTCGCAACATCTCCCATAAGGCAGCTCGGATCGCCGCACAGAAGCCCAAAGTAGCTTCAGATAGGGAAGTACGAACGTACAACACTTGTTCGGCTGAGTGCCACTTGGTCAGGACTTCCTCGACATTCGCAATGGGCATGACGATGTATACAAAGGGCCAGAAAGTAAGGGGCATGGTCCTATTCCAGCTCGGAGGCCATTATGCTTCGGCCCATTTTACCCCGATCTCGTGATTCAGGGTGGTGGTCATCTAGATCGTGCGATTGAAAGACTCGGTTCGAGACGAAGGAAGGGAGCAGGTGTAATGTGGTCGAGTGTTGCCAGGGAATAAGTGATGAAACCAGGTACGGTGGAAAGCCATAGGAGGAAAGAACAGTACTTGGTATACGGTGGACGAGCTCTGCCTTAGACGCGGAATTAGGACAAGGGCCGTAAACTCACAACTCCGAGAGCAGTAACGCACTTAGGGCACACCCGACAGAGCAAGACCGGGGAGTTGTAATCTTCGAAAGTGAACGAATCAGCTCCATATACCGCAGTGGAAGCAAGAGATGCCTTCATGTTCCCGAAAGCTGCGGTAGGGGACGGAAATGGGCACGTACGATGAGTTGGCTGGTTGGGAAAGGATGACTTGGCTTAAAAATTGCAACACCCGTGAGAGGGCTTTTCTGGGCCCATACCTTCCTTCCCTCTGGGAGCAGGGGGCCATTTCCTGCTTTGGCAGGCAACGGGATGCTATAAGACGAGAAAGAGTTGCCGCTGACACGAAGGGAGAAAAGAGGTGACTGAGAAGAGAAGAGAGAGCACTATACCAATATGGAGGAGTCAAGCCTGCGAGTCACTGCTGAATGAACCCGACGCTTACGACGGAGTCGCCCAAGGTGGCAAGATAGAATAATAAACATCAACCCATATCCATCCCGGTTATTCATGATACATGCGATTCGGTCTGGGCTCCAGAATAAGGTGGTCAAGTCAACGTCTAGATGCATATTTGCTCCTCCAACACTCAGATAACCGTCGAAGCCCTCAGCTGCTGAACAACTGGACGGTGACAATTTCAGAAGTGTGAGTTAAATAAATGGTATTCGTGCTGAGAGTGGACGAGAGGAATGACAGCGGAGCAACAGCAACAAAATCAGGGAGATGAGGGCTTCAACTCATGCCTTATGAAAGTCAGCGCGCAGGCTTACAAAACGTGCCAGATCTTAATGGCGGCAGACCATAAGAAGAGACCAGACCAAGAGTGATCAGTCACAGCCTCTTGTCCAAAGAACAGACACTTAACAGGGCGAGTCAGAGACGAAGAACACAAAGGACCGGACAGGAGATTGAATAACGAAAATTAGACCGAGTTTTCTCCGACGAACTATCGCCGTGAGATTCCACTGTATCCCACCGATCCGAAACCGTGAGCACTTCCGGTGGTACTTGGGTAAAAAGCATGGTTTCAAAGACATCACCCCTCAGGAAGAGAATTCTATTGTAAGCAATCTAACTTAGTCCATTAATCGCTCGGTAACGAGCGATGGCAGGCCGCCTGCTAAGGACGGCGGGAAGATAACGTCAAGTTGTTGATCCTCCTATGTACAATCATCAGTATCTTGTTAATTAACCCTGACTCCTAGACGAAATGTTCTTCAAAACGTATGCCTGTACGAATGATAGAACCGGAGACTCAAACGCCGGGTACTATGAGAATCAGTGAAAAGATAGGCCGAGTTGTTGTGCACTGTGTTACCAGTCCAGTGGGAACCTGTAACTCGTAACCCGTCAGTGGTCGCGTTCCAGGTGCGGGATCAAACCAGCCTGTTGTTCGTAGATGAAATCGCGCGTGCCGAGGACTTCCAAAGGGGACGACTAATTGGCGGCGGTTGCAGGAATTGTGGTTAACAAAAGGTCGATCGCGCTTGACGGCGTATTTGATAATTTCCACGAGGGAATGCAGTCGGAGAGTAATCTTGCAGTCATCAGTACCACTGAAATTTGCATGTCGTCCGTGCTTTCTCTTACCGATCGGGAGAAAGCCTAGAGCAAAGCATTTGTGGATCCGAATTAGCGACTTAAAAAGCCTTGGAGTTTGCTCGGAAGAGACTGGCGTAGACGGCATCTACCACTGGCGCAGCAGTGATCATCCTGCCGCCGAAGTAGCGACCGTTAAGGCCCTTGATTGCGTTCTCGCCTCCCTGCACCTTGTCAAACTTCAGATAAATGTCTCCCTTAGAGTTGGGCTCGACGGAGATGTGGACGACATGGCCGTATTTGTTCTCTGCCTCCTCACGAACATCCTCCTCCAGTTCCTTGACCCAGCTCTCACCCTCTTCCCTGTAATCGGGTTAGCAAACGATGACCTTGATGTCGAGCAAACGGACTTGGGACTTACTCATCGGGGTCGAACATGTTGTGAAGAACAACGCAGCGGCTGGCCTGGCTCACGCTGACAGGCAGCGGCTTTGGCTCCGTCTTCGGTTTGAGAATCTGTCGCTCAGTGTTTGCGCTCGGGGGCTCATCAGTTCTCGCAAGTTTCCTCATTAGAGCATCCCGGCTGTAGTTGTTAAAATTGACGCCAGCGACGTCAGTGTCGTCCAAAGCGCTCGCGCCAGTCCCCTTGTCGTTATCGCGGGCACCGGCACGATCGAAGTTGGATGTCGGTGCACCACGGCCACCAGCACCTGAGAAAGCAGACCCTTGATACTGTTGGTTTTGGCCCTGGAATCTCTGCAGGAGATTGGCAGTGGATTCAGGGGTGAACTTATCGTTTCCAAGTCCGACGCGGATCGGTCGACCGGCAAGATCGAATCCGTTCATCTTCTCCAAGGCCTCACGTGCTTGGCCGGCGTCTCGGAATCTACGATGGAGTCAATATGGGTCTTGGTCATAGACTTTGATAGATTTACTTACTGCACAAATCCATAGCCACGGCTGCGTCCTGTGTCGTCTTTCTGAAGCTGGACGAACTCGAGTTCGCCGAATGGCTCGAAGACATTCTGAAGATCCTGCTCAGTGATGCTGAAGTGAATATTGCCAACGTACAGACGGTGGAAAGGGATCGAGTTGGGGTGGCCGCCGGAGCCGCCAGTCTCGCGGACTTGTCGATTCTTCTCAGCTTCGGTAAGCTGGACTATAACTGGAATACCTAGGAGCTTTTGTCCAGTGAGCTGTAAGGCAGCCTGCACGGATTCCTCGTTCTTGAATTCAACATAGCCGACACTGGTAAAGAGGAATTAGCATCTGATGCACCGCACTCTGAGATGGATTTGTGATGGGTGATTCTCTGATACATACCCCTTGGATCGGTTGCTCACGCGGTCCTTCACAATTTGAGCTTCAGATACGGGGCCAACCTTTTCAAAGAACTCCTTGAGCTCTTTTGTCCTCAACCTTGCGGCAAGCTGCTGGACGAATACGGTTCTGCGGTCCCTCTCGTCCTCGGTGAGCTGCGGCGGAGTAGGGTCGCTGGTGTCCTTGTCCGGGCGAGGAGTCCGGCCGCCACGGCGGTCGCGATCGTCTTCTCGCCTCTCTCGACGTTCCCTATAATCTCGTCGATCATCGCGCTCGCGAGGACGGTAGAAACGGCCGCCCGGGGATCGAGAGCGCGACCGTCCATGGCGGCCGCCGCGGTAATAGTCTCCGTCTCTATGGCGGCGTGAAGATCGATCGTCACGGTCCCTGCTCTTGCTCCGGCGCCTGCTGCTCCTATGGCTGCCAGCATCGCTACGTGGTGTCCTCTCGGCATCTGGAGTGCCACGGCGGCTGCTATAACGATCGCGGCTGCGATCGCGATCACGTCGCTTTCTGTCGCGGCTACGATCCCGGTCACGATCTCTATCCCTCTCACGCTCGCGGTCGCGGCTCTTGTCGCGGCTTCGGTGGCCTGATTCGCCGTTTGGCTTGTCGTCACTTGTGCCGTCGGCTGCTGCCTGAACGGATGGCGCATCCTCCATATTCACATCTTGCTTCGCAGTCTCCTCGAGGAGTGCCTCCACATCGTATGAGGCCATCTTGAAGTGTGTGGATGAGTTTGTGTACCTAGCAGCAACAGAGAGTCGAAAGTGTTGAAGCCTCAGGGACTGCTGTTAGCAAGGGTTCGGCGGCGTGCAGGCAGTGTGAAGTAGTGTTTTATCAGGAGACAGGAAAGGGTGGGGGCCGGCATTTTGATTGCGCAAATTTCTAGTCATGTGGCCCGTGCCCATGGCCTGCTTACTGCACAGGGATCGGCGGTCGAGGACATGGACGCAAACAAGTGCCTAGGTCTATCAAGTTTCATTGGGAGCGGCTTGTTTCATTATTACTTATTATCGAGCGCTTCTACGCTGGAGCGACTGGTGGGCAAACAATTCCCTTTGCCCCGATCCGATAGATGTCTCCAATACCAGGTTACGGCCTTCTTGCGCGGGTGGGCATATATGTATGTAGACCGTTGCCGATCCAAACCCATTTCACCATCTCGGTCCTTGCTGCGAAATGCCGTTCAATATGTCTTAAGATATACATGTACACTGAAATGTAGTGACGACGAATCCAAGCACTCTGTGTCCCTATTTGGTCTTCATGACCGGTGCCTGCCTGATCTCTGTGCCGAAGACGGTGTCCCAGAATTTGCTGGTGACTCCAAAGCCGTTCTCGTAGTCGAGGAAGTGATGCTCGAGGTGGTATTTCTTGAGCTGCTTGTACCAGAGCGGCAGATTCTGGTGATGCAGGAAGTAGTGTGTCATGTCGTAACACGTGTAACCGAACATGCCGCCCGAGAATACAGCCACGGCAACATACCAGTTCCAGAAGAAGATGGCGTGTGCGAGTTTCCAGAATGGCGCCACCAGCACCAAGAAGAGCGCGGGTGGCATGACGAGCCGATACTTGTCCATCGGCAAATAGTGGTGGACACCGTGCAGGGTGAAGTGCAGGGTAATACCGACTCGGTTGTCCGGGAGGTAGCTAACACATCAAAGGTAAGCCACGCAATGATCAAAAGCTGGCATGACAAGGCATAAACTTACTAGTCGAGGTGGAACAAGAAACGATGAAGCAGGTATTCAATGAGCGACCAGATGAAGAAACCCAAGACGAAGAAGATGGGCAAGTTGTAGATATGCTCGAAACCCTGGGCGGCCGAATAGACGCCGAAGGACACGCAAGGCCACCAAGCCACCGGAACAACCCACCAGGGCGTCTTGCTGAGGGGCTCCAGAAAGTTACCAAAGAAAGGCGCGGACTGGCCGCCCTTGTAGTGCCGAGGGCGGTGGACCTGGTCGAGATAGAACTCCTTGCTGAAGCCTCCAAACCATACCTGAGGGAAGAGCGGTTTGCTGAGATCGAGGAATTTGTGCTTCTTGTAGTCTTCCGTGAAGTCCGTCTCCTTACTCAAGTCTTCCTCGTTTGACATGCCCGTCCTCGGGTGGACCCATTCGCCATTTGTAGTGCCGTTGCCGTTGCCGTTGCCATTCAAGTGAGCATCACCGTTGACGCCATTTGTAAAGTTCGCGTCCGACCCTGATTTTTCTCCAACTACGAAGCCAACAATGGAGTCTTCGAGGACCTCATAGGCAGCCTCTGAGTGATCGTGGGAGTCTGGGTCCTTGAGGATTTGTGTGATGTCCTTGCCGGCCCAGTCGAGGACGAGATCAGAGCCGCCCGGGTGAGCATCGAGGAAATCTGTCACATCGTAGACGTTGTCGCCAACAGTGACATAGCAGGACTTGGCCGAGCTGTGCGTCTCGACGTCGGCGCGCGTGAAGGTTGGGAGCGTACGCGACGGCATTGTGTCGTGCAGATCAGCGACCGGTCAGATGGTGCGGTGAACCTAGGAGTTCTTTTGAAGTGGCAAAGGCCAGAAAGGGAGAGGAGTGGAGTGATGGACCACAAGTGCTGGACAGACGTCGCCGAGTCGCGGTCCGGTGCGGAAAAAAGGCGAGGTGACGGGTGCACGGGTCAATTGGTCCGGTCGCAGCTCGTCGAGGCGGAATGGACGGACAGAGAACAGAAGAGAAGCAGAGGGTGCAATCGCCAGCACAATCACCTAAATCGCGAGAATCGAGGACGTAGGAGATGAAATGAAGTTGGAAGGATAGGGCAGGAAATGAATTATACCTCGACTGGCTCAGGGACCAGGGACCAGGGGCGAGTAAGATGGGTTTCGTGTCTTCCCAAGACCAAATCTGGGCTCGAGTTCATGTATTACCGTGTCAATCAGCTGGGGTGGCCTGACCGGCTAGGATGGTTAACTCCCCCCCAAGGTGCCGTCCCTTGCAGCGCCTGCGGGATCCTTGGGGAAGACTTTTTGTGAGGTTCGATGGGCAGTACGGGTGGCCGCCATAGATGATCACCCCACTGAGTGGCGCTACCGGGAACTCGACGTGGCCGAACAATGGCATGATTGTGGTCCCCCAGAGAAGCGGCATTCCCAATCTTGCGGTGCGCTGGCGCTGGGCGGATCCTCCGATCCCATCTGTCATCAATAGGAGGCAGCTGGGAAGCTGGTTTTATTCAACGGCTTACAACCTACTGTGCCTACATTATCGTGGGTGCCTGTCAGGCATGACAGTGGCCTGGCTTATCGAAACCATCAGTCAAGTCGGCTCGTCTCCCCCAAGACTTCAGGGTCCGGAACCAACGGATCTAACTTGAAATTTGACACGGAACCCTTGCCTATGAGTTCCCCGTCACATGTAAGCAAGAGGAGGAGGAGTCAGTGTCTGGCAGATCAGTGACCATCCACCAACCAGCCCAGCCATACCAGCCCAGCTCAGCTCAGCTCAGCTCAGCCCAGCCCAGCCAAGCCCAGCTCAGGAAGCCCATCTCAAAAAGCAGCTTGTCATGGCAGCATGGGAGTTCGTCACTGCTGTAGAGTCTATTGACTGTCTCCCTCCCCTCGTTCTCCCAGGGCGGGGCCAACGTGACTTGGGAGCATCGGTCGCAATTTGGCCCGTGTTGTTTGTCCATAATGCGCTCCCAACGACCTCCTCCTAGAGAGGAGCCAAGCCGTGGGACCAACGGTTAGTTGATGCAACTACCGCACACTGCAGGTAAAGTCGGCATAGCGGCATAGTTGTGTGGCTTTGTTGACGCACTGAAGCTGGAGAACGTCCGAAGCAGCCTATCACAAGTGACATTCCAGCAGGACGAGTGGCGCAGCCACGGGAGGGCGAGGGCAGAGACGAACAGAAACAGTCAACGTCGGTTTCCCAAGAGCCAGAGCGCATGGAAGGATACCCAGGGTAGCTAGCTGGACTGTAGGTAGTCCTTCTGACAGTAGTAATATTGCCCCGCCTTCATGGTGAACTCATACTTAGCAAACGGAACCAAGCAAAACCTTGGAACTTGGAATGTCAGCCTCTGCTTTCCTCACAAACACTCTGACCTCTGGTAGACCTTTTAATTCTTACCTTCCCTTACTTTAGCACAACACACCTCTGCCATCAACCTCCGAACAGCTCCATCCTGTCTTTCAATTCTTCTCATCTGGCAGTGCCCGCCCTCTTGTACTTCCCTCTTTGCGCCAAGCCAACCTCATCATGGCTTCTTCCAGCATGAGGTGGGGCCCCGCTACCTCGATACTCCTCGTCTTCTGCGTCATCCTGGTTTTCATGCCCGGCAAAGCACACGCCTTCGGAGCAGGAAACATCCCATCCATTGGCAAGTTGTTCTAGCGCATTGATTTTGCATATCACTGGTCCGAATTCTAATCATTTGGTACCACAGCCCAAGTTGAAGGCACAAACTGGCGTCATGGCGACATCGAGGACATGCTCAAGACCGTTGCCTTCTTGCACGGCAAGAAATGGACCAGCATGCTGGTAAAGCGGACGTACTTTGGCAACTGGCTGCGTGACTACTCCCAAGCGGTAGACGTTGGCTCACTGAAGGGCGTTAACGCGCCGACAATCCGCATTCTGGTCTGGGTACTGTCGTTCATGAGCTTTGGTTACGCCACTGAAGAGTTCGAGGTAACCGAAGAACGCCTTGGTGTGTAGTACGTACGAGACCGTCAATTGAGGCCCTGTGAATTGGAGCTGACACGCAGAAGTCGGCCTGAAGAGCACATAGACAACCCGCTTGGCTATGCAGACGGCATGGATGCTCGCAAATTTGACCAGAGGCTCAGGGGCCCCGTCGACCCGATAGAGACGGAAATCGACATGCGAACCGGCATGAAGAACTACATTGCCAATGAGTCTGGTAGCTGGGCTACCAGCGCTGGGTACTTACGCTTCTCCTTCGCGAGGAGCATTCACTTTGGCAGGCTCTACACCAGCGGAGGGAGCGGCCGAAGTGGCAAGGAGGCCGACCTCTGCGAGGCTCTGAGGTGCCTTGGTCAGGCCCTACACTGCATGGAAGACTTCAGTGCGCACAGCAACTACTGCGAGTTGGCTTTGCGAGAACTGGGGTACCACAGCGTTTTCCCACACTGTGGAACTTCCTCTGAGATCAATTTGCGCGGGAAGCGTGTCTATCCTATCGTGACGGGCACCTTTGGAGGCGTGGATTTCCTTCATTCGGTTCTTGGAGAGGCTACTGATCACTTCACTCAGTCCGAGGTCGACGAGGTTGACATTGCGCTGAAAAATGCCGAGAAGGGTGCATCTGGAGGCGGTATCAGCCGTGATGGTCCGACCGGTGACCGTAGTTTGTTCGGCCTCAGCTTTGGCGGCGGTAGCAGCAACGTTGGAAAGGATTTCATTTCGAGTATCTCGGAGCTGCCCGGCGTAGGGTTCGGCTTCGCTGCCGAGGCTCGCAAGCTCCAACAGGCCTCCGCCGACCAGGAACGGCAGAACCAGAGCACCCGAGCGAATGTGAATCAGGTTCCAGGCATGTCGCCGGACTTCGACCCCGTGCAAACAGCAAAGCGTATCTACCCAATTCTGGAGTTCCGAGACAAGATCGTCAAGTCGCTGTCGAACCTCATCAGCAAGGTTCCTGGCTTGGAGAAGTTGCTGGAGCACATCAGTGAGACACTCACGGCGTTCGTGCTTGGCCTGCTCGCTCCGTTTGTGCGACCCATCATCAACCAGGTGTCGAAGGCGCTCAAGGACGGGAGCTCAGGGGTTATCAGTGCGAGCGCCAACAATCAGTTGGAACCTTGGAAGAATCCCTCCTGCACTGATCCCACACACTCGATGCTGTCCAAGGACCATTTCACCAATATCTTGAACCCCTGCGCAGGCAGAGTTGCATCCACTATCTTGCAGTACACAGTGCCGTAAGTATCACCCATATCGCAGCTTTAGATGTCATTGTGCTGACGGGCTCTGGGCAGCCGCGTACTGTATGCCTGGGAGAACACTGGTGTGCCTGTCGATGAGGTCGTCAACGACGTCCTCCGAGCATTCCATCACCCAGCTATCCGTGACGAGCACATCCAGATCCAAAAGGACATGTTTGAGACAGTGAGGCAATGGGCCAACGAGTACTCTCGAAATCACAACCTCAACAGCACGTTAGGCTCCGAGTCCGTCAAGAATGGAAAGAACCATATCATCCGCCCGGATCAGAAGTCCGGCGGGGGACATAGCCATGGCGCGAACGACTGGTCCGCTTGGACTAATGCCTTCGGCGAAGTCGGCCACGGAAAAGTCGCCGGTTCTCTGTGGTCCCAAGTCCAGACGCGAGACCTTGACGCCATGGAAGGCCGCGACGGCCGACCACAGGATCAGTACATGAGCCAGAGCCCCGCGCCGCAACAGTCAAGCCGGCCGTATGGATCTTATGGGTATGGCCAATCCGACCAGCCTCCTACTGGAGGAGCTGCCGACGAGTACCTGCGCCCATCTCAGCCTCCGCAGAACCAGGGACAATACTACGGACACACGCCTCCACCTCCAAGCCAGTATTATAGCGGAGGACCCCCCGGTCCTGGGCCATATGGACAGCAGCCGCCGGGACCTCCTGGCCCATACGGATATCCTGCGCAATCGCAGTACGGTCAAGGCCCTCCACCGCCTGGACCGCCGGGAGGGTACTGGGGCGGCGGTGCGCCACCGCCGCAACAGGGCGGATATCCTGGTGCTGGACACGGCCCTGGTGGACAACAATACCCGCCAGGGCCCTACGGACAGCCCCCACCTGGCCAGGGCGGATGGGGTGGCTATCCGCCACGGTACTGAATTACACTGCGTCCGTTGAGATGAATTGTGGCTGGCCAGTGTATCGGTGCAAATGAAAGCCATGAACTAGAGAGGATTCGGGAAAGGCCGCAAAGGCTAGGCGTTTCTGGCGGTTCAGGACACGCTAGGCGGGAAGATAAAATGAAACGTGCGATGATGATGCCTTGAAAGACGCCTAGTGTCATATCAATGTTATTCCCCTTGTTGTTATCCCCTGTGGCTCGTCTTGTTGCATCGCTGACAGAAGACTGAGATGGTGGATCTGTGCCTTTTGGCAAGGCTAATGGTTTACGCTACTCTGTATGTGTTGTTTGAGTATATATTCAGATGAATAACCTTCCCGAAAGTGTCGCTCGCAGGACTGTGAGGTTGACGGTGGCGCCCTCGGTTGCGTCAGGTTGTCTTGACAAGTTTGGGGCACACACAACTTGAAACTACGAGAACAAGCATCAATCATCGCCGTCTGGGACAAGGCGGCCTCATTACGCAAGAGTTCTAGAGAATATTCGAAAAAGACTTATCTCGGTCACAAGACTTACCATATCATTTTGCAGTATAGAAGCTATTACACATTGTGATATTTCCAGAGGGAGTATGCTGGTCAGGCACAGCTATCCATGCATGTGTAATATCTAAGCGAGCTGTATTCCAACGCCTGTGTATGTATGCTTTTATGAACGACATGTGCTCAGCCAGTTGTACTGCCCTTCCCTCGCTGTTGGGTATCTCATGATTTAATCAGTCACGCAGCGTCTATCACGTCTGTCTCATGATGCCAAAACCTCGCGCGAGCCAGCATGCTTCCTCACCTCCTCCCCCTCCTGGGATCAAGCGCCTCCGCCCTCCTCGCATCGCGCATCTCTTTCGTGCCCAGACTGCCTAGTCCGCCCTCGCTCCTCCTCTCCCAGCCCCCGAGCCGCACCACGAGGCAGGTGGCGTTGTCACCGTTGTGGCTCACTTCGTTAGCGTACTCCACGACGCTCTTGGCCCCCTGCTCGGGCGTCTTGGCCTCCTTGATCACGTCCACGATCTCCTGGTCGCTCAGCGTGCCGCTGACGCCGTCGCTCATCAGCACCAGGAACGAGTACTGCGCGGGGCCCAGGTCGAGGCGCGTCAGCTCCGGCTCGGCGCTGACCCCGATCCGCTTGGACTGCATGTCGCCGAACGACCTGCTGTTGGCCAGCCCCCCGATGCGCTCCTCGCCGAAGCTGTCCGTAACAGACTCGGCGAACCGCGCTAGCCTACGGCTCTCTGTCGGGCTGGACGGGTGGTGATCGCTAGTCAACGGCACCGCCAGACCCGTGGCCGTCTCGCACAGTAGGATGCGCGTGTCACCGACGTGTGCGACTACGACAGTGCTGTGCGTCGCGGGGTGCCAGTAGGGTGCCGGCGTGGGTGTCGAGATCAGGGCGATGGATGCGGTGCTGCCACCCTTGAAGCGCGTGGGGCCGCCGATCATGTGGCCCGACGGAGCGGCGTGCGGCGAAGATCCCAGCACCTCGTCTTGGTTGAGTGGTTGGTTGTCGCTGACGTAGGGATCGTCTGGGTCGGGCTTGCGGGCTTGGGCGGTGACGAAGTCAAGGTCAGCGCGGAGGAAGGCGTAGGTCAATACCGACTCTATCGAAACCTTCGGGGTGGCTGATTTTGCTCTGTCCCCGGTGTTGGTGATGGCTGAAGAGTTTCCCGGATCGAAGAGTGCTGGTCTGAATCGCCTAAAATAGCCACCTATAGTCCTTTTGTACTCATCGAGAAGCTCCTGCTCTAATTTGATGGCCTTGGGAATATCCGCTTTGACCGGGAGAGGTTTCTGGCCTGCGGCGGTTGGCAATTTGCCATTTTCTGCAGGCGTGCCCTGCACCTGAGCCTTGACCTCGTCCGCACTTTTCATGTCTATGCCCTCCAAAGCCTCTTCTTTTGACTCATCCACGGATGTCAGCGGTTCCGTGCTGCTGGCCTGATCTGATGGCCCCTTTGGCCCTTTGTTCCTCTTTCTCAGACTACTCTTCAGCTCGAACGCGTTGGCAGCCTCCTCAACGTAGCCGTGCAACTCGTCCCTGAGGAACTCAGCGCACTGAGAGCCGCCGTGACCGTCGAAAACGCCAAAATAGAATATCTGAGGGTCCCCGAACGAGCTGTCGGCGGTCGTGGCCTCGCCAGCATTGTTCCTCCTCTCACTCCTGACCAGACTCATGGGCGCCCGCTTGGCGAAAGCTGGTATGTCGATTGTGCCAGCTTGGTCTGTGTCCTCGTTGTAGGGGCGGCTGCCCCGACCGCTGAAGGCACCAAAGTGGTGCTTTGCACTGCGCAGTGGTATACGCACTACAGTCAGGTCGCGGGATAGCATGTTGGGAGGCGAGGCTGGAGTCGAGGACCCGGGGCCGGGGGTATGCGGGGTCGAGGCGGCGCGAGGAAGCTTGTGGTGCGGACCGCTCACGACTCTCGAGTCGGGATGTAGCGAGGACGAAGGGAGGTGTGTGACGAAGTAGTTGTGAAATCCACGAGCCCGATTGGAATGGGCTTGGGGCGTCTGCTGTGGCTGATTGCTGTGAGATGGCGACGAGACAGGTGTGGCCCGCTCCATGGCAAGATGACGCTGAGCATGGAACCATCGTCTGCTTGGAGTGCGGCCTCGCGTAGAAGCATGTGCTCTTTGCGACGCTGCTGGGCTCGCATCATGAAAGAAGGTTGCCACGAAACCCATGAACTCTTCGAGAAGCACGGCTGTGTCCTCGGGCTTGCCTGCTGAGGGCCGCGCCCGAGGCACGAGCGAGGATACTGGACGAGCCATGATTATGGCAGTTCCTCAAGGGCGATGCTTGGAATTATGCTCCTCCCAAGAACGCAGAAGACGCCACCGCCACGAGAGGAGCAATTGGAGAGGAGAGAGGCGGAGGAGCTGGTTGAGTGGCACAAAACGGGGAATCGAAGGTCCATCAGTGTACCATGCACCATGCACCATGCAGGATCGGAATTGCCAAGGCGCAAGCTGACGTATCGTGGGGCCCGCTCGTCGAATGCCGTAGGCATACCTGGGCAATTCGATCTGTGGAGGAAGAGCTGTGGTTGTTGACGTTGTTGGGTGAACAGGGGTGGATCGTCAAACTCAATGCTGACAAGAGGATAGGATAAGGAAGAAGAGACAGAGGTAGGTCATTGACCAAGAAGTCGGACAATGGGAGCCTTGGAAGTAGAAGAGTTGCCGTCCCTGGCAAGCTCCGTACCAAGGTATTGTAAACAGGATACTCCGGAGTCCAGATGCCATCATCGTAGGTTATTTCCCTTTCGGCAACCATTGAGGAGCCGTTGTTGAGGTCCCACCATTCCTCCCCATGCCTGGGCATCCCCCGGCAGGCACAGGCAGTGGACAGGACCGTGCCTATAGGTGGCACTGGTGGTAGTCTAGGCAGTATTATTAGCAATCCGGGATCCCCACGGGCGCCGAGGGGTCGCCGGCTCGCCTGTCAGGGGTCGCCATCTCCAAACGTGCACCACGACGTCACTGATCAGGCGAGGCTGTTGAATCTGATCCCATTCACCGTTACCTTCACATTAAACCCCACGTACATACTTAGTTCATTCCGCAGACATTGTTCCACCTATTATGATCTGCGCCGACAACTGGGCTTCCCAAGTTATCCCATGGACGAAGCAGCATCCGAGACTGCCCAAGAAGATGGAGTCCCGGCATCACCCACTGACCTGCCCAAGGTCATCACCGTTGCGCCGAAGGGCGACATCCTCCTAGATGTGACATTTGAAACGTCAAAATCGACTCTCAAGGCAGCCCGCGCCGCCCTGCCCAAGCCTCGCCCAGGACAGCGCGACCCACCCGCCCCTCAGCCGCTGTTGAAGCCCCGGGTTCACCTCGCCTACCGTGTGGATCTCTCCACGCTCAAGAAGCACTCCAGGTACTTCACCAACCTGCTGACCGACACGCGCTTCCAAGAAGCCCGCGCCATCGAGTCCAGGTTTCGTGACCTCTCCCTGCGCAATGAGAAGCCGGCAGACGCCGAGTCCGACCAGCTGCCCCGCGTCGTCATCATCGACGATGACGAGGCCACACGCTCTGCAGGGCGTGAGGACGTCTTCCGGGACCTGCTCCGGATTCTGCACGGCGGCGGCATCACCACCAGGCCTGTGACCATGCTTTATGTGGCGACCATGGCCGTCATGGCGGATCGTTTCGCCTGCACACCCACCGTCTCGCGCTACCTAGCCACGGGGCTCAAGTTCAAGTGGCCTGCGACGCCCCAGCCCAAGCCGAGTGCGGAGGTGGACGGCATGACGAGTCTCAGCCTCGCAGGGGAGGAGGTGCTGCGCCAGAAGGTACTGGTATCGTGGTTGCTTGACCACCCTCTCAAGTTCCAGGCGGCCACGAGGGAGCTGGTCATCTACGGCTCCCACGGCTGGTCTGCGATTCACGATGAGGAAGACGAGGGCGCGGCTTCCGACCCTCTCAAGCAAGCTGAGTCATCTCGTCGAGACGCCCTATGGTGGTTTCTACCAAGTGAATTGGAGGGTAAGTGCCCTCCACCTATTTGCATGCACTCTTTCACACTCTACCCGCCCATCGCCTCCCCTGAATTGATCTGAGCACCTTTCCGTGAAGTCCGTCATGCTGAAATTCGTCAAGAGGAGCTCCACTACCGCCGGACACTTATCCTCAGAACCCTGGCCTCTATCGTAGGGCACTTTCTGCGCCTCTACTCCTCCCGCGTACGGCAGTGCAAGCTCGGGTACGACTCGAGCGCGGCCTGCGACTCGTTCCAGCTGGGCGAGATGGTCAAGTTCTTCGCGGCCAAGAACCTCCTCTTCCTCGTAAATTTCTCCCCTTCCTCGCTGGACAACATCAAGGACTTCGCCGCCGTGGACGTGAGCTCCATCCTGGCGGCGCTGCGGCAGAGCCCTCACTACCAGATAGACAAGAACCACACCAACTGCGGGCTCAGGTCCAAGATCACCCCGATCCTCGAGTACGTCCAGGTGATGCTGAGCTCCAACGTCGTCGGCGTGAACCTGCAGGCGTGGAAGAAGGAGCCCAAGGCCGCGACCTGGATCGCGGCGTCGGGCAGTGACAGCGACAAGGGCAAGCCTGTCCGGAAGAAGGACTTTGTCGTGGGGCCCAGCGGCGAGGGGAGGAGCAAGGTCTTCCGCTTCACGAGGTCCCTCGCCCAGGACCAGCGGCTCAAGTACGATGGCGCCATGGCGGCCGACAGGATGGCCCTGGAACTTTTCATGGCCGAGGACTGGGACTGGACGCCAGAGGATGACCTTGGCTCCGGGGGCAGGGAGTTCGCGACGACGAAGTGGCTAAAGTGATTTTAAGCGAGCGTGCCGTTTGAAGGGGCGTTAAGATAGACCAGGGAGCGTAGATGCCGCTCGAGGGGCTTTTTCTTTCCCCTTGCATTTTTGCTTTTGTCTCTTTCTCACCATGGTAGATAGACTTGGGCCCGTTCACGTGTTGGGGGGTCATTCCTCACAACCAGGCTTGGCAACAACAGATGGCATCTATAGCACAAATACACGATAACATCGAAAAGTCGAACAGGAAGACCACTAGCTCCAACAGTGTCGAACGCCCGGCTTACGAAGCTCTCCCTAGCCTGAGTGGACCCTTGCGTGGCACCGGTAACCCACGCAGGAACGGGCACAACGTGGACCAGGAATGTGGATGACAGCACACTATGTTTCAGACAAGGCACGGGATGGAGAAAGTGTGTGTCGTCTGTGCTACTAGGCCTGTGTTTCTTCCATGACCCGCACAGGGGGCTCCGTATGTACATAACAACCTCAAAAAGAGGCACCTGCCGTCTAGACCATCGTGGCCGGGCTGACTCAGTCCCCCCCCCCCCCATTTTCGCTTTCCAGTGACGCCGAAAGTTCAATGAATTTCCGACGCAAGCAATGGTGGGCCGCGATTCTTCTCGAAACATCCGACTGGGTATCCAAATCCAAACCTCTCATTTTCTCTCCACCATGGGGCATTTTGTCATACTCTGGCCTTAATTCCTCAGCCTTGCCGTGTAAGCCTTCCACGCCCTCACTCGGTATCTCTCTGCCTCACCCTGCGGGTCTCCCGCCTTGATGATACCCCTTCCCACGATGACAATGTCCGTGCCCTTTATGCCGATCAGCTTCGACGGTGTGTTGTACTGTTGACCCATTCCATCGCCCTCGATATCTTCGCCATTCTCCTCCTCGCCCTCGGGCGGCAGCTTGCAGCCTGGAGTCATGTGGATGAAGTTGTCATCGGGCTTCGAGTTCAGGCTCTCCTGCGCGACGTATCCCATCACAAAGTCCTTGTTCTCCCTTGCTGCCTCGATGCATGCGTTTGTGTAGCGGGCGTCCATGAGGTTACCGCTGCTGGACATTTGTGCCAGCAGCAGCAGACCCCTTTCGAGTGGTGCTTCCTCAATGCCAGCAAAGACGATGTCATCGACGTCGGATAGGCTTTTGGACAAGCGGGGGGAATCGGCGGGTTCGTAAGACTGTGTTACTGTCGTGATGCTCACGATACTGCCCTTACGTCCATCGGCGTCTCGGGGCGGTGGCGGTGGTGCCATCATGTTGATGTCCCTCGTCTCTAGTGCAGAGGCCTTCCTCTGACCGTTCCCGGCGCGCGCCGTAGCAGTCTCGTCTTCTTCCTCGTCCATCTCCTCGATGTCACTCTCGAATCCATCGCTTATAGGCGTACCAACTGTGACGCTCGTCCGCACCTCGTAGTTGATCCTCTCCCGCCATTTGGCCGCTGCTTCGGCCATTGCTCCAACCATTGGCTTGCCCGCCGAGATGTTCGCATTGACGATGTGTGCCCAGTCTATGACCCGCGCAGTACCACCGACATACTGCTGCTGCACCGTGCTGCCAATGTCGCAGTATTTGCGATCCTCAAAGATGAGGAAGCCGTGTTTCCTAGCGAGAGCCGCGAGGTACGCACCAGTGCCCGTTTGTGGGTTAAAGTCCCACCCCAAGACAAGGTCGTAGTGCGTTTTCAGGACGACAATGGAGGGACCAACCTTGTCGGCCAAAGATAGAAGTTCTCGCGCGCTGTGTACATCGGCGGACACGCACAAGTTCGACTGCTTGAGTTCCATTAAACGGAGGAGATAGGTCGTCAGCGGGTGTGTCGCGCTCGCTGCCCGGTCGCCATAGCTACTCGTCAGACTGGGATGCCTTGGTGCTGCCATCTTGAGTACTGGAAGGATTTTGAAGTCTGGATGGATTGCGTCTGGTTCAAGGCTGTTCGACGGCAGGTCTTAGAAGAGACAGTCCAACAACAGGGGACAGAATGGTGGTTCCTCACCAGCGCAGTCAGATGCAGGATCACTGCAACTGTGACGGTCCTGTTTCTTCTGTGGGGCAAACGACGCCGCAAGACGAGCAACCGGCACAGAAGCAGGGGTGAAAATTAGTTGGCGGAATTGACTAGAGTAGAGTGTCTGAGATTGAACAGTTCCGCTCAAGTCTCGCCGCACAGACTGGTGGGACTGCGAGCAAAGTCTTGTTCCTAGACGGCCCGTTTCGCTGGTTGGGCCTAAGGCAGCCTAGGCTGATGTTGACTTCAGTCGCGCAATAGAGCTCGCCAAGGCTGATTGATGTTGAAAAAGGGGGTGGAAAGCGTGAGGTCAGGAGGACACCGTTGGAGACGGGTCCGGCTTCAGCTTTCAAGGGCTAGGCTCCTTGAAGCAGGCAAGCGGTGGGTGGTACCGCTGACGTTCGTTGAGAAGTTGTTGTGCGGCAGAGACACCAACAGTGAGGAGTGGGGCCAGCTGGCGATGATCGGTCAGTCGTGTATCGGGACAGAAAAGCCGGGACGACAACCAAAGGCAGTCCGGGGGTCCCAGGGTTGTAAATGAGGCGTCCGAATCCAATTGCAGACAAGTCGCACAGAAGATCTGGCAGGCCTTTTCCGACGACACAAAGTTCCAAACCTGAAGCACGCACCGCTGCGACGAAGGAGACGGTGTGATGTGACAGGGTCTGGGACTTGGTAGCTTGATCAGGACCGGGGATTGGGTTCCGGAATTGTATCTTGCCAAGTAAAAGCACTACTCTGCCCGTTCGTTTGGGGGAAGTTGGTCTGGTGAGCGGGAAGGACAGGACGATGGCTCGTCTTAGTGGTGTAGTGCGCTGCCGAGTGGTGCGGTGCGGTGCGGCACGGCGTAATGCGGCGATACCCAGGTGGTGCAGGGCAGGATGTGTTTACCGCTTGGGGTATGATGCAGAGCAGAGTAGGCAGTGGAGTAGACGCAAACACGACGATCGATGTAACGTCGCGAGCCTCCAGGCGGCCGTGGGAGAGGGATTGTTTGCTGGTGAGCGAGAGCCCCGTGCCGAGTGTAGGGGGTAGACAGCTGGTAGTTGGTGGTTCGGGGGGGAGATAGATATGCAGGTGGTCCCGAGTGACGTCGACGTCTGGAGGTGGCTGTTGTGTCACGGTCACGGGTCGCAAGCCAAGCCGAGAAGTAAGAGGGATAAGATTGGGATGGTGTCAGTGGAAGGAAGCAGGAGGGTGACAATTGACTCCGCCGAAAGGATCGTTCTATCGAGACAAGTCGGGAGACGAAGGATGAGCAGAGACAGAGACAGAGATAGAGGTAGAGAGGCACAGAGATAGAGGGAGAGGGAGAGGCAGGAGGAAAGAATTTATCGATCGCTGCCCTGCTTCTTGCGGCGTGCCTATCGAGTCTGTGTTTTTTTGGGTATTATTTTTTCTTCCTTTTTGTTGACCCGCAGCTCCGTCTCGTCTACGATATAGTCCAGGTAGTTCCAGGTACGGCCTATGTACAGTATGTGCAAGCAGGCAGGGCAGGGCGAGAAGGGCAAGCAAAGGCCTGTCTGCGGGCAGATGAGGGCGGGGTGGGCGGTGTCGAGCTCCAAGGGCTGCCAGGCCGCCCAGGCCAGTCAGGGCCGGGCGTGCAGGGTTGCCAGCTCCAGGGCCCAGACTCCAGCTTCTCTCTCTCTCTCTCTCAAGCCCTGAGGGCCGTGAGGGCCCCATGCGCCCCCAGGTGGGTTGTCCAGACTTGCCCCATGCTCATGTTGCCCATGCTGGGCCTGCTGCCAGTCGACTGACCCTGGAGCCCTGGGACCCTTGTGTGCAGGCCATCGCCCTGATCTACCACGCACAGCAACTGCACAGCATACCTCACAGCACCACCCACACAACGCACGAGCACAGTACATGCCCCAATGCTACTGTGGGATTGCACATAGACGCCCCTGGCAACTCTGTTAGCTGTGACGTGTGGCGCGAGCAAGGGGAGGAAACGGACCTCAGAACCCAGGCCGGCTAGCTGTCTGTCTATCACCCATCCCTTCCCTCATCACCTGGGATGCATCATTTTTATGTTCAGGTCGTACCACACAAATGACAGACTCGTCCTCGACCTAGTCTCTCAGCGGACGTAGCACTCGGCTCTGATAACACTGGTCATTCCCATCTTCTTAGTCAATGGCCCTACGAGCCGGACAGAGGGGTTTGGATGGGACCATTCGGGCAGGTGATTGTCTGGCCGGTGGGCTGTTGGACCAGATGCTGTCTGCCGTCGCCGATCCTAGGTCGTGAGTCGTGATTGACTATCCCAGAGCCACGGAAACCACTCTGTGTCAAGATGGCTTGGCAAGCTGGCAGCACCAGCACAGCTCCCCCTGGGGGCTTCCCCCAGGATAGAAGAAGCAGTTGTGTCTACGGTGTGCTATGTATATCCGAGATGAGCTCCAACCCATGCAGTGCCATGGTGATGATCCCTCTCCCTTCTGCTTCCCAGCCACCAACCGGCGTTGCTGGTGCCATAGTAAAACCGCCCCCATCTGAGACCCCGCCGCCGCCGCCTATACCTGCGACTGTCAGATGACGTAGGCGTGTACAGGAGACAGCTGTCATGTCATGTCATGTCATATCGATTTTCTTTTTCAATGTCTATACTCACATAGGGACATGCAACGAAGGGCTCCAACAAACACGCGGGTAGAGAGCAAAGGACGAGACGTGCCAGTTCTCAGGAACACAGACAAACACATATCTAGACTGCACTACACAGGCTGTACACGGTCACGAGTGGTCCTTGCTTGCAAGCTGCAACAGGCGGCGAGTCAAGGGCTCGAATGCAACTCCGCCAGTGCCAATACTGTGGTAGGGCGAGGGCTGGCTTTTGCATAAGAAAACGACCGTTCTCGTCCGACAGCCTGCGTCTGTCATGGGGATTTGGAGATTTGCGGGACGTTGAACGGGGCTGACGGGGCTGACGGGGTCTGACGCTGCCCACTCCCTGAGCTCGGTACTCCCGGCCTCATGGGGATCCCTAGGGTTTACCGAGAGTTTATCGCTGGTGATCCCATCCACCTGACCGGCGCTGCCGGTATCATGAATATCTGCCGTCGTGCCGTCCGTCCACATACGATATCCAGAGTTCAAGAACCCCTGATCAGCCCAGCACAGCACAGCCCATTATTGCACCATGGATTTCACCTAGATGTGCAACGCTCAAAAGACTTGGAGGCACGAACCATGGCTCTCAATTGGCCTCATCTCAGCAAGAGGGACCGAATATAATTCTCCTGTATTCGACTGTCACAGAAGGCAGGCATCCACCGCACGCAATGTGAGCAACAGGACATAATTCAAAAGTCAAGGGACCCGTGGGCAACACCCAGATGTCATCATGGTGTCCTTTGCAGAAAGCGACGGATGCATCGGAGTGCGTTCACTGACCAGTAGTCTCCCTGCTGTACGCAGGCCCGGTTCATGCGGCCGGAATGCGACCCGCTAGCGTCTGCGTATGCCGTGAGCTTCATATTGCTTTGCGCCTCGCCAAAAAGAAGAGAAAAAGCAGGCGACCATGTCAGACTCACAAGCTGTTGAAGCCTATTCGGACGAGTCTTTTGTACCGTTTTAGGTCTGAGAACCACGTTCAGCGCGGCCACTAGTTATTGAGCTATGCATCTGATTGCTCTTCTCCTTTGCCAGAATTTTCGAACATCCTCTGGTCTTGCTTGCTCTCTACTGTCGACACTGGCAAATTGCTGTTCTCCAAGGCGGGATGGCAGGCTGGCAGGCTGGCAGGCTGGCAGATGAGGCGACGGCGCTAGGAACGGCCGGAAGACGACCCCTGCCCAGGCTCAGGCTGCCAGGTGCGTGGGAAGTCTTATCGACGGGCTTATCAATCTTGGAAGCTGTGTCGCCCGGACAGACAAGTTTCCTAATAAGTCACTTCGGTCTCGCGACGCTTACATTTGGATTCTCTCTGCCCATCTCGCTTGTGAACTTGCCTTCTTGTCCCTTTTCACCTCTGGCACAGCTGTGACCATCGAGTTTGCATCTGTGCAGCAAACAAAATCTCACTTTACATGAAGTAAAACTCCCCACCGGCTTCTCACGCCACGCCACGCCCACGCCACGTATAACCAGCTCCACCCGTCTCCCACCCGGTCTTGATATCCAGTCTTTTACGCCGGCCTGCCCGGAAACATAGAGACAGACTTATTCAAGGACATCAAACCTCGGCAAGCCACGATCGACACCAAGACGCCGTACCCCCTTGTGTTTCGCCCTGTCGAACACCCCATCTGCGATTCATTGAGCAGCAATTGTCATGTCTGGAGCTAGAACCCGAAGACAGGCAGCTTTGGCCGCCGCGGCCGACGAGACTCCCATCAAGACAAAGCCTGAGCCTCCACAAGAACAGCACGTTGTCGTTAATGGCAATGGCTCAGCCCATGTAGCCGGCGAGAGTGTCGCCAAAGTCGCCCAGTCCAAGGAGAATATCTTCTTCTTCATACCCAACCTAATTGGTACGCAGAGTCCCCGGTCTCGAGGGCCACGCTGCGGCCCCCACGGTGAACCCCAGCCGGAGGTCTCAAGGCTCTCATCGACCCGCGCAGCAAGCTGACAGCTCATCCCGAAGGCTACGTCCGCATCGTCCTCGCCATCTCGTCCCTGTACTATATGCCACTCCACCCCCGAACCTGTTCACTCCTCTACAGCATCTCCTGCCTCCTCGACGCCCTCGACGGATATGCCGCCCGGTACTACGAGCAGAGCACGCGCTTCGGCGCCGTCCTCGACATGGTGACGGATCGGTGCACGACCTCCTGCCTACTGGTGTTCCTCTCGTCCGCGTTCCCTCGATGGGCTATCATCTTCCAGAGCTTGATCTCGCTCGACTTCGCTAGCCACTACATGCACATGTACACGACTCTTGTGATGGGTGGCTCGAACCAGAGCCACAAGTCAGTGGACAAGAGCAGGAGCTGGCTTCTGAACCTCTACTACACCAACAAGGTGCGCGCCCACCGTGTGGCACTCACAACTTCTTCAAAACTGACAAGGAGCTCTAGGTGGTTTTGTTCGTTGCATGCGCCTTGAACGAGCTGTTCTTCATCGCCTTGTACCTGCTGTCCTTCTCCTCCCCCATCCTCTCGCCCGCGCTCCTGTCGACCCCGGTTGCGGATAACCTCCAGGCGGGAGCCCAGGTGAACAGCTCCGTGCTGGAGAAGGTCTTCACCAGCCCCTACAGCGCGGCAGCCCTCGAGCTTGCCCGCGCCAACAAGATGGACAGTACGGTGCCCTGGATCCTCGCCGGTATCAGCTTCCCCGTCATGGCATACAAGCAGTTCATGAATGTGATCCAGCTGGTCAAGGCCAGCAAGTGGCTGGCCGAAGGGGACGTTGCCATGAGGCAAGAGCAGGGCCTGCCCAGGAAGAAGGGCAAGACTGCTTGAACCATTTACTTGCTGATTGCAAATCGGTCTCGCAGAAAGCGATGCCATTTGGATTGTGCCAGGCGGGGCAGGCTCAGGCAATAGTTGTCCTGAGAGACGGAGGCCAGTGTAATGCATACGGTGGCTGGCCGGGTCACGTTCCACGGGCACAGGAACACCGGCAGGCTGTGTGCCTGCGAGGATGGGAGACAGTGCTGCATTTCATGGCCTCGTGCGATTGAAGTCGAGGCAGGGAGTGTAGGGCACGAAAATCATTAAATGGAGAATTTGGGCGAGGGCTGGGCGATCAGAAAGATCCGAAGTACCAGGTCTGGTTAAGTATGCTTCGCAGAGCTGTATTTTGCTTTGTACAAAACGTTCAAGACTATTCAGGCGACGGTCATCTTGAACTGTGCCGCAAGGAGGTTCGCAGCACAGCAAAGGAGTTTGGGCAGGGGCAATGGCTATTTTAGAAGACTGAAGCTGGTCATACGGGGTTCATTTTCGACGAGCGATCGTGAACCGGATCAAGTGACGTTCCAACAGCAGTCGGACCAGCTGTGATATCTACATCTTGGCAGTCTCTCGGACGTTGCTCTGCATTACACGTTGTTGGGCCTCACAGGTGATTCGGCTCCTCGCTAGGGATTCTTGGGTCTGAGCCAGTGTCTGCGCTGGAAAGGGATTTTCGAGAAGAGGAGGGCATCAAGATAATCAAAGCGCGCTTCTGGCATAGTTGGTATACTGTTCTCGGTGACACCTATTCGTGCAAGTCGGTTCGCGCTATTACTCATATCCAAGTTGCTCGCGTTGAAAAAGAAAAGGGGAACCTTTCGACTCGATTTCGCCGCAGGTCTAGTATACCTCCAGCCTCGACCGAACCGCACCTTTGTGTTGGAGGGTTCTTGTGGCCGTGTTATACCAGCATCACCAGGAGGTACACAAGACATGCCTTCGGCTGTCTTGCTATTGTCAGCCTTGCTCTTGATATTGTGCGTCCCGCAACAACGCAGTCTCGTCAACCTCCCGCGGCTCCGCTCCAACGCAACAAAACATTAATGACGCCGAATACCGACTCGTCTCATTGAGTGTCTGCCGAAAGGGTCGGAACGCTGAGGTCTTCGTCACAGTTTAGAAGCGTACAAACAGCCGCTTGGAGGGATCACATGGGCGGAAAATGGACCAGGTTGGCAAGACGCTGGCTTTAAGTCTTTCCACTGCCATGAGGGTTCTTTGAATGATGCTGCCGCAGTTGCTAAGGGCGTATATATGGGAGTGGGCGGCACCCCTCGCCCGACATGGCTCCTGATGGCCTGCCCTGCACAGCAATACTGTGCAAGAGATCACAACAACGATCTTCCGTGATTTCAAAATCAATCACACACGAACCTAGTCAATTCATTTCAAAAATCTCCGTTCCACAATATAACCACCATAATCATCAGCATGGTTCTATACACATCCCTCCTCCTCGTCTGCCTCCTTGGCCACGCTGCGGCTGGCCTCGCTGGTACCAGCGACACCAGATTGGTATCTCGCAACCCACAAGTTTCCAAAGACGGGACCCTGACTTGTGGTACCTTCGGCTCAGCGTCCAAGCAGACCGTACCAAACCTCTTGAACGACCTGCTTCCAGGCGGCAAGATCGCCGACAAGGTGTGGACTATAGGCCCCAATTCGTGCCACAGGGTGCACTGCTACGACACGAGTGGCATCTACGTCTGCAATGTATGCATAACAACATCCCCCCTCCTCCCTCCCCCCTGAAAACAATCGTGACCGAAAAAGGAGTTCCGGAGACCGCTAACACATGTGCACCGGCGCAGGACAACTCGAAGGAGATGAGGGTCGCGGGCCACATGGTGGCCAAGGGCGTCAAGTGCATCACGGACAACTGCTGCACGGTCAGCACCGTCAATAACAACTTCTCCAAGGGCCAGTCTGGGCAGAAATTCTACCGCGGCGCGGGCGCCAGCTTCAACATCGTGGTCGCGTACGGCAACTGCGGCCACGATGCCAACGTCCGGCCCGCCGACGAGCTGGGCTGGGGCGTCAACGGGGTGTGCGATGGTGGCGTCCTCAGCCCGGAGTACGACGGCTGCGACGTGCTGTGAAGGGCCTCTGTCTCCCTCTGGGCTTCTTGTTTTCTGTTGTTGTTTTGTGTGAGCCTTTCCTCTGGTCGGCAGTATATGTTGGGAAGTGGGTTTGAGTTTCTTCACTTAGTACATGCAATTCTAGCCAACGAATCTACTAATGTCTGGCCTACTCTCCGGTTGGTGGCTGTGTGGTTATTGTTGAAATCGCCAGTATGCACGAGCGTTGCTGTTGTATTGCGGCCGGTAGTCATCATGTACAACTCTATATACAGGGGGTAGCTCGTTTTGTGTGGTTTTCAATCATTCGATAGTGGTACTGGGAAAAGGGAGTGATAGTAGCCGGGTATTATTTGATGTATAACTTGCTCTACATCCTAAAGAGTGTCGCCATGGCCCCAATTCAAAGAGATTATTGGACGCTCTCACTACAAAGAAAGTATTGAACTGCAAGCAGCACGCTCTTATTCGTCAAGGGTTGCAAGCTCAGACACAATCAACAACGTCTCATCAGCTCTTCCCTGCCCCTGCACCGCCACCAGATACAGTAGTGACCTCCTCAACGCGAGTCCCGTTTCCGTTTGCAACAGTGTCATGCTGGGTACCTTGCTGCAAAACGCCAGAGGTACCCGCAGTCTTCGCCGCAGCAGGGTCGTCAGAGAGACCATACCACGCCACGACAGCGACACCGAGGATGCCACTGATGCAGCTGAAAACCAGGGCCACGATGCCCCTCGCGGTGAACCCATCCGGGAGCCTCGCGGGCGGCGACGGCTCGCCGCTGAGGTCCAAGAGGTCGACCGTGTTGCCGGCCGCGTTGCCGACGGTAGGCATGGCGGGCGACGCGGCGGCGCAGGCGTCGTAGTGGTTCTGCGGGATGGTGAGGGTCTGCTGGAGGTCGAGCGGGGCCTCGACCATGGTCGCGATGAGGCCCGACTCGACGTGCCACTCGATGTGGCAGTGGAACAGCCACACGCCCGGGTTGTCGGCGCGGAACCGCAGCACGATGTTGCCCTGCGGCTTCAGCACGAACGTGTCCCGGCGCATCGGGACCTGCGAGAAGTCCGCCTCGGTGACGTTCGAGTCCGCGAAGAAGCCCGCGTTCTCCTCGGACCGGTACACGGCCTGGAAGTTGTGCCCGTGCAGGTGGAAGGGGTGCTTGCCGGTGTCGTCGTTGTCCACCACTATCTGGACGATCTCGCCCTTTTGCAGCACGAAGCTGTGGGTGTGGCTCCCGTAGACTAGGGCGTTGTTCGCGGTCTCGCCGGCCGAGAGCGCCGTGTACAGTGTTGGGACTTTCGGGGCCTTGTATGTTATGTTGTTGAAGAAGGCGCTGTGATCTCGTTAGTCCTGATGATTCACAGCTCCTTCACGTAGACTTACTAGTTGGCTCCGTCTCCGAGATTGTCCATGATGACTTCCAGCTCGATCTGATGGTCTGGCGCGCCGAGGATTGTCTGGTTATCGTAGGGAACCAGAGTGAAGTCGTCAAACTCGTTGAACTCATCCACCAATGCTGGGTCGGGCAGTGGTTTCGAACTATCGTACGACAACCAGCCGGTGACGTTCCAATTCAAGTCATCAGGAAGAGTGTCGAAGAGGTCCTGGGATAAGTATCAGTTACATGTGTATTATGCATGCAGGCAGAGGACTGATCGACTCACAGTATCCATGCTTGCCACGAAGGGGAAGTTCGCGGAAGTGTCATTCCTCGTCGTGAGCAGGAAGCTGCATCTCTGAGCAGCAGAGAGATAGATCCTGTCTGCTACCGCAGGCTGCGTGTAGATCCCGTCGACTTCCACGATCGATATGTTGTGGCCTTCGAACCAGACATATTGCCCCGCGAAGGCCCCGATGTTGATCATGCGGAACAGGTACGTCTTCCCGGGCTCAACAGAAACAGTGAGGTTTTGTGTCTCGTTGAAGAGAGCATTCTTCGGGACTGGCTCCGCACCAGTGGGGTTGTCCTTGCTGATGAAGCCCTTGATCAGCCCGGGCATCTCATCGTGATACCAGTCGGAAACGGTCAAGACGAGTTCCTCGTCATACTGCCCATTGAATGGAGAGTCTGGGTCATGGATGATCAACGGCCCACGAAGACCGTCAGGATACTGGCCTCTTATATGAGAGTGGTACCAGTATGTTCCCGGCTGGTTGATTGTGAAGTTGTAGGTGAACCGGGAGCCTGGTTGGATTGCGCATTGTGTCACACCTGCAGGACCATCCATGTGCGTTGTGCCATTCCTGTGCGAGGAACCGTGGTCAGTACGGAACTCGGGCGATGTCTAGATTCCTCTAGGTCGTGGAATTGTCTTACATGTAAAGTCCATGGAAATGCAGCGAGGTTGACTGGTTTCCCAGCGAGTTCAAGACATTAACAACGACCTGATCACCAACGTTTGCCGTGATCTGGGGAATTGGCCATTGTCCATTGATGCCAATCGTGGGACGGGCGAATGCACCATCTGGATTCGCAGTGACCCATCCGATTTCGAAGTCATATGTAACAGTGGCTGTCTGTACTACCGCGAAGAGGGAGAAGACTGCCAGTAGAAGCACGCGCGAAGGGCTCGAGAAAGCCATGTTGCTGGCATATACAGAAGTGAAAGCCCTAGGTCAGGATCTGTAGAGCGCGGAGCATATCAGGAAGGGGAGAAGCTGAGATCGGAATGAGGCAGCTTTGAGATTACTGGTATTGTACAAAAGCGCGCCCAGCCGCGGCCCAAGAGAATAGACGAGGGCAAAGGAGCGAAAGTCAGTTCGCAGAAGCCCGAGGGGGATCGGGTACGAGGACGGGAGGAGGCGGGAGACAGATGGAACAGGGGACCCTGCAGTTGGACTCAATGAGCTGAGATTATCTTATCAATCAAAATCAGAAACAGTCATGGACAGGCCATGGAGTAGTGATGGTGTGGAGCGATGTGGTGTTGTGATGAAGAACACAGCAGGACCTAAGTCTCAAGGTTGCCAGGATGCCAGGATGCCACCAGCCGATGGCCGCTCAGCCAGATGAAGCTCACGCAGAGGGTCCGAAGGGCGGACCAGGAAAACGAGCGAACGAACAGACAAGATGCCTGAGGGTGGTGATACTAGCGGGCATGTTTGGACCTTGTCCCGGGCAGCGAGGGAAGGTTTAAGCGCATGGGGGCCCCGATGCGACGGTGATCCACCGGGTGGGGGCTTTGGGGCCTGCCAGAACAGGCTTGAGTTTGCAGAAATTGTTACATGGGAGTGAAGCTTGTTGCCCATGTCATGAGCTTGTTCGATTTAGCCAACTCTGCTGTGTGGATACTTCTGTGGCCTCAGCTCTGTTTTCTGGAGACAAAGTGGCTGCTTGCCCAGGCTGCCGGCTCGGTCTGGTCTGGTCTGGTGTCGCCACAAGCCTCTGGATTTGATGCGGAAGTCGGCACGCACACCTGGATTGGTGCTGGGGAATCAGCTGGATCCAAATGAGGCGTGAAACTAATCGCAACGGTGGCTTGAGGAATGCCGGCTAGCTGGGTGCAGGACGAATGGAAATGGGACGATGCAGTGGGCGGCTGGGAGGGGTGCGGATCAGATAAGATTGGGCAGGGAGGAATTTTCAATCTGATCAGATAAGAATGATGGAGGTCCCTGCGCATGTGTGTGTGTGTGCGTGTACGTGCAAGGGACTAAAAACAGGTGTAACAGTAGCCACTAGAGATGTTTTAGGCGAGGGACGATCATGGTGAGAGAAGCTCTGGTTCGCATCGTACGACTGTTTCATTTCGGAAGGAGGTAGATTTGGATGCTACTGTCAATGACTCTTTGTTATTCTGTTGCGGACATTATTCCCACATTGCTCAGGTCTTAGACATACACAGAGAGCATAGAGTATATAGACACATACCCTTGAGTTCCACCCTTTCTGAGTTTAATGCATGTCGACCCGAGAATTAAGCTTTTGACGGCTTAACTTACCGACTAATGTCCTCAGGTGGTGGGGAACAGGGGTCTATGTGGGCCCGCCTTGGAGCTCCTCTTACACGCCATTGGTCAAACGTCGAAGCCGGGCCAGAGCCACACATTTAGTACTGGATGTAGTACTGGATGTGCAATGTGAACAGCACCCGCGTATTCAAAGCTGCAGGGCATCAGGGGCTTGCTCAATCATCTGAGGTGGTAGTCCTGCCACTTCCTGCCTTCTCTTTGTCGGCCATTCCCACTCACACGGAACGCAGTTCCCAATTCGGTCGACGATCTCAGCGAAAGCGAGCTTGTCAGCCCACAGCGTGAGTCGGTAGTTGGTGTGCACACCCTGATTCGCCCATTGTCACAAACATGCAGGGCACAGATCGCCAGCGAGTCGCCGACCGGGCTGCCTGGTCAAGCAAGCATGCATCTGCTCGCTTCTTCGAATTTGATTTCCTGGACCGTCTGCATCTAGTGTGGAAAAGCATGCCTACCACCCTCCCCCCACCAACCCGTCTGTCTCACATAACGATTATCTGATAAGATTTATCAGATCTTGTCAGCCATGGACCAGGGGTGTCACACTGGCTCATCAAGTTCCTCTGCTGCCCAAGCTGGACCCGTCCTAGTGTCCCGTCTCAATCCGACTGTGTCCGTCTAATTGTATCTCGCCCGGCATCCTGTTTCCTACTGATGCTTCCTCGCGTCCTCCCATCTCACCTCCAACATCTGTGCAGCAATAGCCACGATGGCGCCTCAAGTCTTCGCCGTCCCTGTCTTCCTCGTCGTCTTCCGTGAGACTCTCGAGACAGTCATCATCGTCTCTGTGCTTCTCGCATGGCTCAAGCAGACCCTCGATGGCCCTGAGCGAGATGTCAAGGTTTACAAGAAGCTCCGGCGCCAGGTGAGTCCTATCTTGACAACACAGCACCCTCCTCAGCCAAACGGCTCTAACTCCTCTCTCTCAACAGGTCTGGGCAGGCACCGGCCTCGGCTTCTTCATCTGCCTGGTAGTAGCAGCCGCCGTCATTGGGACGTTCTACACTGTGGGCGTCAACAACTGGGAGACCAGCGAGCTTTACTACGAGGGTGCCTTTGCCCTGTTCGCCGCCATCATCATCACCGTCGTCGGTGCTGCCCTCCTGCGCATCTCCAAGATGCAGGAGAAGTGGCGCGTCAAGCTGGCCGCCGCCCTCGAGGGGCCCGTGATCAAGACGGGCACCCGCTTTGGCTGGCTGAAGAACTTCTCTGAGAAATACGCCCTGTTCATCCTCCCGTTCGTCACGGTCCTGCGTGAGGGCATCGAGGCCATCATCTTCGTGGCCGGTGTGTCGTTCTCAGCACCAGCTTCCGCCTTCCCGTTGCCTGCCGTCGTGGGATTGCTAGTAGGCATCATTGTTGGGTACATTCTGTACAAGTACGTAGGAGTCCGTCTCCTCCTGAGACCCGCTTCAACTGACAGTCTCTTCACAGGTCCGGATCGTCGGCTAAAATGCAACTATTCCTCGTTGTCTCCACATGCCTTCTCTATCTTGTTGCAGCTGGGCTGTTCTCCCGAGCTGTCGGTTACTTCGAGCAGCAGAAGTGGTAAGTGCTTCACATACACACTTTGGTTCAAGTAGTACCGAGGGCTATTGGTTGGCGTGGCAAGGAGTCATAGTTATCCGGCTTCCTGTTCAGGCCTGCATGATGTTCTTACAATTGGAGTCTCTTTACTGATAATATCGCAGGAATAATATCGTTGGAGGCGATGCGGCTGAACTAGGAGTCGGCCCTGGTTCTTACGACGTCGACGCGGCCGTGTGGCATGTTAACGTACGTCCCCATTACCATTCGTATCATCTCGATTGTTCTGTCCTCTGACCAAAATTGCAGTGTTGCAGCCCTGAATTCAACGGCGGCGGCGGCTGGGGTATTTTCAACGCCATCCTAGGTTGGAACAACACTGGTACATATGGCTCGATCATCGCATACAATGTTTACTGGATCTTCGTAATTACCAGCTTCGTTGTGATGAGGTACAAGGAAACCAAGGGTCACTGGCCCTTCATGAAGGCAAAGAAGGTGTCTTCTGAGACGAGCAGTGAGTCGGGCGTGAACGCAGGAGCGACCAACGGTCAGGGACAGAAGAGAGCCGAGGCTGAGGAGAAGTCTGTGGCAGCGTCATAGACTTGTCAATAGGCTAAGTGAGATGGTTCTACAATGTAGGATAGGTGACCGATGGGGATGGCTTGGGCAGTTGATTCGACTTTGAATGCCTTGAGACATCAATTGGGCGATAATATTACAAATGCACATGTCAACAGGGCTCGACTACCTATACTAGGTTCAACTAACGCAAAGGGCATAGATGAAGTTTGGAAATCTTGCGTCTTTGACCGTATAAAAAGCTAGCCTATATTCACGCTTAGGTAAATTGAAGCGCTGGGAACGGGCCGCAAAGCGCAAATGACTCCGGCTTCTTGGATATAGTGAGGCCTAATGTGTATGTCCCGGCGAAAATAGTAAACGTAGCGGAGCAGAGTGCATGTCCTAATCAAGAGCACAACTCGAATCTATCATGGGAAAGCTTGCCTTTCGTGTGTATGACATCGTTAATTGTACTCATTTCCCTTGATTCATGAACCTATTACTTTTCTTAATTATCTGGAACAGGCGACCTGAGGGTATCTGTTGCGCTGTCGCTGATTGACAACAGATTATGGAGAATTTTCTTCAGCTGAGATGATAATTGATTCGAGGTCAACTGAACATAGATATCGCACTGGTGATAGGGATTTCCCAAATGTAGTCGATGAGCCACAGGACTCGACACTTGTATCCTCTTAAAACATACGGGAATTTCCAAGCACCGGACAGATCCATACTTGTTGGCCTAAGTCACAGCTTGCGTCGTACCCCTATCTCCTCCCATTTTCTTCATTCCACCGGCAGCATGAAATGGCTAAATTTGATCTCACCGGTCCATATCGCATCACGAAGGCAAGGCCTAGCCGGAAGGTGAGAAGAGAAAACAAATACATGTGACAGTGGTATCTCTCTATATCATCTACTCTGCTAGTGCCGCAGATAGATCAATCACTCTAGATCGCAGCCAACCGACCCTGCAGGCCATCCCACTCCCTCGAGCCCACGATGTGTACGTCATGGACCCTACCATTCCCGGGCATCATCTTCCCCTGCCCATCCGGCAACCGGATGTGCAACCTCGCCGCGGCAGCATTCCTCGCCTTCCTCACAGATAAACCGTCCTTGTCCCGACGCTGCTGCGAGTGCTGCTGCTGCCCCGACAGGATCTGGCCCTTGCGAGCCACGCTATCATGCCAGCCCTGCCAGGCGGCGAGGTCTTCCATCTGCCTGGCGGCGTGGTACTGCGGCGTGCTCTTGGCGCTCTTCCACGCCAGCTTGTCCTCCGGCAGCGAGCTCAGGTCGTACATCTTCGCCTCGGTGGCCATGCGGACCAGCTCGCCCAGCACGTCCCTGCCCTCGGCGACCACCAGCTTCCTGCGCTGTTCCTGCACCGGTACCGGCTTCTTCACCGGCTCGGACAGCCAATCGTGCCCGCTCTGCTCGGTAAGCCTCGCCCGCCTGTTGTCCTCCCTGAGGTACCTCACCGCCGACTGCAGGCTGGTGATTTCCTCCTTGAGCGTGTCCATCTCGCGCGCCGTCGCGACCGCCATCTCCTTGCCCGCCTTGGTGCCCGCGGCCGCCTCGCTGAAGGCCCGCGAGTCGCCCGCGATCTTCTTCCACTTATCCCTGTCCGCCTCGAGCGTCTTCAGCTCGCGGTCCTGCTTCTCAATATCCTCCTTGAGAGATGCGACGTTGCCACCTGACTTCTCGATCTGCAGCTCCAAGTCCGTGATTCTGTTTGCCTTGGCAGTCGCGTCACGCATGCGCGATTCCAGTGTCTCGATCTTGAGCATCGCCGTGCTGAGATTCTCCTCGCGCTGTGCGATAGCGCGGCGGGCCTCACTGTATTCCTCTTTGAGGTGACGAAGCTCCTCCTCGGCGTCAACAGGGACGGTCTTGACGGCTCTGAGTTCCTGAGAGCGTAGGATCCAGGGTGCCGGGCTGCGCTCGAATTCCTGGGTCTGCGTGAAGTCGGATGCTAGCTGAGAGAGGTCGCTGATCTCGCTGGTAAGAGCGCGAAGCTTATTAAGGTATGTCGCGAAGAGGTCAGACTCGTCCGAGCTTGCCACCGCGAAGACGGTCTTTCGCACGCGGTCCTGCACCTCGAGGTATGTATATGGCTCCGTTCGGCCCTCCTCGTGTAGCAGTTGGTGAAGATCTAATCCAATGCTGCGAGCAAGTTCTGCGAGTTGTTGTGACAGCTCTTCGCATCGCTGGAAGACCTCCTGGGTCTCTTGCGGCAGCGCTAGAGAGCGCAGTCGCAAGTCTTCAAGCGCCTTGACAGTCCTACCTGAGATGACCTTGGAGCTGCGCGTCTGCGTAATGACAGCATCTGCCTTCCTTATGAAGTACTGTGCAAGCTCATCTTCCTCACTCGCTGGAGGGATGATACGCTGCACCATGGTTTGCAGCGTAGTAAATGTAGTAGCAGCGGATTCGAGGTGGCTCTGCATCATCACTGTCTTCATGTAGACATCATCTGCGAAGCTCTCGAGGTCACTCGAAATGTGAACTTCGCCAAGATGCGTCATGAGGGCAATGGTACGCTGTAGCTCGCTTGCACATTGCTTTTCCTTCAGCTCATCCTTCTTCAAGCCCTCAATCCACTGATTCAAGGCTCGCTCCACGGGCTCGAGCTCGTACAGCGCACCCTCATACTTGGAGAACTGATCAAGCGAGCAGTGGCTGATAGAGTTGACGAATCTCTCGCACATTGAAGACACCCACGTGAGTTTGTCCATCGCATCGCAGCCGGAAAGGACATCGTCCTCGTGACCAGGGTGCGCATGGCCCTTGACTCTCTCTTGAATGAATTGGTGCAGCAGATTCGCCTTGAAGGCCAGCCTCCTGAACCGCAAGAGAGCCAGGACAGAGTCTCGATCGCTCTGATAGCTGTCCGGCAGGAACATCTTGACGATTTCCAGATGCTGCTCTGCTTCTTGGGCTTCCAGGCGACGCAGCTCGAGGTCAATTGTCTTGGCTTGTGCCTTCTCCGCAGAGATTTGCAGCCTCATTGTCAGGTCCTCCATAGCTCTCGACCGGCTGTTTAGCTTCTCCGACTCCGTTTCTGATACAGCTTGCGATGCCTTCATGTCCTGCAGATCGCTTTGCAGATTGGTCACGAGCTCACGGAACCTAGACAGGGTGTATTCCATGTCCTCCATCATGGTTTCCTGTTCCGCGGCCCGTCTTGCCTGCTCTGCGATGACGCTATCTTTAAAGTCGATCTCCTCTTGTAGTTCCTTTTCATTTTGGACGTGGTTGATCTCAAGTTCGTCGTTAACTTCCTTTAGGTTTTCGAGGTCATCGATGATGGCCTTGAGTTCTTCGAGCTGCTCGGCCTGACTCATGTTTCGTTCTGTAAGATCCTCAATCATATCTTCAGCGCCTAGGGCTGTGTCAAGTTGTTGTCTGAGATCCTCGACCATCGCCTCTGCCTGGGCGAGCTTGCCCTTGGCGGCCTCGTGCTGCTCCTTGACGGCCGCGAGTTCTGTCACGTCCTCTTCCAGGCTCTTTATTTGATCCCGGAATTCCTCTTCCTGCTGCTGCGTGATGTCCCGCAGACGAATGAGAGCATCGCGTAATCGCTCATTGTTCCTTTCCATCTGTATCCAGTTCGTGCTAGCCTTCTCTTCCGGAGACATGCCTTTGGTGTACTCGGAATTTTCCTCTCTCAGGATCTCAAGTTCAAGCTCGAGCTCCTCAGTCTTCTCTTTCAATGCCTCAACTTCGACCTTCAACACCTCGGCGGTCTCCTCGGCCATCTCACGATCCAAAGTCGCCAGCTCTAGCGTCGTTTCATGCTCTGCCTGCATCGCCTCGACAGAATTCAGCCTTTCTTCTGCTTCTTTGAGCATCTTGCGCAACTCCGTATTCTCTTGCTGTTGCGGCGCATACTTGGCCTGAAGCTTCTGTATGATGCCTTCAAACTTGTCTCGCTCGCCCTGGACCTTGTCCAAAAGCTTGATTTTGTCTCGATCCTCCATGCGTTTCCTCTCCATGACCCTCAACTTCGCCTTCAGATCTTCGATCTCCCGGTTTGAGGCCTGGAGAGCCTGTGTCGTGGGCCTCGACACTTTCCTCGCAGGATCGGATTCAGCCGTCCCACTGAGATTCTCCAGCACAGTGTTCCTAGGCTGCACTGGGGATTCTTCGTCGCTACTTGCCCTCTGTGACGTGGCACCTTTGTCGATCGACGCCCTCTTTTCCGCGCCGGATTGTGATCCTGGAGAGCCGCGTTTGGAGGCCTCGGGCCGTGCTTTGCCTCCGGTCATAGATAGTCGACCGCCTGCAGCCCGTGTTGTGGTAGGCCGGGAAGGCCCTGTAGATGAGACTGACGCTTGACGGCCTGTTCGGGAAGCGGGAACAGCAGGAGGGCCCATAGATGACCTTGTCGTAGCTGAAGCGGCTCGGGCTTTGGTGGTCGAAGTCCCTCGAGCATTCGCCGGGGTGCCGGTTCGGGAGGTGGCCGCGCTTGACGAGGCAGTTCCGAGCTGTTTCGTAGGAGACTTCGTAGGAGACTAGAATTGAGTTCCATGTTAGATAGGCGGGCAATGGAGTACACGAGGCTGAACACTGGGTCCTTACTCTTGCGATGCTGGAAGGACGTGACGTCCTCGGGCCCGGGCTAGGGCTGGGGGCGTTCAAGCTCTTCCTCCTCCCCACGCCGGTATCAAGTGATGTGCTCGCAGTCCTTGACCCCGTGGTGAACATGCTATTTGGTCTCGAGGTGCTTGTCTTCCTTGTGGCTATTGGGGCAGGCTTTGGTTTTGGCGGAGGCTGCGCAATAACAGCTACTGCGGCGGGCCGTACGAACATGCCATTGCCCATGTCACAGTCAAAGTATCGCTCGCCCTGGACGCTGCCATCGTTCTTGCCTGTGCCATCGTCCAGCTCGACGCCGACCCAGACGCCGGGCGCGAAGGCCGTCTCGCCGACGAAGCGAATGATGGCATTGCGGCCGTCGGCGAGGCGGATAACCTGCCCTGCTGCCAGATCTGCTGTCATTTTGACAGGAGGGCGATGCTCGTCGTGCGGTGTTTATGGTCGGATGAGCATTTCGCGGATTGGGTGTTGTCGCTGTAGTTGTCGATTCCGTCGTTGATGCTGTCGTCGTGGCGCTGACATAGGGCTGTTTACTTGTGTCGCGTCCCCTGACAGAACCGACGCGGATCTTGGCTTATGGCTGCTCACTTAGAAGCGCCAGAACAATGCAGGGACAGCATCCTAGCTCCGGGAGCTACTCTGTTAGTGCCTTGCCGTTGGTGGCGGTTATGTATGGGGTGAAATCCCCAGCCGCACTAACACAAGCTACCCAACTCGCGACCTAGCAACATTCCACGGCCACTCATTCGAGAAATCGGCAACCTGAATCGTAATGCTCCAGATATTGAACAATATTATTTCTGAGGTTGCAATAGCTACAGAAAGGAAAGCGAGGCTAAGTACATTCATAGCTTGTTCACGTGAGTGGGATGACAGAAAACCGCCTGTCATCACCACCATCATCGTTCATCGTCACTACCAGTCCTGCGTGCTCCCTCACCTAACCACCACCGCCGCCCTCCTCTCTGTCTCTTGTCATGTTGTGTTACTGTTCATGCTGCTTATGTCTGATTTCACTCAGTCGTTTCCAAATGCATATCCGTCCCTGAAACTGCCCGCCCTAACCCATTCCATCACCTCAAAAGCCAGCCTCCTCTCCGTCTTCTCGTCCACAGCCCCCTTCTCAGCATCGACCCTCACGATCATTATACCCGGAGACCGGTATTCGACCGCGCTGGAGCCGCTCCTCGCTAATTCTTCTGATGTCGATGCTCGAACGTATACCACCAGGTCCGGGCCCACGATGCCCCGCCACAGTGTTGCCATCCACTGCCAATGATCCACGGGCGAGTACGGGTCCGTGATAGCCACCGTGGATGCGAACTTGTCAGAGAGTGTAAGACTGAACCCATCAGGTATCAGGGCAACGGGAAGGAGCGGCTTGGATGACGGAGCAGGGGCGGGTTGCTGAGTCGTGATGTGCTTGATAATCTCTGCGGATTTGGAGTGCCACTCCATGATGGTTTGCAGGTAGTTGAATGTCCCCATCGCGTGTGAGCTCGAATTACCAGTGCCACTGGCATCTGGGTTGGTGATACCACTTCCCAGGCTGCCGCTTCGGCTTTCCGTGCTGGCGCTATCCTTGTCCTGTGTACCGCTCATTGCCGCATCCTCCCCATCGCCCTTTCTTCCAGGGCTATGGGCATCGGATACGCCAACCTGTTTCGCTGGGGACGAGTCCGTCCAGATCTTGGTCTCACACTCCCCAGACTGCCTCAACGCCCTCTCGATAACAGGCATCACCTCCCGCATCAATGCCATGTTTGCACCCTCGATGGCTATTACCGGCCCCCTCGTCTCGACAAAGGGGCTGCCTGGTGCAGGTGGCCCTAAGGGAGGGCTAATTTTGCGCAGGACATCCAGCTTGTTCATGTATGGAATGCTCATGACCATGGCCTCGATTCCTCTCGCTTGGCTGTCCCTCGACTGCCCCTGTTGCTGGTTCATGATTCCCAGTCCGGTAACCCCGCCGCCCGAGAGTGTTCGGGCGCCACTAGTATCAGAGGTTTGCGTGGGCGATGTGGGGATTTGCAAGGGCGCCAGTGTTAAAGACTCGTCGTACGCCGAGTTGGAGCGCGATGTATGGCTTGATGACGGCGGTGGTGCACCGGTGCTGAATTGTCGAGGCGGGCGAGGAGGCGGAGCCATCATTGTATTGTCCTGCTGCAAGCCACTTGGGCCTGTGGGCATGCGTGGACGCGGAAGAGGAGCCATAGGGCCCGGACCAAATGTGCCGCTTCCAGGCGTTCCAGCGTAGACACTGCTGCTCATAGAGGAGGTTCGCCGGACTCCCGAGTTGTGCGCAGCGTAGTTTACAGGGGACGAGATAGATTGTTGGTGGTGCTGCGGATGCTGCGAAGGAGGCACTGAGGGATCAGGTGAGCGACCACGGTCGGCAACGCGCCGTCGCTTTGCGTCCGCTGGCGACATCATATCATAGTCGTCATGTGCGGCCCGTCTCTTTGACATGTGAGGAGGCATTCCATCATAGTTTTCCTCAATTGTCCGAAGCTGCTCTTGATGTTGTGGGTAGTACTGCACGCGGCGAGGGTCTCCTCCCAGTTGTGGAGGTCCCATATCCATCAAGGGCCTATGGTGCTGCTGTACTTGCTCAACCACCCTCGGGTTGTTGGCAAGGAATGGCTGCATTGCAGACGACCCCAACGGGTGCCCATGGTGGCCACCCGGCATGAAGGGCGTGGAAGGCGTCCTAGGCGTCGCGATATACCGTCCCTGGCACTTTGGACACCGTCCCGGATCCTCTCCCAAGGCAGAAGCAGGTCTAGCAGATGGACCACCTTTTCCGCCGCGGCGAGGCTGGTATTTGTACTGCGGATACTGACGCTGGTGCCGGGCCTTTTCTTCCTCTGCAAGACGCTTCCAATAGTTCTTGACCTCCTCAGTCTCTTCACGCCACAGCTCACCAATGATTTTGGAAATCTCCGGATTTGCCAGGCCGGGATACTTGAGAACCACACCGGCTTGGTGATGTTGGCGGTAAAGGATGAAGGCTGCTCACAAGAAAACCAGAAATTGCTACACATCAGCCAACGATGATTCTTGGGTTGTCACAACAGCTTGTGACTCAGAAGAACAAAGAAGTTGAGGTCCGAGTTGCGTCTCAGGGACAGACGAGAGGGGAAGGGATATCAGCAATGTCAGGAAAACAACAACAGACTTCACCGTGCAAGACTGGGCACAGAATTATAGACTAATGATAGAACATACCGTTGCGAGGTCTCGGAACTTTTGGTGGCGCTGGACAGATGCATATAAGATCCGTCGTGGTAGCTGAAGGCGGGGGTGTGCTCACCAACGCTGGGGAGTGGATGGTCAGCCCTTCGACCCTGGGGTGGTTTGCCTCCTCAACGTTGATGGACTGGGCTCGCTTCCTGGTGAGACGGCCGGGAACTGAAGGGAGCCCGTGGGCTTCCCCTGGGGGTGAGTTGGGCTGAATGAACTGTTGCTGCAGTTGCTGCTGTTGAGAGGATGGCTGCTGTCTCGCAAGACTGCCGTTGGATCTTGTAGACATGGCATGAGTGCTGGTCGGTGACGTGAGAGCATGAGGAGGAGTGAGTGGGTGAGAAGGTGAAGGGGCAGAGGAAGAGGCAGGATTGGTGGCTACGTCTGTCATTTTGGAAAGAAAATGTCGGCTGGGGCAAACGGGCTGGAAATTCGAACAGCTGGAAGGAAGCAGGAGACAAGTCAGACCGACTGGACAAGTCCCAGGTTCAGGGGGAAATGGGATTGTTCGGTGAGTCCTGTCGGTCAAGGTCCAGAGTCGGTCAGTGGTTGCTGCCCATGAGGTGCGCGATTCCCGCCGGTCGAATTTCAGCAATGAGTGAAGCGAATGGAAGAAACCTGGGGTCCAAGAAGAAAGTGGACTTCCACAACTTCATGTTAGGGGCAAATGGCGACCAAGGTCTTGTTGGATTGTCCGCTTTGTGAGATACTCCCCCCCTCACCAATTTACTGGCGACCTGACAATGAGCAGGCTAGCTCTCTTTCCTCTCAATAGCCTTATGGCTGAGCTTGCTGGCTGCCATTATCAGGGTGGTGGTGATGATGGGGCAATCGGCTGGGCGCAATGGGGAAGTCTTTGTCTCGGGAGAGGAGCGGGAGACTACTGAGAGCGAAACCGCGCCAACTGCGAGTTCTTTGTTCAGCGTTTGCGATTTCCGTTCGCAGTGACCCTCCCAGGCCTTCAGGCCGAAGTGACAGATTACCCAGGACAAGAAATCAGATTATATGCTTTGCAACCACGACAACGGCCACCGGAATGCGCAGCAGTCAGTACGGCAGTTATGGGCCGCCTCTGGAATGTGAAGCTGGTAATAAAGACTATGTCAGCCGAAATACGGCAATCCGCACGCTTTTCCATTCTCTATCCACGTGATCTTACATTTAGTTTATCTCGACGAGCAATGTGGATCCGAGTGAGAGGGTTCGCTGTCTTAGACGGCAAACGAGCGACCAACCAGACACCTTGTCTGAACCAAATCAACACACACTCAGACTCCCAACCAGCCTTTTCCCTCATGACCATCCCATTTGTATCATCGCTGAACACCGGTTCTTGGAGAAATTAGAAATATGACGAGTCTGCGCACAAGGAGTACAGCAAGGTCCGTGGACCGGATACATCAATGCTCTCAAGGCAGAAATCCCTTGCCTGTCTCACTGCTGAGCAGGGCTGCGCTGCGCCGAGCGTCGAGGAACAGGTCCTCGCATTCGGCAACATCCTGGACGTCAATTTGACTGCGACCGTTCACTCGTGCGAGGATGCTTTGTTGTTGTTAGCTGAAGAAGTGTCCCCTGCAGGTCTGGGGTCTGGCATTGGCCGCTCACCTTGCGGGCGTCAGAAGCTGCAGGCAGTACCGCAAGCTGATCCGCACCCCGTGTTCCGCAATTTTGTCAATGGCTGCATCGGTAATTGACACGCCCTCAGTGGAGCTTCGGATCCGTACAATCCGTTTTATCTCTTCTGCGTCGTAGGGTGTGGTGGGGATGATGAGGAGACGGGCCAAAAAGTCGGGAGGGATCCCGTGAGCCGCGACAATATCGTCGGTACCACGAATCGTAGCCATGCCCCGATTTGACGCGAGCACAACGATTGGTGAGATTGGCGACTCCAGAGCCTTGTTGAGGTATGTGAAACACTCGACATCGAGCATGTGCGCCTAATTTTGATTAGGATCAGTGCCCGCTCGTATTGTAGTCACGCGGTCAAACGGGGCCAGATCAAGTCGACACTCACCTCATCAATGAACAAGACGCCGGAAACCAATTCCGCAACACCCTGGTCAATATATTTGCTGACGACCTTGTTGATCTCCCCTCTCAGCTTGTCGGTAATCTCAGTCATTTTCGGCTTCATCAGCTGGCCCATCATTGACATGATGTCCTGGCCACCCTGTGGCCTCGCATTGGCCACGTCGAGATCATGCAGCGTCACGTCTTGTACGATTTCTTTCTTCTTATGCACCTCGCCCTTGGGGATTGGGACGTACTCCTCAGCCTCCAAGTCAAATTCGGTCGCGTAGGCATCAGATCGACCGACGCGTTTGCAGGCTCCAGTGTTGGCCTCAATGTAGACGACATCGCCAACCGTGACACGCTCCTTCTGTATCGCCTCGTAGATGCTTGGGTCCAATCGCAGTTTCTTTTGACCCTTCGCGCTCTTGAGGCCGATCAGAAGCGTACTGATGGTCTTGCCGTAGCCGCCCAATGGGTTCTCGGCCTCTTCTGGTGTGAGCTCTGTGACCTCGCCCTCGTAAACCTCCTTTGTTTCCCGAACCTTGAGACCAATGGCTCTCCGGAAGTTCTCCATGAGCACCTCTGTCTTCTTGACTTCCGACGAGTAGATTTCGCTTCCAACAATGGGACAAAACGGTATCTTGGTTCCTAGCTCTTGGCTAATTGCGAGCGCAAGCGCAGTCTTGCCTGTACCAGGGCCACCAGCAAGCAACACACCTCGACCGGCCATCTTGTGAGCTTTGATGAGATCGACTACGACACCGCATGCCTAGAAGTCGCGTTGCAAGGTCAGTTGATCTGGTCCAGATGGCACGGCGTGTCGCATTTTCGCACGTCTTACCTCGCGAGCAGTCTGTTGACCAACGAATCCTGCAGCCTGTTTGTCGGCAGTGCCCGAAAGCGTCAGACCCAGGCCTTTGATATGGGTGTGCGCTGAGGTGCGATTGTCGCGACCTTGGTTTTTGACTTCGCTTATTTGAACCATCTTGCTTGCGAGATCTTAGGAATAGATTATGGTAGGGGTGGCGGATAAAAAGGTGAAGAAGGGGGAAGATGCAGAGACACCCAGGATCCAGTAGAGGGAAAGACAGAGGAAGAGATTAGAAGCGGGAGGAACTCGTTTGTTGCGTCGGAATTGCGGAAGGCTCGCGAGGCTGGCAAGGTGGGAATCTGGGGGTGGATGTCTGTTGCGCATCGGGGCAGTAAGAGCTGGGAGCTTGCAGACAACTTCAGCCTACCCAAATTTTGGGCGGATCTTCGCGCGTGAGCACGGACCACTCAGAGACACGAGCTCCTACCCACATCATTGTGTATCCTGGCTCACTCACTCCAACTCATGATGGACTGCGGTGGAGACTACATTGGATGCTCACAGCTGTTCTACCATACATACTCACCTGCCATTCTATGTCTACTTCATTTAGTACTCTATCTCCTTGCTCCCCAGTAGTTACCGAAGAATTCGCATCTGGACTGACTCGTCCTGCACCTGTTCTTCCTCTATCTCCTCGGCCACGCGCGGCCTTGTGCCTGCATAGCTCTCTACATCACTAACTTCCCTCTGCTTGGTCTCAGGCTTGGGCATCGCGACAACCCATACAGCACTTCCCACTATCAGAGCACATCCAAGAAGACTTGACAGGTGCATATTTTGTCCAAGAATGAAGCGGTCGAAACCCGTAGTCCATAGCATTCCTGTGTACACCATGGCCGGCGCTTTGTTTGACCTTTGCTCGCTGCCCAGGCCTGCTGTAAGGAACCACTGGGCCAGGAAGCCGCACACTGTGATCATCGACACCAGAATCCACTGCCTCGCGTCATGCGGAAGTCCGAAGCGTATATGAGGCTGGTCGTATCCGATCACAGGAGCGACGGCAAGAGCTGTTGCGCTGATAAAAGTACAGCAGGCAGCAAAGAAGTTCGTCGTCGTAAGCACCTGGCATCTGTCACCAATGGCTCTGATGGCTATAAATGCGCCAGCACCGCCAAAAGCGCTCAAAAGTGCAAGCAATATCCCCGTCAAACGATTAGCTGCGTTTGCATTTTCCTCTGCAGATTGTGGTGCAGTCGTGTGCTCGCCACCTACTACGTCTGAAACTGGCGATATGATGACCGTGGGCGGCGTTGAAGGATCGTTGTGCGATAAATTGCCGAACAAGAAGGAAGGCCGAGCAATGAAAACGACACCCGCCAAAGCTATTAGGGATGCCAGTTGTTCCTTGCGAGTGTAAGGCTGGCGGAGAAAGATGGCGGAATAGAAACCCACAATCGAGGGTGTGAGGAAAGTAACCACAGATGCGTCTGCGAGGCTGAGGAACTTGATGGCGGACCATATGCCGACGATGCCAAAGAAACCTGAGATTCCCCTCAACAGCAACAGCCCTCTCACTTCCTTAGGCCCCAACAGAGAGTTGGGTTTCCCTTCCCAGCACAATATTGCTGTACACCAGACAGTCGTTACCGCCATTCGTATGAAAAGAATTTGGAATGCATCCATGCCATCGTCACCGAGCTCCAGAAGCTTGGTAAAGAGAGCCATGGCCGAGCTAAACAAGGACGATGTCACCACTAGCATACAACTGCGGTTCGTCTCCCAAAATCGTCTTATTCTCGAGCATGCAGTTTTAATCGTTGCTCCAAGATATGGAGCCGGATGTGCGTCCCCCAGATGAGGTGGAATTGAGTTTTGCCACGGATTGGTGGGCTTGAAGAGCTGAGGCGAGTCTTGACTTCTTATTTCGATTCGTTTATCTAGGTCGGCTATTTGGGGAGCGAGTGCTCCTACAACTTTGGGAGATTGGTGAAAGCCATTGGGACCGAGAGGCGTGTTTTCCTGTTGACGTTGCTCCCGTACGAATAGGTCCCGGGATGAAGAGCCTTCCGTGCCTTCTTGGGTGAGAAGGCTACAGCTGGGTTCAGCATTCTCGGCAAAGGAACCCATCATCAGATAAGTTTGTTAGATTCAGGCGAAGAAAGCAAAGTGATGCTTTGAAAACCGACGAAGTGATTCAAGGAGGGTTTGGGCAGCTTCTGCTAGTCTAAGTAAGTCGTTATCATTTTAGAGAAGGGCTTCGAAGTTGGAGTAAGAGACATCAACATCGTAAAAGATCACGGAGCCCGACCAGAGTCATAGATGAGGGTGGCTTATGCCGACTTATACCATAACAGAGTGGATGACATGACCAATGGCCCCGCGGTTGACTGTGTGCCGGAATCGACGCTAATCCCAAGGGCCGAGTGAGAGACTATAGGACCGCTTCAGCGTAGTTGAGCACTCATATTTCCAATAATTCATGTCATCACACCCACAGAGACAGGCATATGCCTCTCATCCGACTTCGATCGATTCTATCCTCGTAGATATGTGGGTACTCACCAACTCCTCCCAGCCTGTCTTGAGCAATCACATGATGAGCCGTAGATTACATTCCTCAACCGGAACTCCCACAAGTGCGCTGGCCTGCACCAACCTGCACCAACCCGAGGCGTCGAGCCAGTCGGCAGTTCTGAATTGACGAACTACTGCAGGCCAAGGGCAGGACTGACTTGAGCACGGCAGGTTGGCGGTACGGTTCCCGGCTCCGTGCGCCCTTCAAGGAATGCCTTGCCGGTTGGTGTGGCCGAGCCGCCTTAGCAGACCGAAATCGGGAGGCTCCCGGCCGATCGGCACTGAATGTAGCCGCTGCCGAATCTAAACGAATTGCTCGTGAAGATGGCAGGTTAATGAATCAATATGGGCTGCAGGGTACTAGACATTTACGTTAGAATGGCTACAAAGGAGACGTTGGCATGACCAGGCCTCAGCTGCTGGATGTTCTGAGACCCGCTCGCGACGGCGATGTTTGGTCGAATAGCATATGGCAGGATGGTCCTTACAGCGGCAAGAACGGGCCTGGCTACTGTCCATATCCGGGTCTAAGAATTTGTTTAAGTATCGATTTTGCCGAGAGATCAGAGTTGATGCAACGGTGGACGCCTCATATTTTGGCCCCCAGTTCAGGATATGCATCAGGGACCATAGTACCACAGGTCTACAAATCCTCTTACTTCATACCTATGGTTAGTGGACAATAAGAGACGTTGTGACAACATTTGAGATATGACTGCCACCTATGCGATCTCACGGCTTTTCATGTACTTCTTCGTTGTTGGGTGGCCTTCTAAAATTGCGTTGTCGGCGTCGACGACAACCACGAATGAATGGCGTTCGATATCTGCCGAATTCAGCTCAGTCGCAGGATATCTAAGTGTACTGGAAGAACTCTTTTACTAAGGATAGACGTCCGAGGTGAAAGGCTTTATGATTTTTGGGATACATCGTAAGAAGTATACTGTATAAATGGCTTGCAGTGCTATTTTATAGGGGTTTCAACATCCAGTGTGCGGAGCATCTGCAGGAATGCGCTGGGGACGACGCGGGCAACATTTGTATGACCGGTGTAGCCGGCTGTCTTGGAGCACTTGAACCAGTCTAAATCGGCACGAGTATGATGCCGTGGAGCTGTAGTGTATTCCAGTCTAGTATCTTATATTTCAGCCGGCGGGATGTCCCAAAAAGAATGGAGTGTCTGGATATCGACATTGTAGCGTGGGCATGAGTTGCTCCCCAAGGTTGGCTGTCCTGGGGGTCCGCATTCAAACCGTTAGTAAGCCCAGTTCACAACTGGAGAAAGGAAAAAGAGAGAAAGAACCACAATGTTTCGGCCTTGGAATGTTGAAATGGGAATTGTATACTCAAAGCAGTCCATCGAAGTGACGCAGAGGATGGGTTGTGTTGCTTAGTCATGATTTTAGCGCCATTTCTGCTCCCCGGCAGAGCCAATTTTAGCAAGTGGCTGACGATGTTGGAAGCTCCATCCGTACACCTAAATCGCTGACGACAACCAAGAGAGAGCTCGTCGTGAGCTACACCAACACCATCACCATGGCTCCGACGCGCGATACTCCGTTCCGCTCTGCGGAAATGAGCATGGTGCAGCTGTACATTTCGAATGAAATCGGAAGAGAGGTCGTCAACGCCCTGGGCGAGCTTGGCCTGGTCCAGTTCCGAGACGTGAGTCCAGTCCTGCCTCTGCAACTTGGCCACCGCAATCCATCGGTGGCACCCGCAACTAACCTGGCTTGGTATGCAGTTGAATGGCGAGCTGAGTGCCTTCCAACGAGCATTCACCCAAGAGATTCGGCGACTCGATAACGTTGAACGTCAACTCCGATACTTCTATGCCCAGATGGAGAAGACTGGAATCCCCTTGAGAAAGCTGGACCTTGACTTGGAAACCCTTGCCGCCCCTACCACGACCGAGATCGACGAGCTTGCTGAGCGAAGCCAGGGCCTGGAGAACCGCATCTTCCAGCTCAACGACAGTTATGAGACTCTCAAGAAACGGGAGGTCGAGCTGACTGAATGGCGATGGGTCCTACGTGAGGCCGGTGGCTTCTTCGATCGGGCCCATGGCAATGTCGAAGAGATACGAGCCTCAACCGATGAGGACGATGCCCCTCTACTACAAGACGTCGAGCAGAACAACTCCGGTCTTGACGTCGAACGCTCCTTTTCTGGATTGAACATCGGCTTTGTTGCCGGTGTGATCTCCAGGGATCGGGTTGCGGCTTTTGAGCGTATCCTGTGGCGTACTCTGCGTGGCAACTTGTACATGAATCAGTCCGAGATTCCTGAGCCTCTGATCGACCCCAGCAACAATGAGCCGGTCAACAAGAACGTCTTCGTCATATTCGCGCACGGAAAGGAGATCCTGGCCAAGATCAGGAAGATCTCCGAGTCCATGGGTGCCGAGGTTTACAACGTTGATGAAAACAGCGACCTCCGGAGGGATCAGATCCATGAGGTCAACGCTCGGCTCAACGACGTGCAGAACGTCCTGCAGAACACCCAGCAGACTCTCAACGCCGAGCTCACCCAGATCTCGCGGTCTTTGTCTGCTTGGATGGTGTTGGTCAACAAGGAGAAATCCGTCTACAACACACTCAATCTGTTCTCGTATGACAGAGCACGGCGCACCCTCATTGCGGAGGGCTGGTCTCCTACACATGATCTGCCGCTCATCAGGTCTACACTTCAGGATGTGAACAACCGAGCGGGTTTGTCCGTCCCATCCATCATCAACGTCATCCACACCAACAAGACCCCGCCGACCTACTTGAAGACAAACAAGTTCACCGAGGCATTCCAGACCATCGTGAACGCCTACGGTACGGCAACTTACCAGGAGGTCAACCCGGCCATTCCTGTCATCGTCACGTTCCCCTTCCTCTTTGCCGTCATGTTTGGTGATTTCGGCCACGCCTGCATCATGCTGTCCGCTGCTCTGGCTATGATTTACTGGGAGAAGCCACTCAAAAAGGTCACGTTTGAACTGTTCGCCATGGTCTATTATGGCCGATATATTGCCCTTGTCATGGCTGTCTTCTCTGTGTTCACGGGTTTGATCTACAACGACGTCTTCTCGAAGTCAATGACCCTCTTCCCCAGCCAGTGGGAGTGGGACGCTCCCGACAACTACGTTGAAGGCCAGCAGATCAGTGCCAAGCTCAAGGGCGACTACCGCTATCCTTTCGGTTTGGATTGGATGTGGCACGGAACCGACAACGATCTTCTCTTCTCGAACAGTTACAAGATGAAGATGAGTATCATCCTTGGTTGGGCTCACATGACATACTCGCTTTGCTTCTCGTATATCAACGCGAAGCATTTCAAGAAGCCCGTTGACATCTTAGGAAACTTCATCCCCGGGATGATTTTCTTCCAGTCCATTTTTGGCTACCTGGTTATCTGCATCATCTACAAGTGGACCGTAGATTGGTTCGCCATTGGACAGCAGCCTCCGGGTCTGCTGAACATGTTGATCTACATGTTTTTGCAGCCTGGTACACTCGACGAGCAACTGTATCCTGGACAGAGCACGGTGCAGGTCTTACTGCTACTTATTGCGCTCGTACAGGTTCCTATCCTTCTCTTCTTCAAGCCATTCTACCTCCGCTGGGAGCACAACAAGGCTCGAGCGCACGGCTACCGCGGTCTTGGAGAGACTCAACGAGTCAGTGCTTTGGACGGCGATGACGAGGACGACAACGGCCATGCGATCAACGGAAGGCCGAGCATCAACAGTGATGACGAAGGCGTCGCCATGATCACACAGAATATTGACGAGGAAGAGCACGAAGAGTTTGAGTTCAGTGAAGTCATGATCCACCAGGTCATTCACACGATTGGTAAGACAATCTTTCACACTCGCAATATATACTGAGTAATTGCTAACACAACGCAGAATTTTGCCTGAACTGCGTTTCTCACACAGCCTCGTACCTTCGTCTTTGGGCCTTGTCGCTGGCTCATCAGCAGCTCAGTGCCGTGCTCTGGTCGATGACCCTCGGGCCAGCTCTGGGCATGTCTGGTGTTGTAGGCGTGATTGCCATCGTCATCTTCTTTGCTGCGTTCCTTCTTCTCAGCGTCATCATTCTGATCATCATGGAGGGTGTGTCCGCCATGCTTCACTCGCTCAGGTTGGCCTGGGTTGAGTCTTTCTCTAAGTTTGCGGAATTCAACGGATGGGCGTTCGTGCCCTTCTCCTTCAAGAACATGCTGGAAGAATCGGAGGAGCTGAAGGAATATCTGGGTTGAGTGATTGATCGTATATGTCTCAATGTATCATAGATTGTACCCTTTAGCGTAGCATCTAACAATCTCAAGAACCAGAAAGGTCTTGTGTAAAACTCCCAAAGCGCTACTGGTCGGATAGGGAGCAGTGGAGTCGAATCAGATGCCAGTCGAGTCCGAGTCTCCATTCCTCCGCGCCGGAGTTACTGGAGTTAAGCCCCGAAGCTAGGCTGACTAAACTCACAACCTCTCACACTGGCCTCCTTCCTATCTCTCACCCTCCATCCTCTTTTGGACTCGGCCCTTCAACTCAGTTCGTGTTCGAATTGTATTATTCTTCAGTGATTTGATCGTGATAGGATGGCAGTGGAGGATGAAGCATCTCCAGCATCGACTCCCTCGTCCGGGGGTCCTGAGCAGCATGAGGTTGACACTGGCGCCACCGCGAGACCTCCTCCCAGGAAGAGAAGGCGTCTTATAATTTCCTGCACGGAATGCCACCGCAGGAAGCAGAAGTGCGACAGGAGCTTGCCATGTGCCAATTGTGTGTCACGAAATAAGCAAGACTCGTGCCGCTATGAATCTGGGCCACCTTCTGCAAAGGCCGTGCAGAGCGCACAGCATGGCGAGGGCCTTGCTAGCAGTGGCAACCACGACAGCGGGACGGGGGCGGGCATCTCAGCCAAGCTGACCAACTTTGGGTATTCGTCCACGGGAGCCTCGTCGACTCTGGGATTCTTGAGCAAGATCGACGGCACAAATGCCGAGGAGTCCTCACTTTCAAGAATGGCAATGGGTCGCGAGAGTAGTGGCGAGCAATTTGGAATGAGGGAGAGGTACAAAAGCCTTATCCGCCAGTTACCAGCAAGGTCATACACTGAGAAGCTGGTGGATATTTACTTCAAGGACTTTAATTGGCAGTACAATGTGAGTTATTCGAGTCCAATCTGACATATGCGGCATGCTGAGCCAAAGTAGGCAGTTGACCAGTGGGTCTTTAACAAGCAGATGGCTGAGTGGTTCAGCCTACCCTTCAGCGTGCTGAACACAGAAGGCCCGCAAGCGCTCCCGCCTGATCTCAGGGCCTTCCCAGCTCTTGTCTTTCAGATGATCGCCACGGCCCTGCTCAATCTTCCTCCGGGCCCAGATCCGACCTTTGATTCACTGAAATATGCTGGAAGTATGACTTTCGAGGATCTAGCTCTTGACTACTCTGAATCGGGTGTGGCAATCATATCAGTGTTGGGCAAAAGACAGGTTTCCCATACAGCAGTCGTTGCTAGTTTTGTCAGGGCTGCCTTTTTAAAGTATTCCGGACTCGTCACCGAGGCATGGTCAGTAGCTTTTCAGGCCCTCATCACCCTCCCTGCTTGTACGATGAGTGCTCAGACCACAGGACGCTCTTAATACTTGTATTATTGAGCATCTTATGCCCATGGCCTTTACCAGCGGTTGGAATTTGTGATGACAGGTCTATCTCTTTACAATTTACTGACAACTCAATAGGCATGCGATAGGGGCCGCGATAAGAGATGGACAAGAATGTGGATTGCATCGTACCAGCCTTGACCCTAAGCCGAAGAGCGACAAGCTGGAAGACGTTCTTGAAAACCAATGGGAGATACAACGGCGGCGTAAGACCTGGATCATCCTCATGAGCTGGGATGTGCATACAGCTATCGTCCTAGGCCGCCCGACAAGTATTGACACGAGTTTCACGTACCCACTGCCACTCGACGCGCCTCTGCCGAGCGACCCAAGTAAAGTGCCCGTGACTTTGCGGTCAGAAAATGACCCTCCATCACCCTTGACACGAACATTGTGGGTGTACCGAACCACGATGGCGCTCAGAGACATCATCGAGCTGGAGAAAGACGGACCTTGTCCAAAGGACTTCAGCAAAGTGGACAAAGTCCACCAGAGTCTCGAAGAGCTCGAAGGTCAAACGCCGGCTTTCTTCCGAGTCGAGAACCCGGATACGAGGTATGACGACCTGCCAGATTGCTTCTGGGTGCCCTTGGTTCGGGGTACTGTGCCCCTCCTTTTATCGTTCAACAAAATGGCTCTCCATAGACCGTACGTGTTTACGAGGCCGTACAGCCGGAAAGAAGCACTCAAGGCGAGTATCAAGATGCTGGAGGCTCAGAGGGATCATTTTGCGACCATAGGGCCGAAGCAGTACAAAGCGTAAGTGATTGCCCAAATCAGGTCACGTTAGTGCATACTATTGTCACTCTCGTCTCACCGTCTCCTCACAACAGATTCACATTATTCTTCGGCACATTCGATGCCATTGTGCTCATGGCGAGTATATTCATACTTTTCCCCAAGGAGAACGTCGAGTATGTGTCCACGGCGCTACAGCATTTCCAATGGGCCATGGAGCGATTTGAAACCATGTCTGAGAGGAACAAGCTGGCCGCTGCGGCGCGAAATGTGCTCAAAGCTGTATACATGCGGCTCAAGAGCGCTCTCAAGGGAACACAGAAGCCGGGAGCGGACAGCCTCGACCAAGCCACTCAAGAGTCGGCACACTCGGCCGCGAACGGTGAAGCTCTAACGCCGTTCTCTACGATGGCAGCAGGCGGCGACAACAACGGGACCAGTCTCCTCACGCCGGCTGGTTCTACGACTTCTGCCAGCTCGGGCGACCCATTCGGGCCAGGCTCAGTATCAGGCCCGTCAGGTGCTCCGCCCATCGATCCTGGACTGTCAGGAATGGCGGCCAGCGACTGGACATTGCCTGAAGGATTCCACTGGAGCTCAATCCAGCCCGTGTATGCGATGGCCGATGTCGCTTACAATGACCTCATGGGGATTAGCAGCAGCAATTCTGGGGAATCGACGTCTTCGTTGCCGAATTGGGCCGGGGGGACACCGCTGCTGAATGATGTTCCTGGTGGTGGTGGTAGCGGTGGAGGGGAGTCTCAGCCTTGGCTTTTCGGAGGTGACTTTGGGAATGACAGCGTTTGGAGTCTATTGAACCAATACCCATCTCCTTTCTAAGGTTGAGCACTGCGTGGGGGGAATCTGAAAAAGGGTGTGGGAAGGTAGCAGGAAGAGGGAAGAGGAGAAAGGCATTTGCAGCCGAAGGTCAACTAGCACGAACCGCTTCGCTTTGTGCAATACATACAGTATGTTCTGCCTGTACCGTCAGAAATCGTACACACTCTCGGCAGTGAAGAGCGTAATTGGAAAAAGCATGGCTGCCAAGTCAATGTCAGACTGCCATGCATGGGTACCTAGCAGGAGTTGTCGATACTTATTAGCCGCCCGCGAAGGACTCAGCCGTCAAAGCTTGAACCCCTCACGATTGAGGGAGCGAGATGCGTCCTATTGGCTGGCCCTCAAGCCATAGGAGCACATCTTGGGTCGCACGACCTTCCACTAGGGAAATGCCTTCATGTATGTGTGGGAGTTGTGGCGCAGAGGGCGGAGGGTGGATGGGAGAGCACGGTGGACTGAGGACTGAGGACTCTTTGAGTGAGCAATGATGACGGACTTTTTTCTCGCCCAATATGGCATAGACATGGCACGACATTGGTATTGACATTGGTGCATGGATATGAGTGATAGCATGTGGCTTGATGAGCTGTGGGGCGGGCTATCAGAGAGTGGCCTTGATAGGTACTAGAGCAGAACAGAACAAATAGAGCTACTCTCTTGAGACAGCTAAGAATTGATCTTCAGCGTTGTGCGTGTGCTCAGCTTCCCAGAAAAATCGACGAACGCTGTGGTGAAGGATACGGTAGGTAATCTATCAATTCCGTACTTATGCATGTAGTCAGCCTGCAGTGCAAGACGGGCCAGCACACACTCTGCTCACTTCCACTTCACTTGCATGCCCTCCGCCCCCCGGTCTGGGCCGTTGGGTGGCTTGCGCCTGGCCGGGCGACCCACAGTGATCGACCTCAGCATGCTGGACAGCTTCCAGCTGGAGGTCCCCCATCCTGCCCATCACCGTCGCATTTGGACCCCGGTTCCCTGAAGCTCCCCACAAAATTTATGAACCGTGGAGGCGTCGCTTCGGTTCCCATCTACTATGTAATCTTCTCTCCATGCGCACTGCGCAGCGCACCTCCATACGTACATACATACCTACAAGGTCAGGTTTTCATAAGTACTGTACTCGCGCCCATCTGCATTGCATGTGCAGCTGTCGCGTTGCAGCCAGCCCTCAATTTCTCTCCCAGCCTTGAGAGACACAAAAAGTCTTGGTCTTCCTCCTCACCCCGGGAGAGTACAACCGTGGAGTTTTTCTACTTGGACCGCCGCGAGACGCCGTCCTACACTGGGGAAGAAGGACTTCGGGAACGGCACATTATCACACCCATACCTACCCAACCTGCCTCTGACCGACCGACCGATCGACCGACCGTCGCACTCCGCCTGTGGGATTCACCCACTGTCTGGCTTTCATTCTATTTTTTGGTCTTTCGACCCGGGCCTGTCGTCCCTCCCCTAACACAATAATAATTCGACTCTTTATTGCCCGGTCATCTCATGAACCGCAAGACCATGGACGGCGGCAACCTGCTGGACTTTGTCCAGAGGTTCCAGCAGCTTCAGCTCCAGCGCGACACAAGCGACGAATTGATTAAGGTAAGCTGCTTTTCCAGCGCCCATCCTCTTGGGATGGTCTCATCTGGTCCTCTACGAGCTCCCTCCCCGTCGCCGAGTTGACCTCGCCCCCGTGTATGTTCTTTCGGCGCAAACTCCTCCTGGATGTTCTGCACTGAGCGTACTCGCACGTGGGCCCGCCTCCTGCTCGACTGCTCGTAGGACCGCTCGATAGACAGAACAACTCGAAACCAACTTCCCAAACCAACTGAAGAGTCTTCTGTGGTTCATGCCGCCCGGGCTTCCAATTATGTGTCGTGTTCTGCTAATTCTCTTCTACCGCCCAGGACCTTCTGATCTATTGCGAACGTGTCGAGTCCGGTTTGCGGCAGGAGAACCAGATTCTCCACTCACAGATTAGCGATGCAAACCTCGATCTTGCAGATGCGACTAAGTCTAGGCGCGAGTTACAGCAACGTGTAAAAGAGCTGGAGCATCAAATAGGTTTCATGACCATGGACGTTGATCATTTAAAGGTAGATGCCCGCGTCGGATTGGTGGACGTAGGCTGAAGACGTCCAGAATTACAACCCTTACGTTGTCATCCTCATCGATGGCGACGGCTGCCATGCAAGTTATCCTTCATGTCTCGGCCAGCCGCGGTACGCTTGACTGACTTTCCCGGCCAGTTCAAACCAGAATTTGTCAACAAGGGCATTGACGGCGGAAAACAGGCCGCATATGCTCTTCGCACTGCCATTTTGAAGGAATGCCACAGCCTTGCCGGCGAGGTCGAAGTTATAGCTAGAGTTGTTGCCAACCTCTCGGGTCTTGCAAAGGCGATGAGAAATGACGGCTCTTTAGATCACGAGTCCAGGTTGAAGGACTTTACACTAGGATTCAGCCAGGGAATGGCATCATTTGATTTTATTGATGTTGGCTACGGAAAAGAGAGAACCGATACCAAAATAAAAGGCAAGTCAAGCGAAAAAGGACCGGCACCGGGCGAGATGCTGACAGCCGCGCAGAGGCGATAAGGTGGAACCTTCGCAATCATAATTGCAAACAACTTGTGCTTGGTGTCTCTCATGACGCTGGTTATGCCCCATTTTTGGACGAAATTCTTCGCGACGAGGCAAGCCGACGGCGCATCACAATTCTTGAGGGTACCCCCTCGACCAGGGACCTGGCTTCTGCGAACCTGAACACGCTGAACCTCAATAACGAATTGTTGCGCGCTGGAAAACTTGTCGACAAGACGCTCCGCAACCCGACACCCCCATCAGCCATGTCCTCTCCTGTCGCTGTCGTGGCGGGTATGTCGCCTTTACCACCTCCTTCAGTTACTCCAGTGAGTGCGGCGGCGGCCGCCGCGGCGTCCTCTTATGCTACCGCCATCAAGAGCGCCAGTCCGCCCCCGCAAGTGACTCTCCCGTTTCAACCAAAACTGGTCAAAACACCAGTGGTGCGGCGCGAGAAGCTTCCTGTTTGGAACCCGGGAGTCAGGGGCTTGGATCCGCCGTTGGAGGTTAACCAGGCAGCTTTGGACAACATCAAGAAACGAAAGGACAACAACAAACTTTGCAATAACCATTACTTGAGGGGCCCTTGCGCCAAGGGCGACTCGTGTTGTTTTGAACATAAATATCGACCAAATGAAGCAGAGAAGACCGCCATAGCCTTTCTGGCTCGCCTGAATCCTTGTACTAACGGGCAGGACTGCGAAGTCGATGATTGTATTTATGGCCACCATGTAAGCCCCATCTCTTTCTACATGCATGGTGCTTGGGTCCAGATGGTTTGTCCAAGTCTTGCTGCGATTTAAACTGACAGTCTTTGCAGTGCCCTAGCACCCGCGACGGAATGTGCACGCATCCGTACTGCAAGTTCAAGGTGTTCGAGCATCCACCCGGGACAAAGTTCAGGCAGACATATCAATGGCTCGATGATGAGTAGAGCCCACGCAAGGGTTTGAAGACACTTGACGGGTTTCTTAACATAGTATCAGCTGCAACATTAGTATTCGCTATCGCCCACTTCTATGGGCTATTTAATTTGGGCATCTGCTCTTCTGTCAATGCATACCATCAGTTGAGCAGTCTTCTTCGAATGGCTGCCGTCCCGACACCTCGGTGCAGTGATTTATGCATGACGAGTTTGGACGAGATTGGTGACGCTCAGCCTATCGATCATGTGAGATTATTGATACCCATGTTAATAAGACGGGATTTCTGCAGACAGCGTGTTCTAGAAAGAGAAGCGAGTACGAGCTATAGTCGCAAAATATCGCCTGTGACATTGTATCAATGCTATACTATCTATGGTCATGAAATGTCGATTCATGGGTGCCCTGGCCCCCAACCCAGACACCCCACATCCGGGACTAGGCCTTCGACTGTGGGTTGCTTGCCCACTTTGGTACAGTTGGGGTGACAGGGGTAGCTAGGTTCTGCCCAGGTGGGCACACCACCTCCGCCCAACCAGTCGAAGTCTAAGTGCTGTGCTGTAAAACGAATTGTCGGGAAGACGAAGCCCCACCATAGATCCTCCACGTTGACCATCGGTTCGGTTTGTTCGACCTACAAGCTGAATTCCAACACCCTCGAGCCTCCAACACCGACCACCCGCGATCTGTACACTCATTTCACCAGTCGCCCAGCCCAGCATGTCGCACCCGAGAATAGAGGAGGTTGAGGACAGCGACGTCGACATGTCCGACCCCTCAGAAGACGACATCGATGACTTTGTCGAGTCCGACATCATTCGTTCGCGCACCGATAAGAAGCAAACGCCCACGCAGCAGCAACAACCCGCGGCGGCGGCCACATCCCACCTCATCAACCCGTCGCAAATACCGTCGCTCTCAAGCGGGCCCGGCCAAGGCGACGACATCCAGACCACCGCCAACCCCAAAGCCTACGCCGGCTTCCAGTGCCTCTACCCCCTCTACTTCGACGCGAACCGCACGCGCGCCGAGGGCCGCCGCATATCCAAGGACCTGGCGGTGCCCAACCCGCTCGCGCGCGAGATCATCAACGCCTGCCGGGACCTGCGGCTGCAGACGCTGTTCGAGCCCGAGAAGATGCACCCCAAGGACTGGGCGAACCCGGGCCGCATCAAGGTGCAGCTGAAGCCGGTGGTGCGCGACGGCCGGACGGTGCAGCCGCCCAGCTCGGGCGTGCGCAACAAGCACCAGCTGTACATCCTCATCGCCCAGCACCTGCGCAACAACCCGACCTCGGACAAGAGCCAGGCCCTGTGGGAGCGCGTCCCCGGCGCCCCAGCCCCGGACAGGGGCAAGCCCTACCCGCGGCCCGCCGTGCCGCGCGGCTGGAAGATGGGCGAGTTCCTGCCCTACTACAGCCCCGCCATGACCGGCGGCGGCGTCAGCGAGAACCTGTTCAAGGACATGATGAAGGAGATGCAGGGCGGCGGCGACATGGCGAGCCTGCTGGCCGGGGCTGGTGCGGGCGGCGGCGGGAGCGGGAACGCGAGCGAGGACGGCGGCGGCAAGAAGAAGAAGGACAAGAAGGGCAAGGGCAAGGCGTGAGGTCTGCCCAGGCACGTCTGATCTCGTCTTGGTGCCTCGAGCTTAAGGAGGCCGTTATACCTCTTAGGGACTTGAGTCGATGAGCGTGTGCGCCTTGGTTTCGACCAGGAACATGCTAAGGCTCATGCTCTCCGCAGACAGGGGCAGCATTCATCGCGGGCAATCTATGTCGCGGCTGCGAAAATGCGGCGGTGCGAAGTGTACCAGCTGGGGTACTTGGGCAGGCAAGATATTTGCCAAAAAGAATTATTGCTGATCCAATGTTGCTTCCTGGGAGGTAGATCTTATGTGAAATCTAATAGAGTCAATTCGACTGTGCTGCACTCTACCTGCAAAATAGTAATCTGATGCCTACTCTAACTCCGGCCAGAACAGTCCCGAATCCATCTTCTTTTGGACGGCTTCTTGAGCCATCTGCCCCGTGTTAGTACCTGAAATTCCGGGCGATGCCAGCCTTGCGACGGCTGTGACTTGGTTCCAATCATCTCTCGCTAGGCCCACAGCGGCGCGGTGACCTCAACAGCCCGATCCACCACACTGCGCACGCGGTCCGCGAAGGCTTTGTGACCACACTCGACTTCCAAGTCCTCCAGCCAGACCTTGGCCGCCATCTTGTCGACCTTGATCGCCACGCCGGGGACGGGAATGCCAAGTCGGTGTAGCCGCTCCAGCTCCGCCCTCTTGCGCGCCTCGAGCTCCTTCTCCTCCTCCTGCCCCTCGTCCTCTGGGGCGTCCTCCATGGAGGCGTCTCCGCCCTCGCCGTCGGTGATTTCCTTCTTCTTGGGAATGTCCTTGGGCACGGGAGGGAGCTTTGGCTCCGCGATGGGCGCGACATTGTCTGCGCCGAACTGGGCCTCCAGGAACATGAATAGCCTCTCGAGGCGCTCCTCTGGCGTGAGGCTCGCGTGTGGGTTGCGCGGCGGGAGGTCGGTGTGGCTGTGGTCGTGCGAGTGGGAGTGCTTCTGAGCGGACCGCTTGACGGCTGCCGGGCTGCTCTCGACTGAGAGCAGCACGCTGAGGACGGAGTCGGCGATGCCATCGTTTAGCAGGTTGCCTTCCCACTCAAGCTCAACTTCGCCGTTGTTGTGGTATCGAACAACCACGCAACCCATCACACGGTAGGCGGCGACGAGTTTCTTGGTCTCCCCGTCAGCGGGCTCGATCTCGCCGTTGGCAGAAACGCCGTTGCTGCTCTCCAGGTCGTTTTTCATCTCTGGTAGCTCCTCAATCTTGCCAAAGGTGCCCTCGAGGCCCCACTTGATGAGGTCGATGCCCGCGGCACTGAGCCGGATGCGCTCCTTGCAAGTCATGGTCGTTGTGGTGAGACCTGCATACTCCCGTAGATCCTCTGGGGCCATCAATGATAGCTTGAAGTCATTCTGGACCAGGACACCAGTGACCAACTGGGTGTCATCCTCTGGGGTTGGGAGATGAGTGGGTGGAGGAATTGACGCGAGCTTGCCAACAACCTTTGCAATCTTGTCCTGCTTGAACGGGATACGAAGTACATCCATATTCTTTGGGCTGTAGACCTTGACCTTGACGGATTTGTTGCTGTTGAGAGAGAGAAGCTTGGATTTCAACCGCATCATGTTGTGCTGTTCTCCATGCACAAGAATCTGGAGCCTGTTAGATGAAACAGATAAAGACGAACAGGGCATGATTCAACCTACCACCACTGGTGCGGCAACCTCCTCGATGAACTCTCTGTTCTCGTTTCCGTCGACGTGAGCCGCGAAGGAGTATTCCTGGACACTGCATCTCCGAGGAATCATCACCTTCTCTGCGTCACCGCCAGGGGCCCTGCGAGCACTGGCCGCATTCCTAGTCATGACAGCCTGAATCTGCTCGGGCTCCTGCATTATTTGTCTGGCCATGGTGCCCTCAACACTATAACCGGTAATAATGACACCATTCTTGTCGCTGGGTGCCCATCTCTCAAGGAGCTCTCTGCTCACGCCGCTTTGAAGCATACCAGGGCTGGCGAGCATGATACAGCTTCCAACGTCCTCGAACCTGTCAAGGCTCTTCAGAGACCGGATGTACTTGAAATCCCATGGACCACCTTTACCCGCACCGTCCCCAGTAACCTCAGCCTCGGCCATGCGTTCCCGGAAGAGGCGCTTGATGTTATCATTCATAGCTCCTATATATGTTTGATACACCACCATGCACTTCCGGGCCAGGTTGCTTGCGTAGTAAATCGGTATCTTCTGATACTCGGGGTGTTTGGCCCAGTACTCGTCAAGGATCAAGAGCAGTTCTTGGGCCCGACCAAGTGCGAACACGGGCAGCAAGGCGCGCCCACCGCGGTTCAGAATGCCGGTGATCGACTTCATCAAGGCTTGCTCCCTCTCGATGCGCGGCACATGTGAGGCCACCCCGTATGTGGACTCGGTAATTAAGACATCAATCTTAACGCCCCGCGGAACTTCTGCCGAGACAAGATGACGGTCATGCTCTCGGGAATAGTCGCCAGTGAAAAAGATGTTGAGCCCTGCGATTTCAATAAGGAACATGGCAGCGCCTAGAACGTGGCCTGCCGGGTAAGGTGTGATTCGGATAGAAGAGATAGTGTGTGTAGTGTAATAGTCGATGGCCTCGATCATCGGAAAGGTGCTGGCATGGTCCTGCTCTGTATACACAGGCTGCGATGATTCGTTGGAGGTGTTACCGACGCGCACGCTGTCCTGGATAAGCCATCTGTAAATGGCTTTGGTGGGATGTGTCATAAAAACCCGTCCCTTGAAGTTGGTCTTGGCCAGGACATATGGCAATGAGGCGGCATGGTCTATGTGAAAACTAGACGTAGTCAGTACATTGTCTGACCTATCGGGCAAGCTGGCACGGTGTGCCGTCTAACTGCCACCAGGGGGAGGGACGGGCGTGGATCACGACGCTGAGAGCTCAATACAAAGGTGGCAAGGGTTGGCAAATTGTTGTAGATTGTATTGATCTCTGGATACACTGATGAAGGCGGATGAAGAAAGTGGCGATACCATGATAGCCATGAAAAACTGGGTTTGCAAGTGACAAGCTCACGAAACAGCGCGCGATGAATCCAGCCCACACCCAAGGGAATCCCCCGAAACGCGAGTCCGCCCGCTTCCAGGAGGGTCAAGAGAACTTACTGGCTGATGAGTAGTACATCGATAGTGCTGAGATCGAAAATATCAAAGAATGGGAGCGCTGACAGCCCATCATACGCGGGGTGCTGACCTGCGTCAAGCTGGGGCGTGATTTAGTATTTGCGGGCCGTGGCCTTGAGAAGCGACGCGATGAAGGTGCTCACCATGACAGTCTTGCCCTTGTATTGTATGATATGGCAGGACCGACCAACTTCATTACCGCCGCCAAGGCAGAGAAACTTCAGCTCATCGGCTGGGTCGACAGGCTCCTCGCTGACTGCATTGGCCATTGCCGAGGCCTTGCGTTTGGACGCCATAATGATTAGTCTTGTCTAAAAGGGCCCGGATTTCAGAGGAGTGGGCAACGGGCCAGCAGCAATCCACTCTTGGCTGGCATCGATGTTGGCCGATCAAGATGTTTGGACGATTGAATCTGGGATCATATCTTCCTCGTTTCTTTCCTGTGCCACTTTGTTCTGATGGCCTGTGACTTTGACCCACAAGGCTCTGGCAAGCTCTACTGGTAATTTTGCGACGGGAAAAGGGGGGGGAGAGCACGGCAGTATGTAAAGGCAACAGGTCAATGTAGAGATGTGGAAGTGATGGTTGTCTGTTTGTAGTGGCAGTCAGCAAGTAGTAGCAACAATGCAAGGTGATGCACGGACCAGGACAGTACAGGCTGCAATCCATTGGAGACTGGGCCGGTACGTAGGTACATACACGCGCCGCGCGCCACGTGATCACATCTGCCGATGTCGAGGAGCTATCCAAAGCGGAGGCGCGCAACTTCAACCCATCACCATCCTGATGGAGTGATCCAACTCATCGCCTTAGCACCGCCATACCGTCCATCGCGTCCATCGCGCACTCCATCGATCCATCCACGGGACCGGAAAGCATCATATAGATTTATTCGAGGCGGTCAAACACTTCGGATGGGCGGCGGTCACGAAACTTTGACAGGCTAGGCAGGCTATCTGCCTCAGTCTGCACCACCGCGATCATATCACCGAGGGCGCGCGACCCCTTGACGCGTTCCGAAGGCAGCTTCCGCAAGACCTCAGTCGCTGTTTCCATCCCAAGTCTTGGTCTCTCGTTTGCAGTCGGACGATACCCGATCCAGGACGGTGGCCATGGCTCAACCAACTCAGCAGATGCCTCAGCAAATGTCTCAGCAGGTGCCCAATAGGAACTACTCTCCTGGCCAACACCCACCGTCGCCTGCGCCGCAGCAGCCTGGTTTTGCCCTCCCATCTTCGAGCCAAAACATGAACAAGAGACCGCAAATGCCCTTTTCACCAGGTCCACAGTCCAACCCGCCTTCCCCGTATGGCCAACAACAGTCGTATCCCGCAAGTCCGAACGTCAGCACACCTACATCAGCGACCTCGCCTTCCTATCCTCCCATACAACCCGCACCGTCTGCTTCCCCCGCTCCTCCCACCACCCCTGCGACAGCGCCGTCGCCCGCGCCCGCGCCAGTTCAACAAGCACCACAGTACAGTCGAGCAGCTTACACGAATGGAAATACGCCTTCACTCCCTCCTTTCGCACATTCTCACCTGAACCACCCGCCTACTCCAACCATGAGTGGCCCTCCGACACCAGTCCCGGGCACTCCTGGCACTCCTGGGGCTTCACCGTACGTCAACGCGGGCTTCGCACCGACTGGGAACCAGCAGCCTGCCACCGGCGCGATGGGGCCTCCTCCAGCGAAAGATCGACCGCAACGAACTTACGAATACGAAGTTACAGACAGTCTTTTAGGCACAGGAGTTGACATTCGTGAAGAGGAAAACGCGCTCGCTGAGTACTACGCTGGGTCTTTCGGTCAGGACTCCAGGACAGGCTTCCCCGCTAATGCGCCTGGCAATCGAGGGTCATTCTATGGCGCGGGCCCAGCCAACCAACCGGGTACGCCCGCGACGACTGGTCAGAAGGAGTTCGAGACGGCACTGGCAGAGCAGAGGTGGAATGAATCGGCAGCTCGTCTATCATCTACCCGAGCTGTAGAGCATAATAACCCGTTCTTACAACTGGCAAATCTGCACGCGCGCGCGGAGAAAATCGCTCGGCAATACAACTTGGACTTGAATCTTGACACCAAGACGCAGCCTGTTCAGAAATCCAGGAATCCAGCCGATTATCCCGTCGCACCGAAGGTCAACGTCACAACCAGAGAAGGTCCTGATGGTGCGATGGTCTCTGTTTATGGTTCAGTGCTGCCACAAGATAGCTACTTGATTGACCAGCTTGCCCTTCTGTCCATTGCCACCAAGCATCGGGTCCGAGATCTACTTGAAGATGCGGACCAGATAGCGACCACACGACAGCAGACGTCCCATGGTGTGATACCATCAGATTGGATTGACTCTGCCGTGCCTTTGGATAGCACCGGTCTTCCTGTCAATGACGGCGAGGCGGCGTCGAAAGCTATTGAGAACGGTGCAAACGGCAGCAATCCACGCAAGCGTAAGTTGACAGACCTCTTGAAGAGGCCGACTTGGCAATCTGTTAACGCTCTTATACAGGCTCCCTTGATGCGAGCAATGTCGGAGGTCTGGGCGGAAGGCCGAGCATTCCGGCGACGAATCATTTGGCGCAGGCTCTGCGAGAGATGGGCAGGGCTGAGCGAGAAGCAGAAGAGCTACGTCTCAAGAAGCGGCAGAAGAGGCTGCTTGGAGATAGTGCAGCGAATGTGTCCCGTTCAGGCTCAGTAGCGCCAGGGACCCCAGGCTCTACAGCCCCCGAGCCCGAGAAGGCACCAACCAAGAAAGAGCAGAAGAAGATCGCCGCGCAAAAGCACGATGCCTCAGCTGACAATGTCAACAAGACAACGATGAAATTTTTGGGCGGTGGCAAGAAGAAGTATTCGTGGATGTCGATGGGAGCAAACACCCCGAGCACGCCTAACAAGCCAACGGCTAGCGCTGCAGGTACGCCTGCGTCGGCTTCTGCTTCAGCCTCGGCGTCAAAGGCGCCCGAGAGCAAGTCTCTCACCCAAGAGGGGCGGTACAAGCTTGGCAGTTGGCGGGAGTACAGCGAGAAGGGTAAAGATATCCAGCTGAGGGACTGGATCACTGTCCTGGAGCGTGATGGCCGAGAGAAGCTGGCCTTGCAGCTTGCATATGTGAAGCTTGACGGGTCTGAGCCACGGTAGAGCATTACGGCCGTCAAATGGGACATAATTCCATCTCAAAACGTCTCATGCGACATGCAGGAAGAGTGCTGGGATCGCCACTTACATGAAGGTGACAAGACTGCTTCAGATACAGAAACGCTTACGACCGTCAGACAACTTGTACGAGTTGCCCAAAAGAGTGCACGTCAGATCTGGAACTACAGAACCACGTGGTAGATCTCCGGGGGTACGGCAATCTTCGCAACAAGAAAAGCAGAGCAGCGGACGGCTCCTGCCGACCTGCCGGCTCCATTGAGAAGCAAGGCACCATGGCTGCGTAACACGATCTCAGTGTCGGGACTTTACGACTCGTCCTCTGTTCTGGATAGCAAGAAGCAGCCAAGAGAGTGCTGATCGTGCGCCAGAAGAAGAAAAAAAAAGGCAAATAATGAATGAGGAGGGGTTGAAAGTGCGCGGTAGCAGCAGATCAGAAGGATCTCGTCTATGAGTTTAATACCTCGCATTGTATTGATTTATGACTTCAGCCTGGCGTTCTACGAGAGGGCATCGGTATGGAGGGAAGGCACGCATTGATACGCTTGGTGATCACACAAAAAAAGGGTAGGGGGTTCATTTATATTCTACACTCTTGGCCTTCCAGCGATATCAAGTAGAAGAGCAAGGCTGATCTATCTGATGGGCGCCCCAACTGCGCCCGGACGGGCGGGTCCAGAATGATCAACGAGGCAGGCTGGAATTCCTAGGAATGTCAGATTATTAGTGCTGCAGCTGCACTCATACGGACAGAAAATACCCATTGATAACGCGTTGAATATGTCTTGGCTGCGCCCAGTCGGTAATACCGTCCTGCACAGGCAGGATGAGCAGGGCTAGAGAGCTCTTCGGAGATAAGGCCAGAAATGGGCATGTTGACAAATGACGGCATTGCTCCAGATCCGAGAAGACTGGTTTCTCCCCCGGAGCAATGCAACCCCAGCACAAATAGCTCTCTGCCTCTAAAAGTACATGCATGCACACAGTCAAAGAGCATGTCATAAGCCCGTTTTGCGATTTACTCCCAATGTTACGCAGGCTTGTACAGCCATATCTGTCGAGCTCCACTCGGGCAACTTGCCGCACAGCATACTCTGCCGCCGTCGGGCCGCCTCGCTTCTTGCCGAAGGGACAGCCATTCTCAGCCGCTTCTTCAAAAATGGCGATCGCTGTGAGACGGTGTCCTTCCTGTCCTGTACTTGCGGGTCAGTAGTGTGCTGATGACGTGAACAGGCGGTTGGGCAGATCTGCTCGACGTCGAACATAGCAGACAACCTGGAGCAGTGCCTCAAATTGGTGAAGGAGGCTGCCCAAGCTGGAGCAAAGGTGGGCTACGCTCTCCATTCATGTCGATCTTGGGTGACTGCGAAAGATTTACCAGCTTTCAAGTGAGAGTTGGCAAGTCTATATGCATGGCACCTCAACTCATGGATGTGAACATGAGGATACTTCAAAGTCGAAGAGGACGGGCACTACTTGTGCCCACAGCTTCGATAGCTCCCTGTCGGAAAAGAATGTCGAGGGAATATTGGGCCAATGCTCTGTCCGGACAAAGGCTCACAAGAACCCGTCTCTAGGCGATCTTCTTTCCCGAAGCGTCAGACTATATAGCCTCCTCACCTCAGGAGTCGTTGTCCCTGGCCAGGCCAGAGACGGAGTCACCCTTCGTGCTGGGCCTCCAAGCAGCAGCAAAGGAGCACAACATCCACATCAACGCAGGAATCCACGTCCCCGTCCCCGTCAAGCCGTCGGCCTCTTCGCCTTCAGGCGCCACCACAGCCACGGAGCCAGCACCGGGGGCCCAGGGCGCGGCGACCGCCACCACCAAGCTCCTCAACCGCACCATCTGGGTCCTCCCGACGGGGCAGGTCGACGCCTCGAGGAGCTACGACAAGCTGCACCTCTTCGACTACGGCAGCCTGCGCGAGTCGGCGCACACGCAGGCCGGGGCCGCGCTCGCGGCGCCCTTCGAGACCCCCGTGGGCCGCGTCGGCAGCCTGATCTGCTTCGACCTGCGCTTCCCCGAGGCGGCGGCGGCGCTCGCGCACCCGCGGGCGTCGAGCGGCTGGCGGCCGGCGCAGGTGCTGACGTACCCGTCGGCGTTCACGGTGCCGACGGGCGGCGCGCACTGGGAGCCGCTCCTCAGGGCCCGGGCCATCGAGGCCCAGTGCTGGGTCGTCGCCGCCGCGCAGGTCGGGTGGCACTCGGGCACGGCCGGCGCGGGCAGGGTCAGCTACGGCGGGAGCATGGTGGTGGACCCCTGGGGGCGGGTGAGGTGTGCCCTGCCCGCGGTGGAGGACCGGGATGGGGAAATGTCTGTGCCGGACGGCGCGGTGGGGGCGTTGGGTCTGGTAGATATTGATCTGACGCAGTGGGAGAGCGTTCGGGAGAGGATGCCACTGGTGAGGAGAACGTGAGTTTGTCAAGCCCCTCTCCCATCCCCTTCTCCTCTGTGCCTCTCGGGTGGATGCTCTCCTGTCCTCGGGATATAAGCCGACCTCCACATGTCCATTTACGACATCCAGAGGCCGGTTCCAAACATAATGGCCAGCATGTTTTGCTTGGCTGTTATTTGCGCTGTCAGAGGAGTGCTGCTGACACGTGCCAGGGACGTCTATCCCGAGATATGACTTTGCTACAGAATAGGCAAGATGACTCGCCTATCATGCGAGGCAAGCGGTGGTATGGCCTTGTTGACCAACACAACTCGCACACTCACTGGGAGGATTTGATTGTGATGTGCGTATGTGCAGTGACGTAACCCGGCAATGAGCACTTCTGGCAGCCAGTTGGGCATGTTCATGAAACGTGCTCTTATGCGAAAAGGGGGCCATTCTTTTCGCCTGTCAAGAATGGTAGGATTCGAAAGGGCAAAAGAGGCGCAGACATGTGTGCTGCAGGGTATTTTGGTCTGGCAGATACGCGCTGCATGTCAGATGCTCTCACGTTGTTGGCCATGCACGTTGTTGCAGGGATTGCGGTTGACCCAGTCTTGCTCGACCAAGTATCCTGCCCTATACAAGACGCTCCCAGGAGAGTTAAAATTATTACGGCTACTATATGTGCAAATGGAAGAAAAGTTCTTCAGCCCAATGGCGCGCGCATCACTGCCCCCCGTCGGCCATCCTGCTGGGGCCTCCCCTTCTCCCAAGTGGCGGGCACCACCCGGCCACCGGTCAAACAAAAACCGAGGCCAATTACTTTACTGACCGAGTCGCCGTCGGGGCAGGGTGGACGGGAGGTCGTTCCGGCTTTTTGGGCTGTGTGCTTGTTGTATGTAACAAAATACGTGCGTCGTAATGTTATCGGGCTCGTCGGTTTCTTCTATTTTGGTACATATCCCCGAAAGTACCGCACGTCTCAGAAAGATGACCACAGAGAGGGCCGGAGGACCTGGGATCCCAAGTAGAGTGAGTGGCTCAGGAAATTTTGACGCCAACCGCTGGGCTGGCCGAGAGTTGCACTCCCACTCTATCTCCGTCTGTGTCTCTTTCCCTCTTTTCCCTGTTTCTGCTGCTTGGGTGACCGGTCAGGGGACGACGCGGGACGACGCTGAAGGATTGGGAGGACGGTTTGAGTTTCGGTGCCAACGTCCGTCCAAAGGGGAAATGTTCTGGACGATGTGGCTCCGATCTCTGGCTTGACCTTGCCCCTTCTGGAAGGCGGCGGAAGGATTGGCGGGCCCATCCCCAAGAAGGGGACCCCCACGGAGATTTGGAGGATGTACCGGTCTGGAGGTGGAAGATTTGGGGGAGGCTCACCGCGGAAGGAGGATCGGGGAAGGGGGGGGGGCTTGAGAAGGGCCGACGAGATCAGCCCCGAGTGAGAGAGAATTGGGGGGGGGGGGGGGTTGGTTCTTGGTTGCTGATCAGTTATTCCATAGTAGTTTTTCCATGGGTGAGATGCTGAACAGCCTAAATGTTACCAGCTCCGGGGATCCTGTGCATCCAATTCCTGCCCAACAAGGCCAGATATGGGTCACATTCAAGGGAGGAAACAAAACACTCGGCGCCAGGTCAGCCTGCGAGCCTGCGTGGGTGCGTTGGAGGCCCGTCACTGGCGCCCTCATCCAATGCCCAACACAGTAGCACTGTTTTGCAGCCTTGAAACACGGGGGAATCTGTCGGGTATGCGGCGTTGGTAGATTGATTGGATGGATCTCTCTGCACAACAAAAAAAAAAAGTCAAGGTGCCGCATTCCCTCGCTCTCGGCGATGTTTGTTGGCTGCTGCTTGCTAAACCAACAAGCGGGTAGATCACCGGCGCCAGACCCAACGCCAGCGCCAGCGACAAACGGGGCCCGGCTTTGTTCTTCCAGAAGCAGTGGAGCAGGTGGGCCCCCAACTGCTAGCAGAAAGCCAAGCGTTCCCCGTACATAAACGCAGGGCCGGGGGACGGGACCTGACAGATGTACCTTGCCTGACGCTGCAGTAGTACATATGCACCATGCATCGTCCCGGAACTGGGCCCCTGACTAGGTAGGTAGGCATTAGTCCAGACAGCGAGAAGGGGAGCCGGGCAACACCTCACCGGTCAAGCGAGGGACAGGGAACAGAGAAAGAGAGCGCGAGAGATGAGAGAAAAACCCACTCGTCACGACGGCTCAGGCCGACACTGCTGCAGAGGCGCGACAGAGAGCCACACCCGTCCAACTCTTCCAATTCCCCACCCTCCCATTCGCCGACCCAGGACGGCGGATCCCTCTTTCGCTCGCATTAGCCCGGCAGCCCGGCCGGGTTGAGGGTACCATGTTCAGGAACACTCTTTGTCAGTGAACAGTAAGTGTCTAGTGGCGGGACCCTTGCCCGCAGCAACGGGAACGGTATCCATTTCTTTTGAGTGACACTTCTCCAAATCTATGGTGCTGTCTGTGGTGTTGCGTGTCGCCTCGCGGACGAGGCTGAGAAGGAGGAAGGGGGCTTCCTGGATGTACCATTGAGATTGGGGATTGTGGTTTTTTCTTTTTTTTTTTTCTTTCCCCAAGCAAAATCGACAGTCTCTATCTGGACTCTGGTTTCGCCGGTCAAAGAAAGAGATTACAGTGGAGGCAGCAAGGAGTCGGGGAGAAGAAAAAAATGAAGCTCAACCTCGGAAAAAAAGGCTGTCATGTTTTACACTCATGCTGTGTATCTCTCATCGCCAACGCGATGTGATGATCGTATCAGATGCGCCGTTCATCGGGCCTACCTCGTTACTGATCGCCCATTATTTGAGCCATCAGGTATGATTCGCCTTGCATGCTGCCGAGAGACGTACGATGCACCTCTGCTTTTTGATGATTGCCCTTACATACGGCGCCATCCGCCATCGCCCCGCGGGATCACCTCGCCTATCTCTGCCCGCTGAGACCTGCATGCTGCGCCAGTTGATTGGCCTCGTAGTTTCTTTTGCCTCGATCTTCATGTCTTGCAGCTGTTATCACACCGACATGAACAACGTCAATCTTACTCTTGTGGACAATTGGTTCGAGAAATATCGTTGTTAAAAGCAAAAACGCTGTGTAGCTAGCTGGTGCTTCTTACTATTCTGTACAAACAACTTCTAAATCCGGGGGGGTATCTTTCTTCTCCTGGTGCCAGCCCGGGGGCCCAGCTGGCCAGACACAATCTCTCCTTCCATTATCGAAGTTCGTCCAGACCCTTCGACAGTATGTGTACAGATATGAAACACAACAAAGATGTTTTGGTGGTGTGGAAAAAACATAGCTCTGAAGTGAAGGGGAAAAAATAACGAAAGTGGAAAGGGAGGAGGATAGAAACGGCAGTGAAGCCAAAAAAAAAACAGGTCTATATGCATCCCGGCCAGTTTTCTTTTTCCCATTCCTCTCAACCCTTTTTTTTGTGATCCGTCCCATCTCTTTCCATAGCACCTGCAAATAAACCAAAAAAAAGAAGTAGACACAAACTGCAGCCCACTAGTCATATCCTTTTTTCTGTAACCCAACCCCAATCATGCCCAGAACTAAGATAGAATAAGAAAAAAAAATCAAACAATGCGGCCGAGGCGAGACGGCTTTTTCGTCCACACATGAATGCTGATGTCGTATGGTCGAGAAGAGACGTAGGAATCGCTAGACTGTTTCTTCACGCCGTCTTCGCCGGAGGCTTGCGCGCTCGTGATGTGCGGTGCATAAGAAAAAGAAGTCAAAATGTTGACGTCTGACAGACAGAAGCAAGCTGACTTGCCCCAAATCTAAAACCCGATCCGATCTAGTTGAACGCCGTGTGCAGCCCCAGGACGAGATTCTCGCCCTGTGTGAAACCCTCTTCCTTTTGTGAAAAATAAAACGATTCGCCCGTGACCTTTTTCGTACTGGGAAACCAAGTGGCAGCGAGCCAGGAAAACATTGTGTCGTCTCTTTCGGAGGAATGCGTATTATTAAACGATGTACGGTGTCGGAATGCAATCGATCGATCCCAATACACTGGTGGGGGGATGGAGATCCATCCGGTCGCTGTAGTCGAGAATTGAAAAAGAAGACTGTTGTTACACGATAGATGCGCGCGGTGGCGGCGCAGTGATTAGATTCGCCGTATTTGCGAAAGCGTGCAGGGGGGTCCGAGAGGCAGGAGGTCTGGCCGTGCCCCTCGAGAAGGGCTGTGCTCCGAGTCGCGACCAGGAAGCCGACCGAGCGAATAGTCCAGCGCCACGATTTTGGTCTGCCGTGGGTTGCTCTTCTCGCGGGAGGGAGGCTAGCGTGCGATGGCGGCCATTGTTTCGAGGGATGGCGCTGAACCAAGGGATAGCACAACGACAAAATTTATCGAGGCTTGGGCTGCGGTGGTGGCTTGGGAACACCAGTTGTATCATAGGCTCCACGGCCTTGGTTGGCGAACACTGGAGTCTCTCTGGCAACCATTTTGACTTTTGGGAAAGATGCAACGAGGTTGACAGTGCTGTGAAGAATCCATTATTAGCCAAAAGTCCGGGAAGGAATGTCATGTTGTATTTTGCTGGTGCATCATGAAATGAAATTGTTGCAGGGGTTTAAAGTAAGGGGCAAGGACGGGAGACGGGTTGGGTTGCATGCAAGGCAGCAACTTCAAGACGAAGCGCAAAAAGCGCCGAGATGAAGCCAGTAGGAGCAAAAAGATGGTGACTCACATTGTGTAGCGGAATTCCGGGCTGCGAAGAGTAAGGCTTCTGGTGGTTTTCAGAAGCTCTGGAGCTGTCGCAGGAGGTGCGGCGCGGCGCGGGATTGGTGAAGGGTGACGGGGCGAGGTCGAGGTTGCAGGGGCGCCGGGTGTTCTGCCGAATCGTAGGAGAGCCCAGCAGAGGTGTCGCCAGTGGTCAAGTCTCGTATGGAATGCGGGTGCAAAGCGTGGGACCTGAGAGGGCTGGAGACGGCACCGAAAGCGTGATGATGACGCTTGGTTATTTATGGGCCAGACTTATGCACGCTGATGTTGGTGGTGGTGGTGATGGTGTGGTGAGACAGCAGCCACAGTGTATTAAGCCCGGGAAGTATGGGTCCTGTGGTTCTAGAATGCGCAAGGGATGCGTTGTTCTTTTTTTCTTCTTTCTGTTGTCGTCGGTATGCAGCCGGACGGATCAGGGCGTTTCTGGATCTGTTGGGGACCGCGAGAATGTTGTCGACGGCCTTTGTCAGGTTTGACCACCTTGATGTCAGGTACGCTGCAGATCGTAGGGCAGGATTCTGTCCAAGGATGGTCCAGTCGCAGGCTCAGTGGATCGCTAGAGCAGCAGCAGCGGTAGTGGCGCTCTCTGTTTCGGAAACGTGTGGACTTTGGAGAAGCGAGTTGGAGCTGGTTGCAGGTGCAGGTGCAGGTGCAGGTAAGGTGCAGATGTGTGCAGGCACAGGTCAGGTTGCAGCAGTCGGCGACAAGGACTGGTAGATGGGCAGACAGGTGGATAGGCAGGCAGATGGTATGCGTTTCAAGATGGGAACGCTGCAGCTTAAGAAATAGAAAATGGACAAGAGGGAAGAAGCGCTCTGTTATTGTACAGGACAAGAGAGACGATTAATAACTTGGGTCGGGGGGAAGTTAAGAAGGGAGGGCGTTTCGAGTGTGGGAAGGGGGCCGTCCGCGTCTTATAATAGACTTTCAAGCTGAGCGCGCTGTGCCAAAGCAAAGCCCAGAGTGCAAGCCCTGTGCGAAGGTGAGAGTGACTGATACTCCGGACAGGAGGTACATCACTTTTTTTTTTGTCCCCTTCCTTTTCGGCCCTTGCCTCCCAGTCCCTGTCTCCCCCCTTCCTTTTCCTTCCTGGCTGGCTGGCTGGAGCTGTGCAGTGCTGTGCTGAGCTGTGCCGTGCTGTGCTGTGCCTGTCAGTGCTGGGAACACAGGTGAGAGGGCAAGGCGAGGCAAGGCAAGGCAACGCCAGGGGCCCAGCCCAATACAGGGGAGCGGCGGACGGGGAGCCAGGGGAAGGGATGGATGGATGGGATGGAATGGATGCGATTGACATGGAAAAGAGTGGGCTCAATTAAGGTGTGTAGGAACTTTACTACGCGTGTCTCTCACCTCACACTCGCACTCTCACACACCAAACAGCACACACACTCACACACACACCCGCTCTCGCTCTCACCAGAGCAGGGCCAGCAGGGCCAGCAGGGCCAGCAGGCCACTCAAGGCCCAGCCGGGACAGGAGGGACAGGGCCCGATTAGGCTAGCAAGGGAGGGTGCAACGGGGAATTCTGGCAAGTATTGGGTTGGGTTGGCGTCGAGAGATAATTTCGGAGCCATGTTCCAGGTACCCGAAGACAAAGCACACCTTAGGCGAGAAAGCAACAGTCGTCATGTATCAGAGTCAGGTCCCCATGCACCATGCCCATGTACCTGCATGGGTCCCGCAACGTCACTGAGGTACCGCGTGGGTCTGACAGTGTACATGCTGCCGTACCGCGTACATGGCAGTACGCACTACCCCCCCCCCAGTCCCTCTACAACACCGTACTATAGTACTGCGCTGCGCTGCACTGCACTGCACTGCACTCCTGTCCTGGCCTGAACACGGTGGGGATCCGCTCAGTCCGGGCGCCGTTTTGCGTTGCAGGCGTGCACATCATTCGCAACTCGGTACGTGCCCCCCGTGAAACGTCAGGCTGATCGAGCTACTGCTACTGCATTGTACACGCACACACACGCTCACACAAATACCGGTGTACCTAGGAGTGGCACCTCACCGGGACAATCACTACAACGTGCTGTGAAAGGTCTGTACCTAGACAGGCTAGGTGTGGTTGATGGTGCCTGTGCCCGTGTACAAGAATGCACCATCGCTGATGGCAACTTCAGTTCCCGTCCCGTTTTTCCTAGCCCGTGGAACCTCGCACCCGTCAGGCACAGGCAGCATGAGGAACGGGTGGATGTGAGCTCGCCGTCATTGTCTGTCTGTCTGTTCTGTCTGGCCTGGTCCTGTCCAGTTGTCGGGTATGATGAGAATGATTGTCTTGTTCATTTCGTAATGCTCTCGCTTACATACGAGCTTTGGGTAATCTTCCAGAATTTTTCCCAGGGGTGGAGACTGGTACTTGCACTTCGCAGGGGCTTGGGCGCCAGCCGGGGTGCCAGGGGACACCCTATCTGCTTCAAACGAACCAGCGGCCAACCCCAGAAGTGGACTAGATAACTTCCTGCTCGCACGCGACTTTCATTACCACTTTGGGTGGGAGGGTGGTGTCGGTTCAGAGGGCCTGCTGTGGTGGTCCTCGTCAGATTTTTGCTGGGCGACGCGTTGTAAATTTGTTCTCATCTTGGCTCATTCTTGTGTGTTTTTGGGGACCTGCTTGCGAGTCTGCGCAGTCTCTTGCCCGCTTGTGAAGAGTCGTAAATGACATACCACAGAGGTTCCTGATTGATTAGGTGTCGTTGCTGTGCCTGGACCTGCAGGTGGATCCCGCCGGCGGCTTGGAGGCCAACATGAGTTCAAATCAAACACGACGCATTTCTGTGCTTCTCTCTCATGCTTCATTTCATTGCTTCCCTGATCCAGCGGGGACCGGGGTCACCCGCCAGCCCGGGTAAGCTATTCCGCATCGTCTCTGGACGGGGTGTGGGCTGTCTGCGATGTACCAAAGTACTTACACCCTAGTGCTTCTTCCATGGCTTGGTCGATATTCTCAGTTGATTGTTCACATTTTATTTTTATTTTTGCTTTTGAAGTCAGTTTCTGTCGTAGCCGATCTCACCCAGTGTCAATCATGTTGACCCGTGATCCCCGGTGAGAAAAGCAACAGCGTGAAGTAAAGCTTGCTGCGGACCAAGATTCCGACGTGTTGCCTTTCGGTCTGCTCAGATCGGCGCAGGCAGCTGTCGAAGGCGGTGATGTTACTTGGCGCTGGTTCGCAAAAGAACCATGTCTCTGTGCGAGGGCAGTCAGATTGGGGGTTGGTCGCACGGCATGGCATGGCCACGTTCAAAACATTCACTCAAGCCCGCCCACGCTTGTAGAGGACCCGAGGGGTTGGTTGAGTGGGCAAACTTGCGAGCCCACGGGGGTTCGTCCGCCACCGCATGCGACCTCTCCTGGTGACCCGAGTGTGCCACGATAAAGGGGCCGATCTCAGGTCAGCCAGCTGCGAGGCGTGGGGGAAAACGTGGGCAGCATGGGTGGGAGGGGAGGGAATGGGATGGATGGATGGATGGGGGCGTGGTAAGATCGGGTGGCTTTGCACCTCTGGCTAATACCGACGCCGGTCACATTGGATATTGCTCTCTACATCTTGTGCCGACCAGTAAGTCCTGGACGTACGTGATGTCTCGGAAAGGTGAGAAAAGTGACCGAATCCTTTTTTTTCTTCTTGTGCCTTGTCTCAGACGGTCGACAAGATTATACGGAGACGAGGGTAGTGATCCACGCTTCGCATGACGAAATGGAATACAACAGCTTTCGTGAGCCTTCCTTGGATGGCCGGGCCTTTCCTAAAAGGGCCCGTCTTGTAATACGTCGATGCCGCCACAAATGAATATCGCGAAAATCAGCTGCGACAAACAAGAACATGAGGTACGAACAAAAACTGAGGTGTCTTGCAACAGATGCACGACATATCGGAGCTCTCAAAGCCGTGCTCAGACCAGCTTGTGTAGGACGGCGCCAGTACAGAATAGGTGGTGTGCACGGCACAAAAGGCCACAACAGCCGGGCCATCCTCATCTATTCTTGGTTGCAGTTCTGGGCAGGAGCTGCAATTCGTCCAAAAACTCGCGAATGGTTTGTCGCCGATGGACATGTCACCCAGGCCCTCGGGTTGATGTTCCAGATCGGTGCTGCGTGGATCCGTAGTCTGCATCTGGGCTTGCAGTTGTGCTGGTACGTCTGAGCTGACTGACAAACGACACAGCCTCTTCCCCCAGTCATCGATGCGTGCATTCGCGGGTAAGAAAACAGGCAAAGAACTGGGGAAAAGCAATGCCTCTACGGATAACTCCTATCCCACCGCCAGGAAGTACTGTAGTCAGCTCAGCCCTACAGCTTACAGCTCGCTGTTGGCTGTGCCACCCGCAGTCTTGGTGTGTTAGTCCGCAGTCGACGCTCTCGGCAGCCTGGAATGGTGTAACAAGCACAAGCACGACTATCACTACCGCTCTGATGAGTCACTGCAAGTCACTGCCAATGCGTGGTCATTCATCAACATCACCACCACCATCATCATCATTACTAAACAAATTACCTCGACCGCCAGTCCCCGGCGCGAGACTTTGCACCGGCGTCACCGGAACACTATGTAAGAAGCTCAAGCCCGTGACGGCGGTGATGTGAGAGCAGGCATACAAAGTCTACACTGTGTTGGTAGGCTTGCTCAACGTGTGAGACGCGTGCCTTGGCTGTGTCAGCACGTCTTACTTAAGCACTGACCGGTCGATGTGTCTCGTAGGGCGTCCCCCCCCCCCCCAGACTCTCAGCCCTTCATGACGTTGCCTTGACCCGAAAATCAGCGGGCGGGAGGAATGGGGGTGACAATGTTTGTCGTCCATCAGCCAGGCTGTCAGTGCGACAAGTCTACTGTCAGATCTGCATCTGCCTCCTTGGTGGTTGCTGCTGCTGGTGGATACGATCATCGCCATAAGACTGTTTCAGACCCAAGCGAGCAATGGCTGTGAGCGGTGATTTGTGGAACGGGGACGTCGGAAAGCTTGAAAGGGGAACGAGCAGCGAGCGCAGATTGGACCTCTCACCGGGAGCCCACCATCACGGCCTGGCTGCCATGGCTGCCCTGGTAGGCTCAAGGGTGTTTTGGGCGAAAAAGGATGCCGTAGCCACGAGTCAACTGTGACGGGATGGGCTGGGCCTGACCTGCAGAAGGCGAAAACCTAAACACGAATCGCATCCAGCGATGGGAGTAGCATGTGTGTGCATGTTTAGCCGGCCGTGTTAGGGGTCTCCTTGATAGCTTCCCGAGGCCCCACTGCCGTCATGCCGCACGAGATTCTCGATATGCACGATCACAGATTCCGAGTTCAGCTGGGCGAAACGCATCACAACATCCCGGGACGCAGTGTTCGTCCTCGTCACGAAGGTGTTCGCCTTGGCCTGCATTGACTGGTTCATTGGCCGGGCCACTGAGAGACAAGATCGTCCCGCCCGCGTCCTGCATACATACGATGGCTGGACGGACAGTCCCATTTAGACTAAACAGGCTACATCACAGACACGACAGGACCCCTATTGCCCCCCTTTTTTGGCCCTCCCCATTCCCAAGGAGCCGGGAGCGACGTGTTCGGTCCGCTGCCGCAGTGTAACCGCGGAGAGGCACGGCTGGTGACGACTCGAGGTGACTTTCCGAGACCGTCGCTAGTCGGACAATGACATACATACACGACATACACGTACCTGCAGAGTCGTCGAGAGCCAATGTCGTGCACTGCGATGGCCTCCCCGTCCATCTTCGCCGCCTTTGAGTTGCTCACTTACGGTAACGCAGCTGGCCATGGGCCGACTCGTTCGTTGCATCCGACGGCCTCCCGAGACAACCTCCATACCTAGATATTGGCAGGTGGGTTCGGGAAGCCAGCGCCAGCCACAACCATGTCGGCCGCCAGCGGATCCCCTACACCCCTTGGCCCGCGGTCTGGGATTCACAGCAGTCATGAATTGATCTGTCTCACAGTCCCGTTTGTCCATGACGAGGACTGTTCCGGTGAGGCTGCGAAAAGAAAGAAGAAAAAAATAACTAGTCTAGTGAGTCCAGGACTGCTTTTCCTTGTGACAGACGGGTAACTGTCGAAGCACCACCCAAACCACCCCACAGTCGTCAGTGCGGGCTTCGCGATTCACCACACCTGGACCCTGATGATTCTGGAATGCATGCACAGGCCCGCGTATCGATCACTTCTCATTCTGGGTCTCATCCTCGAAGTCGATGGAAAGGCCATCACAGTGCACATGGGAGACTCAGTAGCCAGCGAGGGTGCCCTTGCACCGTTGTGGGAAATCGAAATGACAATTTAAAATACAGAAAAAATTCATCCCGTTTTTGATCTATCTGGATGAGACCCCTGGCGCCCGTAGAAGCCATCCACACCTTCTAGAACGATTTCCTCGCTGACAGGTCGGATTCGACGCTGGGGTGGGTCGCTACGCAAAATTGTGTGGCACGACCCACGACAAGGTCCTGCGTTTCATCTCCCCAGAGGCAAGCTGTCATGATCAATGCCAGGGCTGCTGTCCTTAGAGGTTCTCGTCCACCTCGTACCCGGTGTGCTGGTGGCAGTCGGCGACGGCAACGAAGGATGCACAGATGTGCTTCCGAGACCGTAATAATCCCGCGGCACGAGGAAAAGCACTGTTCTCAGAATAGATGCTGTTGTGTAGCACGGCTGTGGTGCATGCAGACAGCAGGGGACACTGGGCTGGCTGACATTCCCGCGATCCTGCACGGTTCGATTGTCCAACCAGCACAGCTGACATCATCCGCGGCACAGGGCTGTATCTTTCGAGAGGCAGCCCTCTGCCACGATGAGCAAATCAGGGCAGTAGCACAATCCGGTACTGGTCTTTTGGGAGCAGAATAGGGCCGAAGCATACTGCCCTGCCCACAGCCGAGGCTCGATTCGTCGGCTTGGACCGATGCACCATCCAACTGTCAGCTATTTAGTAGGCTGATCTGTCTCACCTGCGTGCTGTGAATCATCAAGCCACCAGACCAAGCCTTGAGAGGATGGACAGCCGAGCTCTACCGGTTCTTGGCCCTGTACGGCCTGCATCCTCAAGCACAGGCACAGGCGCAGGCACAGGCACAGGCACAGGCACAAGTATACGAGAACCTCCTGGCGCCAATCGCAAGAGGGAGGCAGTTCTCGTTCCAAAGATAATTCCCACCGCCAGACACGCTGACACAGTCGTCCTGACCGAGCTCACCTGAGAGTCCCGCCGCCCCAACAGTCTCCCAGGCCTGGCCTCTCCCAGGGCTGGGAACGGAGGCCCAAATGAGCCAGGGACGGCTCGGCGATACCAAGCACGTCAAAACAATGGGCTAACCGTGGTATTCCCGGCTGCTCGTGCTGTACCGGGTACTTCAGCCCTGGGCCCACAGGTACTTACTCGCAAGCTCGAGGTACCTGCCACCACAAAATGGGGCCCGGTCGGTTGCATTGTGTACCATGTAGGCTTCCCGGCCACATGGAGAACCTGGAGTGCAGGCTAAAACGGCGCTATTCCAAAAGAGAGAGGCGTTCCTGCATTAGCAATTTTGGCACTTTGCTTCCAAGGTTCCGGGCCGGGACTACGTAGCCTGAAAGCCTGCATGACCTAGACAGAGTGCTGCTTGTGCAAAATGGCTGGCCATCTTTTTTTTTTTTTGCTACTACTGCTACTGCTACTGGCTGTGTGTGATTGCGAATACTTGCCGTGGCAGACACGATGTCACCACAACGTCTATCCGTCCTCCAAGCTTTTCAGCAAGAGATATATGCAAAGAAGCTTGCTCATATTCAACACAATTACTTGCCTGCTTGGTCCTTCAGTTCCGTCCAAGGAAGCAATCAACTTTTTTGGCTGCCGCAGATATCAAGTACCGCGGCCGCCATCCATTCTATGTAGGGTCAGGAAAACCGGTCATGAAACAGGAGAGCCCAGCAAGCGGCTGTGTTCTGGTCGCCTCGTCTCATTCCCATCGTCAACTCAGATGCAAAATGAAGCAGTCAAAATGAATTGTTTGGGATCGTTGCGTCCGCCAAATGTGACAGCGGCTCGGAAAGCTTCCAATTCGTCAGTGTCCAAAAGCATGTGCCATCGTATCATTGAGCTGCCAACCGGAACAAGAATCCACACTCACCGGTCCAGGTTGTGAAAGTGCCTGGAGGCAGTCATCTCTCAAAAGGAGGATCGCCTTCACACGAAAAAAGCAAGATCGTCGTATGGTTGTGACCTCATCGAAGAAGTTCGTCAAAACAACACCATATCTCACCTACGCCATCCCATGAGCTTTGTTGCCGTGGGTGATGCTTATTCAATTGAGCTGTCGCATCGGAATGGACTTACTTGCTCACCTTGTTTCCACACGCGCCGCCCCATGGAACGGTAGCTCCGTGGTCCCCGGTTGAGCACCACTGCCAGGATGGTCCACCGTGAGTAGACCGTCCAGTTCTCGGTGTACTCGCGAACCTTCACCGATCTTCACGGGGAGGCTGCCAGGGATTCATTAGCACTATCAGACTTTTCTGCAGTGCGCAAAAGCGGGCGCAGCAAGAGGGGGCCACAGTGCAACAGGTCTGGCCAGGGACCCGAAGTCTAGTGGTACTGTTTCCACGGATTTTCCTTGTCGACTGCACGTGGCAGAAGAGGTTCGGAGCACGTTGGGCCATGGCACGATCCCACAAAGGAACTGCCGAGAACCATTTGTGAAAGGAACCAAACGGCGGCGACGATCTGGTTGAGATAAGATACCGCCGTCATAAAGGAGCCGTCCATGCCATCAAGGGGACTCAAACTTCAGCCTTGACAGCCTTGCCGACGGGGCAGCACGGATCCATGCCGTGCTGTCACCACGCAGTCGCGAGGGTTTGGTGGGTTGGCACCCAGTTGACAGTCGCACCAAGTGGGCATCTTCGGCGAGGACGAACAGGTGTGGAGCGCTCAGAGACTGCGGGCTCCTCCAGCCGGCGTCTTCGATCCTCTGCCCCTGCCGCTCAGTGGGCCGCCGCCAAACCTTCTGGAAGACAGTTTATTATTCCCCGGCCAGCAGCCCTGTGAGGTAATCGTGATTGACCGTCGTGATGGTGGGAGATAATTTCACAGCCTGTCATGAGTCCATTTACACGAAGTTACATGCAGACCCACCGGCCACGCGACCACAATGCAGAGCAGTGGATCGGCACCTAGCACCCGGTTCGTTATGAACCGGGCCTGCGGCACTGCCGAGCGAACGATTTTGGCCAGCGTGCTGTGGGCCTTCAAGCCAGTAGCAAATCTCACCGAGTCTTCTCGGTGAGCAAGGATCAGGCGCTGTCCCATTCTCTCGTCCATTGTCTAGACCGAAACGCTGGGCTGTCGAGGGCCTCGCTTGGTCCCGCGAAGGGCACCCTGTGGGTAGTGTGTGCAGAATCCCTTGTCCTCGCCCAGCCAGCCGGTCACAACCGTCGGCAGATAGCCCAGCTGAACGCAATTTGCGAGCTGCACGGCTGAGGCATCGACTATCCTCAGCCTTACTGCTCAATTCTCCTTGCTTGCACCTGGAACAAGGATCAGGATCTTCAGGGCCTTCGTAGGCTTCTAAAATCAGCCTGGCGCCAAGGCAAGGTTCCAAGTTGATGACACCTTTCTGGCACGCCAACAGCAGACATCGCCATCTAGCGAGCACTAGGGAAACAATGTGCCGGGCGCCTCTGTACCGGAAGCCCAGCCGCGCTGTCAGAGGTGCATGAGAGATCCCTGCGCTCTGGCCACCTCGTGGTTTCCGGGGAACCATCCGGCTTCGCATGCGCTCCACTTGCCGCCATGCGGTTCATCTTTTCTCGAAGGCTACTAATTTGGAAAGAAATACGGAGCGCCACCGTTTATGTGGGCACAGAGCAGCGCTCGCTTTGCACGGAGGCTGGGGATCCCAAACCAGTTTGAGCATAATGCTGGGATAGGGCTAGCTTTCGGTCGAACCTGTCACGGTGAATGTTCTGTCGGGGCCCCCTACGAAATGGGAAACACTCACCATGCTGACGTATTGGAACAGGGCGATGCTCACCGGGTTTCTCGGTACTACTCTGCCCTCTATAGTGCTGGCATTATGCGCATCGCACGTGGTTTGGTCTCGGCTCCGAACGGTTGCATTGCAGGCGGCCCTGCGAAACGGTGCTGCTGGGCCTGCTGGGCCTGCTGCTGGGCCTGCTGCAGGGCGAGGGGCGATCAAATTGACAGGCAGTCCTTGGGCCACCAGGTCGCATTAGAAGCCTGGGTTAGGTGTCCGGCTTGTCTCCCCCGACGTTTGCAACCCTGTTTCGCCAGCTCCTGCAACGAGGCGCAACTTCGGGCGCGACACGAGGTGGACGGAGGCTAGGAGAAAGGATGTGACAGCTACGCAGTGCCATCCGGCCTGGTAGGCAGTTGATACCCGGAAGCTTAAGGATTTGCACCAAGCTGGGTGCCAGATTCCGAGAACTTCCCCGTGGCTTTGCCTGACTTCCAGCTGATCCTTATACAGAGCTTATCTTCATTCCCGGACTTCGCCTTGCAATGCCATTCCTTCTCTCTCTCGAATGATACTATGCAAGCACGTTTGACACTGCATTATTCAGGGTACTTGAGTGCGGTTTCAGAGTCAGCTACGACTTAACCCCTATCGTCCCGATTCAACGACGCCCACAGATACCGGACGCCTCTGGGTTTGTCGGAGCCAAAAGAGGAGAGCGGGCCCCCTTGGCCGGGTGCTGGCGACTGCGCCGCGATCAGGTCCCCACGGGCATTGAAGTCTAGAACTGCGGCGGGACTTCCCCTTATTGCGGTGGCCAAGGCGGGCGCTCGGGAAGACCTCACTTTGCCCCCAGTGTCTTGCTTTCCAGGTCAAGGTGAGCAGACTCGGCCTCACGTAGCCGCATGAGCGCCGCGAGTCATCCAGAGGAGGAAGCCCAACCTTCAAAGGTCAAGCAAGAGGCACTGGATCCGGCGATAGCTTTGCGGGCCGCTGATTCGAGAGTGCCGGTCGAGTCAAGATTGGCCGCCTTGTATGGCGGTCTTTGAAACGCAGCTACAGGAAAACTTTAAAGCTCTTCAGCCCGGCGCGCACAGAGCCTGGGGCCGTTGAATACGGGAGGGTTGCAGATTTGGGTTCGGAGCGAGCTTCCAGGCCCCCCAGCTGGCTCTGACTGCAGCATGTTCCAAGGTCCCAGCACAAGCTACCTGGAGGGGTAACTACGAAAGCTTCAAGATTCCGCGGTGGCGCCATGACAAAGATTCTCCAGTGAACAGACCCCCGAATACCACGAAGCTTGTGCTCATTGAGGCCATAGTGCGCTCGGGCCGGAGGCGTCCTCATTAATACCAAACGTCAGAATCAAGAGAGAGTTCTGAGCAATCGAGATCTGACTGACATGGTAAAGTTCACACCAAGGTGAAGGTGTGCCTATAAAACGTGCGATACGCGTAGTAAATATCCACAGGCTGACATGGTATGGTGTGTTCACCTTGAGGCAGACCAAGGTGAGCTGCAGCCGCCCAGACAGCACTGGTGCGGTGCGTTGGACAAGGGGGAGCTTAAGGGGCGAGGGGGGGTTGTGGGTGCGAGCCCCACATTGGTTGAGCTGGTTGGTGACGCCTCTTCCTCCACATGGCACTTGCTGTATGCTGTTAGTTAGGTAGTTCACCGCAGCGTATGTACGTACAGTACCTTCGTCCACATCCAAGCTCCATCCAACGACGACGACGACGACAAACCACTCACGTACATCTAAAAGACGACAAATAATTGACACCAGCAGGCAATCCTGCAGTACCCCCCACGTAACAACAGCGATCCAAACCGGCTGTTCTCGACTTGCTGCCCCTCTCCGACCAGTAGCCCCCCATCGACACCATCGCAGCCTACCTCGCCATCATGTCCATCATACAGCAACACACGTCTGCGTCGCTCGGCGATGCTTGGCGTACCATCAACATCGACGCGCTACAGGAGGACTCGTCCGTCAACTTCGACACCTCGACCCTGCACCCACCCCTGCCCGAAATCGGCGAGGCCGAGGTGCGCTCGCTCGCGGGGCAGGTTCGGCAGCTGCTACGCGGCGGGGACGCGGAGGGCGCGCTGAGGGGCTGCCTGGAGATGCCGGTGTACAACGGGAACGACCTAGCAAAGGTATGAACCAGCCCTAGACATCCCGCCTGTCCCCTCGAAAGCTGGTAGGAGTGGGCTCTTGGGAAAAGGAGGCCCTAGGCGGAAGAGACAGGCCGTGTGGGGAACGGCGGATGGGATGTGACGGGAGCTCTTGTTGACGCGTGAAAACCGCAGGATGCACACCTCCAGACCGTTGTCGAGGTCCTCCAGTCGATCAAGGCGAGCGAGATGACGCCCATGCTCCAGCGCATATACCAGGGCGACGGCGGTAGCGAGCTGCTGGATGTGCTCATGAAGTATCTGTGCGTTTGTCCCCATTCGGCAGTGCCGACGTCTACATATCCCCTCAACACACGAGTTCACGTGGATCTGAGCTGACATGGGCTTCTTGTCTTCTTTGATCAGGTACAAGGGCATGGCATCATCATCAGGAGGCAGCGCCCCCCGAACACCCACCAAAGTGACGCCCCAGGCCACGGGGTTCAGCCAGGTCGGTGGCCGACCAGGCGCGGCAAACGAATCCGCAGGCGCAGGCATGAGTGTTCTGTTGAGCTGGCACGAGAAGGTGGTCGACGTGGCCGGACTCGGATGCATAGGACGGACGATGACGGACTGGCGAAGGGTGTAAAGATGCCTGCGTGGCTGCTCTACGACAGCTGGAAAGGACTGTCTCAATGCTGCCTGGCTCGCACAGACCAAATAGGAGATCATCGTGGTCGTGCCTTTGCAGTTCAACATATCAAGGGGAAGAATGCATATTCTAGAAACGCAGACAGACGGCGTTGTCCTGGTAGGACCCTTCATTGGTTCTACGCAAGTCCCACGGCGTCTGGTAATTTGAGGCTTACCATCCTAGATCTGTTCAAAAGAGGCACTTTTCTTTCCGATGAGAACAATGCAAAGTCATTCTAGATGCCTTCCAAGTCAGCTCCCTCGCTGCCATTGATTGACGCACGTAGCTGTATTGCAATAGACATGACAAGCTCGTCAGCGTCATCGGCGAAAAGCCTAGTAGTCTAGGCGTTGCAGTTTCTCAAGCACATAGCAGCACTGCCAGCGGTAGCCACTTCCAACGTTTACGAGCGCCGAGCACAGCCATAACACTCCACCTGAGGTAGTCTACTGTCAGGACAGTAGAAGATAACAAAGCACTAGTGAGGAATAACTCGATTCCCTGCCTGAAGTTGTCACCAATGATGTGTACATTATATAGGAGCTTGATGGCTTTGAAACGAGTTCAACCAAGTCCTCTCTGCAGATAGTGACCAGAATGCGCTGGTGATGCGCATTTTGACCTCAAGTCCACAACAGACGAAGTTATCTCCTGACCATTGGGCTACTGAGCCAACCAACCACTCCCTTCTGCATAGCTGTTTCGTCAAAGAAGCTGGCTCCCAACCCAGGTAAGTTGCTGTAGACGACCGAAATCCCATGTGCCTAGTGTATCTTTTCGTCCCACTCCCTATTTCTTCTCGAGAATATCCTTGAGGTTGATCTCCGCGCTGCCCCGAGCAAGAGGTTCAGCCTGGGTGGGAGAGTCATGCCATCCAATCATGTAAATGATCCTGAAAGTCGCAGGTATAGACCCATCGTCGTTTCCATGAAGCTCACGGTAGATCGCCTCGTTCGCAAGGAGGACGTCCCTGCCTATGGCGCCCGGCTCCCGACCCAGGACGGCATTGCTCTCGCCCATCTGCTGCAGGTCCTGCATCAGCTCGAACGTGTTGGGGTAGTCCACTACTATGTCGTCGACGTCAACCGTCAGCATCTTGAAGCCCGCCTTCTGCAGCAGGCCACCGACGTCCCTCACGTCGGCGAGCGGAGACACGCGGGGCGACAAGCCGCCCTTGCGGTCCTGCTCTGCCAGCTGTAATGACGTCCGCAGCTCGAACAGCGTGTCCCCGCCGAGCATGGCGCCTATGAAAGGGCAGTCTGGCTTCAGGATATGATTGATCTGCGACAGCACGCCCGGCAGGTCGTTGATCCAGTGCATACTGAGGCTGCTCAGGACCAGGTCGAAGGAGGCAGGCTCGAACGGCAGGCTCTCCTCGTCATCCAGGACCTGGCGCGTTATGTCCAGCTCCTTGTTGAAGGGCAGGTCCGCGTCGCGGTACAGCTGCGCGTGCGACGATTCCGCGGCGACCAGCTCCGTTATGCGTTCCGCGAGGGGCGGGGACGTGGGCTTCGCGGGGTCCGGGTCGGGATTCGAGCGAGCGAGGGCGCGGGCGACATTGCAGGTGTTTGCGCCCAGGTCGAGGGCGCGTGGGAAGTGTCGCTTGATGTCCTGCAGCGCGAAGGGGAGGCAGTCAGCGCATTGGGGGCCCGGGAACAAGTCAGAGGGAGTAGAGAACCCACCAGAAGACGCTCGCAGAGCCTGTTGGCCACCTCATCCTTGAGGTAGTCGGCCTGCCGGCTCCTCTCGACATCAGCAGCAGCCCTCTCTTTCTGCTGCCATTTTGATCGCCTATTGAAGACCTCGAACACTGGGGATCCCGGGGCCTGCGAGGCGAAGCTTCGACGTGTCCAAGCTGCCCCTCTGGGGATTTGGGTAGCGCGGACTCTTGGTAGGACCGGAGTCATCTTTATACATTCACATTGTTGTTGTCGCAGGAAGAGTCTAGAGGAAGGTTGTTGCTGCGTGGTGGGGTTAGGAGGCAAGCGGCCGGAGCTCAAGACGTCATGCACTCTACTATTACGGTTTGGCACTTCACCGGCCCCAGATGTCTCTGTAATAGCGTGCTGCGGGCCAATTGAGTTGTTCTCGACAGACGACTTACATATCTAGATACTTAGGTACTCTGCGGCACACTTTGAGTGCCTGTGGAATCCCTGAATGCGGACAGAGTTCCTGGTCTACCAGGCCATAGCCGCTTACAATGAACATGCGTGCTCCGGTGCGTCAGACAACAACCGAGCCAGCCGAAAGAGCTTGGTCCTGTGCGAGTCTCGAGTCTGTATGAGCAGGATAATATGGCCCCTGTATTCTTCTCTTGCACGATATTGATCCATGAAATTCCAGATGAATTGGAGAGAAGCGTAACCGACTTGATGACTTTTGAGTCCAAGACAACTCCCGGGCTGACCAGGCGGATGGTTCTAGTTCCAGAGCATGGGAGTCCCCAGCAGGGATCCAAGACAGCAAGCTGCAGGTCAATTTCAAGGGTCCGTGCTTGGCTAAGCAAGCAGGTGCAGTGGTGCAGTGAGAGTGACAGAGCCGAACCTCGAGGCGGCCCGCATAACTCCACAGTCGAGCCCGACCATCGATCCCATCCCCTTTTGACATTGAGGACATCGCATCGAGCCTCTTCCGTCTTGTCCATTCGCATCGAGTCCCGCTGCGACCTTACTCCTTTCAACCGAGGATACGGATCCCTTTACTCACCTCCTACAACATGCCGTTTCTGTACTGATTCCACGATCATCTGAGCATCAAACCCCTTGTTTCCGCACGCCCGCTGCGGTCCCTCATGGGTAATTCGGCTCTCGCGTCCATCACGCATCATCAGCCTGACCGTACAATTTGACGACCCCTGGTTTACTACCACGATCAAGACGGACTCCCTTCTCTGAATATCACGACGACACAATATCGAAGCCACTCGATCCCAAACACCGAAAATGTCCTCCTCCGCAGCCGCCGGCTTCCTAGGCCGGTCGAGTAGCAACAACTCGAACATGCGCGGCCTCGTACAGTTTATCGCAGATTTGAGGAACGCGAGAGCTCGTGAGCTTGAGGAAAAGCGCATCAACAAGGAACTGGCCAATATTCGGTGAGGACGCACGCGGCTCCACGAAGCTCTGGTCGCGAGACCACCACTCTCCACCACGTCCCAATGTCTTGCTGACCTCGAATTCTGTTTATAGTCAAAAGTTCAAAGGTTTGCGATACTTCCCGTCGACGATAAGCTCCACGCGACCACCCGGCTAACTCGAAGTAGATGGCAATCTGAGCGGGTATCACAAGAAGAAATATGTTTGCAAGGTGCGCGCCAGCAAGAATGTCTCCACCTCGTGTAAGAGAAGCGGCTGACCGTCGGGCCCAGCTCTTATATATTTACATTCTCGGTTGGAATGTTGATTTCGGCCATCTCGAGGCAGTGAACCTCATCTCCGCGAACAAGTACTCCGAGAAGCAGATTGGATATCTGGCCATGACGCTCTTCCTCCACGAGAAGCACGAGCTGCTTCACCTGGTCGTCAACAGTATACGGAAGGACCTTCTCGATCACAACGAATTGTTCAACTGTCTAGCCCTGCACGCGATTGCCAATGTTGGCGGGAGGGAGATGGGAGAGGCTTTGAGCGGCGAGGTCCACAGGCTGTTGATCTCACCGTACGATTCATCCCCAACGCACTTGTGACCCGAGCTGACTGTACGCGCAGGACATCTAAAGCCTTTGTCAAGAAAAAGGCGGCACTTACTCTCCTCCGATTGTACAGGAAATACCCTGACATCATTCAACCGCAGTGGGCTGAGCGAATTATCTCTCTGATGGACGATTTAGATCTAGGTGTTGCGCTGTCCGTCACCTCTCTCGTCATGGCGCTGGCACAAGATAATCTAGACCAATACAGAGGAGCCTACGCGAAGGCCGCCGCCCGTTTGAAGAGGATACTGATTGACGGAGATTACGCCGCCGATTACCTCTACTACAAGGTGCCCTGTCCTTGGATCCAGGTCAAGCTTCTGAGGCTTCTTCAATATTTCCCACCTTCAGGTTCGCAATCCACCTCGTCAGCCCGGCTGAATCAGAAATTGACAGTCCCTGCAGATGACAGCCACGTGCGAGAAATGATCAGATTGTCTCTGCAAAAGATATTGGACCTAGCTTTAGAGACCAACAAAAATGTCCAGCAGAACAATGCACAGAACGCGGTTCTGTTTGAAGCCATTGACCTGATCATCCACCTGGAGACGGAGCAAGCCCTAATGCGGCAAATATCTCAGAGGCTCGGTAAATTCATTCAGTCTAGGGAGACGAATGTTCGGTACCTCGGCCTGGAGGCCATGACACATCTTGCGGCACGAGCAGACACATTAGACCCCATCAAGCAACATCAGGACATCATCATCGGCTCGCTGAAAGATCGCGATATTAGTGTCCGGCGAAAGGGGCTCGACCTACTTTACAGCATGTGTGATGCTTCCAACGCACAACCAATCGTTGCAGAGCTGCTACATTATCTGCAGAACGCCGACTTTGCCATCAGGGAAGAAATGGTACTCAAAATAGCCATTCTTACCGAAAAGTACGCAACCGATGTGCAGTGGTATGTCGATATTTCCCTGAGACTGATCGCCATGGCTGGAGATCATGTCAGCGACGAAGTGTGGCAGCGTGTCATACAAATTGTGACAAACAACGAGGAATTGCAAGTATATGCGGCAAAGAACGCCCTGCAATACATCAAGCAAGATCATTGCCACGAGACCCTTGTCAAGATAGGGGCATACATCCTCGGAGAGTTTGGACATCTTATTGCTGAAGACAAGGGCTGCAGCCCAATTGAGCAATTTTTAGGACTGCATGGCAAGTTACCCGCCTGTTCTTCTAGCACACGCGCCATGATCTTGTCCTGTTTCGTCAAATTCGTCAATCTCTTCCCCGAGATCAAGCCTCAGCTTCTGCACGTCTTCGATATCTACAGTCATACGCTTGACTCGGAGCTCCAGCAGCGAGCATGTGAGTATCTCAGTCTGGCCACCCTTCCAACAGACGATCTTCTTCGGACGGTCTGCGATGAGATGCCTCCATTCCCAGAGAGGCAGTCAGCTCTGCTGTCTCGCCTGCACCAGAAGCACGCAAATACTAGTGACAAGCGCACCTGGGTTGTCGGCGGGAAAAGTGCGAATACAGACGCCCAGGAGCTTAATATGGCTAAGAACTCAGGGCTCAAGAGGACTTTCAGCACGCAGTCCCAAGCTAACGGCAACGGACATGCCAACGGGACGAATGGTACCAACGGTCACAAGGCCGCTAGCGACCTTGCTGGGCTCAACATGGCGAATCTTGGATCCGCGGAACCCAAGACAAAGCCACCAAACCTGGCCAGTGCGGCTCACTTGTCGCCCGGTTGGGAGAAGGGCTTCAACCGATTACTGCTCAAAGCTGACGGTATCTTATTCGAAGACGGCCAGATTCAAATCGGCGTTCGATCAGAGTATCGGGGTCAAATGGCTTGTCTCATAATGTATTTTATGAACAAGACACCTACCATCATGAGCTCATTCACCACGACTTTAGACCTTGACGATAGCGACAAGGGCAACTTGACGTGGGATGTCAAGGGCCTTCCCGATACTACCATTACCCAAGGCAACCAGTGTCAGCAGGTGATCATGTTTGAGGCAAAGAGGATGTTTACGAAGAGTCCCACAATGCGGATTAGTTATCTCGCCGGAGCTCTGCAGGCTCTCACACTGAAACTGCCCGTCACGCCACACAAATTCATGGATCCTGCAGAGCTTTCAGGGGAAGACTTCTTCAAGAGGTGGAAGCAAATTGGTGGGGCTCCAAGGGAGGCACAGAAGATTGTCGGATTAGCTCCTGGCAGCCGCGATAGAGAGATGACTGAAAGCTCCGTACGTTCGGTTGTGTCTGGCTTCAGATGGGGCATTCTCGACGGTGTCGACCCTAATAGGAAGAATTTTGTTGGCGCGAGTGTGATGCATACCTCGGAAGGCGGCAAATTTGGGTGTCTGATGAGGTTGGAGCCCAATTATAGCACGCAGGTAAGACTGTCTAAAGGAAATGCGCGTACCGTCCTTGTAAAGCAAAGCTAACCTCTGCCGCAGATGGTCCGTCTCACAATCCGGGCTACGGATGACAGTGTGCCCAGTGTGCTGCTGAAAATGATGGAGGAAAGGATTGGAGCCGGAGTCTCGACTCTGCCGGAGACCTTTGTTGGCCCAACTCCACGAGAGATATCAGATTCGTTCTCAAATATCATGGTGCGGGAATGATTGTCTAGTAAGCTGAGGGAAGTATATAGTAGCACGTTGTCGTGCGACAGCATGTTGAGTTGCGTGGAGTACACCACAGTCGAGCATAGGGCGTTCTTGGACAGCATCGGCAAGGTTCTTTCCATTTCGCTTTCAAACTGAGATGATGGCGTCGATGGATGTGGTATCCTGGTTTTGGCCGGCATGCCTTGCGCTGCGACCAACAATTCCAGGTTTATCCGTCCACATTTGCGAGGACAGCGTCTTGATATATGGGGGATTTAATAGCAAAGTGCCCGTCGCTCACGGCGATTATCTAATCTCAGAAACGCCTTCGCCATTCTTGATGCAATTAGCCTGAGTGATCTTGTGATCGCAGTCTTGAACGAGCACCCACAAACCCTGGACGGCGTCCGCCCACCGAGTTCTGTACCAAAACTCAACCCCACCGTACGTTCTCAACCCAAACAGGTGTCCTTCATACCACAATCTTGGCCTCTGACTTGGGGCCCCTCACCCCAAAAATTGTGCTGCCCACCCTGACTTCGCTACTGCCCATGGCGATGGCGCCCTCGAAATCCTCGCTCATGCCCATGCTCAGTTCCAACTCCCCTTGGTCCTCCCTGGCAGCCAGCAGCTCGCCCAGCTCCGCCGCGACGAGGTCCCGCTGCTCCTTGAGGCGCACGAAGTCCTCGTTCTCGGTCTCGGCCGTGGTGGCCACGCTCCGCGCGATGGCGCCGATGGTCATGAAGCCCAGGAGGTGCAGGTGCGGGCACTCGGTCAGGATGAGCCTGGCCAGGGCGACGACGTCGGCGCCCGGCGCGGCGCCCGACTTGCTCTCCTCGCCCGAGGTGTTGACCTGCACGTGCACGCTGAGCCTGGGGACGGCGGCGGCGGCCGGCGCGGCGGAGGCGATGAGCTCGCCGCGGGCCTTGTTGAGCAGCTGCGCCTTCTTGGCGCTGTCGATGCTGGACACGACGAAGAGGTTGGGGATCTTGGCCAGCGACTTGCAGTGCGTCGACTGCAGGCCCCCGATGAAGTGCCACTGGATGGACCGCGGCAGCAGCTCCGCCTTCTGGCTCAGCTCCTGCGCGTAGTTCTCGCCGAAGTGCACCTGGCGCGCCGGCTCGCCGTGCAGTGCGAGGATGTCGTTGGCGGGCTTCAGCTTGGACACTGCCACCAGCCTGACCTGCGGGCGAGGGTTAGCCTTCCCTTCGCTTCACTTCGCCTGCCTTCGGTGCCGTGCTCCTTCCTGCCCGTTGCCACACGGGGCCGTCGTCGGCGGCAGCCAGTCTCGTCTCGGATAGTCCCAGGCATCGCAGCACGGCCAGAGATGCCCCCAGGTGAGACGAGGCTGGATGTCTTGAGGTTGCATCGCACGCGAGACTTACATTCCGGCCCTTGGCCACTGATGCAATCCTTTGCTGCACGTCTTGCAGCTGTGAGACGAGAGCCTTGGCTCTGACGGCATCTACCTTCATCTCTGTCTCGGTCATGCTGGTGCCGATCGACACCCCGGGCAGGATGGAGGGCTGGAAGGTTCGGGGTCTGGGGTAAATCTTAATGAGTAAATCGGGGTTGGGCTGAGATTGCAACGCTGTGCCTTAAAAGTATAATGTTGTCTCGTCGCATTTCAACCTGAGTGTGTATACTCATAGGTTCGTGTGGTCGGGTCCCCTTGTCCGTCGACGAATTCGCCAAGTGGGGCACTACCGGCACGCCCCTTTCAGTCACTGTCTTACTCGGGCATTTATCCCGACCATGTGACATGAATCCGAATGTACAATGGTACAACATTTCGACATGATCACTTGGTTTACGGGAACTGATCCAATACATAGGGATGTTTGTCGGTATCACTACCTGTTGCAATCCATTTCAGCAGAATGCGAGCATCCCCTATGCGGCCGCACTACCGCATAGCAGTCTATAAGGCGCAGAACTGCCCTATTTCACTTCACCTTTTGGCCTACAGTAAAGGTGCCAGAATTGAATACAATGGTACATACTTGAGAGTTCAGTCGAGAAGTCGTGGTTGTTTGAGTGAAGCATCGTGGCTTACACCGCAATGCGTAAAGCAGAGCCCGAGTAAGTCACATAAGTCTATTGTGGATACACAATAGGACGTAAGTACCTGTTCACATTTCATATCATTTTTTTAAAAAAAAATAGTGCCGGTAGACTCCCAGTGTAGACTTACTAAAGCATACCACGTGGAACTCAATCTTAACCGCTCAACGCACATGTCTTAATGCCGATCCATCTGGCAAGGCTGTCACCATATCAGAGTACGTTGAGTCAGATATTCCAAAGACACTATCGATCTTTACCTGGAGAGGACAGTTTTGCCTAGGAATCATAGCACAAATTTTCATATTTCCATATCTCCCGTCATTTCTCATTAATACTGTTGGGTAGTATGATCCAGCTCGATGCAGCAGACGTTCAAGCGTCAAGATTCGCGGCAAACACCGCTCGCATGGATATGTAGTCTGAGTCAATTGAGATTGCCTCTCGAAACCAAAATTCCGAGTGTCTTGTGCTTGCAACGTGTGATCTTTGCTATCAATTGGGTTTAAAAAAAAGACCTATGAACAGGTATGCTGCCGGGTCGTGTGGGAAAAGTTCCTGACTTGGTCCCTCCACACTGCATGTCAAAGAAATGCAGCACATAGGTATCATGTGTCATATGCGGCCAGGCAATTGAGGAATTCCTCAGTGTATCGTTCAGTATTGCGCTAGCTTTCGACCAAATAGATTGACCCCTTGAAACCTATCGATATGATACGACATGTTGTGCACGCCGTGGCTGGTCAGCAATCACTGACACACATGAGAACAATTGAACAGCAGCCTCCCTAGCGTTCATCGAGCCATTCATATAATCCAGACAGTAATTTGCTTGTTGTACTGGCTGGTTGCGTATGGGCTGGAATTCTTTTACGAGGTACCAACATTGTATTAGCTAATGAATGTACATGGTTTAAGGACTTGCGCGATATGTGATCAACGGCTGTAAATTGAAACGAGCTACTTTTGCGTTCTCTGGCTGGTGACTTTTCGTCAAGAAGCAATCTCACTCAGAAAGGACTGTCCGTTTAGAAGAGGAGCCAGTGGAAAATAGATTGCTAATATCTCAATAATATGACATGTATTATTGAACAATTTGTCGAAGCAATGTAGATACTTTGTACGCCGTTCTTTAGCAGAAGCACCCTCGATTTTCTTGGCTCGTGTGAAGTATAATCCTCAGCAACCGTGAAGACTGCGCTGATATGTGAGAGCCTGGCCTGGAGTTGCGATTTCATTTCCAGATGCTGTTGTGAGAGTGGTCGTCCTTGTCTTTGGACGGTCTCGATGTATACTCCAACGCCCTACATTCATCCATGATCGGTCTCACCTCTTTAGAAGAAAATTTGGTAATGATGTTGTTAGCCGTAGCAATTTCTTCTTTTTGCGGGCAACTAGTGACCCTGCCAGGCCCAATAATATCATCATCAGTCATGTTATACGGTCATGCCGGCTGTGCTCCCCAACAATTCCTATTGGCGGCAAAAACGCCAGTTTCAGCAAGCACAATGTCATTCACCCGATCTTACTCTAAGTGGGAGCTTGGAGTTCCCGAATTGTGCAACACTTCGTCTCCAGGTCTGGAAAATGTCAACTTTCCGTGCTTCACGTCGATGCCATCCAGCGCCTTGATTCTCCGGGCCAGGCCGCGGGTTGTTGAGAAGAAAGTTTCGACAAGCTACGACTAAGGGTTTGCATCTTGACTAAACGATTATCTAACCAATTATGCATATTACCAGTCAGGTCTGGTTCTCTGGCCGCGCAAAAGCGCTGGTGAGCATGCTGCAGTCTATGGAACACTCTCAGCGCCTCAGCCTCAACATGCACCATGGCACAAACTAGCTAAAAACTTAATCCTACTGCATCAACCCCTTGTCTGCGGCCCTGATGCTAACTTACATCTGGCTGAGAACTTGCAAGTCATTGGACAGGTCAATGCTGCAGGTACACCGTATGTCCCGAGCAAGGTACCCTCTTGGCAGAGAAATGAACTTCCGCCAGAGCGGCGTGACATCGAACACAAAGTTCCGAGACTGATGAGTTAGCGACTCGCGACATCACCTGAGCCCATTCTGGACAGTCCAGGACCATCTCTTTGCATTGTCTCCCTCTCTCTAGCTTCACACATTGCTACTCTCTCCCCTATTTATATCCCGGAGTCTGGGTCGAGACCGACAGCCATGCATCAAGTTCCGGACACCACCACAGAAACTCAGTTAGGTTCCAACGAACCTGATCAGCAATGTGCCGCCGCCGTCCCCTGAGCAGCTCACGTAGCATTCACCGGGGAAGCGAGCGCCAAGGCCCAAGAGCGGAATGCTACCGTAAGGGGCTGAATCTTCAGCCGCCCATGTGCGCCAAATGCCGGGCACATCCATGCATGCCACACACGCCTTGGGCGACCGGCCCCGGCTTTGATATTGGGAACCCGGCAGGTGTCGTCTCAGCCCGGAAACACATAAAAGATGGGCAGAGTTTTGGTCTTGTCCTCTTCGGGCTGCCAGAGCACAATGCGGCTCTAGCCTGACCTGACTGTGGGCTCGATTTGCCGTCGACGACTCTCTCTAGATGGTGGACCAAGGGGGTCGGCTGCTTCATCTACGATCGATCTGCAGTGCAGCCGGTGGACATGGTTGTACACACGGCCATTGGACATCCTGGAACAATGGAAGAGCGGGCAAAACGAACATCGGGCGACACACGCAACACAAACGAGTATTTCGAAATAGTTGTATTCCCGTCTTCCTCTGTTGTGGGTTTGGTGATAGATACCTATGGGTATATCCTCCATTTCCCACTGCCGCGGGTAAAAAACAATTCTCCAAGTTGGAGTGACAGGCTGGGCCGAGTTAACTGATAGTGCGAACAAAGCCTCCTCTTATAAATGCAGACTCAGCGCCTTTTTTTCTGCCCTGCAATGCCACGCAACCAAATACAAGGGAAAAAGTTGTCGCGAGAAATCCAAAATCCAAGACGAAAACCAAAGAACCCACGCGTTTTGCCAGTTCTCCCACTAGAAATGCAAATAAGCGCCTCGTGGTCCAAAAACGCCGTGTTCTCGACATCGCTGTTCCCGCTCCTTTCTACTACCCGCGACGTGAGTAACTGTTAACTTGATATGCAAGCTTATAAATGCAAATATTACAATGCTGGGGTATTGGGAGCCGGAAAAGGAAATTAATAGCCGGTGACACCTGAACGTGAAATAGTTCCCTTCTTCCTCCGCGGCAGGCGCTGGGTGATTATGGTCCTTGTATTGGTCCTTTCCGCAGCAACCTTGCGTGCTTGAGCTGAAGTGCCCAGGGCGAGAATGGCCGTGTGGTTTTTGGTATAGGCCGGACGAGCATACGCTTCTTCTGCGAGCCAAAACCATGTCGTCGCTCCTCATTTGGAACAGAAGCCTGCTTACTCAATGTCCATCTCGTCCGGGTCTTCTTCCAAGTATGCAAGCTGGGCCCAGACCCTCCAATGCAGGATGCCCAGGTGGGCAAGCCGGACGGCCATGTCCTCCACGAGCTCCTGCAAGGCTCCATCTTCCCTCGATGACTGTCCCGCCTCGGAACTCGGGTCACAGCTGCCGTCTTGCCCTCGTGATGATCCCGAGCTTCCCATCCGCCCACCGGTGGCGACAGAGAAAAGGGCAACGCCACTGAGGCTTCTGAATTCCTTTACTCGTCCGCTGAGTGACCTCATGATCCTGCGGTGGAACGCAGCCTCAACAGCTTGATATAGATCGCTGTTCATCTCGCCAAGATGCTGAGCAAGCTTGGCCTCGAATCGCGGCAGAAAGTCGTGTGGAGCGTTCGTATACCGGAAGATTTGAATCGCTAACGAGGGAACCAAGCCTTGCCACCGCTGCTGGGGTCTTTGGTTCTGCGGAGCCGTGTTCAGCAGGGCAACCAGCGAGTCGTAGACAGTATTGTCTTTGTCAGTTTTTGACTCGGTGGTGTCGGCTGACGAGGGCGGCTGGAGAGTGATGTAGCCAGAGCTTCGGGGTGATGAAGTAGCGGAGCCGCAAGCCGATAGGGCAAGACTGGAAGGCCGGGATGTCGATGTGTTAAGGAAGCTGAAGTCGCCCGAGTTCCTGTTGCTATGCACCCCAGATTCTTCATCCGCCACATATGATGGAACCGAGGTTGGAGGTTGCACAAAGGACGGCGTCACAGAAGTGATTCTCGACACACGGTCTAGATCGTCGTACAACCTCATACAAACCTCCAGATTGATGGCGTCGAGCATATCAGAACGAAGCTTGACTATGCGCTCTTCATCAAACAGGAAGGTGTTTGGAATAGTCTCCTTAGCTGTCGAGGGTAGGATCAATTTCGCCAAAGCCGCGAAGAATGCAGCCGTCTCCCCAAAACTTCGGGTGTCTTGAGGCGCTCCCGAGTTACACCGCAACGCCTCCGCGTACCACAACCGTGCTCCACTGATGTCCAATCTATTCGCGGCGATTTTTTTGTAAAAGAATCGCTGCTCGAAGTGCACAGTGTCTTCAATGAGCATCGGCCTGAGGCAACGTATCTGGTGGTTTGCAACGTCCAACTTCATCGCCTCGAGGACGCTGAGTAGACTTCGCATACCCTTCACAAGCTCAGCCATGTCGTTGTTGCGGTTGCCGTTGGAGAGCTCGTTGTACATCTCGTCCACCCACTCATCACGCATGGGGGCGCAATGAAGCTTGAGGACACCTGACAGCCAGGAAGCCACCTTTTCCAAATCTGCCATGCCCTGATGAAATTGTTGCATCAGGAGCTCCACGTTGAAACCCTCGTGAAGGAATTCACGGTCTCGCTGCGGTACCAGAGTCTGTATGATTTCCTTGACGGACTTTAATAGAATCGGCAAGCACCAGTCGGTGCCGGTGGGGTACTCCCTGCTGAACGCTTCCCGATCTACCACAAATGAAGTGAGCTGGTCACGCAGCGTCGTCCAGAACTGGTTTGCCTTCTCCTGCTTTCTTCGCCCTTTGTCCCCGTCGAGGTTCGGTCGGAAATGAAGTTCCGGGTCGAAATTTATGTCATGTCGAAGTTTAGGATTGTGTATGATCTTGGTTACGTCCAACTCGCTCAACGTTGCCTTGGTCACAGGTGGTTCGAGCGGTCGAGGTGGGTGAGAAATGTGACTCCTAGGTTCGGGCGTCCTCGTGGGAGCGAATTGACGAGCCGGAATGTTCTCGGACTGGATTAATGGACATGATGCCACCGATGGAGCCGAAGAAACAGATGTATTTGACGTTTGGGATGTTTCGGACTCTGATCGAGGGTGTTGTAGTACATGGTCCTCCGGATCGGTCGACGTAGTACTTATTGTGTCCACTAATCTTTCTGCTGGCGCGGTCTCATTCTGAGATTCGGATCTTGAGTGTTGCGATATGTGCCCGCCGGCGCCTTGATCGGCCATGTCTCCTATGACTCCCCCAGGTCTAGCTGGTCTTGACGCTTGACTTGAAGGGGTGGCACAGAAATAAAAAATCACCGAGTGAAAGGATTGGCGTCAGTAATAGTAAGCCAGTCGCCCGGTTTTGACCAGATGACCACGTCCGGAGATCGACAGGAAGACACAAGAGGATCGAGGACGAAACCACAGATCAGGCCTGGGTAAAAAAAGAAAAGTGGCTGTAGAAGCAACGGCATGCGGGTTAGCCTAATTATCTCTACTCCGGGAGGGTTGTGGTCAGGCGTGCTGTTGCTGCCAGACTAACGAGATCTCATGCAGCGGCCGGCCGCAGGAGTGCCCTCTCGTGCCCTGGAAACCTGCAGACAGGCTATGCGCTTCGAGGAGAAAGGCGTTGTGTCCTTGAAGGAGAAGCAAGAAGAGCGGAGTAAGATGACAGGGCTATTTACTGACCTGCTGTGTATCGCAAAAACGTCGATTATCCGGCGATTCCTATTCGCAGCTTTACTTCGTCGTTGTCGTCGACTGCAATTACGATAAGGCAAGAGGGCTCAACTAGTGGTGGTGTCGAGGTTGGTTCGTGTCGTCCAGAGGTACAGTATGGTCCAGGGATGAAGACGAACTGTCTGTTTGCAGAGAGGAAGATGCAATGATTATCGGAAGGAAGGAAGGGACGAGGAACCGGGCGGGTTTCGTTCGGCGTGTAACAGAAGCAGCGTTGGTATGGCTGCGGGAGCGTGCGGAACAAAGAGCAGGAAACCGAGCCCGGACGGAACGAGGCGCTGGTCCTGTCGCGACTCAAGCCGGCAACCTTTGAGGACAGGAGGCTTTAAGTTTTGGTGTGAGAGCCAACTGTCCGTGCAATGACAGTGGTTGCCCCTGAGCGTCTCTAGGGGTCAAGGCAGGGCGGTTTGAGGCGAAGTTGCCCTCACCACGGGATGGAAGTGGGCACGGGAGTACGGACGGGATTCTTGTATCGGGGCCCTTGGTGGGAGGAAGGAGGCGGCTTGCAGACTGAACGGAAGCGATATTTAGAGTAACACAGAGTCACTCATACGCATATGGACGGACAGGCACACTTCAGACCAAGGAGTGATGAGTTGGTTAGACGTGAGTTGCCCGGATAAGGTAAGGCGAGGGTAGCGTAGTTGTATCAAGTATCCGTGGGTGCTTTCTCGGTAGGCTGATGTACAGTTGGTGCTGAAACCGCTCTAGGAGACGGGCAGCCGAAGTGATGAGAAGGAGGAAAAGAGAAGAAACTCAGTCAAAGAGAGTGTCACTGGTGGAATGAGTGGACGAGGTATCCGTGGGTTATAAGATACGCGGTATGGCGAGCTAAGCGGATGGAGCCCAAGGTAAGGGCGGAAAGGAAAGGAAAGGAGTCGAACAGGAAAAAAAAAAAGTTCAGTCAAGCATGAAGGCGAAATGGAGAGAGTGTCAGTCAGAATGGAGGAGGGAAGAAAGGGAGTGCAGGAGAGTGCATGCATGGCATTGCATTGCATTGCGTAGCGACAGGACAGGACAGGCTGATGAGCGAGCAAGGGAATGGCCTCGATCCAGTCAGTCCAGTACAACCCAGCCAGTCAGTCTGCATTTACCTGTACTGTACAGGCCGTGCCGAGCGTACCATGCGCGTACCGCAGAGTACCGTACGGGGCAGCGCACCGCACCGCACTGCACTGTCTGGGCATGATTCTGTACCTGGAGGAGTACCCAGCCCACCAGCCCACCGCCCAGTGGTCCGAGCTAGGCGGTACATGCCTTGTTCGTCTGGTCCGGTTACAGGATGCGTGCCTGTGTTTGTGGATGCGCCGTGTATTGGATTCTAATTAGTAAATGACGACCCGGGCCCAAGCACCCAGGAAAAATCATGGTGCCATGCTGGCGAAGGGCGCTGGCAAGGCAGGGCAAGGCAGGGCAGAAGACGACAGGGCAGGGGGGGCATTGGAAAATGAAATGCTGCGTCGTCAATGCGCGCACACCCCCCGGTACCCACCGACCTGAAGGGACCCCAGCTGAGATGTAACTCTCTTGGTCGCCTTGCCCGCGACGTCCCTGTTGGGGCTAACCACAATTCAACCTCAGATCCAGGAACCTGGGGCTTGGGCGGGAAGAAGCAGAGGGATAGGATGGGGAAGCAGGGGGCTGGCCAGCACGGCCAGGCACAGGCACAGGGCACAGGCACAGGTACCGGCCCCCAGGACAAACTCTCAACGTCGTCGTCGCTATATTCCGACGGGATGAGGGCTTGATCGCCGTGGCAGCCATGAACTGAGGTGGAGCCGGAGCAAGTACGGCACGCCCAGTGCGGCAGCATGTACAAGTTCGCAGCAAGCGTTGTGGACTGGGTGCGGGCTGGGTACTGTGGACTGCGCACATGACGGTCGTCCTGGTACTGTTGCTGGCACGTGCGAGTGCGAGGTGAGGGTCCATTGCCGGGTCGGCGTGCCTGATGAATGGGGAAGGGGAATGGGGGATGAGGATGCCAATTCCACCGTGGTCATCCAGGCCGGACCATGATCTTCGCTGGTTTGCCTGTGCCTGGCTGGCTCAGGCTGGGCTGGCCGACTGCCCCATGGGATGGAATGGATGCGCAGGATGCTTGGAACGCAATGCAATGGTGGCTTGCGAAAGAAATGGTGTCCCTTTGCACAGATGGCCCCATACGAGGAGCCGATTGCTCTCGGTCCGCGAGCCACGGCGTTAGCCTTTAGGTAGGGAAGCTAGGCCGTCTCAATCTAGTTGGTGCCGACGTAATGTAAAGCTATGCAGAGCAATGCCCATGCCATGTAATGTCAAGTAATCTCATGTACTGCGCCGATTGCAATGTGATGGTGATGTACATGGAGGGGAGGTGAGGCCCGAACGGTGACTGGGCCGGTCAGTCAGTCGGCGGTGGCGTGGTGGTGGTGATTCTGGGGTGGTGGTGGTGGTGGAGGCAGAGGAGGAGGAGGCGGTGGTGGGCGGCATCAGAGATTCTCTCTTCCTACTACTGCCTGTACTGCCTGTACTGCCTGTACCATAGTACCGTTGCAGCTGTCCCTTCCCAGTTTGGCAAGTCGAGGCTGATGTCATTCGAAATGAGGCTGCCCAGCCCAGCTGCTTTGACCCCCCACGGAAGGGGCGTGGGACTCAGCTGAGAAGCAAGCCATCATTCATTTGCCCATTTGCCTGGTGCCTGGTTGCTGTAACAGTAGGAAGCAGCACCCAGTGGCACCAACGTAGCCACTGCATCCGAGTGCACCATCCACCCAACCCACCAGTGCCACCCACACACACACACTCCTTCACCTTTTCCCGTGTCGTCGAGGCCGGCCGCCCTTGCGCACAGATACACTACTTCCCACTCACACTCACTCCCACTTGAGTCGCGATGGCGATGGTCGGTCAGTCAGCCACCAGTGGCACACACCACGTACCACGTACCACGCGTACACTGTCCGCACGTCCAGGCTCGCAACATTTTGGGATTGAAAATTCTTTCCATCTTCCACCAAGCCTAAAACAACAACTGTTCCAGAGAAACGAAGAACGGGCCTGACGCTGATGCTGGTGCTGGTGCTGGTGCTGGTGCTTGGAGGCTGATGGCGACTGGGATTGGGGATTGAGACGGGGATGAAGATGAGGACGACGGCGCCCGCACAAGCCAGCACAAGCCTGAGGCCCCGTCTCGCCCGCATCCCATCCTACTTTTGTCGCCCACTACGACAGGAGCACGACACGGCGCTGCACCAGTCTGCGCCCGCGCCCGCACTCGAATCGTGGCCCAACTCCATGCGTCGATCTCTGATAAAGGGCCGGGCCTGGTCTGGGCTGTTCGACTTCCCTGAACGACAAGCTCCTGCCCAGCGCCTGCAACCATGGCCGGGCCCAAAATCTGACCCGAGGACCGGCGCATTCCATCAACCACCGTGGAGACCATCATGGCTGAGGTCATCACGGGTCCCAAATGAAGGACTTACTGTACTTGCACAACAGGATGCGTTTTTGCGGCTAATGACTGTCCTTTGATTGGACTTGAGCCTCTACAAAAGAAGAGAAGACGGTGAACAGCTTGTCTTGGACCAGGACTCGGGCACCACAGCATCCACTGGAGAATCTGGCCCCGAAGCCGGCAGCTCTGGGCTCGACACCATGCAGGAAATCCGCAGAAGTACGGTGAGCGTGCAGCGCGCAGCAAGTATGTGCTGTACAAGCATTCCCAGTCGGAGATGCAAGTTTTCAAATCTAATGACTTTATTTCTACTCTCGACAATGCGACAAAGCTGGATGGGGTTGCGCGCGTGCAATACTGAAGATTTCTGTTGAGCTCCGCCCGGACGGAACGCTGCATGTGCCCTCACGATAAAGCGTGGTCGATTTCGCAGTCGGAATGCGGGAGGCGACGGTCACATTCGTGCAGCGTCGTGTCCGTGGTGGTAGATATTGACTTCCGCTCTTGGCCGCAGGTGTGAGTCGTACTAGTGGCGCCATGATCCCCGGCGGGGGCCAAGTTGAAGATCCAAATCCAACGTAGACCGCCTACGAATTCTCGCATGCGACAGTACTTGGTATCCATGGATCGTCTTTAATGATAAGGTGCATGAGGGTACCATTCAGCCCACGGGATCCTCGAACATGCCGCTGGGATGGGCAATACTACCACCACTGTCTGCTCTGTACGAGAATCACAGCGGCCCTGGACGGCGTGAGAGCCTCGTTTTGGGGTCCTTTTTGGGCTACATTCCCCGGGACCCGAAACCAACAGGATCAGAGATCCATGGGACCGCGCAGATTGCGACCTCGGACGGCTGACGGGAGTTGAAACAGGAAGTCGTCCCTGTGTAGGATGATACAACGCGCATAGCCTCGCAGGTCTCCAGATGCAGCAGCCTAAGCAGCCCACGCTCAGATGAGGTCTCAGCATGGGCTTCTTGGGGACAAAAGCAAGCTGCAGACGACGGCCGCTCGTAATCCACGGCTCGAATGACTGCATAGGGATCAAGGGTTTTCCCTTGACGCTCGTCACGGACAAGCCCCGTAAGCTGAATAAATCCTCGGATCCAGATCCTCGGTACTGGGTCACAATGGCAAATGGGCAGAGAGGCGAAGAGGCTGCCACCAGGGGGGGTCGGATTCGGCCCAACCCAGAAGGGTAGGGTGAGGGCCGATCTGAGGAACGCTCGACCGTTTGTTTCAATTTCCAGAAGACGCCCTGGACCATGCTGAACGTTGCAGCGTGTGATCTATTTTTTGTTTTGCATTTTGCACTTCTCGGGCCTACCCATCCCAGCTTCATGGTCCTCCCATTCCTACAGCAACAACCAGAAGGTTCGGCACGGACGGTTGGTTATTACCCACCACCTACTATCCGAGACAGATGATATGGGTGCAGATTAATTGGGTCTCAGGAGTCTGTTCTCGCGTTCCTTCTCTGGTCCCTTGCCGGCCGCCAACGAGGATCTATGCTATGTAGGACGAGCCGAGCAAGAACAACGCAGCATCTCGTCTCTGCGGATTGTCGAGTGCTACAGTGTGACGCTTCGACAATGCGTGATATGGCGGGCAGCTAGGCACATCCATCGAAGGTATCTGCATCGCCATCCGCACGGGAAGCAGAGTAAAACCTTCTTTTCCAGCCAGCTTCCCACTATGAAGTCTCAAGGATAGAACCATCATTCACATGCAAGAGGGCATTTGCTTCGCATGTCCAACACAGCTTGCGCGCTGTATCTGCAGCACATCTTCGGAGGCCATGAACCATGGTTGGCCGTGACTCCTCTTCGGCCAGCCTCAACACCACGACTGGGATCGCTACCGCCTCTTTCAGTTGGGTGGGGCAAGAGGGATATCGCTGGACCCGGCCCTGGGAGTGGCCGGCTCACACTGATTGATCCCAGCAGCGGCCATGTGGCATTGCAAGGTCGGCTTCGGTATTACCGTATCGGCCACCCTGCCCTTTCTAATGTAAGTCCGACGCCAATGGTCCAGTGGGAAGTCTCAGAAAGATTGCTGTGCAGCCGCAAATTGCAGTCACTCCAAGAACTGCATGGCATTAACGAAGCGACCCAACAACAGCGGCAGACATATCATCACACATGACCTCAGGGTGGTGATGGTGGTCTAGTGCCAGCGAACTTTGCATCTTTGGCCCCCGACTATCGACACATGCAATGATCCACCGCCAGCCACAGCCAGTTGTTCGGCGCTTGAGCCTACACATGCATACTACCCCGCGAAGCCAGAAATCTACCTAGCATCGTCATCCAATCTTCGTGCGACAGCAGCCAAGCAGTGAAGAGAGTCATCAGCGCCGAATCCACTCTTACCACGGCGGCTTTGGTCCTGCTACGTGTTCGCGTTGGGAGCAGAGACAACGAATCGTGCATTCTTTCGCATCAGCTTGTGGTGGCTCTGGTCATGACGTGGTGGTGAATCAGACATCGATCGGGTTGGAGAGCCGAACGCGATGCTGACCACTACGTTGCATGCTTGGGACCGTCCACAATCATACTACCCAAATAGAGTCGGCTTCCTGACTCCGCAGCACCGGTGACCGTAAGCGCTTCAGCCCGCCGAGCTCACCGTCCTCTGATCAGCTAAATCTCCGTCGAGGGGCGTTTGGCTTGAGCCTTTGCGCACGCACGTGGAGATTTACAGACGAGTTTTGTCCGCGAGTGATATTCAGAGGCGCTCAACGCTGTTTCAGAAGCCAGTGAACATGACTACGATGAGGGAGAAAAGGGAAACCCGCTTCTGTGTCTCAAGAGTCGTCACTCATCACACATCAACTCGATGGTACGTCGGCGCACAGCCGGAGCCGCGTAGCCAGCACAGCGTATTTCTCCACCTTTCCTCGGTCTAACAGACTTTGCGAAGGTCTTCCCGCCCGCGTTTTGTCCTTTGCCTCAGGAAGTAACCGATTCGGAATATGCTTGACGAATGTGGTTTTGATGGTCAGTATGCCCTGACTCGTCTGTGCAGATTTTCCTCGCCCGCAAGACGTTTCATCGTCTGGACAATCCAGCCCAACCAAAACCTCAAGTCTTCTCACCAAATTCACTGTCAACTCGACTTGCTCACCGCTCCACGTTCATGAGAGAGAGACTCCGCCCCGGGGTAGGCCCTGGCTCTTGAGCACACTCACCTTCGGCGCAATCGGCCGTGGCGGGAGGTCCTCGACGCCGTGGCCTCGGAAGACTTCCTAGTGCACAGGTTGACCGTCCCCGGAGGCCCGGATCGTTCCCAGGGTCAGGGGACCGAGGTGTTAAAATTAGCAATCAAAAAGTCCTTGGAGAGGTGGGCTACGCCGAGAGATGCTGGGGACAGTGCCGCTCGAGTTGTTGCAGACCCCCCTGGTGAACCCTGCCGCCCGGGGTGTCCCACCTTGTGACCCTTCGATTCGACCTTCTGGAAGGGTTTGTCGCACCCAGTCCCGCCCCGCCGAGGCTTAACCTGCGGACGCTTAGAATGATCCACACACTCCTGCGTCTTGCGTCTCGACCGCTACTATGAGCTGACCACGCCTCCGGAAACATTTGCGCCATTGGAATATCCGTGTGGCTTTCCCGTCGTCTGAGGGATCATGGATCCTCCTCATTCCGGAGCATTGAGCACACAGAAAGGAGTGACGACGTGGTCGTAGCGGTGACCAGACGCATTCGGCTTCGCCTCATGTTGCGACTTCAGGCTGAGTTGTGCAGGGAGCATGCCAGTTGCCAGCTTCCATTGGGTCAAATAGCGACGAACCATGTACGGACAACCTGAGCCTCTGTGACAAGGCCGACTACTGAGCATCGCGATTGGCTGTTTTGTAAACGGGTCCATACGCCTGTTGTTGTTGCAAAGTTTACGCCTCCTACTACTCTCACAAAACTCTTGCTTCTGTTCAACATTGAATGGACACCCAATGGACCTCCCTATGGGGTTCAAGGAAGGCCTACTGCAAGTCTATACTCTACCGCAACCTATTGATCCATCTGGAACAAGACGAGTCGGAACATTTGTTTCCGAGAAGAGACTCAAGTCTGTGAGAGGGACGGATGGGTTACAGAGGTCAGCGTCTGCAGAGCGAAGGCACTCTGGTCATACTCGATAAGGCTTTCTGCACGCCAAATCTCGAGGAACAGCTTATTCCGGACTCGGCCTTGGTACACGGGTTCGTCTGTTATTGAGAAACTGGAGAATTTTACCGTCGCTGCGGTTTTTGCCAAGTCGATACCATCAACCCCTTCCTCTGCCTGTCTTTTCTCAACAGCTGGAAGGGCGGAGTAACCGACTGGTGCCTAGTACCTGAAGGCGATACCCAAATGTGAGCGCATCGAGCAGATCCCGTGAGACACGCGATATGAGGCCATGGAACTGTAGTACTTCGTGGTTTCACATGACTCTGCCTTGTCAGGCTTCACTCCGTCGAGGTGGCTGATACAACCCGCTGTTGCAGTGCTTGATGAAAGTGTAGCCTTGACGAGCATCTACAGAGGCGTATCGATGGCCACCAACGAGGGTGTTGATCGTGGAAGCTCCTGGGCCTCCCGTTGGACAGACAGCCATGGTATCAGTCACACAAGCAGCTGACTGGTTATCACACACACACTCACACAACAGACACGTCGACTTGAGACCAAGCCGTCCTATGTGATACATTTCATCTGAACAGTAGAGTCGTAGACAAGCTTGAGGATAGTGTGGTCCCATCCTGCATCCACACCACCTTGGGTGTGTTGTACAGGCAAGTCCATTGCGCATGCTTTCATGCCCAACCACGTCTGTGAGCTCATAATTGCTTCACCCGCCCACACCCTCCATGACTTGACTTGAGCGGTGTGCGCGGTGGAGCAGAAACGTCAACTGGCTCAGCGTTCGGGTGCGAGACAGTTGCATTGACGTTTAGGGTCAGGACTCTGGGGAAGTAGGTATCTGCCATGTATTAAGTACGAGTTGTAGCCAGTTGGTGCCGAGTTACACAAAGCTTCAAAAGTCACGACTCCCCAAACTTAACAATAGGCAATGAGCAACGAAAGCCAGGGGCTGATTGCTCTCCTCGCGACCAACAATCTTTGGTAATCTGGAAGGAGGGGTCGAGAAGAAGGGGAACCCGCAAGGAATCTTTGATACCACGTGGACATGAGAGGACACGATGGGCCGATAAAACCGGATAGGGATGATGACGAGGTGAAGAACATCAGATCTCTGGCCCAATAATAGATGAGGTTTCGAAATTGGCGTGCCGCAGGCAAGAGGCAAACTTTCTTCCTCGAGCACGTCAAGCCCAACACTCGGGGCCACAACCTCGTCATGACACAGATCTCAGGACACCGAGCGACACGCAACGCTCGCCTTGGCCTTGCCTCAGATGTCCCCCTCCGTCGTGATTTTCAGCCCAGGCTCGTAGCAATGGTGGTCTCGTGTGCGCCCCTAAAATGGAGGTTCGCAGTAGCATCCACTACCAACGTGTCGCCCCCGGCAACTTTCGAGCCATCATCCAACTATCTGATCGCGCCATTCTGTCCGAGATCCTAACAAACGCCTGTGAGATCCGTATCGAGTATGCCGTTGAAAGGAGAATGATATCGTGTCGCTAATCGTCCGAACGTCGTCTTGCATTGTTGTCTACTTATACCATCAAAGACAGCTGGTGCACATCAGCAAGGCTGTAAATGCGACAAAGGAAAGGAGGCACAGATTTGTCTTTCGTATTTGAACTTACAGCCATGCCGACGCAGCATATACTTATGTAGGGGCTCAGGCGCTCCCCTATCCGGGCGCATTTCCAAAAGACGCCCATCGGACCGTCCTTTTTCCTGTCAAGTACGCTGGGGAACATGTCGTGCACATAGGCGCATGTGCAGATCAGGAGGAGGATGACGAGGAGAAGGGACTGGAAGTTGAAGAGGGCAGACTGCAGTGCCACGCGGTTGTAATCAGCATAGGTGTCGTTGAGCGCCACGGGGCTGGGCGTTCGGACATACCATGATTGCTCGCTGTCTCTTTCAGCCAGGCTTCGTAGATGATGGATTGATTGTTTCAATCACTAGTCCTGAGGGCGATGTTTGTGGACAATGTTGGTAACGAAGAGTCGCAGCTTGATGTTCTGGACACAGTTGTTGGATGCCGAGCAGTCGGACGGCAGATGTGTCGTAAGGCCTGCCCAGGCGCCCTTGATTGCATGTGGTTGCGGCTACCTCAGTCAATCCACTCACATTAGGATCCCTGCAAGCTCCTGCATGTACGTGCCTGGAATACGTAGGTAACTTGGCGCACGGCCCCACCTACGACCCCAGCTGCCTCTCGTTTCCTAGACCATCAATCCACTCTAGAACGTCAACAAGCGCCAGACGAACAGCTTCATACCCAAGTCTGCTGTCACACGAGCATCAGCCTTGTCTCGTAGCTGACGTCTCTAAGTCTCACATTTCGACGACGGCGCATCGTCCTGACAGATACTACACGGCTTTCTTTTGGTCTTAGCTCGCGGCATCGCTCGAATACCGCAGGTCGTGGCACGCCACAGGCTGCACGTTTTTGCCTCGCGCCTGGTCGGTCCTCTCTGGACTCGTTCCCCGAAGCATATATCAACTGCCACCATAGCCCTTTAGGGCCCTCGCCAAGATGGAACCTCGAGCGCGAGCCGGCAAAAATGTCGGGAAGATGAACTTCAGCTTTCAAGAGCGTACGAGGCTTCTGCGGGACTCACATCTGGCCCCTTGTGCTAACCCAGACCGTCCACCCCCGCAGTGACCCAGTTCCTCGTCGCCCACGGCGACTCGCGACAGCCCTTACCCGAGACGATCCGCGTCCTTGACGAGATCCTCACCGAGTTCATACAGGGCGTGTCCTTCGAGGCCACGCGCGTGGCACAGCTCGCCGGCCGCCAGAAGGTCAAGTACGAGGACTTCCAGTTCGCCATGCGCAAGAATCCCGTCTTCCTGGGCAAGGCCGCGGAGAACAAGGAGCTGCGCGAGATCATCGAGAAGCAGCGCAAGGTCTTCAACGAGGACGAGATGATCAAGGAGGACCTCGGCGACGGCGCAGGCGGCCCGGCCGCGGGGAGCAGCGGGCCCGGCAGGGGCCGGAAGCGTGCCGCGCCCAACGGCGCCGAGGGCAGCCAGGCCAACGGCACGGGCGAGAACGCCGCTCGCGCCAACGGCGTTGACGATGAGGAGCTGGGCGAGATGGACGATGTGGACGACACGGAGCTCGTTGGCGCTGGCAACCGCAGGGCTTAGAAGACCCAGGACGGCGGCCGGGCCAGGAAGGTACAAAGGGTTTCCTTTTCGTCGCCCACCCTTCCCACTATCAATGAATCTCACGACTGAGCATAGCGACGGCGTTATTGGGTCAAACATTTATGCAGAGATATGCATGATTAGGGCTTCTTAGCAGGGGCAGGTCTCTGAACAACATGCGGAAGAGAATATAATAACCACTGCAAATCACTTCCGCTCAGCAGAGATTGAAGAAGAAGCCGTTAGAAGCACTCGCAATTTCGGTATTCTGTTACGAACTCAAATTGTTTTGTGTTTCATCCGCCGTGATACCTGCCTCTACCCGTAGCTTACTCCCACGCCCGCCGAGTGACGTTTACGAACTGCACGCAAGCCAACAGGATGAGTTGATTTGGATGTCTGCGTTCAAAGCATGACTGGTTGATGTGGATCATTCATTTTTCAGCCAGATCATTGGTGAGTCAAAGGCGACTATCCTTAGAGGCGACATCCCTTAATTCCCATCATTTTCTCTGTCCAATCTGGAGACGCGAACGCACTCTCTGGGTGGACTTGTGATAGAAGGTCAACGCATATAATTCTTGATCAACCACATTTCCTACTCTAGGGACCAGAACAGCATAGCCGTTCGACAACAAGTAACCGGTCAATCTATTACCCGCTCTAACTCCTTTATGCGATTTTCCCTGAACCACGATCGCAAGCCAATAACAACAGTAGTAAATACAACAAGAAATCCCTAAAAGCCGAATTGCTCACGAGTGCCCTTTGTCGAGCCACCTCCCCCAACCTGCGCCGTCCCTTGCTTCCACCTCAGTACCGATGCCGTGGGCGTACTTGCTCTCCTCCTGAGAGAACTTCCTCCTCTCCATACCCTCCCGGGCCAGGAACGCCCTCGCAAACTTCCAAGCCTCCGTGTCCGCCAGGTTCCACGCCTCGATCGCAGTTCTTAACGCCAAGTTCTTCTTGTCCTTGGTCGCGCCGACCACGTCCTTGGCCCGCTCGAGAAGCCGAGGCTCCTTCTTCAGCTCCTCAGGGTTAGCGACAGGGCCGTCTAAGGGGTCGTGCACCGGCTGTGGTCTCCTCTCCGGCCCGGGGACTGGCGTCTCTGACTTGCCCTGGTCGAGACCCTCCGTTGGGACGTCGAAGCCAAAGTGCCAGTCAAGGTCGTCTGGCAGTTCCTGCTCGGCAGTGAGCCAGATGGACTTCGAGGCTGCGAACTCCGCCGCCACAGCCTCTTTGAAGCGCAGAACGCGCGGAGCGCCGCCCACTCCGGTTCCAAGGTATTCCTTGGTCACCTCGGCGAGCCAGGTATCACGTGGACAGTCGCGGCGGATCCAGGGAACAGTGAGCTCGTCTTTGAGCTCGTTCAAAGTGTGTAGGGTGTATGGGTGGGGGACGGTGCCAATGGTGTATAAGCCGGTTGTGTTACGGTATCTGCTGGGACTAGCAATCTTGAGAGGCGAGGATGAGACGCATGGGGCGCACTTGGGGTTGTTGGGCGGGCAGGACGTTTGGAGGGGCGACTCGGTACATTTCTGTAGCCGATTGGCCAGCTCGACTGCCGGCTGGACCATGGTCGTAGTGTGGTGTGGGAGTGGCTTCAGCACCGCGATGCCCTTCTTGAAGTTGTTCTGCCAGGTGAGGTGTAGGTGGGAGGTGATGAGCTGGTTCAGGCTGTCTAAGCCTTTCGCGCCATTGGTCGTAATGGCCTTTGCAACCTTGTCGTACTTTTGTGCCAGTGTGTTGGAGTTGTAGTAGGCCAACGACTTTGCAGGCTTGTCCACCCAGAATAGCTTCTTCTCTTTATCCTCCTCAGCCGGTAGAGCAGAGAGAAAGTCTTTGGCAAGCTTCACCTTGGAGCTGCCAAAGACGGCTTTGATGGCTGCCATGATATCCTGCTTGGATCCCGCGAAAAGCCCATCCTCGAGTTCCTCCCACCGCGTCAAGCCTTGGTACTCGCCGCGGCGCAGATAGGTCAACAATGGGTCGTCATGGGCGGCCATGGGGAAAGTAAGATGATGCGTTAGCAACCCGCCGCCCATGTTCTCCCAGGCCAACCACTTCATCAAGTCGGTTTTCAGAGCCGGATCGATATCCACCATGCGCATCAGCTCTTCATATAAGGGGTTGCTCGTGGCTTCCGCATCGCTCAAAATGATAGGCTTGAAGCCTTGCGCCCACCATGCGCGCCTCCATGTCAGCAGAATCTCGTTCTCCGCCTGCTTGGTTGTGGCATCCCTTTTAATTGTGGTATCATAGTAGCAGTATACCTCCGTCCTTGTCGGCATGAAGGGCAACAAGGCCCTGCTCTCATCCAGGGTGTAACTCGAGCTGAAGGGGATAGCGAGCCATCTCCAATCGGAGAACCACGACGACTGGCCGTCGGTGTCGTTGGCTTGTCTTTGGGGGGCGTGGGCTGGTGATTTGAACGGGTTCCATGATGGTAGGGACTTCCACTTGGGTATTGACATGGAAAACTTGTGGTCGGATATGGAGAGGTTCGGCCCCGGGATTGACGAGGGAGCTGTGAAGAGCAGGCTGAAGACGGCGAAGATGGCGAGACTGGCCAAGAGAACCGATATGCGACGGGAGGAGAGCCGTGGCACAGGCCGCCCGAAGATGACATGCTGCTTAGGCATCTTGAAGATTCGGAAGCGAGTATCGAGACGGCGTGTTCAAGGACGGGGCGAGCGGTGCGGTGGTGGAAGGGTCAGAATTGCCAGGCAGCCTTTTGACTGGAGGCCGGGCAGTCGGACGCGCGGTGACACGAGACAATCAAACGGTGCTGCTGCTGTTCGAGAGGGAGCGGCTGTGCTCAACCAGAGGAATCAGCTAGCTCTCAAGCCATGGGCATTGAAAGCAACATGCGGAATTGGTGGTTCCTGCCGTGGGTCTGGAAACCAAAGAGAGAGAGCTGTGGGCTTTTTGGTCTTGGTGTCGGGAGAGAGGGAGGATTCGAGGCTGAGTGAACTACTGCCTTTCTGGCTGGTGATAATCGAGATAGGCGAGGCCAGCGCGTACTTCATGCAGGTGGAGGCTGATCAAATTAATTGGGAACAACGCTTGGCAGGGACCAGGCCTGTCAGAAGCAGGGAGAGCACCTCTTGAATTCTTCCGCTTGCAGGGACTTGATCCTCACCCCTCCCTTCCTGCTATCCTATGGGATAGCTTCCTGTGGGATAGCTTGCTGTGGGATAACCCGCCATAGGATAATCTGTTATGGTATAACCTTCCCAAACCTGTAGTGTTGTAGGACAGCTCCAACACCCGTCTATGTCTTCCTATCGACTACAGGGACAGGTGTACAAGCAACTTCTTAGCCTCTCAACCATCGTCCCCTGCTACGTATAGCAGAGATACATGACCTCATTTTTCAACCATAATCATACAATAATTGTCACGATGCTTCCGCCGTAGTATTGTTATTCTCCTACAGCGTTCTGCTCGAATTGAGACAATAGTCACAAGAATACTCATCATTCAATCACATTTCACAATCCAAAAAATGCGCTCCGGCACAACCTGAGAGTAGCCAGCGTCGACATTTGCCGTGTGAACACCCAGGTACATATGTGGCAGCAGAATGGAGTTGACCAAGTCATCGGCTTCGGCTCCGTCGAGACCCCAGATCCGACAATGATGGCCACTTGGACGTAACGTGATATTCTGAATGCCCAGAAAATAGTTGGCAAAGACGGAAGGTAGTAGTTGCAGGGCAACGACCCCGCTCACAAGTCGAGGGAGTATAAGACTGTGTATAAGTCGCCAGACTCGAGGACGGGCGCCTCAGCCATTAAGCGCAGACAAACCCGACCCTCTGAACTTCTTGGATGACTGATTTGAACTGTCGAAATAAAAGAGAAACAGAGGCGCACTCCTGTGCTACCTAAGCTGTCAAAATGCTGTGGCACCGCTTGGCATACACCTTGCTCTCTACCCTGCTCTTCGCGGCGTCCAATCCCGTCAACGCGGCCTCGACAACCGCGATCTTCCTCTTCAAGGATGTGTTGCAGTCCAACACCACGGCACTGAAGACGTCTGGCTTCAATACACTGCTCATCTTCCGCATTGGCGTGCTTGCGAATGGCGACTTAGTCTACTACTCTACCGGCGGTGCTGGCGAGGCTGTTGACGCCCCCGTCATCACCGGGGGCGAATATGTGGGAGGATCAGCCCTCGCCGACAAGGTGAAGTCCTTCAAGACTGGGCAGACCCTCATCGACCGTGTGGAGATTTCGCTCGTGTCACACGACGCGACATTTGTCAATATACGCAACCTGATCAACGGGAATGGCACCGGTGCGGACACGCCCCTGTACAAGAATTTTGAGTTGCTGAGGACTACCTGGGATCTCGACGCTTTCAACAACGACGATGAGTCCGTCTACGATGTGTCTAGCACGGTGAGCTTTGCCAAGCTACTCGGTGACATCGGGTACAAGTACTCTATCGCGCCTTACACCAACACCAACTTCTGGACGAGCGTGGTGCAGCAGTTGCCCGGCCTGCTCGACCGCGTTTACCTCCAAGTCTACGATGGTGGGGCTGGTAACAACCCCGGAACATGGCAGGACGCTCTCGGTCTAAAGGTGACTCCTCTTGTCTGGGTAACCAACGACGCGAAGCCGAGTCAGGGCACCACGCCTGAGCAGGCTCAGGCGAAGTTCGCCAACTGGAACGCTCAGTATTCCACAGATGGGTATGTATAAGCCTTCCCCAGCTACGCTTGCCCATCCGTCTTCGCGCATTGCTTCAGGCCCCGTAGCAGGTGACTAACGCATCATCAGGGGAGGATATTGGAATGATTACGATATCGAGAAGATGAACTCTTCTTATACTGCGTATGGCCAGGCATTAACAAGTGTCTTTACTTCGTAGGCGCTCTCTCTGAGTAGACCACCCGGAGTGAAGAGTCCCGGATGTATATCTTCGCGGCTTGCATAGTCTCTTTTCTTATACATTGGCAAATAGATAATCTTTACGCCTTGCAATAATTAAACAAGCCCCGAGGATCAAAAAGATTCAAGGTATTGAGGCTCGTTCTCGGACAGGAATCCTGGGAAGGGCAGATCACGACCCGAAGAGAATCTATATTTACTAGACATATTGCCACTTGAGGCCCTCTCCCAATGTACAAGATAAACAACCCTTGCTATGAAGATGAAAATCTTGCCCGTCCGTGTAAAGATATCCAAGAAGAAAGAATCGTGAGAGCGATTAAAAATCATACACGCCACACTGGTATCGAGACGCTTATAGACATTATGCACGCGGCCCGGGGCGCTGGTTCCTGGGCCGTCTTTAGTGTCGTTACCGCGGAGTGAGCGGACTCTTGACCGGCCCGGCGGTTTTCTTGAGCGCTCGGAGCTCGTCCTCCAGTTTCCTGCGCTTGTTTTGTTCTTCCTGCCAAGATTGTTAGCTCTGACACGCGATACAGCGACTGGAAGACTTACCCTGAGGTCTTCCTGGAATTTCTTTCTCTCCTCCTTCATCGTCGCCCTGAACTGCTCGCTGAGCATAGTTGCGCCAGCCCTGGGGCCCGTACCCGAGGCATTCGGCCCTGCCTTGAACTTCTCGGCGTCCAGCTGCTCCTTAAGCTTCGTGACCTCTGAGTTGTACCTGGTCCTCAGCGCGGCGATGTCTGCTTCGAGCGTCGACCTCGTCGCCTCTGCCTCGTCCAGGCGGCCTTCCAGGTCGACCTTCTCCTTCTCAGACGCGAGCGTCTCCTTGGTCAGCTCCTCGAGATCTTTCAATGTGGCGGCCAGCTCGGCCTTGAGCTTCTCCGACTCTTGCACCATGCTCTGCATCTGAGAGCTCTTCGTCAGTGCGGCCGCCTCGGCCGCCCGCTCCGAGCGAGACCCGTAGGCTCCCTCAAGCTCTGCTTTGGCGATGGTCAACTCCGTCTTGGTCTCGATCATAGATACGTTGAGCTGCTCCATCTCCTCATCCTTGACCCTCATCTGCTCCTCAAGCTTCCACTTCTCATTCTCTGCTGCTTGTTTGGCGTCGTCCGCCTCTTTCAGCTGCTCATTCATACTGCCCAGCTGGGCCTCTATAATCTCCAGCTTGTCCTGCAGTGCCTTAGTATCAGATTCCAGAGACACGATTTTGGCGTTCCGCTCCCGAAGCTGATCCTGAACAGCTGAGGTTGCAGCAGTCTCGTTAGCTGTTTGCGTAACCTGCAATGAGTCCAGGTCTGCGAGGGCCCGTGCCAGCTTCTCTTGAGCTTCTGCAGCCTCCGTCTTTGACTGCTGAGCACTCTCCTCGCAGAATGCTAAAAGATTCTTGGTGCGGTTCAGCTCCTCCACCTTAGTTCTTAGCTCCACGTCCTTCTCGGTATCCGTTTTGCTATTCAGGTCGCGCTGCTGTCTGATTTGTCTCTTCAGCACCGACTTTTGCTCCTTGAGGCTTGTTGCTTGTCGGAACAACCACTGCACTTTTGTCGAGAATGCATTCAAGGAGTAGGCCTCCTCAAAGTCGAAAGACTCATCCGCGGACACATCATCATCGTCGTCTGGCATTCCTTTTCCTAGTCGCACTTCTCTCCGGGCCTCCCGTTGTCTGTTGATATCAGCGTATCCTGATTGTATGATATCCCACAACCCAACAAGAACAGTCTCGATCTGCTCGGCATCTTGTATCGCGGAGGAATCCTTGGCCACTGGCCTCTGAATCACTGGAAGCGCTGACTCGATCCAGTCAAACCGCTCCTGAATTCCCGAATCTGCACCCAGAGGCGGACCCGGTTGATCCTCGTCGATGGCTCGTACGGCTTGGTATACCTGGCGACTCAACAAGTCCAACCTGTCCTCAGCCTGAAGCAGTAAACCCGCGGAGTTGTCAGATTTCCTAGCGCTGTCCGCCAACAAGCTCGACTGTCCTTGCTGATCCCGCTGAATAGTTGATAGGCACTCAGCAACGTAAGCGAGCTGAGTGTTGACCAACTCGCCGGGCTCAAAATTTCCGGAAGGGGCTGGCCTGTATCCTCCATTCTTCGTAGGGTTCATTTGAACCACCAAATCTCGAAGACGGCTGGTGAGATCTTCGAGACTTCGCTCCGTATTAGTGATGACATCCAACTGCCCAGAGGTCTGCTTTTTCAGAGTTTCCACCTCGTCGCGCAGCTGATTCGAGCGCTCCCGGACGGGTGACCGGGGTGGTATCGGTATATCGCTCTTCAGTGACCGGCCAAAGCCCTCAGGCTCATCGAGAGGGAAGTATAAGTCCCGGTCCAGGTCATCGCTGGGAAATTGCATGCTATTTCGCCCATTTGTGTAGGTGTAAAGACTCTCCGGGCTTCCGGGCATACCGTTGAGCATGGCCGGAGGTTGCTTTCTTTTCGACGACGCCTTGTGTGTAAGTTGCAGGATTGCAGCGGTATGTTGGAGCAGTCGGCGCTGCGGTGCCAATATCTCTTTCTCCAGGTTGAAAAGCTCCGTCGCCAGTTCCTCACATCTCCGTTCGCTTTCTTGTCTCTCCACCGCTGTCTCTTGGGCATTTGGGTCAACTGTGGCTCGGTTTCCCCTTTTCCCAGCTGTGTATAGTTTGGACATTGATATCGCGGCATCTCGGTACTTCGTCTGTATGGCCAGATTTGCCCGCGCCTGCTCGATGCGTACCGTCAACGACTGGATCTGCTTCTTGAGGTCGTCCACCTCTTCTTGCGCCAGGATCTCCCATTCTTTGCTGTCCGTCAGGGCCGTCTCGGTGAGCAGGTGCACTTGAATGGGGTCCTTGAGGTCGACGTGAGGTGAGCTTTGTGTCCGATCTACATTCAACTGTGTATGTCCGGTTAGCTTGGGGCGGCCCGACACGCGCTCGTGGAGTCACACACAGGATTGTATCGCGGCTGGTCCTGCGCGAACCCATTCATGATGTCTTTCCTGTATCCCTCCATGATTTGTCTCCCGCCCGGGCCCACAGCCTGGGTAGGGGATAGGAGTCTATCGTTGTTGCCATAGTTCCCATTCATTCTGGCCTCGCAGCGGTGTTACAGTAGGTGACTCGCGGTCAATGCATGGCCCAGTGTCCGAGGAATAGGTTGTATCAGTGACTGGCGAGGATGCACAAAGGACGACGGTTCGAGTTCAGGAATATGCTGGTCACAAGATCGCTTAAGAAGGGGTTAGGGACGCGACGAGGACGAGGACAGTTGAGTGGATCCGGACAAGCGAGCTGAGGGTATCATGGAATGATGCAAAAGAGTGACAAGTGGGACAGGGCAAATGAAATAGGCTTCAAGCACGCGTCTCATATGGCTTTCATTGTCGCAGGGGCTTTTCGAACTTTCTGAGAGAAGGAGGACGGTGGAAAATGGCGAAAAGAAGCCCAACCGCCAATCGAAGGAGCCTGTTGCGACAAAGGCAGATCTCAATTCGAACCTGTTCTCAAAAGGGGCGGGCACTTAGGCAACCCCCCTGAGGCCTTCACCAGCCGCTAACCCCAAATTATAGGGTGCCTATTTGCCTAGACTATTTACTGTACTGCCACACTACCGGCACCTTGCCAAGAACTGTCAATGCATGGACGGACCTTTTGAGATGTCATGGCCAGCTCAATAAATATGTATACATTCGAGGGAGCAAGTGTCTCAATACTTAATCTAGGCATGGATGTATCCCTAGTACATCTGTGAGCCAGAAGACATCTGAAGTATTGCGAGTTTGTCAAAGTCCTCAGTATACCGTCAGACCGTCTGCAACCGTGTACATTGCCTAGGTAGACCCTGCGTATCCCTACCGAGATTGTTTTTGGCTGGCTGGGTGCCTCCCAATCGAGAAAGACCCCCGTCTTGATTGGAGGGTGGGGCCCGAGCGTGGGAGCCGCATGCGATTCACTACAACCTGGCAGGCAAGGCAGGCCAGAATCGCATCCTGCAAAACTTCCGGCGCATCCAATCCTCTCGCGCTCAGTCCCCGACCCGCGCCATCGACGTCGAGTCTGCTGGAGTCATATCCATCGACGCCAAAAGGGTTCATCCATTGGTTCTGGCTCGATCAACTCCGCGGGGTCTCTTATTTGCATACCCCCGTGGTCTCTAGATTCCAGGTTCCCGTCGCAGACTGATCCGCATAACCTGCAGGCAGACACCTGATCACCTCAAGCAGAGCAGCTGGCTCCGCGCAACATCCACGACGACAGCTGCAAGAGAAACAACATCGCAACCGACCGTAACCCGCCTCTTCCCCCACGAAATCCATCTATCCCGTAGCAGGAGCATTCCTTTCCCGCCCGACCAAGCCGACATCCACGTCGCCGAGTGCTGTATCCCAACTTCCACGGATTTGAACCTTCTGGTAGAGCTCCAAACCCTCCACACACGACGACAAGATGGGAATTCCCGCGGCCTTTCGGTGGCTTTCCACCAAATACCCAAAGATTATATCCCCTGTTATCGAGGACCAGCCTCTGACCATGGATGATGGCACTGTCATTCCTGTCGATCATACGCAGCCCAACCCAAATGGTGAAGAGTTCGACAATCTTTACTTGGACATGAATGGCATCGTCCACCCTTGCTCACATCCAGAGGATAGACCCCCTCCCAAGGATGAGGAGGAGATGATGGTCGAAGTTTTCAAATACACCGACCGAGTGGTCAACATGGTAAGGCCGCGCAAGCTGCTCATGATTGCTGTCGGTAAGTCAAGACTGCTCTAAGCCCTCATATTCGGATGCAAAACGGCTGACATATTCGTGCTAGATGGTGTTGCCCCCCGTGCCAAAATGAATCAGCAACGTTCCCGTCGTTTCCGTGCCGCACAGGATGCCAAGGAGAAGGAAGAGGACAAGCAGCAGTTGCTCACCCTACTGAAGCGACAGAACGGAGGGACACATCCTGCAGAATCTACCGAAGAAGTTGTCAAGAAAGCTTTTGACTCAAACTCCATCACGCCTGGAACGCCTTTCATGCAGATCTTGGCCGCCAGTCTGAGATACTGGTGTAGTTACAAATTGAATACCGATCCAGCATGGGCGAATATCAAAGTCATCATATCAGACGCGACTGTCCCTGGAGAAGGCGAGCACAAGATCATGAACTTTGTTCGCTCCCAGCGATCCTCGCCTGAACATGACCCAAACACACGCCATGTTATCTATGGCCTAGATGCCGATCTTATCATGCTTGGTCTTGCCACCCATGAGCCTCATTTCCGAGTCCTGCGTGAGGATGTCTTCGCCCAAGATAGCAGGGTCAGAATGTGTAAGTTGTGTGGGCAGAAGGGCCACGATGCCCAGAACTGCAGAGGGGAGCAGAAGGACAAAGATGCCGACTTCGACGGCAAGGACAATGCCCATCCGTTGAAGCCTTTCATCTGGCTCCATGTCTCTGTTCTTCGCGAATATCTCGCTGTCGAACTCGATGTGCCCAACCTTCCCTTTCGTTGGGACATCGAGCGTGCCATTGATGACTGGGTCTTCATGTGCTTCTTCGTCGGTAACGATTTTCTGCCCCATCTTCCTGCCCTCGAGATCCGAGAGAATGGAATCGATACACTTACTGCCATTTGGAAAGACAACCTGCCTTTCATGGGCGGCTATCTCACCAAAGATGGACACTGTGACCTGGAACGGGCGCAACTCATACTGGCTGGTCTTGCGAAGCAAGAAGATGCCATATTCCGCCGCAGAAAGGAGACAGAGGACCGCCGTGAAGCCAGCTTCAGAAGGCGGAAGGCAGCTGAGCAAGCTCGAGGAGGCGGGCGCAACAATTCAGGCCCCCAGGGAAGGAATAAGCACCAGAAGATAGACAACATGGTGCCTGGCCTCGCTCCTGATGCTGCTTTCGTGCCAATCTCGAGCTTGCCTGGCCCTTTGTCCAAGCCAAACAGTGCAATCACTCACGACATGGTTGTGAACAGGAATTCTTTGCAGAATGCAAACACGGCCAATAAGAGCGCTGCCAGCGTTCTGAAGAGCCAGATCCAAGGTTTGATGGCCAAATCCACAGAGCCCAAGGAAGATACGGCGAATGGCGAAGAAAGTTCACAAGCCCAGGAAAGCCCTCCCTCAGCTGCACGCAAGCGCAAAGCAGACATTATGGAGCAGGAAGAATCCGGCACACCGAGCACTGACAGTCCTGATGCCGTTACGCCATCTACTACAACTGAGAATGAAGGACCAGTCGATACAGTGAGACTCTGGGAGGACGGATACGCCGACAGATATTACGAGCAGAAATTCCACGTGGACCGAAACGACGTCGAATTCCGTCATGAAGTTGGGCGCGCATACGTCGAGGGCCTGGCATGGGTGCTGATGTACTACTTCCAAGGTTGTCCGTCTTGGGATTGGTACTATCCGTATCACTACGCCCCCTTCGCTCAGGATTTTGTAGACTTGAAGAAGGTCGAAATCAAGTTTGAAAAGGGAAGGATATCCAAACCTTACGAACAACTAATGAGCGTTCTTCCTGCGGCTTCCAGACACGCCATTCCTGAAGTCTTCCATGACCTCATGACCAACGACGACAGTGAAATCATTGATTTCTATCCCGAGGATTTCGAGGTTGATCTGAATGGAAAGAAGATGGCCTGGCAAGGCATCGCGCTTTTGCCGTTCATCGACATGCCCCGACTCCTCGAGGCTATGGCCAAGAAGTACCCGTTGCTGAGTGAAGATGCTATGGCGCGGAATGAACCCGGGCACGACGTTCTCATAATTTCAGACGCTCACCCCGGATTATATGACGATATTATCACTCACTTCTACTCGAAGAAACAAGGCGCGCCGAAACACCAGCTTGACCCGAGGATAAGTGATGGTTTGGCGGGTGAGGTCGCAAAGATTCAGGACTATCTACCTCATGGGGCTTTGACCTATCCGCTTGAGAGAAAGTCAATGCCTGACCTTGACTATGACCGCTCTTTGAGGTATGCCAGCACTTCTTCTTCCCTTGCAATTACTTCTTGAGTCAACTGCTAACAATACCCAGTGTCCAGTACGAAATGCCAAGCAGCGCGCACACGCACAAGTCCATGCTGCTTCGTGGTGTCAAGCTACCAACGCCAGCCCTTGACCGCAACGACATTGACGAACTTCGATCGAAGGGCCGCCGGGGAGGTAGAAGCTACGGAGGCGCACCTCTGGGACGTCATAACTACCAGAACGGTCGTACTGAGCCCATCAACTACGGTCCTGGGCGCGGTGGTTATCAAGGTGGTCGTGGTCGAGGAGGCTCAGGAGGAGGTCATGGTGGACGTGACAGCTATCCTCCGCCCAGAAATGGTGGTGGTTATCCAGCCCCGCCTCCAAATTGGGTGCCACCTCCTCCGGGAACCGCGGGCTTTGGTAGTGGTTTGCCACCGCCGCCGCCACCTGCTCATTTCGGCAATGGCGGTGGATACGGGGGATACGGGGGTGGGTACAACCAGAGCCACGGGAATGGTGGAGGATACGGTGCGCCCCCCGGCCAGTACTACGGTGGTGGTGGAGGCGGAGGCGGAGGAGGCGGAGGTTATCAAGGCCATCAAGGTCAGGGGTATCAACAACCGACGCATCATGGTCGCGATGACCGTCGACAAGGAGGTTACGGAGGGGATAGGGGATACGATCGCGGCCACGGTGGCAACGGTCGTGGCTACCGTCGCTAGGACTGAGTACATGTTCAAAGCCCTGTATATGTTTTTTTTAAAAAAATTGATGTGATCCCACAAGGGCGCTAAACGAACCTCCACTGGATCCATACCTTGTCCATGTTCTTGCAGATATGAACCGTGCTTATACGGCTTTGAGGAACATTCAAGCACGCCTTGTATTGTCTGTGTCCTAAAGGGGTTTTCTTTCTCATATACTCGGGTGGACCCCCCGGAACAACTCCCGCAGTACCCTCGTACCTGTGGGGTCCCAGTTCCTAGGCGTCTTCGCCATAACGTGTGGCCTTAGGGGTCACTCCTGCTTGTTCTTCTATTGTTCTGCGCGCCATCAAAAGTCTGCTTAAAATTTCTTTGTCTCGGAACGCTATTAGATCACAATCAAATTACGTATCTCTCATCGACATTATAGCGCGTTTACTTCGTGGACACCGCTTAAATGGAGCACGTGATGGTAGAAGAGGATCAGGATATCGACAAATTACATGATAGATTTGAGGCGATATCATGACTATTGCAAGCAGAAACAGAGAGGCCTTTGACATCGCAAAAGTTCCTCGTTGAGTGTCCCTGCTCCGGTCGTAGAGCTCGTAACGTGCCATGGGGATTTAATGTACTTCCTTGATAGCCTCAAATCTCCATAGCCTCGTCGGGAAGGCAGTATACCCTAGGTGTATGACAATTGTTTCCCTCGGTACAAGTGACTTTTTCTCCTCACGATCCCACCCAGGTCATCATCGATCCCGTCGAGTGGCAACGCACTCTGATTTAAACCCAGATAAGCACCTAAGGATACTGCCGATTTGGGATGCAGTAGCTCTAAGCAGGCACAGTAGATGGAGGGCTCTGCTTGGAGCGAGAGTAACCCTATTGCAGATCGAGGAGCACCCGTACCGAGCCGAGGTGTACTGTACTTATTCAGGGCGGTGAAATGGCTCGCCCACTTTCTTAGCCAAACTTTCTACAGCGAAGACGTCGTGAGCATGCTTGGCATAGGAGATCCAACAGGAGCCTCGCGATGACCTCGAAATATACAGCCAGCATAGGCGTGCATTCTGAGACCGATCTTGAACGCGACTTGGATGGCTTGAGCCTAAGAAGGCAGCATTCCCTCGCGGGAGAATCGCGTAGGGTAGACTGAGGGCATCGATATACGCGTGGCTAGTGCTCAAGTCCCAACCCCGATCGGTTGCGTCCCAGCGAAGTTGTATTGCAGCGACCCTCCGTATGTCAGATTGGAATATCCCATCTGGGTATTATTGTTGAGGCCCGTGGCCAGATATCCACTGTTGTCGCGTCCTGATGGGTTTCCTGACCCTGCCTTGGTATAATTCGGGCCATTTGAGGGTTTGCCTTGTTGGCTTGTGCTGTTCGAGACGGTATGTCTGGCATGGTGCCCTGAGGATCCCTCGCCGAAGTAAAGGTAATCCGATGGTTTGACCTTGTCATTGTTTCGGTAGTTGGACGACATCACTGGCTGTGATGTTGGTGGTCCCATCTGGGCTGCGTTTGAGGGCTTCCTCCGACCAGTGAGTGGCTTTGCAGCGGACATCTCTTCGGAAGGGATTCTAGCTGGTTCAGGGCGGAGTTGTTCGTGTTGTGCGTCATCCTCGTAATCCCTCCCAGAGAAGCAGCATGAGAACATCGTGAGCTGGAAGTATTTCGTGGTTATGTAGGGATTTGAGGAAATACGCCCAAAGTTGAGAACCAAACGAGACCGACTTCCCTGCTGCGCAGCATATATAGGAAATGCGAAATGAATTTGTAAGAAAGGTCATTCGCCCATTAATAGAACGTACGCCAGGAGCCATGGTGGCTGTGCTGGACGTGACCTACTCCTAAGCAATCCTTCCACCGATGAGCCCTACCCTAATCGCATAGTCGAGAGAAAAGCAGGCACCTAGGGGCTATTGTGCTCATGACGACGACGGGTTGGCCGACCTTTGGTTATCTCTTATAGAGTCAGTAATGCTCATGCTAATGCCAACGTCGGGGGAGATATTGGAAGAGCTCCGTCATATTTTGAGATGGCCCCTGGTCGATATGCAGCCTTGGTATCCTTTCTCGGTAGATATGACCGTGGACCTCTTGGCTGCCTTGGGGCACGCACAGCCCTACTCAGCCGTGGAATGAGCTACCTCTTGAGCTTGGCCGGGACCCTACCAGTCCATGTCTCTCGCGGCAATTCCATTGTTCTCTCGGGAGACAGGGAGTTGTCACATGCTGAGGCTCCAGCCTTGGGTTTATGTGTAGACCTGGACGTTGCTATGATCGTTGTCAATTGGAATTGTACAACACCAATTTCGCTGGATAGTCTAGACCGTTAGATGTGTACTCTCAGATGCACTGATAGCCAGCCCAACATGCCGCGTGCGCTGGGTACCCAAGGTGGGTTTTGGGTTCCAAAGGTACTGTGTTAGACTCTTGACTTTGGGATGCAAGGGACCAGGGGTAAAGCTGGCCGTCCCCTGGGCCATTGGGAGACACGCCTCACCCGCCCGCAGCCCATCGGCCCATCTTCCCATCTAGCATAGCATTACCTCCCACACCGGGTCGACCTCCCCAGTGCTCCCAGTGCTCCCCACTACCGAGCTGGTCAACCATTTAAGCTTAGCGCATGCCGCGGTAAGCACGGTACGGCACCTACGCACACCGCAGTCTGCTGCTACCCTGCTGCCCTGCCGCCCTGGCCAGGCTGGTACATGCTGGATGTACTGTACACAGGCACCCAGTCCAGCCTTGGGAGGTCGAGGACACATGCAGGACAGTTCCATTGGGCGAATTGAGCGAGGCCAAGGGCGTGTTCATGCATCGTCGACCGTTGCAGTACATCCGACCCCAGACATAGATAGCCCTTCGCAAACCCCAGACGACCGATTGCTCAATCGAGGGCGCCATCATCTGTTTCTTTGTGTCGATCCATTGCTGCTAGCTCGTTGTTGAGAGACCACGTCTGCTCCACTCCTCAAACCCCATCGCGAGCTCCATCGAGTCAACGCCCGCTGCTGATTCCCAGCCTGACCCGTTCCCTAGCACCGACGCTGCCTCGACGCTCTCAATCGCTCAATCCCACAGCTTCCTCGCCCCTGTGTCAGACCGCGAACCTCAAGCCGATCCGATACTTGCAAAGCTCGTCGACTGCTTGGCGCTGCAGTCGAACAACCCCACCGAGAGGGCAGCCCGATCCTAGTACTGCCCAGGAGAGGGCATGCTGCTTTAAACATGCGAAAGAGGGAGACACACCCCTATGTCTCTCAGCACAATGAACGGTGATGGCAGTCTAGTTCGGTGTCTTGTGGAGAGGCTCACTACAAGGGTAAGGAGACCACGCCAAGGGAAGCCCGAGGATGGCATCGGATGCCGCCCTTCCTATGGTACGAAGGATGGGGAGAGAACACTGGTGCTGACATCCTGCTCGCCCCAATGTAGCTTCCACACCGAACGGGCACCACTAGCCAAGACCTCGCTCAAGATGACATCGTTCTCATCACTCGTGCCACCCTGCTGAAGGTCAGCGCCGGCTCCATCAACGTCGTCCTCGACGCCCTGATGGGCTTAATTGAGGACCTAGGACGACCGTACAAGACCGGAGCCATCTCAACCCACCCGCCTCATGTCCTCATATCCGAGATCTATATATTTGGCCTCATCGCCGATTGCTGTACCAACCATTGGAATGCATTGGGCGGTGTTCCGTCAAACCCCGAGTCCTGGCGACTGAGAAGTGCCCAGAGGGCTAAGCTGCCCCTTCCACAGACGCTCGACTCTGCATTGGTGACCAGGGTTTTGGACGTGTTGAGGCTGTACGCACGACCTCTCCCGGAAGCATACAGTCTATCGACCCAGACCCTGCTTGATGAGTTCAACATCGAGCGCACCGTGGTGGCGGACCACCCCGAACCGGCCACCCCTTTGCCGCCCGCTGGCAGCGAGCAGCCTATCGAGAGCCAGGCGCTGTTTGACTCTCGGATAGAAAGCCTGGAGCGCCAGGGCAGGACAATTGCCGAGTTCGTCAGTGCTTCCAACTGGACGAGCTCGTTCGAGTATCTGAGAAAGCTTATTTACATGGTCCGGACCGCCACGTCTGCGCAAATCGCAGCCCCCCAGACGCCAACGAGCGCGGATGAAGAGTATACCGCGCTGATCGTGCTCCGCCTGATAGGCTGCTTCTGGGTGGACAGTCAAAAGCTTGGCCTGATCATCCAGGAGATCTGCTCCAGTTATCTTCACTTTCGGAGGCCGTTCCAGCATACAATTGCCATTGTGACCCCATTATTAATCACAAGATGGCTAGATCGCTACCCGGACGAGTTCGTTGAGTTGCACACAATTCACAAGAGGTTAGATGGTGGGCCAGACACACTCTTTGATATGACACAGACTGTTGTGCATGATAATGGAAGGGCAGACTCGGTTGCCGATGGCGTCAGGCGGAAGTTTTTGCTCTACCCGTTGCAGATCACCTTGCTTTTCCTTCTCCCTGATGTGTTTGAGGTTGCTAGCAACCTGCGAGAGGCCAAGAGTGGTAGTATGTCCAAGAAAGTTGCCTTTCTTGACGGCCTAAGGAAAACTCTCAGGAACAAAAATGAACAGGCGGCGTACTGTCTCGTGCTACTTCTGCGTGCGGCCCGGCATTTCGACCTCGAGAGTGACTCGGCGTTCATGAGTTACGCCCTGGACGTGCAGGATGAGATTCGAGACGCTGTTTTCCGGCGTAACAGCACGGGTCCAGACAATGGGCTGTTTGATCAGGACATCATGACCGCTGCTTTTATGAGCTTAACAGACCTTAACTACGAAAGCTGTGTCGAGTCCTTAGCACCATCCTGCCTTGCTCCGAGCACTCCGCTTGGGTTCAAAATTGCTGTGATCCAGGCCTGCTCACACTTTGCAGGATTGCAAGAGGCAGACCGTTATATGCAGCTATATGCGATCGGATTCGAGTTCACGCTCGCACAACTCAAGGTCTGTATCACAAAGCAATCGCACACATCGATCAGGACTGACTTTTGTGTTAGACGATGTCCACTATATTTGTCGTGGGCGACCACGGATCTTCGCGCAAGGCACTGGAGCTAGTTGACAACAACAGCATGCTTCATCATATCATCTCGTTCCTCTGTGTTTGCCCAATTGACGTCTTCACGAAGATTCCAAAGGACAGAAACAAGAACGAATTCTTCGAAGAGAGCTTCGAGGCCTTCCTGCCCTGCTTGGTCACCTCAAATGAGCAAGTGCGCCGGTTAGCTGCGCAGGTAACCGTACGCGTATTCGGCAGTACGATCATTATGGAGTCTCTCAAAACGTCCGAAAGGATATGCTCTCTTGCGTTCAAGCAAAAATTCTGGAAATTGACCTCACTTGTACTGAGCGACCTTTTCGACAAGGTTGACTCTCAAGACCTTGGTGCAGGCATCAATTCGATCCACGGGTACCTCGAATCCAGGCTTGTTTTGCTGCGCAAGCTCCCAGAATTGGCCAACTTGCCCGAAGAGATATCTGAAAGAGCGGCCATAACCACCAGACTCGAGACACTATTGCTGGTCTCATTGTGCTCGGCGAAAATCGAGACGTGTCAACTAGTCATCAGCTGCTTTGGTCTGTTCTTCGAGGAGTGCCGGATTGTTGAAACCGCGTCTTCAAGTACCGCGAAAGCAGGATTGTCGCTCCTTCGAAATGGCGATGTCTTCCGAGAAATCGGCTCGCGCGCGTTCCGCTTCACCGGTCTCGTCGCCTTTCAGAAAAGAATCCGCGGCCTGCTGCGGCGAATGCAATATCCGAGCGCAGGTATCTTGGATGCATGGGCCCTAGCATTTGACAGGTGGCTGCATTTATCGAGAGATGTGTCAACTACAAACCCGGAGACTACATCTGAAATGTCAGTGGCTGAATGGCGGAATTACTCTGGCTTCCTTGCCTCTCTCGGTGGTGTTTGCGTGGCCGACCAGACTGCGATAATTGACGACCCATCTCTTGGAGGTCTGAAGTGGATTGACCGACTGTCTTCCGAAAACCAAGAGGACACAATACTCAACAGGTACCTGAGGCTCAGCATCCAGCTCCTTGCATGCGGCAATGTACGTGTGCGGGAGACCACGCGCGAGGTGCTTTCCTCGGAGATCTCGCCGGCCCTGTACCAGCCACTCTTCAAGGCCCTCGAGTCGGAGCTGGATATCCTGTTCACGGGTGCATTAGAGTCAGCTGTTAAGGGTCTTGATAGCGAGATCATATTCGCTGAGCAGTCTATTTCTCTGCTGCGCGCATTGGTGGACAGACTGGATGGCCCTTCCGATCTGGGAGCAGCATCGTCTGTGCATCTAGGTGCACTCACTCTAAACTTTGCCAAATTCCTCGACGGCGTTCCGGATACTAAGAACAGCCTCATGGTCAAGATCAAAGTCTGCCAACTCTGTGAGGCTGTCGTGAAGAAAAAGGAACATCTTAATCTGAGGGATGATGTTCGCATCCGCAATCAGCTCCTCGAGTACATATTTAGCTGGATCGCCAGGCCACGTTCCCCACGCGCAGAGTCTGCCGCAGCGTTTGGGCCTGCGCGTCCCGATGATTCCCTGAGGATTCAGAGAGATCTCGACAGGGCTTGTCTCAGATCACTGGCTGAGCTGACGTACCGTCTTCCACTGCAACCAGGCGACGGACAGTCAGATGTTGGTACTAGTGAGCTGAAGTCACAGATGTTTCACACTTACTTCAACCGCTTTTTGTCGCTCCTAAATCTGGAATCGGCGGAGGCGAGCAGGCATGACCACGGCACTACCGCCAGGGATGACAGCATCACAAGCTCTGAACTTGCGATCACCGTTCTTTCCAATCTTCTTAGTGCGAACATTGACGTGGGCCTGAAGCACTCTTTGAGTATAGGCTATCATGAGAACGTTGAGATAAGAACAGCATTCGTGAAAGTCCTCTACAACATCTTGATGCAAGGCACCGAATTCAACAACCTGTCCGACACTGCCGTTACGGAAAAGTATGACGAGTTGCTAGATCTCCTGACTACTGATACGACTCTGGCAGCTGCTATCAGCGCAGTATGCCCTAGCAGTGAGGTCGATGAGGTGACAATATCACTGCTGAACATATTCGAGACTAGAGGTATGAGCTTCGCTTTGCTGGAAGCTCTCGTTAAGCAGGAGATTGAGGACACGGAAAACGAATCCGAACTGTTGCGGAGAACTTGCGTGGCCACAAAGATGCTTTCAATATATGCGAAATGGAAGGGCACAGCGTACCTGAAAGCAACATTGCAAAAAGTCGTGGAGCGGCTAATGCTGACTTCAAAGGACCTGGACCTGGAACTGGACCCAGCTCGCGTCACGTCACAAGAAGAGCTTCAGAAAAATGCGCTGCAACTTCGCATAGTGGCGAAGGTCTTCATTGATGATATCTGTGCTTCCTCGGCGAATATCCCGTCACCATTCCGAAAAATCTGCAGCATCATATCCACAGCGGTCATGCCTAGATTCCCGGAGGCCAAGTACACTGCTGTAGGCGCCTTCATCTTCCTCCGTTTCTTCTGCCCAGCTATCGTGGCACCTGAAGTCGAAGGCTTAGTGTCGACTGCACCGTCCAAGGAGATGCGTCGAGGGCTGCTTCTCATTGCGAAAGTAGTCCAAAACTTGGCGAACAATGTGCTCTTCGGGGCCAAGGAACCGTACATGTTTCCCCTGAATGACTTTCTTACCCAGAATATCTACAGGGTGACAACCTTCCTGCGCGAGATTTCAGTGTCGCCTGAGAAAACAGATCCTCCCAGCACGAATGAATCCTTCGACTTTGGCTCTTGCGTGGCTCTACATCGCTTCCTTTACGATCACTGGGACCAAGTGCGGCAGCGACTCGCATCCCAGGAGAGAAGAGACTTTGTTCGGAACCCGAACGAAATTTCTCGTATGCGCTCACCTGTTCTTGAGCCCCTGAGGAATCTCATCTCGCACCTCGGCCCACCAGCGCTGGCTGTCACTTGGAACAGGCCCTTGATTTCAGCCAACAGTCCGCCAGCTTACTCTAGATTTCAAAATTTCATGCTTCGCAATGCTTTCCGCAGTACTGAATCGTTTGTCACAGCCAGGGCTGTATACGATGGTGGAGAGAGCAAGGTAAGTTGAAAAAGAAAGACCTGACAGAAATATGACACGTCCCCTGTAAGCCATGGCTGACAGCTGACTTTTTCACTTTAGGATGGCTTATCTATCATCTGCATTATCTTGAGGAACATTGATGACGAGAACATTGATTTTGATACTTTGATATACTGCTACTTGAAGGTGAGTAAACACAGTTCTCGCTGTCATGACTTTTCGCTGTTGTCAACAGCGCTGCTTTTCCAGGATGAGAGTGGCGACCGGGACTCGTCACCACACTGACACTATGAACAGATCGCGAGCCGCCTGTGGCATCGACCTTTTGGACTGCTCATTGACGCAACTTGCTACAATGGGCAGAACGACGAACCTCAGGATGAGCTCTTCCACAAGCTGGAGCTTCTTACTCCAACAGAGTTGTCAAAGCAGCTTAGCCGTGTCTACATCTATAACATGAACAGTGCATTCCGGTGAGCAGACTTCTGTCCCTGCATATTGTAAATATAACGCTAAGATGACTGGTGATGCAGCAAATGCCTGCGTCGTGTTCTCCGTGTTTCCACCAGAAAAGATGCGAGCGTCTTCAACCCCAACAACATTGAGTACCATCTCGTTGGCAGTATCAAGGAATTACAAAATCATTTCCACTTCAACCAGCTGCACCTGCCAAAGGAAACGATCAGCGTCTTTGCAGACACGCGCTACGACTTTAAGCCAGTTGTACGACTGTCGAAAACGAAAGGAAGGATCGCCTGCCGGGTCATGGTAGGCAGCCAATTCGTGCAGATAACAACGGCCGAGAAGCAGGAGGTACACCCCAACTTCCGCCTAAGCGCCACCATCAATGACATCTTTCGCCTCGGCGATGTCGATGAGGCGCCCACGAACGTGAAACCCGATGACGAATCGGCTTTCGGCCTCCGAGCCGACAATGGCAAGATCATCATGTACTTCACCAGCCCTAAGAAGGCTGAGATTTTACAGACGATCCGTGCCGCAAAATCCAAGTACGGCAAGGACTCGCGGTCGCTAAAATCGTTTGAAAGACTTATTCGGCCACAAGATGTGCCGGGTACGCTTTTGAATCTTGCCCTGACGAATTTGGCCAGCCCCGATCATGTCTTGCGGCTGTCTTCGTACAATTTGCTCGGGGCTTTGTGCAAAGCCTTCAATTTCACGGTCGCGTCAAAGGTCGTGTGCACGCGAGACATCGCGGTGCCGTTAGACCCATCACGATTTATAGTAGAAATCAGCAAGACGCTCGCTCAGGCTGAACCACAGCTTACGTCGGACTTTCTCAATGAGTTTTTCGTTGGCTGGGACAGCTTTTCCGAAGAGCAGAAACCTTTGAGTCTAGCTTATCTGGCGCCGTGGCTGCCTGGCCTCCGATCATCAGTGCTGGCGGCTGAGCCCGACAGTGACAAAGGTCGAGACAAGATCGCGAGTCTTTTCCGGAAGTTAATCGACGTGACTCTGTCTGACCCGACTTTGAGCTTCACTTTGGAGCAGACGATCTGGCCAGCCATCCACGGAGATGAGGTTCTTCTCGACATCTTCCTCGAAGAAGTGATCAAGACAGCCCTAAGCATAGGTCTCCACGATGAACAGACAGAGACACTGACTTCGATCATTACGGCAATTGGTAGCATCACGCTCCGCGGCAAGATTATTACTCGTTTGCGAAAGGCCATGAACCGGTCTTCCATGCGACAGAGCAAGTACCTGCCAGACAACGTAGTCTGGCCGGAGGTCTGCATTTTGCTACAATTCTGCGTATCGCTGTCATTCGACAGTGGGATCCAGGCACAGATGTATCTTCCTGAGATTTTCCATATCGTAACGATGCTCGCGAACACTGGCTCGCCAGATATCCGCATCCTGGTGCACAGGCTCCTGGTCAATTCCATTCACGCAGCCTGCACGTCGTTTCATCTGGATGAGGCACGCCAGGCTAAGCTCAGGGGTATCCTGGAGTCATTGTCGGAAACCAGGACTGACATCTGGAGCATCACGCCCGCGTTCCCTGGACGGGACGGAGCATCAATGTCTACGACACAGGAGTACGGTCCTAACCTGGCGGCAACAGAGATTCTGGCTGGTATCATGTTCGAGATATGCTCTGTTGCCGCAATCTCCACGGATATTGCTAATGCTTGGCGATCGCGCTGGATGAGCCTCGTGGCCAGCACTGCCTTCCAGAACAACCCAGCCATCCAGCCTCGTGCTTTCTCCGTCATGGGCTGTCTCGCAAGGGAAGAGGTAGACGACGATCTGCTGTATCAGGTTCTCGTAGCCCTACGGATCAGCATCACCCGCTTCAGCGGTGAGGACAGCAACAGCGAGATGTTGGTGGCGATTGTCACAGCACTGTCACGGATGATGGCGAAGCTCCCGTCGACCTCCCGCTATGGTGTGCAGCTATTCTGGCTCGCTACCTTCTTACTGAGGCTTGTCCCGGTCAATCTGTTCAATTGTGCGGCGGTTTTCCTGGAGTCGGTGCTCACGAATATCAATACCTCAGGCGACACTCGTGGCCCCAAGCTCGTGGCACATCTTTTGCAGGGCCGCGAGCAGCTCGAGGAGGTGGCGCTTCCGCTAGACGCCTTCTACGGCATTCACTTCACAGCCGAGAACTTCCACTTTGCAGTGTGCGCATGTCTCGCCCGCGGCCTGTCGGATACCATGACGAAAGCCACAGCTCTACATGTACTAGCTACATTTCTGGATATGACAGGGACTGCCGCTGGCTCAAGTGACGGGACAGAAGCCGGGTCCAAAAAATTGAAGGACGTGCCCTACTCTCCGTACCTATCACTTATACTGTCACGAGTGGTCACACCGGAGGAGCTGAAAGACACTCTCTGGCTGGCTGGCATCAAGCCACCATCAAGCATGGCAGGTGTGCAGAAAGCGCGGACTCCCGAGAAGCTCAGTACAGTCAAGGACAAGGACTTGCTACTGAATTCAGCCATCGAGCTCATCGACTTCGCGTACCTCGAGGATGCTGTACAGAGCCGCACGCTCCAATGGATGGACGAATTGGCGAGTGGGCGGCCGAATGTGATAATGCACCTGTGCGGACCAATACTGGCTATCCTCGACGAGACGTTGCTACACTGCCAGAACTCGGCGACACTCGAGTCAGCCCACGGCCTCCTGCAGACGTTGACATCGAATCCCAAGTTCGCCACGGCCATGGAGTCAGGCGGTGCGTCGGGGCTGAACGAGATTCTGGAGGACATAGGGTTCGGAGGCCTCTGGCGTTTCTGCTCGCTGAATCCTCAACAGGAACCAGACAAGCAGTGCTTCGCGCAGACCGAGAAGTTGATCGATGTGAGTAGCAGCCGAACTCTTTCTTGAATTCTCAACTCGCCACCCAGAGACTTGATTAAACATGCTAATAATTACTGATCAACAGTTGATAATTAATGCCGGGACGTATTGAGCAGCTTGGGGTTGCTCGTGTCCGCAGAACCTGGTTCGAGTCTCACGACCGCCAGCGGCAAACAGCCCAAGGCGCGCGATGCCGTGGACCTGCCCTGCGCGACCATCATGTAAATTTGTGCATAGGCGTGGTGCGGACTGGGTTAGAATGGGCATTAGTACCTTGTTGATAGTCGCGATGCTGGATGTTTGTAAGTAGAGATATCCTGACTATAAGTCGATGTTTGAATGTTTATTGGCCCCGTGTGGTTTGTGTGTGCATGGGACGATCTCATAACTCAGCAAGGCGGTGCACACACACTTTTCCTCTCGCGGGTTTGTAATCGCAAAGGGCTGAAGTCAATGGCTGCTGTATATACGCATGCCCTACGTGAATGATAAAACTTTCCTACTTGGGCAACTTACCGCGAAGATCCAACCTCGAAAAGCCAACCATATTGCCACAGCCCTATACGCCGGACGTTGCCGATCTCATCGTGTCTCTCCCAAGGTGTTATCAAGCGTTACACAAAACACAAGCCTTGCCTTATAAATCTCTTCCTCCTGGGCGTGCATGTGCTAGCTACCCTATGCAAGCGCTAGCACCGTTCCCTATGCAGCACGTATGCACCTAACTCATGGAAGAATGCGACAAGGGCATGCTATTCTTAGTGTGTTTGCCACACACACACACACACACCTACACACGACAAGCAAAACCGGTGCCCCACCCACTACGACTCCTCCCGCAGGGCCCGTAAGCGGCTGAGTGCACCACACACTGCAACACAGGGGGCCTTTTTCCGGATTGACGGCCGAAAGGATACGGTTTCTTGTCCTGCGTCTGTCTGTTCCCAGAAGGAGAAGGGATTTTCTCTCTCTCCCTCGCGCGTGCCCCGAAAACCGGTCCTGTTCTTTTTTGTTCTACGTCACTCTACTATACGAAGGCCTCACCTGCAAAAATCCTTGGCAAACTGGCTGCCCCAAGGTTTGCCATGTGGGCGGTGGCAGGGCAATGCGTGTGTAACGTGTAACGTCCAGGTCACGGCTTGGCCTCTGGGTCAGTGGTGGAGGTGCTTGGGTGAACGGCATGTGGGTCCCAGCCGGCCAGAACAGGGCGGCGTACATATTGAAATTCTCCAAGGGATCCCCTCGTATTTGTCCGTGGATGTCTGGCTGGCAGGCTGGCTGCAAGTCTTGAGATGCAGGGACTTGCACTTCGTTTGGCAGGCTGCCGCTACTTCTGCTGCTGCTGCTGCTGCTGCTGCTGCTGCAGCCGCCGCTGGAGTAACACCCAGTAGGCTGTAGCGCCGGCTCACCGGGGGTGGTGAGGTATTGATGTTCTAAGCGACTCGACATGTAAACACTACTCCGTCGCCACCTTGCTCCACCGCTTTTCTCTTACGGGGAATCACCAAATCCGAGGTTCCTGATCATGTGCCATGTACTCGTCGTGATATGTGTCAAGGGTTGCAGAACATCCCGAGAGACCATTGCGCGTCCTCGGGGGATTTCTCGAGGCAGGTGTGGATCTGGTCTGCAGAAAACTGTTTTTCCCTCCTGCCTGGACATGACCAAACATTCCACGCGCCCCTCTTTTTTTACTATTATGATTGCGCATCTTTTAACATTCACACTGAATGCAGGAGAACCAGTGGTGGCGTTTGACTCTCCGAGGGTTGAGTAACTGAAGGCCGCGTCGACATATAACAGCCTGCTACTGAATGAGCCATGCGGTTCCGCAGGAGTACGGTTGAACTCGCAATATCTCCGGGGGCGGCCCGGCGGGCGGGAAATCCTTGGTGGTCACGCCGGCAGGCTCATGTGACCTATGCATCAGAATGAGTACAGGTGGGAATTTATCGAATTTATCGATTGATTTATTGTTGATTGATTTATTTTCTTCGCTTGTCCTCTCATGCACGCCGGGCCTGCAAGTCGCTCTGACCGAGCGGAACGAGTCTCGTTCTCGGATGCGAGGCTGGCTCTGGCCAAGGTGAGCAAGCAGGGGAAGGGTAAGGGAAGTCGACAACAGAATTGAGCGTGCGCGCGAAGGCCGATGGGAATGCGATAGAGAATGTTTCGGCTCTGCCCCCAGTTCGCGGCTGCTCGCCCACCCACACCTTTCCCCCCTCTCGGGTGTGGGATGGGTTCGGTCGGCGTCGGGCCCCCCGAACGAAACCCCCAACCTTTGGGCTATGGTCCCACTGCGAGTGCAGCTGATGACCCACTGATTGGCCAGGCTTCTGGTACGGGGAGTCTTTTTTTTAACCCTCCCACCTCCCTCTTGGAAGAATCGTGCATTTCCGGAACAAGCGCAGGACAAACCGACCTATCGCCGATGCACGCACGGTGTGTGTTTCACTTGCACAGCACCTTAGGCGCAGGATCAGGAAATAGAACAGAGAAGAAGGTGACAGAACGGTCTGGAGCACGGTGGAAGTGTTGAGGATTGATTATTGATGAGCTGAGCTGGGCCGATGGGAATGAATCATGGGATGGGAGGGCGTGAAGGGCGAGGGCGACCGGCGACCAGCGACAGCGGCTAGCGCTATGATCGCGGTTAACGGCCTCGTCTTGTCTTCCCGAGAAACCTTAGCCCCCCCCAGCAGCAATCCTTAGATCTAGATCGTGAAAAAAAGACGGGGAATTCTTTCTGGTCCCCACATTTTCAGCCGCTTCCTGGCAGGCTGTCAGGTGTGCAGCCCGGTACCGTTTGTCTGGTGCTGACATATCTGCACAGGTTCGTGCCGAGGCTTGTTGTCGTTCCCAAGTCGCAATCCCAACAGATGGGTTTGACCGTTGCTTGCAGCCTGCAGCCTGGCTGGCCCCAGCCGAGCTCCCGTAAGACGTCGTACCAGCGCGCGGCGCAGCTCGGCCTGCCCTTGCATGAAGATGACAAGACCGGCGGGCCAAAGCGTGGCAGGTTGCATTTGGGTCTTGTGGTCTTGGGGCCTGGGCCTCGACCTGGGCCTGGGTCTCGGGTCTGGGATCTATCTGTCTGAGAAAAACCATGGGACGACAGAAAGATGCAAAGATACGGGCAGGCTGCCACGATGGGAGGAGGATTGAGGTATCCAACAACCACACACAGCCAGCAAGCCAGCAAGCCAGCAAGCCAGCAAGCCAGCTAGGCCGGCATCTAACAGCCAAGCAGCCCGACCGAGGCACGTCCCAAGGCCCGACGGACAATATGAGTCATCCGTGGTGAGGGCTTCGTAAATGCTTCGTATGCAAAAAGCGAGCGCGTGACCCGCGGCTTAGGCAGTGAGGACAGAGCGAGGTAACCAGGGCTACGTGGAGTCTGACAGCGCAATGCAATGCAGCGAAGCACTATGCATTCCTGGCAGTAGGGCTGAGTAGACTTCGGATTATCTAGATACGACAGGGATGAGAAGAGCGAGCGAGCGAGCGAGCGAACGAGAAAGGAAAGAAAAATGAAAGAGGAAAAAAAAACAAGAAGAGAGTGTGTGTGACATGCGGGCCACTAGGTGCCCGCCGTTCCGCGTTCTCGGGTCCGCTCCGAAACTGGCCTGACAGCGCCTGATTAATCAGTTATTTAGAGTAGGTGTAGGGGCGACAGCCGAGCGCCAGCCCCAGCATCTCGGGCGCCTGTGGGGAAGAAGATCCACAAGGGCCCGCGATGTGCCGAAGATATGCCAGCTGGGCACCCGCGACTGAGCCACAACCGTCGGGCTGGCTCCGCTTGACAGCGCACGTCTGCAGAGCCATGGAGGGCCGGACTCAAGTGTCAACTTGTCAAGCAAGCACAAGCTCGAGATGGAAAGGTATGGATTCATGTGCTCCCTCCCCATCTGGTCCTTGGTAACCTCGCAAGCTCATGAGCTTGTGAGAGCTTGTGAACTGGTAGCTCAAAGCTCTCTACACAGCCACCAGGCAGGCGCGTACACGACGTATACACAATGACCCATAGCTAGCTGGGCCTGAATGCTGGTTGTGACTTGGTATACGCCGACGTGGCACTTATGCGAAACCCAGCTCAGCACAGCATGGGATGGGATGGGATGGCATTCTGGGAAAAGCCCATGTCTGCGGGTGCATGTGTAGTTGACCAGTCGCATGGGGAATTCGAAATTTTCTCCCAACAGAGAGGCCTTAGGTGTGGCAAAAAAAACAAGCCACAGGTCGTGGTGCCTGCATGCAGGCCAGCATGCGTGTCGATTGTTCCTGGGATGGTAATCACTAGCCACTAGCATTAGTCTAATCTGGGGAGATGGTAGATCGGATACAGGCCATACAGGCATATGGCCATCCATACAGACAAAGCAGTGGCCCAATGAATGGTTTACGGCAGATCTGGGCGCGGAAACGGGTACGGGTACGGGGAGGTGGGGGGCAGACCAGACCCTCTTGTGTGGCTCGGCTGAGTCTTGTCCACCCTCGTGTCTCGCCAATTACGCATGTTCTTCTGGCTGGAGGCTGGTGGCTGGAGATTCTGCTCCCATTGCTGGCAGCGCGGGTAATCGTCGGCCATTGCTCGCCGATTTGGGGCAAGAACTAGCATTTGCAGATCTCAGCCCTGTTTTCTGGTTCTGGTTGTTGATTTTCTTTTTTGGGGCCCAAGGAACCACGTGGGTTGGTGCATGCGCCCATTCACATGCCGTCGCCGAATGCCATGGCAGCGGATGGAAAAGTCCTCAACAGGCTAAAGTGTGGCTGAGCAATGCCACAATAGAGTGCCATAGTGCCAGGCGGGTGCAGGCGGGAGGGAACTGACTTGACTTGACAGCGGGCAGCCTCGGCAAATCAAGGGTCCAGACGGCAAGGACCCTTGGATTTCTCACAATCCCAATACCTGGCACCCAGCACAGCACTGCGCAGCACTGCACCCAGCGCAGCACCCAGCGCAGCACCATACTGGCGGGCTGGCGGGCGGTGGTTACAGTGGCCGTCGAAGCGAGGCCCAAAGGGGAAAGTATAGCAGAACCTGTCTTGGCCCTGGGTGGCCTCGCCTTGTTTGATGCACCAGCTATTCGCAGTGGTAGACCACAAATGTCCCATGCCAGAGACCACAAGCATGCAGAGATTTCCTTGCTGTTCAGAGGCAGCCAGCCAGCCAACCCGCCAGCCAGCCCGCCAGCCCTGGTCTTAGTCTTGGTGGAGGATGGATATTGTAATCAAGCATCAGTTGTGCTCCGGCGAGAGCGGAACCTTGGAGGAGGCTCGGACCCTCGGAGTTGTATTATGTGTACGTGGGATGTGGGAGGGTTAGTGTTAGTGTCAGTCTGAGAGTGTGTAATCCTGCTCCTTCCACAGGCACCTAGATACTTCCTCTGCTGTCTAATGCTGTCTGAGAAGGTAGGCGCAGCAGCCTCCCCCCCCCTGGCCCAACTTTCCAAATTCAACCACCACCACCACCACCACCACCAACCTTACCACCCCCCCGGTGTGTCTACCACAATGAGCCACGACCCCAATCTTTCAACGGTCCGGCTCCGCAGCGATCAACCCGAGGGACAGGCGCACGACCCTTGAAGCCAAAAACTGTCATCCTCGTCTTCCCTCCCAGACCTTCCCTCGTTTTGGGGTATTGGGGGAGCACAACCGACCACTGACGACGTCACCAGTGCATGATGGGCATGCAGAGGGGGGCCGATTGACGAATCAGACCCCTATCGTCCACGGAGCAGAGAAAATCATGACGATCTTTGTTCATTTGGAAACAGTTCTCCAAGGCTACTTTTTGTTTTCTCGACGCCCGCTGCGGCACCCAAATTATCTACAATCCAGTCCAGTCGCCAGGGACCCTGAGAGACCAGAATTAGATTATGTATGACATCGTCTCCATTGGCTGTGTGCCAGGAATCTCGAGAACCCAGCACAGCAATTACGGTTCGCCTGGCTTGTTTTGCATCCCCCCTCATCGCCATTTAGAATTCCCCATCAGCATCAGCATCATAACATCATCGGCATGACACAAAGCCACAGAGAAAAGGCAAAACAGAGAAAGCATCAGCCAGTGCCTGTGGGTCCTGAGAATGACCATACACACACACAAAGAGTGCCAGGTCATGCGCAGCATAATTCCGTCGCCCGCGGTACAGCACATTGTGCACCCAAAGGTGAAAGACTGACATGGCTCAGAGAGTAAATGATCGCCCAAATCCATCTCCCTCTACGGTTGGCCCACTCGTCAACCTGCTAGCAGTACCTGCCTACAGGGAGCCTGGGGGATGGTTTCTCCAGCCGAAGTCATCACACTATCTGTATCTCACCAAGCTTAATACCACGCGAGATTAGCCCACTATTGAGATGTGACCGGCCCCGAACCACTTGGGCTTGCCTCGTCATCCACAGCGCCCATCAGGTTGAGGTCAGCCACGAGGACAAACTTGGGGCGTAGTAGCTGTTCAGTCTGTCCGTCAGCCGGCCTCGCCCTTGTGTGCGAACGTCCAAGTCCGGATCTCCACGGATCGACAGCAAGCTGTCAGCGAACGCTATTGTTCACTGCTGTTCACGGTCCAGGCTAAGCCGTGTACCTGGCAGCCTGACGCACAGCTAGCTTCACACTCTGTGGTGATTGTTGTGTTTTCAATCGCCAGCAGCCCCGAAGGCGACGTTGACGGTGATTATACAGCGACGCATCACCAATCCTATAGCTTCTGTGCTGACCTGCGTTCCTGTCACCCGATCTATACATGTTGGTCTGATCGGATGTCCAGGCCTCGATCAATATCAATAAGCCTTCGCAAGTGGCCGGACGAAGAATGACTCTCCTGACATGACGGCTGACAGAGCCGTGGGCGGACGGTATGACTGATGGATGACCACTCCACAGTCGCAGGCTTGCATGGCTTACCCAAAGTCTAATTAGGTTAGCCCCGCAAGGAAATATTCCCCCTTTCGTATTAGCGGCGTGGACACCCGGCGGCCCATTTGTAATTCGGTGCCTACCATAGTAAATCCGGTCCTTTTCCCTGGGGGGGGGGGTCCCACCGGAGGCCGTAGGTGTGAGTCTGTGTGCGTACATACATCGCAATGCACTCATGCCCATGCTCACACACCCACCATGTGTACATCGGTACTCTCGGGTACGTACTTTTCGCACCCCGGCTCAGTTGACAAGGGTTGTCCTACCCGTCCTTGTGCTCTTACGACATTCGACATCTTACAACTCGACCCACGCCCACACCCTTATTCCCATTCCCTCTATATATACAAACTCCCCGTCCTCACAATGGCACTGGCCAACTTTAAATTCGCCACTCCCCCATCAATCTCACTATCTCGAAATCCTCTACAGACTTCACCATATATCCATCCGGCGTGATGATGTGGTTATCCTCAAACGGTCCAACATATAACAATCCATCTTCGCAACAGCGACAGCGATACTACACCCAGCAAAACCCACGGTTCTCAGCATTTCTTCCCACCGCTACCGCATCAGACTCGACGCTCGATATCGACTCCGAGATCCAGTCGCAAAGCGCCTCTTCATCTCCTCAGTCGGTCTCACAGTTCCCGTTGTCGACTTTTGACAGTGTTCCCGCCGCAAACGTCCCGCGAACACCCCAAGGCGACCTGTTCAGATTCTCGGCGCCCTCTTCTCAGGCCCAGCCTCAACCCCAGTCTTTGCCCTCCGTCAATATGATGTATGCAGATTCATGGTTGGGGGACAGCAATCAGTTCCCCGCAAAGAACAGCCACAGGAATATGCACCAGCGCGAGTCCTCGCTGTCGTCGCTTGGGTCCCTTGGGCCGGCTTCGCCTTTCTCCTTCAACACGGCAAACCCTCAAATAGCCATTAACGAGTCTGGCGATTCCTACCATGGAATGCCTATTCCCGATGACCAGACATATCACCTCGCCGCCAAGGCACCAAACTCAACTTCCCACGACACTTTCTACACAAACATTCCCTACTCTGGAGATTCAACGTCGGTTCACAGTTACGCAAACATGCTTGCACCGCAGAGGAATCGTGGGGATCGCAGTGGCCTGCTGCCTCCCCCGGATTTTCCTAGTGGAGGCTCAACCAACTCACGTCCCGTGTCAGTGGCGAGTTCCGTCGCAAGTGACTCACCAGTCACGCCGGCGGCCCCGGAACCCGAGGATGAGAGGAGGCGAAAAACTGGTGAGGACTATATCCTGGCCGACTTCCTGAATTTTGCCGACGAGTACAAAGACTTACCCCTTCTTAACCAAACAGCACTCCACACTGTCCCGAAATTGGATCGCACCATGACGGACATCTACAGCGACGAGCTGTACAACCCTAATTTCTCCATCACCTCCATGTCGCCATCACAGCCAAGCCAGACCACAATGTCGCCAAATCATGAGGTCTTCGCGCAAAGATTACAGGCTGCCAACAGCCAGCATCTCAGCGCGACACATTCTCCAATCTCAACAGTGTCAAGGGGCCGCTCGCCATTCCGCCAGGGGTCGCCCTTGGCACCCGCCCCGGCTCATGAATTCCCCCAGCAGTCAGCGAACAATATGCGCTTCAACACTGCACAACATATGAGGGAGAAGAGAAAGGCCGAGCAGGATGCGGCTCAAGCCTTGCGCCAGGCCATGGCCCAACCCAGCACCAGCACCGGCACACCACAGACCATCTCTCCTAAGGATGCTGTGTTGGAATTCAACGACGACAGCAACAACAACTTCCCACTCTTTTCGTCTCAGGACTCGACCGGATTTGACGCCAGCCAAATGTCAAGCCAAATGTCGAAGGCGGCCCCTCAGAGCAACAACTTTGGAGGCCTCTCCCTCGATACCTCATTCGACAACTATTTGACATCTCAGCTCTCATCAGGCATGCAGCTACCCCAGCAGTACCCATTCGTGGCGAAGCACAGGCAACAAAGCAGTTTGCCATCCATCAGCAACGGATCTTACTCTGTTTCGTCCCGACTTGGATCAAGCACGTCTGCATCACCCGTCTCTACAGCACTGGGCAGCCCACAGAGGCCCGAGACTGTTGGCGCTGATGGTGGCACGTACACATGCACATATCACGGCTGCACCATGAGGTTTGAGTCGCCAACACAGCTTCAGAAGCACAAGCGTGAGGGTCATCGACAAGCACACGGCCTGAACGGTTTGCGCAGGCCAGAAGCGGTGCCGGCCAGTTTCCTGAACACACAAGCTGGACCTCACAAATGCGAGCGCATCAATCCTAGCACTGGCAAGCCGTGCAACACGGTGTTCTCACGACCGTACGATCTGACGCGGCATGAAGACACCATTCACAATGCACGCAAGCAGAAAGTCCGGTGTGATGTGTGCACCGAAGAGAAAACCTTTAGCCGCGCCGACGCGCTCACCCGACACTACCGCGTCTGTCACCCTGATTTGGAATTCCCTGGTAAGCACCGCAAGAGAGGCAGTGCAACCAGCTGAATTATTCTTCCGGTCAGTGATGCTTGCCAAACCGCTTGATTGCTAGTGCATCTACATTTACGCGGTTGATGGCAGCACCATACCCAAAAAGAAAGGAAAAAAAAAACCAGCCAGTGATAACGACACACCCACCCTGACAGGAATGGTGGGCTGGGCATGGGCGCGCATTGGACGGGATCTGAGTCGATGACCGCAGCGTCGAAGGTTCTTTGACGACATTGGCGTCATGTGGTTGGAAGATGGAGGGTGGGGGGAGGCTCTTCCGCAATGCATGCTGCAGGCGCTATGCCAGGGTGGGCGGCGGGGATGCGGCCTCTCATCCCTGTCGCGCGGATGCCAGGGCGCATCACCCTACGTCATCCCCTCTAGGGCCTTCTGCCTCTAGGGGTCTTGCGCAGGGACTGAGGGCAACCACCTTATGACGTCACCCCCGCGCCGATCAGGGTCCTCGCTGATTTCATCCTGAACCTGACCAGCTGCAGCCCAGCCATTCACACCCGACATCCGAATCCAAAATTGGGCATCTGGGACACCTGGGCACGACAGTCTGAAGTCATCTGCAACCCCACCGACGCCATGCCGGTGTGCATTATCTCCTGTCTTGGACATGGGCGATAATGGGGGAACGGAACCGGAATCGGGGCCGGGCACTGCAACAGGCCATCATTACCGCATGGCGCCTGGCTCTCCCGCCCTGTCTCTGTTTGTCGCGGTCTCGGCCACTGGCCCCGTCGCGCTCTGCGCCATAACATCATCACCGTCATAACCATCATTTTGGTCTGTTCCATTGCATCGGTATGGGAATGGATCCGGACGGCATGCTCCGTCCCGCGCTCTCTGGGCAGAACATGATATCACACCACCCCGTATCCACCACTCGATCGGTCAACCGACACCAGCGGGCTGGTTCACCCTCAACCCCCAACATCATCTCGAACCAGAAAGTCACGGGACCAAAGTTGTTACCGTAATGCACCCTGTGTGATTAGTTATGTATTATTTATTTTGGAGTGGAAATCTCATGCGGATTGTGTCACGGGTTATAGACATAGTGTCCTTGGGTCATGCATGGCGTACTGGAGGAAATCATAGAGAGCAGCTCTACTTGGGGTTTTCCTGCTTGTGTAAAATTGAAAGCATCTGTACATGTCACCTTGTTTGAACTCATTTTTTGGCAATGGCTGTGCCCTATCGTCGGATGTCTTGCTGAACTGGAACGGAATTCAAAAATGGAAAACCAGGGGGGGGGGCTATAGAAAAACAACAACAAAAGACTTGCTACTTTCCCGTGCTCCCGTGCAGGGATTTGGGGATTTCACAACAGAACGCATTGGCGCCTCACTCAAGATTGGGTTCATGTGGTTGTTTTCGGCATTTTGGACGGTTTTGGGGTCGCACGACATTGGGTGCCAGCATTTCGGGCTTGCTTGTAATTGTCTCTATTTTTCTCTATTTTTTTCTTTGGCCGGGGGAAAGGGCCCGGGGTGTTGTCTGGTTGGATTGGTTGTGTTCGGCGCTCGAAAGAAAAAAGAATGAAATACCCCGCGATCTGCAGCAACTATGACGACTTACAGGAATCGGGCACACCCAAAGCGGATTGAGGTTCCGGCAGCGCAGGGCAGGGCCGAGTAGGAGTGGGAGGGGTGTTTGTTCGCTCGGGGCAAGTCAGGGAATGACTTTCCAAGGCTGGAGAGAGGTATAATAGCAAGAAAGCAAGAAAATTCATTTGACAGATTGGATGGACAAAGCATGCAAGCGAGGCCCCAAAAAGTGGAGCGATTCAGGGTCCCCCAAAACAAATAAATTTGATTGGAATCGTTGGCAAAATAAACTTTCTGTGTTGTGTAGGACTTTCGAAACACCGAATCCTTCCAACTCTAATTTTTGTCCACCCCCCCCCCCAAAACCCATCCCAACATCTATCTCCCCTGCCTGCCTCCCTGGACCTGACGTGTTGGCAGGTCGGCGGGGGGTTGGTGGTGGGTGGGTGTCGGGCATCCTTGCGCCTTGCTGCAGGTGTAGTTCGTGTAAACCAGAAAATAATAATGCTGGACGTTCTTATGTGTACTATACTACCCCGTGAGGTTTGATAGTCGCCGTAAGCAAGTTAGAATTCCCAGCCCGCCCCTCTTGCATCCGGCAGGGCTGTTGATTCCCATCTTGGGGGGCAAGGATAGAAGCCCCCTCTCCTCCCGCCGGCCCATTCCTGATTACATTTCCCTGGCGTGCCATTCGCACATTCTGTTTTGGCTCGTGATGAATGAGACCCTTCGACATCCGAATACGCGAGTGAAAAAAATGGAGGGAAGTGCGTGTGAGCGGGACACAAATACCTAAAACCGATTTGATGAGCAGAGTTCTTGTTGCGTCCCGGTCCTGGGCCGTTTGCGCCTGGCCGTTGCGCCTGGCCCCCCCCTCTCCTCTCTGCTCTGCTCTGTCCCTGCTGTGGCTTATCCGGCCCGGAGTAACGTTGGCCTGGGTGCTGAACTCTAACGTGTACAATACGCAGTTCTCTCTCCCAGCGCGCATTGTGCTGCTGATAGACACTGCTCCCCACGTCCCTTTCTATGGTGCAGGCAGGCTTCGCAATAATTTTTGCCTGCCCTTTTTATCTCGGGGTGGCGCGGGCCAACTCCAGAGAGAATGAAATGGGAGAACTTTACTTACGTACGCGAAGCCTATATTCCTGGGCAGTATCACTAGCACTCCACCCGCCCTCTCCACCATCAATCAAGCAAGCAAGCAAGCAGAGCTGCCGGCGGCGTTTCGTTTCTTCTTTCCTTCCTTCTCTCGCCCTCGACGGCAAACAGGTCGCATCGGGTTTCCAGATATACTCTTCCCAACGTCGAGCTTGGCATTCTGGAGGGTTGCTGGGTTGCTGACGCAGGGTGGAAAAAATCTTGCTTGTCCTGATCGTACGAACAGGGTCGTACGCAAGGCTCAAACCTCCCTCCTCCACCCCCGCAGAGGTTGCAGGAGAGGGGAGCGGGCGGGAAAAGACTTTGACGTCGGCAAAACGCCGACGTGTGCTTCCTTGCCGCCCGATGCGCGACATGTGTTACTGAGCTTGTTCCTGCGCATTCATCCTGTTTTGAATACATCTTTAACCTTCGAGATGCTGTACCTACCGAAACAGACTGCGCTTCCCTCCCCCCAGTGATCACAAGCGGCGCTCTCGTTTTTTTCTTTCCGAAAGAAGCGGGGGGGGGGGGGGGGGTCAGTGCCGGTTAGAGAGAGAGATAAAAAAGTATGGTCGGCCTTTGTTTGCAAGGAAAGAGCAGGGCAGGGAAAATCATGCATTGTAACTGAACATGACTCCGGTCCCCCAGATCATTGTAACCCATCTCAGCTCAGCTCATGCCAGGACAAGCTTCTCGAAATCTATGCTGCACAGGTCGCGTCTGTTCGATCTCGGCGCAAGTTCTGCCCAGCTTTCAATCGATGGGTTGCCTGTGTGTTATACCCGAATTGCCACTGGGCGAACGGTCCCATATAACGCATGTACGTAGTGTTCCCATGTCACCGGAGATCATCCCATTAAGGGAAATTGAAGAGACGACGATCCGATATTGGCACTGGTATACAGGAACATATGAGCTGACCCGAATCTAAACATACCCTTTTACATTTTACGGACCCCCACTTATTGTGTAATTCCTACACACGTACGCTCGACCCTTGAGTCGGATCACGAAGTACCGTTGGAAGCGGCCTCTTCATCAGCCATGACCGCCCCTCTCGCATCCGTGTACAAGGGTGAGATCCCCGTCCAGAGTTGGAACTACAATGTCGGCAGTTAGTCTCGAGTAGTCGGGGAGCAGGAGTTCGGGCATGTGAACTCACCTGGTACCATCCTTGGGAAGCCAGAACTTCCAGCCCGGGAATCGTTTGCCAACCAGCCTCTTCTGCCATCGCCATGACAGCCGTGCGCCGCGGCTTGTACGCCATCTCCAGCATCGTCCTCTTCGGCACATTTCGACCGCTCGCCTCGTGGTCGGGGAGGTTCAGCACCTTGGACACGATGTCGCTCATCCCTGGCTCCATTGGCAGGTCCGCGGGGATAGTGCTGACGACCACTCGTGGAAGTGGTCCCGCAAAGTCCTCCTCGGCCGCACTCGACAGGTGCTGCACGTGGTAGTCGCACGGGAACATCGAGGCCAGCTTGGCGACGCTCGCAGAATTGCGAGCCACCACGTAGATGGGCGAGTAGCCGAGTGAGTGCAGCGCGTAGATGGACGCACGCGTAGTGCCACCACTCCCAATCACCACTCCCGGGCCCCCTGCGGACGACGTGCGGATGTTTCCTACGACACCGGCCTGGCGAAGTGCGTACACCATGCCCATCCAGTCAGTGTTTTCGCCCAGCAAAATCTGCTGGCTGCCGTCTTCGGATGGAAGGGGTATTATGGTGTTCACGGCGCCGATGGTCTTGGCTGCGTCCGACAACTTGTCGATAACGTCGATGATATCGAGCTTCAGAGGCCTCGTGACCGAGGCACCACCGAAGTTGGGAGACCTCACCAATTCTTTAACGTCTGACGCATGGTCCGTTTCAAAGCGGGAGTAGTGGTGCGGGAGACCGTTGGCCTTGAACAGGGTGTTGTGCAGTGCTGGAGACCTTGACTGATCGATGGGCTTTCCGAACAGATAGAAGGCACGCTCATCCAGCTCTCCAATCAAAGTCAGAGCCTGGCGGATCTCAGCAGCCGACAGCTGGCCTGGCGCAGCCTTGAAAGGAAGAGCGGGGTGGGAGACTGGTGTTAGGAAGCCATTCAGGATACGGCTAAGCTTGCCGAGAGGACCCATGTTCATGGCAATTATAGGAGTCTCGTGAGCCGCGAGCATTCGTTGCTTGAAGTTTGCCAGAGCGAAGTTGTCGTCCTGACTCCGGGCCACACCAACCAGCTTGATGATGTCGCCAAACTGGAGTGCCCTGTTGTAGAATTGTATCCAGGCTCCATTCTTCCAAGACAATGTGCCCTCGGGGTCGTGGTGTGAGGCAATGATGCGAGAAGAGCCCTTAGCGCCCACCACGCCTTGAATGACGCTCTCCGGCCAAGTCAACTCAACATCAATGTATTCACAGCCCATGCGTAGCGCGACATTGTAGAGTGCCGTAGCACCTTCAAAGTCATTGTCCGGGAATTTGCCGCCTTGACTCTGGGTGCGAATTGTAAAGACAATTGGAATCTTGGCAGTGGCCCGCAATAGAGCTACCTGGATACCAACGAACTCAGCTGAGTAGTCCTTCAGCAAATCGACCCGCAACTCAACGGCGTCTGATCCTGCAACCACTCGAGGTATCAACTCCAAGGAACCTGACACGTCGGGCACAGTGAGCGAGACGAAGAAAGAATGCCTCTTGCTCTTCACCTTCTCAAAATGGTCGGTGTGGCCGCACATGACAGAAATGAAACTTCTGAAATCCGCCGGTGCCTCCCGGACAGCTGAGGAGCCAGCTGGATGTGGGCTGTGATATTTGTAGTTGCTGCACTTCTCGAACCAGGGTTTGCGTCGCTCATAAACCTCGCGGATCTGCTCTGTATAAGCAGGCCGCGACTTGTCAATGAGCAGGTAATCGATGACTTGGTCGGTATCACGATGCACCTGCAGGACGTATCCGCCATTGTTCTTGTAAGAAATCAGCATATCTCGGGCCTCAGGGCTCTCGACAATGCCGCCGCCGCAGGAGAAGACGTGACCGTGAGCTTGGTTCGTCATCATGTTCTGTAGGAGATCCAATTCTGCCTTTCGGAAACCGTCCCAGCCAAGATCGCCGCGGATCATCTCTGGAATTGTTTGGCCTATCCTTCGCTCCAGCTCCTCATCGAGATCGATGAATTTTCGGCGCAGAGTCTTCGCCAGCCAACCTCCTGCCGTCGTCTTGCCCGCGCCTCTCATGCCAATCAAGAAAATCGACCGGTCTGACTGGGGCTTGGGAGTTTGGCCATGATGCTCGTGCTCTGATGTAGGTTCTTCGCCATCCAGTGTGACTTTGAAAGACTCAGACAAAACGTCCCACCAGCCTGGCCAGGTCTTTCCTGTGCACTCGCGCTCTAAGATGAGCACAGGACGGGGTGCAACCACTGAGAGGACACTGAAACTCATTGCCACACGATGGTCATCATAACAGTAGATGCCGTTAGCTGGCTCCGTCAGGCTTTGGTAGGGCCGCCCGATGATCTCAATTCCGTCATCGAGCTCATTGCATTGTACGCCGAATTTAGCGAGCTGTTCCTTCATTGCCGCAATGCGATTGCATTCCTTGACCCGTTGGTTGGCAATTCCAGTGATCTGTGTTGTACCGTCGGCAACGGCAGCCAGAACCGAGGCAGTCAAGAAGGCGTCGGTCATGGGCTCCATATCGACGTGCGGGATGGCCTTCAATTGCCCAATTGGTGGACCAGTCACCGTCGTCGTGTAATCGGTCTGCTTCACGGTGGCGCCCATCGCCTGGAGCACATCTACAGCGAACCGGGAGTCGCCTTGCAGTGATTTCGATCCAATGTTTGGGACCGTGCAAGTAGTGCCCGTTATAGCCGCGATGGCCAAAGGGTAAGTAGCTGAGCTTGCATCGCTCTCGATCTCATACTCTGCTGGATTCTGGTAGACACCCTTTGGAATGTGGTACGTGTTTTCTTCCGTGGTGGAGCGCTCGACTTGAACACCGAACGCGCTCATCATAGAGACGGTCATATCAATGTAGAGTTGTGAGATGGGCTTGCCTCCAACAAGCTTTAAAGTGACTGGGTTCTTGGCGTACGGGGCGGTCATGAGTAGCGATGAGACGTATTGAGATGAGACGGTGGCCGCCAGCTCAATCACGCCGCCCTCGAAGCCGCCGGCAGCATCCACCTGGACGGGCAAGCTGCCTTCCCGGTTGAGATACTTGACCTGGACTCCGTTGGCACGCATAGAGTCGACCAGAGGCCCGATAGGTCTTTGTTGCATCCGTGAGTTGCCAGTCAAGACCGTCGAAGATACAGAGGATGGCGAGGCCAAAGAAACCACGCTGGTCAAGAATCGTGATGCGGTCCCCGCGTTGCCAAGGTACAGTGGCTCCTGGCTCGCCTCAAGCTTGCCGCCCTTGCCTTTCACAACAAGGATCTCGCCACCGTCCTCCCAGGAGTAGGTGGCTCCATTCAGACCCGAGACCGCGGAGAGCATGTACTCGACATCGTCTGAGCGCAGCAGGTTCTTGATGCGCACTTCACCATCACCCAAGGCAGCCAACACCAGAGCCCGGTTCGAGATGCTCTTGGACCCGGGAGGGGTCACACTGATGTTCAGGTCCTTAGGGATGCCAGGCGTGACACGGGTGGCAGGCGTGAGGACGACGCGGATGTTGCGGTCATCAACCACACTCGCCTGGGGTTCATAGCATTTGCCAATTTCCGACAGGAGGACGATCTTCTTGTTGGTGCCGTGGTTCTTCTTGTCAACCGCCATCTTGTCCAGCAGCACATCCACAGGGCATTTCTTCCCTGCTGACAGTCGTACAATACGCTGGTCCTTCAGCGAGGTTGGTAACTCGTAGCTCGCAATACATTTGACGAGACGAGCCACTGCCGCCGGGCGCAGGATGCCAAGGAAGCGGGCAAGCTCAGCCTCCTTGACCATGCCGATGGCAACAGCCTCACCGTGGAGCACCTGGGGCGTGAGAATGGCCTCGTAGGCGTGGCCAATGGAGTGTCCAAAGTTGAGAAGATTCCGCAGGCCACCCTCCCTCTCGTCGGCAGAGACAACCTCGGCCTTGGTTCGGGCGGACCCGAGTACGATCCTCTTGAGGATGTGGCGGATGGGAGCCAACCTGTTCTTTGCCTTTGACTTGACGGCCTCGAGAATCGTGGGGGCATTCTGCTCCAAGGCAGTAAACTCAGTCTCGTCCCAGATGGCGGCCGTCTTCACGACCTCAGCCATGCCATTTATGAACTCCCGAGCCGGCAGCGTCTCCAGGAAAGCCAGGTCAATGTAGACACGGCTGGGTTGCCAGAAGGCGCCGATCAGGTTCTTGCCCAGGGGCGTGTCAATGGCGGTCTTGCCACCAATGGACGAATCGACCATGGCGAGGAGGGTGGTGGGGACCTGGACAAACTTGACGCCGCGCATGAAAGTAGCGGCGACGTATCCGATCATGTCGCCAATGACGCCTCCGCCCAGGGCAATGACCACAATATCCCTGGTGCACTTCTGTGACAGCATCCAGTCTTCAATTTCGGCCTTGGTCTCCCTTCCCTTGGAGCTCTCGCCGGGGGGTATTGCGTAGGTGAGGAGGCGCACATTGCCGGCATTCTTGGAGGCAACGGCGGCGGCGAAGGTCTTCTGGAAGGAGGGGACATAGAGAGGGAAGAGGTTTGTGTCGGTGATGAGGACGTAGGTTGCTGAGGGGGTGTTCTCGAGCAGGTCGTTTGCGACAAAGTTGTGCAGCAGTCCGTAGTCGATTATGATGTCCTCCTTGCCCAGGATTGGGATTCGTGTAGGGCTCGAGGCGGTGCCATTCGCAATGCCATTGGCAGTGCCATTGGCAAGGGGCGCTGTGCCATTGACGGCAGCCATTGTGGCGTGAGGGTAGGATCAGCTGCCCGCAGCTTGCTCAGCTCAGGGTCCAGTCGAGCAGAGCAGGGCGGAGCAGAATTGACGATAGTTGATGCCGGTCTTGTCTCCTATGGCTTCCAATGAGTGAACGAAGGGAAGGGAACGAAGAGGGCACACAGCGATGAGCGAGGAGGGTGGGAGCACAACGAGAAAGAAAGATCACATCAGGCGAGGAGGAGGATGTTGTGGACTGACCGGGCTGCCTATGTACGTATACTGAGTATACTATAGAGAGTATGGGGATGTGCCCACGGTGGCTCTATGCGATGACTCCTCGGTCTTCTTTGGGATGACTCTTGCAGGGCTGTCGGTTGAGTAATAACCCCAGCAGCACGCAGCTAAGCTCCACCGTGATCGGACGGTGCGCTGGGCGGTCGGTTTTTTTTTTTCTTTCTCCCTCTAGCCTTGCATGATGCAGGGGTCGCAGGCACTACCGGAACGTCTCCCCCCACCTGCCAAAACCGTAAGCATGCCTGGGGTAGACTGGATCTGCTATCCGCACCCGCAGCGGGAGCTGCCCTGCCATGCATCGCTTTGTTATGTGCCATTGGGCCATTGGCATATACATACTTGGGGATATTCTGTGCATGTATGTACAGGACGAACTACTGCGTCCACTGCATCATACTATCAATAGCATGCCTATTATGCAGCACGGCGGCCACCACGCAATGCAAAAACGTGGGGTTGCATGTGAATGCGAAGGCAAGTCGACAACAACGAACCTCTCCCGGCCCGAGATGTCAATACTACTCCACCCATCCAACCAAATTCATGCCATCCAACGTATAGTCTCGCCCTCAACCCGCTACTGCAGGCACAGACGGACTGCTCGCAGCACGAAGAAAGCTACCTACTCAGAACGCCGTGCATTCTGTCGTACAAGCTTTCGTCACCCGCATCCAAGACGTCGCCCACTTACTCGTGCCACTGCACCGAGCCCAACTGTCCATCGATAGATAGATGAACATATCCTGCACGGGACATTATTGTTCTGACTTCTGACCTACTTCTAACTTCCTTATCACACATCTTTGCTGTTCATGACTCAAATATGCCTCGCAACCGAGTCCCACGGCTCTGGTAATGCTGTCTAGTCGTCCATTCTCGTCCAAACTATACACCTCGCTCATCATCATCACAGCCTCTTTCTACCCCAGGCTATCACCGACTTAGGCGCCCCAACCTTTCCTCAAGCTCCATCCCGACCAGGCCAGTGGCCAAATTCTTGACATTGACGCACGATTCTTAAACTCAAGCAGAGCCTTGATCAAGCATTGTCGTTGAATCTAGACATCCTGCAACCCGATGGCTGGGAAACGCCGGCTGTACAAAGTTAACCCTTACTAAGACACAGAACCTTATTGACAACTTCGATAAGGTGTATTCACATTGCGACATCATCTCCCACCTTACTCAGATCTATCTACCGCTTTTCTCGCGTACGCCGTGGTGGACATGCTCGACGCAATCTAACCTTTTGATCTACGGTGATGCTTGAGTAGTAGTCTGCAAGAGGGCTTGTCAGGGACGATCATGACCACGCCCTCATCGCATATATTCTCGGCCGTTAATGGCTGGACCCAACGGCTGTGGTTCCTCGGGCAGCGTGCTACACCCGGCGGAGCCGCTGCGGTATCATGCCGTCAGTAGTGTATGGTGGTTGTGCTGCATCTTACAAAATGCGGGTCTGGAAAGAGTCATAGTTTCTATTGCGGCCTGGCAGCGAGATGTACGGACTCTGTCAGTCCTGGCACTTTGATGAACTACTCACAGGTGCAGATGATGAGTTGGGATGGAAAGACCAAACGAGCGTGTTCACGACGACTATCTGTGGCATAGACTAGATACTGGACCTTGTTCAAGACTTCCTCACCGCTCGCTTTATTCCTTATTGGCGGAACAGGCACCAATTCCTTCATTTTCCCGCTTTTAAAAATTCTGGAAAGCTACAAAGAACATACTCTGACCTGCTATATTCATTCTCTCTGGGCGAGACGAGATATTGATGTCGTTACTCACCCCATGAGAGGAGGCGCCCCTTTTCAAGGGCTGGTGCAGATATAGGAATTGTCAACTTTGATTCATGCGCCCATGTCACCGTCATTAAGTCTTAGTAGGCCAGTCCGCGGTCTCTACGTGGAGTGGGGCATGTTGTTACTCACAGACGGCGATTCAGCTTTGCTGGAACACAGACGTTACCGGACTGGGTTCTATGTTATGTATATCGCTATTTGGTCGACGCATCCCGTTTTACCAAACTCCCTCCTACACGGCTATGCGGCTTGGATGTGCTTTCCTCCCACGACACAACACAATGAGATTGCTCCTACTCCTCCCCGGCTCCAAACATTATGCAGAAACCCATCTTCATTTCTCCTAGAACCCAAAGTTATCCAACAAAGAACCAGCGTCTGGCTCCTCAAACATCGTCGGCGGCGGCTGCGGCTTCTTCTTCTCCCCAGTCGGCGAAAGCAGCCCTCCCAAGTTGATTTCCCTTGGGCCCTTGCCAGATATCGGCGAGACGGGCAGATCCTGAACGACCAGTGAGCTGCGGCGCCTGAGCAGCTTGAGTGGGTTAACCTCGCCGCCCAGCTCCGGCTTCAGGCTCGCCCCAGGGAGCAGGAACTCCCAATTACGGACGAGGTCGAGGCCGAGCAGGTCGCATCCCATGCGGTCGTAGAGCCTCGCGTTGTGCAAGACAAATTCCCATTCCACCTTTGGCGTCACCTTGGACGCGCCCCGTAGGGTCTGCAACGTCTTCTGCCGTAGCTGTGCGTACAGTACGATCAGGGCCGGGTCGTCTGTAAGGAAAAGCTTCGAGTTCAAATTCGGTGCGATTGGTGTCTCAACCAGCGTATACACGGGCGTCTAGACCATGTTCAGCAACGTTGCGCCATAATTTATGACAAGAGCGAGTCGCTAAGTAACTTACAATAAGAGCGCGCACAGCCATGTCCCGGCGGTGGAGCATCCAGAATGCCCACGATGCCAGCCAGCGATTGCCTTCTTGTGCAGCAATGCTCAACACCTCCTCTTCCAGTAGCTTGCGCAAGACAGGCCCTTGGTCTCCCTCATAGACTCGAGTGATGGCGATGGCAAGCTGCAGGTCTTTGAGCTGGTTCAAACACACATTGACCGCATCCTGAAGCCTGTCCGCAAGTAGGAAGAAGGCTGCACTGTATTCTGTGGATGTCGTCAGACATCAGAAAGCAGGATCAGTGAGTTGGGATTGGTCACTTACCGAACCGTCGTTTGCTGAGCAACGCGTAGGCGTTCTTGAGCGCCGAAGTCTTCCACCTTGGGTCTTCAAAATTGTTGGCAAGCAATTTTTGAGTGCCGACTTGCTCTCGGTTCCATGATGCCATGCGCCATAGACCCTGAAGTACAGTCTTCTTTCGCAATGCCAGGTAGTACAGACTGCAGTCCACAGGATTCTTCACCTCGTTTTTGGTGTATTCGTTGCGAGCGATTACTTCGAATTGCGCTTTCTGTTGCAGCAAATTAGTGAAATTGATCTTCGCTGTCGCCGGTTGATCAGGCTTACCACAGCTGCATTGTCTGTCAGCCACATAAACATGCCGCTTTCCCGGGCATGCTCCCAAAGGAGACTCCCGTGGTGCTGCCGAGACACGAAATCGGTCAGCATGTCCTGACTGATAGAGTGGTATGCCCAGTTGATCTCTCTCCATGACATAGTCACTTCGTTAGTACGTCTTTTCCGGAGACTATGTTGTCTGTAGTATATCATAAACCTGGCCCCATTTTCGTCCATTGAACGACGGTGTTTTTCTACCATGCCGATGCACTCGATCATGTCCACAAGCTGGATCTGCTCATGTCCTGACATTTGAGGCAAGGCAATATTCGTAAGCTTCTCATTGATGGTCTGAGCCACATCCTCAGTGAAGACTTCATCATCATCGTCCGCGGAAGTCCGATCGTCAAAGTAAGAGCGCGTCTCCTTTCCTTGCGTGGACGCTGGCGCTGATTTGTCAACGTAGAATTCATCTAGCTCCAGTCCTAGATAGTCATCGAACTCATCTCCTTCAACCCAAAACTTGAGAGTCTTGTGAAGTGCCATGAGAATCCGCTGCACAGTCCTCACTTTACCAGCGAGCATGCATTGACTGAGAAATTGTGGGTGAAACACAGGCAATGGACCATTCAGTCTCTGCACGACGTCGAACAAATCCAATTTGCGGTCCTTCGTGTGCGGAAGAGAGACATCTTTGACAAATGTGCTGGGGGCATCGAACTTGCGGTCATGGACAAAGAGTTGATTTCCAGCCCCAATAACGAGATTCCCATCGCCTAGCCAGGTCGAGTCGCCAATGGGATGTGGCGTGAGCTCCCGGATGTCGATCTCTCGTACCGGGGCCCATGCCGGGCCCTTGTTCAGATAGTCAAATCGCATCTGGGAGAGTAAAAGGACACGCGATGGGAACCCAACGGCCAAAATAGACTGTAAGTCTGGCGTGGACGTCCAATCCAAATCCTGTATGGCATTTTGCGCCTCGAATTGCTGGTTGTATTCAAGTTGCGCACCGCGTATGTCCCAGATGGTGACAGCACTCCTACTTGAGTTGACCAATGCCGCCTTCTTCATGGTGCTGCCACTAGCAAGCGCAGGTTCTGACACACCTGTTTCCATGGAAGCTGTTGACAGCCAGTCCACCTTGGCATCACCGACGCGGGCCGTCCAGAATTCTACCCGACCAGTATGCGTGTAGGAAATCGCCACATCGCGTGCGAACACGTCGAGGAAGCCCTGGACCATCGGCGCAGAACCGGCTGGGTCCACGGGGAGAACATAGGATAGGTCACCGGCATCCTGTAATTCAAATTTGTGGAATTCTCGAATTGATGGAGGTCCATGACCGTTCGTACCGCCGCCATTTTTGATTCCATTTGTTGCAGAAGAGTCGTAGAACGGAAGCTTGATTTCCCAGACTAGACCCTTCTTTTCCGAAGTAATAGTGGCAATGTGTGCCACCGAAGATTGCTCGGCAGTTCGTCTGGGAAGGACCAGCAGGCACAGTGGCTTTCCGGAAATTTTGTACTCGATCTGAGCGACTAAACATGGCGTGAGTTGTCTGCAGTCCCAGATGGCCAGTCTATCATGGTGTAGAAAGACCACGAAGCGACCTTTTCGTATCACTGCTATCCGGTGAATGTGGTCCTTCGAAGATATTGTGCTCTGCCGTGTGAGTCTTGTTTTTTCGACGAAGAGTGGATGCTTCCATACAATGGCCTCTCCTTGGCTCGTCCTTGAAACCACCGATCTGCCACTGTAGTTTCGGACTGTCTTAGCGATAGACGCCGAATGACCCGTCCACACGCATCTTGGCCTGATACGGCTCTTACTTGCAATGGGATCGAGAAGACGAGGGAAATTAGCTTCAAAAATTTCAACCCTGCCATCAAAAAAATGAAATAGAAAGTTTAAGTGGCCGTCGGGTTTGTTGCAATATGCATGAATCTCAACGTGCGACGAAGCTCCCCGCGAGGCGTCTCCGAGGAAATCAAACTCGCTGGAGGAGACGTCCACCACCAAAGGAAGGACCTTTTGCTCCTCCACTTTTGATTTCGATCGCGTCTTAGACGATATGTTCTCCATCGCCCAGGCGGACATTTTTCCGTGTCCATCGAAAGTGATGCAGATCTCAGGATTCCGATTAGCCAGCTCCACCGCGTTGATCAGCGGTCCATCTCCTTTGCCATATTCAGAGGGCCCTTCCTGGACCGCTGTCTCTGTGGCGGCCGAGAAATCCCTTCCGTGAACAATGGCAGCCCATCGAAGACTCGGTCCGTCTGCTGACGCAGCAAGATCGATTTTCCCCCAGAGCTGTAAATGCTGATGGTTGTGGCCATCTGAGCCGGTCCATATCCGAAGCATATTGTCGAGACATATAGTATACAGCACGTTGTCCACCGTCTGGTCGACGTGGTAAGGCTTGCGCCATTGTATGCTGGTGACGGCCAGAGGATGGGACAGATACATAAAGTCGAAGCGAATCTCATCTGACACATAGCTGAGTCGTCGCCATATCTTCACCAGTCGGTCGTGATATCCCACAGAGGCAACATACGCAGAGTCGTAGGATAGTTCAGCTTGCTTGACGGGGCTTGCTAGGACTTTGCGCCAGGTGCAAGCGAGGTCGGGAGTCGTCTGATGTAGTGTCACGGCGTATCGGGACACGAGAATTTCTTCGGAGCCACCCCACGACAGGGCCATTGCCTGTCGTGCGCCATCGTATGTTTGCCCATCATCATCAACATCCGGGGAGAAGGTTGTTTCCAGCGCCCATTTCAGGGCGCCATCTTCGTGTGCGAATGGTCTGTATATCCGGACAGTACGGTCTGTACACACCGCTATCTTTCCGGACGCTTCGTCTAGTGCGACGGACTCGAGGTGTGTTTCGTCGTCATCGTAGATGGTCTGCAAGAGGGTCTCGTGGTCGGAGAGGATCGCAATAGCATTGCCGCTAATGTACGCCTGATGAACGCTTCAGCACTCACATTCATGATGATAAGATGTGAAGCAACTCACGATGATGCGCCTCGATTTCCAGAAGCCAGTAGCGAGAGCTTGAAGCCTGGCTTCTGGCTTTCCTGGTAGGACAACCTTCATGCTACCAGGGCCGCGCAATTGGAGCTATCATTGCAGAGGAAAGGACAAGGTTGCGTGGAGGGCAAGACGTAAGGTGGCAGAAAATGGGGACTCTCTCCTCTTCTAGGAGAGGCCTGCAGCTAAAGAATGAGGAGAAATGCAGACCGAAAGCGGCGATGAAGATGAAGTTGTAGTTTAACGAAGATCTGAGTTGGAGCTCCTGACAGCTCGCGTCATTCAACGGGTTGCACCTGACAAGTACAGGGATACATGGGTACTAGGTGACCTAGGTACCTTACACTGAAGCCCCTAACAGGGGTCTTGTACTTAAGGGTCTTCATAGGCTTGGCCGCCCGAAAAGCCCGAGATATGGCGGGGATGGTACCACATCAGCAGACATCACATATAGAATAAGGGTATAAATATGTCATTGCTGTACTAGGGCGTTGCAAGTACGGCTCTGAATTTGATGAGTGGTGATCTTTGGCCTACTCTCTGACAGGCGCAATATTGCAGCCAGCTTGAGTTTTCTTAGCAGTCACCTGAAGGCCAACATGTAGAAACTGACACGGTCGCGAAGCTGGTCCCAACCGAGATCCTGGGTTCCTGGGCTCGTTCGGTGAGGCTTGAGATGTATGTCATGAATCGAAGCCGATTTGGCCGGCCTCAACTAGATACCTGGCAAGGCAGTTGGGCGTTGTTGCGAGACATCGACAGTCTGATGCCTCTAGCAAGCGAACCCCCCGCTGGTGAAGGCCCTGTAATGCTTCTTACAGAGGTATCACGGTTTTGGAAACCCACCTATGTTGCCGTTGTCATCATACTTGGCCTCTGTCCCGGGCGATTAGCACTCATTATCAATAGCCATCCGGCCCACAAACAGTTTGGACCACTCACTAAAAAACGTATAGCTCAACGTGACAGTCTCAACGCCCTTCATGTTCAGATCCGTCAACATGTCCGGATCCAGATAGAAGAAGACAGGCATGTCCACCGTCTCGCCCGCGTTCAGCCTCTGCTCCTCGAAGCAGAAGCACTGAATCTTGCTGAAGTACGGCGCCACCTGTGCCGGCGTCACGCTGTACGTTGCTACGCCTATTATATCCTTGTCGCTCGTGTTGGTGGCCGTGTAGAAAGCGAGGGCGGTCTCGCCTGGGAGGACTCGCACTTCGCGCTGCTGCGGTGTGAACTTCCACGGCAGGACGTCGGATACGGACGCGTTGAAGGTCACGCGGAGGCGCTTGGCGCCCTCGACGGGCACAAGTCGTGAGGCAAGGTCGTCTTCGGAGCCGGATGAACCGCCATGGCTGGGCGCGCGGACAGGTTGTCCGCCCCAGCCTGTAGTTTGGCAGATCTGCTGAGGTTAGATGTTGCTTCGGCGGCGACTCAGAGCGTGACGCACCATCTTGTACATGGGTACCGAGCCGTAGGAAAGTGCCACAGTGCCCAGAATGACGCTCAGCGTGTAGAACCTGTTGAACATTCCCGTCTGATTAGTACCAGTCTACACCTCAGTCCCGGAGGAATTGACCGCGCACATTGTTGTCCGGTTCCTCCTCCGATATACCTCGCGCGCCTGCTCCATGCTAGGCGAGATCTGCTGAGGCGCCCTCCTCCTGGCCGTGTTGCTATTAATTTCGGTCGCATACTTGCGCAGATGCTGTCGGGAGCTCAGGGTCGGCAGCTCAGATCCAGGTCGAGCTCGGGAAGCTGAACAAGCTGGGCGCGACAGCGCCGTAGCCAAGCTTCGTAGCCTCCATATCGCACTTTGGAAGCTGGACATCGTTGTCATAACATTGTCGAGTCGCAGTTTGCAAAGTGGCGCGGTTCGTAGGCTTGATCAGATCCATTACAGCATGATTCTTCCCCGAACCCTGACTGTCACTTTGGGACCCCCCCTGCAGTTCAGACGAGTCTAGAGTTACCTATGAGCACTTGCAAACAAACACTTTGCACTTGAGCATCGCTTTCTTAGTTCCTCAGTTATCGGGTCGTTCAATTTTTACCCTACGACTAAGGATACATATATTTCATATGAATGTTGATTACTGTCCCTTCAATTTCCCCAAGTGCCCATTGATATGACCCACAGCCTTCTTCTCAATTGAGCCCAAGGTCGTGAGAATCCTCTCCAGAGGCAATACCACAAACACATGTATCAATAAAATGATCAACCTCAACAGGTGGTCTGCCAGCCCCAGTACTGGCGCCCTGCCCCGGCTGTATGTTGAATCAACAAACTCAAACGGTAACCTGGCGCCCAAATGATCTTTAGCCACCCGCAATCCGCTGCTGAACCCGTCCTCGTGAAATCCGTACTTGGTCCACGCCCCTGCATAACTGATGCCTCTTCGGTTCTGTATTTTTGGCAGTAGGGCCTGTGCGCGCACCGAATCGCCGTTATATAGAGGGTGCGCATACTCGTAGCGGCCTTGGACAGTCTCGGGGTCTGGCTCATGAAGAGGGTTGAGGGTGACGAGGACGTCGCCGAATGTCGAGCGAGGGATGTGCTGCAGGATGTTCATGTTGTAAGTGAGCGAGACCTGGTCGATGTTGGATTTTCCTGACCAAGGAGACGAGAGGGTCATGTAATTCCAACTTGACCAGGCCTTGCGAGAGGCAGGCATATGCGTCAGATCAGAATGGAGAACGGCCGTGTTCTTGGACGTCTGGAATTTGCTCATGACAGACCTCTCTTCCGCGGTTGCAGTGTCCTTGATGATCTGATAAGCCTGATCGCCATGTGTTGCGAGGATGACATGGTCGTAGAGTTCGCTTTTGCCGCCATGTAAGTGAACCCTCACTCGTCCGTCCCCTTCGCTTGTGACCGACTTCACCGGGGTATTAAGGAACAAGTGGTTTGGCGGAAATCCCTTCATTACGGCATCGATATAACTCTGGGAGCCCTCTTTGATAGTGCGCCATGCAGGTCGAGTCGCTATCGTAGACAGTAGATGGTGGTTCCAGAGGAAGCGCACCAGGGTGACAGCAGGAAACTCTAGTGTGCATTTGTCCGGACTCGTGCTCCATACAGCAGCGGTCATGGGGATGAGATAGTCGTCACGGAATGCATCCGAGTAGCCTTCCCTCAGGAGGTAGTCCCCAATAGTCTCTTCCACCCTGAGCAGCTTGGGCGTGGACACGCCGTTGGCAGCACCATTCCCGTTGACCCGATAAGTTGTAGTACGTTGGGCATCATCCTCGGCTAGCAGGTCCAGGGCAAATTGGTTGAAGCGGACAATGTCGAATATCATGCGCCACATTCTGGGAGAGAAGATGTGCCTCCTCTGGGTAAAGACAGAGTCCAGGCTGGTTCCGGCCCATTCGAACAGACCATGATCGCGAGATACACCGAACGTCATCTCCGTCGGCTCCGTCTGCACGTTGATCTTATCGAGGAAGTTGATGAAGTTCGCTGTGCGCAGGCGATTAGCCGCTGAAATGGGTATGACAATGGAACGGTCAGTCCAATAACTCACGATATGTCGCGCTGTTCATCACAATGAAACCAGTATCAACCGCTGTTCTGTACTTTCCCCGAGTCCATGGCACGGTGTTTGTGTGGCCACCGAGGCGATCGGCGGCCTCGTACATGTAGACATCGTGGGGTGTGCGGTTGAGAGCCCAGAGAGCTGCTATGCCCGCACAGCCGCTGCCCACAATGGCTACCTTCTTCCTGGAGACTGAGTTAGGCCGGCTCATGAGGAGGTAAATGCGACAAATTCGAGTATGGTATCCGATCTTGAGACTGGTTCCCAGCCCCCATAGACCTCAAGAGTAGTGGGTGACTTTACTTCAAGTGCTGGACGGGGGCAATTGGTATGAGACTCTCCAGATTGGGTGACATTCCAGTGCTGAACCAGCTGATCAAGGTATTATGGTGATGGGACAGAAGAGCTGATCAAGTTCCCAGCTCATCACAAACAGGTGCATGAATTAACAAGAGTCAAGTCATGACGCATATGCGACTGGGTACCAGGAGGGAGTGAGGACGGCGTTTTATGACGGTGCAAACAGCTCGGGGAAGGTCTTTTGACATGTTGCAGGTCGCCGCCATGACGCTACTTCCTTAGTCAAGCTCCTTGAGCTGAGCCGACGAGTGTGTGTGTGTGCGGGAAATGCTTGGAGAAGCAGCATGTGAGACGCCATGCGACTTACTCTGCAGCCATCTTCCACCTGATGATTGAGGGACTTGGCTCGGCACTTGAGCTGTCGCACAGGCCGACGCAGCCGCAGAAGCAGCCTACTAGTCACGAAAGAGATGCGTTGGTCCTGCTCACGGAAGAGAACGAGTGACCAAGAGGGCATGCAATGAAGTTGGAGGAAGGCTGATACCGTGTGTGTCCGAGCTGCTAAGCTGGAATCAAGACAACTTAAGTCAATTCGAGTCTATGAGGTAGTCTAGTCTACCCAGGGATGTGAAACGGGAGCCACCTGTGGCTGGTCAACGCGACCTCGGGAAGCCGGACCAGGGTGGCAGGGAAAAGTCGAACAACAGCTGAATCCTCCGTGCCGACTTGAGATGAACGAGTTTGGATTGCCATGGCGATGGGAACAGGCAGCCTGAGCACCAGGGTTCAATAGCGACGTGACGGCAACATCGGAAGAGCAATCATCTCATCTGGCTCACAGATTGTCAAAGTCTGTCTGAATCATAGTCGCAGGCCTTGGTGCAAGGAAATGTCGAGACCCAACGGGATCGAATACTCAGGGAGGAGTGAGCATATTCAATTCTTAGGAGCGCCGAAATTTACTCTGCCCGGATTATTTCAACTCGACAATCATACTGTGTCCCGAAGAACACGAACGTCGAGCCTTATTTCTGCACCGGGGTGTTTCAACTTTCTATGAAGAGGAAAGAAGAGAAAAGGAAAGAAGCTCTCAAAACTCGGCTGGACTTGATATAGTACAGCAATTTTTGCTGGGGTATGCAGCTGCGAGCTCATTGGGTCGTTCAGACCGTCTCGCCCCACATGCCCAGTCTACGTACCGTTATCGATATTTGCTAATCAGCTGGGAACAACGTTCCAAGACCCTTGCGAGGCTTCTACCAATGAGCGACCCCTGAGGACACCGTCCAGGCACTGCGACTCACTGCTGACGCACTTCCCAGACCGGGACCCCAACCGAAGACGAGGCGACAGTTTAAAGCATAACAGCCATTTTCGACATCGTCACATTTTCGTGACAACTCACTGACCCACGCGCTACACCATCCGTTTCTCCACCAGAAGCTGTCAACCTTTTCATTGCTCTCTGCTTTCAGAATACAAGACCTCGCGCCTCCTCTACTCCTACAGCCTGTCCACCAACAGACAGGCCACCCCTTCCACACCCTTCCGTTTCCGGCCTCGCCGTACTCCATCATGTCGAATCCCCTCGACACCGACGCCGGGTCGGAGCTCTTCGAGAGCTACTCTGCCGAGTTCAGGCTCGTGCAGGCCGACTTGCAACAGAAGCTGGACCAGATACCCGAGCTGAGCGGTGAGCCGCGCAAGGCCGCCATCAGCCAGGCCGAGCGGGCACTCGAGGAGGCAGAGGAGCTGGTCAGTGGCCCATCCGTCGAATCGATGCCTTTACTAGACCGGCACGACAGACAAGAAGACCCAAAGCTGACTGAATTGCCTCAAAACTTGTAGCTCGGACAAATGCAGCTCGAAAAGCAAAACATACCAACCTCGGCCCGCACAAAGGCCAACCAGCGCTTCCGCGACATGCAGACGACCATCGACCAGTCCCAACGAAAGCTGCGCTCCCTCGCCGAGGACCGGTCCGCCCTGTTCGGCAGCCGCGAGCGCTACTCGGACGACCCCAACGACGTGCAGCTCGAGCAGCGGCAGCAGCTCCTGCAGGGCTCCGACCGCCTCGACCGCAGCACCCAGCGCCTCAAGGCCTCCCAGCGCCTGGCCAACGAGACCGAGTCCATCGGCGCCTCGACCCTGGCGGACCTGCACCGGCAGCGCGAGACCATCCAGCATACTAATGACACCCTGCTGGACTCGGAGGGCTATGTCGACCGGAGCGTCAAGACGCTGAGGGGCATGGCGCGTAGGTACTGTGACCATCCTATATAATGCCCTTATGAACTGGAACTCGTCAGCCTGCTAACTGTGGTGTACAGGATGGCTACAAATCGGGTGATCACAATCGCCATCATCACCATTCTGGTCCTTCTGATTGTTGCGGTGATTGTCAGCAAGTTTCGATGAGCGAGCGAGCGGGTGACAACTGCCTGGCTGTGTATAAGTGGCTAGGTCGAGGCGTTCTTTAAAGGCGTTGCTTAGGGTGGTCTTGCTGTGCTTTTCAATCTAGATACGAAAGATGGCTGTGCGGATGCAGCCGGACTGTAGCAGTATCGACATGAATAAGGATATGACTTTTTGATTCCGATATCTCACAAAACGCCGATACTCATAAAGAAGCTTTCTTTGGCGACATGATGCGAGCCCACTACCAATGAGAGGGTGCAGATATTTACCTACGTCCTCCCCTGGACTTCATCACCCTGCCGTTCGTTGGCGGTCCCCGCCGCTTGTCCTCGCCTAGTCCTCTCCGCCCTGCCGCGATGCCCTTGCCAGACCTATTCCCACGGGCGTGAGCGCCTCCGCGCGCAGGACCACCTCCACGCGGCTTGCTATTTCCCTTGCTTATCTTCGACTTGATAGCAGCCGCATCATCCTCGTCGACGTCCATGCCGTCCTCGTCGTCATTATCGTCCTGGCCCTTCTTGTTGGACCACTTGAGCTTGCCACGCAGCCCCTTCTTCGGGGCGTCCTTGCCCTTGAGCGCAGAGACGTAAGCATTGACTCCGCTCTCCCCGGCTGGCGCAGCATCGATGTCCATCTCCTCGGCATCCGCCTTCTCGTCGCCGAGGATAAGTTTGCCGTCGAGGTCGACCTTTGCCTTCGTTCTGGTGGGACCGCGCATCTTGACGGGCTTGGTCGAAGAGATGTTCGCGAGGGCCCTGCGGTCCAGCAGATCGAGTGGCTCGTCTTCGTCCTCAACGATGTAAGCCTTGCCCCTCTGCTGCTTGCCCTTCTTTCCTTTCGGTGCCCGCTCATCATCAGAGACATCAGATTCTGCCTCATCCTCGCTGCTGCTGTACAAGGCCTTGTCGAATTCGCTGTCAAAGGCCCTCTTGCCTCGCTTCGGCTCTTCATCAGCCTCCTCACCGTTCTCCTTGGCAGCATCCTTCTTCCTCTTGGTCCGATCCCTTGTCTTGCGGATATTGTTGATGAGCTTTCGGTCGTCTTCTGGGCAGTGCTTATTTACGATTTCAAAACCAAATCTGCGGATCATTCGCTCCAGGATGTGCTTGACCTTGGCACGGAAGTGGCCCTTGTGTTCGTTACTCCAGACCATGAGGTTAGGTATGAGAGTGCCCAGTCTCGGCTCCACCAAATCCCTGGGAAGGCTGATGACGCAGACTTTGACAAAGCCGAGGACACTCTTCACGATTTCTCGATTGTTGGACGTCAGGAATAGGTCCATAGTCTGCACAATCTCAGCGAGGGTCTGAGGGCTCAAGGATTCTTTGAAATCGTAGAGGATGCGGCTTATTGCCGTAATGGAGGCGGAGATCATATGCGGCGTGCTACCTGCAAGACCAGCGCTCACCATCGTGAAGAATTCTTCGATGTTGGCAGTCGCCGATGGGGCATCTTTAGGCATGTGAGGGACTTTGCTGTTGTCGATCGTCGCCCCGGTCGCTGACTCCATCTTCTTTCCCAGAAGAATCAAGAGCTCGAAGGCTGTAGATCTCGCTCTTTCATTCTGCTCCTTGCATCCAATTACAACCTCGGACAAAATTGCTGGAATGAAGTGCAATGCGTCGTTTGGAATGAAGGGGACCATGGCAGACATCGCTGCCAACCGCTCTCGGCGGGCTGGGGCAGAGCATTTCTCTCCGCTTGACAACATCAAAGCCTGCAGCTCGACTTGGCGCTCTTGTAGCGCAATCTTTCCAGTGTCGGACTCGGCCAGGCGAGGAATAAGCTTGTAAGCTTTCTTTTGCAGCTGTGGGTCGCTGTCTTTCATGATGACCACTGAAGAAATCTCGAAGAGCGCTGCAAAGCTTTCCCTGGGAAGATAAATGGACATGGTTATGACGAGGTCCATGAGAGTATGGGTAGTAGCGGGCATCTTTTCGCTCCCTCCCTTTTTCCCATCCTTATCCGTCTTGGAAGATGCCTCTTGGATTGATGACGCCAGCATTTTGCAGACTCGGTCGAATGTCTCCGTCAATTCCGGCGATGGCGTTATACTCAAGTAAGCGTTGATGGTCTGCAGAATTGAGCCGCGCGAGTGTGGAAGAGTTTGCCCGTAGACGTTGAATAAAACAGCCAGGAAATTTCCCGCAAAAGAGCCCAGGTACTCGAGGTTCTCTCGTGCCTGCTGCTTGGTCACACGACTTTGAAGGATAAGGTCATCTTCCTCTTCAATCGACGCGATTGCTTGATTTGACTCCACAAGCGTCTTGAGGCCCTTGCAGATATCGAGGCGAAGCTCGACCTTTTGGTAGAGAAGGTTGGCCAGGAGTTCGGCAAAAGACTGGTCGAAGGCTTCGCGGAGATCAAGTGGCAAGTCGCAATATCCGGGCAAGGTAGACCAGATCTGATGAACCACAGTTTCAAAGATCTTGACCTCCATAGTCTTGTCCGAACCTCCATGGTCCAAGACCCTCTGGAACATCACCTCGCTCAGAGGAACGAGCTCCGACCGGAAGTGCGCCAGATTCGTATTTGTCGTGTAGTCTCTTAGCAGGGGAAGCAACCATGCTCTCCCAGGTTGTCCCTTTGCTGGTTTCGCTAGATTTAAGGGAAGGACCTCGAGAACCGCACCTGGTCCCATTGCCCTGATGGCTTTCCCCAGAACCTCATCCGCTTCCTGCTTATTGACGAAAGAACCACTCCCTCTCATCTCCCCAACCGTCTTGGTCACGTTCAGGAGGTAAGGATGAGCCCTCCACCGGAGGCAATCGAACATAGCACCGACGACATTGAAGGTCTCGGCCCATGCAGCTTGGTATTTGACGCGAAAAAGACCCTCTACCACGTTGACGACCTTTTCTAGTGTCTTTTCGTCGTAGACAGAGGGATCTAATATGACCTGGTTCGGTATGCAGGTTGCAAGGAACGACACGAGACACTCGGACGCCGAGATTCGGATATTATCTGACGGGGACTCGAAGAACTGTGATACTAATTGGAACAGTTCGGGGAGTTTCATGAAGGTGTCTTCAGGCTCGATTTGAGCAGACACCTCGTAACCTCGGGACAGGATGGCTATCCACGACGGTAGGAGTTGTGTGTCATCGGAGGCAGGGCGCAATTCGGAGATGATGTCGAGTAATCGAGGGAGTTTTGCTGAGGCGACTTCGTCCGCTGCCATTCCTTCAAAGATCATGTCGAATATCTCAAAAATGGCCATGGTCATGTGCTCATTTCCAGTGCGGGCAATGCCAATGAGGAGTTCGCACAAGGACTCTATCTTCTTGCTTGGCCACCCCCCACTGCCAGATGCGATCGTCTTGATTAATTGAAGCGCATGAATTGTGATAGGATCTTGACTCGTATCTTTGGCCTTCTTCTCCTTGCGTGAGCGAGTGGCGCTATCTGCCAGCTCGGTCAAGTTCATCATAGCCGCCTCGGCGCACATGTCGGCTGCAGGGTGGTCGAGTGACGGGGTTGGGGGAGGGTTCTTAAGCACATTTTTCAAGGCTTCCTGTGCTCGCTTTCGGACTTTAGGTCGCGGGTCGAGGGACAGGTTCAAAAGACCAGAGACAGCACTCCGGGGGCCCATTTCTGAGACGGTGAGCTCCCATGATGCCGAGTCCTGCGCTAACAGGAGGGACTCTAAGCATCCAATCGACGGCCTGAGGAGCGGTGCATCTGCTTCTGGTTGTGACACGACAGGTGCGAGGAGCTGGAGGATCTGGGTGAATCTGGCGCGGAGGAGAGGCTGTGGAGCGAAGGGCGTGACGACGTCGAGAAGATATACGATGGCTGTGGCGAGGTCCTTCTTCTGACCTCCAGGAGGTGTTTGTCCCAGAAGCGCAAGGAGAGCTGCAAAATACGCTGTTGGCGTGGGCTCGGAGTTCTGGTCTTTCAGGGTTGACTCGACTGCTCGCAAGATAACGGACGTCTTCACAAGTGTAAGTTAGTTCTCGGCGCATTGAGGCCTGAGAGGAACCGGGGACATCGGAGCTAAGCTGACCTGCTGCTGGCTTTGCAGATTCGGCGACCGAATCTTGTCAAGCTTCTCGGCCAGACTTGGGGCAGACATCGTGAATCTTGGCCGGTAAGATGAGGACGGTCTGATAGAGCGAATCCTCAGTCTTGCGCCGCGGGACTCTTAGAGCCCCAGAAAGTTTTTGGCGGTGGGGCCTTATCGTCGATAAGCTCTACATGGTTCTGCCAGGTCTCACCCGAAAGGGAAGGCGGGCATATCTCGGCGGACAGAACATCGAACTAATGAGCGGCAGGGATGAGGCCTAGTGAGAGGTCGGCATGTCGTCCTTCTAAGACCCAGGATTACACTACAACCTCCCATAAGATACCTTCTTTAGTATCACCTCTATGCGATGAATTCAAGTGAAACTATATCCTACAACTCATAGAATCGACCGCAATAGGATATAAGCCATCGCTCGTGTTTAGTTTGATTTATTTCTTTCATTTCCTATATGGTCCACGGTCTCTCTTCTTAGCGGGAAAACGACGTTCAGGCAACGAGAGCTGCAGCCTGCAGGATCGATGCCACCGCTGCCTACTGAATTACCTATTACTCATTCATATATACTCATTCATATAGGCAGGCGGCGAGTCTGCGTCCACCTTCGTGGCAGAATCCAAGTGCCCTTGAGTATATAAACCACCTCCTTCGCCCTCACTTCTCACACCTTCCTGCCTTTCCTCCCCAGCTCTCTTTGCCTCAATGGCTTAGATCAAGTGTAGTATCTGTTCTTATCAGTTTAATCGCTGGTACCGCCCCAACGGGGCACAACCACAATTACTCTCATTTTTGCAACCGGGTGGGCGACCCTCTGAGCTTGCTCATGGACGACCTCCACTGTGTCCTCGGTATCACACTGTCTCCGAGTGACGCGAACTATCCTTTTCATTGCAGTCGTGGGCTTGCCCGCGATGTGAAGAATCGGGGCCGCGCTTCTTCCTCCTTGCTTGACCCTCAGGCTCGCCGCCCCAGGCTGACACGAGCCCATGTGCTGCCTAAATGTCTGGTGCCTGATGACCACGTATGTGACGGCGAGGCCAAACAGGAGCATTCAAAGGACGTCTCCCGGGCTGTCACTAGATTTGGATTATCGCTGAGTCATAGCTGCCCTTCGAGCAACACGACATGACCCGACTATCCGGATCTTGAAAATGCATTTCTGGATTTCTCCGGCCTTGGCTTCCAGATTGTACCCTGTGGCGTCAGGTCACGTCGAACTCCGGCTGAGCAGCGCAACAGTCGCGTGCTTTGATGTATGATTCTTGACTACGATGTCTTCCCTGTATACTATCAATAATGTATTTCTGAGTGAACATCTACGAAGAGACCATCTCGCACAACCCAGTGTCATCGTTTCGGGCAGTCTGCCGTTGTCGAACGCACGTCATGTCCCTAGGGAAAGCGATGTCGGGTTCCTTGTAATGCCTGGGCGGTCCCAAAATGAATAGTGTATTGGAGTCGAGTGAACCCCTCGTTTGGAGTTCATTAGGGTTGTTTATTCCCATCGATAAGCATATGTATGTCCAGCTACCTGACAATTGAGTGAACGTCTGCGATGCCGCAATCCCAACGCCGTGACAGCAAAAGAAGGAACGAGATAAAAACACCAACCCGTACGCTCTGTCTATTTGTTAGCCTAAGAGAACTCGTCCTTCTCGCCCTCCTCAACAATGTTGCCCTTCACCCTGAGCAAAATGGCAGTCTTCCACTTGTCGAGCTTGCTCATCTGATCATAGGCATAGAGCTTGTCGGCGAAGCCCTCTGGGTCGCCGTTCTCGACGGTCTGAATCACATCCACTAGCAGCTGGTGCTCGCGCTGCGTCCCGAAGCTCGGGTCCATGTCGCGATACTTCTCGAGAGCCCGTTGGGTGCCGATCAGGTCGTTGGTAGCGAGGTGGCAGATTCCTGCCTTGAGGAAGTACTCCTTGACGCTGTAGCGCATCAGGTTGTTGTTGATGGACTGCTGTGCGACCTTCTCGTAGTGCTCGATCGCCTTGTTGTAGTCACCGTCGAGGGCAGAGAGGTCGGCGACCTTGAGGTAGAGCTTGTTCGCAAGCCTAAATGGGGAGATGTCAGTGGATGCACATCATGAGTGTCTTTTGTCAGCGAAGAGTGGACGCACGCAGCAGCTCCGTCACTCTCATACCACCCAGCAGCAGCCTCGTACGCCTCGAGTGCGCGCTTCATGTCGCCCAGCTGGTTCTCGAACAGATCGCCAAGATTCTCCTTGTGTGATGCGGCTCTTCGGAAGTTGCCCTTTGTGCAGTACTGGTTGATAGAGAATTCGAGACACCGCGCGGCATCCTCGGGGTTATCCTGACGGTAGACCTTGAACGCATCGACATAGGTGTTGGCGGCATCGTCCGGGTCCTTCAGGTTGTTGATCTGGACTTGTGCAGCCTTCTCGAATGCTTGTCCTGCTTCTCGGTCTGGGTGACATTTAGCAATGTTTCCCAAGTCTATCTACAGCATCGAGAGGCAATGAGACTCACTGTTCTTTTGCATCCTATAAGCGTTGGCGGCTTGACTGTAGAGGTCTGCGGCATCCTGATACTTGCTCTCCTTGTTACTGAAGAAGCCGAAGCCACCAGATGCGCTGGCGAGCATCTTGTCTGCCTTTACAAAAGCTTATTAGCATGACATGAATCCCTCGAGCTCTTGGGGGCGAGTCCAGCGTACCTTCTGCAGCAGTGCACGAGGATCCTGCGCCATTGTCGCAAAGTGTTCAAAGGTCTATCGTAGATGTGGGGTTGGGATGATTCGGGAGCCGAAGGCGCTGCGTGTTCAGTGCCGGGTGAAAGAGGTCGAGGATTGAAGAGAAGCCGATGTCTTGTAAGGGAGACGCGACGTCGGCTAAGAAAAGGCTACAGCTGGCAGGTTGGGTTGGGTTGAGTTGAAAGAGCAGGTCTATCTTGGGAGACAAAGTGGGTTGCTGTTGGCTGGCCGTGAAGCTAAGGTATGACGCCGCACCACGGCCGCAGCGCATCAGATGGGGTCCCATAGTACTCCGCCTCCTGAAGTAGCTGTACCCCCTCCAGGGGTTTGGTGCTGCTGTTTCACGATGCCGGTACGTTCCTTTTTCCCGCCTGCGGCACTGGAGATCCCAGCGCTATTCTCTACCAATCATACCACATCAGACCCGTCCAAACCTCGACTCTCGAGCGAGGCCGTGGTCTACCATGCAGCACACGCGACATTCCTCCCTCAGGACCCCAGATGTGTAAGGTCAAAGACCGTCTTGAAAGGAATCCCTGCATTGCAAATTCCGCGATTTATATTGATAAAGACTCACAATCAACCTGTCTTGAGCAATATACCTCAGTGACATTTGAAATAGCCCCAAAAATCTCAGCAGCTTTCAAGACACCCGGAAAACCTCAGTAATGACGCCGGGTCACCTTCTCTCCAACATGCCGCTCATGGCCTCGGGCTTCCGGCTTCAAGCCCGCGCGGCCAGTCCAGCCGGACCAACCACATGGGTATGCCGCCGGTGCATGTCACAACAACCAACAGCATCATCGAAACAACTACCACCAGCAGCGGCCGGTCCCGAATCGTCAAAGCCCCCATTAGGCCAAGAGACAAACAAGGCCCAAGAGCCTCATCACTCACCCTCACATCCGCACTCATCAGGACAACCAGACCTCAACTCCATATTCGCCAACCCAACCTGGTCGGTTCAGTCCCTGCTCCCCTCGTCACCACCCTCATCAGAAGAGATCACCGCTGCCACCCTACACCACCTCCTGCGGCTGTCCGCCCTCCCGCCCCCAAGGACGTCCGTCGAGAAGGACCGCATGCTCGGGACCCTTCGGGCCCAGCTGCACTTTGTGCGCGACATTCAGTCCGTCGACACCCGCGGCGTGGAGCCCCTGCGCAGCATTCGGGACGAGACCTCCGCGGGCATGGCCGAGTCGACCGTCACCCTGGACACTCTGCGGGAGGCACTGTCCCGGGAGACTGCGGTCGGTTACAGGCGGAGACCGCGGAGGGTCAGGGATGCCAAAGCAGAGGGACTGTCCGAGGAGGAGAGGCTCGTTGAAGCTGCGACGAGGGAGAGAAGAGAGAAAAGGTACTTCGTCGTTGCTAGTAGCAAGGGAAGCGAGAAGGGGGAATGATGGTTCGATAGGACTATTCAGTGAGCACAGCTGCCCGAGCATTGCGAGAGACATTCTCATCCGGCGTTTTGTTCAAAATACTGGCATAGTCCTGGCAAAAAAGCATCCAGGCTAGCGGGAGCCTTTGCCATTTCTTGTTCCCGGAAGCTACTATTTTTCACGGGCTCTTGAACTATCAATGAAGGGTGTAGTATTTGAGTCCACTGGTATATGTGGCTCTTCATGACTCAAAAGCACGCCAAACTCTCATAAACCTCACCTCGCGGTACTAGACTTCTTTGAAGCCAAACCTTCTGTTTTGCGAAACCGAGCTTTCCGATGCTAAACCTTGCCTGATGCTACAACCATTTTCATTCCGTTCCGAAACCTGATCGACGCCTGTACTTCAACTCCCTGCTGATGCCGAATATTCTATGCGATTCGATGACCTAAGATGGAATGGTGGTGTAAGTAAAGGTATAAAATCAACGTACCTCTCCCTACAAACGCCATCTTGGATCTTCTTTTGGTTAATGTACAAGTTTAGGCTTTTAATACGTGATGGAGTCGCCTCCTCGTTGCAGTCGTCGAGTCGTGATGCCTGTCGCTTGATGGCGGTGGCACCCTTGAGTACTGCCCAAATCCGGCTCGGACACCAGTGCCACGCCCGTTGCGGCCGCCCCGAGCACCTGCGTACCAACGGCCACGGCCCCTCTCGGAATCCGGCATTCGTTCATCGTGCCCAGGATGTTTGCGATGCCGGTCCTACTTAAGGCTCATCTTTCCCACCTGACCAGCGAGGCGTCTATCGCTGTTGTTGCGACCATACTTGCCACCACGGCCCTGTGGCTGGGTATTTTCCTTGTTCTCGAAAAATCCAGGACCATGCCCGCGTCCGCGTCCTCGTCCTTGTCCCTGAGTGTGCTGGCCTTGACCAGGTCGACTGCCAACAGCAACAGGCGCTTTCAGCACAGCGGTGGAGGATTGCCCGACGGGTTTAGGTGGGGCAGGAGCCGTGATCTCAAGTTCATCCCAGCCTATACGCTGCAGTATGGTCCCGACGAGAGACGGATACTGCACATGAGCTTTAAGAATATCGGACACGTCGTGGTTCTCAACGCCTCCCACGCCTTCAATGCACCCTAGACCGGCCATACCAAAATAGCTGGGTCCACTTCGTGACGCAAATGCCAGCATGTAGTCGTTCTTCGCAAAGACGTTCACAAAACGGCCCGTCACGACGCTCTTCAGGGCAGTCCAGGTACCAGTGTCGCCGGGAACGGGGGCGCCCATCAAGATGACAGAGTCAACTAGGCCATACAGCTTTCGCTCGGCCAAGTATGTCAGAGTAAGGTAGATCGCGCGAGCGCCAACACCATATCCGATGAGAGTCAATCCTCGTTCTCCGTGGAGATGTCCTGTGATCAAATCAGACAGACAGGAGGAGAGTTTGGTGCTGCGTGTCATGCCCATGATCCAAGCATTGTCGACAACCTTGCTTGATCTCAGGAGAGCATTTGGCCAGTCGGACAGGAGCATCTTGGTGAGGACTGATAAAGATTAGCCTGCATTCGAGGAACTGCAAGGGGCGATTAAGCTTACTGGGTGTGCGGTTGAGCTCCTTCTGACACTCAGCCCATGCCTTACTCTTGAGCAAAGTTTCAAAGGCGCTTCCAATCTTTTCAAGAGTCTCGGTCTCCCAGCGAACAATGTATGTCTCGTTCTGAGACCCCAGCTTCTTCCAGTGGCCACCAACATCGTCTTTATTCGTAAGCAGGCCATTGACACACAAGACGAGACGCATTCGCCGGTCCTCGGGAGCAACGTCCTTCTGGTTTTGAAAGCCAGATTCCTCGGGACCGTGCAGTGGAATGAAACTGATGTCTTGAAGGGTGAGAGCAAAGCTGTCAATGGACTTGGTGGACGGCCGGTTGGGGTTAACTCCGAAAAACGTGGCAAGCGCGCTCTCATTATCACTCAAAGAACCGAGGAGATTGGCCACTGTGACAGGCGGAAGGCTGACAGCTGGGAGACCTTGTCCAGCAGGCATCATGCCCAGGCCAGCTGCGAGGAGGGTAGTGCCGGCCTGGACTGGGTTCGTGACCGGGCGATACTTCCTGAGGGGCCTGGTGTCCTTGACCGGCTTGGTTCCTTGGACCTGCTTGGTCTCCTGGACCGCTTTGATCTCCTCGGCATCCGTGGTGTCGGTATGCTCCACAGCATCCGATTTCTTGCATTCATTTGCCTTCTTGAGCTCCTCCACCTTCTTCTGTTCCTCGGCCTCACACTTCTCTGACTCGTCGCACAGCGTCTTGTAGATCTTGCCAAGGCTTTGGGCAACTCGGTTCTCGTCCTCAATCAAGGCGTACATGGGAATGTGCAGTGAGGACGCGAGGTACATCATGAATATGTGGGAGTATGCGATGTAGTGCTCGGTAGACAGCAACATGAGCATTATTGAATGGAGGAGAAGGCGTCTCTTGTCAACAGGGAGAGTGGTCAGGGGCGTCTGAGCTGGCGGGAAACGTCGTATCAGATTCAAGTCGGCCTGATAGGCAATGCCTCTGATCGCTGTGAATCGTTAGCATTTTTTCTTCTGCTATGGTCACGCAATTTCCCGATCATTGTCTACTTCCTGCGTTGAAAGCTCATGACCCGGGTCGTACGAACAGGCGGACCACCAGTCATTGACCATCTTCGAGCAGGGTCGATCAGCTTACCTTGTTGTGGCTGCTGGGTTCTACCTGAAGCACCAGCTCCAACCGCACCTCCACGAGGAGGGCCCTGGCCTTGCCCGGGCGGTCCAGCACTGGAGTTGGCGAACTTGGGAACGACGAAGTCATTGAATCGCTTCTGAAAAGCGGCCTTCCACTTGCCAAAGTAGGAGCTGACATCCTTCTGCAGCTCAGACATAGACGGAACCGTAGCCTCGACGCTGTTGGCACCGATTTCGGGGATGATAACGAAAGGGGCTTTGCCGTCGTCATCATCAGCACCATGATCGGCATCGCCTGCGTCTTGGCCTTGGACTTTTTCAGGATCTGGAGTGGCCTCGGTCTCACCTGGATCTGGGCAGACTCCGGCATCGTCTAGCTCCTGGACCGACATGCTAGGCTTGCAGTATCCATAAACCACGACGCCGTTAGTTGGAGGTCCAGCGGCAGGATCGACAGAAGCGACGGCAGCCTCCATTACGGGAGCATAGTTCCAGACCTGAACACGGTTCTTCTGAGCAGCAGGGTGGCTGAGGAAGGTGAAAGGCTTCTGGACTTGAGTGCTGATCTTTTCCATAATGGCCTCGATCAGGGTGCTGAGCTCGGCCCTCTGGGCCGTGTTGATGATGGAGCTCATGTCGGCCTCTCGCCTAGGCGGAGGACGTTGGCGGTTGGAGGGCATGTTCAGATCGGAGTCGTTGACGATGACCTCCACTTCGGTGTCTTCGTTAGGCGAATCGTCTCCGTCAGGCTCATATCCAGCGTCGTTGAGGGGTGGATCAGAGGACTGGCATCCACCCTTCTTCGTCGCCTTGGAGCTGGATGGAAGAGAGGCTTCCATCTTGACAGCGCCTCTTGGGGGATGCATTGTTATTGGGGTGCCTGGTGGCGGTCGTGCCTTCCCTTCCTGTTCAGATGTGCAGGTATCGCCAGTTGGGAAGGTGGAGAGGTGAGAGGTGGTAGGTGGCTCCTTCCGTGTTGACAACGAAAGTGGCAAGTCGACGAGTTGGCGTCTCGAAGCGTACTGAAAGCAGGTAGAGCTGCCTCCCAGGGAAATCTCGACCTCGACTCAAAAAGGCAGGGGTTATGTCCTCGCCCAAACGGGCTTCCAAAGTTGAAGGAAAGATCGTGGATTCGAGGTAGAGCGACTTGCGGGAAGGTAAGGCACGGTAAGGTACGGTGTGATCAAGGCTGGAGGGTACTACAAGTATTGGTTCCCCAGGTGTTTGTTTGCTCTGCTCGTACCTCTCAACTTTTGACTTTTGGCTACATTTGATGTCAGTAGCCGTGTGCTGTTGTTTCGCAGTGAATCCCCTCGCAGTACCCTACGACTTTCTCTGTGACACGAAGGCTGCCGGCAGTTAAGCTGCAGGATCCCATCCAACAAACCTCAGTACCAGTCGTCTGGAAAGCCGTTGTGGGTCATAGAACCAACACAATTCTAAGACATACTGTGACTTGGTCTTGTGTTCTGCTGTCGGGCTTTTGCAAGAGAAAACCAAGTCGTCTCAAGACCGTGCAGAATCGAGATTCAGGCATGCGTATTCTTTTCCCGTTGCCTGCGATTCTTACAAGAGTTCCCATCTTGTGAGAATGCAGAAGTCTCAGTTCTCATCATCACGACCGGCTCATAAGATACGTCTCCAGGCACTTCTACATCTCTGTCCAGGTGCTACCGGCTGTGCGTTTTTACAAGGCTTTGTGCTGCTAGGAATTACAGGGGAACCATCTCAGTCTCTGGATTCTCACTCATCCAGCAGTACCAGAAACGCGCGAGGGCAACGTTGCTCATGATAAGTGAGCAAGTTCACCCATCTCCACGCCTGTACTCTCTGTCCGCTTAAGTCCACCCTAGGTCGTACCAACGGCTTACCCCTGGCACTCGGTCGAGCAAGCCAGCGATCAAGGCTAATGCACCCCGCAAATCTCACAGATGATCTGCCGTCGGATAGGGCTGACATTAGCACTCCCGCATCCATGTGTTCGTGGCGGATCTTCGCTGCGATGCAACAGTGGCAGCCCGAGCCTATCTAACACCTGAGGATTCCTTTCACCAGATCTGGGGTGCCTCTATGAGGCCGATCGCCTTGTCCAGAAATTCTCTGAGGCAGGCTCATATGGACAGGAAGCCTCGACGGCTGCCTTTAGTGATGTCGCGAACAGATTGTCGTTGGATTGAAGAAAACAGCGTGTGTAGGTATTGTTCATGCACTGCATATCTTCTAAGTGTACGCAGGTGGGAGCGGCCGTCTACTGAGCTTGTAGGCCTATATCGTACGCATATCGGATATCTGTGTTCATGGATGTGACCCACACATGGAGAGAGTAGAGATATAATTACTTGTACGCCATTGGCAGGCTGTTTCTCGACGAGCGAACACTTGGGTTGTTAGAACTGAAAAGTTAGTCTTCTGGCGGGGGCTTGCACTTGGACAGCAACTGAATTTCCATCGTAGGAGGCAACACCAAGAATGATCGCACAAAAAGATAGCCCGGCCTGAGGCGAACAAATCTGTACTTGGTAATACTTGATTCTCGTCTATTAACAGGAAACATACTCTCGGGGGACTTCGAGAGCGCCACATCTTCAACGCCGTTGCCATCCGGTGGGTGATTTGCCCACTGCCCACTCCATAACCAAACGGTAGCCACTAAATCGTTGTTCAAACCCAAAACAGAGAGGAAAAGTAAATGATTGTGTGGTCCGATCACAGCCTGACCTTCGCGCCAATCCCTCGACCTTCGTACCAAACGGTTTCCCTCCAGTTTGCTATCCTCAGACCGACAACGGCCTTGGCGTCCAGCTTCAAGCCACCGCCAAGGGCATTTCTGATCTTGTCATACGTGTCGCCATTGCCAATGCTCCAGTCTACCGGTAGCCGCGGAGTCTGCGACAGACCAGGAGGCGCGGCGATGGGTAGATCGTAGACAATCTTGCCCACTGGCTCGGTATGATTGTAGAATGCGGTGGCATTGATATGCTCAATGTACACAGTGTTGTACTGCAATGGGCTAGCAAGCGTGAAGGTCGCCGAGGACGAGACGACGTGGAACGTTGCGCCACGGATGAAGTGGCCTCCCCTATCGTCGCCGCCGCCTCCACCGTTTCCATCGTCATCGCCGGGTAAGTGGATGCGTGGGGTTGGTACCGTGAGATTGAGGTGTGATAGGGCTTCGCCAAGGATGGGTTGCGACGGTATGCTGTTGCGGTGCGCTCGTACGGTGAGCGATGTGTTCCGCCCGGATAGGTATTGTGACAACAAGTCTCTCGCGATGACTTTTGCTTTGTCGCCGCCTAGCGACGGATCCCACTTCGCCGTGACGATGAGGTTCGTGTTGTTACCCCTTGTAATGTCAAGATCCTCCGCAGTGACTTCGCCGATGACGGATCCGTTGCAGAGAATGTGAGCATTAACATAAGGGATGTGCGCAGTGTAGGGTGACGGATTCGTTATGTTGACAAGGGCTCGCAACTCTATCGCACCCGGTGAGGTGTTCATGATCATAATATTGCCAACCCTTGGATTAATGCTGTGTAGCGGATCTTCTTTTGATCCATCCGGACTCTTCATAATAGCTGTATAATCGTTAGACTTGCTCTGATAACCAGAATCAAGGCAGGAAAGTTCAGCCCTGACAGACCGGGTGGTTCCAAGGATACTAACACTACCAAGAAGAAGACGGACGTTTTACTGGAATCTTGCCCTCAGCGGGGACATCCTTCAGAACCAGCTGACCAAGGACTGTCTGCACCTTGACGTCGACCAGAGCCTGAACATCCAAAAGAACGGATTTGCCCTGGAATAGCAGGGTCTGGATCACATCGGTGAGCACATCTCCGTCGGTCACATTCAGAGGCGCATTATCAATGCGAGACGTAATCTTAAGCTCAGGTTCATCGGTTTCGTCGTGAATCTTCGTGGAGTTTGCGTCTCGCCACTGGCTCACGTCGAGAACACCCAGCTTCTTCTTCTTGTAGAAAACATCGGCGGATGCGCGGACTTTGGTGACGTTGATACCAAAATTCATGTCCTTTGGAAGCCCAGCAATGACATTGATAGTGCCTGACACTGTGGGGTTGGACGCCGCGTCGTCGGGATCAGCCAAGGGATCAGGCAGGCTGAAGTGGGCGTCGGTCAAGGAGAAATTTCGAATTAGGTTGTCAAACGTGCGCCCAGGAAAAGGTACTGGCACAGTGACCTGAGACAAAATTTCATCCACCCACTGAGGGGTACCAAGCGATGGCCTCTGCTTCCCCCTCACGAAGACGGTTGCCGCTTTGCCGCCTAGATATTCCTTTAAGAATCGGTCCAGAGGCGACTGTTCAGAGTTAGGACATAGCCGTGTCAATGCGTCTGGAAGTTGCCTAATTGTCCCGTGAACACTAGCAACGACGAGCTCGTGAGGTCGTATGCCTACGGGGTCCGTCAGGGCGTCAGCGACGAGGATGTATGGGTCGTTGATTCCGCAATTTGGCACGAGAACCTCGAAGCCAAGCGGTGGGATATCCACCTCGATGGGGTACTTGTTCAACGCTTCAATAGAGACATCGGCAGCCACTGTGTGATTGTCAATGTCTCGGAACAACACCTTAGTAATATTGTACTCTGGAATGCTGGGCACGTCGCTCCCTGTACAAGTAATCAGCCAATCGTTCACAGGCAATAAAAGGACTCGCAGGTGTAACAGCAAAGTGATTTGATAATTTAGAAGAGTGTTTTTTCTCCAAAGTACAGGGACGCGAAGGATTGGTAGAGAGATTGACCTTCAATAGTCAGGGCTTCAGACACGGCGTGCGTGCCAAGTGGAATGATGCCCGTCTTGAGCTTTATGTCGGCCTTCCCTTGGACTCGTAGCCTTCCCAGCCTGCCTTCCAGCCACTCATTCGCGATAGTGCGTATGCCGTCAGCCTCTCCAGGCATAAGCTCGGCGACAAAATCGATAGCCGTGTTGTCGCCATTAATCTTCAGGTTGAGAGGCGGTATGCCAGCGCTACCGATGCGGATATTGTCGTACTCTGGAAGGAAGACATGGACTTGAGTGGCGTCAGTGTCCAGTCCTCGGACGAACCACGTTGCGACACGTCCCACTCTCCTAACGTGCTCATTTTCGACCCTTGACCCGTCGAGCTTGAAGTTGGCCTGAATGCGCGCGCGCACACCATTTGCAGTGATCGACTCCAACGAAAGGTTTGTAGGTTCAAGCACAGTAGCTTCCTTGGCGTATTCCTCGACGGCCTTTGGGACAAAGAAGGCGCCAAACATGATGGCGATCGTGAGCACGCCCAACACGATCATCGCAATGATCGAGGGCCATCTCCGTCGTGATGCCTTCGCCGCAGACCCGTTGCTGCGGTAGGATCTGACAGACGCACTGTCGTTGCCGCGTTCCTGCTCTTGTTCGGCTCCATCGTAGTGGGCGGTGTCGGTAGAGTTCGGGAGCAGCGGCGTCGACTCGTTCCCGGTCTCTGGGTCTTGTCTCGAGGAGGATTCATCCGCTGAGAGCAGCGGGGATGATTCCGAATCTGACATCGTGCTGTTCTGACAGCAGAATGACCGCTGTACTCGGGATTCAAGATGAATACGGTGTTCGGGGTTCTAAGATGGTGGAGGTGGAAGTTGAGGCAGGGCCGACCTTAGTCGGGTCCCCGGATCGAGGCTGTCAGATGAGACCTCTTAGATGCACCAAAGGAAGGCAGTAATGAATGAATATAGGCGACAACCTTTGCAATGATGATGAAGTCGAAGCAAATGCAAGTGTTCAGGAACCAGCGGTAATGGTGTTGCGGGTAGACTAATACAGATGAGGGCTGTCAGGCGGGCATTTGGCCATAGTCCAGGCTGGCGGGACGGAGAGAGCGTGACGGTGACGCAAGGGCCCAGACGGGGCTGGTTCCAATTCGCCAGCTGACCGGGCTCTAGATCCTCATCAGTCAGGGGACCTGGAGACATCATCCCAACCATCTCCACCTGCCGACGGAGGTACCGCCAGTGCAAACTTAGTCAGGGCCTGACCTACCTACCGCTGAAGAGTCACCGAAAATCCCAGCCCTCTTACACGATCAAGTACAGTTGAAGCTGTTAGTGACTAGGGGCTTCTGGTGCGCGATGGAGCACCAACATATCGTCACCTGCAATGATTGAGTATAGCAGGGAATAGGAATGGACCAGGGGTTATATACAAATTTTAGGTACCTGAGCGGGAAAGAAAATGCTTTGCAGCACTATTGCTGCGTGTGACTCTACCACGCATGTCAGCGTCGCATACTGTGTATCCCTCCCCACCAGGCGGGAGACGGTTGATTTAGCTCCAGCACCATCCAATGTTGATATACTGCGTATCGTCTGCCCCTCCACCAATCCGCGGTGTGGAATTGATCGTGACCAGCTGTTAGTCACATAACTTCGATTAAGCTTCCGAGTCCCAGTTCCATCGTGAGCACCAAGGACCTGCCAAAGGTCACTCGCTCACAGCAACCTCATTTCTTTCATGTAGGCGTCTGGATCGAACCAACTTTCCCATCTCATCTGGTTCACAATCCGGCCAGAAGCTGAAAATTCCCCAGATTCTCGGAGCAAGAGCTCGACAACGCCTTGTCAACATGTTCCGCACGGCCAGGATCGCAGCGGCCCGTCTGCCGCTCAGCAGAGCATATTCCAGCTCTGCGCAACCTCGTCACTTGATGTCCATCAATGATTTGACTCCAGTCGAGTTCGCCCAGCTCATTCGCAGCGCAAAAGATAGCAAGACAGAAGTCGCAAAGACCGACAAGCTCAATGTGCTCGGTAGTGCTCTAACGGGCAAGACAGTTGCTATGATGTTCAGCAAGAGGAGCACCCGAACTCGTGTCTCAACTGAAGGTGCAATCGCTTTAATGGGTGGCCATCCCATGTTTCTGGGGAAGGATGATATCCAGCTTGGTGTAGGCTCATTACTTCGCATCACTGCGTGAATTGTATTTGGGACAGTATGTATGCTGACTGACTCCATGTGTAGGTCAATGAGTCACTCTATGATACCTCCGTGGTGATCTCCTCTATGGTCCAAGCCATGGTTGCTCGTGTCGGGCCACATTCAGACATCACCGGCCTGGCCAAGGACTCAAGTGTCCCTGTCATCAATGCGTTGTCCGATGACTTCCACCCGCTTCAAACCATCGCTGACTTCCTCACCATCCATGAGGCATTCCCGTCCTCCTCAACGAGCCCAGCAAGCCTAGGTCTTGAGGGTCTGAAGGTCGCCTGGATCGGTGACTCAAACAACGTCCTGTTCGATCTTGCGTCCGGCTGTATCAAGCTGGGCGTCGACATTTCCGTAGCCTCGCCCGCTGGTTACGGCATCCCTGAGCCCATGAAGAAGCACATTCTCTCTGCTGCCAATGGTGTCTCTAGCCCGGGAAAACTGTCGGAGACTACGGTTCCTGAGGAAGCGGCCAAGAATGCGGACATCTTGGTCACCGACACCTGGGTTTCCATGGGACAGGAACAGGAGGCGCAGAAGCGGCTGAAGGCTTTCGCTGGATACCAGATCACCAATGACCTGGCCAAGAGGGGAGGTGCGAAGGAGAGCTGGAAGTTCATGCATTGTCTGCCGCGACACCCTGAGGAGGTTCACGACGAGGTGTTCTACAGTGACCGATCGTTGGTATTCCCTGAGGCTCAAAATCGACTGTGGGCCGCTGTTTGTGAGTGAACACTTTATTCAGCAATTTTCAATTCATCTCGAACGAAAGCTGACTCTCAATAGCTGCACTCGAGGCATTCGTGGTCAACAAGGGCCGCATTTTGTGATGGAAAATCTCAACTAATCGCAGCTATGGCGTTGCTGCATTTTTTTCGATCTCGGGGAACCTCGGCCTGGTATTGGCGTCTAAAAGTGAAGCAAAAGTACTCGCACCAAATTTACGCTCACGATAGCATCTCAGTTGAAAAGACAAGCAATTTCTTGCAAGACTCAATTTTATTTTGGTGATTATGGTAAATTTTACAGTAGTATCTATCCAGGTGGCAGCTGGCTAGCGTCAACAACGTCATCAGCCTCCTTGATACTGTTGTCGTCCTTGGGTCCGTAGAGAGGTGAACGCGGCATGGCCATCAATCCAGTCCGGGCAGACTCGAGAATGCCGAATGGGCCGATCAACTTCAGGAAGGAGTCGATTCGATTTGGCTTGGCGGAACTGGAAAAAGTCAGTAAGCAACATCTGAGGTGCTCATGGGGGGCGTCTCACATTTCGACAATACAACTGCTATTGCTGATATCCAGCACCTTGCCTCCGAACTGATGCGCAAAGTATGTGATGCTCTTCAGATGCTCATGCTTCAAACGCAAAGCCTCGCTGGGTGCTAGCCGACTAGGATGGAAGTCCTCCGATGTTTCGCCCAGCGAAGGTGCGTGGTCAGAGACAGAAGAGGAGCCTTCGTCCTCAGCCTCGGCGGTGATCTCGCGGTGGTGAGCCCACAGCTCTTGGAAGTACTCAGGGCCGAGGATGTTGATCTTGGCGAGGAGCAGCTCCCTCTGCACAAGCGCGGCGCTGGTGTAGTCGAGCACGGCCCAGACGGGAACCAGATCCTCCAGCTGGCGTCTCGCCTGCTCGACGACGCCGTCTTGGCCCGTCAGCACAATGGTCATGCGAGACAGGTCGGCGACCTCAGTGCTGCAGACAACCAGGGAGTCAATGTTGAAGCCGCGGGCTGCCAGGATACCGGACACGCGGGAGAGGACACCGGGTTCGTTCTGCACGAGACAGTTCAGGATGTGGCGCTTCGGAGGGGCCATGGATGGCGACGGGGTCTCGTAGAGAATATTGGACACGGCGGCCTGGGCCGACCATGCCGGAGGCGCTTCATTGGTGGGCAGAGGAGCTTGTCGACGGCGCAATGCCTTGTAGGCGATGGCTGAGGTCGATGAGCTGGAAGAGCTTTGGCGGGCAGCCATGGTGGGAAGAGAGGTGGCTGCCGCAGGCCTGAGCCTAGAGGCTGCTGCCCGACATTGCGACAACAGAATGCTTCGGGGCGCCATGCTTTCGATCAACTCAGAGACAGTCTCCGAGAAGAATCGATGTCAGGCTCTCCGAGAGAATGGAGTGGTGAGATCAATTGGCTTGTCTGACCGCCAATCGAGTGTGCCTTTTGATGTTGAGATCTGAGTCAACTTTTGTTGTGGCCGGCCTGCGATGAGCAACTGAATTAGCTCGGCACACAGGACGACATCGGAGGGACCCTGGCGAGCTGCAAAGCTTCCCCAGATCGACTAGACTAACAATTTTCACGCTTTGGCGCTACCCACACTTCGGCCACCTCCCCTGTCAAGTTTCGCGGGACCGAGAAGCACAGCTGTCAATCAAGCACCGGTGGCATCCACCTGGCTACATGGTGTGGTGCTGCACCGATCAGCAGCCCTGAAGCTCAAAGCAGCAGTCTCACGATTCCACAACCACCCGACCATGCTTCACAGTCCACGACTCACGCCTTCTTCCTCGTAGCCCCATGGCACTGATCGTTATCGGGAAATCTCCAATACCATGTTCTCTGCCATAGCGACTGCTCCGGCCAAGCAGTCGGTAGGCGAAACGATCTCCGTCCTCAGCGGTCGTCTGAGCTCGGCCACTCTCCTCGAGGACCGTCGCGCCGCCATACAAGGGCTGCGCAGCTTCGCGAAGGACTACCCAGCTTCTGTATCCTCTGGAGCTCTGCGCAGCCTGATAGGCTGTCTCAGCAATGATGGACAAGACGTGGACACGGTCAAGGTGGTTCTCGAGACCCTACTGATGCTCTTCAACCCCAACGAGGGCAGCCCCGAAGCTTCAGAAGAAATCGCCCTGTGGTTGGCCGACGAGTTTACACAGAGACAAGAGAACATCACGCTACTGCTTGATTTTCTAGAGACCACCGACTTCTACTCCCGACTGTACTCCCTCCAGCTGCTCATAGCTATCCTCTCTGCGCGAACAGAACGCACCGAAGAATGTGTCTTCACAGCGCCCCTCGGCATTTCCAGGCTCGTGGCCATACTCGACGACCGAAGAGAAGCCGTCCGGAATGAAGCCGTCACCCTGCTCATCTATCTGACCCCCTCAAACGTTGACATACAAAAGCTAGTCGCTTTCGAAGATGCCTTCAAGAGAATATTTACAATCATCTCCTCAGACGGCTCCCTCACGGAAGGCGGCCAGATCGTGGAGGATTGCTTGATATTGCTGGCGAATTTGCTGAGGTTGAATGCTTCCAACCAAACTCAATTTCGCGAAACAGGATGCGTACCTGAACTGGCACAACTGCTCCAGAGCGCATACAAGCCCCCGGAGGACGGTGAGGAGGTGGCACCTTGGGCACAGTCTCAGCGTAACCGAAATGTATATGCGTTGCTAGCAGTCATTCGCCTATTCCTCGTTCGTGGCGCTGTTGGCACGATGCAAAATCAGAGCGCTTTCTGGCAATATCATCTTCTATACCACGCCCTACAACTTGCCTTCAGCCACTCCGCTGAGAACCCTATCAAGGCCGAGGTACGTGCTACCCTGTCCTGTATGTATCCTCACGTAGACCTAAGTATTGTTGCGGTAGGCACTCGTGACTTGCGCCGATATTATCAGGGCCAACCCAACACTCCAGGAGAATTTCGCACAGCTCCAAGTCCCCTCGCCGCTTGAGATCCCAGTGGACGGAAATGGTGCTCAGGCCAACGGTGTCCCCAAAATCTATGTTATTGACGGTCTTTTGGACCTCACTCTGTGCGTTCACAGTCTACAGGCCTTCGACATACGGATGGCGGCGTGTGAAACCTTGAAGGCTTACTTCTTCAACCACCCCGGGATTCGCGAGCATTTTCTTCGGCGAGCCATCGAAGGGCATAAGTCAGGAACTATCGAGGACGCAAACATTTTGACGACCCTGCTTCGGTCGCCAACCGAAGAATCGACAGTTGACCCTTACAGACACTGGTTCGCAGCATGCATCATGCTGCATCTCGTTTTCGAAAATGCGACAACCAAGGAACTTGCGAGACAAGTTACAGAAGGGAACGAGGCAGAAGGGGAGGAGGTAGTGACCAGCATTCAAATCATCACTTCACACCTGATCGGAAGTCTCTCACGAAACGACGATGAGCGCATCACTATCGGATATCTGATGCTCCTGCTCTGTTGGCTGTTCGAGGACTTAGATGGAGTGAACGAGTTGCTAGAGGAAGGTAGCAACGTCCAGCGCCTCATCCAAACCGTCGTGAAGAACAGCTCTAGTGAAACACTGGTTCAGGGTCTCTGCGCCATGATGCTCGGTGTGGCATATGAATTTTCTACCAAGGACTCCCCGATACCACGAGGAACTCTGCAACCGCTGTTGATGTCCAACATGGGCCGTGACAGGTATATCGATAAAATGAGCAAATTGCGAGCTCACCCACATGTGCGGGACTTCGAGATGATCCCGCAAAAGCTTGATCCTTCGACCGGCAAACTTCCTGAGGTCTACTTCGACGAGACATTTGTCGATTTCTTCAAGGACAACTACAGCCGCATCCTGCGTGCCATCGATAGAGACCCCGGGATGGAGATCTCAGTAATCACCAACGGTGTCCAGAAAGGAATATCGCGAGAGCTCGTCGACTCGCTGCGGTCTCAGCTGGATGAGAAGGAGAAGGCCCTGCAAGGATGCCAGGCGAGCCTCGCCCATCTTGAGCAACAGCTTGGCCAGGAGCGCGCAGATACGAGACGCCTCAAGGAAACCTCCTCAGTCGAGCTCACGCGAATAAAGTCCGTCAACGAGAGTCTTCAGAGAAACCATGAGGCAGAAATCCGGCAGCTGCACGAGCAATACAGTGCGAGAGAGGCCGAGCTTCAGAGACACGTTGAGACGGCGCGGAAAGAAGCTGCGTCCGAGATCGAAAGACTTCAGAAGAGGGCCGATACAGCGCAGAAGGAGGCTGCGGCCGAGGTAGAGAGCCTTCAGAAGAAGGCCGAGGTCGATCTCAAAGCAAAGATTGAAGCGTACGAGAAGCAGCTCCGACTCAAGGAGGAAGAATATCAAAACCAGCTGGCGTTGAAGGAGGAGGAGTATCAAAAGCAGTTGGCATTGAAGGATGAGCAGCGCACCCGCGAGGTCGAGGAAGTTCGCAAGCAGACGCAAGAAGGCCACAGGCGTAGACAGTCCGAGGCAGATCGGTCGTCAAGGCGGGCAGAGGCAGAAAAGGCAGATCTGAAGGCCACAATTAGCAGGCTCGAGGTGGACCTTATGAAGGTGCGGTTCTTTCCATTTGACAGTGGCCCTTGAGTTTGACGCTAACATGCGATAGGCAAACAAGAGCAAGACACAGGATGCATCAGCAGCCAAGGAGGCCGCAGAACGTGCTGCAAAGAAGGCTGCTGAACTGGAGAAGAAGGTCAAGGACCTGGAATCAAAGACCAAAGAGGTATGCCGCGCTCTTATGCCATTGACGAAGATGGTGCTTATACTGATCATGTTCTTAGGCCGAGGCACTTGTCCAGCAGAAAGAGACGGAGAAGGAGTCTACACAAGGCGAGCTGGATGACATGCTGATGCTCTTTGCCGATGCCGAGGAGAAGGTCAACAAGTACAAGGAGAAACTCAAGGCCTTGGGCGAGACCATCTCAGATGATGAGGACGAGGACGAGGATGAGGACGAAGATGAAGATGAAGATGAAGACAGCGAAAAGGAAGACAAGCCAGGCGAGAAGGGTGAGAACGACGTGGACTAGGGGTCCCCTCCCTCAGTATCCTTCTCCACGCAGTTCCCTCATATCAAGCCCTAGGACTTTGGGGGATTTGTGGCTGCGCTTGCTGCTTCGTATCGAGACAAAGCCATCAATGGCAGCCCGAGGGACTCAACGAGATTATGAAAGCATTGCACAGCCTGCGAAAGAATTTTGTAACATGATAAGCAGCGACCAGAGGTGGGCATAGCATTTCAGGAACCCTGCCAACTATAGAATCAACAAGACAACATCAGAACATCACGCCTACTCGAGATGGAAAAGTCAGGGAGCACAATATAGCCCCGATTGGGAAGGCTGACACTTCCCAGAATTCTAATTGTAGGGAAGCTCTCTGCTCGGCGTGACCCGTAAAAGTTCCCCCCATGCAAATTTTTTGGGGTTGCAGGCTTGCAGCTCTTGAATTTTCTGCTCGCCCGCTGTGCAGAGTAGCGCTGCATGGATCTTCCACCTGCAAGTTCGACCCTGACCTACGTATGTACCATATACCCTTCACCTATCAAATTTCCATTATTCAGACCCTGTGAGTGCCACCCATTTTCAATTGCAACGGTGCTTCTTTGTTTTACTGGTTTCTCTCGGCCTTATATCAGGAACGTTGGTCAGACAGCGCTAACAGTAGCAGTACTGCATAAAAACGTCCTGAATAAACAAGTAGTGCTCCGTGCCCATCCAGAATTCAGCTCACCTGCACTGCACCATGTCCAAGGAAGTAGAGGACATTGTCAGCGGGTCCGAGGGCTCTGAGGGCTGGGATGATGTCGACGAGGGTGGTGACGAGGAGAGCATGGAGATTGTTTCGCTCCTGGACGACAAGGTCTTCCCCGACGCAGCGTCGATGCTGGAGCACTGCAAAGGCAATTTCAACTTCGACTTCGTGGCAGTTCGCGATCGCCTCGGTCTAGACTTTTACGGCAGCATTAAGCTCGTCAACTTCAGTTTGTCGCGTCTGTCCCTGGCTCATGTCTCAACCTGCAGCTAACATTTGCCTAGTCCGAAGCACTGTGAAAGCTGGGAAGTCTCTGCCGGATCAGATCACTGAGGCGGATATACAGGATGACAAATTCCTGATGCCCGTCCTGGCCGACGATGCGCTCATCATGTGTCTAGATGACCTCCCGCCTGCCTCAGGGGTTGCGAATGGCAAAGGCAAGGCTGTTGAGGAAGCATCAACAACAGAGACGGCTTGCGACGCTGCGAGCAAGAACGCCTCTCTGCAGGTCCAGCTCGACGAGCTCAACAAGCAATTCGCCAATTACCGACTTGCTGTGGAGCAGACCCTTGATAAGCGGTGGCATGCCGATGATGACGACTCGTCGCGGTCGTCGGCAGAATCGAAGAAGGAGAAGAAGGATGAATCACAATACTACTGGGAATCCTATGCACACAATGGTACGTTGCTGATGGCTCTCACGGAATGGCTGGGACCAAGTCCTGACAAATTGACAGATATCCATGAGACCATGCTGAAAGACACTATTCGTACGGAGGGGTACCGAGACTTCATCTACAACAACAAACACCTCTTCAAGGGCAAGACCGTTCTGGACATTGGGTGCGGAACCGGCATCCTGTCCATGTTCTGCGCCAAGGCCGGAGCCGCACACGTCTACGCCATCGACAAGTCCGCCATCTTGGACAAGGCACGCGAGAACATCTTCAACAACGGCCTGTCTGATCAGATCACCTGCCTGCGCGGCCGCGTCGAGGACATCGTCCTGCCGGTTGACAAGGTCGACATCATCGTCTCGGAGTGGATGGGCTACGCGCTCCTGTACGAGGCCATGCTGCCCTCCGTCCTCTTCGCCCGTGACAGGTACCTCAAGCCCGATGGGCTGCTGGTGCCGTCCCACACCACCATCTTCTTCGCGCCCGTGTCGGACCCGGAGTACGTGACGGACAACGTCACCTTCTGGCGGGACGTGTACGGCTTCGACATGAAGGCCATGCAGGAAGGCATGCTCAAGGAGGTCAGGGTACAAACCATGCCGACCGAGGCTCTCTGCGGCAGCGCAAGCACGTACGCGCTGGATCTGTACCATGTAAAGGTCGAGGATCTCACCTTCAAGATCGACTGGAGCAGCAAGCTCAGCAAGGATATGGACAATGTGGACGGCTTCCTGATCTGGTTTGACAACTACTTCGCCACGACACGTCAGAAGGAGGTCGAGCTGATCGAGACGCCGGCTGACGACTGGGAGAAGGCCAGGAAGGATGGCAGCAATGCATTCACTACCGGGCCGCACCGCAAGGAGACCCACTGGAAGCAGGTCTTGATGTTGATAGAGGACAAAGACGGGCAACAGCGCAAGCCTCTCAAAGCGGGAGAGCAGATTGAGGGGACTTTGTCGTACTCCGCGCCCGAGGACCATGCGCGTGGCCTGTTGATCAAGGTCGAGTGGGACGGGCTGCCGAATCCCGAGAAGTCCCAGGTTTGGGCCCTTAACTAGTGATGGGCAAGAACTGCTCGCGAGAGGAAGTGGTGGTCATAGTTATCTACTCAAAACTCGGGTCCGGGCCAGGTTGCCCGGATTCGAAATGTCGGGGCGAGAATCAACCCATACTACAGAATAAAAGCCTCATGAATCACCTCATATAACGTTTATGATGAGCTGCGCTGTGCTATGAGATGAATTCCGCCCTCACTTACGGTTTGTTGGTCCCGTTCGATGCGACCTTTTACATCTGCGCCTATGCTGCGCCAGCGAGCTGTTGTCTGTTTGCTGCCTCGACGTATGCTTGTATTTACCTTGCACTTACGTTCTTGCATGACGGCTAATGCCCATGAAAATATGAAACACTTCAGGCCATATACAAGAATGCGAGAAGCTAAAAAAAATCAACATCTCTAAATCATGAATAGCCCCTCCCCTTCCCATGTTCACAGATGTGGTACACCAGCACTTTCCATGATCAAATTGACAATGCTCAAGAAACCCTCCCCAAGGATGAACCCTGATGCGAGCACAATCAACGGGGTGTCTTCCCTCGTACCCTTCCTCCTCCACCACCAAGCTACCAGCCCGCCCACGGTTCTTGCCAGTGTGAAACTGGGCACTGCGGTATGTTAGCTACGGGTTCGAGGTAGAGCACTCAGGGAGGGACAAGCTTGCACATACCGTTATACATGCCCACGGCCACCGCGATCCCACCAGGGACGAGATGCTGCCACTTCTTATTTGTAGCATAGATTCTCACCATCGTCGTCAGGGTGAACAGCACTGCAAACGCGATGGCCCATTCCCTGGCCATGTACGGCAGCCCCTGGCCGGTGACCAACCTCGCCGTGAAGATCCACACATAGGCGGTCGGGACCTGGAACAGGGAGCCGGGGATGGTGTAGACTGCCGTGTAGAGCTTGTAAATGAAGGCACTCACCACGGCGCCGACGGTGGCGCCGACGACTTGGCCCCAGAACTGCGCCTTGGGCGCGGCGCCCAGCAGGTGGCCCGTCTTGAGGTCCTGCATGAGGTCGCCGGCCTGCAGGGCGCCGGCCTCGGAGACGGCGCCGGCCACGAGGTTGATGAGCACCGAGGTGGGGTGGGACTGCGGCACGATGAGGGCGAAGAAGAGCTGCGCCAGCTTGGAGATGCCCGACACGGGGTTCAGGTCCGTCTCGCCCAGCGCGCGCACCCCCATGATGCTCAGCACCAGCGCCATCAGCACCGCCGACACGGTCGCGTACAGCGGCACCAGGTCGCCGAAGACGATGTGGATACATAGCACGCAGAAGGCGATGGACAGCGCCAGCCCGATGATCACGGTGCGCGTCGAGACCAGCTGCGACGCTGGGGCGTCGTCCTGGTCGGCCTCGGCCAGCAGGTGCGAGATGGACTGCTGCTGCTGCTGCTCTGGCTGCGGCTGCTGGTCGTGCAAGGGGCTGGATGGCGGGATATCGTCTTCCTGAGGGCTGAGTGTGGTGTAGCCCTGGTGACGGGGTGGAAGCAGCTGACTGAGGCTGGTATCCCCGTTCTGCCATCGGTGGTGGAAGTTTGCGCCGGCTTTGGTCACGCGCTGGAGCAATGGTCGTGCCGCGAGATATCCGAGACTGACGACGGCGTCGGCAAGCATGATTGCAAGCGAGGTCCATACGATCCAGCCTTTACTCCCATTCTCCCAGTCACTAATCTTGCCCGGGGCCCAACCTTGGTGTTTGGCTAGAGGTGACAGGAAACCCCATCCGATTATGGCACCGAGTAACTGTTGAGGCATGGGTTGTCAGTATAAATGTTTACCTTGTGTGCCTGTAGGCCAGACTTACCATGTGGATTGTGGTTGCCGGTCCCATGATGATACCTTGACCGACATAAGCCAGACTCGGATTCAGGGTCCACAGCCACGTCGAGGCTGCTGTTGCTCCAAAAATCGGCAGATCTCTCAGGATTGGAAAAAAGTACGTTGCGAAGGTATACAGCCCCGAGACGAAGAAGCAGGTCAATAACAGCTTGACGTTGGCCTTCCATTGCTGCCTGCGAAGATCCGAACCTTCTTCTTCATCCACAGCATCTGCAGAACCGTCCTGCTGGAGACGGCCACCAAAACCCTCGGGCACAACGTGCTCTTGGTGATCTTGCTTTGGAGCTGAGTCGTCCCTCACCAGTCCCGTCTTCCCATGCAGCACACTGATCAGCACGGCGGTGCTGAAGCCGCTTGGGAACTTGAGCTTCTCCCTGATGATGACCTGCCGCCTCAGCGGGACGGCAAAGACCACGCCAAAGTAACACAACCCCAAGGACCAGATAACCAGCTTCCAAGTGCTGAGGTTGACGGGCCCCTGCTCCTCAGGCTTCAGGAGGTACTGCATGGCCGGCAGCACCCCAACAAAGCCACAGCCAAGGGGCATGATGGCCATAGAACCGGCGACTGTCTGGACCAGGACATTCTCGACAGGCGAGAAGGGGAACGCCAAGTGCCGGGACAGGGTCTTGAAGATACCGAAGCCCATTAGTGAAGCCGGCATGGTCATCATACTGACCCAGCCGGTCTGTAGGCCAAAGTACATGTTGGAGAAGCAGATGATGAGCCCGACCAGGAGGCCGGCGGCGATAGCACGGAGGGTGAAACTGCGGCCCTCTACGTCGAGCCCTGGCTTAGCCACCCTAAGTGTTGAGGCGGGCGGCTGGTGTTCTTGGTCGCCATCGTGGAGCGCGTCGGCCTCATCGGGGGATTGTCGTGATGGAAGGGCGTCTCCCTGGACATCATCCTCGGAAGCGCCAAGGCGGTCGTAACCGGAGCTATCATGACCCCTATCAGGAGCCATATCTACTGACGTGTTTGGAGTTCTCAGGCCGCGAGCTGACAGGTCCAACAGTCTGAAGCCCTGACTAGGGCTTGGACTTGAAGGTGTCAAGGACCAGGCTCCGGCGCTCCGGATACGAGTGATGAAATTGAGAATTGCAGCGAGCCTTGTGCCATGAGCAGGTCACAGCGCATGGCATGTCAATGCTGGTAGGAAGGACCCAGAGAAAGAAGCGATCCCGGCAGAATGGGTCTTCCCGTGACCGTTGCAACCGGCAGACCGGCGGCGATGATGTGATGGGCCCGGTCCGATCATGGGATAGGCCTGGGCCACGCTATGCTATGTCATCCTGTGCCCTTCGTCCTCGTCTTATGTAAGCTGCTCAGTCTGTTCTCCGACCCGCCGCCCGCCTAGCCTGGCCTGGCCTACTGACCTGTGTAGACGGGACGAGGACCAAGAGTCTACTCATGCTTGTCTCGACACCACCCACGCGCTGGGTAACGAATTGTCTACTGTACCCAGTCTCTTTTAAACCCCCAAACCCCCAAACCCCCACCCCTGCAGCCCTGTCAACAGAGTCTTCCTGTCGGATGCCATCAACGAGAACCGCTTCGGCTCCGGCTCGGCCCAATGCAGGCCGCGTTTACTTGACCACGGCTATGACTACATCTATGCTTATGACTAGCATCAAATCATGTACAGATCTCAGCCGACCACTACGAGTTCCATTCCCATACATCTCCCCACAAGCTTAATGTCGCGACGGCCAATTCCACCGGTTCCTGTTACCCAAGTGGTCCCACATCGAAGCAACGTCTCACTTCCGCTGTAGGGATGGGATGCAACAAGGCCGCGCAAGGGCTTTCTGCGACCAAATTCCCTCGCGCGGAAAACTCGTCGTCCCCTCCCCCCTGGGAGAAAATCTCTTCACCTCGCCGCCAACTCCTGCGTTCCTGTTCCTGTTATTCCCGGCAGATCGTTCACCCCCAATCTGGCCACGCGCCACTTTTAGAGGGCATCGATGCCCCTTCTGGCCCGTCCGAGTCTTCTCATACTTGCAGACTTGGCAGTCCCGGTGTGGATACCCAGCCAACGTCTGCTGCAACTCCGCGAACCAGCCCTCGCGCGCGCCCTAGTTTGGTCGTCACTCACGCCTTTCGGGATCCCTAGGCCATCGCAACCCGCCGATTGCTATGCCTTGAACCGTGAAAATCCTTGAGCCCTTCGGCCAGTCCGTTGGAGCTGTGAAAAAAAATGAAAGAAATCTAATTGAGGCACGCGACTGCTGGCAGGGACGCAAAAGGCTGCCCGCCGCAAGTGTTGGTGGTGATGGCCGACCTCGTTGATGATGATTTATGTCACACCACGCCACCAGCACCACCGATATAAGACCCCACCCAGCAGTCGAGTTTCTATGCGTACAACATTTTGCAAATATCTCGATAGATCATCTAGATTATTACCTTTGCTAAATCCCCCATTCGCCCTCGGACCTGTTCGACCTGGCCCAAGTTCCAGTCTAAAGAGCCCCAGCTTCAATCTTCGTATCCACCAGTCCACTTCCACACGCTGCGCCGCCACTCTGTCTGGCCTGTCCCCCAGACTCGAAGGAAAAGCTTTATTATTGGCCTGCCCGCTGCTCTGTCCCTCACATTGTATACAACCTTGCACGCCATTGCTCTATTACCTGTCGTTGATTGTATACACCTTTGCTTCCACCTCGCCGTCAACGTGCTGCTCTTCGCCCTCTCTGGTCGACTCTGCCCCTGAGGACCCTCTCTGGTGGGAGCTTTGGCTCGAGCTCAGCCGAACCGGACGATTGATTGTTGGGATTGTTTCTCCACCACGGAAGAAAAAAGCCCAGTATAAACGTCATCCTCGTGACTCACCAGGTCACATCTATTTGGGCACCCGATTCCCACGCACTCGAGCAGATTCCAGTTTCCACATACCACACAGGAGTCTCAATCGCACGATCCACCTAAGGGACAGAGCTCAAGATGGCCAAAGCCGACACCATAGTCTCCGCGGGGCGCGGCGATGCCAGCCCCGACCCGGAGAAGCAGTCCATCACCGAGGCTTCCACCCATGAGCTCAAGCGCGAGATGTCAGGTCGCCACCTGCAGTTTATCGCCATCGGAGGTGCAGTAGGCACGGGCTTGTTCATCGGTAGCGGCGCTTCGCTGGCCACAGCGGGTCCTGTTGGCTGTCTGATTTCGTACATCGCCGTCGGCACGATTCTGTATTCGGTCATGACCAGCTTGGGTGAGATGGCGACGTACATCCCAACTGCTGGCTCATTCACGTCATACAGCGCACGATTTGTCGACCCGGCATTGGGCTTTGCGATGGGCTGGCTCTACTGGTTCAGCTGTAAGTCATGATATTTTAGTTCCCCTGTAGACTGGATGGCATTATTGAACTGGATATGAGCATATGACTGACGTTATTCAAGGGGCTATTACGTGGGCTCTCGAGTTGACCGCAGCCGGAATGATTATCCAGTATTGGAATACCAGCATCAGCATTGGCATCTGGATAGCCATATTCTGGGTCCTGTTCACGGCAGTCAACTTCATTCCGGTCAAGTGGTACGGCGAGCTCGAGATGTGGTTTGTCTCGATCAAGGTCGTGACCATTCTCGGATTCCTTATTTTTGCGGTATGCACCAATCTGCAAACTCTCGTAATTTTCTTTTCAGAGTCGTCGGGTAATGCCTCAGGGGTATCTCTTCATTGGGATATGCCTCAAAGCACCGGGGACACTGCATAAACGCCTTGATTGAAAAGCTACTGACAAGTTCGAGCAGATCTGCATTAACGCAGGTGCAAGCCCCCAGGGATATCTGGGCTTTACCTATTGGAAAAACCCCGGCGCCTTCGCTTCATACGACGAGAATATGGCCCCGTCTACCGGCAAATTTGTGTCGTTCTGGAGCGTTCTCGTCACAGCGGCTTTCTCTTATCAAGGTGCTGAACTCGTTGGCGTTGGCGCAGGAGAAGCTCGCAACCCGCACAAGACGGTCCCGGTCGCCATTCGGAACACCTTCTGGGGCATCCTGTTCTTGTTCGTTTCGACGATCTTCTTCCTTGGAATCCTCGTTCCATACACCAACACGGAGCTCACGAACGGGAGCACCAGCGCCGCCGGCTCTCCGCTCGTTATCGCCGCGAACCTCGCCTCGGTCCCCGTCCTGCCGGACATCATCAACGCCGTCCTGCTGACTGCAGTGCTCTCCGCGGCGAACTCGGTAGTCTACTCTGGAAGCCGTATCCTGGTCGGTCTCGCAAACGAGGGGCACGCCCCGCGCATCCTGCTCAAGACCAACAACCAGGGAGTCCCCTACTACGCCGTGGCCCTCACCTCGGCGTTTGGCCTGCTGGCCTTCCTGAACCTCTCGCCTTCCGGCGAAGATGCGTTCAACTGGTTCCTCAACATCACCGCCGTGGCCGGTCTGATCACCTGGGCCAGTATCAACTTGTCCCACATCCAATTCCAGCGCGCTATGAAGGTCCAGGGGATCCCACGGTCCTCGCTGCCGTACCTAGCACCGTTCCAGCCCTTCATGGCGTGGTATGGCTTGTTCTTTAATACTCTGATTGTGATCACGCAAGGCTTCACAGCATTCATGCCTTGGAACACGGTGGACTTTTTCACGGCATATATCAGTGTCATCCTGTTTGTGGTGCTTTATGTTGGGTACAAGGTTGCATTCCGGCCGGCGTTCATCAAGGCGAGCGAGGCGGATTTGAACAAGGGACGATTACAGACCGCGGAAGGCGTAGTCGTTGAGCAATGACCAGATAATATGTTGTTTGATGTAAAAGTAGGTGATGGTCATGCATTTCATAGCACAGCAGCGAAAATGGATTTAATATTTTGAATGATACAACATCGTATATGTCACAGTATGAGTCCGGTGGTGGCGACAGCCCACCCACCATACCGTAACCAACCTGTCGAAGTAGTTTTGCGTCTCGCGCACTGGACTAGACTATGCCGCTGCGAAAAGTATACGGTCTGCAAGCCTTCCCAGCCTGCTTTGACAAACAGCGGGCTGGCAAGATGGAACGTCTCGATAAGCATGAGCGCGTGTGTACCATGTGAAACCAGCATTCCTTGATGCTTATGATTGCTCAGAGCTGTATATTCCACGAACTCAAGGCCCAACCCTCGCCTTCCAGCTCCGCGCAACACCCGCCATGCTCTCAAAGATGATCTCACCGCCGCTGGACTTAGACATCTCCACCAACTTGCCAAGAAACCTGTCGATCATGCCAACAATGTGCGCCCTCCCCGCACTCTCCGGGTGCCAGATCAGGGGGTAGATGGACCCGTACCCCAGGCCAGGCCCCTCATCCACGAACGACTCATTCTCCCACAGCCACTCGAACCGGTCCCACCACATCCTCTCCACAACGTCCGTGGCGACATAGCCATGTGACGACGCTGTGTACGGATAGAACCCCATGGGGGTCATGTCCTCGGTGTACCACGAGCAAGGGACCTCGACCAGCGCGCTCTCCGCCTCAGCCGTCCCCGGCCGCGGCTGCGCGGGCAGGGGCGTGGGCCGCATCCACGACGCCGCGGGCTTGCTATAGTCCGGGACGTGGGGCGGCGCCTGCGGGAACGGCCGCGGCAGGTAGTAGGGCAGGGCGTCGTGGGCGTTCATGCTGCTGTCGTACAGGAGCCCGTGCCGCTGAAGTAGGTCGACGGTGGTCTCGCGGATCTGGTACAGCGGCGCGCGGTAGCCCTGCGGCCGCCGCCCGCCGCCCAGCTCCGTCGCGAGCGCGATGCACCGCTCCAACACGTCGCCCTCCTGCTCCGGCGTCATGGCGTACGCGCCCTCGTGGCTGTACCCGTGCAGCCCTATCTCCGCGCCGCTGGCCGCGATCTCGGCGGCTCTGTCTGGGAAGGTCTCGATGCTGTGGCCCGGAATGAACCATGTTACTTTGTCTGAGATGTTGTATTTGGCGAATAGTCTCAGAAGCCGGGGCACGCCGACGTTGGCGCTTAGCAGGCCGGCGGAGTAGTCTGAGAGGGTGTTTTCAAGCGTGTGGCCCGTCCCAAGGTAGCCTGAAAGGGCGTCGAAGTCCACCGATAAACATATTCGCATGCGGCGAGGCTTCGGCTTGGTTGCATCCATAGGGGGCTGTCATGAACCTAGGCTCTGGGGTTGTGTTTTGGATCACTCCTTGCAAGGCAGGCAGGCAGGCTTCCGACAGATCGTCCAACATTCAGCCTCGATGACGGTGCAAAACTATCTGCCCGCCCGTTGAACCGGCAGTGGTCCATGGTTGCATCCTCCCGAAGTGCGGAGACCGTCTTTTATTGATAGGTCCGAGGCGGAGCCGGCCGACGAGCCCGTAGATGTCCGGAATATTTTCCTTATTTCGTAGCTGCCCAAAATACTGAGTAGAGCCTGACAATGTAATGGCGCAGAGAGAACATGAACCCTCAATTATGATGTTGTACTTACAGCTCGTGGAGCGGAGGTTTTCTTGCCTGGCTTCAAGGTCTCGGATTGGTCAATCCTTTGTGCATTGAAGCAAGTCGATGATTTTGTCCATACAATTCCAGTGTTCCCTCGACGCCTCGAATCCTAGATCCAAGGTAAAGCTTAATCTTGCTGAAAAAAACAAGTCGTACAATATTTGGTTCGATAAAATTGAATGGACCCTTTGCTACAAACAATTGAACAACTTGCCTCGGTCATCACGGATGCATCACATACCCGTTCTCAATGACTCGATATTCTCAAGATTGTAGTCCCACTTTTGCCCCTTTGCATGCTGCTAAAGCAAGCCTCATTCTCCATTCACACTCACTCTGTAGCGTCAACCTGAGGTAGTGACCCGCTCCAATATTATTTGATTGCTATGGACATAAGTTTCTGTAAATGCGCTTCGGCCCCTTCTCAGTTCGCAAACAGGTTCCGGGCCCGCAGCACCTACCCCGCAAGTGTTCGGGGTGCATGTCGAACCCGACAGCGAACATGAGATGTCACCATGTATTGTACATTATCCTGTGCTGAAGACATAACCAACTTTTCATTGAAGAACTTGGGGCTCGTAGGGAAGAGTTCAGGAAGCAACGCAGAAAGTGCCCAGAGGCAAATTGGTGACACGACGTAGATAACAATTTACCATCGCAGAGGCATCTCATGAGTATTGGCCAAGGATCGCCTAGTACTTCCCGTAACGAAATACTATGCTGCGGAGGTCTATTCATCGCACGGAAATACGGACATACACCCACCGGGTCCGCGGTTTGAGAATCAAACCTTCACTCTTGATCAATTATAGAACTGCCGCGGTGGAGGTACGCAGTCTTAAAAGAAGGGATTCTTATGCTTTCCCGGTGGAAAATCAGGTGCCATGGCAGCAAACCAACCATCTTCCATTTACAACTCTCTCTGTACACATTCTCAACTGACTGTTCTGGCGCTGTAGAAACGGTATGGAAGTGAGCGCGAGAAATAGCACTTAAACATCCAGAACTATCCGACAGTTTCTCACAATCCAAGTTTACGAGATGTTTAACACGGGTTTTGCTGTCCTTATAGCATCGTTAGCCATCTATGCTCTGGGCAAGACTATATACAATGTCTTCTTCCACCCGTTGGCTAGAGTTCCTGGCCCTAAGCTGGCAGCCATTACTCGCCTTTGGTTCTTCGCCACCGATTTCAGCGGTGATTCCTCTGCACGTATTTTGAAATGGCACGAAGCATACGGTGCGTCAAACCCTCATGTAACAAGCAGAAAAGGCTTAGAGAGAAATTGGGAGTGATGTGTCGCGGAAGGAGACCCTCACTAACTCAGACAGCAGGGCCCGTCATCCGCGTGGCACCCAATGAACTCTCCATCTTCGATATCGACGCGTACCTTTCAGAACTCTACGCGCAGAACACTGATTTCACTAAGGCGCCTTACTTCTACGATGCCTTCAACAACCCGGAAGGCACCGTGTTCTCGCAGCTGGACAAGGCGGCCCACTCGGCTGAAAAGCGCCTCATGTCGCACGCCTTTTCCCGTAGGAACATCGTCGGGATGCAGCACCAGCTGTACGACCACGTCCACAAGTGGATTGACAACCTGCGAACCCATGCAAGAGCACAGAAGCCGATCCCGTTGAGCCGCGCGGCCCAGTGTCTTACCCTCGACAATGTTTCATTCTTCAGCTACGGTGGCACCGAGGGCGCCCTCGATTCTGAGGACTTCCACAACGAGCTGCTCGAGCAGTTCGAGGCATTCCCAAAGCTCGTAGCGCTATTTCAGTTTTTCCCTGTGCTTCAATTCCTGGTCAACATCCTTCAACGCTTTTCGACATCTTCATCGTCAGCCGCTCGCGTCACCAAGGCAAGTTGAAAATGGGTATTTCGAATTGGTGGGACCCAATGAGCTAATTATAGTGTGTTTTCTCACAAATGCAGGGTTCCACCATCGGCTGGGACCGGTTTATCAGCCAGAAGGGGCGAGGGGAGACAAACGGGATGATCCTCTTCGAGAGCATGCTCGAGAGAGCCAGGAAAAACAACGTTCATATCGACCGCGACAGGGGTATCGCGAATGGTTCTCTAATGCTGGTCGCAGGTATGTCATTTGCCTGCTCGGGGTCCGTTGTTTCGCACTTTGAGGAAGCGCATAATGTTGACACACAAGTGCGTGGCAGGAACTGGGACTACAGCAGCTGCCAGTAAGTAGAATAGAGCCAGAATCTAGAGAACCTATCTTTAAGAACAAGTTACTGAATATTTTTCAGTCACAACAGGAATATACCAACTCACAAAACAGCCCGAGCTGTGGCTCGAGCTCAAGCGCCAGTTGCGAGCCGCGATACCAGAAGATAACACTGAGCCCGACGTAACAGAGCTCGAGAAGGTGCCGCTTATGGAAGCTGTCGCCAAAGAGTCTCTTCGAGTCGGCTGTCCCATCCGGGGAAGAAACCCGAGAGTCGTACCGGCTGGGGGAATGGTTTGCGGCGTTGTTTGCATACCTGAAGGAGTACGTTATCTTCTTTCCCAAAGGATCCTCGGAGTTTCCCAGATTTGGAACTTTCGACGCTCATAAGGACTTCAGACTACTGTTTTCAGCCCCCAATGGTATTATTGCCGCGACCCAAACGTCTACTATGAGCCCGAGCTATTTGAGCCGAAGCGGTGGTTAGTTGACGATGCGAACGCCCTGCATGCCATGAATCGGAATCTGGTTGTATTTTCTAATGGGTCAAGAAATTGCATCGGGCAGAAGTAAGTCAAGCCAAAAGGTCCTGTCACTCCTCTTCACAGAGGCACCAAGTTGACTTGAGGATAATTTAGTCTTGCCATCATCGAGCTGAAGTTGACACTCAGCCAGGTTGTGCTCAATTTCGAACCAGGAGAGACCAAGGATCCAGAACTGGAGTATGAAGAGTACGTCGGCTTGACAGAGCCCAAGGGTTTGGTGGAAATTACTCTGCGTGAGTCGCCGTGATTGGGATGCTGGGACGGTGTCTGGCTTCTTTGTTGCTGCTGGCCGGGAAGACACGGCGACAAGTCCAAGTTCAAGTAGAGATTGTGATAAAAAATACGAGTGGGGAGTATTTGCGAGGTAATCGAAGACCACCGTAGTCCGAAGCGTGGTGCATAACTCAGCAGACTACTTGTCTTGCTCCGCAAGCGGCTACATCCACGCGTGCAGTCACCTGAGCTGTATCAAGGCCGAGCAGTGTCCGCTATGAAGTGTCCACAAGCACTCCTCCTGGTGTGATAGTAAAAGTCTCTGATTTCGTCTTCGACCAATTTACAAAATTGCCCAAGATAGGCTCTGTCAAGGTTTCATAGACAGTCGATATTCGCCAAAAGCCCGAGCGGAACCCGAGCACGACGCGAGGACCAGGGTCACCGCGACACAAAAGCGTGTAAGCTGATTGGCCAATTGCCACCATCACCACCGTCGCCCCCTCCCTTCTGTACACTCAAACAGCAGACCAACTAGACTTCGTGTGCAACCCGAAGCCACGACAAGATGAACAAGGGCACCGTCAGCATCTGATAGGATTTTCATCAATTCCGAATCTATATCGGGATCATGCTATCCAAATTCATCCTATTTGAGGTCGCACCACAGGGGATCCATAAATCCCCGGTGGTTCTGGACTTCGTACAGCCAAGCCCACAACAGCGAGAAGGCCCTTGGATGGGTCGGAAGTGGAGACGATGGTTTCAGGGAGGAGTGGGCTGCTGACGGGAGCCAAGAACGCCCTGGTGCCACATACTCCCGCCGCATTCACAGAGGATGCATAGCGTTTAGTGGCTTTGACTCTGCACGCGAGGAACTCGGTTTTTGGGTGCATAGAGAGAACGTATGTGTCGATAGATTCTAGTCATCCTAGTGGCGCAAGCTATGTACTCGTGAGCGCCGGTATTTCATCCATATATACTGTAGCGTAAGACCGAGAACCGTCCTCTTTATGCCTCGAGATAACCTGATAGCCTCCGTTGCGAAGATGGTAAACATCCTGCGAAGTTAGAAATGCCAGAGAACGCCTGTTGATGACATTGACATGAAGAAAAGGGTATCCATCAGAAATTTAATATACAGAAAAGCGTGATTCATGACAACACCATGAACCGTGATCGTGTTATACCGACCCGTGAACGACTGGAACGATTTCAGGGCGCCCATTGTGAGGATCAAGCGACGCTTCCCGGAATTTCAGACCCTGTTAAGTCTGTCGTCTTTGAGGCCAGGTCCACTCATCGAAAAAGTTCGGCTCGTCCTGCACTCCCTTCTCCTCCAGCTTCTTGGCGAGCACTGCTGCCCTCACAGCCTCCAGTCTCCCGTATGAAGGGAGGTCCTTTGAACTAAGCGCAATCTGTGCATCGATGATTGCCATAATAGCCCTTCCATACTTGTCTCGTGCGTGCAAATTGGCACCCTTGTCGAGCAGCTTACTGACAACGTGCTTGTTCCCAGATCTTGCAGCGACAAGAAGCGCGGTCTCACCCCGACGATTCCGTGCATCGATCATCGCCCCCTTCTCGATGAGCAGATCGAGAATTCTCCCAATGTGCTGGCCGCTCTTGTCGTCTTGCTCGTCAGAAAGTTGCGATGCGAAGTTTATCAGAACAGTGTCACCCTTATGGTCGTAGTGGTTGACATCGGGTGGCGCAGTCTGGGTCACCGGTGTCAAGAGACCTTGAAGGTATTGGAGTCTTTGGGTGATAGGCTTTATACGTTCGGCATCGTCCCTTCCGTGTTTCCGCTTGAGCGAACCTTTGGTATTCGTGGTTTGTGACTGAGATGGATTCGGAGTACTGGGATCTGGACTGTTAGGGCTGCTAGTGGTGAAATGCATTTCTGCCAAGCAATGCAGTCCGTTTCGGCCTTCGTCATCTTCGAGGGTGGGGTTGTTGTATGCCTCCGTCACAACAGAGACTAGTCCCATATCTCTGGTTGTAAAGTCCTCTTCCGGAGCCTCTTCAGCCAAAGGCGAAAGGGCCATCGTGCCCGTACGTGTTGGTGGAGCAAAAGAAGTATCAGCAACTCGCGAGGGTGGCTTGACGTTAAAGGCGTCTCGCGGGATTGCAGGCCGATAGTGCTGGGTGATATTGTGGATAACGTTGGGATCGGGAACAAATCGATCAAGCTGGTGGAAGAATGTCCGTCCAAAGACATCACGAGCGAATAACAAGTCCCGGTGCTGTGCGTAGAGGAAGTTCAAAAGCTTGTACAGGGGTATATTGAGGTCGTCCGTTCCAAAGAACCATGAGGGACTCAGAACATGGAGAAAGGTCTGGTGTGCTTGATTGACCACGGAGGGATTTGAATGTCCTGATTGAAGCAGGCGGAAAGTCGTTTCAATACCTTGCTGGTTGTCCATCGCGGCGAAGAGATGGAGAAGCGTATTGCCAAATTGGTCTGTAGGTGAACCATACATCGACCCTTGCAGGGCATTCGCGGCCTGGTCACATTCTTCACCCCTCTCAGTGATATAAAAGGCCTCTGGCAATTCCGCGACGTCGTCCGCAATAGAACACCAGCAGAAAACGCCACCTTCGCCAGAAGATTTTGCGAAATGCTTCTGCGCATGGCACTGGGGAACCAATCTCCGAGAGACCATGAAATCGCCAGGTACAGCAAGTCCCGGATGCGGTATTGGGCCGGTCGAAATCGGGCTATGGTGCATCGGGAAATCCGAAGGAGTCCGGGCTGGTGAGTTCCGGAGATTTTCAGAACTACCGATCGTGAGCCTACTCATCAGCACAGACACCTGCTTAGCGAAGACAGTGGAGACGCTGATACGGTTCCTGAGGCTCTTGATGCTGTCCGTGCTCATCTGAGTCGAGGTGGTGAAGACGGTATCATTACGAGGTGGGCGCGGAAAGGGAGGTTGGAAGGGAGAGTGGAAGTCATCTTTTGGAAAGGCAGACCACACCGGACCCGGCGAAGCTGAGGCATTGGTGCTTGGTGAGGCAAACTCAAAACGCACGTCCGTTTGTGGGCTCCTGAGCGTGGAGGCGTCGTCGAAACGGGAGACTTCTGAGAAGGCCGGGGTGTTGAGCTCCTCCTTGGACGCTGCGATGACGCCCTCTTCCTGATCAAAGGGGGTACCATCGCTTCGCCGCCGACGCTGGCTGCGTTTGTGGAGCAGCTTGAAACGCGTGTTCATATCCTCCCTGTTGACGGGCCTCAGTGGCCGAGGGTCATGGCCGACCATTTTGTGCAGTGTCTTCTGGGCCGAGTTCTTCCTATACTGTCATTCAGTACCGCAGATAAGACATATGATATGGAATAGCAAGCCGGTGGGGGTCGTACTTCACATCGTCATTCGGGAAGAGGGCCTTGATGATCTTCTCCATAGGGAGGGTGGTGTACATGTACAGCCTGGCCAGTTTCCTGGACCGTGACTCTGTCCATTGTGGAGGCCGGCCAATTCTTGCACCACCAGCACCTGGAGAGTTGGCGGCGACAGAGTCGGGAGTCGCGACGTCGGCCATGGCGAGGCTCTGCGATGTGCCCCTCAGAGCCGGAGGTGAGGTTCTGGGCGAGAGTGGAGAGGACCCCGTAGTGTTTTTGAAGCGGGAACGATGGATCACTTGAGCAGACCAGACAGCGGGATCTAAGGAGAGACAGGTCTTGTATTGGGATTGGGGCTGGGGCTGGGGCGGGAGCTCAATGCAGCAGGGTAGTAGCAACTACGAGGAGAGACAAGAGGAAATCCATTGCTGCTCCGCCGAAGGGGCGCAGGATGTTTATTGTACATTGTTATGGCGAGGCTCTGCTAGCCGTCGTGTGGCCCCCTGTGGGAGTGTGTGGCACTTGTGATGCATGTTGGTTGGGTTGGTGAGGGGGGGTGCACAATGGGAGGGGTGGGAAGGAGCAAGGAGCCGGAGCTGAACTTTTGATTTGCCCTTAGCGGATCGCTTAGGAGCGCTAGCAGGAGGCCAGGCCAGTGGGGACTCGGAGACAGAGAGGCAGCGGTGGGGGCTGTCCCATCCTTCCGATCGGGAAGCCGTGTTGCGTGCCTTTCTCTGGTGCATACATACTATTAGAAGGCATGTACGGGAATTGCAGGTGCTGGAACTCCTTCATCATAAACAACTCCTACTGCTGACAATCTGAAGCCACCAATTTGAATGTTGTGCCAGCCGCAAAACCTGAGGGACTCGGGAACAGAGAGGTGTGAGTGTAAGCTGTTGGTGGAAAGCGAAGCCACACCCTTCGGGTCCCGTACTTTGCTGTGCTGTGCTGTGCGACCAAAACCAAAAACCAATGTTGTCCAAGCAGGCACTCGCGTTCAAGGAAGAAGTTGATCGCAGCAAAGCAAAAGAACCAAAGTGTAGAAAGGCAGACGACTCGAGTTTCGAATAGCCCGAGATGCGGTCTCGTAGCCGGCGGCCTGCAAATCACAGCTCCCCAGGCTCCCCCATTCCTCTCTTTCCCCCCACCCCTTAGTTTGCAGCCCGCCAGCCCGCCCGTCATCCTGGTGCGCCTGGCGTGGTGTCGTGCTTCCACCGTGCAGGCAGCAGTGCCTCGGCCGTCCGATGCGGTGTGGGATTTGAGGGCACCAATACCACCTTGGGCCAGATGTGGATAAACAGTCTGCATTGGGCAGACTGCAAGCCATTATCCGCCTGCATGTGTTTGATGAACCCGTGTCATCATGAATGAGGATCGATAACCTCGCTCAGGTCGTCAATGCTGCTGACTGAGGTGATTGGGATCTAACCTCTCGACCTCGGGAATAACCCCACTGCATGCAACCAGGAAAAAAGGTCCCGTCAGGCAAAGCTACCGCAAAGCACCGCTGCCGCAGGACAAGGATACCCGCGAGCCGTCAGCACTTGAGGAGGCTCTGAGGCGCAGCCTGCTTGCATGCAAAACAGACGCCCCGCAATGTGGCCATGCGGGCAATACAGGCTGTACAGGAGAGAATCGAGGTGATTGCCTCGAATTGAGTTTCGGAGGCCCATACACCACTGGGCATTAAGTTTGCTTATGGTATTAGCATCGTAATCCTCTTCCCCGTGCAAGCCTATAAGTCTATCTGTGTTTTCGTCAGACCAGGGTTCAATATCGATGCCTTCGGAGGCCTTCGAAAGCAGCGAGCTGCTGTTGCTTACATAGCTACCCAGTAGATGGATTTTCGGATAGCATCTGGCCTAGCATGCTGTACAAAGTAGTACAAGGGCAGCTGGCACAACATGTTGCGTCATTGCCTCACGTTTGTGGTGATGGACGGATTGAGGGACTGATCGCCCTCTATCTACCGAATGATATCATCACTGGTAATCCATCACCATCCATGTAGACCAGAAAGCCCATGGGCTTTAGCACGGGAAAAAGCATTGTAATTCCATTCCTTCCCTTGAGAAAACACAAGAGGACACGAATTGTTTACTTTTGGTCTTGATCTCGAGTCAACTACAGCCCGTCGTCAAGTGCAACTATCCACTTCAAGTATCGCGAATCGACGTCTCAGCCCCTGCACAGCCATACAAACAACAAACATCCAGCCTGCAGTACCGAACGCACGTCTCACCTTACCCACCATACATACCCACACCTGCTGTACAGCAGGTAATAGTGCCCGAGCAATCAAAATGAACCGCCTTGCTCTCCGCGTCCGGGGCGCCCGTCTCCCGCTCGTCTCCGCCTCCACAACAACGACCAGGGTGATTCTCCCCATCTCGGCCCGACGACACTACGCCTCGTCGGCCCCCAAGGATGCCGAACAAGCTTCTGCGCAGTCCGGGGGCTCACGCTCAAAGGATGCCAAGGAGCAGGCAGAGCAAGTCGACGAGGTCGACACCGGGAACAACCCCTCCAACGACCGGCTAGCTGGCGACGGTGCAAAGGGCCGGACCGGAGGCGGCGAACCACTTTCTAGCTCCGAGAACGCGCCTCCACGGCCCAAGATCAACAGCGCCAGCATCCCGGGCCAGGGGACGGACAAGCTCACCAAGGAGCAGCAGGAGGAAGTTGACAGGCACAATGCCGAGTTTGAGAAGAAAGTAAGTCAAAGTCCGGGATCGATCTGTCTATTACCCTGGCTCAGAGCCACCTTCCCTTCTTCTCGTCCACCGATGAACATGGCTGACTTGTTCTTCAGCACGACCGAGCCAGCCCAGCTGCAGAGGACAAAGTAGACAAAAATTTCTGGAAGGGTGCAGGAGGGGTCGAAGGGCATTAGGGTGAGAGGAGCTGAGGTGGTCGCAGTGCACTGGCCTCGTTACGAGACGGGACGGGAGAATTCACCATTGTATAATTTAATGTAAATCGCGGAAAGCAGGAGGGCTAACATCATGGGCAAGCTGTTAAAGTCGAATAGCTAAGAGCCCCAGACCTAATTCCCAGTGCCTGATTGCTGTGCAGGTCATGATGTGCAATTCTGCCCCTAATAAAGCAAGTGTTGCGTAGCCGTATTCGACCGCTGCCGTAAATACCCTTTGCAGCGGGTTCAATCGTTTGCTCTTCCAACCGATAGCTTTACGGTGCAAGTCTTACTGTTCAGGTCTCCAGAGCTGTCGGCCCCTGGTCCTGGCCCACCTTTCCTGTCAGCTCCACGCAGTGGCCGATAAGATAGCGCTTATCGATACGGGAATTTTTGGGCATTGTCTATTTTCTTGCGCCGGGCGTGCTACTCAGAATTTCACCCTAGGCTAACAAGATCTCGACTGCCAGTCTTGAACAATTCGGATCCAGCAGCGATCTCATCGGGAACCATGGGCAAAAGGAAGGTTGGAGCACTCGAGAAGCTCGACGCCGATCTCGCCAGCCTTCAGTTCAAGGTCCGGTCGGATCCGCAGAGTTATGCAGACGAGTTCCAACGGCAGTACTCAGCCTATCTCTCTACCAAAGAGGTGTTCCTCGACAATCCTGCGAATGTGACCAAGGATGTCTCCGAGGACTTCCACGACAAGATCGACTTCATCGCCCACGTCGCCGATTGCTTCAAGGAAGATACCAAGACCTTTCCAGACGACCTGAAGGAAGTTCTGACACAACACCATGCCATCCTTCCTCCGGAAGTGCGCGAGAAGTTGGTCGGGAGCCTGGTGCTCCTGCGGAGGAAAGAAATGATCTCTTCCGAGTACCTCCTGACCACTTTATTTCCAATTCTTGTCTCGACGCCAAGCAAAAGCCTCAGGGCATTGCTGTACTCGAAGATTGTCAGCGACCTGCGAAACTCAAACTCCAAAAACACGAATCACCCTCTAAATCGAACGGTCCAAAATGTGCTCTCAATCCTCATTACCTCCGACAAAACTTCGCCCAAGGGAGTGTGGGCTGTACGATTGACGCGCGAGATGTGGCGGCGACAGATATGGACCGATGCGAAGCCGGTGCAGGTCATGAAGGAGGCATGTCTAGCGGACAACGAGAAGGTCATAGTCGGAGGAGTTAGGTTCTTCCTTGGTGGTGACAAGGAGCGAGAGGAAATGGAGGATGACAGCAGTGATGATGAGGCTGTTGATCTTAAGAAGATGCAACACCAGCATGGCATCAACAAAAAATCCAAGAAGCAGGCAAGGCAATACAAAGCTGCAGTCGTCAAGGTCAAAAAGCAGGAGCGTAAGAAGAATCAGCCACACCCGTTGAACTTTTCTGCTCTACATCTGCTTCACGACCCTCAAGGCTTTGCCGAGCAATTGTTTCAGAAACACTTGTTGAACACCAAGACAAAACTGGCCCTGGAGAGCAAGCTACTTGTCCTGCAGCTGGTCTCTCGTTTGGTTGGATTGCACAGGCTCACAGTCATAAACCTCTACTCCTGGTTCATCAAGTTCCTCACGCCAAAACAACCATCGGTCACAACCTTCCTGGCATGTCTGGCCCAAGCAACACACGATCTTGTCCCACCGGATGCCCTGGAGCCTTTGATCATGAAGATCGCAAACGAATTCGTCTCAGAAGCGGCGGCAGCGGAAGTGGCAGCCGCCGGCCTGAACTCCATCCGCGAGGTATGTGTGCGTCAGCCGCTCGCTATGACGGAGACACTGCTTCAAGACCTGGTGCAGTACCGCAAGAGCAAGGACAAGGGTACGATGATGGCCGCGAAGGGCTTGTTGTCCCTGTACCGTGAGGTCGGCGCAGAGATGCTCAGAAAGAGGGATCGTGGCAAGAATGCCACCATCAACCTGCGCAGTGGAGAGCTTCAGCAGCGAAAGTTCGGAGAAGTAGATTCCGGCGGTATTGAAGGCCTCGATCTGCTTGAGAAGTGGAAGGATGAAGAGAAAAAGCGGAAACGTGTGGCCAAGGGCCTGCCAGAAGAGGCTGGCAGTGACGAGGATGAGGAAGCCGATGTCTCCGACGACAGCGACTGGGAGGTTGATTCCGTGGCCAGTAGTGATTCTGGAGGCTGGATCAATGTGTCAAGCGAAGACGAGGGCGAGGACGAGGAACCCGCAGCGAAGCGTCAGAGAAAAGGATCCTCCGAAGCACCAGAGCTTGTGGACGCAAACAAGTCCGACGCGGCTGCAGAAGTTGAACGGATGTCCAAGCTCGCCACAACCACCATCCTCACGCCCGCGGATCTGGCCAAACTGCAGGAGCTACGCCTGCAGGCCAACCTCGATAAGGCCATGGGCAACCGCTCAAAACATGCCCGGGAGCTCGCAGCCCGGCACGCAGACGACCCCCTCACGGCGGAACAGATCGAGCTGCCCGCGAAGCTGCGCAAGACGACCAAGGAGGAGAGAATTGCCCTGGCCAGGGAGGGCAAGCCCAACCGGGAGGAGCACAAGTCCACGCAGGCCATCCGGAAGTCCAAGAAGGAGGCCGAGGGCAAGTCCACGTCGAACAAGGAGAAGGCGAGGAAGAAGAACTTCTTGATGACCATCGGGAAAGCGAAGCAGAAGCACAAGAGGAGTCTTGTACAGACGAGGAAGGTGTTGCAGGACCATGTCGATAGAAGTAAGAAGGGCGGGAGGAGAGGCAACAACTAGAGTTGAGAAGTGCAGGATCTCGACAATCTAATTGTCGATCTACTTGTCCAGATTCTCTATAGAATGTGATGAGGAGTTTCTCATGCTCGCATGCTTGCCTTTCTGATGCCTCTTAGACAACCAACGGGGCATTCCAAGCATCATTCTCCTCAGTCTGAAGCCACGCGGTTGTCTTAGAAACACCTCTTGTTTTATTCCCTTCAGGACAGCTCTGAATGTGTTGAGACGTGCCGACAACATGTGTTGCAATAATTACAAACAATGAGAAGGATTAATTTGTCTCTCCTCGCTGTTACTGAATTCATTTTGGCTTTCCATGCCTAGATATCCCACAGTGTCGGCACGTTATTTTTGTGTCTAAGGCAGGGGCCTACGCTGCTTCTATCTAGATGCTCAATGATTGATTTACACCTTCATCAGGATCCCAAAGATCAACTGCCTCTGCATCTTTTCCATTGGCAGCTTTGACTCACCAGGTAGTACCCTGCCTGGCTTAGCAGCCGAGGTGACTTTTAGTGGGAAAGTCAATAGGTAACATTTGTAACCCCTGTGGAGGTGTACGCGTTACGATGAGACAACGTATTAAGAGGTAGCAGGGGACAATTGCCGACTTACACCGGTAAAGCCAACTTGCATTATCGTATCAAATTGTGAGCTGATAGTGACTTATACAGGAGATTAGTCCGTGTTTGCTTCCCTCTGGATGCATGTCTACTAGTGAATCACCTCTGTTCTTTTGGTGAGAATCGTCCGCAAAAGTAGGAGTGAGTTTCACGGGTGTACATCTACGGATGCATGCATATGCACCTCTGAGGAGCGGGGAGAGGAAAAGAGAAATGAAACATTTGTTGTTTCCGGTATCTGGGAGGGGAGAATACTACAGCGATGCTCTGAGGAAGTTTCAATTGCACTCGACCACAACAACGTATACGCAAAGACAATCGCTTAATCCTCGCTCACTAGCTAGACGATTCCAAGACTCGGGAGTTTCTACGCTTAACCAACCATTGCTCCCTTTACGACACCTGGGACGAAGAAACAAATTGCGGAGGCCTGAGGTCCAGATTGACCAACACCCTGCGAAATGGATATCTTCCACGACACACACGTGATGCGCTCCGAAGGAGATGCCTTGGCCGCCATGATCGCCATTGAAAAAAACAACGACGCACACGCCGCGCAGCGTGCCGGGCGATACGACGAGGCCATCCGCCTGCACACTGAGGCCCTCCAGGCTAAGATCAAATTCCACGGCGAGCAGTCCGCCGAGGCAGCCTACTCCTCCAATGGCCTCGGCAGCGCCTATCTCCTGGCTGGCAAACTCGACGAGGCTGAGGATGCGTTCAGGAAGGCCCTCAAGATCAGGGACGACGCAGCCTTCGGCGGCATGGAGCGGGGCCCGCGAAAATATGCTGCTGAGACCCGGGACAATATGGCGCGTGTCTTGGAGGCGCGCGGGGACTTCCCAGGGGCGCGAGAGCTCCGCCTCAAGGGTGCGGATCAGGGGCATACGATTTGTGGTTGTGTGGATGTGAGTGCCTTCCTTTTGTAATGACACGAGCCATTGCTGTATAAAACTTGTGAGTTGAACAAAACTTGCTCACCAACTGTAGTGTGTGACGCCTGGAGGCACAATGCTCTCCCGACCACAGTTGAAAGCCTGTGGTGCGTGCCATTCTGTCTTCTACTGCAGTCCTACCTGCCAGAAGAGAGACTGGGTGAAGAGACACAAGCCTCTCTGCAAAAAGTACACAGCTTCGAAGCAGTCAAACGCCGCGCCAGCTGGAGCCGACGCATCCGCCTAAGATCAAGACTCCGTATGCCCTGCGCAGGCGAGCTACTTGACACTTAATACTCGTGAATCAGATAGGTTCTAATTGACCGAGTAATGGGATCCAGGGGGGGGGGGGGGAGGCAGTTTTTGTTCGAGGGCAATTCCACCAGAATATCAAGATTTCTATTGGACTTAAGGTCATTCGAAACTCAGCCTTCACAAAGAGCAGAGCCGCCGTCACTGGGCACTCCTCAGATATTCGCTCAACAGCAATACTGATGGATGTCTTTCAAGCCATCCTTATACGGAACATTTTTGAATATTGGATTTGTCGCAAATTTAGCGTGTGTGCGAGCTGCTAAAGGCTACTATAGGGAAGTATGCACTTAGTGAAACCCCTATAAATTATGCTTTAAGAGCTTACTTACTATTGAAAAGAACTTAATGGGGAAAAAAAGGCATGGGCTCGTTACTACCTAAGCGTGTTACCAGTATACATTGGGGGTAGTAGCGCTGTGAGCTGGTGAAAGCTTGACCTCGCTACCAACATCATTCGGAACCGGCGAGATGTGCTGATCCCTGGCGAACAAGACAGGACCGTTCCGGGGAATACCTGAGCAGCCGATTCCAGGTCAGGTTATAGCATTATGAGCGTTAGCTTTTAGAGTTTTTGGAAGCTCGCACTTTAATCGATATATTGATTCTCACTCTTTATGTACAGCTGCAAGATATCATAACCCAGCACAATCTACGGCCCGTGTTGGTATGTTTCTGGCTAGCCTAGGATAAGTACGAAACCGATAGCTGACACAAGACTAAGCCTGGACATGTTCCCTTTTCAATCAGTAAGCCTGAGATTGAAGCCAGGGAGAGTAGTTGAACCCCATCTTACATGATTTGTAAATATAAATTATTCTTCACAGTTTTTCAACCTCTTTGTTCAAAGCATTTCATCCTCATCGAGGTCATAATAGGCATTATTATTGCCTGATAACCACTGATTGTTACTTCCAGGCACAACAAGCTCCATGGGCGCTTGACCTGAACCTCCCAATGTCTTACTGAACACGAGTTTGTCTTTGCGAAAGCTCGCCGCTGCATACATAAGCGCGGTACAAGTCGGGAGCGCTATCAGAAACGACAGCCTTGGGAGGATTATCGGAACCTCTCCGTCGCTGATTTGGAAGTGCGCGATTCTGCCGTGAAGTAAACTGAGGCCCAGAGCTAGACCAATATAAAAGCGCATCCGGGCAGAAATTGATCGAGGACCTTCCGGTTTGCAAATAGGACGCATGAAGACAAACAAGATAGCAATGCCCACGGCTATCTGAAAGAGGATAAATTCCGCCCTGTCAGTCTGCTCGACTAACGAGGCGATCCACGTGATGCCGCATAGGATCAGGTGTTTGCCAACCGATGAGCGGGTTCTATAATATTCCACGGAAAATGGGAGGAATGAGAACAAGCTTGACTGTGTCAGTAACTTCGGTGTTCGTTCGTGAGGCAGCCATCAACATACATAGTATTAATGCAATAGTAGAAGATATACAGATTGCTTCTCGTGCCGATGTTTTCAGTACAGAGCCAGATGAAACCCGTTGCGAGAATAGGTAGGACGTTGACGATCCCAGACCTTGAAACACGTTAGTCTCGGTTCGCGAGCTTTATTGCAGCCGGCCACTACCATTGGCACCAGATAGCTAGGTCCGCGATCAGTTCCAAGACTTCAAATGGAGAGATGCTATCACTCACTAAAATTGTGCAACTCAATGTCGTGTTTCACGTTCTCGTAAAATGTCTCCATCTTGGAAGCTGATGGGTCAAGGGGATATGATGGTAGAACCGGAAACGAGGAATAGAAGATGATCCATAGGTGTTGCGAGCAGAGGATGGAGGTACACTTAGGCCAGTTGCTGTATTGGTGTAACCATCTTGTTGTGGTGGCATGAGGCCTCCGCCATTCTGAATATCACGTCAGCACCCTGCGGCAGAGGATACGAAGACTGGAACACAACATGATGCTGATCTCAAGTGACTTGCATGCCAAAGGGCAATTCCACTAACCAAATCGGTGCAAATGGAGCTCACAGCCTTAGCAAATAATACCATATACTTCTTCGCTGCATCGGAACGTCATGCTTACGTTCCTTCTGTTTCATCGAGAGTGGCTTCTTTGATCTGTGACTGTCGCCCAAGCTCCGTTGCGTAAATCAACCATATCTGGTCAACACAATCCACGGGGCCGTATAGCGGGCGCGGAATCATTGAGACCTGCCGATCAAACTGCACCGTGATCAGCCACAATGGATGAGAGCCGTGACAAAATATACGAAGCGTTACAGCCGCGCGAAATCAGGCTCCTATCTCTCAAGTCCGCTCTTCCAGACGAGAACATCGAATGCTCCTTGATCGTAGCTGGATTAGATCAACCGCTTTCGTTTGATGCTCTGTCGTACGTTTGGGGACCCGAGACGCCGACTGAAGAGATACACTGCAATGGAATCTCGATGCGCGTGAGAAAGAATTTGGCCAACGCTCTGAGGCGACTCCGTCCCCTGCCGGCACATCGAGTTGGTCGTGAAAGTAGACACTGGGCATCAGTGGATGTGTGGAAGGAGAACCATGTGCTTCATTCAAGCCATAATGCCTGGAAACCTTTCGCAAGAAATAGGCACGAGCATCCGAGTCCGGTGGACCCACTGGACTGTCTCCTGTGAGCTGATGCTATCTGCATCAACCAGAATAATATGGATGAAAGAGCGGAGCAAGTGAAATTGATGGAAGACATCTACCCTTCTGCGCGGAAAGTTCTACTGTGGTTTGGTATAGGGGATACACAGCCGATCCCTCACGACCTTGATGACAAAAGAAGCGAATACTTCGATGATCCGCTGTGGAAAGCAATGCAGGCGGTGGTGCATCCCACGCGTCTTTTGTATGGCGGATTTGCTTCTGTGAAAGAGCGGGTTTCCAGGACAGCAAGACCGACGGTTCATCTCGGGCAGTTTGGCAGCATGCCAATAGTGCTCTCATTCATCGCGCAGGCGATCAGAAACGTGGAGAGGGAGGAGAAGGCTGCGCTCGCGCCAAGGGCTAGAGGAGAAGAAAACGAAGACAATGTCACGCATGGACTGCCGGCTGCAACGTCGAAATACTGGCAATTTGTTCGACAGTTCTTTGAACACCCTTATTTCAGACGTGTCTGGATCGTCCAGGAGGTCGTGTTAGCGACACAGGCAGTCGCCCTGGTGGGAGATTGGGAAATTGAGTGGTCAGCTTTGGGCAAGGCTGCAGCTTGGTTCCTGAAGTATGAATACATGTCACAGTCTGAGCTGCCGCAAACATTACGCGGAGGAACCCTTGCGAACCCGGCCACAAACGCCGCCGAGCTATGGAAGATGCATGAGAAGGGCGTGAGGATACATCTTCGCCTCCTGGCTATCTTGAGAGTTCTTCGCCAACGAATGGCAACCGAGAATGTTGACAAGGTGTTTGCGGCCTTCGGACTAGCTGAGGAAACACGCCAATTTGGCGAGATTCCATGTCACCCACTAGTTGAAACCACTTACGCTACGAGCGTCAAATCGGTTTACCGTAACGTTGCAAAATTTCTTATCATCAACAACGGCAACCTCGAAGTCTTGTCGTCTGTGGGAGGCTCTCAAGAGCCTGGACATGACTGGCCTTCCTGGGTGCCTGATTGGTCCCGCAAGAAGACGTCCATCGACCTCACCGACGCCCACCAAGAGAGTTCCCCATATGCTGCGGGTGGAAATGAGTCTCTGACCATTGGGGACAGCCTCGATGAGAATGTACTATCCTTGAAAGGGATCGAATGTGACGAGATCATCGCCTTTAGCACGAAACTTCGGGGTCGTGGCTCTGGAGAAGCAGCTTCCAGGGAAGAGCATGATTTCATCGTAAGCGCGTGGAATCTGGCTATAAGCCAAACGATAGTGCGGACCCGATTTGACCAGGACGGACGAAGAACGGAAAGACCATGGCGTAGCTTTACCGCTACAGTCTCTGCCGGTTGTGGCGACCACGGATCCTTGGTAGCGGAAGAGTGGCTAAGCGAACACATACAAACATCTATTTCCTTGAGTTCTCTGGTGCAACGACAGCATGGGCTGTTCCCTCGTCATCGTCATTTTCAGCCACGTTCGCTGCCCGGAATTGAGCAATTTCACACAGTCATGGTCCGTATGTGTCAGGGAAGGCGCTTCTTCATAACAAGGGATGGCTTGGTTGGCTTGGGGCCCGAACTTATGAAGGAAGGAGACATCTTGGTGGTGATTTTCGGGGGTAAAGTGCCGTTCATCTTGAGACCCATGGAGGGTGGTTATCGGTTGATAGGGGATTGCTATAGCCCTCAATTAATGGAAGGCGAGGCGGTCAAAAGATGGGCGGATAAGGGGAGTCCGACTAAATTTTCCAACATATTGTAATAAACAATTGAACGCTCTACGTGAGTTAGGGAGCGTGAAAGCATATTTGATTTCCTCAATATATTGTAGTGAACAACCGAACGGCCTATGTGAATTAGCGTTTATGAAAGCACATTTTAGTTTTTCAACATACAAATAGTCTTACAAGAGTCCGTAAAGGTATAAAACAAGCTAAAGGATGCTAATTCCATCAGAGATTACAACACAGCAACAGCATAAAATCTTACAGCTGCACTTCAAAAAAAGAGAACAACGTATTAATTGAGAAGTGTGTTGGCTGGGTCACGTATTCGAATACGATGCGTGGTTTGGGATGTTGGTGTTTATTTGGGTGTAGGTTGCTTACTAGGTTTCAGGAAGCAGCCGAAGGCTGCATCCCTCCGAAGCCTACTTATAGCCGTAGGCCCCAACGGACCAATCAGGCAGCTACAAACGCTAACACTACTATTCACACAAAGTGAGAACTTTGAAAACAATCTATCTATACCAAAATACTATGTGCAACGTTTACATTACTAGTATAAATCTCTCATTAGCAATATACCATTGCCGAGTAGCTAAGATAAAACTGCAAAACAAGCAGACAATGTACAGCTGGTTTTATTTAGCGTCTAAGCTCTAAATAATAGGAATTACATTTGTTGATAAGTCTGAGGGTTAAATGTAGTCCCACTTTGAAGCTAGAATTGGATCAGCCCGCGTCTGTGGTTTGGACTAGGCTAAGTCCTCGAACGAAGAGAGAAGAGATGAAATGTTGGCTGGCTTGATTCATCATAATATTGAATTCTGGCGCCACTCCTGGCTCTTTGTAGCCATAGTGGTATGCAGGTCCTGAAGAAGCTCCTATGTTCCTTTAATAATTTAACAATGTTGTCCCTTTAAATTCTGTCTTTTACTGTATATTAGCGAAATGGCACCGAGGCTTGCGCAGTCGCAAATTGAGCTGATCGAAGGTATGGCCCGTGACAATTTGCTCAATGACGAGCAAAGGGCAAGGAATGCGGATTGCAACACCATGCAACAAGCAGTCAAGACAGCAGGAGCTGGGAAATTTGATATCAAATGTTTAGAAGGTGGCAGAGTTGCAGAAAGTCCTTAAGCATGGGGTTTTAAGGTCTAGATGGATTGAGATAATATAGTCACAGCGAAGCTCTTCACAGAGCCGTAGGGATATCTTATACGCAGGTAAATTCGTCATGAAAACAAAAGGGTAAGCCTATTTTGAAGGTGTCTGAATCCACTAAAGAGCAAATTGCAACAATGCCCATTGCTGCTTCTAATGGTGTTGTCGTCATTTACACTGGCACTTATCTCAGCGTTGTTTTGTTTAGTCCTGAAGGACAACTTGCTTTGGATAGAGCCCACAGAGTTGAGAGCACATACTTCACGACTGGAAGTACAGTTGGCCTGATCAACAATCACATGGGAGAGGAAGCCTCTGTTGCTGCGAAAACTACGGGACCCAAGGAATTTGACTGCGTGTAAAAAAACATATTCTCTCCATATAATTTTAATTCTACTTCTTTTAATGGAAGATGTCCAGCCTAGGTAACGAGGCAGTAATTTTGTGAACCAGCCACTGAAGACTATTAAAGATACTTTGATAGCAAGGTGAAATCTTCATAACTCACATGTCACAGTTTTCCCGGAGTAAAGGTAAATCATCACATGTATTCTGCAAATCTACGCTTGCCCCTGAACACTGGACGTATTCTGAAAGCACTGCCAAGGGAGACCGAAGTGTGATCTCCACTCTGAGTCACAGCACGACTCGAGGGTAGAGCAAGAAAGGCTCTTGCGCCTATCCAGGCTTTGTCCTAGGGCCGCATGTGATTTTCAGCCTGCATTGGAGGTGTAAACAGGAATCCATACACCGATCTTCTGCAAACTCTTCAGTTGACAACACAGGATCGATCCGGCTCGACCGGCGAGGTCTCCACCTGCCGGGCACCGCAGAAGAGAAACAGGCAGGTGGTCCACAGAAAACCGCGCACGGGGTGGGAACGAGACCGTTCCTGGGACCCGGATGGGCTTTTGATGCATCCTGCAAACCTGCAATGTGTCCCTCATACGGATCGACCGGCCGCAATGCATCTCAGTGCCGCCGAGCAGCATCAAATTAGCTCATGCTGTCGACAGGCCCACGAGCAACATGCCTCCCGCGACGGCTCCACTTACGCCCGCGAGTCGATATCGGCCCTTCCTCTGTCGAGTCGCGCAGCCCAGACCTGGGCATATGTCAGTCGATGATCAGTTTGATCCTCCAAATTATTACTCCTGGCAATGCAGGGTCCAAAGTTTCGCCGGGTCCGTAACGTGAGGGAAGTTCCGGCCGGACACCGGAGGGTGGTCGTGATGGTGGTGGGTGCTGATATTTCGCTAAACATGTTAATGGTGACTATACTGGCCATTTACTTTTTTGACCCATGCCAAGGCTGAGGGTCCAACGAAGCACACTTGGCTGCTACAAGCGTCAGATTCATCCGTGGAAAGCTCTGGATCAGCAGTGGCTCCTCTGTGCAGTCGAATCTGGATTCATAGTGCTAAATCTGGAATGGCGCGACCGGTGAGACTCCTTGCGAGATGTCGGACGGAGCATGCTTAAGAAAACACGGACCCTGATGATCAACGAGGAACAGGGGACGTGCAGTAGAGTCGATTCCCATTGTCTAGTATCAATTGCATTCGAACTGTGACGATACAGTGTAGAGAACAGATAGTTGAAAAAAGACATATTGAAGATATTTAATATTGAACGTTGGAAGCGACTGCTGGCGTATCAGCCGAGGCAGACAAGCAGTTTGGTGGTCCGTGCGCGACGTTGATGCCACTTCTCAATTGGCAGGCCGAACAGACAAACGTCAGCGCCGGATCGCTGGGAACAACCACTATCTGTTTGATTACACGTTTACGATTTGCTCGTGCACCCACAAGTGTCCATCTCGCAACCTTCATGTGAGCCAGAACAGTGCTTAGCGGCATGATGCGCCGTCTCAACCTCGTTCTGCTGGCCAGCCTGCAGCTGTGCAGAGCTCGGCAACCCGGATTCAGCATCCACGATGATATGCTGGCTTACCCTCAGGTAAACAAGTCGCCGCTATCTCTGGTCGCTCCCTCACTCTTGCTGATAACCAACCTGATAGTTTGAAGTCGTCTTTCCAGACACCGTAATTCTCGAGAAAGATGCACAACGAATCATAGAATCATCACGATCTGCCCAGACCACCTACACTGCCGATTTCTCTTCGCAGACGGACCTTACCAGCCAGATCCGCGAGTCTGCGGCGGCTGACGCTGGCCAAGATGGCGATCCCGAAGACGGCATGCCAGAAGTCTCTGAGGAATTCGAGATCATCAATATCCCACCTTCCCGGTTCCTCTGTTCCGTCCCCGTGCTCGCACCACCTCCAGCCCCCAACCAAACTGCGACAGACCTAGCGAAGGCAGAAGAGGCCCGCGAGCTTGCACGGGCCAACACGCGAGGATGGGAGCTCATGAGTGATCTCGAGAACCAGTGCCTCTATTTCGTGTCAGGCTGGTGGAGTTACAAGTTTTGCTACGGACAGGATATCATCCAATTCCATGCGCTTCCCACCAACATGAAGGGCGGCCTTCCGGCTCGAGATCCACACAGTCAGGAGTATGTCCTTGGCAGGGTGCAAGAACCTCCTAGCACCAAGAAAAGCAAGAAACAGAACAAAGAGTTGCAGACGGAAACCAATAGCCAGCAGACCGACTTCAAGCCTCCTCCACACACCGAATTACAGGTCAAGGGCGACCAGCGCTATCTGGTACAGCGCATGGGAGGTGGCACGCTTTGCGATCTTACGGAACGCGAGAGGACCATTGAGATCCAGTACCACTGCAATCCGGGGTCGACGGGCGATCGTATCGGGTGGATCAAGGAGATTACTACATGTTCATACCTCATGCTGGTCCATACGCCTCGCCTGTGCGAGGATGTCGCATTTTTACCACCAAAGGAGACTCGCGCACACCCCATCAGCTGTCAGCGTATCTTCGATTCCGAAGAAGAAGCAAACGCCTGGCGTCTGCGTAACAGCATCGAGGCCGCAGAAGCCGCTGGTACTCTTCAGGGCCAGGAGGAGGCCGAGGAGAAGGGTGAGGGCGAAGACGCTACACAGAGACAACAGGACGCGCAAGGCGGGAACAAGTTCAGTGGCATGGAGATTGGCGGGATCGTTATCGGCGGCAAGCAGCTTCACGGCACGGACGACGGCCAACCCCCGCCCAAGCTGAAGCCGCCTCGAGGATTCGTTGCGGGAAAAGGGGCTTCGACGAAACCACTCATCGAAACGCTTGCTAGGGCTCTGAGCAAGGCCGAGGGCGGCCAGGTGGAGATGATGAACGACGAGGGTCTGGAAAAGCGCAACCTCGACCCGGACACCATTGAACAATTCCGCAAGGAGCTCGAGAAAATAGCGGGGGACAAAGCCTGGACGCTCGAGGTAGTGGAAGTGCCGGGAGAGGTGCCAGAGATTCGGGGCATTGTGGACGACGGGGAGGGCGAAGACGATGGCGAAGCTGGTGAAGGCGAAGCCGAGGTCGAGGGCGGGGATGGCGACGGGGACGAAGGACAAGGAAGCGAAGAGAAATTCTTCAAGGAGGAGCTGTGATCCGGTCCTCGGGCGTCGCGGCCCTGGTTGTACATAACATATCGTACAGTACAGCACAGTACATCGTTCTCATGCCCTCAGGGCCATTAGAAACAAGCAAGGCGTCTAGACCGTCAGATTTGACCGAGCCACGCCATGGCCCAAATCCCTCAGCAGACATGGCAGACAGGCGGATGGACAGATAAATGAGGACTCCTGAGGCGAAGCCCACAGCAGAGAGCTGCTATCATGACGCATGGCACCAATCAAGCTTTCTGCGAGCGGAGCCAGCAACTTACGTGGTTTGATGCCGTGAGGTCTTGCGGCTGAAGTTCAGGGGCCAGGGGTGGGCCGCTGGGTCTCTTGTCAGGGGGGCTCGAGCCACCGCAAGATCCATTCTGGTCGATCCTTCTGCCCTGTCAGGGCCACTTGGCCGACGGGGGCCCTTCTAGAGGCTCCATTCGAGGCGAGAAAAATCTCCTGAGTCCTGGCAGATGCAGGCAGGACTGGCAGGACCGGCAGACGGGCGAGTCGATACCCTGGCCGGGCTAAAATAACCAGATGTGACATGCTGCTGCAATAATGTACCGTGCATATCATGGCATATGATGATGATGATGATGACTTTTGATGGCAAAATTGGAGTCGGAGTAGGAGGTGGAACGATGTCCTGGACCGCGGCATCGCCCTCCCCATGCTCCCACCCTCCCAAGACTCCCTGCCTCATCTCGGCGAGCACAGGCACCATCAGGTGATGAACACCCGTCACCATGAAAAAGTCTTTTTCTCTTGGAACACCCATAGAGAGGGCAGAGGGCAGAGCGGGCGAGGACGCTAGCATTAGCAGCAACCCATTGCAGGAGTCGGATGCGACACGATCCTAGTTTTCCCCGCATTTATTCTGCAGCAGGGCACGGCCAGAGTCCGCAGGCGCAACGCAAACGTAAACGCAGCCGCAAGGAGCGAGAGCCTCGAGCAGCGAGGTGTTTGGCCAAGAAGACCTAGCTTGAAGTTTAGTACTGGAGGGTCAGGAGGCACGCAGGAGGCACGCAGGAGGCACGCAGGGTAGGCAGGGGTACGTATCTACAATACGTAGTCTAGGTAGTCAGAGGCAGGGCACGGCACGGCAGGCAGGGTACCTAGGTAGGTAGAGCAGGGAACGCGGCAGGAGCCATCCCAAGCCTGCCATCGATCTGGCAGTCTAGCCAGAGCAGGAGCCAAAGCAGCAGCTACCGTTACAGCCAGAGCCAGCAGTGGCCATCTGGATTTGGAGAGAGGGAAGTGGGAGAACCGAACCCCTCCAAAGCCCGTCCTGAGTCCTGATCTTCCCTCACCAGGCCTTCAAACTTTCCCATCGCTGCGATTCACCATCATCCACTCATCCCATCCCACAACCGATCGTCCAGCCATTCAAGTCAAGTCAGTGCGTTGCCACTTTGCCATTTGCCATTTGCCTTGACCTTGACCTGCACCTGCACCCGCGCTGCTCCCTCCTGAACTCAATCGGCCCCGGCCCCGAGTCTCCCGCCTTGTTGCCCGCCCGCCATCGCTCCATCTCTCGCTGAAGACTCGCGCAACCTTCTCTCACCTTCGCGGAGCCTCACTCACCCAGCGCCATCTCACGTCCACCAAAACCCTCTTATCACTTGATGACTCGGCCCGCCCTACCGGCTATCATTATGTCGAGTTTGTTTTGAGCGGATCCCCCTGTAATCCCGCCACCCCGGACATTAGTCACCCGTTACGGATCACGGAATCACGGGTCACGGAACACCTGCCCGCCCCTCTCCTCCCCTCCCCTTCCGCCCCCAGGATGAAGACCGAAGACGACTCTTCCGACCTCGTATCTACCGTGCCTCCCGTTCCAGCCTCCGAGTCCGATCCCGCCGCGCGCCTGGGCCCTTCCGGCGCTGCTGCCGACTCCGATCTCACCGGCCTCTCAGCCACGAACCTCACAGGCCCCTCCACCTCGCCCACCAGGCCCTCCCAGTCTAAGCGGACCGTCTGCGATCACTGCAGGAGACGAAGTACGTGTCACTTGTCCTGACCTGTCACAACTTCTGGCCGCCTCCCTGTGTATTGTCACCGTGCGCGGTACTGCTTCCCCTCACGAAGTGACATGCGCCCGGCTGTCTTGGTCTCCTGTCTCGATCACGTATATCATGGCCTAATCATGCTGACAACTCTCCTCTAGGAATCCGTTGTGATGGCCAACTTCCGTGCCAACAGTGTCTCAATGCCAGCTTGACCTGCAAGCGGGATCATGTTCCCAGGAAGCGTGGCCCCAAGAGGGGCCATGGCCGTGTCATGTGTGTGACCCCCCATCTGTTCATCACCCCTCCATCTGCCCGTTCACGAGGCTTGCAAGACATGCAAGGTATCTCGTGGCATGTGGATGTACTTCAACGGGCCTTATCCTTGACTTGAGTCTCCGCTGTCAGAATTGACGCTAACTGAGCTCCATAGCAATGAGTTGAGAGCGCGGGAAAAGGAAAGGGACAGCAGGGACAACAGTGCAGAACCGGAAGTCTCAGGGCCCCGTATCGGCTATCCGTCAACAGCACTGCCACAGGATGTCTCATGGCGGAACAACGCCTCAGATCCTCGCAATGGGCCAGAACCAAGGAGCATGTTCACGTCAGACCAGCACCAACCTCTCCACCGGCCCTTCCTGCACCTTGTGCCGCAATGTGTCGAGCTTTACTATGAACACATATATCCCATCATGCCCGTCCTCTACATGCCCGCTATCCGTTCTATGATTGCAAGGCAGATGACGCCGTCCGAAAAGAACCTCATCTATGCCCTGTGTGCCCTGGTGAGCATGCACATGTCCGGAAAGAGCCTCAGCTTTGACGGTCCAGCGTCGTGGGAAGACGCTGGTCGCTTCTTCCTGGACGAGTGCGTTTCCAACCGGCAGTCCTATGATTTCATGGAAGATGCATCACTGAACGCCGTTATATCATCATTTTGGTTATCGACTTCTTTCTTCGAGATAAACCAGAATCGGAAGTCATGGCTGTATTTGAGAGAAGCACTCACTCTGGCTCAGGACATGGGGCTACATGATGATTCAACATACGTTAGCTTATCGCCTCAGGAGGCTTTGTGCCGGCAACGAGTTTTCTGGATATTATTTGTAACTGAAAGGTAAACCACTCAGGCGCTTTGTGAGTTTGGACTGTGTTGTCTGACATTGGAGCCAGATCTTTCGCCATCTTGCGCAACAAACCCATCACGTTTAAGAAGACGCCTATGTTACCAACGACACGTCATTCCTATGAGTCCCCGGACATTCATGCCGGCTTTTTACAGCTGGTGTCGTCCTACACGCCTCTAGACGAGTCCTTCGTCTCGGCTTGGAATGAGGGCTCAGATCCGCGGGTCAGTGCGACGACCTACCTGGCTCTTCAGAATCTTCTGGCGCAGCCTCCTTCCTTCCTCCAGCGATCTCGTGCCACTACTCCATCTTCAGACTCTGCGCCAATCTTTTCTGCGCCAGTGACAGCAGCACCATCAGTCTCGGGCTCTGACGATGCCGACGAAGAGATCATTCTCTCGGAGCCAACCGCTATTCAGAAGGCCGACCTACTAGTCACCCAACAATGGCTGCGACTAATCGTGTGGCAAGCTTCTTTCCGCCAAAGCTTACTGAGTTGGACGGCCCCACACGAGAGCATGCATTTTGCCTTCCCATTGGCAATCGCGCGCTCAACAGCTTCCGTCCTGCAGAGTCTTCCCAGTACCGCCGTCGAAGTCCATGGCATGGGAATATTTGAGAAGATATTTGAGATCGGAACCTGGTGCATGAATGTGCTCGGTGCGATCGACCGCGCCAGCGCTGCCGGAACCCCAATCAGTGGGCTCGGTTCCCTAAGCGGCGGCTTCATGGGGATGGACTTCCTTCCCGGAAGCGGGGACCTTGGTGTTCTTGGCGTCAGTAGGAAAGGTGCCGCCATTGACCCGCTTGAGTTCTTCGTTCGCACCCTCAGCGCAACACCCAACAGCAGAACGCAGTTTGCCGAAAGGCTGTTGATGTTTGCACAGGAACGGCCCGGCGGGATGAGAATGGCGCTGACCCCTTCGCTCACCTCACCCGTCCTCGGGCCTGGAGGCTTGTCTTTGTCGTGGCTAACAGACTCAGCGACCGGCAACCAACAAATAGGCGGCATCCTTGGGGAGGTGGTCAAGGATGAGCAAGAGCCAGACCCCGATTCCGAAATGTACTCAATGGGTGGCAACCTCGAAGCCGGACAGTCGACCTCAGCATTCCTCGGCGACCCGCTGCTCGATCCTAGTAACGTCAACGCCTTCAGCACCGCCCTGAACAGCGTGGCTGCGGGGCAACGATCCATCCCGGCCTCGATACCCTCGCTGGCAACCTCAGTGCCGCTTCCAGACTGGACCAGCGACGTCAATGGAGGGCCCCAGCAGGACTGGGAATATGACCTGACCAGCCCCTTGGTCGATAGTTTCAGTAACCAAGTCTCAGCCTACAACAGCGGGACAGGAACCCCGATCGGGACGTTCACGCCCGGCACGTTCTCGAGGCAGGACTCCGGTGACAGTTTGTACCAGTATCAGCAAAGGCAGCGACAGCAATTCACGAGTGGGTTTAACAACGGTGGGAGCTCTAGCAGCATCGGCATGGCCAATGAATAGGAGGGGGAAACGGAATCTACAGGTAGTGCTGATTTGGAATGTTATCTGGGTCGGAATATCGGTCTATTAAGGGCATAGAAACGGCGACGGTGGTCTCTTGCACTTGGGGGGATACTTGCTGGCATGTTCACTTGGAGACGGGGGTGGTTAATCTTGCGTGCTAATTTGGAGTCTCTGGGACGATACCGGGATGCATTCAAGGTGGTTTTTGTTTTGATACTTGTGCATCTTTGATTTTACTTATTTCTGCTCTCGGTACAAATGCATCTCACGGAAGGGGCGCTTGGATCTGGAACACATGAGTCGAGTCAAAGAAATGATATTTCATTTATGGCCCGGACTCTTCTACTTTGGCCGAGAACGAAAGAAGTTATTGTTCCAGATGCGCACTAAACGATGCAAGCAACCTCGTTCTTCACTGGGATCAGTCATGGTTCCGAAGCCAACACTACCACACACGTGGATTGTGGTCTCAATGGTGGATCGGCGCAAAAGTGGTGTTATTTGGAAGACATGATACTTGGCTCACAAATTTTCCTACGCTTGCTTCAAAGGAGTGTCGTGCGGGTGCATGGACCTGTGAGAGAAAATGAACGAGGAGATGAACCGACGAAGAGGAGTCCCAGCCCATAACCTTCCTGTCTTATATACTTTGACGGCTTGCTAACACTTACGAAAGTCGAGCCCCTCCCTCGTCATCGTCTGCATCAAAGCCAGATGCAGAAGCCCTGGACGGAGACTCAGGTCGCACCTCTTGTGCCTCTCCAGAAGAATCGCGCAGATCGAGCTGGCACATTGACGCCGCTACATCATCCAAGTCCGCGTCACGACCACCGCCGTCGAATCCAACACTGGTTCCGGGGTTCCATGTAGGGAAGGTCGGGTCTGTGTTAGAGTCATGCTGCTTTCTTTCCGGGACCTTCTCAGACAGCGTGCGGAAGGTGTCTTCTCGAACCCTGTCGAGCACCTTCATGATGACCTGCTTCCTCTGTTTTATGGCTGCTTCTCCCTGGTCGGCGTAAACGTCTGGGGCTCGCCAGCTGACGTAGAGGTTGCGATGGGTTTCGCGCACCTCGATGCCGCTGGCGGATGCCGTGAAATAGTAATCACAGAGGCGGCATGTCGGCTTGCTAGACCCGATGTATTTGTACCCGTTGAAGAACTGAGATGAGCGTAGACCAGTCGGACCAGACTCATCCAGGATGGATTGGTGGACCAGTACCTCGGCATGGACGAGGGGCTTGAAAGAAGACTTAGTGACCTGGTCCTTGATTTTCAGATCGAGATCGAATTTCTGAAGCTCCTCTGCGTCGGCCCTATATGCCTGCATTTTGGTAGCATCTCCGGTCATCCGGCCAATGATTGCCTCTGCAGTGACTTTCTTGTCGTTGATGGGGTTGCTGAGCAGGGTTGATGAGCGGACATAGTCTACTTCAAAGTCGTGGAACAGACATTCCCATTTCTTTCGAGCTTCGATAAGAGTATTCGCCGCTTGGAGATATGACAGCAGCCTTCCAGCAGCATGACGCAGCTCAGCCCATGAAGAACGCTCGCCAGTATTCGAGACAGCTTTCTCTTGGAGGCTCTTGTATGCGGGAGACTTCGAGAGAATCTTGATGAAGATCATGAGATCCGTACAATTACGAAAGACTCCACAAGGGTCAGTCTCACGATATTAATCTCGCTGGCTGGGCTTTGAAGCATTCTGCTTACATTTACTCTCTTCGAGTTCTCGATTGTCCGCCTTCAAGGCCAAGTCCCGAAGCTCACTGATTTTGTCAGACAGCTCCGGCGAGATCCCAGGTGTTTCCAGGCATATCTGAGTCTGGGAGTACAGATTTCTGACATAGCACTGCAGTCTCGGTCGGTTGAATGCAACAATTTGCCGCAAAACGGAGGCCTTGACACGAAGTGAAGAGGCCACAGTATAGTCTCTGAGCGTCTCAACAATGCTTTGAAGGTAGCTCTTCACTTTCAAAAGGTCGTTCTCGGACCTCTGATTTGATGCGAAGCGACTAGGAATTCTGTCAGTACATTGAGCTTGAAGAGAAAGAAGGAAAACGTGCTGCTTACTACTGCAAACGGTCTGGATATTGAAGTGCAGAGATCGCAGTCACCGCGCTTCCACCTTGCTTGTTGTCGCAAATCTGACACAACTTGTTGATGAAGTCTTTGAATAGCTCTGCCGGTGAGTGAGACGGTACATCAGGCAGTGGGTCCGGAGCTCTGGGGGCGTGGTTGTGCATGCAGGCCTGAGTAAGTGCTAGCAGCAGAACGAGCGGCTCGTAGAATCGACGCTGAAGCTTGCCTAAAGCAACGGGCGTACGTGCACTCTCAGCAGGCGTATCATTTCCTGAATGAAGTCAATACTACTTCCCATCAGGGAGTGAGTTATCAGCGAGCTCACCTTGCAAGTACGGCATTCTGAATGCTTAGGATATTATCGATCAAATTCCGATGAATATTACTTGATGAGAGTCGATTGACAGCAGACGGTAGAGTGCTCAGTTGTTCTCTTGTTCTCTCTTGGAAATGGAATAGTCAATGGGCCGGAATATAAGGCATCTTTATAGATAATCGACAATGCTCTTCAGCTTTGAAGCATCCAAGTTCCGTATCTCACAATATCCGCTTCGATTTCGATTGCTTGAGAGAACATTGGCAGTGATTTCTCGCGCTTGCTGTTAGCCCAATGACATTGCCATGCCACCCTGCATCAAGCCACTTGCATGTTGTGAGGCCTACTGCAGGGCAGTCTCATTGGCTGATTTCGACAACTTTCCAACACACGAATTTGGATAGTACACTTCCTACTTCTTCGATGTTGGTCCCACACGACTATTGAAATCTGCCTCGTTGCCCGAAATGCTTGAGGCCAACTGAGGCAGTGCAACTCATCCAACCATGCATGCAGAACCAACAATCGTCAGACCGCAATTGATCGGCCTGTGTCGAACCTGGCAGAATAGGATAGAAATGGGTGAGATAGGAGCTGACCGCGTGCACCACAAAAGGCCTCATGCAGCGCAGTAGGCCTCGTGCATCTAGGATGGAGCTCCCACAAGAAATCCGGCGGTTAAACATGCGAAACCAGCCAGGCATCCTTCGCACATATCTCCACTGTCGATTCCTTTCGGCTCAGACCCCTTTCTCCAAAATCTCGCTCCGTGGCCACAGATGATCTGGGCGTGTCTTGTGGGATCGTGAAGTAATCTTATGTTCCAGTACTTGCCCTCGAATGTGCAGTGAACCGAGAATTTTCACAGATATGTAAGTACTCAAGAGGCTGTGCAATCACTTGGACAGAGAACTGACTTAGTAGACTTGAGCAACACGTCTCTCGCTTGTTTCGGATATCCTTGCGAGTGCCTGAATTGTATGTAAATGCCTATTTAAAATTCACTGACGGCAGCGGCCGTAGACTCAGTCTCGCTGCCGAGCACTGATCTGTAATTTATCCAGGCCCGATGGCGTCCCATCACAACCAGGACAAGTCCCGCCGACGCGACTACGACGCAGGATATGACACACACCAGCAGTACCGCATGCTTTACCGACAAGACCCTATGCTGAATGGGTCTGATGACTCTGAACTGCTCACTGAAGAGCTTTATGTGGGCACCCGGAGTTCCGCATGGGACCAAACAGCTGCTGGTAGCACTGCTGGGCTTACCCGGGATTTTGGAAATCATGACTATCTTCAGCCAGGACCCGACGCCACAGTTGATCCGCAAAATCTTGCTGTCGATGCGGCCTATATAAACTACACTCACCCGAACTTGCCTGGTGGTGACTTGAGTGAGAGGACTTAGGACTCTGGAATACACCCAAGCAACATCGACACTTTTTCCTACGAGAACTTCACGACCTTTTCCGACGATCCATCATCCTACGCCGAGACTTCAATGGCGGGTTTCGACGGTGCAAGCTCCATGACGCCACTTCCAGAGAACACAAATCCTCCCTCTACCACGCCCAGCACGCCCAGCACTGCAAGCACAACAACCCAATACCCCCGTCCAGAAAACTGGACTTCTTCCCCTGAAGGCAACTTTTCATCCGATGAGAGGTATGTATGTGATATTTGTGGCAAGACATATACGGAGCTTTACAAATACACGTAAGTTTGCAGACGACCTCCGCGAAACCCTACGAATACAATTCCTGAAGTTTTGATGATCTCAGTCACTGTCGCTAATTTTTGAATACAAGAAAACACTGTATGTACAGTCTCGAATCTCCTCCGTTCCAATCTTGAGGCATCTTTTTGAGAGACTGCTTACCCCCATTCCTGTATCACATGGCTGACATACCGAAGACCGTAATCATGCACCTCCTTTATCATGCCCCCATGACGCCTGTGACAAAAAGTGCCCCCAGAAGAAAGACCTCGACAGGCACATCCGGTCGCACCATGCTTCGTGGGCCAAGAAGAACCCCAAGCTGGCCAACCTATCAAGCACTAAGGTTTACAAATGCGGACGATGCGGCTACGAGGCCGATAGGAGCGACAATGTGAAGCGTCATGTAGACAAGGGTACCTGCCAGAAGAAGAAGTAAAGAATCCGTTTTGGGGGGAAGGGGGAAACAGTTTTGTCTACAGCCTACGCCCTTGCATTGCTTTTTTTGGAACGCCTTCTCACGAAGGAATGAATTATGAGCCCACGAATTCTGTTTTACTCATGTCTTACGCACTGCTTAAGAAGGGGGTTGGCAGGTTGTCACACACGCGTGGAGACATTGGTATTCCTTGCTTTGGTTTCTGCAGCCCCTTCATGTTTCCTCGCCGTTTGTGTTTCTCTCGTCTTGCTTCCTCAACATCTCCTTGTGGCTTGTTTCTTTCATCAGCGTATATGGTACTTAGTTTTGCTGAGATCTTGGGCGTTCAAATTAAATCTCTCGAAGCCAGCCTCCATGCCCCTTTCGACGGAAATTGGTTGCCGCTCTAGGTCACAGCTCACTACCTACTGGTTCACAGTCATACGGAATGAGCATAGCATGCTAGAGGAAGGGTCTGAGTTGAGAATATGACAGGTTTTGTGGGCGTCACCCATCTCCATGGGATCATGCCATTGTCGATTCACAATTGGTGTTCATCTTCGTTGCCGAGCAGCGGGCCTCGTGCAGCGTTGCCTAGATCTATTTGACAGGATAAGTTACAGTTGACGGGCCTCAATGAGTCATAATTGAAGTAGTAAGTTAGGCAATGCGCTACCAAACTACCGAAGACGTGGCGCGTAGTCTGTTCTGGCCTTGAGGAAGCCCCCTGCCGGGCCCAACGGCTCCGTTTCTAAACCACTATTCACGGAGGGTACTACTCAGGTAAATGTACCGTGTTTTCAGTGCGGAATGTCCCTTTCAAGTAGTCCTAAGGGAAAGGTCAGGACTGTTGGCCATCGATGAACAGCAGGGCCACCGGAGGTCTTTCCCGGGCGATGTTGCTGCTTTGCATCAAGCACTGGAAAGTGAGGACGAAAATCTGAACGACGCCTAGTCTAAACTCTCAAGACCGAAATTATTGAGAGATACCCTATAGGAAGTGTGCGAACTTCTCGTTCAGTCCTGGAGAAAGATCTCTTTGAAGCTGATTTCTAAGGCTCATGTCAAAACATTTATTGAGCACCGTGAGCATTATTTATACACCCAGAACACTAGCGTCATTGTAAGACACACAGAAAGGCTCCTGCATATTTGTGGAGGCGTCTGGCAGTGGGTTTCTTGTTCTCAATCACTGCTTTTCGTGTGGCTTCGATTCCAAAGAGGTCGTCTGATTCCGCAAACACCCCCACCCCTGGGGTTGCTAAAGCATTCACACGTGTATTCCCCTCGCGCTATCGGTAGTATGCTTGCTGGCACATAATTCCGTGGGAAGTCAGACGGTTTGGCGTTGCAAGGCCTGCGGCCGTCAGACACTAGACTCAAGCTGACCCTGGGACGCCGCGACCGGCATTTCCTAGACACAGCGGGCCGCTGTGTCTAGCGGGCCGTCAACGTCTACCTAACTAGTGCCCAAAGACTAGACGAAGCATGGAGGAAACGATAGCAGCCGTTGTAACGCTGACACTACCTCAACCTATCTATCGACTACATCTACACAGCAGGGTAGCGGGATCGAGACCGATGTCAACGCGCGCTTTTGAGCCTCAAGGCAAGGATCCGCAGTCCCGCTGGTCGGGTCATGTCTCGGGTTGGGGGCTGAGGGAAAAGCAAGTTGCGTCGTTCCACAACAGCTGCCCAAGTCAGGCCCCCTCGTGATGTGATGTGCTGCGGCGTTGTGCAGTACGGGTCGATCCCGCCCAGCGGCCGCCCAGCGGAAAGGGGGCTTTTGTCGCCAAGGGCTGGGAGATTTGGAAGATTTGGCATCGTGTTGTCCGTGCTGGCGATATCCCTGGTCACACAGCTGAACCTGTTCGGTCCAAGCTTGCGAGGATCTCATTTGTTGGGGACGAATGAGCTGCAGCAACCTTATAAAGCTGAGCGACTAGACCGCGGCGAAAAGCACTTTTTCAGGGACTAGATCCCCGGAAGCGGGTCCCTCCTCAGCTACCAAGGAACTGGGATTGTGAGACGCCCCACAACCCTGCGTATTGGCGCACACAGCTAGGCATGGGCAATCAACGAGTTTTCCATGATGGTCTGGAGTCGGAACCCAAACGGTAGTTCGCCGGTAGGGTCTGGACGCGAGAGGAAAGGAAGGGAGAGGGAAAGGCTTGGCTTGGGCTACTTCCCCCTCTGCGTCACGAGGAAAACGATATGGCTCGCTATCTGGAGCTGACCGAAGCCCATGAAGATGGCAAAGCGGCACGATCGTGGCTGCAGCGCACATGTTTCCGCTGTCACAAGGACGAGTTCGGGATAGTCACAAATGCAGGCCAAGCATCCTTCCAGCGAACCCTGTCAACCCCTCGGGAGGAGGTGGATGGGCAATCGCGCTGGCTTCCTGGCCTGCATTCAGCCCCCAGACGGACCGTGCCCTGCCCTAATTCTCTCTGGTCTTCAATTTCTTCTCAACTTACCCTCCGTCACTGACAGTCTATTGCTCCATCCCGCGCGTTAAGTAGTCCTAGGGCTTACCGAAACAGTACCTGGATCAAAATGCTGTCACAACTCCCCGCGGCATTGTGCCTACTGCTCTGCAGCGCCGCTGGGACCGCTGCGTCGAGTCTCGTCCTTTTCTCGGACGCGAATTGCCAGACTTCACAGACCCGCCTCGCGGGGGAGAATGGCTACCCGGACGGATACTGTACGAATATCGCGGAAGTGGCCGATGCGACATACAAGAGCTTTATGTTCACGGTCCTCGACGATGGCTGTACTCGTGCGTTCCTCTCTTCGACTATGCTATTCTGTTTGCGGCCAAGTTCGGCCGTTTGGGAAACTCCCCGACGAGATGTCTGTCTTGCTAATCTGTGCCTCTAGCCACCATCTACCAAAAGGATAGCACATCAGATATATGTTCAGGCGACCAGATTATTGGATATATCTCAAGGTGCTACAATACGTCATGGGTATATTACAGTATAGACATGTGTACATCAGTCACCACAAGCGATGCTTCATCCGCAACCTCAACATCATCATCAACATCCTCGGCATCGTCCACCTCTATTGCAACGTCGAACGGCGTTTCGGGTGGCGCCATAGCAGGCGCAGTAGTCGGCAGTGTTTGCGGACTTGGGATCATAGCAGCTGTGTGCGTCTACTTTTTCTGGTTCCGACCCAAGCAACGCGAGAGGAAGAGGAGAGAGATAGAGGAATCAGGGATGAAAGATGGAGGCGGCGCATCATCTACTGGAGCCATGAGAAAGGAGGAAGAGGACGGAGAAGCCTATTTGATCAGCATGCACCAGTCACAACAACGGCCACACGAATTGCAATCCATGCCAGACGTGTTTGAGGCGCCTGGGGACATTCACGCGACAGAGCTTGATAATGGTGAGCCACCAGTGGAGTTGCCTGGGGATCACGAGTATCAAGGCGGCCACTCGAATAATACCAGCATCCGGGACCAGAATAGCAGACACTAAGGGTTCGTTGCTGATTTAATGTTTGCCTGATCATTTCGAAACACGGGTAATCTCTTAGGGATGGAGTGGATGAGCAAGGCGTTCCGGGACACAATGTTTTTCCTATTGCTGGAAGGCCGCACTTGAGCTTTCATCATCGATTTGAGATCACCGCGAAGGCGCACGTATTTTACATGACAGCTTTTGCGGTGAATACAGAAGCCAGGGCATTTGACCCTGCGGACAGGAGCATGTTTCTGGCCGAAGCGTTGCCAACAGGGGCATGCTATTTTCATCATAATAATTCAATTAATTCAACATCTTAAGAGGAACTGAACCGATGAGATTTATCCATCACATAGGAGTGATTTGGAGTATTTTGCTCTCCGTCCCCCACTGCTAGTGCTCGTGGTCATGCGCATGGCATTATGTCGAGAGAGAATATAACAATCCGTTCTGCAATGTCCATCGTATGATAAGGATCTTAAACAGTCCAATCGATTCCAGTGTTCAGGCCCCTTGTACCAAAACCAGTCACAAAAGGGATCATTAGATTGAACACTGACCAGCCCAATGTCGAAAATGGAACATGGCCAAAACTATGGCAAACAAAACAGCCCTCAAACTATTCACATTTCACACACCTCGTCATCAGTCCTCGAGATTGAGATATGTGTTAGAGGTCACAGATTTAAGCAAATACTTGCAGTGAGCTGGCAACCAAGGGAACATCGCAAGCGAGAGAAAATTGCAAAGGTGTGCGGAGAAGTCAATTGTCCGCTCTCGTCCATAATGTACGGACTGAAGACTCTGTATCTGCTCTAACGGAGAACATCAATTGATAATAAGCCGTTTCATCATCTGATTCTTCTGTCAGGTCGCTCTTTGTGTACTCTTCAATAGTTCGCCTCTGCCAGTAGTGCTATATCATATAATTCTTTGGCTTAGGGTTCTCGAGCCTAAGCACATGCAATCATGCAAACAGGAATTTTGTTGAGCCATGGCTTTGTTTGATCTTTCCATTTCTGCTCAGTAATCCGCGAATATGAATTTCTCCTCAAAGAGAAATGACAATGAGGGATATGGATGGAGAAGGGCGGTGTATGTCAATTCTTGACACTCGATTGAATTCTCTGAAGTTCGACCACACACGCTCTAAGAGTAAAAATACCCTTGAATATTATTGGACCGCTATTACCAACAAATCAGTTTGAGATGCGAAAAAAATCTTTATTCTTCAATCCATTTGAAGTGAAACAAGATCATGAGGTAGAAGCAGAAGTTCTCTAGCAGGTCCATCAACGTAGGGCTCGCTTGCATAACCCATTATCAGTCTCTCCACGCATAATGCAATAATGCTCGTCTCCACCGTCATGCTCATCGTCAGTCATAAGATCATCCGTTCATGGTTCTCTGAACCTCGCACCTAATACACCTATTTTCTTCTGAAATGCTGCAGAAATCCAAGCTGAGGACATGGAATCAAAGAACACAAACATAGTTCGTAATGAAGTAAGTCCTTCCAAGCTTTGTGTCGATGCAAATATAGTTGCGCCGCCGTGATCGAAACTTTGGACGATACCATTGCTGAATCTTCTCGGTAGAAGCCAATGTCGTTGCCAATCAGCTCATTATAATCGTCTTCGACCCATGATGCGACTAGCCCTCTGGCTTAAGCTTCGTCTGAAGCTGGTGGAGGCAACAAAATCAGGATCGACCTCGTTCCGGGCCCATTCTCCGTCAGAGTCCTCATCGTCCCCCTCCCCAAGATCGTTTAGCACAATATATGTGTTGTCTTTGTGTCGGCGATATGAGTCTCTCTGGGCGTATCGAAATGTCTTGGCTGCTGCATGTCTGAACAGTTTCCCAAGGTCTCTGGTGTGACCCTTCTCGGTTGTCTCTTTCGGGCTGGCAATATGCTGTTCTGCGGCCTGCAAACAGTCCTCTCCACGAGGCCTTGCAATCTCCCAGAGATGAGCGAGGTAGAAGATGTCCGCGTAGAAAGACATTATTGGGGATGCTTGACGCCACGAACACGACGGTGCGACGACGGGAGTGGTGAAAGGACAGAAGGATGTCATAGCTTCACTTGGTCTTAAAGACGAGAAAGTGAGATTGTGCTACCCCTATTTCTTTCAAGACTATGAAGGTGGATGTCTAAATACCGGGCACGAATCGTTGCCCTGTGCCGACAACAGAGTCATGTGTCAGGCGATGAATAACGCTACACCGCTACCTCTCAAATCGTAGATGATCAGAACGGATGCATAAATGTTGAGTCGCGCACCAGATAAGGTTCAACTTATGTTAATTGCCGCCTTTAGCGAGAAACCCGCTGTCAGAAAATGGGGCTGACAAGTGGAGTGAATAAATATACGCAGCGAAGGAAGAGCGAGGGTGCAGTGCGGGAAAGGGTAGTAGAATTAAGAGCCTACTGAATATGCTCTCCTCTCCCTCCCTTTCCTTTTATAGTTCCACGACACGTGTCTTAGAGTTGCGCGCATGCGTGCGAATTGTACTGGAATGGAATGCATTCCGGCGCGTGGGTCTCATTCCAAGCAAAGTTTCGGTTGCGCAGTAGCTGCGCCCTTGCTGCTTGTGTAACAATATGTACTGACATCCGCCGACCCAAACATTAACCATCTTCGAGCGAGCTTATAGACTTGCAGGTGGACAGAATCCAAGTTGCGCCTTTTTATCAGCAGATATTCCAGACCCAAGTAAGGCGAAAGTACAGGCAAAAGTCCCGTTTCTGGAGCCCACTATCCATGGAAGGCTAACCCTTGCTTCCATATCCGGCACTGATTCTTTTAGAGCCTTGGTCGCGTCCTCCTGGTCATGCTCGACTGATGAAATCATCCAGACAGAACAGTCGCTGGACGAAGTTTACGTCTTATAAATACACCTGGGTCGTCTAGCCTCAAAAAAGAGCACCGTACCTATGACTTGACAAGAAACAATCTCAAATGCCTCTTCCAAAGCTTGGACAAAATCCTCGGTGTCGTCACTCTCATTGTCGAACCATCCCAACAAGTTGTGCCAGAAAAGGACGAATCGACCGACAAGCGAGTGACACACTTCTCTGGAACCCTTTCCCAAGATAGTCGCTCCACACAGGACCCCGGACGTCGGCTCGACCAAACGTGACAGCGAAGCCAACGCTTTAGCTTTACGATCCGGTGGCCCTGGGAGACAATGCAGTAGGAAAGTGGTGAATACGACGTCGTAATGTTTGTTGCCTTGCTTCCTTGGATCCAGCATGCATTGTATCGAGGATGGGTCCGAATCTGACGCCAGAAAATCGCCACAGACGGTCTCAATGTCGAGATTGAGCACCTCGGAGTGGGCTTTTCGACACCTCGTGGAAGCGACCTCCAGGCAATCCGTATTGAGATCGAAGAGCGTGACCGAGGTACTTTCTGGAAGCTTTGTCTTGGCCATGTAATAGCCGGTGGCTACCCCAATGTCCAAAATCCTGACCTGAGCTTCGGTTCCTCGTTTCTTGGATTCCCGACGCCGCGCTGCACCGTTAATCATGATACGGTACAGATGCTCCAGTACGATAGCGGGGCACTTCCACACAAAGCTACAGTAAAGTCCAAGGACTAGACTGTCGTAGACGAAGCCGAGTACCAGTGGACCGTAAATTGCCGCCCCTGCAGCAGTCGATCTGGTGCCGACGTCTGCTAACCAGTGACCGACGGCGGCTCCCGGAACAGAGCGCCAGAAAGAAGACATCGGTATCATAGTCAGATGAATAATCTAAAGAAAAGCGTTGTGTACGGCTTGATCACAGCTCCACGGGCTTGTTAGGATAATTATTTGTGAGGAAGACATGCCACCAGACCTTAAGTTTCAATTAGTACAAGTACTTTCTATCTTCGATAATAGACTGACACTGCATGACAACGGACTTCGATTCTGATCAATTGTGACGAGGCTCTGACTACTTTCACTTAATTTCATGACTTCGCTGACATTTAGTGGATACGCTGACCCTTGCAATGTCAGCTCACCTTCTACTTCTAGTCTATTGCATTAAAGGAGCCACGTAAAATGTCGGTCCAAAGAGAGTTCCGCACCGAGAAATTTGTTTTCAGAAAATCTGGGTTACATATTATACCGAAGATAAATCTTGAGATAGCTCGAGGACAAAAGGCTTGAAGCGATCATCAAATCTCATATCTGGTGGTCAAGCCCGCTCTATGCCAGTATTTCCACCGTAAGACCGGGTCATTTCTGTTTCTCATTGAAATTACTGATTTCTCAGCCCTGGGTTGCCTCACCACAAGAAATTTCCTCGTGACCTTGCGGCCGCTGCGAATTTGGTAAGATGAATATTGCAGCCCCGGCTTACGATAGGCTCTGTGATCGCGTCTGCGCGTCTGCGCCTAATGCGCAGTCCGGAAAGGCCATTGCCGACGCCCTGTGGACGGCTGAAGAGCGGCCGCGCTTCTGACGCTAAAGAGCTGTCACGCCCAAGTAGTTAGCGTAGACCCAGAAATAGCCTCGAGCTGCAGTCGACTTTCCACTGCGTCGGGAAGAATGTGGTGTTCGGATGACAGTGAGGCGCAGCAGCTGTCCCGCACCGCCTCAGCCCTACGGCGCTGCTGATCGGAAGACCCAATAGCCGCGCAGGCCTTGGACTTGGAAGCCATATTCAGGTTGTGAGGGAAATGATTCCAAACGTTTGTATACATGATTTTGGATGGGCTGGGGATCTTATAAGAGTGCCCCATATTCCCATGGCAACATGTTTTTCCTGGACCACATCACCATCTTCAGAAACAATCCAACTGCGTCTTTCTAGAACACGAATTTCAACCTTCTCAGTCTATCTTCAGAAATCCTGTCCCAAAAAAAAAAGCACACAACATCAAAGAAGCATCTCTTCAAAAATGTTCGCCCAGACTCTGATCACTGTTTTTGCCGCTGCGGCCGTTGTCACCGCCCTGCCAACCGCGACCACAACCTCAACTCCTGACAAGACAACCACCCTTACCGGAGTCACTCACTCTGTTGTCGCCGGCCGTGGAGGTGCTCTGGTCTTTGACCCAGAAAACGTCGTTGCCGAGATTGGAGATATCGTCGAGTGGCATTTCCTTCCAAAGAACCACTCAGTTGCCCAGTCATCCTTCGGGCAGCCTTGCGTCCCCGATGCCTCCCTTGCGCAGCCCTTCTTCAGCGGTTTCCAGCCTACCGACGCTGCACAGGCCCCCGACGTTTTCCAAATTGTCGTTCAAGACAAGACCCCCATCTGGTACTACTGTGCTCAGACGACGGGCAACCACTGCCAGAAGGGGATGGGTGGTGTGATCAACCAGAATTTCGACTCGCCCAACACTCTGGCCGCCTATAAGGCTTTGGCTGCTGGTACGGGCACTTCAGTCGTCCCTCCAGTTGTTCAGGGAGGCTCGGTGATCCCTAACCCAAACCCGAACTCTGGATTCTAATGGAGCAAGGGGGGTGGATGGTGAATAAGAGGTGAATCACTTTCTTGCAGATGATGATGACTGAGCTGTGAAGGCATTCCAATTCGTTTGTCTTTTGGGTGGCGTATGCTTACCTTGGGGGTTTCAGAGTGAAGATATGGGATGTTTAATTTTCTACACTTGTATATAAAGTTTCGTATGATTTATTTGAAGACTTTTTAAATCAAAATCTACCTTCTCGCAGCATTAAGTTTTTACCTCTTATACATGTATGATATAGTAGTACAAAATCAACGCGGCTGCGCACCTTGATGTACGATTATCTCCCTAAGCCTCAACAATAAATATATTATTCACAGCCCAACTATGACTGAGACGGTCGTAAACGTTTCTTGTAATGGCGTGAAGCGCGATGAAAACAAGTATAGTATACTGTGATTTAGATTTCCATTAGTAAAACAGTCTCGTTACATTACCATAACATACAGCTTTTCGGCGTATTTAGTGTTGTTTGTAGCCCGATGACATTTTCCATCACAGGCTGAATATACAGCCTGTGACACAAGTTCGTGTTTAGAGAAGTAGTGCAAACAAGATGTTCAAACAATTCAACCACTTCCAGAGAAAAGCAAATTGTTGCGTGTGAAACCGACTACCAAGGATGGGGATCAGAACTTTGTACAGGTCATATAATACGGGATCATGTTGCACGCAAGTCTGCTCAGATGACGTCGCCAACTGGAGATCATTTCGCAGAGATCCCGAGTCGTCTTCGGGGATAGTTTGGCCGTGTTATCCCTCAAGTAAGAAGGGTCATTGAAAGAGAAACCATGCCTCGCCTACATGCATCGTGGTATATAGACTGAAAATGGAGCCCCAGTCTCTGCCAGCAACTCTGTACGGACGTCTGGGGTCCACACTCGCAAGACAACCAATCATCTTACACCATTTGGCGTGTTCGCATGAACCAACAACCATTGACTTTCCGACTCATCCAGTCAGGATGCAATCTCGATGATCCCGCTTCTGGACGATTCCGTAATCTCCTCCTGCTACCCTTCTGATGTCATCGCTGATGTCCCTGTGAATTTGCAAGGCGAGCGAATCAGGTCAGCTTCTTTGGCACTGCTGATCCGAGTAGTGCCATTTCCGACCCGTTACAGAACTTGATTTAATTGAAACAGATCCATGCCCTTATCATAAGCTGTTTGGTGAGTAGGCCGTCGGCCTGAACATCTTGTGAAGATGGTGTGATTTCTCGCTCTACATAGCAATCAAATCTTATGAAATCTCTCTCTCCGCAATCTAGTGCGCTGCGTTCTCATCTTTTCAGCATCGCAGCTAGAGTCTTCTCACGTCCACCTCCAACCCAATCATCCCAGCACATAGCATACGTCGTCTTGTCTTGCCAGACATCTCCTTTCTCGCTGCCGGGAGGTAGAGGCTTTCCATTGCCCACCTTGCCTCGAGCGACTCCGTCTTTGATCAAACGAAACCACATCTCTGTTCCTTCCCACCTGAGCCCCATTCTCTTGGCAACCCGGGCGGAGCCTTCATGGAGTGAGTCCAGTCTCCATTGCACTCGGATCAGCCCCAGACCACCAGCAGATGGTGCATCGAGCGCATGCTGGAGCATCAGGCCCACGGCGTTGCTTGTGACATGGGTTCGCTGGTATGATGGTAGAGTGAACAATGTACCGATTGTGAGGGACCGCGAGGAAGGATTAGCGTCCATGAAAGCAATTACTCCAGCCAAGGCGCCTTCGCCGTCGACTTTGTTGAGGGACTTTTCTGTCTTTGTCTTGTCGATGATGGCAAAAGCCTGGCATTCATGAGTCTGGGCGAGGAGACCGCAAACAAACGACGTCATAAAATCTTCATAATTGTCGTATGGGCCTTGTGGGTAGTGAGCGTAGAGCCCTGAATGTTCTCTCGAGAGGCTGTAGAACACTGGAGCATGTTTCGGGGCCTGTTTGGTCGGATTAGCGGTTGAGATCTAGACGATCCGAACATGGCTCCTGGCCTACCGAAAAAGGTGTCAGCTCCACGAGCTCGTTGGACAGCTTTCGCACAGGGAAACAGAACTGGTGTAACTCCATGTGTGGTGTTGGTGTCGACAGTCGGTTTGCTCCGGAGGTTGTGTGATCTTGAAGCTGACAGTTCCTGTCTCTGTCCCAACATCAGGACTAGGCAGCAACGCAAGCGTGCGCAGATTGAGCGTGTGTGATTGGTTCCGAAGATTTGGCGTAATCAATTCACGTATTCAGCATCCTGGTGAGATCGATGCCGGCAGATTATCTCACCTCGTGGTTATGTCAGGCTATTGCTGGGCAATGACCCGAACTGACTAAGGTTGACTTCTTACTATTGGACTCAGTTTAACAGTGGCCGTCTTGTGATCCGCTGGTTTCGCTTAAAGGCCTTGTTGATCCTCGCTCATGATTGCGCCGTCCAAGTTGCCAGGAAAGACCTATGTTGCGAGCTCGAAAGTGCAAGCAGATGCGCCAGATTCTCCGATCAGCCCATTCCTCATCTCACTAACCGTTAGGCCGTGTGATTACCTACAGGCGTAAGGACCTGTCGAAGTTGACTGCATATCCGACTTTTTGTCAGAGCTGCGCCATACAGCACGAAATCACACAGGTGATGGGTTGAAACACCTTCAAACCACGTGAGGTGATCGATGTCACGTACAATTTGTGGGACATAACTTCAAATGAAGCAATACTAAGGTGCTGTCCCGAAGGATGAGGAGGCTCAGCAAACCAGTGTCAATGTACGAAGTGTCCAAATTACGTCTCAATGCTGTGGTAAACATTTCAGGATACCGTCATATGATACGGGCCCCCACCTATCGCGTGGTGCACGACTTCTCGAATGGAGGCATCCAGGCCGGTCATGGGGCGTGGATACATCAGCGGCTTGAGTCCAGGACATTTTCTCGGAGTTTACCGTGAGCTAATGTGCCTGTCGAGTTACAGGGATATAAATCATGTTGGACAAAAGAATGGCAAGCGAGTGATTACGGGAATGCCGGGATCAATGACAAGGCGCGAAGCAGTCCGCGAACCATGGTATGCCGTCCCCTCGTGTGCCATCGCCAGACTCATGATGGCACTGATGGGGCGTATCTGTACGCTGTTTGATTCTCCATTACCTAGGGCATCGATTACGATTGCCATGGTGGCTAGATATTGATTGGTGAAGTCAACCGCGACCATGAAGGCGAAAGTCGGTTTAGGGGAGCTCAATGACAGATCCGTTAAAGGGCTCGGCATCACATATCAGACAAGGATGAGAACATTTGTTGCTCACAGGAATCGACGATCACTTCGAAACAAACGAATTCGACTTTTAGTGCAACAGAACAGTCGCAACAACTTTACTCATGCAAGCTTCCGTCCGCTATTGGGTTTTGAGCCACCTGCAAAATGCTCCCGTACGTATACATCTATTTCAAATCTGTTGCTGCTCATGATGTCATTACAATCCCTTGAATAGAATTGAATTCATAAATACTCATATCGTGGCACAAGAGAATGTCTAAAATCGGAATCCGTACAACGTCGCGAAATGTTTGTCGGCGTTGTGGGGATCTTTTCCATCCAACACCAACAAAGGTGACACTTGGGAGCGATTAACGTCATCCTGCATTCAAAATAGAGTCGAGCGCATATGTTGATATCTAGTGACCGACCCTCATTGCGGTAATCAGGATGGGCTTTTCAAAATGCCATCCATCCTCCAAGAAAAGGCATCTCATCTAGTCAATGCAGGTAGCCGCGAGAATGCAGCTCTTTTGGTCAATATTAACATCGATTGGCTTGACGCATTATGACATGATCAGCTCCATCGGACATACCTCCGAAGATTCTAGATATTGATAGGTCATCTCCAATTGAATTCTATTGACGAGGTTGAATCGTAAATCTGGCCTGAGGCGATGTCTGGTTCACCCCTTCGTGACACAATGGTCGCGGTGCCTTTATTCGTTGCAGGTTCTAACCGCCGGACCTCAACCCTGAAGCATCAGTATAGAACTCGCAACTCAATATCGCCACTCTTCATACATTAGTGATGTACCTCGAGCCTTTGGGTTGTGCAAAAGTATTAAAAAGGGCATTCCCTTCATACCTACAGTCATCTACCATGCCTGGTCTTCGCCATCAAGTTCTATTTCCTCTTCCTGCGTGAATTTTCACTCGACTCCCAGTCGATGCCCTTTCCGTTTCCAAGGGATGAGAAATATATGTTTTGTTGAATTCATGAATCTCGTGATATCTGGTTGCATGCAGGCCCTTCCACAGTGAACAGCAGCCGTAGCGTTCAGCCCAGCCGGCCGATCCTGTCACTGTATCATGGACAACAACCTTTCCAACCACGCTGGTCAGAACCCTGAGCCTAAGTATGTTGGGAATATTATTCTATACTGATTTTCGCCCAAGTATCATCTTACATGTCTTGAATTGTGCTGCTACTTCCTTCTTACACTTGGGTATAAACCTCTTCTTAACATGCCCCTTTCCTCACAGCAAAAAGGCACTGTCGAAAGACAACCCCGTTCTGCGACCAAAGATACCTGTCCTCGAAGACCCAATGTTCACGATGACACGATTTACTTCACCAGACAGCGAGCGAGAAGATCTTGGGTTTCGGCAGACTCAGACCAGGGCTCAGTCAGCGGCCCGCATGGCTGAGAAGATCAAGCCCCTGGACAAGATCTTGAGACCAAACTGATCTCAAGCTCAGGTGTTCTTCCATTCAATCTCCCCTTCTTAAGTAATGCCTTCTCCCACAAAAGAAGAATACTACTTGAGCTACACATACTCATGAATTGATCACAGTCAGAGTGCTGCCAGCTTGAAACTCTCGTGACACCTTAGGGACGGGCGGGCCGTACGGTAGGCGAAGAGTTCAGCCGAGGCGCTTTTAGCCCGGAGACAAGTTTTTGGTATCTACATTGGCCTAATACTGGCCCGAGAAGGCACTTGGTTTATTTTAGTTTGAAGTTTGTAATTGGTAGTCGCTGGGTGATATACAAGCGAAGCATTCATGTTCAATGACGCTGTCAGTAATAGACGAGGTCTTTCCACGGATGTTTCAAACCAATCCACATAAATTTTAGCCTTTTTGAAAGAGAAGAAATGTTGTAGAAGAATTATGCTCCTCATAGATAATATTACAAAGTCAGCTTTGTCTGAATCCATGCTCCCGCATCCGCTGAGAAGATCGAGAAATAGCTCGTGTGGGCGGCCGCATCGCTGCCTTGAGCGCATACAGGGTCAGCCGCCAAGCACCAGGACCGGATTTCGCTGGAAAACTCATTGAGACGTGCGAGCTGCGTGCCCGTTCTAGGATAGATCTTTGCATCGTGTTAGCTGCTGTTTGTAGTGTCCCAAGATAGCCTGTCGTGCAGCACAAATCACGGATTCTATTTGGACGCCAAGGATCAGAAAGACCGCACTTACGCCATCGAAAGCCGCCCCGGACTCAACATTGTATGTTTGGTTAGCTGTATGAGTTACGTCTCCGAACAGGGTCACTGCCGCAACTGCAGAGAAGATCAGCCTCGGGAGTTGTGATGTTGTCTACATTCGAACCCACTTTGAGCCGCCGGTGATGATGTAGGGTCCAATCCGGTGGAGGTCTCATCGGTACAGCCCGTGGAGCCACCAGATTGCCCCCCTAGTATGTTGCCAACGACTTGAGCGCCCTATCGACCATCGTCAGCCAGACATGTTTCTGATGGATCAAGTTCATGCTGACCTGGGAGTAGCCTGATAACACCAACTGTGCATTCGGGCATTTGGCCGCATATGCAGTGATCTGAGATGTTCCGTTGACTACACCAACACCCACAGATGTGCAATAGTCCGGTAGGAAAGAGGCAGGGTACTGGATATCTTCATAACCACAACTGCTGATACCATTGCAGGTCGCATTTACGACGCTGATCTGTCGCCCGGGATAGTCCTCACTAGTTCCTCGTGCAAGGAAGATATGAACAGCGTCACAGTCTTGAGTCTGGCGGACATCAAGAGCTGGATGTCCAAGAACGGATGGCAGGACCGACAGGAAGAAAGCGAATGACTTGGGCTGCATTTTGCTGGTGTACAGTACTTAAGTATAGACTTGAAATATCATCCTCTTCTACAACATCGTTCATCCGTTCGGAACAGTCCTCTTTATACACGTTCATTGCCCAGAAATCGCGATCACCCTGTGCTTGAGTGCCCTCCCTCCCCCCTCCCTCATACCAGTATTGTGCACCTCAACCCCAGTTCATAATACACAATGTAAGTCGGCTCCGTCTCACGGTAATTCGGACATGACTGTATAGGGCAGGTCACTTCTCATTTCGGATCCCCAAGCCAAGATGGACACGAAATGGATGCCAGAGCTCGGAGGTGGCTGCAGGTGAAGAGACGCGTGTTCCGTTGTTGTTACTCCAAATCAAGCGACCCATTGACCACGGGGTTCGTTTCGGGCCTTTTCTTAGCAATGTGCCAAGCGCTGTCAGTGTAGAATTGATGCTGCACAAACCCCGCGCCGGAAATAAGTTCTTAGTCGTTTCTATTTTCACGTTTCTTATAATCGATCAGCAAAAGATAATCCGCTGAGTGAAGTGACTATGCGTTGTTGCCGTCCAGTCCCAAGCAAAGCCCCTCATCACAACTCCAAGTCCCGAGCCGAGGTTTGTACTGTAAACCGCAAGGGTGATGAGTGTCTGCTAGCCCCAACGTGCTTCTCTGATTCTGCAACCGTCCTTGCGGCCTCTAATTCTGGAGTCCTGGAATGGAGTCCCTGTCGCAGCCAAGGGGACGGAATAGCGACGAAACTCATTCAAAGCAGCACACAGGTCTCCCGACTATATCCTCTTGCAACATTATGCAATGATCCATTGACACGTACGGATTCGCTCTCAAATTTTCGATAACTACTCCCATTTCCTAACAATCGCATGTGAGTGGCTCAAAGTCCAACGAATGAGTGCATAGCCCCTTAAGAACAAATCTGGAAGACCACACTACATAGCTTTCTTCGGAAGATGGGTCGCATGTTAAGACAACAGAAAGTTTCAAGCACCACGATACAGCAGATGCCTGTTCTCACCAGTAGCTTCGTCTCATGACCAAGTGGCACAGTTGGCCGAAAGTAATTCTGAAGTGTTAGCTCTTCTGGTCTGCCGCGTCCTACTGATCATTCGCGAGACTATTCAATTTGACAAAAATTGAAATAATAGAAGCAAAATACCAAGATCACAAACTTTTGTGTCGCGGAGGAATCACAACTAACGGAAGTTTATATATGAAAAGGGTTTTTGAAAGTGATTGAAAGGCGCTTGTCGAACGCGCATTAGGTCAGATCGACATTTTGCGGGGGATGGGAATATACGGACGAACACGCTTACATAATACACCCGGCGGCATTTGCAGCCTCAGGCACCTACTCCATTTTGCCGAAGACGTCGCAGCTCCGTCCCGGACCAAGTTCGTCAATTGAAATCTCGACGACCTCCGATCCAAGACCCTTCCCCCACAGTCACCATGTTGTCGAGACAGGCCCTGCTCCGCTCAGCTCGTGCTGCAGCTCCCTCGCGGGCGATTGCCTCGCAGGTGCGCTTCTACGCCGCCCCCGCCGCCAACGAGGCCGTCAAGCCTCCCGTCGCCCTCTTCGGCCTCGATGGCACCTATGCCACTGCCCTGGTACGTCACCGCGCCGACTCGTCCCGAGGCGGAGGAGATGGGGTCCCAATTGGGAGATGGGACAATCGCAATTGATGCGCAGGGACCATGAGGAAGCCGAGCGGAGAGCCTGGAAGCTAATGCGTCATTTTGCCAAAACAAACAGTACACCGCGGCCGTCAAGTCCTCCTCGCTCGACCCGACTGCCACCGCCCTGAACAAGCTGGGCAACCTGGTCTCCCAGGATGCCAAGCTGGCCACCATCCTCGCGGCCCCTACGCTGACTCCCGCCGACAAGTCCGCCATCGTCGCTGAGCTCGAGAAGACCTCCGGCACCAACGCCACCGTCAAGAACTTCCTCCAGACTCTGGCCGAGAACAATCGCCTGTCCCTCCTCGGCGGTGTCTGCACCAAGTTCAGCGAGCTGATGAGCGCTGAGCGCGGCGAGGTCGAGATGACGGTTACTAGCGCTGCGGTACGTGTGCTATCAGAGAAGGGGAGGAGGGATGGTTGCGACGTGCAACTCAAATGAGGCACATTCCATGGTGGCGCGATATCCGGAAGATAGACAGTTTTTGAGACGTGGACATTTTACTGATTCAGTCTTGCGCGTATAGCCTCTGGACAACCGCACCCTCAACAGGCTTGAGACCGCTGTGTCCAAGTCGTCCTACGTCGGCCAAGGCAAGAAGCTCAAGGTCACCAACGAGGTAGGGAACAAGACGGACACTCCAGGAATTTCACCATATGCTGACGTGACTAGGTCAACTCTGACATCCTCGGCGGCCTCATTGTTGAGATTGGCGACCGGACCATCGACCTCTCCGTCTCTTCCAAGATCGCCAAGATGAACAAGCTCCTTACCGACACTCTGTAAATTACTTCTTTTGTATGAGACCGGAGGGGCGCGGAAAGATGGCTATGCGAGGTGCACGGGATTACCAGTGAGCCTCCAGGCCAAGGATACTGACCAGCATCTGTTGTTGAATTGAGCCAAAATAGAGAGACCATTTATTCCACCTCGCAGTCTTGCCGTTGGGGTTGCCCCAATCATCGTCGCCATGTGATTGCATTGGGTGTCAGTGTGCCGAGAAAAGCGGGAATGGAAAGACACCGTCAGCAAAAGCTTGCATGGATTCACTGTCCATTGCGCTTGAACTACAGTAGAACATTGCTGCAAAATACGCTTAGGAATGATATCACACAAGTCATGATTCAACAATGACTTGTATATCATAAGATTTAAGTCCTCATGGTGTCAGGATCGAGACATCCTGAAGTCTATTACAGCCAAGGCTGCAGCATATTCGAGGCCCTTCCTGGGCCTCTTCCATGAAGGCCTGGAAAGAAAATGCCCCCGAAGCACTCCAGCCAGCCCTGGCCTCATCAACTCTTACACCTCTGGTCATGCCAGTCCAAATAAAGCACAGAACCCTATGCCCCAACGCCAGCTTCAAGAACACAGAAATCCGAGTTGCGCCTGTTGTACATCCCGTTTCCAGATCAGTCACTCCGCAGCATGCTGTCCACCAGGTCTCCCAGCGGGCCCCAGAAGTCCTTGCCGGTCGCCAGGTTGTGCTCGTCGATGAAGAGCACGTACTGCTTGAAGCTGGTGTTCAGGTGGGGCTCGAGGCCGAGCTCGCGGATGACGGGGTAGTGGTGGCAGTAGATGTGGGCGTAAACGCGGTACATGCGCTTGAAGATCTGGCGGACGAGGGATGGGAAGGTCTTTGGGAAGGGCACGCCGATCCGGCTGGGCATGACAGCCTCGTCGTCGATGCTGCTCTGGACCCAGGACATGAGCTGCTCGATGTAGGCCGGCGCGGGCATCTTGGTAGGGCGCTTGTAGTTCTCGTTGTCCTGCCACAGGTACTCGAACTCATCGGTGGCCTTCATCTCTGGACATGACTGGGGCGAGCAGAACTCTGTGATGGCGCCGTACAGCAGATTGATCTGGTTGTAGAAATCCACCACTTTCGTCGTAGATCAGTAGGCGGCCGGATCGTTGAGCGCGGGGCAATGCGCTGCGAGAAGATGCTTACTGTTGACAGCGTACCACTCATTCTCGTCTTCGCCCTCGGGCAGCTTCACGATCTTGCGGAGGCTGCCACCTCCCAAAGTGGCCTCGGCATATTGTCGCAGCTGGTAGCTGGTTGTCCCTTGCTTGCCACCGGGTCGCGGTCGGAACTGGTTCCGCCGATTGTTGCTTCTGTCTGCACGTAAGCCTGTGGTCCCGCTTGGTGTAGGGTCTATGGCTGTCTGTCTGATCAAGAGCCATCGAAGGGTGATAGAGAGCACTCTGGAGCGAAAGGGGTAAAAGAAGGGACATACACAGTTGCGATAAAGGAAGTCATCGTGACTTATGGTTGTTGCGGGACACGAGTCGGGGGTAGGTAGAGTTGGGCTGCACAACACTCCAACGTCAGTGGGGCCGCTGCAAACAGGTACTCGAGCGATCATCCCGTCCGCCTGTCTGATGTTTGATCGTACCTGAGTTTCAGCAGACTGGCGTGGTTGAGCCTTGGACACGCTGCTGCTGCGTATGTCTCCAAGCCAGATGAGAGTGAGAGGCCTTTCCGGTGTTTTTGTGTTTTTTGTGGTGAGACCGGAATGTGGCCGTGTCGCAAGCTGAGGGAGGCCGTAGAAGCTACCTGGGCGATGATGATAGAATGAATCAACAAAAACAGCAAGGCGTTGCCGTTGCCGCGGCGCGTTTGCTTTAGCCATGGAAATTGGGCGGCCCGGGTTCAGGGGCCTATGATTAGCGCTGGTCATAGCGTCCTCCAGCGCCTCGGGTTGGAAGTGGTGGATTCTCAATAACGTATGCAGTCTGCTGTACCTAAGCCTGCATTGAGCATCTTCAACTGCTCCCTTCAACTTCGAGTTTATGCAGCCTTTCTCGTCACGTCGAGCACTCACATCTCAGACCACAGCTTCATTGTGTCTGTCCTGGCCTGGCTGACTAGGCCATGTCACTTTTCTCACGACTCACGCTTCCAGGATATCCGTGGTGGAGCACCACGCAAACTATGTGGACGACCCCGTGATGCACCCCGGATTCTCCGCATTCTTCTGTCTGCCGGTTCAATTAGTCTAGCAGATTTGAATAGCCTCAATCGGAGTGGGGGCCCCAGATCAGTCGTTCAAGGTGCAAACTCTAGATATGCATGCCTACCCCTCGCCCCTGGTCGCCGATCCATCTGCTCGGGTCAACGAAGCGCGAACCGCTCAGCTCGACGTCGTTGCTCCAATGTAGACAGGCACCCCGGTATTAAGCTACACGCCATGAACTATCGTTGCGAGTTCAACGAGGCGGTATCTAGATTTCCTTACCAGTGTCGATCTCTTCGGGCATGACGACTTGTTGTACTCCCTTCTTACAGGATATTCTCCTTCGCAAAACCTATTCTCGTTCGACTGTACCCTACCTTCCAAGATTTCTACAAAACATAGATTCGTTCCTATTGATCTGTGTGGACTTAATACTGCTTGCTGCCCATACCCAGGAAGGCGCCAGCAAGCGGGTGATTTTCGAGATCACACCTCTCTTGAAGCCTTGCTTGCTTCGAGTCTAAGAGCAGACCTACTTCGATGCGCAATGTGTAGTCTCAGGCTGCTGTCATTCTCTATCCTTCTTGCCTTGGCCGAAGCTGCTTCACCCATACAAAGACAACAGGTTGTTCAAGCGTTCAATGTTCGTCGCAATGCGAGTTCAAGCACAACCCCCCTTCAAGTCGGAAATGGCAACTTTGCCTTTGGCGTAGATGTGACGGGCCTTCAGACATTCAAGCCTTTTGCAACTATGTCCACTTGGGGTTGGCATAACTCGTCATTACCGACAACCCCCAACCAGACTTCTGTAAACGGTGAGAACAAGACATTGTACCCTCTACACAGCCTCTTTACACTAACTCGCATAAGATTACACCGGATTGGACTGGTGGACTCCACCGCTTGATTTCTCTGATGATGGGCAACTCGTGAACTACGCACAGCCGAACCCTGCTGAGAACGACATATCAACTTGGTTGATACAGAATCCTCAGCGGCTGAATCTCGGAAACATAGGATTCTGGTTCGGCGGTGCGAATGTAACCGAGGACGATCTCGAGGACAAATCCCAGGTCCTTGACCTGTGGACCGGAACGATCTTCTCGAATTTCTCGTACAACGGAAGCATGGTCACGGTTGAGGTACGAGCAGCACCTGATACCGACACTGTTGGTATTAGCGTTGAGTCTGATCTGGTCCCCACTGGTGCTCTCGGTTTATTCCTTGACTTTCCATACTCGGACGTCAACAAGTTTGATGCTCCTTTCGTAGGAGTATGGAATGCTACAAGCAACCACTCGACATCTCTCAGTACTACGGGCAATCAAGCCACCATTCTACACACGTTAGACAACAATAGTTACTCTTTGACGGCGGATTGGGAAGGCGACGGAAAGATCACCGAGCCAGATGACGGGAGTCATCGTTATTTCCTCACAGTCTCTGGATCAAGACAACTGAAAATGACTGCGACCTTCTCCACAGATGGAGTGACGGCCCAAAAGTCTCTTGATGATTTGGTTTTTGAATCACAGTCTTGGTGGGAGTTGTATTGGAATTCAGGGGCTTTCATAGACCTGACTTCTGTTGGCACGGCGAATGCGACCGAGCTACAGCGACGAATCATCCTCTCACAGTATCTCCTGGCCGTAAATTCGGCGTCTTCCTTCCCACCACAGGAATCGGGGCTTGTCAACAATGGATGGTACGGCAAATTTCACCTCGAGATGGTCTTTTGGCATCTCGTACACTTTGCCCGCTGGAACCACTTTGACCTGGTTTGGCGAAGCATACCGAAGATGTACGACCAGTTCCTCCAATCCTCGTACGAAAGGGCCGCTTCGCAGGGATACAAAGGTGCGCGCTGGGGGAAGATGACGGACCCGAGTGGGCGAAGTGCTCCGGGAGAGATTAACTCCCTGTTGATTTGGCAGCAGCCACATCCAATGTACTTCGCCGAGGTAGAATACCGCTCCTTTCCCAACGACACAACTTTGGAGAGCTGGGACGAAGTACTCACAGCATCGGCCGACTTCATGGCTTCTTTTGCCTGGTTCAACCACTCAACCGGTGTGTACAATCTTGGGCCGCCGATGTACCCCGTATCGGAAAACACGAACCCAAATGCGACGATCAACCCGACGTTCGAGCTTGCGTACTGGCGATTTGGGCTTGACGTTGCTATTAAGTGGAAGGAGCGCCAGGGACAGTCTGTTCCGGATGACTGGGTCGCTGTCAGGGACAAGCTTGCTCCCTTGCCTGTGGTTGACAATACATATCCTGTGTATGAAGGCATTCCAAACATGTGGACCGATAATGCAACCACGAATGATGTGAGTAGTGTATCACTTGATCATTTTTCTGGCCACGGTTGTCAGATCAGTTGCAGTTGCTAATGCGATTGACTACAGCATCCCGCGATGGCTGGAATCTACGGCTGGCTACCTCCTCCAATGAGCGGTCCACCGTTGAACCTGACGATAGTCCAGAACACGGCCGACAAGATCCTAGAGCTCTGGGACCTGGAAGAGTCCTACGGATGGGATTTCTCTCTGTTGGCTATGAACTCTTTGAGGCTAGGAGATGTAGATCAAGCTGTTGCATACCTCCTCCATCCCGTATTCCAATTCGACGACGCAGGGTACCCAGTGGGAGGGTCTCGTGTTCCGACACCGTATTTCCCTAATGCGGCATCTCTGCTACTTGCGAGTACGTACTAGACTATCCTTACACTGACGGCACACTTCTTTCCTCAGGAAGTTTCTTTCCGCCATCATCTTGGGATTATGACCAGTTACTAACACAAGACAGCATCCATGATGGCAGCGGGATGGGATGGAGAGCCGGGCCCGCATTTCCCAGAGAATTGGGAGATAAAAGTTGAGGGTTTCACTCCTGGATTGTAGCTTACTAGATACGGAGGCCTGAAAAGCCAAATTTACAGTTTCAGGGGGTAAATTGGCCCCCTGTTCAAACGCGATGAGCACGCAAGTAACATCCTTTCCGCCGTTAGAAAGATGTCAACGCATCCGTCCGACGTAGGTTAAGTGCAATGAATTGAAAGTGGGACTACAAGGAAAATTCAGATCACTCTCATTGTGGGAATAAGAACGGTACTGCAAAATTGTTTCGTGTTTGACGCGCTTGCTGAGGCGCCATGGTCTGAGATACTCAACCATGAGTCTAGTTGATCGTAATGATACCTCTCATCGTATCATGAGCCGGCCGCCATAAGACCTTCTTGAGGGCCAATAAGGTCGTACGCGTGAATGACTGCTGGAGCATTTCACAATATATTCTGCTCCTGCAGCCAACCAGCAATTATGACTGGTTGCACCTTCTTTTGCAACCAGCGAGTGCCTCTTCAAATGAAGCCAACTCAAAGAAGGATAGCGTCGCCCATGCTCTCACCTTCAAAACCGAGAGCAGACAAATTCTTCTGCTTCTTCTTATCCTTTGTCTTGTCCTCTGCCTTCCTCTCCTTTGCAAGTTTCTCGACCAAGTCGGGATCGGCCTTATCGTATCCAGGCGGTGGGTCGTCGTCCTTGTCCAGGTCAATCTCGCCCAGGAGCATCACATTCTCGCCTCGGACGAGGTACATTCCTCGCTGGTAGTCCGCGTATATGCCTCGCTTTTCTTGTGCGCTGGGGTGGTCCGCGGGAACCGCGTCGGGTGTTACGAAGATTCTCTCCACAGTCGATTGCAGAACCAAGTTCGCTATAGCCCCAGTGTTAACTCCATCCCGTTGTGCTGCACCTGCACATTTGAATCACCATACCAAATTGATCCCAGCTTCGTAGAATTCCCAACAGTTTCCGACCGTCGCGCAGCGCAACCATGAGCTTCTCTGAAGCGGTTGTCAGCCTTGCATGCAGCGTGAGGTGGCTCTTCAGCCGGGGTCCTTACTGTCAGTCAGGTCCAGAAGCGATGCCGAGGTGGTAAACATCTGCACAGGCAGTTGCTGGGGCGGAGGAGGAGCTCGACCCAGGGTGGGAGGTCCCTGAGAGCCCGGGCCTGGAGGAGGAGCTCCGCCTCCTTGGCCAGGAGGATCGTTGAGGGAAAGGTGCTCCATTGTTACTTCATGAGCATTGACCTTGGTGTGAAGTATAGTAGGGAGGCAGCAATTCCATGGGCGGGTTGAAAAAGAAAGGAAATAGGGAGGGCAGAGGCACACCAAACCGCGGCGCCTTGTGCAGATGTCGCGACGGATATCGAATGGTCAAGCTCCCATGCAGAAAGTCACTTGCGGCTGGCTGCTTTGGGGTCTGGTCTGGTCTGGTCGCAAGTCGCCGTGGGGCTGGCCTGGTTATCGCCTGCTGTGCAGGTACGTCACCCTTGGATAACGGATCGAAGTCGGCCGATCCTCCGTGCTCAGGGTCTCGCAGCCAATCAAACTTGAGCACTTGACCAGGAGTGTAGCTCGTGCAGCGAGAGACAGCCCAGGCACTCTTGGTCACAGTGCCGATGGACCAGCCTGCCACCGACCCCCCGGGCTGGAGACCTGGATGGAGTATTCTGAGCTCGCCTGCGTTTTCCTCACCTCCCACGCTCCTCTCCCATCTTGGACAATTGGATGCTCACTTGCGGGCATGAGCCGGCAGATCAACTCTCCTCCCTGAGTTCTACGGCTCGAAACTTTCTGACATTCGTATCATTCATACAATCGCATTTCCGTGGTCTCATCGTCTGCCCTCCCTCGCTCTCTAGAATTTGGCAGTCTTCAGCTACCCTCCAGCACAATACAGTGACGGTTTCTAGGGAACCTCTCTCGTGCCTAGACAAACACATTGCGAATGCTGGCAAAGAAATCGTAGCGCTCTCTAAGCCCTACTAGCTATCTCTGCCTTGCAAGAAGATTCGTCCGCATTCGCAATCCTCGACAACAACCTTCTGAACGACACACACCACACAACACACAACACACCTGGACAACTCCGGGACCCTCGAGACCATCCTGTCCAAAGAGACCTCACAGATTGTCACAGACTTGACTACAAGATGGCTGCGAATTCAGCTGTTTCGGTGCCTCATGAGCCCGCTCCTCCAGCCCGCAATGAATCCAAGCGCGAGAGGAAGCGCCAACTCCTGCATGACCGACTTCAGCAAATGTCCGAGAACTTCTCAAGAGGCCGCGACAGTGCCTACCGCGAACAACTACAAAAGATCCAACTCGACACCAACCTCATCATGCGAGTTGACCCCTACTGCGAACGCCCTCTCGAGGCTCTCGACCTAGAGCAAACCGATCCCGCACTGCTGGGAAACACAGACCCTGCCACTGCCCGAACCTTGCTAGAGATGGCTGGTCCAAGATTTCGAGACTTTGTTCATGACATAGAAGATCTCGTCGAGGAGCGCGACTACGAAATTACTAAGCAAAAGGTTTGTTGTCTAAGCCGGGCTGTTGCAAGGCACATATCGACTAATAATTTTGCCAGGCTGAATACGACCGCAAATGTCAGGAGCACCGAAATGTGTACAATTACAAAGTCCTTCAGGCAAGGCGAGAGCATCATTCATTAGCCTCCACCGTCCGCGATCGTCTCATCAATACCATAGCAAGCAAGAAATATCGCCTCAGCAAAGAAAAAGAGGCTCTCGAGATCAGCGATGCGTCTGCCTTACTTCTTCACCCGAACCAATTTAGCATGACCAACCCCGCCAGCCCCGGGGGCACGCATGGCAAGAGAGCCACTCGACTTAGGAGAGAGATGGAAGAAATGCCTGGATTCTCAGAGAACAAGAAGAGGAAGAGGAATGCGAATGATGACGACGGGTCGCCAGTGCCCCAGCGGCGGACCCTGGATGCAAATAACATCACCCCTGTTTGGCAGAGTGATAGGCTGCGCTTCGGGAAGAGCACCGGCCCAATCTACAGCATTGACAAGCTCTTCACCGACAAGGAGCTGTCAATGACATACAACAACGCCGCGCTTGCTGCCCACAAGTACATGCTCAGGCACAAGTCCAAGGATGGCGTGGTGTCATCGCCTTCAGAAAGCGGTCCCGACGACCATGAGGAAGGCGAGGACGGCACAGACTCCGTTCCCTCCGCACCGGTCATGGAGCGCCAGATATCGCATGCGACTAGAAGTACGCGAGGCGGGACACACAACCCCAACTTCTACGACAACAAATTGGTGGGAATAGAGGCCCTCGCCAACTTCGAGCTACCTGGAAATCTTGAGAGACTTGACGCACAGGAACCTAGGCTACCACCTATCGTACCTGCACCGTACAACAAGGCCAAGCCTATGACCGAGGCCAGTGGCCCAGCTCCTCTGGCGGTTGACGACGCTCTGGCAGACTTGCAAGCCATCTCCGTGCTGCGTCAGTACGAGCAGCTTCACGGCGTGGGGTCAAATTTCGACGTCCCCAACGGCGGTCGGAAAGTGCTTGAAGCTGTTGCTGCAGGCCCACGGGAGGAGAAATTTGTTGCCTACTTGCAAGGTGATCGGCCAAGCACAGACGACCTCCGTGTAGAACTCAAGGTCGAAATCAGCAATGTGCGCAGCGAGCCGGGGCCAGGGTCTCTAGCACCGGCTATGGCTGGTGTTCCCATGAGTCGCCAGAACTCGGGTGGAGTGGCAATGAGCCGTCAAGGAAGCAACACTAGAAGAGGGAGACGAGGCTGAGCGTCACACTCGGTCAGGACACATGAGGGAATGAAGCAAGCAAGAGGAAATTAGTTCACCGAAGAAGAAGATACCTCGCATTGAATAAAGTGCGCTAGATGAGTTACTTTTAAGCATAATCTACCATGCTTCCGACTTCCAAGATTCCGCCTGTCGTTTCGTGGTGCCCAGATCACTGCCCGACCCTTTATGGCCCGAAAACTAGCGTCCTTACCTCGATGCTCTCGCGGCCTTCTGCGTCAGGTCGTGTTCTTGGATCCTCAAAGGCTGTGTGGGCAAGCCTTCCACCTTGAACTTTCGAACCCTCCTTGAGTGCCTCACTGTCGAAACACTCCAGCAACAACCGCTCATCGCCAGTCATTCCACTCAAGTAGTTCCACTTCTGGTTGGGATTGGCCCGGATAGCAGCAGTAAACCCAGTGTAGCCATTATTATAGCGGTGCTCGACAGGGATGATGTCCGCATCGTCGACACTATACGAGGACGCGAAGGCCAGGGGGAACGACTCGACGGGCTTCTTGTTCAACGGGCGCCAGACATTGATGATCCGGTACCTCCCCTGCAGCAGCTTGTCCGCGTCGTCGCCCAGGTGCCTCTTGACACGCATCTCGGCCGAGGCGGCGGTCTGATCGATGTGCGTCCTGTTTACAGGCGCGCGCTTCGCGTTGGGGTCCGCACGGCGAATGGTGTGATCGAAGAAGACGACCTTGTGGGCGCCGGGGATGTTCTTCAGCAGCAGCTCCTCGAGCTCCGGGTAGTACTTGGCTTTTATGGACTCATCGTCCGTGAAGTCCTTCTCCTTGGACTCTGGGACGTTCTGGATGACCTGGAACGCATCCTTGTCCAGGTTGTAGTCGGCCTCGTTCCCTCTTATGTCATGAATGAGAGTCTCAACAACCGCGTCTGTGAAATTACGCTGCGGCAGGCCCTCTGGTGGCGTGTCGACGTGGTTGAAGGGCTTCGAGCCATCGGCCGGTGGGTTGAAATAGTTTAGCTTCGCTGTCACGGGCCCGCGAGGAACGTTTGACGTGATGGCCATCTTTTGGACTGTGGTCTTCCAAGTCGTTGAATACAGGCGGGAAATATATTCGGGTGGACGGTAGATCAATGCTCGATGGACAGGCAAAATTATTGGCAACTAAGGACGTTGTTCAACGTCTTGTGAGAAGGCCTATAGATTTGAAGTTTGGAGTGGATAGGCAAGTGAGAGTAAAAATGTCAGTGTTAGTCCTGATAGTTCAAGTTTTGAGTATTGGATGTACATTCAACTAAGTGACCTTCGAGCGTTGGGGTGCAATATATACGTGAGACTTTCTCGTAGTCGTGACAAATCAGCTACGGTCAATCCAGCCTTTGTTCAATATGTCAATTGCAAATGAGGTCGTTCCTCTCACGCCACCATTGATCACGTCATTGTCAAGGGCGCTTCATGAGCAGGGCATGAGGTTGGAGAAGCGTCAGTCTCGACATCTGGGCAGACCAAAAAGGCGATGTTTGACTAATGGGAGGGGACACCGGAACGAGCGAAGATTACTCAACCATCGGTGGAAGGTGTAGTATTAGAAATGCCCTGCTGCTTTACAGTACAGTACAGTAGGGGCCTCCATGTGGACAGCCGGGATCTCTCAAGATCTGTTACCCCGGGTTTTGGACGAGTGAGGTCATCCCGCACGTAGCAAATACCGTAGAGGAGCGGCCGGCCCATGGCTGCTGACCAAGTGAGGAAGATCATTTCGCCTCCCAGAACAACAGCACATCCAGGGGAGCAGAGGAAAAGCGGGGCACAACGTGGGCAGCCAAGGGTTCGTTTTCGGCCAGTGCGCTAAAGAACCAAGGTGCAGGGTACCAAGGCTCGAGCAAGGTACCAAGGTAGACGCCAGGCTGCCCGCGGCACGGCCAGAAAATGTGGTCCCTGGCAACCAGCAGCCCTGGAGGGTGTAAACAAGGCCTGGCACGAGCTTTCAGTCCCGTGAATTCGTGAATTCGACATACCTCATCCTACACGCTCGCCCGTGCCCGCGCCCACGCCCACGCCCCTCCGCACTGTCTCCCTGGTAACAACGCGTCAATCGCGAGGCCACTGAGACCCTTTCTTTACTTGCCATCTTTTTTTAGCTCCTGATCTTCCAAATGCGCATTGTATGTCGAGACATCGCCGGCGATCATATCGAGATTTCGCCGAAATGTCGGGCTTCGAAATCGAGTTACCTTCGTCGCCCGACCCCTTGGGCGACGAGTCGATAGTCATCGCGCCCGGTTCCGTCGCGCCGCCGCCCCCATCCACCACGCGTCGCCCCTTCCAGAGCGCCGCCTCGTCTCGATTCTCTGCGATCCCAGGAACGTCGCCTAGGAAGCGCATGTTTGCCCTCGATGTCGGCAGCGAGATCACCCCTCAGACAATCTACGTCACCGTTGAGGCTGGCCCAGATGGGAACCCCATAACGAAGCCTGGCGGTACCGGCCGTGGAGGTGCGAACGTTAGGCGACTCCTGTTTGGGTCACCGACTCCCCAACCGAGCCCTCGACGGGGTGCGCGGACGACCACAACGACCATACCACTCAGGGGCTTGACGGACGATGAAGGCGATCCGACACCGAAAAGGCGCCGCCGCTCGTCTGGAAGGCCTGGGACACCAGCCACGGCTGGTGCCAAGAGGAAAAAGAAAAGCACTCCAACGCCCAAGGCTGCGAGGAAACCGCGGGGCACACCCGTTGCTAGCAGTGATGCTCTGCAATCAGAAGCTCCCGCAACTGGGGCAAAGCCAACACCTGCCAGGAGAGGCAGGCCGCCCAAGCGCAAAGCAGAGGCTGCACCCTCAGATCAAAACACCTACGTGCCGCCAGAGGCTTCGACAACTAAGAAGCAAGGCCGAAAACGACAGAAATCGATTCAGGCGGACGACACTGACGAGCTCACCACCGCTGGCATCGACGTCGAGCCTCAGAGCTACGAACCACCCCCTTCGCAAAATACAGACACTCTCCAAGACATCTTGCCAGAGGAAGGCCCTGGAGACGGTGATGACGACGAAGACCCTTTTCTAGCTCAATTATCAGACCCACCTCGGGATGGACACGATGCGCACCCCTATTCAATGTCAGAACGAGCCATGGAGTCGTCTGAGCCTGCTGGTGAAACCCGATTTGAACAGAGACACCATCAATTGCAAGACCAAGGGCCGCTTCCAGGCGAGTCAGACGACTATGCTCCAATGATGGACTTTGATGATAGAAGCGACCTGGGATCACACCATAGTGTACCTCCGTCTGAAACTGCACAAGTCGAACATGGCGCACAGGAGCTGGAGGACCAAGGACCTCTGCCCGGCGAATCCGACGATTATGCGCCCGCGATGGACCGCGAAGGTGGAAGCGATGTACCATCACATCACAGCGAAACTACACCCAGGGCCGCGCGGCCCGTCAGACATGACCCTATGGAATTAGAAGACCAGGGACCTTTGCCGGGAGAGTCTGACGATTTTGCCCCTATGATGGACTTTGACGATAGAAGTGATGTTGAGTCTCAACATAGCTTCCAACCGGCCAGGAGTGAGGACGCAACAGACAACACTGTAGATCCAGACACGTTCACCATGATTGGCATTGAGACAATGCCCTCTTTCCAGAGAACCAGAGGTGCATCCACGTCAGATTTGCCCGAGATAGGAGAGACGACAAGCTTGTTCATCAACAGGACTATAGAATCGCTGAGACAAGAGATAGTCGCGACCGACGAGGAGAACGAGGAGAACGAGGAGAACGAAGAGGTTGATCTATTGGGATCTCGGGAACAGACACCTGCTGCCGCGGAGCCACACAGACCGTTTGAAATCTCTTCTGGGAAGAAACGGAGCTCTCCACGGAGGAGGAGCCAAACTCCCCAATCACGAGCAACACAGTCCCCCGAAAACACCTCAAATCGCCCAAGAGCTGGCCTTTCACGCGAGTACGCTGGGCCGGAGCCACTACAGAGCAAGCAGTCACCTGCTCAGCCCATTGAAGAAGAGGGCATCAAGACCATTGCAGCACTGAGCTCCGACGAGCTGAATGCCGACGATGATTCCTTCTCCGACATTCCAGAGGAAGCCTTTGCAGCTGCAGAGACTCAAGAGATACCTGACCCTGCAAGGAGTTCTAGTGAAGATGAACTCAGCATGGCTGTGGAAGCCACCCAAGAAGCAGCGCCTGATGCGGCCTACGATCACGAAACCGTCCCAGGCGATTCCCAGAACAGCGACCTTTCTGAGAGAGCCCAGTCACCGCCGGACCGCCTCGGGCGCAGCCAAATCGACGACGGCGAATTCCTCCAGCGCTCTGCATCCCGCTCTGCCCAATTTGGGAGACGGTCCAGCCAAGCCACGCAGAAGAGTTCGCCACCCCACCCCATTCGCTCTTGTTCAGACTCCAACCGTTTGTTGACTCCTCCAGATGAGCCGACTTCTTCCAGCGATCAAAGCATTGCCCCAGACAATCAACCCCATGAAGAGGAAATTGCAGACATCGACCCTGAGGAAGAGATAGGATCTTCCCCACCTGAAATCACAACTTTCGATCGAGAGGATGAAGAACCAGCGCAAAGCTCGCGGCGAAGCTCAGACACACCCGCGAACCGACCGCCTTCGATCCATCTGCAACCTGTACAAGCAAGGGAGGCCAATGCTGCAGTCTTCCCCTCCCAGGCAGCCGGCCCTCGACCATTCCTCTCCCCAATTGTGCGGGTTGGGGAAAGGTTACAGAATATTCTGTCCGATCCTCCCTCTCCGTCTGCCAGGAGCAGTGTGCTGGGAAGTCCTTTCAAAGGTTCCATTAGGAAATCTAGTCCTTTAGATGGGCCCTCAGACGAAGAGGTTGTGCACAGGGATACTTCTTCGAACACCACATTGCAAAATCCCCCAGCACAGACTGAGTCCTTAGCTGAATCACCGAGAGTCTCCTGGGCTCAATCCCTTTTCTCACTCAGCCATTTGAAGAGTCTTGTCACAGAAGGGGCACGCAAGATGGCTTCTCCACAGACCAATATTACGCAAACCTGGGAGGATCCGTTTGGGCCGTCATCCCCTACCAAGGACCGGGGTGGAAATGCTCGCAACTCAGCTTTCATGGATCGAATTAGGCAGGCATCACGTGAAGGCAGCGTTCATAGTAGCAGAGCCAGTATCGCGAGAGCCACTTTAGGAGATGCGGACGACAGAAGCTTCTCAGGCGACCCCGCGCCTCGCGGCCTAGGCAGTAACTGGAAAAGTGAGAGGTCGTTGAAGCCAAGTCAATCCACCTCGAGCGTTCTGTTTGGTCGACAGGGCGCTGGAATCAGCAACGCATATGATGGGGCGGCGGACGAAGAGCCAGAAGCCATGACTATAGACCGGCTACCAGATGAGCCACGGACAGATGACACTCTGCTTCAGCCAGTCGAGGATCAAGCACCAGAGACAGGGGGCGTCCAGTATCCGCTACTGCGTAACGAAGCATCCCAAGAGGAAGAGATCCTGGTGCGATCGCAACAGGATGAAATGCAGCTTGACGAGGCGCCGCTTGAAGGGGATGGGTCTGATGAGGATGATGTCTGGGCCATTGAAGCAGACAGGACAGCATCCTCTCCAACAGCTCAAAGACGGGCAAACGAATCGATAAACGAGTCTTTCAACGCTTTTGCGAGGAGTGGGCTGTCAATCGATTGGGGAACACGAAGCACCATCTCCCAAACCCTACCTCCTGGCAGGAGCCCAGCTTTCAAACAGTCCATCCGTGGCACTGCTCAAGACGTGCCTGAGAATCTGGAGGATTACTCACTTCTCGATCTTCACAGTGGTGCCTCCACCCAGCCATCCGCGAAGAAGCCCACACCAGAGGCTCAGAAACAGCCGCAGAGGGTGGATCTATCAGACTTCTTCTCCTCGTCCCCGAATTTCATAGAGCGGGAACGAAGAGCTAGAACAGCATCGAAAGCTGAGGCCATCGTCCAGAATTCATCCGAAAATGATGCCGCTCCCGTTGCTTCTCCAGCAATGCTGCACGACAACCAAGATGCGTTGTCGCGGCAGAGGCGGCTGTCATCGGACAGTCGGCTCTCAGATGAGCTGCCGTCCCCAGCACCGGGAGCTGGCCAGCGCTTTGGGCAAGATGCAACAGAGCAACTCTCGTCGACATCTACACCGGAACGGCCTCGCCTTACACAGCAGCGTCTTGCTCCCCGCCAAGCCCAGAATGATGCAGCTTTATTTGAAAATTGGGAGGTATCCTCATCTAGAGCACCGACAGAACGACTATATCTCACGGATCCCATAAGCGACGCACAGCCAAGCTCTCCGCAAGCCATCGAGCGACCCAGTACTCCCGTGGATCGCCAGGAGTCTTCACCTGAGGCACCCATACTCAAGCCACTCCCTGGCCGGAACATGTCACCGGCGAAATCTTGCCTGAGATCTCCCCTGAAGCCCAAGACGCCTGGACGCGTCGTGGAGTTCACGAGCAGCACTCTCTCCCCGATGGCACAAGGCCAGGCCCGAGCTGCAGCTCAGAGCAATATTCCAACCACTCTGGGTCACCCTCCCTCACTCTCGCCCCGCCGCTCCCCCAGAGGCAAGGAGAACAAGCCCTCAGCGCTCAAATCCTACATCAGCTCCTCGCCGCACCACAGGCACCTCGATCTCACCCAGCAGCAGCAAGAACAGTCGGCCAACTCCCCGCTCTCGCAGACCAAATGGTCCAAGAGGCACTGGCTCCTGATGGACGGGCTCCTGCAGGCGTACCGGGGCAACGCCCTCGACTTCCAGCTCCGGCACAGCGGCGCGGTCATGGCCTCGCCTAAGAAGCGCGCGTCGAGCTCGCTGCTGGGAAAGATGGTCACGTCGCAGGGCGAGAAGATGGCGCTGGAGCAGTGGCACCTGGACATCGTCGACGCGTTTAAGAAGGAGGTCGGCGGGTGGCCTGAGGACGCGCTTGCCAAGCGGCTCTTCTCCTTGATCGTGGGCGAGGAGAGACGCAAGGCTGGCTTGGTGCCTAGAAGGCGTTGATCCTTCAATTTTTCCTTTGTTTATTTTGAATTGTGTACTTTGATGATGATGAGCATAAGTGGATAGTGCATAATCCTCGGACGTTAAGTCCAGGATGGAGAGGTGGACATTGATGGTGGGAAGTGTGCAGGATACCCGGTTTGAAAACAAGCCAACCTACCAACAGCATCAGATTGTACGGTGGGCATTCGGTCAAGGCGTCAGAGGTCACTTTGTTCTACAAGTTTGATATCATGCAGAAAATGAATATACGTAATGATGCTTCACCAGAAGTGTGGGATTCATAGCGTTTTTTCATCACCAGTGATCTATCATGCTAATATTACAATCGAGCCCATGATCTGTCCGGCTACTCGAGCATTGACGCCTGGTTCGTGTAGAGCACATCGACCACGTTGCTCAGCTTCTCGATCGTCGCCAGCGCGGAATCGTACGCCTCGTCCCTGTGTGTCTCGTCGTAGATGATGAGGCACCCGGCGCCCTGGTCCAGAACGCCGATGATGACCTTGTCCAGGATCATCTGCGACAGCTTCTCCTCGACCTGGACGGGGCTGAGCTTGACCATCTTGGCGACGTGGTCGATCTCGACGCGCGAGAACGGCTCAATCACCTTGATGAGGTTCTGCTCCAGCATGGCGTCATAAAGCCGTCGCAGATGGCCCCGGATGAAGGCGTCGCTGCCCAGCTCGCGCTGGTACGAACCAAGCACGCTCTCGTACTCATCCAGCGACCGGTTTGAGTGTGCGCGCGCGATGGCCTTCATCGCCTCCAGAGACTTGGTCGCGTACTTGGTCGCCTGCTTGGAGCTCATGAGCTGGTTGACATCGTCGACTTGGTTCAGCATCACCTTGCACAGAAGCATGTACTGCAGAGCGGCCGTCGCCTTGACTGTCTCGTCGAGCTGGGAGTATCCGTCCAGAGCTTCGATGAAGTACGAGTATGCAGTAGTGAAGTCCTTGTCCTCAGCATGAAGCATGCCCGCTTGCATGTCCAGGTTGGCCTGGAGCAAGGGTGGGGTGTAAACGGAGGCGGCGGATGTGCGGGCACTTGTCAGCGCAGCGCGAGCCTTGGCGATGTTTCCAAGTGCGTGATACACCCTAGACTCGAGGAGCTGAACCTCCACAAGCACCAGCTTGTCGTCCAGTCGCTTGAGCTCTCGGAGCAGGCTGTTGATCAAGGTGAGGGCGTCGTAGTAGGATTGTTTGGCCATGTACAGGGTGACGAGACGGGTCTCAAGGTTCTGTCGGAGGAAGCCACGGCGCTCTGATGTTGCCCAGTCTATACATGACTTGGTGGTCGAGATCTGAATTTCGTTCGTGTCGGGGATGTCGTAGAAGAGGTCGAGAAGCTGGCGGACTATTGCGCAGACGCAAGCATTAGAGTTATTCCATTCGACCTAATTGAGTGATTGCAGAGAGATACATACCTAGCTTTGCCGTCTTCGCCTTGGCAAAAGATGAGAGAACAGTGCGGCTCTTGGTCACAAGCTCAACCAGCTCCTGAGTGTTTCTGTTTACAACGTCAGCGATCCATGCTGTCATGGCAAGTGGATGTACAGTGATGGCTGACTTTTGGTCCCGGTACAGCTCGCCCAGGCTGATCAACGCAGTCTCGTATTCCCGTACTGCAGCATCAGTGAGGGATGGTGGCTTTGAGACGATGTCCTTGTAGATCTGCTCGGCCTTCTTGGGATCACTGGAGGCGACCTTCTGCGCCTCCCGCACCCTCTCTGAATCTCCCTGCGCCATTGTGTGTCGTTAATATCCGAACTAGGCCTGGTCGCCTTCTGAGTGTATTGCAGAATTACGGGTGGAGCTCGAGATCGTTGGTCGGGGCAGATCTGAGGTTGCGAGGTAGGCCGATGCTGTGGTGGGTGTTGACGTTGAGAGTTTGGCGGCAAGTCAGCCTCTCCGTTGCTTAACCAAGCTCCCGTCCAGGTTGCCGTATGCACGCGCAAACCCGCCCGCCAGCACTATAGACCATGCACGTACCTCCACTTGGTACCTAGGTACCGCGTCTATGTAGGTGGGTAACATCACTTACCCAGCCAAGGTTCCTTATCGCTTATCGCTCTTCCCGCTTTTTGGAACTGCGCTCCATCTATCAACTTTTTTTCCAAAATCGCAATCGCAATCGAAGTTACTTGAGGTTTTGCTCACGTCCAGCCTCACCAACACAAGCAACCATGAAGATCAAAGCGCTCAGCCGGTCCATATCGGCTCATCAGCCAGCCGGTTCAGATGTGGCCAAGCAACCAAAGAACATGGACGCCAGCGTCCACCCTTTCGAGCGGGCCAGGGAATACAAGCGGGCACTCAACGCAGTCAAGATGGAGAGAATGTTCGCGCAGCCCTTCGTCTGCCAGCTTGGGCAAGGTCATGTGGACGGAGTCTACCAGCTTGCCAAGGATCCCAACTCCCTCAATATGCTGGCAAGCGGCTCAGGCGACGGCGTGGTCAAGGTGTGGGACATGGAGAGCCGAGAGCAGCGGTGGCATGTGAATGCGCACACGAACATCGTCAAGGGCTTGACATGGACCAAGGACCGAAAGTTGCTCACTTGCGGAACCGACCAAAAGATACACCTCTTCGACCCCTCTACTCCCGCCGAGTCCGCCCCTCTCACGACTTTCACCGGAACCGGCGCATTTACCTCTCTCAGTCACCATCGGTCCAAGAACGCTTTCGCTGCTGCGTCGGGAAGCAAGATCCAAATTTACGACCTCGAGAAAATTTCGGGCGCGCCTGAAGAGTACAGCTGGCCCAACGCTACGGACACAATAAACGCAGTCAAATTCAACCAGGTCGAGCAGTCTGTTCTAGCATCTGCTGCATCCGACAGGTCGATAGTGATTTGGGACGTGCGGCTTTCCTCGCCAGTAGTCAAGACTGTGTTGACATTCGCGTCAAATGCAGTGTCGTGGAACCCAATGGAGGCATTCAATCTTGCTGTGGCTAACGAGGATCACAACTGTTATGTGTTTGATGTGAGGAAGTTCGACAGGGCTCTCAACGTGCTGAAGGGACATGTTGCTGTAAGTCGCTCCATTTTCACCGCCTGGTCAAGTCGATCATGCGGAAACTCGGTACTTGGTCCGTATGTCCTCTGACAGTCTCTCTAGGCCGCGATGGACGTGGAGTTCTCACCGACTGGTGAAGAGCTCGTAACAGCCTCTTATGATAGGACGATCAGAATCTTCGCCCGCGACCAAGGACACTCACGTGATATCTATCACACCAAGAGGATGCAACGCGTCTTCGCTACGAAGTGGACGCCAGATGGCAAATATCTGATTTCTGGATCAGATGACGGCAACGTCAGGTTGTGGCGGGCCAATGCTTCCAAGAGGGAGGGCGTCAAATCCTCGAGGCAACGACAAGCCGAGGAATATAACTCCAAATTAGTGGAGCGCTTTTCACATATGTGAGTGCCAACTGACGTTTTATGCTTCTCACTTTGCGCTTCCGTTGTCATCGTTGGCATCTTGAGATCTCGCACATAATCGCAGTGCCAGCTTGAGCTCCTAGACTCAAGCGGGCTCTGTGGGACATGTGCAGCGGAGATCGAGATGCGAAATGACCCACTATGCGTTTCCGTGATACCTATCTACTCTATCTAGACAAGCTGACTGAGAGACTGGGATGCAGGCCCGAAATTCGACGTATCAAACGTCATAGACATATACCGCAGGTTGTCAAGAAGGCTGGCGAGATCAAGAACGAGGAGTTGAAGTCCATCAAGCGGCGCGAGGAGAACGAGAGGAAGCACTCCAAGAAGCAGTTTGAGAAGCGCCGGAGCGAGCGGGAGAAGATGATTCTGGCCCGCGAGAAGTAACAAAGTGTATTACGGAAGCACAACTGGTCAGGAGATTTGACATGCATTGCAAGGCGTTGGGCGGGAAAATCATGATACCTGGCAGGCTGATCTGGGAAAAGGTCAAAAGTGGTGGTCATCACAAAAGTAGATTTGTAGACTGTTCGATGCCATGGCAGACAAAGAAATCCATTTGTCACTTTGTACACGATGCCAGCGTAATGTTCTCAAATTCCAATCTACCATCAAATCATAGCATTAAATAACACACACGTAATATTGTAAGTGGGATGGGATTCAGCCACTTTAGAGCAGCTGACCGTAGACGGACAGGATCGGGTCCAGCCGAAACTCGCCCGTCAGCCGTTCGAGCCCACCACGAGCTGGCTGGCTGGTGGGCCTGATGACAGGGGTGAGCTGGAGCTCCTTGGGGCGGGCGTCATCAGGGGTCCGAGCTGACACCCGCCTGGGGCCAGTCTATTGTTTCAACATGTGAATCTTGCGGCAAGGGGAACTTCTCCGTTGTCGCAAGTCACCTATCCTGTCCTATTTGATTTTCCTAATACTGAGGGAGCTGGATAATCGCCTGACACGCTCGAGACTACGATTTTTCACATATCTTCAACAGCGGCAACTGAGAAAGGCTCATCCTTCGCGATCCCAGAGCACCACCGAACTGACCCGCGGCGCTGAGCAACTCCAGCCCACCATCCCTCGACCAGCATATCCACATCTCGATCTTCATCATGGCTTCGATCGGCGGCTTCGACCGCCCACCACAGCGAGACTCATGGTTCGCCCCAATGTCCATTGACCTCTTCCTCAAGGTTCTCAATGTGACCTTCTTCCATCCCTTCGTGGCGTGGATGATACCCCTGTGCCTTCGCGCCGAGCACATGGACTGGGACAAGATCCCAATGCAAGTCTCCATATACTATGCCTGGGCAATAACCATATGGTATTTTCTCGGCGAGATCAACAAGCGTGTGGCATTCGGTCTGCCCCGTGAAGTCAACCTCGACGACGAGGTTATTGTCATCACTGGCGGCGCGAGCGGCCTGGGCCTGCTCATTGCTGAGGTCTATGGCATGCGCGGCGCGTCTGTCGCAGTGTTGGACGTGAGGGACCTGGAGAACGGCGAGGCCAGGGGCGTCACGCACTACAAGTGCGACGTCACGGATAAGGAACAGCTTGCGCGCGTTGCGAGGCAGATCGAGGAAGACGTAAGGCTAACCTACCCTGTGCTCTCTTGGATGAGTGGACCAACGGCTAAATATCTTTTCAGCTCGGCACCCCGACAGTTCTGATCAACAACGCAGCTGTGGTTGTAGGCAAGCGACTTCTCGACATGGACATCAGTGAGATCGACAAGAGCCTGAGCACCAACCTGCTCTCTTGCTTCTACACCCTCAAGACCTTCTTGCCCGCCATCATCCGTGGTCAGACCGGCGGCACGGTCGTCACCATCTCCAGCGTCATCGGGCAGGTTGGCGCCGCCCAGCTCACAGACTACGCCGCCGCCAAGGCCGGCTTGATTGCGCTGCACAAGTCCCTCACGGCGGAGCTGAAGCAGTCGCATCCGGAAATTCGGACCGTCCTGGTGACCCCTGGCCAGCTCAGCACCCCGCTGTTCTACGGCGTGCAGACGCCCAACTCGTTCCTGGCACCAGTGGTAGAGCCTGTGGACATTGCAAAAGAGATCATCAGTGCGATCGATAACGGCAAGGCGGAGTTTATCAGCGCGCCACTATACGCAAGGATGATGGATTGGTACAACGTGTTACCGCTGAGCTTGCAGACCGTTGTGAGGAAGCTGGCAGGTGTGGATATCGCCATGAAAAACTTCATCGGCCGCAAGGGTAACGAGCTCCATGAGAAGAACGGGAGCCTGATATGAAGAAAGCAGCGCAAAGCTTGTGGTCGGCACTGTAGTTCAAGAGGCGCACTTAAAAAGGGATATAAGGTGTCACATATAATCTTCCCAGGCAGCCGGAACGTGATGTACGATATAATTATCAATAATATGCCCTGTTCCAGGCGCAGGACAGCCATGGAAGCAGACGTTTCATAATCCAACATGCTCTTCGTCTGTTTGGCCGGATCTGTGCGGTCATCAGAACTATCTATACCTCCCGCAAAGCCAAAAAACATGGATACACGATATATTCTCACATCGTCTCGCTCGAAGACCTTTCTGATAGCTCAACAGTGTATCAGATTGACCCGAGCTATCAACGCGCAATGTTGTTGCACATAACAAAGGGATTAATGAGCACATTCACTTGCCCAGTCGGCTTGTCCGGCATACGTTGAGGCGTCCTAATAGTTTCCAAGCCAAGGACAGCAGCGTGCGCCTCATAAGCTTAGACCACGGTGCGCAGAATCAATGAACCGCTATCATAGGGACCAAGACGCAGACATGAGTAGTCTAGAGGCCTGATGCCAGCACGGCCTGTACCATACAGCCTTTACTTTTGTATGAGAAGCAAGGTGCTCCTGCGAATAACCGACACTATAGCCCGCGATCGTCCCGTTCGGCCAAGCCAGGCCAGAACAAGCAGCCGAGCTCGTATCCATGTCAACGAGCCGGCAGCTCGCAACGTGGCATTTGCGATCGGATCAAGATCGTGAAGTAGTAGTTTATGATAATGGAGGAGGACCTTGTCGGCCACCTGCAGCGACCCCCACATGGCTAGGTTTGGCCAGCGTCGTGCTCGCAAGCAGTAGGCAGTTACAGACCGCATCGGAATTCCAGGACGCCGGGGATCTAACCAGGGCGGAAAAGCAAGGACAACTTCGGAATCCGTGTGGCCTCGGCTGTCCTCGTTGCAACATAATATACCGTACCGTGTGCTAGGTTGCACCTCGGAAGCAATAGAGTTCGCCGCCAAGGGACTGCGAAACAGCAGAGCAAAGCGGGAGGGTGTCCAGCATCCCGCAGAATCGGTCCCACCCTTATGGAAACGGTGATAAAGGGCCAAGGTGACGGCCTGTGTGAGGAATCGGTTGGTAAAGCCGCGACTCACCGCGCGGGAGCGCGAGAGGCTGAGAGGCCCATCCCCTTATCTACGGCCACTGCCCTGCCCTGCTCGAAGGAGCGCCACCCTTGTCCGCATGGCAGTTGGAACGGCTTTGGAGCACCCATCCTGGTGGAGCCCGCCCGGCTGAACTGCTATGGCCTCGTCCAGCGACGTCAAGCTTTCAGAGGTCGTCTCACCCTTGTCCGCACCCCTAGCCCGTACTGTTAGACATCTCATGCTGAACGGTCCAGAAGTAATAGTTCGCCGTCTTCATCATCATGTCAAAAGCAAACAAGCCGGTGTCCTTCCGCTTCCTGCATGGGAGAAGCAGAGAAAAGGCCAGACCCGGGAACAACTTCTCCCCTTGAACCTTGGAAACTAGTAATCTTGTATCTGGCCCTGGCTCTCCCATATCGTTCTCGGACCTGGCGGGCTCTGCTGCCTTTCGGTGGACTCGACGATCTCGCATACTTTGCTTACATGTCACCCGACTCGTTATCAGCAGTTCGCTGGTCGGGTTGCCGGTCATATATCCAAGACGCGCGCAGGCTGCTCTCCGTCCGTCATCGTCACCCGCGGTGTTCTTCGCTCCCACCCGAAGTAACCCACCCCTCTGTTACTTACCTGCTGCTGGTCGCCGTTGGCCCCATATCCTACCCAGCAGATGTGACAACGAGGCGGGTCAATGCCCATACTCCCTTGTTCAGCCCTACGGGTAGAAACACGTTCGTGGCCAGTAGCCCGTCATGGATCGAGTCATGTCGCGGTTCGACACAGCACGCATCGAAAGGACAGTAACGAGGCAATTCGTCCACTCGCATCTCCTTGCTGATGAGATTGAGCGCTTGGATAAGCCCTTGGCTTTTGGTGACGGTCTCACCGACTGCACGTATTGGGAGTGGATAGAGGGCCATGCCAAACGGCTGTTCCTGATCCTCGTCGACCTCGGCGTCCCGGACCAGATATTCGGCGTAATTGACGACTCCTGGGAGGATGACGACTTGCCCATCGCCCTGGACCAGGTCGAGAGGCTCTGCTTGACGGCCACTAAGGATTTCAAAGCAGAAAGGAGATTCTTTGACCGGCAGTTCCACTATCTGCTCAGGCCGGTTAGGAAGGGCGAGCACGTTGACTACCAGGATGAGGAAATCGTGCCTCTCGATGTATACGATAGGAGGCCCGGGTTGACACAAAGCAATGATATAGATAGGGTCGGACTCCCGAATGTCCCTGGCGAAGTCTTCTGCAGACGTCGATTCCTCATAGGGTATGACCAGGGGTGCCTGTCCCGCGAGGATCTGATGTACGAAATCAACTCAATCCAGGACCTTCAGAACGACCACATCGTGTCGTATTGGGCCTCTTATATCCACCAGGGATTCGGATACGTCTTGTTCACACCGGTGAGCGAGTACAAACTCAGTTCATATTTAACGAACACACCACAATCAATCAAAAATGTCGACAAGACAGCCAAGAGAAGGCTGGTCCTGGACTGGATCCAGTGCCTCGTCGACACTCTCTGCTACGTCCACAGCAGAGGCCGATGGCTTGGCAACATCAAGCCGTCCACAATCTCCTTCACCCACAACAACCACATCCTTCTCTCCGGGTCCTCACAGCTGAGCCCTGACGCCTCCTCAAGCCAGGGGGGCTTCTTCGACAAAGAATCATACGACTACGCCGCGCCGGAGCGGTGGCCCAAGCCGAGCAAATCCCCAACGACGCCGCGGATCAAGGCATCCGCCCCATCCTCATCCCGGTCCGCCGCGCCCTCCATCAGAAGCGGCAAGAGCGGCCACACCGAGCACAGGACGCCTCCGGCGGCAGCAATACCCCGGTCGGACCCCGGCCCCCGCCTCGACCCGCAGGCGGCAGACATCTTCGCCCTGGGCTGCGTGATCCTGGAGCTCCTGAGCCACGGGCTGCTGAAGCGGTCGGCGGGCGCCTTCGCGTCGCACCGCAGCGCGAAGCACAAGAACGCCGGGCGCGGCGGCGCGGTGCTGGACTCGTCGTTCCACAAGAACCTGGGCCAGGTGGAGGGGTGGATGGCGGGGCTGGCCAAGGACGCGTCCAAGAAGGCCGACGGCAGCGACAAGGGCCGCGTGTTCGGGGGCGTGGTGCCCCTGCTGCAGGTCGTGGCGGGCATGCTGTCGCCGCAGCCGTCGGACCGCCCCTCGGCCTTTGGCGTCCAGCGCCAGACGTACCAGATCCTGACGCAGGCGTGCGGCATCGCGGAGCCGCACTGCGTGCACCAGTACGACGCCTGGGACCTTGTGCCCGCCGGCGCCATCAGCACGGGCCGGAACAGCGTCATGACGACTATTGAGGAGGCGTCGACGCCTGAGGAGGGGCCGACGGCGGCGACGACTGCGGCTACGACAATCGCGTCGTTCTCGAACCCTTCGAGCTTCTATGAGCATGAGGATGATGACGACGACGATGATGATGATGGCGCCGGTCGTGGTAGTTACGAGCCTCCTATCACTCCGAGTACGGCCAGGTTTGGGAAGCGAAGCAGCAGCAGCAATCTACCAGTCATCGTCGGGCAGCGGGATCACAGGCGGAAGACCAGTGACGACAGTTCTGGGAGCAAGAGTAGTGATCACGGCCAGGGTCAGGGCCAGGGAGAGCGGTGGGAGCTGAGCAGCGGGCTGAAGGCCATTCAGAACCTGCGCATTAATAGGTCAAGGCCGTGGCAGGCTTCATAGCATACAGATTGGGTTGTTGAACCGGGCCGCTGAAGCTGATATACCTACAGACGAGTGACTTCTTTGCACCACTGTCAAGATCTGAATATTTAATGCTTGACGATTGATTTGTAGGATTAGCAAGATTGATGATATCTTGTGCTCGATGCCGCACAATACAGAATGCTCGTGGCTTTTCGGGGCGGCTTCCACCTTAGCGATCACTCGCTCAGTCGCGCAAGGAGCCAACCACTCGCCCGTTATCTTAACTACAGATTTCATAATTAATGACAGCTTTCATGTTCTTGGCGTCTTTTGAGGTTAGACTGTCTACTCTAGAACCCCAGCCAGTTGCTCCAAGTGATGCCCCAAACGACCACAATCACTATGTTTCTCCGAGGCCTGAGTGTGTAAAATCCCCATCGCTCTATCTTTTCCTTTTTATAATACCAATGCCCTCCATCAAGGCTCATCTCTATGTTCGTTGATGAAGCCAAGCCATAACACTTCGTTTCGAATAACATCGTCTTGCCATGGTAAACGGGCATGAGTGAGATGGGATGTGTGGCCAATCGTGCAATGTCTTCCACGCAACATCTAACAGATAATGGCTCGGGTCGTGATTAGAAGAACGGAATCATCGTATGTATGTATGCGCAAATGTCTTGAGCAGGCAACTTCCAGCTGCTAGGCTCTCCGAGACCGACCTGATCACAGCACTAGCGTGAAGGACAACAGAAGACCCAAGAGTGCGGCAGTCATTTTCGTAATCTGCGTATTCGGGCTTGCAGGACTCTTCGAGCTCGACGTGGCAGAAGCTGAGCCGCTTGTCGAGTTGGCGACTGGCGCGCCATTAGAAGGCACTGCTCCAGATGGCACAGACGTCGTGTAGGTGGTTCCGAACAACGTCTCGCCGACTGTGGGAAGCTGGACATCGCCGTTGGGGAGCCAAGCCGCAGTGCCGGTGCTCGAGGCGGGGCAAGATCGCGTAGACAAGGACTTAGTATCCATGTCTGAGCTCATTATGCCCGTTGGGTTGAGCGTGGCCCACTGCGCCTTCAAATTGGAAAAATCCGGAGACACAGGCGTTGGAGTGCCTTGTCTAGTGTAGCCGGCTACGATGTTGCTGCCTGTAGCTGTGGGATCGGCAGGAGCCCCGTACGAGATCAGGCCATAATCGTTTGTCTCTTCAATCCATTCGTAGATTATCGAGCCGCTCTGCGATGACGTGTCAGTAGAGCTTCACGTCCTTAATACTCCAATCAACCCAATAAGGTGTTTCAGTTGAGTCAGCGACTCCGAACTTTTCCCCGTCTCTATTCATTCTTCCCTTTTTCAAGATACCATGTAGAGAATTTGGGGGGGGGGGGGGGGAGACAAACCCAGTCGTTAATCATCTCTTTGCCAAATATCGCAGCCTGATCTTCAAACGTGCGAGGCCGAACGGTGTTGCAACCAGTCTCGGAAAAGAAGATGGGGACAGGGAAGTTGGCAGCTCCGGCCTCAAGGTTTGAATAGCCGGATGTCTGGTAGTCCACTTCGCCACACCATTCGTAGCTGTTCAGTGAGAAGAAGTCGATAGTGTCTGAATCATTTCCACCGCAGGTCAGAAAGTCTTGCAGCATGGGCCGCAACTCAGCGATGTCAGCCGCAGAGTAGCCGACGGGGATATTGCGATAGCCCTTCGAGTTGCGGTATGCTTTCATATCACGGGCAGCAGCCTTGATAAATGGAGCGGCTAAGCTCTGCGACGCTTGAGCAATAACCTCATTTCCAACGAAGAAACCAAGAGTATTGTCGTACTTCTGGAACTCACTGCAAAGAGTCAGCTACATGTTTTGAATACCCAAGCGAGGACATGAAGCAAATCCTCCCAGGCATGGGATGGGGCACTGGAGCAGCAATAGATTCGTACGTACTCTATAACCTCGGTGAACCGTTCGTACTGGGTCTGGTTCCACCATGGGCTAGTCTGCAAGACGGTATTTGCATGTTAGTCAGTGGCCAAGGACCAGCCAAGAAAGACAAGAATGAGATCCACACCGGGGGGACGGGGGACGGGCCGTACCGGGAGTATGTAAGTATCGAAGGTGTCGAGATCAACGAGGAGATAGATGCCAGCATCGGCCAAGGTGGACATGCAGTCTGAGTGGTCCTTGGAGGCGTCAACGTGATAGACCCGGATCGAGTTTGCTCCAAGCTCGCGCATCAACGCCGCATCGCGAGCGCATTGCTCCGAGTCGACCAGGGGATCGTCCTCCGTGAGCTGGTAGGCGACACCCTTGAGGAAGAATTCTGTTTCGACATGATCAGTCCATCAATTCTGATGTGGGCAGGGTCAGAGGGCACGTTACGGGTTCCGTTCTCGTAAAAGAACTTGTTGCCATAGGCCGAGATGGTTGAGACGGCCGCGTGCACGGCGCCCATGAGGGCAAGGGACACGGCGTATGAGAGTCTCATGGTGTATTTGGAATGGTGCCGTCCAAAAGGGGTATCCAAGTGAGCGTGATGCGACGACACGGGTGAGTAAGGATGGTGCCTGGTCGCGAATGTTCTCAATGTTCGATGGGCGTACCAAAAGGTTACAACAATCGAAGCTTATTGAGTGAAGTTGGCAGGGGAAAGTCGCAAAATGGGAAGCCCAAGAAACTCAAGTATGCAGACCGGCCAACGAGTGTTCGGATCGATGAGGGTCGAACGATGATGGGGACCTTGCAAGGACAGGTGGGTGGGCGTCTCCTTCCCCGGTCACAGACCCGCTCAAGGTCGAGGGGGAAAGAAAAGGTGGATGGCGCGAAGGTACAGTGCAGTGCACGCAAATAGCATCCAACAAATATACAGAAAGAAGGATCAAGAAGGTGCCGATGTTGGAGAGAAAGTCAACGGGAGTGACAGGCGTGGGACGCAAACCTACACAGAAGAAGGGACAGGCACGCAGACACAGTGGTGGACGGGGAGATGCACAAATTGTTGGCAACGACACAGCGCGCAGCAGGATTGCTAGAATTGCACGACGTTGTTGACGTGGTTGGACCTACCTACCCTTGCCACCGTGCTAGCAGACCTTGGTTTCCTCTCCCTATCTTGTGCTGCTTTTGTGCTGGTTGATTTCCGTACAATCGCTCCAGACGTCCGAGTGCTTGCTTGCACAATCACCAACAGTCATCACCGGTGAGTTGCATGTATATTTCTGGGAGGCCCTCATTGGTGTCCTCAACCAGCCAAGAGCTGAGTAGTCTACATAGCGTACGGCCGTGGTGATCGTGGTAGTCTAGAAGAAGTCAAGAGCAGCAGCAGCAGCAGTCACAAGCTCCCAGGGAACGAAAACACACGCACCCGCACGTTTCGCACCTGTGGGGCGGGCAGCTGCCGGGAGCTGGCTGAATTGCAGATCAACTGCAGGTGCAAGCTCCTTTCATTACACGTGTATGCGTCGCTCGTGCTTGTACAAGGCAGGTTAGATCAGAGGCGATATCCCGGCGTCGAACCAGGGCAGAGACTGCAAGCAGCAGGAGCAGAAACCAATCGACCGATCCGTGGGCTGGACTGGGCTGGGCTGGGATGGACTGGCAGGACTGGCAGGACTGGCTGGCTGTGGCTCAGGTGGTTGGTCAATTCGAGAGGTGACTGCCCTTCTTGGCTGGTACCCTAGCTCCTGCAAATATGAAAATGTGAAGGGGGCAGGAGCCAGCGGTTAGCAAAGAGATAGAAATTGATGAATGAATGGAGCCCAGAAGAAGATACTATAGACGAACTCTCTCCCTTGATGTGAAGCCGCAAGGTGCCATCGTCCCGTTGCATCACGGTTTGATCCGCATGACAGCTGCAGTGAGCTGGATTTATCAGCTGAGCTTGAGCTTGCTCTGAGCTTGCCCTGAGTTTGACACCTGAGCTGCCCGGAATGACGCAGCTTTAAACCTCGTCTTCGCCGCGCGTGCTGGTCGCAAAATTGAAGGGATCGGGGGACCCCCATGTCCTCCTCCCCGTGGGGTTTGGGTCTGCCCTGAAGCTTAACTGGACGATCACCTCGGATTGCCCAGGTTACGGAACAAGTCAGCTTGGGTATAGGCCAGCTGGTAGGTTTTATTACTATATTGGAAACTTTTCGTGCATCCAAACTCCAGCAATCATGTACCTGTCTCTGGGACAGTCTACACAGCAATTAGAAATCATTTTCTGGGATCCATCGCCCACGACTGCCATGACAGTCCCACGACATGACATCTTGCAACATACGCACACATGCATTCGGACCACCAGCCACCACAAGCCACCACCTGAACCCTGGTTGATAAAATCAGGCAGCTGGCATTTGGCGTTTCTGCATATGCACCATGCCGCCAGCCGCTCTGTTGCATTGCAGAGATGCCAGATGCTGTGTTTATGGATCCGCTCAGGCTTGCAGATCCGTCCAAGCTGATGAGTCTGCCAGTCTGCCTGAGGAAACAGCACAGCCCAGCCCAGTCCAAGCACAAGAGCCTTGCCGGCGATCATTTCTCAGGGCATGCATGCGGCTTTTGTATCGATTCACCGCAGTCTGACTGCCCAAGCGGACAAGCCTTGCCATCACTGTCTCCTTGATATCCTGGCGCCATCTATGCAAAGCCGACCTCTCTCCTTGCTTGTCGCATGTTGACCGGCGATGAGACAAGAACACCTCAGCTCAGTGTACCACAGCTTACGTCCGCAGGCCTTGATTCGGGCCGCCGGTGATGAGCAGAGCCGAATGAAGGAATGCGGTGGTGGCCGGCTTTCAGAACCATCTAGTGTGCCGTGTCTCGTGCATTCATGTCTGAGACAGGTCTGGCAAGCCACGAATGTCATCTCAGCCTCTGTTTTTGATGCCACCCGTTTCTGAACACCAAGTCTGTCCGGACTAAGGACAGCGCCGAGGAACAGGTGCCATCGCTCGAAGACGTCACGAATGGCGCGGCAGTCCATTCGGTATCAAGTGGCTCATGCCACAGTCATGGAGTCCAACAACGCTCGTTGAAGAACACGGTCCACTCAAGAGTCTTGCGCGTCTCGCCCTTTCTGACTGAACCACACGCACGCTTTCCGCGAGAGACGACCTCGCTTCTGAACGTGACACTGAGATGTGATGAAGGAGGAAGTATTTGCCAACTTCAATGGTTGCAATCACCCAGCGACCTGGCATGTTTCACTTCGCGGAGAGACGATGGAGATAACTTAGGAGATTTTTTGGAGCCAAAGACGATTCACATTCAAGCGTCAAGGGCCTGCCCCCTCCCCTCCTCTCAAACCGACTTTAGTCCTCTTGATCTCTCAGTGATGAACTCACCTCACACTTGGTGTTGTAGCGTCAGTCACACTAATCCTTCAGGTTCCCAACTGCCATACCGGGTCTGCCACATTCTAGCAGCACTTGCTCTTTGCCAGCAACTGTGGCTTGCACCTAACAAGGGCTTGGCCACCACTCAGATCTTCGTTGCGTTTAAGTGGCGGTACCAGAAATTCGCATGGAACGTGCAGTCGAGGATCGCGTGGCAAAGCTGCCTGGGCCAAGCCTGGACGCGTCGGGGCTTTCATTGAGGGTAGGACAAAACGACGTGGGCTGTGTTCACATCACCTCAGGCCTAGAACCCTCCATTTTGTCCTCCTGTCACCGCCGGCTTTGGTAATTCGTGCGTACTGAGAAGAGGCATATAGCCGGTCACCCTGGCTTATATTCAGTGCAACAGGGGTAGATGTGAGACGTGATGGTACCGTTGAACGGCATCCTGCGGTACTGCAGGGGCGTTTCTCGCATGCGATTCGGTGATCAAAGATCGGCTGAACCAACCGGACAGGCTAGCGCACAGACGTCACCTGGGTCAGAAGCTGCTGTGGTAACGGGCAGAGGCTATCATCCCAATTGCGACCAGGTGGTTCGGATTGATCCGGGGTCACTGACGATGTTTCAAGTATACTACCCCTGGGCTGCACCGGGCTGAGCGGCTCATCTCTCCACAAAGCACGACCGATGCTGTAAATGATGGCGAGCGGCGAGTCGGCTTGTACGGATCTCCGTAGTTGAACTTCCCACCGGGCAACCCGTCATTCCGGTTGCCCACCTATCTGACGACCCGGAACCCAGGCTGAGATGTTCAGAGACCAGAGGTTCAGGACCATAGACTCGGCAGACGCTGGCAGGGCTGAACACGCATAAGGATCACGCAACGAATGGACGGGCTTGACTATTGCCCTGAAGCCGTTGAACCCAGCCTGGACGCTACAAGCTGTCAAAGTCCTGTCAGCTGCACGGTCCGCCGAACTGCATGAACCTCGCCTTCGTCCGTTGGCATCGACCCAAAGTGCGCTGTCAGTGGGAAGATACGATTGGCGGTCCAGTCGCTCTCCGATTAGGTTTAACACATGCTGAAACGCTGTGGGGGGCGCCTCCAGAAACCAGGACACCGACATCAAGTGCTACGGAGGCTTCCACGCATCCGGGTTTTCAGCCGCATGAATGATCATGTTTCCTGGTCCGTGTTCGATCCCGAGGACACATCCGCCATTCAAACCAGGCGACTGGCTGGGTAGGCCGCATCATTGCGGTGGTGATCACACACCGACCTACCCGGCCATGGGACACGCTGACACGTCGCTGCAAGAAAGACAGATCTTCAAGAGATCTCCTCCAATATGGCACAATGTTATAGAGACGGGGCTTATTTCTGAATCGAGTGATACCAGAGCAATTGGTGTGATTAATTCACATTATATATATGCAACCCAACTTCTGCCTGGTTTGAGCCGCGTGATGACAGCTTGGCTGACACCTGAGGTTATCCCAGACCGACACGCAGCTGGTAACAGAACTGAGCCTATCCATGATTAGAGTACCTACTGCCCCAAGACCCTCACAATCCTGTTGCGCGGAGTTTCGAAGGTACTTTCACCGCGGCCAGGTGACTTTCTGGCTGTCCAGGACCAGGGCGTCACTCGTGCTGCATGGCTGCCACCAAGTTCCGCGCTGACATCCCCGAGCTTTGAACCTCACGTAGTACCTTGCTTTCGAGGACGTGCGAGGTGTTTCTCAGCTTTATGTTCATCCTGCCCTGCTTCCAAGGCATATTCTGTAACCCGCTCCCTCCAACATTCTGCATCCCGCGTCATGCAAGCTGAGTCGCGACCTGTCACTTTGAGCTCATGCATCTAGGTCTGTTCGTCAATGTCTGTTGATGCTACAGTTCCAACTCAGCAACCATGCTCTCGGAATCAGAAATCGCAAAAGACATACACGACATTGAGGATGGGAAACCCTCACGACGGTCGAAGCTTCCGTCAGAGCTATCATTCGAACAAGTAGTAAAGAACACGACAGCACCGGTAAGTCTAATGGCCCATAGAAGGCACATGTTGGCGACCATTTTCGAGCTGAACATTATTACAGCCATGCTCTCTTGGCGAATTCATGGACTTTTTGGTCTATGAAAACCGTAACGCGGAATTACTGCAATTCTTCATCTGGTACTGCGACTATATTGAGCGATGGAGCGAGCTGTCACCTCAGCAGAAGTCACTGTCGCCGCCATGGGAGCCGGACAGACAACGAGGGCAGAAAGGGCTTGCCGCGCAGACTCACAGACGAGATGGGAGTGACAGACTGAACCAGATATTAAACATCATGGAGGTTGTGAACTCCAGGAAACACCCAAATTGGTCATTAGGGACAAGCGAGACAAGAGTCAGCTCTGGAATAAGTGAGTCGAGGGGTCCGACTGCAACTACACGAAATCCAGCGCCCTATATTACGCAACAGAACTCCCAACGACAAACACACACAGCAATGCCTCTCAATTCGAACCCAATCGACGAACAAGCTTCAGACCAGAGACAACCATTCCGCGACGAGGTGAATATGATCATCAAACAATACATTACGAATCAGGCTCCGAGGCGCCTAGACATATCAGACGAGGATTTGGCGGCCTGTCAAAAAGCTGCAAGCATAACTACGCACCCATCTGCTTTACTGCGCGCCTTCACCGCGGCAGAGGACCTGTTGAAGTCTGACTGCTATCCACGTTTTGTGCGTAACAGCCAGCGAAACGCCAACAAACCACGTCTCATATTTGTTCGAGTCATTGCTCTCATCATCATAATGATCGGCTTCCTGGCCAACCAGGTTCTGGTTCTATCGAGCCTCTCTCAGTTCTATCGCGTGCTGAGCATAATACTATGGTGGCCCAGCTTCACCATTCTAATAGCAGCAATACAAGGGCTGTGTCTCCTTCTACAAATAAGAAGCCTCCGCCAACTCCGACCATGGGAACAAGAACAACTCGATGAAGAAGTTGACGCAGACGACCACGGCCATGAGCTCAACTCGGCAGCTGAGGTGACGACGCACATCAGCTCGGACAATGACAGGCGGCGGTCGAAGCAGCCCGCGTTCGGTACCGCGATCCGAGTCACGAGCCGGCTGTCGTCGAGCCGCAATGACGACCCGCTGCGCAAGCCGAGTATGCAGACTTTCGGCCCCGCGAATAAATACAGGAGGAGGGCCTTCGTCAAGGCATACCAGGCTAAGCCGCTGACCCGCAAGATCTGGGACGACGCCGTCAAGACGCGGAATAGGAACATCAAGATGCTTCAGGACCGGACGGTCTTTCTTTCGATATGCTGGGGCGGTGCGCTATCGTCGGTCCTTACCGTGGTGTCTCTTTTCATTCCGGTGATGAAGGTTTTATGACAGCATTAATCGCTATTGCTCTTTTGCACTTTTGGAGGACCATGGTTTACAAGCTGGCTTGGTGTTTATCGGCGTTGTTACACAGGCGACTTTCTTTCCTTCTCTTCTCTTCTTTCTTTACTTCAAAAGGTGAACATCCAGTCCCTACCGCATTATACCCCCTGAGATCTATCAGGATTGCGTCTGAGGAATATTTGGAGGTGGAGCATTGAATGCTGATCGCATGGTCAGGGGTGGGATACAGCGCTTGATGGAACACTTGATTTGGGGCAACAATAGATTTCCGCAGGAACTCCAGACAAGAGGCGTACTAGTAGACAGTATTGTACGCGCGGCATGGTATTAGCCAAAGTAGTATAACAAATGCTAGAGTTTGAACAGGTAAACAAGAATACTACAGTACAGGGAAGCGGGTCCCCGAATGTCGCCAACATGATCCATAATTGGCCAAGACAGCGTCGCGTGCCGGAGTCTCGGGACCAAGGGTCCTCGGCATTTGTTCGGTGCCCCTGAACCTGCATCTTTAAACAACGCCAACCAACCAGACTACGGGTCACAACCTCACGCTTCAACCTGTCCTAGTATCACTTGTACCAGATGGGAACCGTTGTGCTTGGCTACTGGCGATAGCGACTATCGCACATGGAAAATGGACCACCCGGACAACCAGCAGCAGGCCCCCTTGATATCCAACCGGGACCGTGAGGAAGACTACGAAGACGGCCTCGACGATGCCGTCGGACAAGCAGCCTCGCTCGAGGCTGGCAAGGCCTCGTCGCCGGGCTTGTTCATGTGGCTGTTGACCTTCTCGGCCGGAATAGGCGGGCTTCTGTTTGGATGTACGAAATAATCCCTATGCTTCGATAACGTCCTCCCTATGCCCTGATTCCGTAGCACAAGAAGCTCCCTTCTCCTGGCTAACAAGAACACCCCAACCAGACGACACGGGCGTCATCTCAGCAACCCTCGTCTCGATCGACACCTCCCTCTCCAACCGACCGCTCACCTCCTTCGACAAGTCAGTCATCACCTCCGCGACCGCCTTATTCGCCCTCCTCATCTCCCCTGCCTCCTCCGTACTCGCCGACCGCCTAGGCCGGAAACGCGTCATCCTGCTGGCGGACCTGCTCTTCGTCCTGGGCTCGGCGCTGCAGGCGTCCAGCGCCACTGTGTCTCTCATGATTGTGGGCAGGGCCGTCGTCGGCGCGGCAGTGGGCGCCGCCTCCTTCGTCGTGCCACTGTACCTGGCAGAGCTATCGCCAGCAGCGTTCCGCGGGCGCGTTGTTACTATGAATATCTTCTTTGTTACCCTGGGACAGGTAGTGGCATATGTAGTAGGGTGGGCCTTCGCCGAGTTCGCGGCGCCCGAGACGGGCTGGCGCTGGATGGTCGGGCTCGGCGCCGCGCCCGCCGCGCTGCAGCTGGCGCTCGTGGCCGGCATGCCCGAGACGCCGAGGTGGCTGGTCAAGGCCGGGCGGGTGGGCGAGGCGCGCGCCGTGGTCCGACGCGTGGCCGGCAGCGGGCCCGGCGCCGGCGCCGAGGCGGACGTGGTGCTCAAGGACATCGAGGCCGAGGTGCGCGAGGAGGAGCAGGCGCAGAAGGCGCGCCGCAGGTCCCCCGCGCTCGCGGCCAGGTCCCAGTGGCTCGACGGCTGGGACGAGCTGCTCGCCGTGCGGAGGAACCGCCGGGCTCTGGCTATTGCATGCCTGCTGCAGGGCCTGCAGCAGCTGTGTGGATTTGTGAGTCTACGGTCTACCAGCCTTGGACGGCTACGCGCGTGCTTGCGGCTGACCACGGCGCTCTACAGAACTCGCTGATGTACTTCTCGGCCACGATCTTCAAGCTTCTTGGGTTTGACAGCCCGACGCTTACGTCGATGGTGGTCGCGGTCACGAACATGCTCTTCACGGTGGTCGCACTAATGGTCATCGACAAGGTCGGCCGGAGGCGGATCCTGCTCTACTCGATTCCCTTTATGATCCTAGGGCTACTCCTCTCAGCATGGGGGTTCTCGATGATGAAGCTGTCGACGTCAACTTTTGGGGACGACACGAGCGGCGCGCCGCCCTCGCCGGCGCCAGCCTCGAACCACGGGGCGGCGGTGGTGATTCTGACTTCCATAATGCTGTACGTCGCAGCGTACGCCATTGGGCTGGGCAACGTGCCGTGGATGCAGAGCGAGCTGTTCTCGCTAAGCGTCCGGTCGCTGGGCAGCGGGGCGGCAACGGCGACGTGCTGGGCGGCCAACTTCGTGGTCGGGCTGAGCTTTTTACCGCTGATGGACGCGCTGTCACCGACGTGGACATTTGTACTTTACGCGGCAGTCTGCGTGGCGGGCAACTGGATGGTGTACCGCGTGTACCCAGAGACGAACGGGCTGAGCCTAGAGGAGGCGGCGGCTCTTCTAGAGAGGGATGACTGGGGCGTTGATGCCCGATGAGGTTATTCATACACTACCAGCGGTGTCTATAGAAACTTCTGATACCACGTTGCTCCACCCGCTACTTACGAACCGCCCACATCGCGCGGTGGGGCGGGTTCCTCACGACGTTGCAGTACCGCGCATGCGGATAGAAGTGGGAATGGAGCCACTAGGCCTCGCATGCTTTGTAAAAATACCCACGGCGGCAGGGGTGGTCCAACAAAAAGGAGAAGATGGATACCGGGAGACGGATTTGAACGGTAAGCACCGGCAAAAGGCCTAACGCCGATTCTCGACTTTGCCCCTGGATCGAATCATGTATGCCACCCAGTCATCCAAGATGGTACGTAGGGAGGGAGAAACCGGGTCTGGTTTTTCATCAATATCATATTTTTGGCCTGTCTTTGAAAACAGGCTGAGGCTGAGTTTGGCAGGCAGCTGGGCATTGCACATCTGGCCGCGGAGTATCCGAGTCGGGATCGCATTGCAAGACAAATCCTTTGCCGGGTCGTTGAGTAAGCCGGGGTGCCGGGGTTGTTTACTTTTACTTCCGTGCCGTGGCAGCGTGGCAGACATTTTCCTTGGGGGCCGAGGCTCCAACAAGCAGGCTTTGACGTACGGTGGTAGATCCTGTCAAACGCGAGCAGCGAGGGTGTGTGGCTTGTCATCTCGGGTCGGGAGCTGGTCCTGGTCCCGGCTCCGGGTCTGAAGGCAATCTCTCGTCTATCTCGAGCTTGGTAGATCATGTAATCCTTAGAGTTTGGATTAGAGTGTGCATGACGATGATATCGATGACGGTGCAGCATGCTGAAATTTTGACACAGGTGTGTCTGAGATAGAATATGTCGCCATGTTGCGACTGTCCCTGCATGGCTGCCGTCTGTTGTACCACTGCGTCGGGCAACGAGATACCACTCCAGATCCACCCATCAAAAGACAGAACCTTGGAAAGCTGCAGAACCTGCCTGACCGTGCTGCTGTGGTCGTGGGGCGCCATCAAGTTACATCCACCTTAGCTGGTTGATCCTTCGTCCACCCTCCACCTTTCCGTCCGCCATTTTGTCAGTCAGTCCGTCCATCTGTCAGACCGTCAGCCCGTGTGCTGCAGTCGTCATAGTAAGCAACAGCTGCATTCGGGAGGGCTAAGGGCGGTACGGCAAGGCGGCATAGCAACGGTGGTTGGCGAAAAGAGCGAAGCAGCGAGATCCGACCTATTTGGTCTTTCAAGTGCTAATGTTAAGCATTTTGCTGCGCCCGAGTCAACCAAAGCTTGGCGCTGGCAACGGAATTTACTGGCAAAAGCCCGGCTTACACCAGCACATGCTTAGCAACCAGGCAACCAGGCAAAATCCGTCGGGCCCTGTCCTAGGATCTGGATCTCAGGGCTGTGGTCTGTGACCTGTGGTCTCGGATTCTCCTAGGCTCTAGTCCGAATCATACTCCACTAAGAGGGTGTTTTTTTCGCCTTGATGCGTCCAAGCTCCCTCCGAGGACAATAGAAATTGCACCGTCGCCCCAGTTCAGGTGGGCATGTCGGTGGGATGTGTTCTAGAATGCGTCCCATCCTCGATTGACTCTCGAATATATATACATACCCATCTATATCCGTCCATCTATCAGACAGAGCTGTCCTTAGTGACCCGTCCTATTGATCAATTGTTTACATCCCACCTCGAGCTTCGATCGCGAGTCAATTCAAGCTACGTCATAACGGCCATAGCAACAATAATACATACACACACACACGCACACACACATACGGACAAGACACCGACAACACCCCCTATACAGGGGCATCTATCCCCACAGATAAGACAACCACAGGTAATAACACACACAGCGCCGGTCTCTCATCACCATGGCCGAGAACCAGCGCTGGGAGGATGACCTCGACCGTCGCATCACCGGCGCCGAGGCCGACGCCGCCAACTTCGGCCGCCCCTCCCACGAGATCGAGCGAGTCCTGAGCGCCTCCTCCGTCTCGACCTCCTCCAATGGCTCCGTCCGGGAGCGTCCCATCACCGCCGGCGGCATGAGCAGGGTCTCGACACAGCGCGACCTGGAGCGCCACCCCACAGAGCTCGACCGCATACAGACGGCCAGAAGCCAGCACAGCGTAACCGTCGGCGCCGGTCTGGGGAAGAGCAACACACGCACCCGTGACTCGAGGAGGCCAATGCCCCCAATGGGCGCGGGCAAGTCGCTGCCAGCCGCCCTGGACAAGGATGAGTATGTCGTCGAGTTTGATGGGCCAGACGACCCGCTCCACGCGCAGAACTGGCCATTGAACAAGAAGTGAGTATTCCCGATTTTTGCAACGAACCCTTCTGCTGGCAGAGCCAATTCTAACAAAGCACGCGCCTAGGATCCTCACGGCAGCAATGCTTGGCTTCACGACCCTCACATCCGCCTTCACCTCCAGTATCTTCTCTGCCGGTACCCGCTCCATCGCCGCCGAGTTCAACGTGTCCACCGAGGTGGGAATTCTCGGTGTCTCCTTCTACGTCCTCGGTTTTGCCTTCGGGCCCACCCTGTGGGCACCGCTCTCAGAGCTCAAGGGGCGCCGCATGCCGCTGGTTCTGTCCATGTTCGGCTTCTCTATCTTCACTATCGCAGTAGCCACTGGCAAAGACCTCCAGACTGTCCTAATCTGCCGTTTCTTCTCCGGCTTCTTTGGCGCCTGCCCGCTGGCCGTCGTCGCCGCTGTCTTCTCTGACATGTTCAACAATGCCACCCGAGGTATTGCCATCACCATCTTCTCCATGGCCGTTTTCACCGGCCCGTTGCTTGCACCGTTCATCGGCGGCTTCATCGTCGAGAGCTACCTCGGATGGCGATGGACGATGTACATCACCAGCATCATGGGCTTCGTGAGCTTCGGCCTGGACCTGTTGTTCCTCGAGGAGACCTACCCACCGCAGATCCTGGTTGCCAAGGCTACCGAGCTGCGCCGCAGGACTCAGAACCACTTCATCCACGCCAAGCAGGAGGAGATCGAGATTGATTTCCGGGAGCTTGTTGAGAAGAACTTTTCGCGTCCTATGAGGCTCCTTTTCCAGGAGCCAATCGTGCTTCTTCTCTCGATTTACATGTCCTTCGTCTATGGTGAGTCTTGACCCCGTAAACACTCTGCCAACAACTGCTGACAAATTCCCCCCAGGCATTCTTTACCTCTTCCTGACAGCTTACCCCCTCGTCTTCGTCGGTGTCCATGGCTTCAAGTCCAGCAGCTCGGGCCTCTGCTTCTTCGGCATGATCATCGGCGAGCTTATCGCCGGAGTGGTCGTCCTAGCCCAGCAGCCCTGGTACCAGCGCAAGCTGGCAGCCAACAACGGGATCCCCATCCCGGAGTGGCGTCTGCCCTCCGTCATTGCAGGCGGTGTCGCGTTCATGGGCGGCATCTTCTGGTTCGGCTGGACCGGTTACAGGGCCGACATCCACTGGATCGTACCCACGGCCTCAGGGCTTTTGACCGGCTTCGGGCTCATGTCCATCTTTCTGCAGGCGTTGAACTATCTGGTCGATGCTTACTTGTGGGTGGCAGCTTCTGCGATCGCCGGAAACACGTTCATGCGCTCGTTGGCAGGCGCGGGCTTCCCACTCTTCGCGACGTACATGTTCAATGGCATGGGCATCCAGTGGGCTTCCACACTCCTGGGCTGTGTGGCCGCTGTGCTGGTGCCCATCCCGGTCATCTTCTACCTCTACGGCCACAAGATCCGCGCTAAGAGCAAGGTCGCGCCTTCGTTCCCGGCTCAGTCTCAGCCCCAGGCAGAGGCTTCTGAAGATGTCGAGTCCGAGAAGGAGAAGGACCAGGCCGGCAATGACGCTGTCTCAGCGGCTGTGCCGCGGAAAGATGGCGACAAGGCCACTGAGGCCGTCTAGAGGTCGACCTGGTATGTGACTGTAAGAAAAGAAAATTGGGACTAGCTGATGGAAGCGGAGTCCATGGATATGAGATTATGAGCTCAGCGGTTTGCATTTTTGATATCCACTCGAGATTATGTGTATAGATGCACTACATTTGGCGTCGGCATGACTTGAGCCGATAGGACCATGACGATTTATAAATCAATAATGTCTAAGTCACACCACAGACTTGGTATTCATGCTCCAGTAGAAGGTGAAAAGAATGATATACGTGTGTGACTATGAATTGCGCCTTGTTAACTCTGTATGGAAGACAAGCTGGTATAGAGGCATTGGACGAGAGCTACGACCGTCTCATCTCATAAAAAAGAAAAAGTCTAGATCTAGATATACATAATCGTTCCGCAGGAGGCTGTGCCCACGGGAAGGGTAGCCGTCCAGTTAACACGCCAACGCTTGTGGATCCCTATGAGCCGTTAAAGTCCAACCCCTCACGGAGTTCATCTCCAATGTCGTGCCTTAAGCAAGGGTCTCAGACAGTAGTGCTGACTCCTTTGTGAGACGAACCTGCCCTTCCCGTGTTGGCACGCCCTATGGGTGTGGGTCTGAAGTCTGGGCTCGCTTACACAATCACGCTGTTATGTAGTTGCCTGGTTGCTGGAGCACATCGACAGTGAGCTATCATACGCCTTATCTATGATATATATATGAAATCAATGTTCGTAAATAAATACACGATTGCATCTATATTGCAGTCTTACAGGATTCTTCGCGCCGAACAGCTTGCTTGCCTATGTAGGTACCTTTCAACAGCCCTCACGTAACAGCCCATCTAGTCTACCCACATATCTAAACGCATCGCAACAATAGCTATCTATAATCTACACTGGATCTCCTCGAGCTCCAGTCCATTGCACCATGTCGACCGAAGCAGCGCCTTCTCAGCCCAAGCCTAGCCAGACCTACGAGGCGGGGTGCCACTGCGGCTACATCAAGTTCAGCGTCACGCTGTCGCCTCCCCTGCCGGAGTATAAGCCCTTGCAATGCAACTGCTCTGCGTGCCGCCGGTTCGGCTACCTGCTCGTTTGTAAGTCCGCTGCAGTCTAGTTCGGGTCAGAAAGATATGCGAATAACACAGATCTGGGCGTGTGTGATTGCTGATGCTATCCGAAGACCCTAGCCGCGAGAATGTCAAGTTCCACGGCGATGGAGAGTCGAAGGTGCAGAGATACCGCTTCAACACCAAGGAGAAGGACCAGATGTTCTGCGGGAAGTGCGGCGCCAGCCTTGGGATCGACTTCAGGGACTTCTACAAAGAAAAGTGGACTGGATATGGGATCAGCGTAAGTTTAGCTGTCGGAGAAGAGGACTCAAGGCGAATAAGAATGTGTGCAGAGTGGGATTGACTAATGTTTTGTAATTCTGCTCGTAGGTCCGCACGTTCAACGGCATTGACCTCGACACGCTGGAGTTTAGGAAGGCCAATGGGCTGCAGGAGATCCTTCCAGCGGGTGATTTGTCTGGCATGTGGCACGAAGAAGGCGCGGAGACAGTGACGAAGACTGTCTGATTGATCAGTTGATCATCCCATTCGGCAGAGATGGCGAGATGACGCTGGACCTCATCGAGGGGGAAGACTAGCTGCGACATGGTATCGGAACTCTATTGACTCTCTTCGGCACATGTCTATGGATGCGAGTTAATACAACGCTTCGATGATGGGCCATGGGACCATGGGCCTCTATTGTTTTCCCTTTCCTTGTCGAGAAACGTAGATCTTTTCGGCAGAGGTTATGCATTGCATGTTGGCACCGAGTTTGTTCTGTGATCGGGTCAGAATTTTTCCTCTTCAAGTTGGTAGACTGCAAACGATAGGAGCCGACGAGGATTACGTCTTGCGGTCCAGGATAAAAGTGGTTCCCAGTGATAATGTTCATTGGGCAGGCTTGAGAGAAGACGTGGATGATTGGGTCACACTTACAATAGTCTCCATCCACTCATCATACGGGTCTGAGTCGAACACAATACCACCGCCTGTGATATGTTAGCGTCGAAATCGTTTTAAGACCTGGAAATCTTCATCTTACCAGCTTGCAGATACGCCACGCCGTCCTTGGTCATCATCGTGCGAAGAGCTATGCATGTGTCCATAGCCCCCTCTTTCTCCTGTCCCGCAGCATTCACACTGCCGTAGCCAAAGTATCCAACCGCACCAGCGTAGACACCGCGCTTCTCTTTCTCTAGCTCGGCGATCAGCTCCATGGCCTTGACCTTTGGAGCGCCCGAGACCGTTCCAGCAGGGAAGATGGACCGGAAGGCGTCGAACCTCGTCTTGCCTGGCCGAAGAACACCTGAGACCTGAGAGACGAGATGCTGGACGTGCGAGAATTTCTCTACTACCATCAGCCTGTCGACCCTGGTCTCCAGTGGATCGCAAACACGAGTGACGTCGTTGCGAGCCAGATCGACCAGCATCACGTGTTCTGCGCGGTCCTTCAAGGAGTTCGCTAATTCAGCAGCTAGACGCTCGTCCTCCTCGGGGTTCTTGCCTCGCTTGACGGTACCGGCGATGGGATGGGTAATGATCCGTCCAGCCTCCTCCTTGACAAGTAATTCTGGGGACGCTCCGATGATCTGGAAGTCTCCATTATCGATGAAGAATAGGTACGGCGAAGGGTTGACGGTGCGAAGGTGCCTATAGATGTTGAAAGGGTGCAGATCCGTGGGCCGAGCGAAGCGTTGAGACGGGACGGCCTGGATGATGTCTCCTGTGACAATGTGCTTCTTCAGGTTTTTGACGTGGCCCTCGTATCCATCCTGGCCGATGTTGGACGTGTACTCACGACCGAGCTGGATGGGTTTCTGCTCTGGCAATGGAGTCTCGGGGGCCTCGAGAACGCCAACAAGATCCTCGATGACCTTTGCCGCCTTGGCGTACTCATCCTCGATATCAGCTGGGTTCTCAGGCACTCGCAGATACGTAATGACCTTGATGACGCCGAAAAAGCGGTCGAAGGCTATTATGGTATCATAGAAGTGAAAGAGTGACTCGGGAATTTGCAGGACGTCCTTCATAGGTCGAGCTGTCTTGGGCTCAAAATATCTACCGGTCTACAGGTCAGTCATAGCACTCACTCTGAGTGCGTGGCGCTACTTGCCTGACACAGTCGTATCCTATGTATCCAATGGCGCCACCCGTCAAAGGTGGCAGCCGCAGATCCGGGACCTCAGCAACGACATACTGAGAGAGCTCCTTCTCCAGCGCAGGAAGCGGATCGCAGGACTCGCCGTGACCCTCGCCGGTCTTGAGAATCTTCCTAGGACCCGCACCGACGAAGCTGTAGCGGCCAACCTGCTCGGACGCGGCGCTCTCAAAGAGGACAGAGTACGGTGACTTCGTATGAGCCACGACCTTGAGGTACGCCGAAGAGGGCGTGATCAGGTCGGAGGAAATTTGGCCATACAGTGGCACGAGATTCGGTATCTTCGGCCCCTGCTGCTTGGCCAACACATCCTTCACCGTGTCCAACGACGGGACAATCTGGTCCTGAAAGTTTGGGTTAGTCTGTGCCATCTTGGTCATGCCAGGAGAAAAATGCTGCGAGTAACTCACTGGAACACTCATCTTTTCGGCCAGAAATATGGGCCGCCTCGATGAAAGGACTCACTGAGCCGGCGTCGTGAGCGCTGTGGGTTCGCGCTGACTCACTCGCAGCCAGAGTCGGTGGGTAGGCGGTGGGTTTGGTGCTGCAAGAACCCGTGGCGTAACCCAATATTGCTTGTCTCTTTGAGATTCAACCAGGGGGTCATCTAAGTTTGTTCCAGTGGTTTTTTTCAGGGACCGGGGCGCTAAGTTTTGATTAGGCGGGGCAACCAAGCACTGAATAAATGGTCCCTCTGAGAGGCCCTAGAAGCTTTTCAACGGCTCTAGGGGTCACAGACCTGGGTGTCCAAGGTGAACGAGATTAACAAAGAAGCATCAGCCATCAATTCAGGATGACGGAAGAAGGGTACGCTGTTGAAGATGATAATCAAGGTCGAACTCGCTCATGTACTCGTATTTCATACATCACAATGCCTGAATGCCTGCCTGCCATTTCTCAGCTCTCAATCGCCAGTGCCTTGACGCCCACCAGCCTAGCATTCTTGCCCTCTCCTGCCCTCGTCACCACAAAGTATTCCACTCTCGAGCTATCCTTGACGATGCGATAGACCCGAACGTCGTTGCCCTTTCCAGCCTCGCTAACCGCATCAATAAGCTCCTTGTACTGTCCATTCCTGTCCCAGTCGACGGGGTCCAAGATCTCAACCTCGGCCTTCGCAGGATCCCAGTGGTCGACCAGTTTGGCGATCTCCTCTGTGCAACGAATGGAATAGTTAGTCCAGGCCTTCTCTATTTGATTACGGAATAGGAGGTTGAGGCGTTAGTCCCGAGAGATGGAAGAAGAAAACAAACGCACCCTCGTCTGGCAAGCCCTCGCCCTTGCCCCACGCCAGCGACACGGGCACAAACGGCTCGTCCGAATCAGATATGTAGAAGGCATCCTTGGTAGCTTTAACCAATGGCTGCGGTATGTCTGCTCCGTGGTCCGCCGCCTTGAGCTCCTTCTTGCCCTTGCCCCCTTGCGCCTGGGCTGAAGCCGAGCCCTGGCCCGGGTCCTCGTTGGCCTTGTTCAGGAAGTCCATGTACTCGTCGTCCGTCGCCATCTTCAGAGACGTGGTGCCAGACAAGCTTCTTTGACCAGTGCGTGCGTGTGTCGGACTGCAGGTATGCAAGCGGTTCGGGTCGGTGATGCAGATGGTGTAGATTGGTGACCGGAGCTGGGTTCGTTGGTTACGAAGATGGTAGCGGATGGAGGCGGCCTGCGAGTATGAATTTGTGCAAAAGACCAAACTTCGGGTATCTGCAATGATGTTGCTTCTGGCCTTGAGGTTCGCCAGCTGAGAAACAGCCCGTTTGGTTGCGACCAGAGTGGTGACCATTTGCTGGCAAGGAGGGGAGCTATAGAAACACTTGCAGGATGACGCAACTTTTCCCCAGAGCTCGCACTAACACTGCAAAATGTCGGATTGCCCGACACCCAGCACCTGCGATTGGCAAAACCATAGGCTCCTACAAAACCTCAATCATTCGGTAGAACATATCTAAGTCGCCTTGATTTCGATCCGTCTTTGATCACGTTGGTATCATGACGAACGGACTATGGACTAGAGAATCAATTGATCGATGTCACTCACAGTACGGATGTTATTGAAGCTGCTGGGCTGAGGCTGCGGGACTAGTGCTGGCCCAGCTTGCAAAATCTACTGGACACGGAGTTGAGAAGCCAAGACAAAACACACAGAGCACATAGGTGTCAAAGAGGTGGTATCATTCATTTCATGAGTAAATTCGTCACGATTTTATTTTCCACTGACGCCAGTGAGGGCTCATCGTGAACCTTCTGGGACTTCGGCCCCTAACGAGCTTCTAATGAGCCCCAGTACCCATTAACCAATCCATCCATGCAGCAAAGAGAAAGCCGTGACACCACGCCGTGAGAGAGAAGCAGTAGAAACCTAAGCGGATGCAACATCCTTCTTGAGGAGACCCTGGTACTGCTTCTTCTCGGCGGGGGTCTGGAAAGCACCGTGACCGAACTCGGACGAGGTGTCGATCCACTTGAGCTCGACCTTCTCCAGGGCCTTCCTTGAGGTGTGGGTGAACATGGACTTGCGGAGAGTCATGACACGCTTCTTCACACCGGGGATAGAGCCCTTGACCATGACGAAGTCGTTCTTGACCTCACCGTAGCGGACGAAGCCACCCAGACTGTTTCGCATGTCAGTGGCTTGCTTCATTTGTCAATAGAATGCTCAAGAGGCTTTAACTTACGGAGTGATGGTCTTCTTGGTGACATCAACCTCGGTAGCGGCGTTGTCGTCGGCATCGCCCTTGCCAATGCGGTAGACCTTGTGGTTGACCGAGGTACGGTGGTGGTAACCCATCTGACCAGCACGGGCAACAGTCCACTGGACGTGGGACGGATGCCAGGCACCGATACAAGCGACCTTACGGAGACCCTTGTGTGTCTTACGCGGGAGCTTCTTGGTACCCCAACGGGCAGTGACACCGTTGAAACCGTGACCCTTGGTAACGGCAATAACGTCGATCATCTCGTCCTGCTCGAAGATGGTGTCGACGGAGACGGGCTTCTCGAACAGACCGTGGCCGAACTCGACCTTGTCGGCGATGGAGCCACCGTTGATCTGGATCTCCATGAGGTGGGCCTTCTTCTGCTTGAGGGGGGTCTTGCGGATCTGGGTGTGGGCCAGGACACGGACGACGGAGCAGTACTTCTTGATGCGCTCGAGCTCGCGGGTGAAGGAGGAGGCGGCGTCGGAGTGCTTCTTGGCGTACTTGGTGAAGGCCTTCTTCTTGCTCTTGTACCAGTTCTTGTAGAATCGGCGCTTGACCTCATCGCTCAAGTGCTCAGCCCAGACGGTAGTGAGGGATCGCAGGCCACGGGGGGTTTCGATGTATCCAACCAGACCAACAACGATCATCTGTCAAAGATGTTAGCCATTGGCTCAATTGCCAAGCGGGCTGCATTGTTCGTACAGGTGGTGTGTCAACGATAGTGACGGCCTCGACAACTTCCTTCTTGTGGGACTTCGCGCCAGGTCGGTCGAGGTCACGGACAATGGTGGTCATACCAGCCTTGTAGCCCATGGTGGCGGTCAGGTGGACAGGCTTCTTGGGGTCGTCCTTGGGGAAGCTGTAGCAGCCATGGTCATCAGCAGCTGCCTTCACATGAAACCCATCAATTTTGCAGGTGAGGTGGTGGAAGATATTTCCGCTGTTAACTTACGACTTGACCTTTCCTCGGTGTCTGGCAGCCCTCTTGCGGGGCAGGTAGGCCAGAGAGCCATGACGAGGAGCCTCGAACTTACGGTGCGACATGTTGGCTGACTTGAGCTCTTTGTCGCGAGGTTGTCGTGGAGGATGGGTAGGCGGTTGATGGGATGGGACAAGAAGCTTCAATCGAGGCAGGCCTTCTGCAAAAAGTTTCACCCTGGAGAGGATTTGCCGTTGGTGGGCTCTGTGGAGCACTTGTCACGTGAGATGCCCAGCTGTTACCCAAGTGGTGCCAGCTGGCAGGCTAACAGGTGACTCCCCCCCCCCCTGTCCGCTTCCCCGATCGTCTCAAGACTACAAACAGTATGCCAGTAAGAACCAAGGACGGCTATGGGAATATCTACTATGGTAAGTATTGACCATCCCGTTCCCATTCCTGTCTTTTACTGTCAATATGTTCTTTCTTCAAGTCCTGTCCTGTGTTTACCTGGTCGCTGGACTGCTACAAGCCGAACCACTCTGGTTGGGGACAATGCATCAGCATCTCCTCCCCGTAGACGTTCGTCGATGCTGCAACGAAGACTCAGAACCCTGTGTGCTTAGAGGCATGATGATACGCTATTTAATGATCTCGGCCACCTTTCCATTCCCAGAATGCAGTCATCTGCCATCCTACACGTGGTAGAAGCAGCTATCTAGCCCTTCAGCCAACTGGTGTGCGAGCTGTGGCCGGCAATCTGTTTCCGATGCAAGCGAACATGCAGCACAACAGTGCGGCCCGGTATCTGCCTCGGGAAGCCGACAACCAGGTTTGGAACGGGCTCCTGGGGTTGAAGGAGACGAGATAAAGTAGGGGTCCGGCACCCTCCCCCAACCCCCTTCCCCACCTTGCGGATCGAAAGCATGGACTGGGCGGCAGTTCATAATATACTACCACAGCTATACCTACCACGACCAAGACCGCCACCAAAGATTGCCGGCGGAGACTTTTTGTGTGCCTCTGTCTCCAGCTTGACACCTCTCGGATCAGCCGTGTTATTCTGTGCTGTGCTGCGTGGCATGCATCGACCTCAGACATGAACACGCTACACATGCAATCTGTGTCTCAGTGTAGTGTGCACATTCCACGAGCCTGATCATGAGTAACGGCGGATCGGATGAGCACATTGTTGGTGGCATGGCCGGGCGCTTCACCAGTCATTGGACGTTGGATCGACCAACGCATCTGCTCAACTTGGCTCATCTGGAACGCTACCTCGACAGCTGCCGGCCTAAGATCTTCGAGTCGATATTTGCTGGGCCCCTTTCTTGTTCAGAGCCGACGGAAATGTAGCGCGTTGTCGATCTTGAACACACGCATCACTACAAGGCTCGGCATCTCGTGCTCTCTCACATCCCAGCCAAGCAAGCTACCTGGTAGCGATGAAGATTGGCTCTCGCAAATCGGTCCATGCTGCCTAGCCGCCTGGGGATTGTGCGGTTTCCGGAACTGCTTGGACAAACGCAACGTAGTGCAACGAGATGTCCTTTGTTGCAGTCTTCCCCTGCTTGTCAAGCTGAGTAACCTTACACCAAGTAATCACATCGCGTGTTCACCCGAAGGCGAGTAGACACGCAACCTACAAGCCCAGCTATTATAGAGGTTGCCAGCCAGCTTTTTTCAGTCGACGGCACACCACAGATGTACGCATCACCGGCTACGTTGCGATCGATCATGCCAGACATCGAATTAACCCATCGCGCATTTCCATCCCAAGCGAGCATGTTCGATGTCCTCGATGTCGAGGAGATAGCGTACTTGTGTATGCTACCACCAACGCATGCACTGCAAAATATCTGTCCTTTCCCGCAGCGCACATCTCGGCAAAAGAAGTTTGGGTCAGACTTGGAACTTGGTACCATACAACAAAGCAGTGTCGGATCGACAGGCTACACACTCTAGATCCTGTCCTGACGAGGATACGACCGCGAACCTCGGGAAGCTGGGACAGGGCCTGATTCGTGACGGGTGACAGAAGACAAGGACCCAGCCATGCATTCCCGATTAATGAGGGCGGCGCCAGAGCATGTGTGTTCTGCCTCAAGAGGCTAGCGTCCCTGGCCCCTTCATCCCGCAAGCCTGTGGAGCAGAGACTCAGCAGCCGTTTTGCAAAAAGCAATAAAGCTTCAGCAGAAGCAAGCCGAAACAGCGGCTGCTGAAGCGATAGTAGTTCAGTCAGTCTATGAACCCGTCAGTTGTCTACGCAATTCGCACACAACACAATAATTCTCATAGCCACGGCTGGCCGCGGCCAAGCGATGTGGGCTTGATGCACCTCAATCACCGGATGCAGATTGCGGCAGCACTGCACTAAGACGAGACGGGTGAGGCGATCACGGCCGACAGGGAGGTGCGTCACATCCTGGACGCCCCCGAGGTTTGTCCCACCCACCTACCACCACTCTCAAACATACCAAACGCCAACCGCCCGGTCACCCTATAGTATTCGCTCCTATAAACTATGGCCCTCGAGATGGCCGCCTCATGGTACACCACAACACTATAGTGTAGACGACGGTGCATTGTGCTGTGGGTGGGTGGACGACCTCATCCGGGATCCCTTCACCTCGTGGGAGGGCTTGCGACCAGTTCGACTGCGCGGCATCGACGGCCAGCTGCATGGCATATGCATCAGTCGCAGTGGCTGCTGTGCGTGTGGCCTACTATGCATTTCCGGCGGCTTCTGCAAGTCACCCGGCGACGTCTGCTCCTGTCCAATGCAACACCTACGTGTGCGGGCGATCCTTACAGGCGCCGCCAGGTGGCAGAACGGTGGCTGTCGATGAAAATTTCCCACTCTGCATCACACAAGTGACTACCATATATAGAAGTAATACCGTACGCATCGGTCATGGCCATCGACAGTCATCAAATTATGTCACCCACCCGACTTTGGTCTCTGCCACGCGAGAGATCATCTACCGTGGTCAAGGTGCATTAAACCCACCAATGGGTCACGCCAATTATCTCACACCCACACCCTTTCTTGCATTTCGAACCAGAACTCCGGGCCGAACGCAGCTTATGACTGCTTACGCTGGAAACGCCGTGATGCGTGCGGCTAGAGACTCGAGGTCGAGCCAAGACCAAACCAGCCCTTCTTCG